CCTTGTGAATGCGTCCCAGACCGATCTCGAGAGCGACCACGGATTTCGTTCTAACATTGGTGTGTTTGCTGCCGATAAGGAAGCGTAGGGACGCGTTCGTCATATCGCCCATCAACTGCAGCCTTTCAGCTGTCCGAAACAATGTGTATAAGTAAGAGGACAAAGCAATGTGGAGGGAAGAAGAACAAACCGTCAGGAAGCGCATCGAAGTTTGACCAGTTGACTATAGGCAACTTTGTGTCCAGGTAAGCCGCCTCCGCTAAAGTGAGCTCGGGCTCCAAGGCCAGGAAATCACCTGCGTCATTCGGAGTAAAGCCGTCCGTGATGCGACTGAAATACCGGTCGAAAAAACGATGCAAAGAAACCGGCTTCATAATCAGCACTCCCTCTACAAACGCGACCGTTGTACGAGGTCTGAAAGGCTCTACATGAGCTATGGAGAGCATAGAAGATATCGTACGAATCGTGACGTACCTTCCCGGAAACCACCTCTTGCATCGCTCGAGGAGCCACGCGTGGCTTGGGTTGCTACCGCAAGATAGTAGGCTGTCCAGATGCTTGGTCAAGTACTCCTCGACTCCGTCCGCGTCGAAGCTGCCTGCCCCAGTGAGCGTCACCGTCGGACTGTCCTTGAAAGCGCTGGACTCGAGCACCCTCGTCGCCTCGCCCAGAGAGAGTCCCGTCCCACAAACCATGTATCTGTCCAGAAATGCGTATTCTGTTGAAGCTTTGAGCAACACGGACAGCGGGGGGCGTTTGATCTTGATACTCGTTTCGGAGCAGAAATTATTCGAAAGCTCTCCACTCAGGCCTACTTGTGCCTCGTCCCAAAAGACAATGAAACGTTCCTTGCCGATGGCGCCTGGCCCGCGAGCAAACCATCTGGTCTGCGCGATTTCCGACCATAGGTAGGTTATCTCCACCCTTAGTGTCTCCATATCACAGTGTCGTCCACACTCCGCTATGCGACGGAAGATATCGACTCCCTGCGTGAGCCTATTACAGCCGGCGAGTAGTGGGTCAGCCTGGAGAATGACCCACTCCAGGCGACACTCCTTCTCGGTCCACCACGACGGAACACTTTGGAGGAACCTGAGCAAGACCGACAAGCGAGCCAAGAGGATCATTGCGAAGCATCGGTCAGCAACAACCTTGTTCGCATCGAATGCTTCCTTCGAAGTGGGCTGTGCGTGCCACTCGCTGAACAGAGGCATCTCGTTCATTGCCCATTGCAAGTCAGTAGAGCCACGTCCATGTTCGCTTTCGGCGGCGACCTGAGCGCCTCTAGCCTCTGTGAAAGAGATATAGAAACCCCAGGCAAGCAGAAGACATTCCAGGGCGATGCGAGACTTTCCAGCCCCAGAGACATTTGGGAACAGACTATTCAAAGGTGCCATTGGAAAAGCTCGTAAGCATGGCGAGTCATGGAAGAGGACGGAGGAATATCTTACACGTTCTTCTCGATGGTGAAGAAATCCTTCGCTCTTTCGACAATTGATGGGTCCAAACCTAGTTCTTGCAGAAGTAAGTTGACGAATTCGGCCCCTTTGTGCGTGCCGAACCGATCAGACAGTTTCTTGCCGTCAGCAAAAGCTTTGAACTGTTCGTCGAATTGATCAAGGGCCGCCTTAATGCCCTGTCGGAGCTCGGTCGTCGATACGTGGACTAGCTCGTGGATATATCAGCCCCGGTACTTGCACGAAGGGTAACAATATTCTCACCTTTAGATTTGTATGGAGAGGGCCTTTCTGTGTAGACGTTCGACGGGAGAGGCACTGGTTGTACACCCTCGGGCTTTACCTTAGCGACTCGTACAGTGGAAAATGCAGCTACAATTATAAGGTGCATGAAATGCTCAGAAAGGCGGGACATTAGAACCATGTAATGAACGTACTGTGACTCATTAATTCATAATATGGACGAGGATTCTCTCTATCCGCACTCCTCAGGTTGTCGGCCAAGCGCCATATGTCAGGATGGTCTGCGAGTATTTCCTCTGAATCGGAGGGTCGATTGCAAAGGCCGAGCCCCACCAGCATCGCAACAGTCGAACATGCAGTGACCAAAATAGTTGATAGAATCCGTTCCCAGTCTCGAAAGATAATTTCTTGGTCAGCAGAAGTTAAGGAGTCCCAAGCAGGGCATAAGTCCCTAGAGAGTAGGTGAATAGTAGCCGCACTGGCAGAGCCTGAGGGAGGTGTGGCGTCAGAGCTGTCTTGTGATGGCTGGAGAGACTCGCCATCCTGCGCGAGGTTCAACCGCGGACGGCGTGCAGAATGCAGTCGTGATGGAGATTCCTCAGAGCCTGTGTCGTATTCGGCGTCTAAGTCCGAGTGGTGGCGTCGCTTTGGCATGAAGAGGACGAAATATTATAGCGGGCAAGATGAGGACCGAGGGGGAAAGCGACGACTCGGACTGGGAGCCTAAGAGTAGTAAAGACCGGGGCATTTTAAGGTCCCTACACCTTATTGTTCTTCAAGGTACAGAAGGCAAAGTTATCGTTCAAAGCACAGAGTGGCACGCTAGTATCGTTCAAAGCACAGGGCGGCAAGTTAGTATCGGTCAAAGGCGGAGGATAACTTTGAACGTTGCCACCACGTTGCGGGCGGACACGTGGGAAAAAGTACGTGATGCAGCGCCTCTTAGGCCTTGTCCTTGTTGCTCAAAACGGGCCTTTACTTTCAACACCCATCATCTCTGTATTCTCGTTCAATGCCACCCATGTCCACCCCAACCGTAAAGCGTGCGTGCCCGTACGCATTTGAATCAGTCGACATCCCTCCAGAGAAGCGAGTTCGCATCCAAGCTAACTTATCGCACGACAGGCCAACCCGACCACGAAGAGCCGTTGCCTCCTACCAGTCGAGAGACGCCACCCTGCCGAGCACACCATCCCCGTCGACCACGCCATCCCCATCACTTTGCTTACCAGGACCAACTTCTACAACGACGCGTGTGCTGAGATCTGCGACTAAATCCACACATCCGGTCAAAGAAACCTGCAGTGCAAAGCGTGCGCGATCGCCCGAGAACGAATCCCTCGAGCGTCCTCTCACGAAGCGAGCTCGTACCCATGCACGACTCTGGGTACCTACGCTAGTAGCACCAGTACAGTCTCGAGGAGGCACTTCTTCTACGCCGACGTCATCGTCGACACATCCGACAAAGTCGACTCGCATTGCGAAGCCACAGCGCTTACCGGCCGCTGCGGACGCATCCAAATCATCTCGGTTGATAAAGACAATACCGCCCAGAGAGATACCTCCACCATTCAAAGCGCCATCCGCCAACCTACGATCACTGTCTCGAAGCTCGCCCCCATCTTCGGGTGGCCGTACGATACACTCCACCGCCACCAAGCGCCCACGCCCATACACATCCGAGTTACTCGACGGTCGTCCAACGAAGCAAGTCCGCTTGGAAGCTAGCTTGTCACAGAGCGAACCACACCCGCCGGGGAGAACCATCACATCCTACCAATTGAGATCGAATACACCGTCCCCATCAACCGCTACATCCAAATTTCTACGCTCACCGGAGCCATCTTCTACGACGACACGCGTCCTAAGATCTGCGACCAAATCTACCCATCCGACGAAAGATACCTCCAACGCAAAACGTGCGCGATCACCTGAGGATGAGTCTCTCGAGGGACCTCTGACGAAACGGATTCGTATTCAGGCGCGACCCTGGCTACCTACACTGGCAGCGCCCCTGCAATCTCAAAAATCTACTTCATCCATGTCACCCTCATCGACACTCCCGGCGAAGTCAACTCGTACTGCAAAATCAAAGCGCTCACTGACATCCATGCACACATCCAAACCAGCTCGTGCGTCTAAAGCGACACTATATAGACAAACACCGCCATCCAAAGCACCTTCCACCGCCCTACCATCACTGTCTCAAGACTCGCCTCCATCCTCGGGTGATTGTATGGTGCGCCCCACCGAAGACCGTGTCACTCCAATTCAACCCGGTCTCCAGCGTCGTCATAGGAATGTTTTCAATCTCCTTTGTAGCGGCAGCCTCGGGATCCTCCGCTATTTTGGTCTCCATGAACTTATTATGGCATTAGGACTATGGCCCGGGAGCAGGAACGAGCTCTTTGACTTTCATTTCAAACATCAAGAGCTATACGACATTTACTTGAGGGCTTCAGAGAAGGGTGACTTATACGAGCTTTGCACCTATCGTGAGCTCCCCTGCATACCATACCATCTTTCTACGTATGAGCTAATAGTGAGATGTTCGCAGCCGCACTTCAAAACCCAGTTGATCCTATCATTGAACGTGTCTCTTCGGAATGTGACAGCCTGTTTCAACACATCCGAAACGGTAATCTCCCGTCTGCCTCTTTTTCGACACATCCAGATGCTGCTCCGCAACACCTCGGCAACTTGGATGACCTGGACACTGCGGAGGCACTCAAGCGTGCAGACCAAATCTTCTCTTCTCAGAGGTCAGTCGTCATTTCCACTCCTGCTATCATCAGTATCGTTGACATGGCGCAGAGCCTTCGTTACAGCGACTTCGTCTGCGAAAAGCCGATTGCTCGCCCAGGATCTTCTCCAACATTGGGGATTTTACTTCTCATTTACCTCTGTTGCGACATGCCCAGTCTCGAAAGACCTTGAGCTTGCGGCCAAGATGCTTGACATGAGGCTCACAACGTCGCAGCCTGGCGACGACAAAGCGACCATCGCGCAGGAGTGCTTTTATGCCCTCTACCTCGCCCGTGTTATCGTTTTCTCTGAGTTCCTCGACAGTCTTCCTGATGATCTCAGCGAAGAGCAAGCCCGGAAGGAGTGGCTGTATTTCCAGCTTGCGCCTCCTCGTGCATCCGGTGACTCGGAGGACGACGTTTTTGCTACCGTCTTTCGAGCGATCTCGACTAGCGACCCGGAGGATATCCGGAAGAGTGCGAAGGGCCGAATGATTTCCGCACCGTGGAAACACTACAAATGGTTTCCAAAGTCAATCATTGTCTTTCAGAAGCAGGGGGATCCTTTACCTCTGTTGGATGAGCGTACCGACCCGCCGTTGCATCTCATCATTGACGAAATCACACCGCCTGGTGCTGAATCCTCCGAGGCTTACGCGAGTCGTCGCGCACGTCGCTTCCGGGAGTTGGTCTATGCGCTTTTCTGGCCGGAGGCCATCGCATAACGGACATGCGATCACGGTTCGTACCTTCTGTCTTGGAGTTATATTCAGCGATCTGATAAGTTCTCTCATGTAGAAATTGATCATGACCGCTCACTTGAATTATTTGCTTCTCTCGCCGATTTTTGTCCCGTCCAATTATGTGCATTATCAAATTTTCGATTGTATAAGTTTTCCCCATAGTATTCAGTTGACAGTGTTATACTTATTTTACTATCTTTCACGCTCATGTATTGCTTTCTATTCCTGTATGACTACACTCATGTATTTATTGCTATTCCTGTATGTCTACATCCATGTAGTACGCCACAGTCATGTATTGTTCGTTATTCCTGTACAAGTACACTAGCCGCCACAGCAAGACATTTGTCTTCCTGCAGCCAACACGTCAGAACTCCTAAGCGGAAAACTGTCGTTATTGGTGTCGCTTTCCTTCTCCTGTCTACTCTCTGCATATATTTACCTTCCTTGTTCTCACTATCACGCCATTGTAATCCTCCTCACAAACATAAATAGAACCACTGGTCTGGAGGTTCACCGTGAGGTTGTCGACGTTAACAGAGACCCAGAGTTTCGGACAGGTCTGCACGACGAACTTGTACATAGACCAGCTTTTTCGCTCGAGATGCGATCCAAGGCCTATTCGTGGCCTGGAAGAACCATCATTCGAGCCACCTAACCCTTATCGAGAATTGTTTCTGGATGTGGACGTGGAGGTAGTGTCGACGTGTGATCCGTTTAGCGGGGCGTGTAACAGTTACGCTTCGCGTGTATTGTCACCCGGTATAACACTGCAAACTGCACAGAGAGATAATAAAGGCCACAATAGATGTGTCAATCCCGAGTTAGGAGCAAAAATAAGTCAATCTAGTATGTGCGCCGTATATCACGCAAGCATCCTCCGGATTCAGACTGAATACTCAGTATCCGGCCGCAATTCCGTTCTTCCTCGAGTCGCTCGCAGCTATGAACAAGTCGCCGTCAGACTTGTCTGGAAAGCAAAAACAAAAAAGACAAGGAACGTGTGACGTGACGTACCAAAGATCCTCCCATCCTCCGTCTTCATCACCGCCTGGATGACCGACGACACCCTATTGATATCCATCACTGTACAACCAAAGCAGACAACGCAGGTCAGCTCCCGTCTCTCATTTCCCCTTCAAAAACAGCCTCGGCCTCGCAGAGTTTAAAAGGGAAACAGAAGGTTCCTTCGAAGGCAATGAAGAGGTGAGAAGTAAAGACTTACGTGTGACATTGTGTCCCCTCCCTCTCAACTCCTCGACCACTACCGGGTCGATCACGTCGTCCACCTCCACCGAAAGCGGGAAGAGTTGATCATGCACTCTTCCTTGTTCGATAGCCGCGCTGACGTCGTCGCCCCAGTCCATGTTGAGGAGAACCTATGGAGACACGAACAAAGTATAATGCAGCACGGTTAAGTACGAGTCCGGCCATGTCAAGGAGGACGGGATAAACAGTGGTGGAAGAGGTAGGAATGAAGCGTTCAGGGTGAATGGGGAATGATGAGGAGTAGTCCAGGAGAGAGCGAACACACCTGGAACACGGCTGGGAAAATCTTCGAACCACCCGATCCTCCAATTGCAGTATAGAATGAACCATCTGGATATTCGAGGATCATAGGCGTCGTGGAGGAGAGTGAGCGTTTGCCTGGTTCAGGGTAGTTGTCTGTATACGCAATAGTTGAAATAGTTGTAAGTATCAGTTCATGATGGGTGGGTAAGATCAGTTCAGGATGGAGGGGCGTGAAGGCGGAGCAGGAAGGGGAAAGGGGGACATACAAGGCGAAGGCCAGAGTCCAAACGCATTCGGATGCCCTGGAATCGAGAAGTCTACATCACACCATGCCATGACATCGCATACATATGTTCAGCATTCCGCCCACAGCTCCCAAGATTCGACGGGGTAACTTACCGTCCATCTGAATTACAGAATTCCAGTATTGGAGTCAGTCCATCGGCGTAGCAGAGGAAATCAGAAGAAATAAATAAAAGGGCCGTACCTCATCGTTAAACAGAACGCCCGTCACTGGGTCCATCACCAACGAGCCGAATATAAGGTTAACGGTCGTGGTGAGCGCGACAGCCATGCCTAACGTTCGGGTTCAACTAAAAATAAGAAAGATTTCAAGAAGAAAGACACATACCATCTTTGTCAACGACCGACGTATGGCTCTGCGCATATTTTGATCATCAGTCGATGCAGTGACGGAATGGAATGTGGCGCGCCACACGGAAGCAAATGAGACAGGGGCTAAGCTCGAGTTGCAACTCACGGTTCCAGGATTGAGTGGCACGTCGTACTCCGGCTGGTAGTACTCTGGTGGGTGAGTGTAGTCCTATCGGCACACCAACACAGTAAACAATAAGGATAAGTGTCGTGCGAATAAGATAGAACAGTAGGCGAGGGTACACACGTCGGTCATGTTCGCGAAAATACGAGCACTGAACTCCTTCGTCGGGATCTCGTCAATCCGTTGGGTATCCTCCATGAACGCTGGATCTCCGACTTTCGTCCTAGCCGCGAAACCGACTACCAATAGGCCTATCAGCCCAACCGCGCAAACGGGAATATATGAGGAAACAACACCTACACTTCATTGCCTCCAACATCCTATGCACATTCAACCCCGTCCTCCCTTCCTCCATCCAATTCTCCTCTTTATAACCCTCCACCAAGTTAAACATATGCAACAACACCCCTCCACTCGTCGGCGCATGCGGTACGTAAATCTTCCTACCCCTATAACTCCCTTCCAATGCCCTCCTCACCTTAACTTCATAACCAGCCAAGTCCTCTAGCGTCATGATCCCGCCTGTGGCTTGGATCTTTTCGATCATGGCGGCAGCGATGGGGCCGGCGTAGAACGCCGAAGAGCCATTGGTAGCGATGGAGGAGAGGGTGTGCGAAAGGGCGGTGCGGCGGATGGTGGACCCCTCGGTTAAGATTTCGCCGTTGGGGGCGAAGATGGAGGACCAGTCGGGGTTGGAGAGGATGTAGTCCTGGAAGATGTCGAGCTATACCAAAATACCAAATTGCAATATCAACGGTTCAGCACACGACACATACGTTGAGCCAAATGTCATTGTATATGAGCTCACCTCCAGCCTCCTCCCCAACTCCACGTCGACCTCCCATCCCGATGCCAACTCCACGCTCGGCCTGACCAACCTCTCCCAAGGCAGTTTACCCCACCTCTTATGCACTTCTTCGAGGCCTTTGACTTCGCCCGGAACAGCGACAGCGAGACCGCCCCAACGAGCTTTGTCGGGGTCGTCGGTGTACATGTCTTTGTGCGCACCGGATGGTGCTGTTTCACGGAAGTCAACGGTCCAAACTTCCGAGGTGCCGTTCGGTGTAGAGGGAGGGAGGCGGACGGTCATGAAGCCTCCGCCACCTATACCAGAGCTGTGAAGTTCGTTGTTTAGCGTGTGTGGGTAAGGTCAGGAGATATAAGTGGACGTTATAAATGGCTATTTTGCGAACCACGAGATGGCATTCGAACGAGATTGCGCAAAATTGCTGATGACACAGAGCACGAGTAGCGTATGCTACTCAATTGAAGGATATACTCACGAGAACATGTTCACGACGCCAGTACAGAAGATAGCGGCGACCATCGCATCGACCGCGTTTCCTCCATCCTTCATGACCTGGACTCCAATATTCGAACATCTAACGTTCTCACTTGCGACCGCGCCATGTTTAGCCTCAACCAAGTATGCCGGATTACGATGTTTGTCACTGACGTGAGCACCGTGAGGAAGATGTCCATAGTGTGGCGCATACGGATGAAGGTGGCGACGATAGAAGAAGTCGCGTGCGGTGAGAGAGACGACTGAGATGATGAGGAGAGAGGCGAGGAGATGTTTCCAGGTGCGAGTCCATTTACTCTGTTTATGAGAGTTGTTACGAGTCTGGACGGGGAATTCTATTGAGTCTATAGAGTCCTGTGGCACAGAAGTATACACTGCAGGCATGACAGGCCCTTTGGAGTCTGTATAAATTTATGGAAATGATGTCAGTCCAGCTGAAATATCGCGACTCCTATCTCTCCCAGAGAGAACGAGGAGAGTCAGAATGACTGAGCTCGTAGGTACTAGTACAGTACCTGCTATCCAGTCCATTGTGACCTTCTCGGTTGTGTGAGCATTGTTGGCTGGCATGGCACCGGAGAAGGGGGACGTCGGAGGCGGTTCACAAGCAGCTCAACGTGTCCTTCCGCCATAATGAGCTGTATTTAGCTGAGAAATTCCGATATCAAAGACGGCTCGATGAGGATAAGCACATTCCCGATGGCTCCGTGCCGCGGGACTTCCTGTAATGGTCTCGGCAGCGGCCCGCCACGTGCGGACGCGTCGCGGTCACGAGCAGCAGCGACGCGTCCAGCCATTTTTCCAAGCCTCTTCCTTCTTCGCCGTCGCCGTCGCCACCGAGTGGCTCGAGCGTCCCATAGGTTTGCTCGATGCCTAGTCGCTCGCGCATCTTTTCTCAGCGAGAGAAAACTCCTGTGAGCGATGCAGCATCTGCTCTCCAAGGGTTTCCAAACAGTCGGTGAGTCCGAGAAGTTCTTGCCACGGTGCAACGAGCCGACTATTTTTCAGACTGTCCTCCACGATCATCAAGACAGACCAAGGCAAGCCCACTGCATCATGATTTTAATCGGAATTACCGTTGAAGAGGTGATTCATCAGGACAAGTAGTACCGGACCTCGCCATGCATCCCGTTAAACGTCGACGGCTTGACGGTCTCAACAATCGCTACGACAACATGATCGACCAAGTCCATCTCATGTCCCGAGGACCCATCGCAAAGCCTCGTCACCGACCCAGCCATTCTTCTGGATCTTCGTCTATCAGTAGTCATGACATGCCACATACACCTCTCGATGCTTACACTAGTGCACTCACTGAAGGTCGACTAGGAAAGGACTTCTCGGTACTCAAGATGAAAGATGCTAGCTCTTCGAATCATCGAAGCTCATCGCCAAACTCTGATCTTGTCGAGCCGGAACCACCGCGACCTGTCGAGCCTCTCCCATCTTGGCTGAATGGCGCCTTATCTGGCCTTGATTCTCGACATCCTCTTCGAAATCTCGTGTCTCTTTCAAACTCTGCTCCCCATAATTTCGAGACTCGGCCTATCAAGGGGAATACAAATGTACCGACCTCCAGGACTGAGGACCCTGATAATGTCTTCTCATTCCACCCTCCTTCCAGCGATTCCGTACCGCCCGCTGAACTGCCGGACACCAGTCTCATCGAGTCTAACGACCTTTCTCCTCTGAATACCTCGGTATATGCGCCTCACATGACTCACCATGCTTCCGACGACGATAGACCTGCTTCATATTCCTCGACCAAAGACTCGTTCATCCCTCCTGATCACATATATGCGCCTGCTTTCACTCACCAAGTTGCTCCAAATGACCTCTATGCTTTATCTTCTCCCCTTCTTGCGCCTCCTGCTCTTGCTCCTACGCCTTCTCTTGTTATGCACTTGAACAACTCGCATGCCTTATTGTCTCCCTCTAACTTATCCCCTCATGAACCGATCCCGTTCTCGAGACCTGGGCCTGCTAGAAACGTCTCTTTTTCTCGTCAAATCACAGCTGTGTCACCGCCTTCTTGGAAGAACGCACCTGCATACCAGACCTCTTCGTCTCGTTCTGCGCTTTCTTTGCCTTTCAACAATCGGAATAGCCAGGCTCATACCATCGCATTTGGATCATCCACTCTCGGCTCTTTCATCTCGTCTCGTCCATCCCGTCGCAGCGCTATTACCTCTCCTTCTGATCTCTCTCCTGAAGCCGCTCAACTTGCCGAACGTCACGACACCGTGTCTCCGCCAATCTCTGCTTCTTCTTCGGCCTCTGGCGACCCCGCATCTCACAAGGCGCTCACGAAATCGCGTCCACTCCTTACGATACGTCACCCAGGCTCTTCTCCCATCATTTCATCCAACGAACATGCATCGGGACCGTCTAGTTCGACTACTGCAGCGACTCTCATACCTATGGAAGTGGATGTAGACGGCCCTTCCCGTCCCTCGAACTTCCATGACCCTGACGATACTCTTCTGAACCATGACGTCCATATCGAAAGCCCATATAACACGCCTTCATCTTCCTCACTCTCCTCGCCTCCCGCTCCTGCCTTCGCTCTCGCACCAGCACCAGCACCAGCACCATTTTCCCTCCCCGGCCCTACATTCTCAACGTTCTCGTTTTCCCGTAAAGCACCTCCGCCTATATACTTCTCGTCTCCGACCGAGGACCCATCCTCTGATTTCGATATCCCACACGATGCGGTAGACGTGGGCGAGGAATCATATTCGTCTCCTTTCCTTTCTGAAGCTGAGATGGAAGGGAAGGGGGAGGTACGAGGCAGGGTTGAAGACGATAGGAAGATGGACGGCGACGGAGTCGGTAACATGGAGGGCGGGAGTGCAGGCGAGAGGAATATGGATGTCGATGAGACTTCAGATGGGGGTTTAGATGTGGATGTGGATTATGAGACGCTAGGGTTTCGATGGGAGCCATTCGTGAGAGACGGTCGTTCACATTCGAATGCAGGCGCGGATTCGAAGTCGACGGTCGTTCGTCCCTCCAACCCCCTCGCCGGCCCCGCATGGTTCAACTCTCGCAGATCGAACTCACAATCGCAAAAACCTGCTCCGCCATACAGCAACATAAATTTCAACGCATTCACTCCTATTCCCGAAGACTCGGTCCTTGAATTCGAAGACGACGAAGCGTATAGTCTTCCCTCTACGCTCGTTCGACGATCCCGTTCTACAGACCCTGATTTCCCCACTGACCACGAGCCCCCTCCACCATTCATCCAACACAATAACGACGAGCAAAGTCAGAGTATACCACCATCCCGCAGTCCGACTCCGTATCCGAGCTGGGAAGTCCCCGCTCCACGACGGCCCACCGTGTCCCATTCAAACTCGAACTCGAACCAACGCCATGAAGACAATGCACAGAGACCCTCTGGCGAGGAAGCAGGTAGTAATATGGATATAGATGTCGAGAACCAAATGGACTTCGAAGTGGAAGAGGACGCGTCGAAAGCTTTTGCTCCCGCTCCAGGGATATACGTCTCGCCTTTGAGGAAGAACAACGAGCGTTCGGAGGGTTCTGATGAGTCTCAAGGGTCTGGGGAGATACCGCGCGTGGTGGGAGCGAGGGGTGAGGAGTCTTGGAGGGAGAGTAGAAGTGGAATGGTAGAAAGGGAGAAGGAGGGTGGCCAAATGGACATGGATGTCGCTGAGCACAGTGACGTTACGAAATTGAAGGTGGAGGGTGAAGATCGCGGTGAGGAGAGGCATGATTATACGAGGTCATTTGATAACAAGGGAAAAGTTGGCGAGAACGGTATGCCGTGCCGAGAGGTAGAAGCTCCTTTCTCAAAGTTCTTTGTTGATCTTCCGCTGATTTCTAACGATACGTAGTCGAAATTTGCGGAACATACATTGGTAACCGCACGACCGCATACTATCGATCATCGTCCTTCAATGCAAGTTCGACCGGGGAATGATCCACGACTCAGACATCAGCTTGCTCCCCCGGATGCGAAGGTGCAGATTCCTTCACCGCACCATGGCGCAGCGATATATCGTCCGTCTGAATCACCGGATGATCATGGACCCCTGATGTCGTTCGGAGTACCACGACCCTCGGTGTCGTCTACAACACTTCCGCATACGCCACCACGCAAGAACAGACCTTCGACTCCAAGCGTCCATAGTATCTCGCCTCCTCCGCCACAACGTATTATCAATGGTCTTGATAGTGCTAGAAACTCCACGGGCTCGAAGTCTGCCCTATCGAGAGAAGGAGGGGCAACCCCAGGTGCGTGATTTATGTCCATAGACGTCCGACTGACCGTCAGGACCCAGTCTCATCGTGCGTTCAGGCCGTCAGTCAGGCGGGGGCGAAGACGCACAGCCCGACTCACAAATAAGTAATTCGACTTTAGTGCCAACGGATGATATATATCGTGTCCCGCAAACACCTCCCCGTCGTACTTCGACTGCTATGGATCTTTCTTTTCCGACTCAGACCAATGGCTCCACGCAAGATGTCCCATCTAATTACCCCCATACCAATGGCACGCCTCACTCCGTCGAGCCCTTTGCGCGGTCCTCTATCACGACGGATGTACAAGCACCCCCTCCCGTCACGCCTCCACTCCGTAAACCGCGCGACGTCGATGCCATCATGGAAGAGATAGGAATCAGCATCAACAGCGTACAATTGGACAGTGCGCGTCACCGCGATCGCAATGCTGCATTCATAACCCCCATCGGCATCTCCAGTCAACTTCGCGTTCGCCCCAACGCACAACCCGAAAGAACTCAGGTCCGCACTGCTACCCCGATTCCGTCCCGCTTGACGGAGATGATGATGGCGGCGATAACGACTACTCGAGATCGTAATAAAGTTCAAGTTCAAGGATGGAAACCTGTGTCTTCGTTACGTGCGCCTTTGCCACCTCTCCCATCTCCGACAGGCTTACGGCAGCAGCGAATGTCTACATTATCGTCGCTTTCCGGGCCCAAGGCATATACAAGCAGCGGTAATGGGCAGGAAGCAGGTCAAGGAGAGGTACACAGTGCTGCCAGCAGCGCCAACGACGACGTGGAGATGATGCAGTCGACGGCAGACCCTTCGCGTACACATTCTATTACTGGGACCGAGGTTGGCAAAGAATGCGAGGGGGAAGGTCAGAGTTACTTATTCGCGTCCCAGGAGATGGGCTCGGAACACGATAGCATAGAGTCTTGGGGATGACGCTTGAAACTGAAGAGGGCGGCTCTTATGCTTTGACTTCCAGACTAGTGCGGGCCCCCATCTTTGCTATCTTCAAGGTTCCAAGTCTTATATCCTCGTCTGTCCATCCGTAATTCGTCATACTAGACCTGATCTTTCTTGTCAACGGCACTGCATATGACCGGTCTCTCAGGCTGAGGTAAGCTCTCGTCCATCTTGAGGACCGCGCAAAGCTAACAGTTTTAGGCCAACAGACGATCTTGTGCAAGGTGTATACGCAGGTGAACCAGAGAAAAAGCGGGTCACTGGTCCATGACAGGGACACGACTTGAGGCTTCCTGTTGAAGGAAATGATCATCACCTGTCCAGTCTCAAACGGTCAAGATTGCTGTTCGTCCGCTTCCTCCGGACAAATACACAGGAATACGGTCCCTCATCACAGTCAAAGGTAAGGTAAGGTAAATGCCATCGGTCTCCGGCGATGCAGTTCTTAATCTTTTGTTGATCGCTTTTCTTTATTCCTTCTGGTGCTCTCCGGACCCGCCAGCTGTTGTACTAGGATCGCGCCACTGGCATCATTTGCTGCTCCCTCGCAAGACAGTCATCAGGTTTACAAGCTTTGGACTCACACTGAACCGGCTGTGAATTTCGAAAGACTCCTGCTCGGTAGAAAAGAGTTATTCGAATAATCATCCATGCTCACGAACGATCAGACGCTTCTTGTTGAGGTTACGACGTCATGGATGTTGTGTATTCTGGCACGTCATGATATTCCACTCGCGGCCACGGTCGGGTCGTGAATACTTATCCCTCTTTGAGCTTGAATGTTTCACCGAAACTGGCAGGAACGAACCCACGGTGATTGGTGTCTTTTTCTATGTTTTTTCTCTAACGCAGGCGGTGGGAGGGTATGCACTCGTGGCCGGCTTCTCCCGTGGTCAGTTCTGGCTGGAGATGAATGATATCGAACCGGCTTGAAGATATATGTGAGGCTCCCTCCGTAACACCTCCGACGTCCGTATTGACCGTTTCTTGATAGGGAGCGACGTCAACCGTCAAGTCCGGCTGTGCGACTCTGAAGGCCATATTAGGACACTCTATTATGTGCCGAACGGCACGGTTCTCCTATCAATCTTACGCGTCGCCCGTGACGCTGATTTCTCGCTTTTCAACAACATCCATCCATGAAAATGTCGCACTTTTGCAGCTCAAAAAGACCCCTATCTGAGTCACCATGACGTCATTCCATTGAAAGCGAGAACACCCGTCCTGCTCGAGGTCGCAGCAGTGCATTTCGTCTCGAGTTTCAAAGTCGGTGGGTTCGGAGCTCCATGGGTGTTCTAATCCAGGTGCATGGCCCTCGACAGCGCGAACTTTATCTCTCCTTGGCTGTGAAGTTTTGAACTTGTGACGCTATCATAGCGCGTCGGTCTCATAGGCTCCGATGCGTATAAGAGCTTCTGTCGACCGGACCACGGAGCAAATTCTCTCTTTCTCTTTCCCTTCATACAGCTTGCGCCAGACCAAGCAATATAAAATAAACTCTTGCCTATTCCAAATTTCTCCTCTCCTTGTCGAATAGATTGTGTCTATACCATGGCATATAACTGGTATCAGACTCACGCTCCCGGCTGGGGAACACAGCAATGTGAGTGCCTTTCGCGGGTTTCAGCTCAGGGTGATGGCATATTTAACATCCGTTCCGTTGAAGACCAATTTGGACCTCCGCCATCCCCAGGGTACCTTACTAGCCCATCATGTAAGTATCCTCGCCCATTAGTTATATACAAGATTACTGACGGCCTCAAAAAGGGGGCGGACGGGACTACTACAGAGCCCACGTGGGACGGACAGAAGATTTGTGCGTATATCATACTTCGGGAAGTACATATGCTTATCAGTGGTGGTACATCACAGGGATTTGTACGAGTACGCCATGAACAAGCTCGCCTCTGGAGCTCTGGGTGTTGGTAAACACGAAGCGAAAAGATGGCACAGACTTGCATACGCTGGCCTCGTGAGTTTGAGATTTCGCTTCACCTCTTGACGCCTTTGGTGGAGTCTAACTTGATCACTCTGAAATGCAGGGGGAGGTCGCTAGGATGCTTCCTACTGAGATTGGCTACGCAGCTGCCTACGAAGCCTATCGAATTTACATCCATCATAACGCAAGGCTGTACGAGTCACTATATAGTCGCCCTGAACGGCAACGAGAGGCGTTGGTGGCCACAGCCGTAGCAGAAGGTTCGTCCGTCTATTCCTAATCGTGGAAACGACTTGCGCACCTTCATCTCACACGACGTCAATCTATCAGTCCAGCGTCTTTGGCAAGACACCGGCCGCGCTTACGACGAATTCGGCCTTCGGACCGCAGCTGAAGCAGCAGCTGCAAGCGCTGCTTTAATATTCAGAAACCATCTCGAATACGACGCCAACGACCCCTATGGAACCACAGGAGGAGGGGGATACCGTCGCACGCGCCACAATTCCATTGCCCCTTCTACGGCCAGCTCTCCATACTCGTCCTCATACTCACTCGACCCGTATGCACTTGATGACTCCACGCTTCGACGCAGCAGGTATGGGTATAGAGACGGCATCAATCGATCACCCTACCTTGGTGGCGTCGGTGGCGTCGGGGCTGGTGCTGGAGGTGCTGGAGGTGTTGGGGCGTTGAACACCTATAACTCAGCTGCATCGATGCCTGTACCCATGCCTTCTTCTTCGCCCTATCCCGGTCACACTTCTTACCCCGCTTCATATGCACAAGGATCGATCGTCCTCCCTCCTGCCTCGACTTCATACGGCGGGGCACCCTCGACTTCATACTCCACGGGTTATCCGCAAGGCCCCGCGGCTTTACCCGTCTCGCAGGGCTACCCTTCGACTTACTCGTCTGGCGGCAGCTACGGCGGGATGGGACAGCAGCAGCCACCGGTCGTGGTTATCCCACAGACTGGTCATCATCATCATCATAGGCATCGAAGCCTTGGTCTCGGGCACAGGCATCGACGGCACAGGAGCTTGGAGAGGTATTATTGAAGTACGGAGTGACGTGGAGTTTATGAGCTCATGCAACGTTCTGAGGTGACGATCCGGCAGTGATATCACTGTGCGATAGTAATTATGGCTAGGGCGGCTGGCTTCTTGTTGGAACATGTGGCGTGCCTTCGCGAACGCTTCTTTCTTATATTATATCCAACTCAATAGTTAATCTGTACACCTCTTCGGCAGCGATACCCCTACCCCTATGTACACCCTTCCAGAAAATAATCCTAAATCGCTTCTTCAACCCATCTTTCCTTCACCCACGTCCCACATAGGGCATATTCGTTGCCCTAATCATCCAGACGTTTCAGTGCGAGAGACCGAATAATCAAACAAACAGAGACGTACATGATGTTGAACTCTAGAACCGTCACGCTATTTGGCAAACTGGCTATAGACACGATCTGGCTCGCTACAAACTTCACGTCGAATGAACCCTCCGGTGCCATCTTCCCATATGGCTGAAGGTGCATGATATTTCTATCTTCCTCAGGGTTCGTGTCCGTTGGAAGGAGTGAAGGGCCATTGTGGGCAGAGGACATAGGTGTGTAGGCGTTGCCTGTCGGTAATAAGATTTAGATGCACCGGAGCAAGCAAAATGATCGAGTCAGTGTTGAGGGTAATGTAGGGTGGACTGGTTGAGAAGAGGAGCACACCAATATCAATTTGAGTGCACGCTATGTTATGCGCCCGTCCGTCCAACGCTGTCGATTTCGTCAACCCGGTGATAGCATGTTTCGCCACAGTATATGCTAGCGAGTTTGGCCGAGGGGCATGTGCGGCCAGAGAACCGTTGTTGACGATACGTCCTAAACGCCATCCACGAATTAGTTCTCTCGGAATAGCGTTCGGTGGCGAGTAAGATTTATCATCAAGTCGTACCTCCGGGCGGGTTCTGCGCTTTGAACACACGTATCGCTTCCCGTGTACACATGAAAGGAGCGGTGACGTTAGTCGTCATCACTGCGTTGAAGGTATCGAGCGAGAGGTCTTCGGTGAGCGTTCCGTTTGCTGAGATGCCTGCGTTCTAGACATCCAAGACATTAGCTGAGTGTAAATCGGCAATTATGAGGCAAATATGCAGAGGCATGAATCATACATTGAAGATCATGTCGACACGACCTAGCATACAAAGCAAGTGAGCAATTAGCACTGCACCTAGATTCGGTCAAGTGTCACCTACCGAACTTTTCTACTGTCTTTGCAAAAAGTTGCCGAATAAACTCTTCGTTTGTGATGTCTCCTGGTGCAACCAGGAAAGAATCCTCTCCAATATCCGTTCCAGTACGATCCTTGCGTGATTGGATGCATACCGACCGAGTCTCAAGAAGCTGGGTCTCTCGGCGTGCGGTGAGTGTGACAGACCATCCGGCTTCCGCAAGTGCAACGGCTGTCGCACGGCCGATGCCTGTACACTTGAGAGGGGTGCATGAATGTACACGTCAATGCATGTTCATACAATGGGAGCGCAAGACTGGCCAGAAGATGCTCCGGTTATGATGGCGATCTTGGCTTGGGACATCGAGGAATAGCGATAGTATCGAGCACTTTGTGATGGAATTCGAACGTCAGGCTTGGTCAAGAGAATCGAAAATTATACATATGCTAATCTCTAACGCAAGATAATGAGGAGTCCAATGGATGGTCTGCGACTGACCGATGTTACTGTAACTGTCCGCAACTAGGTTCTGGCGAGGATCGGTACCGTTAACCTCCCTCTCCGCGGACGAAACGTTCTACGATAACAATATGAGAGTCTTTGAAACGATTTTCCAAGAATTAGGTCGACGAAGCTGGCAACGGGATACGGGCAAGCTGAAGCAGCATCGGCGTTTGGGCCACATCGAGCTCTTGATCAGTAACGCCACGTGTGTTCGAATTTACAACACAAGGTTTGGAACACGCCTTAGAGAGGGGACTTGAACAACATCAAGATGCCACACCGACAACGACGACTTTCCACTCAGAAATTCTGACGTGTTGGTCACAGGAAGGCGAATGTTTTGCTGTGGCGGCTGGTGTAAGTACTTCTACAGGGATAACGAAAAATACATGAGTTTGGCGTACTACAAGAGTGTAGTCATACAGGAATAGCGAGCAATTAATACATGATGAATAACGAGCAATACAAGAGCGGGAAAGATAGTAAAAAATAACACTGTTGACTGAATCGTATGGGGAAAACTTATAGTCGAAACTTTGATAATGCACAGAGTTGGACGAGACAAGAATCGGCGAGAGAAACAGACGGGACAAGAATTGGCGAGAGAAGCAGACGATTCGAGTGGGCGGTCATGATCAATTTCTACATGAGAGAACTTATCAGATAGCTGAATATGAATGCTAGACAGAAGGTACGAACCGTGATCGCATGCCCGTTATGCGATGGCCTCCGGCCAGAAAAGCGCATAGACCAACTCCTGGAAGCGACGTGCGCGACGACTAGCGTAAGCCTCGGAGGATTCAGCACCATGTGGTGTGATTTCGTCAACGATGAGATGCAAGGGCGGGTCGGTATCCTCATCCAACAGAGGTAAAGGTTCGCCCTCCTTCTGAAAGACCCTGATTGACTTTGGAAACCATTTATAATGTTTCCACGGTGCGGAAATCATTCGGCCCTTCGCACTCTTCCGGATATCCTCCGGGTCGCTAGTCGAGATCGCTCGAAAGACGGTAGCAAAAACGTCGTCCTCCGAGTCACCGGATGCACGAGGAGGCGCAAGCTGGAAATATAACCATTCCTTCCGGGCTTGCTCTTCGCTGATATCATCAGGAAGACTGTCAAGAAACTCAGAGAAAACAACAACACGGGCGAGGTAGAGGGCATAAAAGCACTCCTGCGCGATGGTGGCTTTGTCATCGCCAAGCTGCGACGTTGTGAGCCTCATCTCAAGCATCTTGGCCGCAAGCTCAAGGTCTTTCGAGACTGGGCATGTGGCAACAGAGGTAAACGAGAAGTAGAAGCCCCAATATTGGAGAAGATCCTGGGCGAGCAATCGGCTTTTCGCAGACGAAGACGCTGTAACGAAGGCTCTGCGCCATGTCAACGATACTGATGATAGCAGGAGTGGAAATGACGACTGACCTCTGAGAAGAGAAGATTTGGTCTACACGCTTGAGTGCCTCCGCAGCGTCCAGGTCATCCAAGTTGCCGAGATGTTGCGGGGCAGCATCTGGCTGTGTCGAAAAAGAGGCAGACGGTAGATTACCGTTTCGGATGTGTTGAAACAGACTGTCACATTCCGAAGAGACACGTTCAATGATAGGATCAACTGGGTTTTGAAGTGCGGCTGCGAACATCTCACTATTAGCACATATTTAGGAAGGTGGTATGGTATGCAAGGTAGCTCACGATAAGTGCAAAGCTCATACAAGTCGCCCTTCTCTGAAGCCCTCGAGTAAATGTCGTATAGGTCTTTATGTTCGCGGGCAAAAGCAGAGAGCTCCTTTCTGCTCCCGGACCAAAGTCCTAATGCCATGATAAGTTCGACAACACCGAAACAGCGGAGAATCATGAGGCTGCCGCCGTAAAGGAGATTGAAAACATCCCTGTGACGACGCTGGAGACCGGGTTGAATTGGAGTGGGATGGTTCTCGGTGCGGCGCACCATACAATAAGCCGAGGATGGAGGAGAGCCTGGATACGGTGATGCTTTGAATGGTGTTGGTATTTGTCTGGGTGGCACCGCTCTAGACGAGCGAGATGATTTGTATGCGCGCGTAGATGCTGATGAGCGCTTCGTTTTTACGGTACGTGTCGATTTGGTTTGGAGTGTCGATGAGGTAGCTTTTTGAGATTGCACGGATGCTACCAGTGTAGGTAGCCAGGGTCGCGCCTGAATACGAATTCGTTTCGTCAGAGGTCCCTCGAGAGACTCATCCTCAGGTGATCGCGCACGTTTTGCATTGGAGGTATCTTTCGTCGGATGGGTAGATTTGGTCGCAGATCTTAGGACGCGTGTCGTCGTGGAAGATGGTTCCGGTGAGCGTAGACATTTGGATGTAGCGGTTGATGGGGACGGTGTATTCGATCTCAATTGGTAGGATGTGATGGTTCTCCCCGGCGGGGTTGGTTCGTTCTGTGACAAGCCAGCTTCCAAGCGGACTTGCTTCGTTGGACGACCGTCGAGTAACTCGGATGTGTATGGGCGTGGGCGCTTGGTGGCGGTGGAGTGTATCGTACGGTCACCCGAAGATGGGGGCGAGCTTCGAGACAGTGATCGTAGGTTGGCGGATGGCGCTTTGGATGGTGGAGGTATCTCTCTGGGCGGTATTGTTTTTATCGAGCGAGATGATTTGGATGCGTCCGCAGCGGCCGGTAAGCGCTGTGGCTTCGCAATGCGAGTCGACTTCGTCGGATGTGTCGACGATGAGGTCGGCGTAGAAGAAGTGCCTCCTCGAGACTGTACTGGTGCTACTATCGTAGATACCCAGAGTCGTGCATGGGTACGAGCTCGCTTCGTGAGAGGACGCTCGAGGGATTCGTTCTCGGGCGATCGCGCACGCTTTGCACTGCAGGTTTCTTTCACCGGATGTGTGGATTTAGTCGCAGATCTCAGCACACGCGTCGTCGTAGAAGTTGGTCCTGGTAAGCAAAGTGATGGGGATGGCGTGGTCGACGGGGATGGTGTGCTCGGCAGGGTGGCGTCTCTCGACTGGTAGGAGGCAACGGTTCTTCGTGGTCGGGTTGGCCTGTCGTGCGATAAGTTAGCTTGGATGCGAACTCGCTTCTCTGGAGGGATGTCGACTGATTCAAATGCGTACGGGCGCGCACGCTTTACGGTTGGGGTGGACATGGGTGGCATTGAACGAGAATACAGAGATGATGGGTGTTGAAAGTAAAGGCCCGTTTTGAGCAACAAGGACAAGGCCTAACTTGAAGAGGCGCTGCATCACGTACTTTTTCCCACGTGTCCGCCCGCAACGTGGTGGCAACGTTCAAAGTTACAGTATCCTCCGCGCGCGTTTGACCGATACTAACTTGCCGCCCTGTGCTTTGAACGATACTAGCGTGCCACTCTGTGCTTTGAACGATAACTTTGCCTTCTGTATCTTGAAGAACAATAAGGTGTAGGGTCCTTAAAATGCCCCGGTCTTTACTACTCTTAGGCTCCCAGTCGTCGCTTTCCCCCTCGGTCCTCATCTTGCCCGCTATAATATTTCGTCCTCTTCATGCCAAAGCGACGCCACCACTCGGACTTAGACGCCGAATACGACACAGGCTCTGAGGAATCTCCATCACGACTGCATTCTGCACGCCGTCCGCGGTTGAACCTCGCGCAGGATGGCGAGTCTCTCCAGTCATCACAAGACAGCTCTGACACCACACCTCCCTCAGGCTCTGCCAGTGCGGCTACTATTCACCTACTCTCTAGTGACTTATGCCCTGCTTGGGACTCCTTAACTTCTGCTGACCAAGAGATCATCTTTCGAGACTGGAAACGGATTCTATCAACTACTGATGTCATTGCATATCCGACTCTTGCGCTGCTCCCGGAGCTCGGCCTATGTGATCGACCCTCCCATGGAGGGGTCATCCTCGCCAACCATCCCGACATATGGCGTTTGGCCGAAAATCTGAGGAGTGCGGATAGAGAGAATCCTCGTCCATATTATGAATTAATGAGTCACAGTATGTTCATTACATGGTTCTAATGTCCCGCCTTTCTGAGCATTTCATGCACCTTATAATTGTAGCTGCATTTTCCACTGTACGGGTCGCTAAGGTAAAGCCCGAGGGTGTACAACCAGTGCCTCTCCCGTCGAACGTCTACACAGAAGGGCCCTCTCCATACAAATCTAAAGGTGAGGATATCGTCACCCTTCGTGCATGTACCGAGGCTGACATATCCACGAGCTAGTCCACGTATCGACTACAGAGCTCAGACAGGGAATTAAGGCGGCCCTTGATCAATTCGACGAAAAGTTCAAAGCTTTTGCTGACGGCAAGAAACTGTCTGATCGGTTCGGCACGCACAAAGGGGCCGAATTCGTCAACTTACTTCTGCAAGAACTAGGTTTGGACCCATCAATCGTCGAAAGAGCAAAGGATTTCTTCACCATCGAGAAGAACGTGTAAGATATTCCTCCGTCCTCTTCCATGACTCGCCATGCTTACGAGCTTTTCCAATGGCACCCTTGAATAGTCTGTTCCCAAATGTCTCTGGGGCTGGAAAGTCTCGCATCGCCCTGGAATGCCTTCTGCTTGCCTGGGGTTTCTATATCTCTTTCACGGAGGCTAGAGGGGCTCAGGTCGCTGCTGAAAGCGAACATGGACGTGGCTCGACTGACTTGCAATGGGTAATGAACGAGATGCCTCTGTTCAGCGAGTGGCACGCGCAGCCTACTTCGAAGGAAGCATTCGATGCGAACAAGGCTGTTGCTGAGCGATGCTTCGCAATGATCCTCTTGGCTCGCTTGTCGGTCTTGCTCAGGTTCCTCCAAAGTGTTCCATCGTGGTGGACCGAGAAGGAGTGTCGCCTGGAGTGGGTCATTCTCCAGGCTGACCCACTACTCGCTGGCTGTAATAGGCTCACGCAAGGAGTCGATATCTTCCGTCGCATAGCGGAGTGTGGACGACACTGTGATATGGAGACACTAAGGGTGGAGATAACCTACCTATGGTCGGAAATCGCGCAGACCAGATGGTTTGCTCGCGGGCCAGGCGCCATCGGCAAGGAACGTTTCATTGTCTTTTGGGACGAGGCACAAGTAGGCCTGAGTGGAGAGCTTTCGAATCATTTCTGCTCCGAAACGAGTATCAAGATCAAACGCCCCCCGCTGTCCGTGTTGCTCAAAGCTTCAACAGAATACGCATTTCTGGACAGATACATGGTTTGTGGGACGGGACTCTCTCTGGGCGAGGCGACGAGGGTGCTCGAGTCCAGCGCTTTCAAGGACAGTCCGACGGTGACGCTCACTGGGGCAGGCAGCTTCGACGCGGACGGAGTCGAGGAGTACTTGACCAAGCATCTGGACAGCCTACTATCTTGCGGTAGCAACCCAAGCCACGCGTGGCTCCTCGAGCGATGCAAGAGGTGGTTTCCGGGAAGGTACGTCACGATTCGTACGATATCTTCTATGCTCTCCATAGCTCATGTAGAGCCTTTCAGACCTCGTACAACGGTCGCGTTTGTAGAGGGAGTGCTGATTATGAAGCCTGCTTCTTTGCATCGTTTTTTCGACCGGTATTTCAGTCGCATCACGGACGGCTTTACTCCGAATGACGCAGGTGATTTCCTGGCCTTGGAGCCCGAGCTCACTCTGGCGGAGGCGGCTTACCTGGACACAAAGTTGCCTATAGTCAACTGGTCAAACTTCGATGCGCTTCCTGACGGTTTGTTCTTCTTCCCTCCACATTGCTTTGTCCTCTTACTTATACACATTGTTTCGGACAGCTGAAAGGCTGCAGTTGATGGGCGATATGACGAACGCGTCCCTACGCTTCCTTATCGGCAGCAAACACACCAATGTTAGAACGAAATCCGTGGTCGCTCTCGAGATCGGTCTGGGACGCATTCACAAGGACAATATGGAGAATCTAAATGACCCTGGCCCGATCTACATCGACGAACCGGTCGCCCTTGCTACCATCATCAAACACTTCGCTCAGGAGGACCGAATGGATTGGATAAACCAGCTGTCGAATGCCATGCTCAATAACCAGATGAACGGATACGTGCTCGAGTGGCAGGTGATATTTCTGTTCTTGGAGCACTTCGGTGGCGTCTATACCCCCATTGACCACGCATTCGAGTTATCTGACTTGCCAGAATGGAGCTGGCTCAAAGACCGAAAGGTGACTTTGGTCGGCGTCAAGCACATGGGCGGCTCTGACTATCGCTCGTTCTCTGTGAACTGGGACAAAGCGCCTCATCTCCCTTTTGGCTACGATGCTCCTTCTGGCGACAAGATGGCCTCTGCACTAGAACGCTGCAACGGAACTGCTTTCTTTCGCCCCGACCCGTTCTGTCGTCCTGATGTCCTCCTCACCCTCCGAGACGAATATGGGAACTTGATTGGTGTTCTTGTTCAGGCTAAGCTGAGCTCTGGGAAGGGTACTATAGTGTCGCATATCTCGAAGGCTGTTTTCGACAAGGCCGTTAGTTCATTAGAGCCGAAAAATATATACTCCAGGAAAACCTCGGAGGCTCCCCTCGGCGAGAATGGAACTCCTGTGCGTCTGTTTTTCCATCCTCATTCAAACATGTCACTCAATATTTCATTCATGGCAATGCTGTTCTGGCCGGGCCACAGGTCAAGCGTCCATCACAGAAGGTCAAAAATAGGGTGCTTCAGGCCTTCGACAAGATGCTCGATGCTACCAACGGCGACACAGTACGTGGGGATTCTTCCCTTCCACGGCGCAACCCTCGGCGTTCGACTCGTCACCAAGAACGTGTGCCTCCGAAATGGTTGCGTGTGTTGGCCATTGGACCGGCCAGCACGGATCGATACTTCGGCGAGGAAGCTCGCAAGCCGCATCCTTACCCTTCACTTTTGGTCAAGAACGAGCGTATGGTCGAACTGTTTGGAGCGAATTGGTGGAACTCGACGAGACAGAATGTGTCTGTTGACCCATTCTGATCTTGTACTCATCCCTTTGTTCATCCAAACCTTGCCCTTTGTAATAACCTCTGGAGCTGAAAGAATGCGTAATGATCATCATAATCGCTTCTGCATATAGCGCTAGTTTACTCTTGAGCATACGGATGTGGCTATTAAGCGCTAAGCCTTTGTTCTGCATCTTTCGAGTAGACCTGACTGAGTGTGTGCGATTTGAAACTATCGACGTGGTTGAGGAGGTGCTCGGCGTCGGAACGAGGCGCAGAAAAGACATGTACGCAACGAATCAGAACAAGGGATCCACAATAATAACGGAGAGTGTAGAATCGCATTGGCATTGACAGTGTGACAGCAAGCGTCAGGTAGAAACAGGTAAGGACAGATCAGAGCGGTCGGCGCAAAACATACAGTAGAATAAAATTAATCGACAGCTCGAGCAAGCAGACTCGTGGCACAACTGAGACTGATTTATACTGTATATATTAGTATAAACAAAGGCACAACGAGCGAGCGAGCGAACCCAAACTCGGTCAGAATATCGAAACACATCCTAGACGATGCTAGGAAGTACAGGACATCTCGCGCCACAAACAGGTGGGCTATTCACGAGACTGTCCGAAAAGAATAAGGGAGAGAGAAGAGCAGCCAGGATATCAGAGTACAAGAGATCATAAATTACGCGAGACGAAGCTTCAAGCGTTCGATTCTGAGCACCGTCACGGCCAGAGTTAGCAGACGACTCATTGCAATGCGCCTCGGAAGTCGACACAGTACCACGACCTCAATCCCCAGAGCAAAAATAAAAGTACACAGACACACACCTCACCTCCCTCCCTCCACCTCACCTCACCCATCGACCCACCATCCTACAGCACCCCATCGAACCGGTCCTCCAATATCCTCGCCACCGTCGGCCCATGTACGGGAATCTGCGTCCCCTGGAATCCGTCCGGATAATTCGGGTCCTTGACCCTCGGATCGGGATGTGCGGCGTACGTGTCGTTCCATACCGCGAAGTGTTTCATGCCTCGCGCGCGGGCTGTCCATTCGTAGTCGTGTGCGAAACCACCCGGGTAGAAGATCTCGATGACGGTGGAGATGGGGGTTAGGGGCATCATGATTAGATGGGCTGTAGGGAGGATGGATATGGACGGGAATGGGTGATGGTATGATGGTCAGCAACATGTAGATGTAAGAGAGAAATAGAAATAGAAACTGACTGAGACCATTCCCGTGAACACCCAACATGAACTATCAGAGCATCCCTCATCAGATTCGGATCCTCCTTGCTGCGAAACATAACGGAGGACGAAACGCACCGTAGTCCTCGCCGCAACCTCCAGCTGCTCCTCCTTCGTCAACTTCTCCGCCTGCACAACATTCAGCTCCCACCCCCTCCTCGCACAAACCTCCTCCAACGCCGCGACCAACCCCTCATGATGCTCCTGAATCAAATGCCTCCTGCTCCCTTGCCTATCAATATACGAAACGACGACCCTGTCCGGCCTCAGCCCCTCGTCTTTCCGCTCCTCCTGACGATCTCCAATACTTAGGATAGTACCATCGATGCCAGCAAAACGCAACACAGCACGACGAACAGGCTCCCACCAATGCCGATCGAGCGTGTCCTTGACGCCTAAAATCGCTTCAGCCGCCGTACGCTGCGTGACGGCCCCACACTCAGTCCCTCTAAACGCCGCGCTCCGATCCGTCAACAACACCTCATCGAACCACCAAGCCCTCCCCCTCCCTCCCTCTCCCCCACCGCCCAATGCCTTCGACCTTGTCGTCAAAATCCGGTCCTCCCAGTCTTCTTGCGTTTCGACGGTTAGGGAGGGAAAGGCGGCACGGAGGAAGTAGGCGTTGAAGCCGGGTTTGTCGCGCCATTCTTGGGAACGAGTGTGTGCGAAGATGGCGCGTGAGATGTGAGGGGCGGTGGAGTGGATGGAGGATTGGTCGGCGGCGGCGGAGGAGGTGGGGAGGGTTATGCGTGCGTTGTGGGCGCCGGTCCAGAAGGCTTGGACGCCGAAGACGAGTTCGGCGCAGAAGTGGTAGTAATGGTCGATAACTGTTGAGAAGGAATAACAATATCGATTGGTATATCAGTGGTCAGAAATTGGGCGCGTTGTGTTGATTCTATGAACAGAGAAATGCGCGTACATTGTGGGGGGTCATTGAACAAGAGCTGCAGGGAGAAAGAAGTAACACGTCCGTAAGCAAGCGAGTTCGTACATAGACCCATGGGTCAAAGCAGATATAGAACCCATGCTGCCCGTGCATGGCATGTCGTCAAGCCGGTCACATCGACAGATTCTGTTCGTGCACCGATCGGGAACGCCCAAACTCCGTCCATGCACGGGACGGTACAATGATGGAGTCATGTTCATGAAACAGAAATAGTACGTTCAACAGGAATACACACCGTTGATCCCGAAACGGGGAACAACCTGTTCCTCTCTCCGACCACAGACTTGTCTGCTCCCCACCGCGCTCTTGCCTCTGCAGGTGTGATGACAGTCATATCGCGATCCGTAGGCATACGTGCTTCGATGGATTCGGGCGTGTTTTCTGCTGGTAGGCCTGTTGAAGTCATTAGAGAGATGGCTGGGAAGAGTTCGGGTTTAGATGTGACGATGAAGAGGGTTCCGTCGGCCATGTAGAGGTTGCGGAAGATGGTCCATCCTGGTGCGTGCGATACGAGTGTCGTCTCTGGGATTTCTGCCTCAATATCCACGTGAACCTCGACTTGAGTTGGAGGCCGTTGAGAAATCGAAGGATTGGAGTCGAGTGGTAGTCCTGGAGGTGGGTACTCGGCCGCAGCGTTCACGTCCGGATGTTCGAGGGGTGCCGGGTGTACGACCTCATAGATTCCATTTCGAAAGTCATCTGGGTTTCCAGAGTGCGAAGTTACGTGAGTGTTGACGACGATAGAGGATGGCTCAGAGAATGGAGCGAAGATTGTAGAGGCAATGTGCATGCATGCCGCGCCGAGGAGGACGAGGATGGCGTCGCGGGGAGACAATCCGCGCACCATTGACACCGAATTTGTTCGAGAAGCTGTCGACTGAGTCGCAAGGACAAAGAACACAACGAAAGTCTGCTAGAGCTGAGGGATTGGGTATGGAAAGCCGGGGGACAGCAAAGGAATGTGGGCAGGGCCTATATAGCCTCTGTGAAATAGGATAAGTCTACCTCGAGGATGTCCGGCCAGCTCGACTCTTATAAAGGTTTTATTGCTACCCTGATCAGATTGGGCGGCGACAAGTCCTTATTCCATCATGCACAGCTGCTTCGTAACTCTTTCGCCGTCCCACCCTTTCCCGCTTAGAAAATACCGACCCATTTCTATCCTCAGACTGCACTTCGTTTTCTATCCTTGTCTGCATGGATCGTCGGCGCACAAAACAAAAATGGTATTTTCGGCCAGGGCAGCACTGCGCATAGCTTTCATCCCGGAGTTACTGTGCTTTGAATATGTTTCCCCCTCGATCACGTACCCCGTCCGTTTAAAACATATCCCATCCTATTTACAGCCCACCTCCAATCAGCCTTCAATCCCGCATTCTCACTCTGGCATGGTTAGTTCAACATTGAATTACTGGGGACCTGTTCTCGTTAATCGCTTGCAGTCGCTTGCGCATAGTACCTGGAAGCACTGCTTTGATTGGACGTTCACAAAACCCTGCGAAGATTGGTTGGAAAATAGTCCGACGGGAGGCAGGACTTCGACCGGGAGCTCGGACGGGCATGCATCCCCGCAGTTGCCGCCATGCCGCGGCTTGCTCCGCACTGCTTTAAACTCAGCGGCACCGAATGCGTGCCTTGCTCGACCCACGCCACGCGGTTGCATGTTGCACTGTACAGTGACCAACAATGTTGTCCTCCTTACTCCTACCCCTCATCCTCCCTTTTCTTGCTCTCGGGAGCCCCGTTCTCGATGCACAGGATGAACGACAGCAGCCCTTAATAAAAACGGATATACGACCTCTTGTCTTATGGCACGGTCTAGGTTCGTGATGTTACCTCTGCTCGCCTCCCCACTTCGCACTAAAACCTTTGCAATCATCCGATATTTCCCTCTCGGACTTGATACACCGTCTCAACCACCTGCTCTGCGGTACAGGTGACTCCCATTCTTCACCAGGAATGGTACAGTTTCAGGACCTCATCAAGGAGGTTCACCCTGGAATCTTCACACATTCCATCTACATCGACCCGGACCTCCAGGAGGACAGACGCGCAGGTTTCGTACGTTCTCGTATTCTCCTAATAATAAAGCCTCAGTCGCACTAGGTCTGATTCGCTAACTTGTTTGGTTGCCTTGGTTCAATGTGGATGCAAATAGTATGGGAACGTGGACGAACAGGTAGAGCTAGTAGCCGCCCAACTGGCAAATATCACGGAGCTGAGTGGTGGGTTTGACGCTATTGGGTTCTCACAAGGTGTGTCCAGGCCGTCTGTCTGTTCTGCTTTGAATTGTTACCGCTGTTTCCGTTCTTGCGGGCGCAAGTTGAGAGAGCTTGAGTTGTTGTGTCATCTCAGCTCTCATCGGCCATGCGTCCTCTTTCACTATCCCATTTTCTGCTCTCGTTCGCTTCCTCTCACCCCCGTGGATCTCATACATCCTGCTTTTGACCCACGCCCTATCTATTCTCTCAAAATGCATTCCTGAATGCGCTATAGCTCGGACTTTGACCGCTGACCCCAATGTTTCCCATTCCACGCAGGCGGCCAGTTTCTTCGGGCCTATGTCGAGCGCTACAATGACCCCCCAATCCGCAATCTCATCACATTCGGCTCTCAGCATATGGGCATCTCAGACATTCCAGCATGCCGTCCGTATGATCTTCTGTGTCAACTAGCGAGAGGTGCGGCGAGGGGAGGCGTCTACACGGAGTGGGCGCAGGAACATCTAGTCCAGGTACGGTTTTATTTTGTTTTATCGATGGGAAGGATCAGCACTAAACCGAACTCATGTATTCTACGTTCGCTTGGCTTTTCACGTCCATCTGGAACTGATCTCATCCGTGATACTCACTCTGATCTGCGACTCGTGTGGCGTATACCGTGTGGCCCAATTACCCCTATCCCGTCCTTCCCCTCCCCTCCGCCCCGCCCTATCAAACATCTCACACGCGCTGTTAACCCATGGCCAGGCCCAATACTACCGCGACCCAGACCAACTCCCTCTCTACCTCACCTCCAACCTCTTCCTCACCTCCATTAACAACGAACACGCCGACCCGGCGCTGCGCAACGCGACGTACGCGAAACAGCTCGCGGGGCTCGAGAAGCTCGTGCTTGTGATATTCGCGAGGGATAAGACGGTGGTACCGAAGGAGAGCGCCTGGTTCGGGTCGTATGCGCCTTTGGATGAGGAGGATTCTTCTACGTCTACAGCCTCCTCGCGTGGACGAGTCGCGAATTGGGAGAAAGTCGAAGAGGCTATCTCGCGAGAATTGAACGTGGATGAGGATGAAGATGAGAGGATGAAAGTCATGGTTGAGGATAGGACGATCATACCGATGCGTGCGCAGCCGCTGTATACCGAGGACTGGATCGGCCTGCGGGAGTTGGACGAGAGGGGTGCGGTGGATTTGTTGAGTTGCGATGGGGAGCATATGCAGTTGGCGAAGGAGTGTTGGGAGCCGATCGTTAAGAAGTATGTTGGGTCGGCGATCTGATGCATTGATGTGCGAGGCCAGACATGGTTGGACGAGGCGGGGGTTTGCGTAGCTGCCTGTCTGTGGGTGTTTTTTGTTGTATTCTACATACGTGGTTATTTCTGGGATGTTCCTCATTGTATCATATGTGCACCTAATGGAATTGATCAATCCGCTTTACTGTTCTCCGCAGTAACACACAACTCGAGTGTTCCATCGAAAGGATGGTCAAGAGTGCGATCGTACAAACAAATGACATTGCTCCATGCAGTAGTATTGTGTACATTCAGACTGTGACTTGTGAGATGATGCTATGCATGAGTGCGTTCATGGTCCCTCCCCATCCTTTCCTACACCGACGACTCTCTCCTCAGCGACAAAAGCCACCTAATGGTAGCACAACACCTTATAATGCTACAAAACGTCAAAAAGAGCGCATCAGCGTCCACCCATCGCCATGCACACAAACCCAATCAAAAAACTCACCTTGACTTCCCTCTCTTTCCCATCCCAAACAACAAACGCATCGTTCAACTTCTCGCTACACTTCCCGACCGCAACATGCCCCTTATACTCCGCCTGAGCGATATAAAGCGGCGTGCCGTCGGGCTCGTTACCGCCACTGACGAGACGCGCGCCGGAGCCCTCGAGGGTCCCGCCGGAGACGGAGAGACGACCGGAGGTGGGGACCCATTGGATCGCGCGGGGGTCGCCGAGCAGGATCTCGTATTTAGGAAGCTGGTAGTGGTGTGGTGTGATATAAATAAGTCAGCAAAGGTGGAGGGGGCTAAGCACGGAATGGTGGAAAGAGCTGTACGTACGTCGATCTCTTTGTGGCCGTAGCCTATGACGGCACCGTGCTTGAGGGAGTGGCTGGCCTTGCCGACCTCTATCGACATCGATAGTACACCATGGATCAGCTCATTAGTCCTTCCAGGCTTATGCCCCGATGAAACGCAAGAGAGAAATGATACGCACGGATACTGTTTTCGTGGAAACCCCTAGCAATGTAGATCGGTTTTCCGCTATCGTCTTGGCCACCGATGAGAGCTCCCTGAGGGAAGTTGTGGCCCTCGGTAAGGACCCAGGTGGTTGGGGCTTGAGGACCGTTGCGGCGGTATTCATCGGTGCGCTGTTGGGCGTCGCGGAGCCAACCCTGGAGTGCCCAGGCGAAGGCCTTTTTCTGTGTTGTGGACCGTGATTAGCAATGACCTTGGAGGATAGAGAGCAAGGATAAACGGATGGGCGTACCTCTTCCTCGCTCTTCTCGTGCTCGTGGTAGGCGTAGTATCCTGCTCCGATGGCGGCTATACCCGCAAGGAGACCACCGCCAACCTACACCAACATATCAAGATAAAAAGCAGTCAGCACTGTACTGCACCATACCACCATCACGAAGAGAGCAACACCCAACACCGAAGCGCACCTCGAGCTCGTGCTTCCTCTTGTCGTCCAAGTCATACCACTTCTTTTTCGTCTCCTCATGCGGGATGTCGACTTTCTGATCGGGATGATCGTCATAAGGCTTCTGTTGAGGGAAGCCTTGTTGTTGGTCGCCTCCGTAGGAGTGCTGCGTGGGAGGCTGCTGCGGCTCGCGGGGAGGTTCGTACTCGTGGTGGTTTTCGACGTGGCCGGGGATGCGGCCCCAAAGGGCGGGGGTGGCGGAGGGGGTCCAGTCGCCCTATGATGGTTCAATGCCAAAGATAAACGTGAGTATCACGGATGTGGATGAATGAATGATCGTGGATCATGGGCGTCAAATTTAGAGGTGTTGTGAGAGGGGCATTAGGAGCTGTGGCGTAGACGGGTAATTGAACATACTTGGGACATATGGGGCTGGATAATCTTGTAGTTCGCGCCTATATACAACCACACCGAAGATCAGCATACTGAAGCAAGACGAAAGATGAGTAGCAATATATCGTACCTTCATACTCTACGATAGAGCCGTAGCCGTACTGTGTTCCGGGGCACCATTGGTCGGGCATAGTGGCGTAGAAATGTTATGAGTTTATTCAACAAAGGAGGAAGAAGACGATGGTGGAAGTCAAGGTCAGGTTCTGCCGACCTCAGGTGAAATCCGAGCCAGCCTTATATACGGTCGAGCCGGAAGTCTGCGTGCCAATGCCAGACTGGTGCGGTCGGCAATTGCTCAACATGAGCCCCTGTTCCGATGACGTGACTCGCCGTGCGTTGTACAGCAGGAGAACAGCCTGTCACCATCGTACCTATGAGTGGGGAGACCGGGTGTATTTTGGGATGTAATGATTGTTTCATGATGAGAGGTATCTCGATCAATCGCAGAGCCGAAAGCAGAGATGTGGCGCGATGAGGCTTTTTTGGGCGCACAAAGAAGGATCGTGAAAGAAGAGAACAGGCGTTTTTGGATCTGCGGGTTCATCGAGGAGTTCAAGAAGGATGCCCAGAGGCTAGGCAGCGAAATAGGGGCCACATGAGGCGACACTAGGTAGGGCATGAGGAAGGGTTGTGGCTAAACACAAAACGTTGACGGATGGATGATGGAAATGTGAGTCTCGACTGCCGACAGCTGCCGACCGAGTTCGTTGAGATCTGGGCGATACAGATGGGCGATGCACTATTCGACGAGTGATCAGAAGAGGAACATACGATGGGTTCTGTCGGGCTTCAGGTTCAGGCAGTTTTGCCATCGTATGTACTGGTGCTAGCACTGTTCAGACCCGAGTCCTCTATGCAACCTCTATGGTGAACAAATGTCAATGACATTCAGGCAGGTGCCCGCCTTGCAGGTATGTGTAACGTGTCAATCGCAGAGAGGATATCCAGTTCGAGTGCACAAGATGGCAGTGTGCTTTGGCGATCATTGACATCGTTGTCGACGTTGAGCCGGAAGGTGAAGTGTGGCGATGTCCAAGCGATGCCGCATGGGCCGCCGGGTGCCGCCGGGTGCCGAGAATGCCGGCCTTACAATTGCGAGAATTGAATATTGAGGAACTTCAAAGGAGCAGCCCCAATGAATCTGAGTCGTTGTCTCTATACACATAAGACCCCAACGGTATGTAGCACGACATGACGAAGGTTTCGATTTCTTCATGCCATCGTCTTTCTCGTTCCGGGCGCCCCCAACTTGAAGCTCAAAATAAAACAGCTCTTCCCGACACTTCCTGGCACACCTAGTATCTTCACTCGCGTTGAACATCCATCGTCGGAGAGAAGCCGCAATTGACAACCTGCGAGTACTCTATAAAATTGCTTCAAAGGCTCTCATCGTTCGCTTGAGCACTGGGAAACTGACCTGGACACAGACATTGACGGGGGCGCTCACACCGCGCGTCTATAAATGGACCCATCGGCCATATATCGTTCACCCGACGGTGGTAGGCACAGTGAACCCATCCCCAATGAATCAGAAGTGTGCAATCACCGACAGCTCAGAACGCATCTATAACAAGGACCGGTAGTTGGCCATGTCGCTCACCTTCATCTTCGCGACTTCCTCTCAGCTTACTCCTAGCCATCGTTGTTTCGACAGTAATCATGGCCCCTCTCCAATGGGCCTATGTCTCGCTTTCACTCGTTATATTTACTTTTTCTGCTCGCGGGATACTTCGCCTCATCAAATACCTCCTGAAGCGGTCATCGTCCGCTCTGAGAGACCTTCGTGGTCCGAAATCGACCAGTTTTCTCTTTGGCAATCATCGACTGGTACAAGTCTGTGGTTTGGAGGCCGCTGAACAATGGGAGAAGTGGGAGGACGAGTATGGGTCGTTGGTGCAGCTGAAGTACTTCCTCAACGTCAGTAAAATTGCATTTTTCACCTTATTATCCGTCGTGTGGAAAGCTGATTGGTTACGGCGAAAATAGACGAACCGTGTGGCTGTATTGGACTTGCGTGCTGTCTCACATATCTTCTCCAACAACTTCGTGTATGAGAAGCCTCCGGTGGTACGTAGCATCTTGAGCAGTTTTATGGGACCTGGTGAGTTCCTGTGTTCTAGTGGAATTTGAACCATATTCTGAATGATGGACGCTCTAGGGCTTTTATTTGTGGAAGGTGGGTAGTTGCGTTTTGTTCGGGCCCGAAGTATCAGCGTTGACGGCGTAGCGTGTGGTATTAGGAGAACAGCACAAACAACAGGTAACTCACCTCGTGTCTTTCATCCTGCACACAAACCTCATACTCCCCTGTGTATGGCATTCTAGCGTCGTATCATGGTCAGTTTGGTTCTACTTTCGCTTGAAGGGTCGTTGGCTCATGAATCTCCGCCAGAATCCCGCCTTTGGATCCACCCAAATTCATCAATTTGTCAACCTGTTTCTGTACAAATCTCAACAGGTGCGCACTTCTCTCCCTACCCTCTTTATTTTGCATCTGACCAGGCACCCTCCTTCAGCTCCGTGATGCTCTCCTCTCTGAAACATCTGCATCTTCATCGGGCCACACCAAAATTGACATCGTTCCCTGGCTCAACAAACTTACTCTAGACATCATCGGCCTTGCTGGTATGTTTATATATGCCTCCAAGCCCCGCCTACTTGTACTTTCGGGCCTAATGTGCATGCAGGGTTCGACTATGCTTTTGACTCCCTCAATCCCAAAGATGGCGGTATAAATGAGCTGCACCACTCAGTGCGAATGATGCTTGCACCACCTCCCTCAGGATTTGCCCGCCTCATGACGGTCGGACGATACTACATCCCTGCTCTTCGTCTCATTGTGCGTTTCACTACTTCCATGCATCTTTTCTGGTTGAAATGTCATCTAGCTAGTCTCCCGCAGCCCACGAAACGTGACCGAATTGTCGCTGCAGCTCAAAATACTATGAACCGGATTGGAACAAAACTTATCGCTGATAGTAAGGCTTCGGTCCTCGCGTCAGGTCAGGAAAAGGAAGACGATGGGTCGCATGCAATGTTCAAAAAGGACTTGTTGAGTTTGTTAGTGAGGAACAATATGGAGCCGGAGTTGCCGGGTCATGTGCGAATGGACGACACGGAGGTCCTTGCTCGTAAGTCTACCCCTTTCTAACTCAAAGTGTTGGAAAGCGAGAAGACCGATTGGGGACCTATTACTTTGCAGAGATTACCACGATGATTATTGCCGGGCATGATACAACAAGGTACGCTCCTCTGAATAAAGCTTGTTATATCTGCATTACCCACACGGTTTTGTGCGTGTGTAGTACCGGTGTCACCTGGGCTCTTCTTGGACTCTCCTCCAACCTTGCCTCCCAAGCCAGACTACGTTCCGAACTGTTCAGCGTTCAAACTCCCTCGCCATCCATGGAAGAACTGAACTCGTTACCCTACCTCGACGCCGTCGTACGCGAAACGCTGCGGTATTATTCACCGGTGCCGCATACGGTGCGAGTGGCGAATCGCGACGATGTCATTCCGCTATCCGAGCCCTGGGTGGATAAGCATGGTGTAGTACGGAAGGAGTTGAGGTACGACTATCATTCTAGTCTTAGAGAGAAGAATGGTGCGCTGATGTCTCTTGCTCTTCGTCTTGGACAGGATGATAAAGGGCGATACAATCGTCATTCCGTTCATCGCGATTCACTTTTCGAAGAAGATATGGGGTCCGGACGCTCACGAATTCAAGTAAATATTGACTTCTCTCTCCTCGTTCTGTGTCCACTGAACTGACCATCTGGGGCTTAACATAGACCGGAGCGCTGGTCAAATCTTCCTCCTGAAGTCCAGTCCATACCCGGCGTTTGGGGCAACAGCCTCGCATTCTCCGCCGGCCCCCGCGCTTGCATCGGTTTCCGTTTCTCCGTCATGGAGTACGTTATCCTTTTCCCCTCCCCCTCCCCCTCTCCCTCTCCTTATTTTGATCATTGTCCGTATCTAATTCATGGACCGCTGCCTACCTGTGATTTATAGAATGAAGGCGATCCTCTTCACCCTCCTCCGCTCTTTCCGCTTCGGACTCGCAGTTCCACTGCACGAGATCAAGCCTCTGACGAAGATCGTCCAGAAGCCGTATCTGACGAGCGATCTGAAGGCAGGGACGCAGTTGCCTTTGAATATTACACCACTTGAGGCGGATGGGGAGTTCTCAGAGTCGTGATTGTTGATATGAGCGTTGGTGAGGATACTGGTCATCCTGCTTCCCCAGTTCATCAAGTCTGACCCGCGTTGTTGATAGCCATTTCCGATCTGCTTTCGATGTTCTCTCTGTAGCACGTATCATACATGTTTGTATTTCGGGTTTCTTTGTTTCGCACCTAATTTATGGCTATACACTATTTGTTTGTCTACAAAACCCTCATGTTCGGCTTCCGTTGCTCTACAGCGCCTGGTCCTGAAGTAGTCCTACCAATCGTCCAGGTCATGCCTCGGACACAAGAGTGCCCAGTCACTATTTGTGGCGACTTGCGTTAATGAGAACGACCTGAAGACAGCGACCGTAATAGAGGACATGGTTCCTGGCGTCTGGTCCTCGTTGTTGGAGATGATGACAACTTCGCAAGATCGCAGTATTAGATACACGAGGCAAAGGTCCAGCGAGAGAATGCGAGGTAAAGATGCAGGCACCTTGTTCGTTCGTGGGCCGGACCTCAAAGCGAAGGCATGCACCCCATGTATAAGTATTATAGAGTATTAGAACCGATGTGTCAAAGTTGGGTAATGAACCGAGCGAGTTGTCCGAAACCAGAGGTGCATTGAGGACTTGTACAGATGAAGGTGGCTGTGATACGGCTGGGGGCGAAACAGATAGACCCCCCACAGGCTGTGCCTTTGCTAACTTCGGAGTGCCCACATACAGTTGTACCAGTGCGTGACTCGAGGGCGCAGGGCGAGCAAGACTCGAGGGTGAGCATATGGGTGTCCAGAGCAGGCTGCATCGATTCGCGAAGAGGTTGAGCGGAAGCAGTCCGCTCGCGAGGGATCTCGAGGGCCACACTTTTGGCACATCGTCGACTCCGCCGCCACAATCAATATTGTCATCACAGCATACCTTGTTTGTACCCAACCCACCACATACACATTTCAGGTTCTCTTCTTCTGACCTCCCCTTTCCAGCTTTTCGATGACACAAACGACAATGCTTCAGTACGAAGCCCCGTGTACGTGTCGTTTTCTCTTCTGTTTGTTTACATATCGAGCTAATCGTCCAGTTGCTTCGCGTGGCGGTATTCACGGTCGCGTTCATCCACACGTTCGACTTATATAGGGCCTGTATATTCCCTTGACTGGTGCAAAACGCCCTCACAATCCCGAACAGGTGCCAGGTCAGCCTTCCGTCTCGGAATCGCGTCCTTCACCGAAGATTACCGCAATCGAATCGCCGTCGTCGGCCTCCAAGACGAACGCGTCCTGGTAGAAGACGATTACACCGACTATCCAGACTTCGCGACGCTCGTCGAAGCGAGCCATGGGTATCCTGCGACAAGTCTGCAGTGGATGCCGAGCAGCGGGAGCTCGTTCCAGTGGACGCAGAAGCCTTTGGGGACGGAGCTGCTGGCGACGACGGGAGATTCGTTGAGGGTTTGGGAGTATACGGATGATGCGCCGTTGCAGACGTCGAATTTCGTGGGTAGACAGCCTTCGGGTGGACATCGGCTGGTCTTGAGGGCTTCACTATCTGGCGTGCGTCTTGTTCTATTCTCTTTCTCTTTTCTTGCAAGGACAATCGCTTAATATGTGCTGCGCGCCACCATAGTCAAAAGTACAGCAGAACCAACACTCCGGGGCGCCACTGACCAACTTCTCATGGAACGAGAAAGTCCCAAGCTTGATCGTCACATCTTCAATAGACACCACCTGCACCGTCTGGAACATCGACACCTCCACAGCCCTAACCCAGCTCATCGCACACGACCGCGAAGTCTACGACGTCGCCTGGCTCCCAAATTCCACCGACATCTTCGTCTCCGTCGGCGCGGATGGCTCCCTGCGCGCGTTCGATCTCCGTTCCCTCGAACACTCCACCATCCTCTACGAAACCCCTGCACCGAAGAACCCTCCGATGCCGACGGCGCCTAGTGCGGGCTCGAGACCACCGACGAGCCCGTTGCTGAGGATCGCGTTCAATCCCGCTGATAATAATTATATGTCGACGTTCTCGATGGATGGGTCGGACGTGCAGATACTGGATATGAGGAGTCCGGGGTCGCCGGTGATGGAGCTGAGGGCGCATAGGGCGCCTATAAATTCGTTTGGGTGGAGTTCAACGGATAGTCCACTATTGGCCACTGCCGGTACGTCGCGCTCCATTGTCATTGTTGTCACCGCCACATAACCCATTGTACTGACTGCATCAAACGCGACCCATTCACCCATTCATGTCCCATAGCCGACGACTGTCAAGTCCTCCTCTGGGACCTCGCCCCCCACTCCCAAGCACCCGCCGGCTCACCACAGAACGCCTCCTCACGGCTAAGCTCACCACGACCCGTCGACGGCAAGAAACGCGTCATCTCAGATCCTGTCATGGCGTACTCTGCGCCCTCGGAGATCACGAACCTCGCGTGGTCACCACATATCCCGTCGATGACGATGAACTCTGGTCTTTCGACGTCCGCAGGGGAGTGGTTGGCTATTGTGATGGGGAAGTCGATCAAGGCGCTGAAGATTTGAGGACGGCCTTCTTGAGAGCGTGTTTGGCACTTGGGCGTGGGATGGGGTGGTCGGCTTCGCGAGGGTTGGAATGCAGAGACATTGAGGAGGCGGCGACTTGGGCTCGAGTGAAGTGGGGTGAGATGTCCTGCTGTTGGGAGATAAGGCCGACAAATAGGAGGTTGGGCTGGCACTGCGCTTCAGAGCATAAAAAGCCTAAGCTCGATGCCTCGTACTTGGAGATATCCCTATATTCTTCTTGGCAGGGCGTTCTGCGGTCGCGTTCCAACATCCAATGTGCGATTGTCGAGGGAGCTGGACGGCGGGTGGATGGGCGGATTGTGTGGATGAAGAGGTCTATTTCGGACGTTGCTTGCTCGACGTGTGTAGCTATCATATTTTTTCCCATTTCTCTCACCCCTCTGCATCCTGTCTCTTGCTGTGATTGATTGTTATAGGTTGTATACTATTGGGCGAATCATCTTACAATGATCATCGTTGATTCCTGCAGGTCGTTGCCTCTGTGATAGGCTTTGGTGGCGAGCTCGGGTTTGGGTTCGTATACCGTCCCACCGTAGACGTTGACATTGCTCCTATCCTGTGATTTTGCTCTGGTCTTGGTCTCAAGATTTTAAGCGCAAGCTTGGTCTGGCGGGAGCAGTCTAGGCTGCGCGTACGTTTTCAATTGAGATAAGTCAGGACTTGTCCTGTACTTATGTGGAAAGGGCCAGTAACGCCACATCTGCATCAAGAGGACATCGAACCTGGAAACTCTGCTGCTCAAACGCGCCTGCCAAGGAGGGTGCACATGGCCTTATCCGCCCAGTGGCCTTTATCTTTGGTTGTGGGTTGTGTACTTCAGGAACGAGGAACTTTGGGCGGTGTCTTTGTTGCGTCGGTTGTGGTCTGTGTACCTCTCGTTCAAACAGAAGTAAGAAATAATATTGTGCTTTTGAATCCAAGATGAGGGCTTTTCGTTACTAAATAACGGATGTAAATCATGGTACAGGGTCGCACGACCCGGAGGACAAGTGCGTCGATGATCCGGAACGTGGTGTGGCCCAATATGATATGCGTTGCAGATCCCGTGTAGAGATCGAGGATAGTTCGATTGCGAATTCAAAGCGTAAAAGATTCAGATACTCTCGACTTGCTCTCGACCAACGCCTACGTTGAATTTTGTAAGTCCATCCGTAGCGTAAAAATGTCATAGAATGGGGAAGGCGCTCTCTTGTGCTGTGCAGCACTGCTGCTGACGGTGTCTAATAGGCTCGTGCAATGAAATGATCAGGTGGGGAAGCATGGCACGGTAGAGATAAGAAGGTGGATGGATGGGGGTGGATGCTCCAAGTTGCCCGTAAGGCACTGCGCGGTCAGACGCGAGATATCAGACTCGGCAAACCACTCTTCCGATCGAGCAGACGCCATTTTTTTTTGGGTATATAGTTTGCTTATCCTCCGTCGATGTCCGCCCCGGCACCCTTCACGCTCCTTGAGCTGAGCCTCCGGCACCCTCGACTCTCTCGCCCCCTTCCTCGTCGTCTTCTTCGTCGTCGCAGACAGCCATGAGCACCGCCGTCGAACAGTCCAGGGCCGACTCGCGCCACTCACACGAGCACCTCGGAAGCACCAGCCCGCCGGCGCCCGTTATGGCAGAGGAGACCCAGCCGACGCTCGAAAAAAAGCGTTCGCGTTCGACAGACTCGTTCCCAGAAGACAAGGAGCGTGGCCCGGTAGAAACCCATACCGTTCCGGAGAGCGAGAGGGATATTGTGGCCGAGGAAGAACAAGAACCGTCTTGGTATGCGCGCCATAAAGTGCTCATCAACCGCGTCTCGCTTTTCGCTCTCGCAGCCGTTATTTTGGGCTGGTGGGTCACCTCGATTATTCTTCCTGCTACTCGCCACCGGTGGATCGTCCAGACACTCTGGGCATGGGTCTTCATTTCCATCATCGCATTCCGTTTTATCCCAAATTCCGTCGTCACTCGTCCGGTGGAAGCAGTATGGCTTCCTCTCGTCCAGCGACCCTGGTTCGCCTTGCCTCGGACCGTTAGGTATACGCTCGGCTGGATCGCTTTGTTCGCAACTATCTTCGGTTCAGCCTTCGGTTTCCCTCTGACCAGTGTACGCGTACTTTTCTGTCCGTCGTACCTGTGTCGAGAACGTTGAGCTCTAGCTTTCACCTTTCACAACAGGGCACGACCTACGCCGACCGCGGTATCTCTGTTGTCGGCCTCTTCATCTTCCAGTCATGCTTCTTCCTGTCTTCGAAGCATCGCTCACATATTCAATGGTGCGTGGTTTTTTTGCACTTCATGTCACTCGTGAACATTGATACTGAAGATGATCGGCTTTCCATGTGCAGGAGTACGGTCATGGTCGGATTGTTCATCCAGCAGGCGATCGCTATGTTCGTCCTGAAGTCCGGCGCGGGCTTCTCAATCTTCAAATGGATCGCCTTGTTGGCATCCGATTTCCTGGAGCAGTCCAAGGCCGGAGCATCTTTCTTCTTCTCCGACGCTATCGTCGCTGAGAGCTACTTCTTCGTCAATACGGTACGTCTTGATGTTCACTTCTGCCGTGAACTGCCTTTAAACTGTTGGTCTTGCTGTATTAGCTCTCGGCCATCATCTTTTTCATTGCCTTCGTGCAGATGATGTACTATGTGAGCAACTAATTTTGTCCCCGGCGTCATCCGTATTATATACTGATTCCTCTCTAGCTTGGAGTGATGCAATGGATCATCAAGAACTTGTAAGTGCTATGGCCTCTTCGTTCTTACTTGAAGCAAGCTCAAGCATATTCCAATTATAGCGCTTGGCTCTTTTTCAAGGCGATGAACGTCTCTGGTGCCGAAGCTGTCGTAGCCGCAGCCTCGCCCTTCATCGGCCAGGGTGAATCTGCATGTCTCGTCAAGCCATTCGTCGACTACATGACACCCTCCGAATTCCATCTCGTCATGACCTCCGGTTTCTCCACCATCGCCGGCTCCGTCTTCATCGCCTACATCAACCTCGGCGTCTCCCCCACTTCACTCATCACCTCCTCCGTCATGTCCATCCCGGCATCCATTGCCATTAGTAAGTTGAGGTATCCGGAGTTGGACGAGCCGTTGACTAGGGGAAGAGTGGTGGTGGACAGAGGTGTGGAGAAGAACCCGCCTGCGAACATGCTGCACGCGTTCTCGCAAGGTGCACTTTTCGGTTTGATCGTTGCCGGCCAGATCTTGTGCGTTCAACCTTCTTATACTACTACCTGTCCAATTCTGACACGAAAACACGGAACAGGTGTAACGTCCTGACCATCCTCTCCCTCATCGCCACTATCAACGGCCTTCTCACCTGGGTTGGCCGCGGCTTCGGCTTCCACGCTCTAACCCTCCAACTCATCCTCCGCTACATCTTCTACCCCGTCACCTTCTTCATCGGCGTCCCGCGACACGAGATCCTACGCGTCGCCGAGCTCCTCGCCACGAAACTCATCCAGAACGAGTTCGTGGCCTACCTCGACCTGCAGACCATCATGGCCTCGGACAACCCGCTCTCGGACCGCGGACATACGATCGCTTCGTATGCGCTTTGTGGGTTCGCGAATATCTCGTCGTTGGGGATTCAGATTGGAGTGTTGTCGGCGTTGGCGCCGTCCAGGGGGAAGATCATCGCGAAGTTGGGGATGAGCGCGATGATTTGTGGGTTTATTTCGACGTTGCAGACGGCTGGGATTGCGTGAGTTTTCTCTCTTTTTCTTTTTCTCTCCCCCCTCCTTCCCTCGCGAGTTTCTGTTGATTGATGGGATGCGGTCGCTGACGATATTGGCTTACAGGGGTATGTTGGTCTAAGCGCGATGGATGGGTACGATTATTTAATGCTTGTGAATGTGATGGTATCGACGAACGAAATGGTGGTAATGTGAAGCGGCTTGCTTGGGGCTCTGTAGATCTTGGGATGTACGTGTATGGTATGCCAGTGGTACGGAGGGGTACATTATACATAATACATGCGGTGCTCGTTTCTCTCCTCTTTGATTGGTCTGTGAGCGCGATTAGTCTTGCTCCGTGTTAAGTGTTTATGGATGGTTGGGTGGATGGACCCAAAACAATCACTGACACTACAGAGGAGAGTGAGGTTGAGTGAGGTGCCACATCGAGACCAACGAGACGCCACATCACGATCAATTTCTCCGCTCATCCGCGGCCCGGCGAATCCCGGACCGCTTCGAGCGATCCGTGTCTGAATCCGCGTAGCCTACTTTCGCAGTTTCTTTCATGTCGTCCGCAAAGGCAGCATACTTGTTATCCCTCAAGAGACCTGTGTTGTCCCTCGACCTTGCATCTCAGTCGAGTGTTATTGCGGCGGCTACACCCCATTCGAAGCTCTTCACCGTGACATCATTTGAGTCTTGAAGCTTGAAGCTTGAAGACTCAATGCCACTGAACCCTCCAAGTTCGCGGACTGGCACGATGCCTCGTTCTATAGTTACTAGTCTCGGACTCGACTCGGAGTTGGACTCCTCTCGTCACCATCAGGTCTCAATCAGGGGTCCTTCGTCAACGTTATATTTGGACAATATATTCGAACGGCGGCATTCAACTCCACTTAGCGCATCTAGTTGCTGAACCACTAAATAGCGACTTAGCCTCGATCTGGCAGCGTGCCAAAGATCGCCACAGGGCAAGCAACTTTATACTTCATTCAACCTTTACTGAATGATTGTTCCTCGAAACCCGGACTTGTTGCTGGCTCTACAGCGCAATACCCAGCAGCTTTCCATCCGATGCCCAAACATGATACTGACATCAGTCCATGATCGATGCCCATTGGGATGGCAGTTCTACCGCTCCTTCAGCCTCCGCTTCTTTCGCACTCGCAAGAACTGACCATCACCTCTTCATTCTGTCCCATCTTCCATCTTTCGACCGTCTATCGGTCCGTATCTGAGCCATTTAACTCCCCCTACCGTCCATTTTTCTAATGATCTGACGAATCCGAGTCCCACCTCCTATTCCTGTTATCTGTCTCACTGAACTCAACCCGTTCTTTCTTCAGTTCTATCATCTCACGTCTGCAGCCCTCTGAAGGGCACATATGCTCCTATTACACCATTATATAAATCGTCCTCGCTAGCGGCATCACAAAGGTACGAAAGGATCGTACGCGCTTGTAGTATGAAACGCTTCTCCGCCCTATCCGACACGTTCGCAACTTATTCTGAGGTGAGTGGTACAAGCATTGTGTTGACTCGGTGCGCCCAGTAGCATTCATTCTATTTTTAGGGCCCAAAGACTCACAACACGACGCGTTTGTTTCGGGTCCTTTTGAGTCCCCCCTTTCGCAGAACTTCCCGCCGTTGTTGAGGCCACCGAGGACCACCGTCCGGATTTTGACCTTCGACTGTCTAACTTGGTTGATTCACCTTCCTTTCTATTTTCTCTAGGCATCCTCGAAGTTCGCACAGTCATGGTGCGTTCTGTACTCCGTCGTCTGCTACGATTCCGGCTCAATCGGAAAATCGCTTCCATAGACCCTATCCACGATTCGCGCAAGGGGGTTCTTATTACTCACTATAGTCGAGGCTGTGGGTGTACTGACCCGTATAGGTATATCGAGTGAGCTGTTATCTCTATTGCCTCTGATAGACTGCGATTGGCTCGGCTCGATTTACGGAGAGGTTGAGATGTTGGACCGCTCGTTCGTTACCGTAAAATCATCCAAGGGCATCGATGATTCCTATTTCTTTAGCTTGCCATCAGGTCATGAGGGGTCGTTCGGCTTTCCGACTCTACTTCGTCCTGGATGTTTAGCGATATTTCTGCGAGATGCTGGAACATACCGTGCATTTCTCGTTGATTCTAACTGCCACCTTTTCTGGAAGTGGCTTGTCCTCGACTTTTTGTAAGAACTCGATCTGGGATTCTACACTCCAATTTCCTCACTACTACTTCCCCGGCGCCAAATCCGATCACCAAACGGCTTTAGATCTCGCGTCTTACCTAGGCCATGGAGCAATCAGGTTAGGGTTTTTCCCGAACTAGCTTTCTATATCCTCTTTTTTAACGTTTGGTTTTTGGTTCGAAGACACATCTTCGCGGGTTGTGTACGTTTCAGGCTGTCGAGGCACATGCAGAGTTCTCATTCTACTAGGGCTTATATGTTAGTAAAAACTTGGAACTTTTTGCGAAAGCTCATTGGTGGATCGGACAGATCTTCCGCCAACGAGTTCCAAGTAAACTTGAAACATATAAGGTCTACTGGATGTTGATACGCAAAGGAGCCGAAGCAGACTTCTCGCGTGTGAATCAGCGACCTGTGCCGGAGATCCATCTGATCCATTAGTCGTTGCAATCAATTCCCATGAATGATGACGAGAAGGCCTTGCTACCATTCACGCAGAGGCGCTTCACGATCTATCCGTAATTGGTCTCAGGTATAAGGGGCGAGTCTGATACAGGAACTCCAGCCCCTTCTGAATTGCACTCTTTCCTCATGTCGACGTCCACCACGAGCTTGTCCCAAATAATCAGCCAGGACAAGTTGTGGTAAGTGCTTCGTTTCCTCGTCTTGAGATTGGAATCAACGACGTGACTGCATGCAGGATAATCTCGATATATACTCAGCTTTCTGCAACAAGTTCGTCGACTCTCTCTCGAAGCTCTTGCCCAAACCTTGCTGATCTTCGTTTCATATAGCGTTATGGCTTGTCGACTTTGTCCAGACCCTGCCCATGGAGATCGAAGCTGTTTGGTCAAGTAAACTAACGGGGACAGCCATGATGTTTCTAGTGAACCGTTATGTGTTTGGTATATTCAACATCATCGTTTTGGTCTCACTGAATCCCATTTCGGCATCTGACAAGACGTGAGTGCTACGCTATTTTTGAAGGAAGATGCAAATATTGACCTTCAGTTCTCCTCAGTTGCAACACACTCAATATAATCACCTTGGTCATGATCATCATGACGGTTCTTACGACGAATTGTCGGTCGGTTCCATTCACCTACGAGATCGTGTCTGACGTTCCAGTTTAGTGCTGTTCGCTCTTAGGGTCTACGCTATCTCTGGTCGAAACAGAGTAATTCTATCTATAGCATTGACGATCCTTCTTGGAAGATTTGCAATGGACTTATGGGTATGTTCCACTTCATAACTGAATATTGGTTACAACGAAGTCCTCATCAAGTTGATGACAATAATTACAGCAAGCTACTCCTAGTCTCGATGCTGGTGTATCCACCGCAGGAACACCATTCCAAGCGTTTTCCATGTGCACACAATACGCTTCAAATCACACCGGGTATCAACAGTGCGTTTGGAATACGCGTCTAACCAATGGTCTTGGGCTCACTAACATTTTGCGTTGACAAAGATGTATGTCTCTCTCCTGTATGAAGTAAGTCTACAATCTGAATAATGACTGAATAGCTTCCATCGTCGCTGCTGTGCTGGCTCTGGCGTTCGATACATTTGTTTTCGGAGTGACCCTTTACAAGATCTATGGGCATGCCATGCAGATGCGCAAACAAGGGAGAAAAGGGCTCACCGGAGTTCTTTTAAGAGATGGTGAGTGGCGAATGCAGCTCGTGTTGGAACGATCCTTATTGGTGTCATCATAGGGACCCTGTATTTTCTGTAAGTAGTCAGTTCCTGAACTCGATTGGCCATCATTCACTTATTATTGTCCAGTTCGGTATCCATCGTCGCCGCTGGAAACCTTACTCTCGAATTGGTATGTACAGAGAATTTCTTCGTCTAGATCGCAACTAAGATCGGGCTACTCAGGTCTCCACCTCTTCAGTGAGCTACACTTTCCCAATAATATCTTCAATTTGGGCCATGACACCCGGTTCCGTGTGGTTGTAGGCTGCATCAAACCCCTTCTTCCTAGTTACGACTGTCTTATCACCCTACTTCGCCGTGTAAGTCAAGCACTTCCCACACCATACTAGCGGGCTACTAATTGCACTCCTTCCAGACTTCCGAACCTCCTCGTCAACCGCCTGTATCTCAATCTCCAGACTATGGATCTCGCAGGCTCCACGATTTCTGAGCAGAGTGTCACCTTGGACTCAGACTTCACTTTCACTCAAAATCGTTTCCTCGGCAGTATTGGGGCGCCTATTGATCTCAGCTGGTGGAGTTCACATTTTGAGAAGGACGAAGAAGCGACGGACTATGAGATTGCAAGAGAAGAGGATGACCCTACAGAGGCCCCGGGCGACAGGACCTCCACACTGGTACCGGTGGTGAGCGGCCTGGCTCTTTTATTTTTCTTCGTGACGATACCGATACTCATACCGATAACAAGGTTTACACTGGGGAAGGTCATGGAGACATAGAGATGGTACCCATCGCGGGCCCGTCGAACTCTGGCACTCATCGAGGCATAGCTTGATGCCTGTCGCAATTGTTAGTGTTGTTGATCATAAAGTGTCTAAGTATGCTCGCTGATGTGATATAATCTTTGAGCTCATAGGAAAGGCCTAGAGTGCCATTGTCAAGTCAGAGTTTACGTTACAGAACGCACAAACCATCTTTCAACCCGATACCCCGACCATGCCCAAGCCTCACCTGCAAAATCCGCCTTATAGCCTGAGGTTGGCCTCCTCTCGCTGCGCTTCACCCTCTCTTTCTCTCTCTCTCTCCTGGACGGCTCAGATTTTGCGCTCCCATAATTTCTTTATGCAGCATCTCGTCGAATCTTCCACGCATTTTGTTTTACTATATCCTCCTCCATAATTCTCCTTTGAGACACTACTCCTTGTGGTTCTCGTAGTCGACAATTATCGTCACTCTGCATTACGTTTACTTTACCATTATAATACGGTGGGCTAGTGTTTATAATTGTATATAGGAATAACGAGCAATACCACACTTGGGCCGGCCGTCGCTAGTCATGGTCTGGGCCACAATCATTGTTCGTTCCCGAAGGGAATGTTCCCACGGAGTTCAACGAATTCTCATAGCAGGCAACCCGATCTGCGGATTCTGGCTCAAACGAGCATCGGCAATGGCACTCATGCATGGGCATACACCTCGTTTCCATTTTCCCACTTACCTCTCACTTTCGCTTACAACCGTTTCCGAGCAGGTTGTACTGCAACGGTGCAACTGCTAGGGTGTTTCGCAGTTTGGGTCGTACGACAACGGTCCGGCACCTGAACATGGCTCCGCTCCTTCACCACCAGCCATTCAAGACGATCTACCTCGTCGGATTTCTCGGTTACCTCCTCTTCGTCAAACTTCCGTATTGGACTGTTAAATACTGCGTTCCTTCGCATCGACCACGGCCTGCTTGGACGGTCAAACGATGTATACAGATCGCTTTGTTACGCAACTTGACCACCATACCGGCCAAAGTGGGCCTGAGTCTTGGGTGCGACCTTACGCTGGAGGTTCCCAATTCGTCCCTCAAGAATAACGCGCGGTTCGCTTGGGTCGAAGGGTTGGGTGATGACCTGGTTGTGGGACCTATCAAGGACGCTGCGCTGCAGACGGGAGTAAGGCCTGCTACGAGGTTGCCCGGATATTGGCAGTTGAAGGCAGGAACGGTATGGCCGGGAGATGTTGCTCTGCCAGGAGAGAAGACGGTGCTTCATTTGCATGGAGGGTGCGTCTGCTTTATATTGTTCTGAAACTGACTGCCTCTGAATCGGAATGCACAGAGCGTTCGCAATTGGCTCAGCTCATCCGTCCGACACCACTGCCAGCCTTCCCAGAGGGCTTCTGAAGCATTCCGAGGAACTGTTGCGAGTCTTTGCGGCTGACTATCGACTCTGTGCGCACAACGAACCAATGAACCCATTTCCAACTGCCGTCCTGGACTCTCTCGCTGGCTACCGTTACCTTCTTCGCATGGGGTTTCTTCCCCAGAACATTACCATTGCCGGTGAGTAGTTTCCAAATCTCTCTCAAATTGTCAACCCCTCTTAATTCGAGGACGTGACATAGGTGATTCTGCCGGCGGAAACCTAACGCTGGCGTGCGTGCGATACTGCGTTGAGAGCCGTCTACCTGAATTCCCCCCTCCCGGACGTATGCTTGTCTCTAGTCCCTGCGGAGACATTTCCATGTCTCGCGATGGACCCGATTCTTCCCTTTACATTAACCGCGACACAGACATTTTTATATCCGTCCCCGGTGAAAAATTCGGTGTACACATGCGCGATTTACTTCTCGGCCCTCTCCCGGATTCCGAGGCCGAATCCAACCCATACATGTCACCGCTCTCGCCACACATTATCGACGCACCCGGAGCGTATAGAGGATACCCTAATACTTATGTGGTCGCGGGAGGTGCTGAACGTCTTTATGATGATGCAGAGGCTTTGGTGCAGAAGTTGGAGGCGGACGGAGTGGAGGTGATTTCTGACATCCCGAAGGACGCGATCCACGATTTTATAATCATGACATGGCATGAGCCTGAACGGACGGACGTGCTGAAACGTGTCGCTGCGTGGATTGATAGGTCGCCTGTATAGGAGTCGCTCCTCACCATATGGTACGTATCCGGTTGTTCATCTTGTAAAACTGTGGTAGACTCACTCGTGTTACAATCTTCAGGAATCTACAAGATCATCTGCACTGGGCGGTAGCTCATACATTATTGACTTTAATTCTGGATTATTACAACGCTTCATTGACACTCGTCAGTGCGACACCTTTTGGTACCACTCATCTCTCGAGGGTGCGCATAAACGAGTTGTTCAGTCAAAGTTCCCCTGGTATGCGACGTGGCTGTTTTCCACGTCGATGACGACGGCCGAAAAGCCGTGGTTCCGTCCTCATCAGTTGTAACGTTTAGGCCTCCCAGAAAGGTATTATTTGATGGCATCGTCTGCAAAACAAGTCACAAGGAGAAAAGAATGACGAAGGAAGACTCGGAGGCCGTACAGTTGAGAGTGGTGACGCCACACCAAACGCCACATAGCGTTCCATTTCGGCCAATCCCGGAGGCGGACAAACGACGGTGCGTTTTTATTTACTTTCCTCGTCACCTTAGCCCTTGGCCACCTCTGCATCCATGCTTGCTGTATTTTACGGCACCACGCTTTCGTCAGACTCATCTCATATGTTTGAAACCTATAAGCCTCACAGAAGCTCTTCTCACACCGCTCACGATGGTCAACATTCGCCGAATCCCTTCTTGCTCCCTCCTCGTGAGGCTAGTGTAGCTAATTCAGGCCAGGCGTCATATTTACTTCTCGAAAACAAGCATCGCCAGTGCTTCTGCATCTACTCTCATCATTGTTGTAGTTCATGTCGTCCGAAGAGGACTTTTCATGGTGTTTATCAGCCCCGCGCGTATACATCATACAACCTCAGCTGTGGCGCTCCCATTTTCTTCGTAACTCTATGCTGAAGCACCATCATCGACCACCTTGCTTCCTTCGTTGAGGCGCTGTCAGCATCAAGTTTCATTGTCGTCGAACCACCGGGACAACGAGACCTGAAACAGTAGTCTGTCTTCGACGGTTTCGAAGTGTCTGTCCAAATGCCACGTCTTGTTCTTGCAGTACTTGGCCCTGACTGTGAAGTGTCAGCTCCTCTCTCGGTGGATCTGATAGCCTTGGCTCTTGTCGTTTAGTATGCGACGCTGCAGTAATACCAGGACCGTTCCATGGCCTAAATGTGCGGGTTGACCTGCAGAAGCTCGCTAGCCATTATAGTGGCCATGTGCACAGTATACTAAATATACAGTCTCATTTGGCTACCTGTTCACCAAGTACTGATATATCAGTACCAGACCCTCTGACAATAAAGTCACCTTTATCCAAGCATCGAGGTCTTCGTATTATGCGCTCAAACTCGTATTCTCGTGGACTCTGAAACGTTCTCTTCCAGGATGTATGTGTTCTATTGATGATTCATCCACCACCGAAAATCATAGCGCCAGCCTACTAACACAATGTGTGGATCACCACGGGCGACTAGCCAAATTTGCAGTCAGGAAGCGGCATTTCTCGCCGCAGACCCCCCTATAAAACCTCAAGAGCTGGGAGGTCGTCAAGACAGGCGAGCTCATCATCTCTTCTACCCTCCTACTCCAAGCCTCCATATCACTCATCGTATCCCAAATATGTTCCCCACTCTCCTTTCTGTCATTGCGGCCGTCGCCGCTCTGGTTCACGCCCAGAGCCTGAATGTGGTCAACTCTTGCCCCCATCCGGTTTTCCTCTATATGCAGTCTAGCTTTGGTACTATTGACAACAATGTCGCGGTTGCCGCAGGCCAGAGTGCCAATCTACACATCTCGAGCAACTGGGATGGCGCAGTTAACGTCGGTAAGTCACCAAGTTGTGTTTTACTTTCATCTAATGCCCGAAGCTCTGACCATGGACTCTGGATCTATGTTCAGGAACTGGCTGCAATGCTGAAGGTACTGCATGCACCACTGGTGGTCCAACTTGGGATGGTCGTACACCCTTCTCGAGGGCCGAATTCAACTGGGTATGCATCAGTATATATGTGGCTCTCTTCACGACCTTATTCTCTCTTTTATCGCGCCAGTGGGCGGTTCCGGGAATCGTGACCTACGACCTTAGCATGTTTTATGGTTACAACGTCGGGATGAAGATTTCAGCCGGTAACTGCGATGCGTTCTCTTGTACCATGAGCTCCGGATGCGTGAGTACCTATAAAATACAACATTTTCTTTGGGTAATTTTCATGAAGACTCACTGACGTTACATATCTAGCCTGTCCCGGGTGACTCTTCACTCGGATATACCTGCTTCAGTCCCTGCTGCTCCTCCGCCGCTGCCTGTGCCGGAGGTGCTCTCCCTCTTGTCGGCGGTGGGTGCGTTAACAACGAAGGCCCTGGTCCGCACTCTCCGTTCTATGAAGACACCTGCTACAATGCATACGCGTGGGTTTTTCTCCACTGATTTTCTCTGTCCACCGTGCGGTATTCCGAGTACTAATATTCACTTGTTGGACTTGTCAGCTTCCCAGACAACGATGGTGCAAATAATTCCCAGAGGGACTTCGTCGTCGAGAGCTGCAGCACTCTCGATGTCACTCTGACGCTCTGCCCCAGTGGGCCCAGCTCGCACTACACCTCGTAAAACCACATTCGGTCCGTGTCACTATGGACGAAACCGACGAAGAGGCGATTCACAATCTGTTTCCTTCTTATGATCTCCTCCCTGTCTTCATTCTGGTTTATTTGTGATTTATCCCTTGCGTTTTCGTGAGGCGGCGACTCTTGTCACTGATTTTTCAAAATGTTCGCTCTTTTATCGTTCTTGGACTCTTCAACAGAATCACTTCATCACTTTCGTTCAATTGCCTTGGACAGGTCTCTCCGATCCCCTACAATCGTTGCCTGCGCGGCGTGTTCCATCTATTTACGGATCTTCTTGTATTTTTGACATTACTCAAAACATTGTTTGTTTACACCACGACCAGGACTAGCCTATCACTGGTGGCACTAGCTCGATCGTACTGTACAGCTTCCCGAGCCTACGTGGCCATCCTAGTCCTTCCGTGTCAAAAGAGTCCTTATTCCATGTCAACGAATAAATACTGTGAGACCACAGGCCCATTACACTGGTTGAATCCACAACACCGAAGTAATCTAGGTTTGTATGAAAAGAATGTATGTACGTATTTACGATCTTGTGAAGTTCCGAAAAGAATGCGAGGTATGCGAGGTGCAGAGCAACGAATGTGAAGCACGAAGTGAGTGGCCCGTGCAGGCGATAAGAATAGGTGGCAAAGATATGTCTCAACCAGGAGAGAATGTAGGGTACGGGTACAATAGATAACTCGAGCACAGCGATGATTAGTTCCAAGAGAGCGGTTTGCATAAGATGAGTGTAGATCCAATAAGTAGATGCGTGGGGTGGAGGCGACGGTGCATTGTGTGGAGTATGTGCAGGTGAACAGAATTGTGAATAGATATAAATGGTAGAGAGCGTGTGTCGCAGATGCGGCGGAGTGACAGATGAAGTGAGAATCCGAGATTTGTGCAAAGGGAGATCACGGCAGTGGGCAAGGGACGCTTGATGTGGACCGCATCAGCTTTCCAATCATGACATCAACTTTGAAAACGGCCGTCTGCGAAGGCTGATAACAACAAGACAGTCCACTCACTTTTCTTTAAGAGGGCACCTCGGGTGCTCAGGCGAGTCCCAGCCCCACACATCGCAAATCCATTGCGCCATGTCGACCTTGGTTTTTATCATCTTGACGATCCATGGGTGGTGCAACATGTCCTTCGGTGTTGGTCGTTGAGACGGATCGACCGTCAGACTACAAGATAAACTAATCAGACGCGACATCATCGACCAAAGCGACATGCGAACCATAATCGGATGAAATCCTTCATGGGGTCGCTCCATTTTGTGTCCGGGTCGTCTTCCAATTGGGGAGGCTGAAGTGTGTTGTAACAGGGTGAGAAAAGCATCATAGACCGCAGTAAGAGAGATCGTACCTCGGATTGGCTGATGTGGATCATGATATCGATGAAGGGCAAGTCCTGAGGATATGGAAACCGGTTCTGAGCCAGCTCGAGGATCGAAAGCCCTGTGCTCCAGATATCTGCCCGAATGGAGTACTCATTTCCCGTGATGCGTTCCGGCTATAGGAGGTACCGCAAAGTATGAGATCCAACACAAAGGTTGGTCCAAAGGAGAGTACTAACCGCCATGTAGTAGCAAGTGCCGGTGTACGTATCGGCGTGAGACTTGACGAGTTCTCCAGAGACACCGAAGTCGCACAGCTTGATGATACCTTGTCTGGAGAGCAGGATGTTCGAAGGCTTGATGTCGCCTACAATCATGTAGGTCAACATGGATGGCTCCCGAACAGTTAGAGTTGACGTGGGAACGCCTACGGTGAATTAGACGTTTTGAATGCAAGTACGCCAGTCCTTGTAGAACCTAAGTGCATGGTTCTGTTAGATGGAGACGCGATAAAGTCAGATCCACCACTCACACCCTCCGCTAATCGCCCTGCGACCTTCTCTCCCACTCTTCCCTTCCTCCTCTTGATCCTCTCCACCACTGTTTGCAAACTCCCGCCTTCACAAAGCTCCATCAAAACCTTGACTTCACTGGACGAAGGGGACATATAAGCCCCATAGAAGTGCACGATATTTGGGTGCGAGATCGTAGTGATCATCGTCAGCTCCCGAACGAGCTGCTTGATCGGAGCCTCCCGCGTCGTGATCGTCTTCCTCGCCATCGTAGTCCCTGTCCGAGTATGTCTCACGGAATGAACCGCACCACCTACGCCCTCTCCGAGCCTATCAATCACCTCCAAGACATCGTCAGACCAATCGCTATGCGGGTACCGCTCCAGCGCCTCCTGTCCAGGATTGCTCGACGAGAAGACGCCTGCACGGCGCAGATCTTGCACAGAGTACGCACGAGAGAGCCTATTTGGCGATAGCGCATCCGTCTGTCGATGCGTCTGGTTTGGTCGAATGGTCCTGGAGTTCAATGGAACGGCAAATGATTCGTCGACATCAACTTGCATCGGAGACGCTGGAGAGGATGAATTTCTCCTGTGCCCCGTGACAGGACGTGCGTCATAGATTGGTGAGCCTTGCTGATGGTCAGAAAATCGGGATTGAAAGTTAGGACTGGGTGAAGGTGTGAGATTGAGCTTGAGCGCGGGTCGTGAAGGGCTCGGGTGTGGCTTCTGGATTGGTGTACCAGGCCGTCGTGAAGGACTAGAGTTCGGGTTGAGGCTATTGTTGACGTAGCCTTGGTTGAGCGCTTGAGATGCGTGCGAGACCGAGCTCAGAGTAGGTGCAAAAGGTAGAAGGGTCGACCGAGAGCGATGAAGCGTACGAGGTCCGTTAGGCGGTGCTGGATGGTACATTGCAAACGGCAGAGTCTAGAGAGCGGGAAGAGAGAAGGAGAGATGAGAGACGAGACCAGGACGAGAACGGGAATGGGTGGGATGAAAGAATGCGCTCGTGTGAGAAAGACTGAGATAAGTTAGCTACGGATGGCGGCAATTAGCTTTAGAGCGAAACGCAGAAGAAACGGCTGATGTGTGCGCTTTGCCTGACCCAGGTCGGTAGGCGTTACGTGAATAAGGTCGGGACCTGGTCCGGCGGTTGCTTCGAATACGCATGCAGACCGCGAAAAGAGCATGATCATCATGATTCCAGCCGTTTGCGGACACGACCTGATGACAGAGGGATCCCATCCTCAGACATGACCAGGAAGTGGCGATGGATATGTTGCGTGTCCTTAACACCGACAACCGTCCTACCGGCTGTGGTAGTATTACGCGAAGGCCGCGGCTAAGACTTAAGCGTCGGCCACATATCTCAGTGGTTTTTGGGCGATTACGATCGCAAACATATAAATGAGGGGTGGGCGCTGCGACATACCTGGGAGGAAGTAAAAGTAAACTGAAACAGAAAGGAAGAGAGAAAGAGGTGAGTGCCTCGTGAGGAACCATCATGGAGGAAGTACTACGGTCACGTTACATTCTACTCGGTGCCACTGCCCTGAACCTTCTTCGTCGCGCAGTTCTCCGGTTGCGAGCGTTGTGGCGCCGACTACTTTGGGAGCCAGGCTGTGGGACTTGATGGACGTTATTCTCGACAGGGTATGGTCATCCGCATCGAATTGTACGGGCTACTTAACGCTCACAGTCTGCCATGATGTTGCTTATTGTCGACCGAAGAAGCCACAAAGCAGGTTAGAGTTCTGCCCGGAAGCGAAGCCAACTGTCAATTGCAAGTCAGCTGGCAGCCAACAAGAAGCTGCAACTGTAGAAACGCACCGCTACGTTGCCGGTACGCGGTATGAGAGCACAGGCCGTTCGCAGCGACGCTAGACGCCAAATCTATGGAGCTGATTCCCCTCCTGCTCCTGGACAGATCGACCCGCAGTTTCACGCGCTCGAGTCATTTCAGCCAAAGAGTGATGCCAGGTGATGCCGTCGTGACTTTGTCAGTGTGTAGGTTCAACATTATATACCATCAATTTCCTAATTCGCCTGGCCGCCAACCCCGAGATCAAGTTGTACATGCAACCGTCACGGCGACACAGACGATGCCTCACGGACAACAACGCAACCATCCTAAACCATGGCGCGCCCTTTCTTCCCAATTTGTGCACATCCGAGTCTCCGCGCATAACAAGCAAATAAAATTCTTTTGACATTGAGACGTTGAAACTCCGTCGCAAGGAGAATGCAGACTACTTTGACTGAGAAAATCCCGCAACTCCGATCTCTCTCCGCTCCATCGCCCCGACCCCTCAATAACCGCGTCTCATAAGCATCTGTCACGCATGCCCTATCTTCCTCGTCCTCTCTCAAACGCCTTTGCGGCTCCTTCGACCAGGCACCCTCCCACAGCCTCGCCCAACTCCTCTCGAACCTACATTCTCAGCGTACCGCCCAAGGGCCCGCCATGTCTCATAGACATCCATCACGGGCCTCCCATCTTCCCCGCCCTCTCCCAAACTCTCCCAGGCACGCCCAATCCCCCGCCCCTCCTCACAGCCTCCTCCAACTCCTCCCCCACCTCCCCCTCCCAATCCACCCCCATCGCGCCCCTAACATCTACCCCCACCCCCCTCTTCCGTCCCGGCTCGTACCGGATCTCGACGTCGATTAAGCCCGACATTGGTGGCCGTTCGGGGAAGGACATGGTCAGACGCGGGTGATTCGCGGAGGAATGGCGGGGTAGGGAGCTGAAGAGGGAGGAGGCTTGTAGGGTATCTGCGAGGGGGATTTGAGGAGAGGAGGGGGTGGTGGGGAGTGAGAGGGAGACGGGGATCTTGTAGGGTGTGAAGGTGCCTGTTGCAGTGTGAGTGGTGTTATGGGGCTTGGGGAGAGAGAAGATGGAGTTTACCGTCCAAAAGAGCTCTCAGCTCGTCTTCTTCGTTTGCGCTTTGCTCGTTGTCAGTGGAAGCGTCCATGGGGTCCGTCATTGGACTGGGTCCATCGGGACTCTCGGACGTCCATTTGCAGCTTTCGAGCATTGAATTTAACCAGCACTGTTCTTTTACGATCTACGGAGGGGAATGTGGCGTGTGGTGAGATCAATAGCTGGGTCAAAACATAGGTTTCGTTTGTGAATACTTACCTCGAGGATAGCCGTAACCTCTTTCATCGTATACACCTGTACTTGCTCGAGAAGGAAGCCTGGCTCGTCTGGGACATCCAGCCGCAATTGGAGAGGCGGGTGAAGACCTGTTGGTGATGTCTACATCCATCCACGTATCAGCACAGGCCCTTGATCTCCACAAATAACGATAAACTCACATAAGTAGCAGTATACCTCTCCACCTTCATATAATTTTGGCTGTATCCTTGCTGGTCCGGGTTTAGCTGAGAAACATGGGTCAGCTATCCCATGTTCTGGCGCAGGTCGCTATAAGAGTGAGAGCAAACGCACCAGTATATCGACCCAACTCGGACTTCCTCCATACCCCATCATATTCATATGCATCCCACCCGACCCATCTCCCATATTCTCAATCATATCGCTCAGCGGATTAACCACGCCCTCGACCTCGCGTATCCTACTCTGACTCATCACCACACCTTTCCTCCCCCCTGCGCTCCCTGATCTTGGCTGTCCGGTGACGTTACCACCCAGCTCGTTCTGTCCGGTAAAGTCAAGCAGCCAGACCCAGCCGCCCTGTTCAGGGATGGGGAACGAATGCGTGAAGCCTGCGGCCGCAGGTGCGAGAGGGAACGTGGGTCTTGTTGGAGAAGCGAGAAGCTCGAGTTCGATGTCGGAGTCGTTTGTGGATGGGTTGGGACGGGTGGAGGAGATTAGAGGGGAAAGGCGGAGTGTGGCGAGGGTTGTACCGGGGAGGGAATGTGAAATGGAGGGTAGTGAGGCTCGGAGGTGAGCAAAGGGGATAGAGAGGGATGGCAGTGATGATAAGAGTGTTGTAGGTGGCGGAGCAAGGGGAGAAGGCGGGGTCGATCGGAGAAGGGAAAGGTAGGGGAGAGGTGAAAGGTGAACCAGGAAGGATAAGGATGGGGAGGTCAAGTAGGGGAGGGGAAGGGCATGGCCTCGGAGAAGGAGAATATCTAAAGGAGCCTCCTTCAGACCATGTTCGCTGGTATACCGTGTCAGAAATGAACCGTGCGGCAAGGTGAAGGAGCAAACATACTGAGCCACGACTTGGGCCTCGGTCTTTGCAAACCCCTCGAGCTTGTCACCGAGTTCTTGTTCATGGCTGAACCAGCGGATTCCCCGTTCTCCTTCCTTCGAGGCGAGTTGTTCGAGCGTCATAAGATACCGTAAGCTTTCCAAGACTCTTCGACCGAGTTTTGCAGTCGGAATCCCGGATACGTCGTCGCTCTGAACAGACTTCAACCAATCCCTCAGCATGTCGACCAAATATCCATCCAGCGAGGCAAAAGCGCTTCCACTGTTATCATTGGAGGCTCCACTGGTGACGGCATACGATGTCTTCAAAGTCGCGACGTCGACTGTTGGTTGAACGATGAAATCCACGTCGAGTACGAGGACCTTTCCAGCGAGAGCGAGGGTTTTTCGGCCGTCACGTCCGGCTTCGAGGAAGGCCTCCATACCGACTTGTTTACCCCATTCTGATATCCGCGAGATGCACCAGTCGGGGATGGCGTCTTTGGAGAGTGGAACGTCGGTCCCGTATAGGATGGAGGAGCGTTCGCGGACGGCGGTGATGGTTTGTTGGACGTGTTGGCTGGTCTGTCTGCGGGCAAATAAACTTAGCGCGATGTTGCGAAAAAAAAATGCAGACCCAAGAGGCGAGATCAGGTCACACTGAAAAGGCGAGTCTCTATGTCTGCCCCGATATATGTCAGAGTGTGGCCCATAACGCCACATCGGTCGTCAGAAACTCGGATGCGATTCAGAAGCACATCCGATGGCACAATTCATAATGGTTTATGCGCATGTACCGAGAAAAAGGTGAAGTGATGCTCCACGAAAGAACTTCACGTCAAAAGTTACTTGGACCACCCAGTCTGACCACGCTCGTGGTTCTTAGGAAAGAGAGAGAGAATCGGAAACTGACGAGGTGCAACAGATCGTGGCCTGCAGCCTCCTGGCGTAGGAGAGAGACTGTTTTTGAGTTAAGAGACGGACCCGCGAGATATAAGTTTGTCGAGTGGTTTACGGTGTCGACAGCGTTAAGAAGTTCACGAAGAGACGCAAGAGCCTGCTCTGCAGACGTAGAGAATGGGTGGGGTGGTTCTGTGGGTAATTTCTCAGGGTCAGTGAACAGATGGAAGGCAGAGAGCAACGTGTGGGGGTCCTCGGGTGCGGACATCGTCGGCGTCGATGGTAAAGTGCTCTGGAACGATGCGAACGTCGGGCAAGCTAGTGTCGAGCGCGTCCGGGCTCGATCGTGACAATTGTAGCCCACGTGGAGGGACTAGACTTATTGCTAGTGGGATTACAAATAGATGTAGCGGGACTTGAAACGTCATCTAGACCGGCTCTACAACTTCGCTTACTTCTTTGCTTCCATCCTTGCTTTTAACCCCAACCACGCTTGGCCCTCGTCAAACGCCGTCAACGGCTCTTGCAGTGCTCAGGACTTGTTTCCCAAGGCGATGATTTCGTCAGAGGGGAGCTCTCGAACAGAACGCTAGTTTCAGGCTAACACTGCTCGACCCTTGCCACCTCTCCCTTGCCTTGTCCAACAAGTCTCTTTTTTTCTTTTTTTTCTTTACCCGCTATTTCGTCTGGATGATTACCGTCGAAGAGGCGACGCCCTCGCCGGAGCCAGCCTACAGACCGACGCTCGCTGATCTGAGCAGGAATGCCTCTGTCATCTCCACCTCGTCTAGCTCAGAGGACAACTCCCATCCGAATTTGCTCAGTACTCCTGGGCCCAGCCGCCCTCGTCCACTCCGCACTTTCTCCTCCCCTCGTTCCCGCAGCCCAGGCGGCCCCACAACGCCTCGCTCGACTCGCCCACCCGCATACCTCACCAGGGAGCTAGGCCTCCCTGACGATCACCCACAGGTCCAGGCACAACAAGCCCGCTCCCGCGCACCCTCAAAATCAAAGTCCCGCACTCGTTCTCGCTCGGCCGGACGACCCAGCGCGGATGATTATGACTTTGGAAAGATATTAGGAGAGGGCTCATACTCCACCGTGAGTCTCTTCGTTCACACAAACTTTGCCGCAAAATTTAAACCCACCTCTAGGTATTACAAGCTACACATCACGGCACGGGTCAACAATACGCGATCAAGATTATCGACAAGAGCCATCTTATCCGCCACAATAAGCTGCAGACTGCACACGCGGAGAAGAATACTCTCATCAGGCTCCGACCCGGTCATCCTGGCATCGTCCGTCTCCATGCCGCGTTTCATGACGAGTGGTCTCTCTGTACGCCAAGCCACGTTTATCTCGTGTTTGCTCTCACTAATCCTGTGTCATTGTCTATAGTTTACGTACTCGACCTCGCAAAGAATGGTGAACTTCAGTCCCGAATATCTCGGCTAGGTTCTCTGTCGTTGGAATGCTCGCGGTATTATGGCGCCCAGCTTGTCGACGCGCTTGACTACATGCATTCCAAGGGTGTCATCCATCGGTACGTTATCCGCATCACGCACCTGCATTCCAATACCCGTCCTTTCTCCTTTCCGCGAAGTTTGCCGCCACCTATCACAGCCTGACACATTTATTGCGATGTTGATGCAGAGATCTCAAACCGGAGAACCTGCTTCTCGACGACGCGTTTCGCATCAAAATTACGGATTTTGGGACCGGAAAGCTCATTGATCTCGGAGAGGGTGAGTCCGGCTACATCACTACGGCAGTTGATTTACTATTCGACGAATATTGTAACTGATGTTGTGCCCCTATCAGCCGATGCACCAAAGACCTTTGTCGGAAGTGCACCTTACGTATCACCGGAATTGTTGGAACGGAATGAAACGAGCAAAAGGTAGTGCATTGTCCCCTTTCACTATTCCTTCGTGGCCTCGCCCTTATGTGCATCAAGTTCGGATCTCTGGGCGCTTGGATGCATACTGTACCAGATGATCGCCGGTCGATTCGCCTTTCACGGGCTTACCGAATACCTTACCTGGCAAAAGATCAAGGCGCTCGACTACACCTTCCCCGAAGGTTTCGATGAGCAAGCCAAGGATCTCATCACGAGGCTCTTGGTATGTCTCCTTTTTTTAACTCCTTCCAAGTTCGTCCAACCGGGCTCCAATGCTCATTTTGGGATTAGGTCAAAGATCCAGCGGCTAGGCTCGGCGCCGGCCCTGCAAATTCGGACAATACGATGGCCGCCCTTCGTTCGCATCCCTTTTTCGCGTCCATCGTCTGGGAAAAACTGTGGAGCGATCCGGCACCTCCGTTGGAGCCTGGACTGTTGAGGCGAGAGGATTTGGGTTTGGAGAGGAAGTGGGAGGACGTGGGCGCGGCTTGGGACGCCTTGGTGGAAGGAAAGGAGGGCAAGTCGTCTTCTGCGCTGGACAGTGATGACGAAGAGGATGAGGAGGATGATGAGGGAAGCGGTACAGAGGAGGGAAAGGAGGGAAAGAGAGTGAGGATAGCGGGCGAGGACGGGATCGAGTGGGCGAGGGATGGGGAGGGGACAGAGTTCGGGTTGTTCGGAGGAGGGAGGAGAGGAGACAATAATGGGACCAGTGTCCATGCGACGCCACCGACGCCGCTGGGGGACCTGGGACCTTTGAACGAGTTGCCGGACTACGCTGGGACGCTCGGAGTGGCGGGGGCATCGGGGCTGGGACAGGTGGTGACCGATGATAGGATGAGTGAGAGGACGATGTTAGCACCCAAAATTCACAGGTCGAGGGTTAACGGGAATGGGGCACTGCAGTTCCAGTTGGCAGAGCCGCAGAGGGATAGTCTTGTGAGGGATGATGAGGACGAGCCGGGGATTGTCTCTGTGCCGACAGAGGAGGGTGATGCGGCGGAGACTGCGACAGAGGCAGGTGCACATTCGGACACGAGTTCAGAGACGAGCGAGTCGGTCGTGCCGCCGGGTGTTGGGATGCTATTGGGCACGGGTATGGGTATGGGTATTCTGGAGGGTGACGAACCGCCGGAAGGAAAAACTTTGTCCGGCGCTGTGGAAGGAGTAGGCGCCGGGGCAGCGGATGTTGATGCGGACTCTGGTGTAGGGTTAGGGATGGCGGATGAAGGAGAGGAAACGAGTGCAGGTGTGGTGATGAAGAGCGAACCGATAGCGGTGCCCGGGCATGTGAGGAATTCCAGATCGTTAACGGGCTCGTCAGATGGGAGTCCAGTGGAGAAGTTGGGTGCGGCCTGGGGTGCTACGTTCAACCGGGGCAGACTACGGACCAGGGCCCCGATTGTGGAGGTGACGCCTATTGAGCCGGATTGGTGAGCGATTCTTGTAGCGCCTGCCTCTCCTAGCGCGAGACTGACGACCTTGCAGGAACTCTGTCCTTGCACCAGGAGAAATAATTCTCCACCATTCTGCCGTTGAAGAGACCGTCCTCAAACGGCGGACGTCCAGGCTCCTGCTCCCTATTCCTGTTGCGCCTCGAAGACCGAAAATGAGGCAACTGGCACTCACATCGCATCGGCTTGTATGCTTGAAACAGCAGCATAAAGGTGGGAATGTGGTGATCAAGTGCGAGTACGGGTTGAGACCATCCGAGAAGGAGAAAGAAAAGGACAGGGAGAAGGAGTCGAGGAGGATCATCACGGGTGTTGGTAAGAAGAGCGATAGGGAGTTCGTCGTCTTCACGGTGTGTTGTTTTTTCTTTACTTCCTCTCCTTGGCCCATTCCGCGATAGCTTGCACCCTGACGCTTTTCCGCTCTAGACGAATAAATCCGCCTTTTTCGCTGCACAGTCCAGCGAGGTCGCGAACGAATGGATGAAGAAGATCCAGGAAGCCTTAGAGCGTCATGGTGCCGAGCATCGTGAACGAAAACTTTCAAATGCGACCAACACAAACGCCAATGTCGCCGCCACCGCCACTCCGAGCACTACCGGGAACGACACAGTGAATTCCAGCACTGGCACTTCTTCGAACACGGCCTCCAGTCCGACTGCTAAGGCTCCGACTACTCCCCCGAGACCAACCTACGAAACTCGTCTGAGCAATACTCCCCTGACTCCCTCTCCTGGAGCATAATCAAGCCCAAGAGGACGTCTCCATGAATATGGCTATTTATAGCATGGCCTCTTCTCATGCACATGCCTTTTGTTTTGCCGCCCATCTCGTATGGCGGTGGTGTCTTTTCTTTGGGTTACATTCCTGTTCGGGCTGCAACCTGTACATATGTGGTGGCAGGAAAATATATGGGTATCATTATCTCTTGATTTCCAACTTTCGCATGGGCCTTTTTCGCTTGCTCGCCTTCGCATCCTGCCTCCATCACCTCACTTCCTTCGTCATCCGACCATCTATTGAAGGACAGGTTTCATTTCACCTCCATCCTCTCTACCCTTCGCAGTCCGCGCGCTGTGCCTTTCTTAATCTACTGTGTTCTATTCCAGTCTCGTCTTCACTCTCTCCCTCGGTTTCCTCTTACACGGTTATCTATACCTGCTCGGCTTCGTCCATGTCCATTATGTACATGTCACAATTGTTAGTATTCTCTATCTCTATCCTGTCCTCTTTCCCTTTTCCTTCTCGCGCATGAAACGCTCGGGCTATCTCGTCGGTCGGGGATCGAAAACCAAACGAACGTTTTTAGAACCTGTACTGTACCGTACCTTCTGAGTCACCTCGCTTCCTACTATCACCTTCTATCTCTCCTCCTCCCAGTCGAGTCACCCACTCCCATTCAATCCAAAAGGCGGACGGCGGACCTTGTGATATCAATGGCCTCGGTTTTCAATTACTTATGCATCCTTCTACTCGAGTATACACCAAGCACTCCCATCACCTCCGTTCCTACCTCCTTTGCTTCTCTTCTCCTAATGGGTGCTTCTCAATCGGCGGACAAACGTATACATATCAGAGCTTCAGTACTACATACTTATACACGCACGAAGGACTCTCCCTTTCGCTTCCGTTCCCTACTACTCCTTTTACCTACTCTGTCTGGGTTCCTATCTCTCGTTCCTTTCCTTTCCTCCCTCTACGCTACAGTTGCACTTACCCCCCTGTTCGCCGTATTTTATTATATTCGCTGTTGCTCGCTCACCCTTTCTAACCCGTCACTCGATATGGTTCATCGTTCGACCTTCGACCTCGTTCTATTTTGGTTCCCTTGTATCTGTCTCTTTCCTCCGTTCACTAGCCTGTATCTGGTCATAAGTGTGGTGGTTGCACGTCAAATGCCGATGCTCATCGTGCTCGTTCAGTCCCTTCTGGCTCGAGGGTCGTGTCTATTCGCTTCGCTCCCAACGTCGGTCCATATGTTGTGGCAGAATTTTTGGTCCACTTTTCTCGTTATGGAGATGCCCTGGAAGCCGGTCATGCCAATGTCGAATTGTCATGTTTGTTCGCGGCGAACTCTCCTCCCAAATTGTTGATCGACGCTCCAGGGCGATGCGTTCCTCTCAAGTATTGGGTTCAACAATAGCTACGTTTGATCAGTTGAGTCGGATGCCTCACCAGATTGAAGTCCGTTTGAACCATCTTCAGCTTGGTAGGCATGGCGCGTTCAAATCTCACAGCTCATGAATAGGCCGATTTGATGCACAGCGAGAACTGTCACTACATTCTGCACGAGCAGACCCGGGTGGATCGGACCACTGGTAACCATTGGTAAGAAGCACAGACGGGCAACATCACATATTGGATAAGTAATCATCACCCATGAACAAGTCAATGACTTAGGATAATTTTTAGATGGCCACAGATGGTGGTGTGGAGAGTAGGACACAACCAAGAGGAAGAGTGTCGCAAGAGGCAGGAAGGATAGATGCGAAGGACGTTTAACCGGGAGGGAGTAAGCTGGCGTCGATGGCACCGGCTTCTTCGGCGTAGATGTCGTCGTCGGGCGAGCGAGCGAGGGGTGTACGGGGCATGGCCATGATACCTATTTATCACGCCACAAGTCAGTGAATGAGTCCAGAGCAAGCTATAGGATAGAGAGGTGGGCAGGATAGAGCGTGTGCATGGAGCTCGACGTACCGGTACGAGCACTCTCAATGATCCCGAACGGCTTGACGAGCGACAAGAACGCATCCACCCTCGATGTCTTCCCACTCATCTCGACAATAATACACGTCTCGCTCACATCCACGACCTTCGCTCCAAACTGCGTCGCCAATACATGGATACTCTGCAGATGCTGATGTCTCTGTCTCAACGCCTCCGACGGCGTCAACATCTTCTGGCTGGAACCACCACCCGTAGTAGAGGACTCGTGAGGGAGGACAGACTCGGGGTGCTCGAATTTCTGGGCGAGGTTGATTTCGGCCTCTAGTTTTTCGGGACTGACTTGACCTTCGGTTTGGTCGTCTGCATAGGCTTGGGGGTTGCGGCCCATGCGACGGGGTTCGTGGGAGGGTCCGCCTTGAAGTTGGTCTTCGAGGTATTCGGGCCCAAGGATGGAGAGTTTGACCAGGAGCAGTTCACGAGTGATTGTTCGGGTTTCGGTATAGTCGAGAACAGCCCATACGGGGACCTATAGCGATACGGATTGTGAGGGTGACCGCAGTTCACGGAAGGAAAGGGATATTTGGACACGAGATAGGAGGAATGAAGTTTATGAGCCGGAAGCTTCGTGGAGGTACTGAGACGAGGTACGACGTACAAGGTCTTCTAGCTGACGTCTGGCCTGTTCAATTACACCGTCCTGGCCGCTGAGGACGATGCACATCCGACTCAGGTCGCGAATTTCGGTACGGCATACGACGAGGGAGTCGATATTGAAACCACGTCCTGCGAGGATACCAGAGACGCGGGATAACACACCCGGCTCGTTTTGCACGAGACAGTTCAGGACATGCCTTCAGATGGCCAACGGATTCGATTTCAGTGTGACTCATGGTATTGTAAGCTATTGCTACGCACTTTTTAAACGGTTGGAGGCTAGGAGGCGGGGTGTTATAGAGGATATTCGTGACGGCCTCCTCCGCAGTTCTCTGTCTTGGCAGATCCATCACTGGCAAGGGTGGTGGCCGCACACGGTGAGATCTTTTGTAGTCCAAAGCCGAAGTGGAATCATCAATGGGTGGTGGGGGTCTGGGGGTATTATTGAGTATCCGCGTTGTCGTGGCGAAGGACCGTGCATGAACGACCGAGCGCGAAGCCGCATTAGCTCGCAAAGCTAAGAAGGATGCCATTTTGTTGGCTTGAGGTTGACCTTGTCTAGATGGTAGCAGACGGTAGGTAGAGAGCAAGAAATAGACGTTGGCCGATGACTCCGTAGCGTCTTGTTTTCCCACGGTACTTTATTACCCCACCTTTCCGCGGCGAAAATCGCATTGCAAATTTCCTTGTTGATCCTTCTCATTGTGTGAGCCTGAAATAGGCTCGACAATCATCTTTCTCTCATACGGTTTTATTTTTCTATCGTAATCCACGATGAGGAGTCGATGGGAACTTGGCAACTACTCGGGTCGCGATATCCGTTCTGGGGCAGTATGTTTCTGATGCGCTGCCACCATGATTGATAGTGCCATTGTGGACACATATTTCCTTGTATCTGGCTCTGAATCCATTCTTCATCGTCAATTTTGAAGGGCACGGCCACAGGTATCTGTAGCTCGACTAGGGCATTGATGGACTGTGTCCACAGTTGCACGCCTCAGAGGAGAGATGGCATTGTCCCCTTTCCAGTCACCGTGTCATCAGTGGGACGCAGAGGAGAGTTCACCGCGGGCGCCAACCCATGCATAGATGGTTGCGCTCTTTCTCATCGAGAGTCTGCTGTGTTATTGCCCCAATTGTTTGGCCACTGATATCGCCCTGATCCACACAAGTCCCTCCTTAGTGACGGTCAAGAGATACAGATGTACTACTTGGACTTTGCTCTGCTGATTTCTCCGTACATTATCCTTGACTTCGCAGTCGTTGCTCCTTTAGCTCGTTTCTTGTCATCATTCTCTGGCGCGTCTGAATCAGGGATTCGACTATTCGGATGGTAAATTTACCCAGGTATTCTTACGGAAATCCTATTTAGAGAAACCCGAGCACTGGCAAACGATGGTAAGCAATGTTGTGTGTGGCACTTCTCATCTGTGCACAGCTGATGACATGGTCATGGCTCTGTTTTTCTATGCACGCAAACGAACCATTCAGATATTCCACAATCAACGTCAGCACACCTTCATGTTTGATGTTTCACGTATGCGAGCTCTGCCTCCGCACAGTTCAACAGGGTTTGGGATTCATCAGCACTAGAAGCAGACGAGAACTCCCTCTGCATATGCCTGTCGGAACTCCTAATATCCTGTCTAGTGTGGATCGCACAGAACGACAGGCTCGCGCCAGCCGATTTCACCATAAAGGTTTGTTTGGCTACTTTTATGTGTACGGTGGAACCAACACAACCTGACTTATGTTCCGAAAACAACTAGAATAATCAGAACCTCTCGATGCGACTGCAAGCTGTGGATGAGCGGGCGACTGCGGTGATGAGCCCAGACGTTGTTCTTTACCCCGAAACGACCATGTTCTCGTCCATACCCATGAGACATTGATATTACCACATGTTACTTAGTGCCCACAGCTCTCTTTTCCGTTCTTCGTCATGATCAGTACATGGCGGCATGACACCATGCTGTCCCTGTTGTCCTCTAAGGTAACGTCCATCACCCCTGAGTACTCAGTGCGGTAGCGCTGCGAACCTGATGGCTGCGTAGTGTGGACGTTGGCGCAGTGAAAAGTTATACGGACTCGCCTCATTCACGAAGTTCTACTTCTGATGTTTTCTTCTTGTACTCATATTTTCGAGTTCAATCCTCGTGACTGCTTTGTATTCGTTCCTCAGCTTCTCTCCCTCTTATGCGTAATTCGTCTCTCGGTCGATTCGAACAGTGAATGAGCCTTGAGTAACATCGTTAAATAACTGGGACTGATTCCTTGAGGTCGGTCCACACACGGCGTGCAATGAATTTGAATTGTGAGTGGCAATTTGAGTACCTACGCCACACGCAGTCCGCCGCCTGTGTGGCCCCGACATCCTCCCCGAGACTTCCGACTCGGAATCATGCAGTGCAAGGTTCTTGGTTCGACAGTACAACGTCCTTCTGATAAGTATTCCATCACCATAACTATCTATATTTCCCAGCACAGCTATGGTACCAGAGCGGGCGCTCACGAGAGGCGCTGACCGCTGACTTCTGTCTCTTTGTCTGACACTCACGACACCGCGACGCCGCTGCCACAGATAGTTTGACCATCGTTCGCTCATGACATGTCTCTTGCTGGCTTCACGTTTGGCTCGTTTGGCGATGTCATCTCTCTCATCAGTCTTGTCCTACAAGTGCGCAGAGCACTGGGCGATAGCGCAGGGGCCTCCGAAGACCATCAAGCTCTCATTGCAGAGCTCGATTCGTTTTCACATCTTCTTCACGTAGTACGTGAGGCCCTGGCAATCCACGACGGCCCTCGGAAGCTGCCCAATTCTGTGAGGAATGCCATGAATCAGGGTTTACTCTCTTCGGCGGCACTCCTGGCAGATTTCTACAAGGATATCGAGAGATATAGTGGAAGCTTGAGGCAAGGAGGGTCCGGCAGCGTCATTAGAGACTCATGGATGAAGGTGGAATGGGCTTTATATAAGAAGGAGGACGTTAGACAGATCAGAAGAAAGTTAGCAAATCAAGTTGGAAGGATTAATGCTCTGCTTTCTGTTTCCTATTGGTATGTCTGCGTTTTACGCGTTCTCCACACTGGCAATGGACTATGAAATGATGTTATACTGACTTCGTTGCTCGTATTAGGCATGCACTTGACTGTGTAGAGGATGTATGCCATCAGCATCGAATCGCTCTGGTAGAAGTCTCTCGCCGAATGGAGGAACTGCCGCAGGCACTCGGGTATCCGTGGGCCGTCCAACGTCCTATTCAGCTTAGACACATCCTGGGTCATACTATCGACCTACCTATGGATTTGTTCGCCACGTCAGAGGTGAACACATTATATCCTTTACTCGTGGTTTACGCGTACTGAGATACGTCTGTTCTAGTTCTTTGATGATTTTCTAAAGTTTTTCTTCAAAAATCGGCCAGGCAGCCGCTTCGTTGAACGAGGAGACTATGACCTTTCTACCTCGCCTGGTGATGCTAGTGCCTCGGTGATCATTGCAGTGGAAGAATGGAAAGCAATAGTCAAGCCGGGTATGGCCATCGACATGAACGCTGTCCTCCGTCGTAGAATATACGACAGCGACCATCGTCATCGGGTATGCACAAGCTGCGACAGAGCACTCAATACTTTGTCTGTTACGGACAATTTCGTTATACAATGGTGAGTCCTCTTTAGTCAAGCAAATTTATTATGTGCCTATCTATGACTCACCTCCCTTCCAGTACTTTTTGTCAAACTTGGCTCACGGTCTCAAACGGTCCGATCGAGAACAATTCCGGAGGACAGGCACGAAGCAGCGACATCGCTAGAAATCCCTCTTCACAGCGATCACTCGACGAGCCACCTGGGTCCCAAGAAGACACAGACCAAGATCTGAAGTTCATACGCCGCGTTCGCCTTCTGGAGTTACACTTGCATTCTTCGAGCCAGGAACCTCACGCGCAGTCCGTACCAGACCAGCTTGGTGTCGACTTCTCACTCGCGGCGGAAGATTCACTTCCCCTTAGTGACGATGGCGAAATCAGGGTAAGTGGAATTTTTCGATTAATCTCGGCGCTATGACATGTAATTTTGATGTGCCATCAGCAAGATACAGTCTGTATTCTATATGGTGCTGGGTATACTCTATACAATAGCTGATCCTCAGCCTCTACGTTGCAGGTGCAGCTCAAGGAAGCGTCCACAGTACCTGAAATGAACATAAGCGACTGCACAACTGAGCCGACTCAGTCAGCTGCTTTCACTCCCGAAGGCAAGACATTGGACCCAGCTTCCCTTCCATCACAAATTATTCGACAGAAATCCAGCATTACATTCGATACATTGCCTTCACCCACTCATCCACCTGATGGCAATGATCGCCGTTCACCTTCGCCGACCTCAATATTCTCCGCTCGTTCTGGCCGCTCCGTGCGGTGGGCGCGAAGCACCAGTTTTGCAGAGAATACGGGCGGCTATTTTTCGCATAGATTCAGCCTCCCAGCTCGGGTCCGTCGGCGAAGCTCGAATGCTACGTTCGCCAGCAGTCTACCCAGCGCTGAACAGGACAACTGGATCAGCGATGATGAAGATCTTGAAGACTCCCAACCACCTGCAGGGGCTCTCGCATCGATTCGTCCGGGATTCGCGAGCTCCCTGTTTTCGCCCACACGCACTTGCGTGGGCTCCTCCACGGACGTCGAGAACTCTCGTCCGACATCTCGCATTAGCTTCCTCAAAAAATATTCGCCTTTCCGACACCCATCACAGTCTTTGGTCTCTATCGACGACACTCACGATCGTTCATGGAGTCCAGGTGGGGAGGAAATTGATGTGGCCAATATCGACGACGAAGATGGCGAGGTTGTTTGTAAAAGATCTCGGATAGCCAAACTTCTCTCCCTTGTCAAACGACGCCGTACCACGTCTACTCGTGTTCAGTGAACAATATCGTCGCACACGAGATCTCATGCTGCGATTTGTCTGCTCCGTCGTGGACCGATAATTGTGATTCTGTGCACTTTTATGACACGTCCAAATTTGTATACATATGTACAACTGCGTTACACGAGTTTGTGCTTCGTTTATTTTGTGTAAAACAGTTTGTTTTGACACAGTGATGCATAGTCCTTACACATTCTCCCATTTTGCTTCCCGCAGAGCGTGACCGCCTTTGTACGCTTGGAAAGCCTCGATCGGCTGAGACCATCCTTGAAGTAAGTCTGGCGGTAGACTGAATACTTCGACACCCAAGGGACGGCAGCACTCTAATGATGGGTCATCTCCTTCTACCCCTTCACCCCACATCTAACGTAAGGCCAAATGTTGAATTATGAGCTCGAACGGAAATGAAGACGGTCTCGGACTTACCGCTTTTGAGAGATCTCCGCCTGGACAAGTAGAAAGTGCACAGAGAAGGTCTATCTCTGCGAAAAACTGTAGATTGTATATATTAGCGACATCTAGGCTGTTTGGCTGTTGACACTCGAAGGGAGAGTCACACTTACTTCGAAGTAGTCACCCTTCTTCGCCGGACATGATTTCATGAAGTACTGGTCCTTGTCATTGAGACCAGTGCACTGGAAGACATTTAGAACATCGTGAACATCGGACTCGGCAAGACCGTAGGGCAAGACGGCCCGCGTCAGGTTCGAGTGACAGTGATAATCGAAATCTGTGGTAACACAGGGCATCGGTAGTGAGTGCCACATCGTAATATAGGATCGCAACCATATCGGGAAAGAGACCAGTCAAGAACTTACCTTTTCCACTGAGCATCCGATTAACGTAAGGGTCACACCTTGTCCCTAATAAATCATGAATCCTTCCTCCCTCACCGTCTTTCCCGTAGTCCTTCAGTGTATCCCCAACGATGGTACACAACGGCCTCAAATACGGCAAAACAGACCACAGTCTATCACCAATCGATACATGCGCCCTTTGCAACTGTCTCGTTCTAGCAGCCCACATCCTCTCGCGAGGGTTTTGAAATGACCAGATATTCAAGTCTCCGACCTGGGCTCCTTCGACAGCAGTGATGCGGCATATAGATCCAGCTGGGACTTTCCAAGCTTTACCGCTGCGAATGGGAAGAACGAAAGATTCGGTAAGAGTGCGAGATGATGGTGTGGTCTCCCCCAGCTTTGAATAGAAGGTCTTGTCGATGTCAAGAGGACCTTCAGGGAGACATTGGTACGCTGCCTCGGTGAGGCGAGGGTTGGGTGTAGTCATGTCCAGGGCTGCAGAGATGGGCGTTTGATACGATATTAACGTTCAAAAGAACTGACAGGCTTATACTTATACGACGCCTAAAGAGATGCCAGACGGAAAGGCATATTGACCGAGAACTCGCAGAAGTGGGAGAATGAGCCTCCGGATTGCGCCGCGGCGAACCGCGTGGCGTGTGGCTCAAGCTTTGCCGCGACGAACAACATCGCCGTCTGTTTTCCTTGCGACATATAGCCTCGAGTAAAAACAAAGGTGTAACAAGCTCATGCCGCTATGCTGCCATACGGCGCGATGGGATCGTGTCTGACCCGCCCACCTCAAGTCTCACTCTTACTCCTACTCACTTCTAAAACCTTCCTGGCCAATTCCACGTACTCCTTGGCCACATCCAAATCTCCCCCTTCGCTCTCCGTAACTTTCTCCCAGTGACTCAATCCACCATCAATCAGCGTTAGAGCTTCTTCCTCGCTGTGCTCCTCCACCCATCTTACATATTCACTTTCTTGCCAGCCGTGAAGTTGGTGCGGGAGTTCGATGGGTGAGCGGACGAGAATGTGGTGGAGGACGATCAGCGGCGGCAGACTGGCTGTGCGTGTCGAGGAAGCAAGAGAGTCGTTGTCCAAGAAGAGTAACGGACTGGAATAGAGAACACGATGTTAGATGAAAGAAGGAGTACATTGTCAAAGATGACCAAAGCTCACCGCATCGCTCTCAGTGCTCTGTATTCATCGCCAATAATCTCCAGGCTAGCACCTCGCTTTGATTGGGGATTATCCGTCATGAAAGCACTAAGCGCGAATTCCAGTTCTGTCATATCGCTGGTAAGCTGCAATTTACCGCTCTCTTTCAACGGCTTGACGATCGAAACGTGCAGGACGAAGGTCTTCATGACGTGTTTCACTATAGAGATCATCCTGGACATGAAAAGTGTTCGAGGTCAATGAGCAATATCTACCATTACAGCCTCTGAGACAAAGGTAACATACCATTCTCGACTCAGAATACCAACATTCCACCGACCCAGAATCTCGTACTTCACGAATGTCAATTTCTCCGTGATCTCTTTCACGTACGGACTCGCCCCGCCTCCCATACCAGCCATAGGATCCCCAACCTTCGCAAAGTCGGTTCTATGTATTTTGGAAATGATGGCGCTCAGCTCCTTGTTGATCGCAGATAGGAGTGGATCCACGATCTGCATGAAGAGATCGTTGAGGTTCTGCACGATACAGATTCTTCATCAGCGTGGCCCCGAAAAACAAAAGGCGTTGGGAGAGCCTTACCTTGACAGAGGGTCTCAAAATGGCCCATACACCATCAGGATACTCCTCTTTGAGTTTTTCGACGTTCCCAACAACGGTCCACACACAGCTCCCCACCCCCGCGTTCACGATCTGCTCCCTCGTCGCAACCGCCCCCGAGCCCGGGCCCGTCAAGCCAACACTACCCAGCACCAAAGCTTGCCTATCCCTACTAACCAGCGCATCAGCCCTCGTTTCCATCATTTCCAGCGCATTTGCTACATGTTTCGCCACGTTTCTCAGGAGTAATGGATCGAACCTGGCCGTATCCAGCTCGTTCGAGATAGCACGAGAGACGTTGATACCTTCGGCGGTGTCGGGGTTGTTGGTGCCGTTTGATGCACGGGAGGTAGGTGAGAAGGTGGTGGAACTGGAGGGGAAGGCGGAGGAGATCGATTCGGTTAGACGAGTGGACGTGCGAGTCAGGTAATGGGACTCGAAGGTCGAGAGAGCACGGAGAATGAGGATGGTTTCTGGGCTGGAGGTTCAAATTTACAAAGTTAGTCTCGATCGTGGTATCCGAGATGGGTGATACGCTACCTTTGTTGGGTAACGGAGTAGACAGTGTCGGTATATACTGCAATCTTGGCGAAGAACTCGTGAAAAAGACGTAGTAGGCGGGGGTAACCGTTTCCAAGTGTTTGTTGCATGAAGGTCGAATCTTTGGGGCTGGTATGAGCATCCTGCTGCAGCACAGTATGAAAACAAGAGAGGTACTTCTTGAGGCATCGCGGGTCTGCTTTTCTAGAGCACGTCCGAGGGCTGCCCAAAAGGTGAAGCTTGGTCTATTTTCGAGGAGCTGCAGAACGCCGTTGAGTCTATGAACACAGCGAGTGTCACGTAAATTTACCTTCATCGCCTCATCCAGAAATAGGACCTGAGAGATAGGATCCTTCTTGACCTTGAGGACCTTTTCGAGCGTGTACACCTAGATGTAAACGTTCATATGTACCCCGTGTGGTTCTGAGGAGATAAACATACTTTGATACAAGCCCCAGCAACATCTTCGATCATCGTCGCCAGCCGATTCCAAAGCGCGTTCGTCCATTGCGGCGCAGTCAAGTTTGTAGGCTCTGTCCGTACCCGTGACTTGTAGCCGACATGTTGCTGTTGTGAGGGCGCAGAATCTTAATTCACTTAATCAGAATCTAAGGCACAAGGAGAAACAAACGAATATAATGAGAAGAACCTACCTTTTGTGAGGAGTTCCTTGGAGATTTTCGACATGTCGAATGCAGACCGAATGCGAGACTCGACAGCGACCGATAAGTCGTCCACGAGATTTTGGACTATCTCCGGAAGGACGCGAAGATTATGTGCCGTTTGGAGTGAAGAAGCGAGCATGGCTTGATTCTATTGTCGCCAAAGTAGACATAGTCTATCATATTAGCGCTAGCTCTATAGGGCCACAATGAAGTGCACAAACCGTTTCAGCCAGTCCGTTAAGAATCATATTCTCCATGTCAGCAGCAATCTTAGTTCGTGAAGCTTCGACGAAGGGTATATGTGCTGATATGGTTTGGATATCACGAAGCGATATTCGCGGTGGTGACGATTCGTCGTCCGTATCCGGTGGCACCTCAAGAAGATCACCTGAAGCAACCCGTCCGAGTTCAGCCATAGAGGCTCCAGTATTAGTGTGAACTTCGAGCGCACCAATCTCTGCGACACTGAGAGCAGCCTGAGCCAACGCCCGCTCCTTCTCTCCCTCTAGTTCCATTCCAGGCGTCGTACTCCGCCTTCCTGCATCGAACGAAGACCTCCCGTTCACCTTCACGTCCGGCTTCGATCCTGATTCTTCCCCTTGTATACCACTCCCATCGCCAAGTTCAACCATCTGAGACTGCAATCGTTTTGCCAGGACCACAAACCGCGATGTTCTTCGGAGTGCATCGGAGACTTGGTGTAGGCGCTGTAGTCGGTTTATACTCGATTGGAGAGCTTGGTATGGGTCTCGAATCTTTTGTCGCAGTCTGAGCGTAATATTAACAGAGGTATCAGCCTGAATAATGGTATGGGTGAACTCACTTCGTCAAGGAAGAGTCCAAGTCATCCAGTCCCGAGCCCACGGACTGCAGAGACTCCTCAATCTCTCCCACACCGGCCGCTTGCACCAGCAGTCCTTCATGATGAGTAGTCACCTAAGTTATGGACCAACCACGGGTCCAGAGATACAAGCAGAGCAGAGCAAAGGAAGTCAAGAAGAAGATAAGTGCAAGATTGGATAGAAGCGCGCTGAATCCCTTACAGCTGGCAATCGAGAGTACTACATACCACGTTCTTGATCTGTTTCGAGACGTCCTCAATCCCAAAGTCAAGTTTCGCAATAGCGACCGTAATATCCTCTTTCGCGGGCTCGAGGCCCGTGGGCTTGGACGGCTTTGTAGAATTAGCGCCAGGTTGAGGTGGATAGGGTTCACCGGCGAGGATTGCGTTCGCGTATTCGTTCGCGTCGAAGTCAGGAGAGGTGAAGGCGGAGTAGTCTGAGAGATGAACAGCTTAAGACATATGTTCTCAAGGTTAATTAAACAAAGACTCACCAGCCATGCCCTGCACCGAAATCAGACAAAAGCTATCGCTAGCGCCGAAGTTGTAGCAGTTCAAGCGTGTGGCGTCAAATGCTGTCGCCACAACGTACAAACCAACACGAGGTTCTCGAATCAGGCATTTCCTAATCCGGTCCTTTGTTCTCTCCGACTGAGACTACGACCATCTTGGCTAGTTTCTGCCCCTGGGCATTTGTCTACCAATGCTTTCATTCGCAACATCTTAGCCTTCCTCTTAAGCTTGCACCTTATAACTATGACAGAAACATGCTATTTTGCGAAGGTTCTAACAGTACGCAACACGGACCCTCCTGATCAAATCTCGGATAATGATGTCCACTGGCAGAGTTGCACCTGTGCCAGGCTATTTCTCCGCTTATTCATAATTGCGGAAGAACGATACACGCGCCCCGGGCCATTCTACGGTCTCCCATACTTCGAGCAACACTTCGAGTCTCAGGAAGAGTTCTGCAACTTGCTTATTCTCTGTATCAGAGGATCCCAAAGGCCCCAGGCTCAAATAGTTTTTGTCACGAGGACGGGATGGCTTCATCATGCCCTTGTGCATTGCCATCTCATGATTGTGCTCCGATCTGAGGTGCTGAACATAACTGACGAGGTTTAGCCGTATCGGCGCGGTGTTGTGGCAGCGGTAAACTGACGAGCTTTCTCCTTGCATAGCAGCAGTACCGGTTCCATTTGATCAGCTGTGCCAAATATGGCTAAGACAGACTTAAACCTACGCTCTGTGAAGTGGCCATGATGTGTTTCTGCGGTTGCAGATGCATGGTTTGCGTCAATTAATAGGACGTTGCTATAGAACGTAGACGTGTCAGGGGAGAAGAGCCTGGAATTCGAAGATCGGTACTCAGGTACTTAAGGATGCAAGAGGGCCCATCACGGTCACTACTTATTCTTGATTTTGTGAAGCATCATGAAATCTGTATCGTCTGCGATCGTTGCCGTGGCATTGTCTCTGGTACCCCTCGTCGCTACCCAGGCCTCTGAGTGGGGTCAGGTTCGTGCCTTCCACTAACCTGCTTCGTGGAAGACGAGGATTCCTGACCTTTCCTGCATTCGGACCGGATCTTGTGATCCACATAGTGCGGTGGCCAAGGTTGGACTGGAGCTACGAGTAAGTAGACCAACGAACTCATAGAGACAACAAAGCTGATCGAATCGTGTTCTCACAGCTTGCGCTTCTCCTTACGTTTGCACGTACCAAAACGACTACTACAGGTCCGCATGTTTGTGTCTCCTTCCGTATTTCAGCCACGCTACTCATCCACACCTTTGTATTTCGTAGTCAATGCATCCCCGGTACTGCTACAACGTCCGTGGCGCCTACGCCCACCCAGCCTACATCTACTGCTTCGGCTCCTACATCGACCGCATCCGCTCCTGCTGTTACCGGATTCGTACAAACATCTGGCCAAGTCAGTGACTTCTCTTGATACAGCCATATGGCAATGTGAACGTTCCACTAACTCAGTGATTGTCTCCACCTCAAGACATTCACCCTGAATGGCGAGACTTATACTGTCGCAGGGTACGTAGATTTTGTCTATTTTCCCTGGAGCTTCTTCGGGTACTCACGCGAGGCTCTAATTCTGGCTAGCGCGAACTCGTACTGGGTCGGCCTGATGGCCTATAGCACTGCGGACATGAACCAAGCATTCGCGGACATCGCAGCTGCCGGGGGAACCACCGTCCGAACATGGGGTTTCAACGAGGTCACGGCAGCTACCGGGGGAGGGTATGCCTATTACCAGGTTTGTTCACTATATTTCGTATTCTTCTCCACCATCCTGGGATAGTTGATTCTAATAAATATTTGTTTCGATCGTAGCTTTGGGCGGACGGAAAGGCGACTGTGAATACTGGGTAAATAGACCGTCTTGCTTGTTCAAGAACGATGCTGATCGTTGTATTTAGTTCGGATGGCCTTGAGAACTTTGGTGAGTTTGTGGCCCGATGGCTGAGTGAAGAATGGTAAAGACTGAGAGGAGTGTGGTATTATGTTGCGTGATCGGCAGATAATGTTGTCGCTGCCGCTAAGGTGAATTACCCCCTTATGACTTGACTTTCGCGTTTCTCCTGACTCTGGTCATGTTTTCCCAGGCCAATGGAATTCGTCTGATTGTCACCTTGTGAGTGCTTTTCTCTCCTGTCAGGAGATACGCCCCTAGAGTCTAATTAATCTTGGTATTTTCATGTAGGACGAACAACTGGTCGGATTATGGTGGTAAGTCTGCCGCATCTCGATCATATCGTGCATTCACATTCGACATCGACTTGCCCACAGGCATGGACGTCTACGTCAGCCAGATCCTCGGATCTACAGATCACGATCTCTTCTACACCAATTCCCAAGTCATCGTCAGTCCTCCCCTGATCTTCTACAAGATACACATGATAATCGGAATGGGTCTGTTTTGGTAGGCCGCTTTCCAGGACTACGTGAAGACGTTCGTGAGTCGTTACGTCGACGAGCCAGGTATCTTGGGTTGGGAGCTCGGTATGTCTGTCAAGAAGCCTCAACCCATATAACCATACCTCACTTAACATTCAATAGCGAATGAGCCCAGGTGCGCTGGAAGCACCGGGTAAGTCTATTCATAATTGGGTATCGGTCTATCCTTAACTCGTCTTTGAACAGAGTCACCACCGGAAACTGCACAAATGCCGACATCACCGCCTGGGTTGAGACCATGTGTGCGTCTGTTTCTTTACATCCAACGTATAAATCATATCCTAACTGTATTTCGTGATCAGCGGCGTTCATCAAGTCTATCGATTCAAACCACTTGGTTGGTCTTGGTGACGAAGGCTGGTTGAACGTCCCAGGCGATTCGGACTATCCCTACTCGTACGGTCTCATTTACCTCGCTAAATGATGTGTACAACCAAGTGAATCTGGGTCTACAGGGGAACCATCGGTATCGATTTCAACGTGAACCTCAACATCAGTACCATTGACTTCGGTACCTTCCACGTACGATTCATTTCTCTGATGTTTTCCGAGCTGAAGCTTACGGGCCACTGTCTCTGCAGTTATACCCCGTAATACACCTTCCTTACATAGGAAAGAATCTGACAGGTACTGATCAATACTCTGCAGGAAAGCTGGGGCGAAACCGCCAACCCCTCCAGTTCCGCCTGGGGTCAGCAATGGATCACCGACCACGCTACCTCGCAAAAGGCTGCCAACAAGCCAGTGATTCTGGAAGAGTTCGGTGTGACTTCTGATCAAGAGGACGTTTACACTGCATGGTATTCCACGGTGATAAGCTCTGGATTGACTGGTGATCTCATATGGTGAGCTAATTTGCATCTCGAGCAACGAAGGCAGGATGGTGTTTGAATTCATGTTCGCTTACAGGCAAGCTGGATCCAACTTCGCCGACCGTGGACAAACGCCTAACGACGGCTACGCTGTACGTGGCTATGTTATTTTCTTGTTCCTTCGGGCTTACCATCAACTGTGTATAGGTTTACCCCGGCACCGATGTCTATACCCTCGAGACGTCTCATGCTGCGGCATTGAAGGCGGCGCACGATTAAATCTCATTTGTGAAGCTTGTCTGTGGTTGGAGTTCGTGGAGTACGAAAAATTTCTAGTTCCTTACTGATTTCCTTAGCTGGTCGCATTGTGTGAACGTCTATATCTTTGATGATTTCTGAATATAATGTTGTCTGGTACATTGGACATGGAGGCGTCATGAAGTCTTTTTGTGGAGTTGCATTGTGATCCGAGGTGATTATAGATCAGATATGCTGAACGTATTGTTGCTAGAAGCTTGCTTTGCAAGAACGTTACGGCTACCATATGCCTCAGCATTCTCTTGAACGGATGAAGGTGTATGAGGAGATTTTTGGTTACCGCTCAAGACCGACAAGAACTCAGCACTCCAATAAAGGCTTCGCGAGTGACGAGTCAACTGTACCCACTCACCTCTTGTCTTCGCCACGGCGAGGTCATCGAGTGCCAATGAACGGCTCGGGTAGATGTACGTAAGGATTTACCGTCACCGGTATTGTACCTTTACTGCTCTGTACCTAGATCAATGTCTTCCATCTCCGAGAGGCTTCGATCGCATGAATGTTGGACCTCCGTAGGCTGGACGAATTGATCGGGGTCCTAGGCGTAGTGCTCTTGTTGTGCCCTGTTTGGCAGAGGCTTTGATTTTCAACAACACCAAACAGACGCGTACTAGACTCCGACGGATCCGGATGCTGTTGGATCCGGAATACAATCCGGGATGACGGACTGGGATATTCTGTCCTCTTACGCAGGTTCGTATACTCCCCTCTTTCCGGAATCGAATGTCCAGTAACATCTTTTGAAGGGCTCTCTACGCTTGCGGTCTCGTCCATATGTGAGACCATCATCCATCATTTCGCTGGAAAGTCTCAAGCTAACTCGTGGACAAGATGCTGGTTCTTTCGGATCCCTTTCAGTGCGTTTATGAAGTCATGTCATACGTGTTTCATGTGCTTATAATCTTCTTTCTTCCTTGCCTCAAGACACCCAGGAAACATTCCGAACCAGGCGCGAAACAAGATGAAGCGGACAATGAGGAGGCTGACACGTCGGAGCGCGTGTCATCTGAGGAAGCGTGGCTATTCCCTGTGGTACGTCGTAGCTTTCTTGAACGCTTAGGCGGTATGCTAAATCTCCCATAGTTTGGATCAATAGCATTGCTTGGTTTCTACCTAATCGTAAAATACATAGGAAAGGAATGGATAAATTGGCTGCTGGGTTGGTACTTTTCATTAATGGGTGTGGGTAGTGTGTCCAAGGTACGTCTCAACCTCCGGTCCTTCATTTCAAAGGTATTAAATTATCCTTAGGCTTTGATTGCTCTTAGCAAGACCATCCTAGGTAGGGACCGCTGGAGACGCTTCGACAGAAACGAGATATACTTTCTCAAAGGCTCAAAGAGTACGTCATATACCATCTCATCTTCGATTTCTTGTGGCTAAGTCTAAACATTCGCTTCAGAATATGCATCCCTAGCTTTCAGGACTCCTTCCCTCCTCTTAATTCCTCTCGGCACGATCCCATCCATCATCTACAACTATACCGACGGGCCGGCCAAGTCATCCCTCGTCACAGACATCTTAGCTCTTTCATTCTCTCACAACGCCCTTTCGCTGCTCAAAATTGATTCGTTCAAAACCGGTACAATCTTGCTTTCTGGTACGTGCCTACATCAATCATGTCAAGGGTAAAAGTGAACACATACTTCGAAGCTAACGTTGGTTTTCCTCTATAGGTCTATTCCTATACGATATCTGGTGGGTATTCGGGACCGAAGTCGTATGTTCACCCTGTCTCTTACCAAGAATTCGTATCATTCTGAGCATGACACTTTTAGATGGTCAAAGTTGCTACGAACCTTGATCTTCCCATCAAGCTGTTATGGCCTAAATCGGCCATTTTCTCTACCTCCAAAGGCTTCACCATGCTGGGCCTTGGTGACATTGTTGTACCAGGCCTCTTCATCTCTCTAGCTCTGCGTTACGACTACAGCCGCCACACGCGCTCGAATTCCCGTGCACCCTCATTCGTCAAGCCCTACTTTTACGCTGCCTTATCCTCATACGTGGCCGGCTTGGTCACCACCATGACTGTGATGCACACCTTTAAGGCCGCCCAGCCAGCGCTATTATATCTCAGGTAATACCATGCTGTTATGGAAAGGAAAAGCCGTTTACCGTTTGTTCATATTAGCCCCGCATGCATCCTCTCTTTCTTCATTACCGCGTCGCTTCGTGGAGAACTTTCCGAAGCCTGGGCTTGGAGTGATGAAGCGCCGGAGACAGAGGCCACATCAGCCCGGCACCTTCACGACTCCGAGAGCAAGAAGCAGGACTGAGCATGTCTTTCGTTCAGCTGATGATGTACTGTACTGCATTGTGCAGCACGGTGCAAGGGTATTGAATGTGGGCTAGTCACCGGGCGAGCACGAGGGGAACACAGTATGTATACTCTCGTCAAGTTTTGACTTCGTTTTCCCAGTCGCTTCGCTTCTGTCTATTCTTCCTTCAAATCTCGGTCCCGATTTCCATTCACTAATCTCTGAATCGTCTCACTTATCAGACCGTGATGCTAGTGATCACATACTCCAATGCAATACACTGCCTCTAACGGCAAAGTCATTTTCGTGGTTGACCTTCTTACGCCCGGTATCCGTGCTGTCGCCGCGCTAGTCAGCTGTTGCTGAACACTGGTGTCGACTTCATTCGCGAACCATCTTCTCACTCGCCACGAGTCGAACATCCTCGATGCCAACATATCTTGCCTATAAGTCCAACATGGTGCGCAAGTCCTAATCTTTATTATTGGTGGCAGGGATATCGCCCGAGTGATGCTTGGAGCTCCTCGGCAACAAGAATGACAGGGATTACTCTAAAAGGAACCTCGAGGATTCTACTCCTGTTCCTGGGCGTGATGGAGTTGAGGTACTTGCCCGCGCCACATGGCGAACGGCATTCGTACGAGATCCCCAGGGACGACGGTAAACAATTCTTTCCATTAGGGGATGGAGGACCCAACTAAAAGCTTTCTAAGGTCCACCTTTTTAGCCATAGCATATTTCGTTTTTCTTCGGAGCCGCCGTTCAAAACTTTCTTGTCTTTTCCATTTGCGCGGCGCAGAGCATCCAGCCCTCCATTTCTCACAAAAAAACTTACTGACACGGTTCAGCCTTCACACTCAGCCTAGTGCTGGTTCTCACACGGAGCTTGGTGTTTTACAGTCTCCACAAAAGACCCATTTGATTGGTTATGGGCCTTTTGATGGAGTATCAGGCGGGTGCGGCAGGCTGTGGCCCCACTCGGAGCCACATTGTTTGTGTCTTTTTGGATTAGTTTCCCCACGATGCAAGCGATTGTGCGCTTGGGCCCCAGACTTGCATTCTATGTCGTCCGACATCGCGCTGGTGAAAACATCTTCGCTGTTTGCTCATGGCTACTCCCATAACAGTTGTGCAATACAGTTCACGACCAGTCTGTCTGGGGTCTTTCGTGCTCTCATCGGCATTCATACCCAACCAGTAGCACTGGGCGCTTTCGTGGCCTCGCTCACTGGCTCGGCCATCCTCCTCTCCCGAGCATGCGAGATCCAATAGGTCTACCTCACGCCTAGACACCTTCAGACAGTCTGTCTTCCTGAAGCTCCTTCACTGCAACTGTCTCGACTCTTCGCTGCGGTACCGCTCACCCACAACCCCCGGTGTCTTAGTTCAAAGCGTAATCTTATCACCCTCCCGACATGAGGCTTTGGATTTCGATTTCGATGCTTCGATCCATCTCAACTTATTAATCGGGATTGAATCCAGCCGCTATAAAAGGTCCGAGGGGGGGAGACCCTGGATGACCCTAATGTTTACGTCCCTGGATCATCAATGCGTCCTGCCTCATGTTCGCAAAGGGCGCAGTTCGCATCTCCCGTACGCAGTCTTGAGAGCTTGACGGTGACCACTCTACTTTGCAGTAGATCATTTCTACGCACTCTTGTGGTGAGCATGGAAGTAGAAAATCTGCGTTGACATGTACCGAATATGATTTCGAGTTCCGCCTTCTCTTAAGGTCTGCGTACATATTGAGAGCCACCATCTCCCAAAGGAGTCATGCATAAAACAAGAATCCTTGCATTGGTGCCGCCGCTGGAGCTGCGCAGGGACTTCTGTACTCGGTCATATCTCACCGAGTACCGTAGCGCAACAGAATCCTTTTGAACGAGGTCGGCACGATGGAAGCAAGCATTCTGAGGGGTGGTCGTCACCACTTGACGCTTACCTCCCCAAGATCGTTTCTTCCATTCATCCTTACATTCCGTCGTTTCTGCTGGACACATCTGATGTACTCACGAAAACACATTTGTTGCCTGCGCTACTGGCTAGCTACTTCGCGTAGGCTTATATATATAAGTACCGGATCAGCTCATCATGCAGTCATAACTCGCTTGTGGAATAGGGACGTCAGCCAGCACCGACCGACCTCCTTCCGGCCGGGTGAAGGATGCATGCCATCATATCCCCGTATAGGTATGTTTCTCGATCCCGATCCTCGACAAGACATATCCCAATCGATTGAGGACATAGTCCGTTTTGGGGAAACAAAAGTATACGAGGTGGTGTAGCCCAGCAGAGATCGAAAACATCTGGGGCGAGCCAGGTTATGTGGTGAAATAATCATATGCATTACGACTCCTTTCGAAGGTCCTGAAGGCAGTGACGTTCCTTAGGCCTCTGCTGATCCATAAAGGCATCCACAGAACCAGAAACGCCCATACGTTCAGGCAGTCCAGGGCATGATGAATCCATGTCGCATCGAGGCTCTCAGAGGCGCACTGTCTCTTCCGCGGCGGTCGGCGGTGGTGAGCTCGGGATCCGGAGCTAACCACGGACGGAAGGTAAATGGGAAGGGACTCCGGACACTGCACTAGGGTCTCACGCATCATTAATATGCGCATGACGGTATACCGATCGCCCAAGAAATGAGCATCGTGAGTCCGAGTCCAACAAGTCCGAGTGGAGGACCGGTGCAATGGCGGACAATATATCTTGGACGTGGCTTCGGTCCGTACAAAGGCCGCTCTTGTTGGAGTACTTTTATACATAGCCTAGCGAGGTATCCACAGGCGGTGTTTGGGTGGAACGTCGGGAAGCAGTACGAGTGTACTATAGTGGGTAGGTTTGAGGAAGTCGGGTCTTGGTCGTGCAGAATTCTTGCGTAACACAAGTGAAATGTGGAAAAATGTGCGATATATTGTAGGTAGTACTTGGAAATCCACCATGCTCGACGTCTCCTCCAGACGCATATGATGTACGAACAACCTCCGAGGCCAATACCCATACATACGCAAGTGTGGCGCAATAGGGGCTTACGCTTTGAACGGAACGAACCGCGCTAACGGCGCTGGGTACGGTCCTCCAACAAGAACATCAAGTTACGAGAGTATTTACGGCATGCCGTACGAGACTCGAAATACGGCACCGACGAAGGTACACTTCCGAGTCGCCTGAGCGTGAACAAAGGACAAGAAGACAAGAAGCCGAGAGGGGATGTGGGTGCGCACTGTACGAGTGTGGACATGATCCTGTGTCGGGTGACCGTGAATCGAGACCTGGGTTACGAAACATGCATGCTGCATGCTGGGAGCGGATGGTTCGTGTGGCAAGCTGCTGGAAGAAGCTCGAGACCCGGTGTGCTGTCTAAAAACTGTACAGCCTATGTGAAAATGCAGGCATACGCAGCAGTGCGCAGAAGAGTCGATTCCACCGTCCATATGATCCAAGAAGACACAGCGCCAGACCACTTGAGACCTGAGCTTATGAATGCTTGCTGGGAAGCCTTCCTCGAAACAATCGCCCGGCCGCCCGTGGAGGGTTCGCGAGAGATGTTCGACTTGGCGATCATCTGCCTTCTCTACTTCTCCGCGCGTTCAGGTGGGACCCATTGCGGTGCATTAGAGCCATGTAGACTCGGTCATCATCACCTGAACATTCCATCAGCTGGTGTTCCGTCTCGTCTTTCACCCCTATTCTGTAACCCCAAGGAGTTCAAACGAATGTGGTAGTGACCTCGAGCTGAGAGTGACATGCTGAAGAGCGGGAGAAGTTCTTCGAAGGTCTTGGGGATTTCAAGTGATCCTAGTGATCAGATGTGCAGTGGATTGGTCGCAATGGAGCATAAGACGCAGAGAGACAGACGCAGATGACCTTGTGCACCAGAAACGACGGAAAGCTGAACCGTCAAACGGAACGAGGCGTACGATACTCGCGTTTCCGTCAACAGTAGTGTTCATTCCCCAAAACCGAACGGATTGATTTTCCCGCAAGCTGACAAGAGAAGTAGATGGACCATCGAACAGATGAGTCACGAGAGTGAACAGCAGGTCCGAGATTATAATATAATAGGAACTCATCCAGGCTAAGCCCTAACTGACCATCCGAGTGTGCACGCCGCTCACTGCTCACTGGTACCGCAGTGCTATGGTGACCCTGCAAGACGTGGACGGGGCATCTGACCTCGGAGTCGTGAACCCATGGCCAGATATCGAGTAGGAAGTGGGATAGTGGGATGCTTGACGGAACGGAAACGAGACAGATGTGTTCGACTCGAGATCGAGGGCGGCCGAGAGAGCATATCTGTATAGACCCCGTGTCAGTTGATGCTGCAGAGAATGAATAGAGGAGTACAGATGACCTCTCGGATCTCAGGGAGCAGTAGGAAGAAGGTGGGACCCAGACGGGCTTACACGCTTCGAAGGCCTGTCAAAGTGGATGTCGTAGAATGTGGAGCCGACGTTCGATGTCGCTACATTTTCCGATGTCTATACGGGGACACTCCTCGAAGGTGATGTCTAGTTTGAGAAAACCGGCTCACCCGGAAGGTGACGCCTATGTAGTTGCGGACGCAAGAAAAGAACAGCCCGTCTGGAGGATCGACAAGCTAAAGCCAGACTCAATCGTATGAAACACCAACGATTCAGAGCCTAACGCCGCTCAACCATGGCCAAAAAAAGATAAAATCATCCGTCAGTGTCACCCATGTTCATGATCAGTGGCGTATATGCCAGTGTACGACCACTTACCATCAATCAGAACCAACACAACGGGCAGGAAATGGTGCATGAACAATCACGTAGTCGGCGACTCCGACTCTGTCTCCCACACATTCAATAGGTCGGAGAACTTCACAGCGACTCGGGCATCCTGTGATTGTGAAGAGATCGAAGAATCAGAAGGAACGGCTGGAATGCGATGCCCCTTCCCTCCTTCCCTCCGTAAGTACGTTACCAGTGTCCAGGATCGCCGACGCGGCTCGGAGGTTGGAGCTGAGATACGATGGAGATGGAGTTGGACGAAGGGACGATTTGTACGCTTTTGTGGAGATGGACAACGCTTATGATTCGATCCAATTCGTGGCGGCACGGAAAGACTTGTCCAAAAAACGGCATTGTGTTATAGGCCAGTGGGATGTACTGGGGAAAAATAAACATGAGGTGTGAGAGCGAGTAGATGTTGCGTTGTTGATCCGGTACGTACCAGTAGCACATGTATACTGAAATGACGAGATCTAGATACTACAACTTGAATGGGGATAAGCATTTTGTATATGTATCATGCATGGGGAAATAGGCTCTCACTCAACCCTACTAGACCCTGGTCCGCGTATAAAAGCCCCTGGGGGAACACGAGCTTGAGCTTGAGCTTGAGCTTGAGCGTAGATCCTTGAGTGCGCAGACGGATGCGGATGCGGGGATGACACGGGGAACGTGTGGGGTTGAGATTGGATTGCTAGTGGATGGCGTGCTCTGAGTCGAGTATTGAGGATGGGGTGTTAAGGCATGAGAGATGAATAATCGTAGCAAGCGTTGACGTTACGACAAAACGAAGCGAAAAGCCTGAGGAATCAGGTCGAACGAGCGTCGAATGCATAAGCAAGCTCCGGCCGGCTGTTACAGTAGCGACGCAGAGATGAAGATGAAGAGGATGTCAAGAAAAACTTGACGTTCTGATGGAGAAGTCGTCAAGTGCAAGCCTTTGTCAATGGTTCAATCAAGCTTCCATGCCAATGGGGAAAGGATTCCATGTGAGTTCGGGGATGCTGGAGGTACTGAAACGTTACAATAGGATAATTATTCAGAAAGTAGAAAACTTACAGCGCTGGTGCTTGTAGTTGTAGGTCAAAGATAAAGTTAAGCAGACAGACGAGAATGGGCTATGATTGCTCGCTGGTGAACCGGTGTGAGCACGATTCACGGGCATCGAAGGTGCAAGAACATACGAACATACCGGATCGAATGGTGTAGTCCAGTATGCGTTGATATTACAACAGAACGAAGCGCAAAACCCAAGAGCTCAGGTCGAACGAGCGTCACATCCATAAACAAGCAAACAAGCTCCGGCCGATTCAGACTCACTGTAGCAACGGAGAAATGTCGAGAATGTCGAGAAAAAACCTGACGTTCTGATGCAGAAGTTTCGTCAAGTGCCAGTGCAAGGCGTTAGTTTAATCAAGTATCGATGGGGATGGGGATTGGGGAAAGGATTCCATGGAGGGTTCGAGGATGTTGGGGTCCTGTAACGTTATGAAGGGAAAGGCGCTCAGTTCTAGTTGAAGACGATGGTTAGAGGCGTAAGAACATACAAACATACCGGACCACTAAAGACGATTAAATGACCAAATATCACGAGTTTAGCCTCCTTCATCAATATTATTGTCACCTCGATCAACTGCATCCGCCCGGCCTCGGACTCACGCACCATCGGAGTCGGACAGATTCGAAACACGACGACGCATTATAAATTTCTCCTCGATCTGAATCCTCTACTTTCTCCTCCTCCTCCTCCTCCTCCTAAGTGATCTCCTATCCTGGACAGTCCAGGTGACTCGCGCGCTCCACCCGTTACCGCCGGCTCGCAAGACATGTACAGCAAGTCATCACGCGCACGAGATGCCCACACCACTGCACAGTGCACACCACAGACAAATATTGTGACCAAGTGGCTTTGAATTATGAAAGATGAAAGAAACACGGACGATCCGGATTCGGGCGCGGACGGACGGATAGGGGCAATCGAGCCACATTCCCACATTAGGACGATTTACAATGCATAATGGGGGTCCGGTTTCGTCGTCAGTGGACGGAAGCATACGTCAAACTAATTGTCAGCGATCAACGAGGACGAGAACGCTACGTCCGCGTCGTCGCTTTGTTGAGTTGAGTGGCGAGGATGTCGATGATTGATCGCGGGCTGGGCGTCGAGAGGACACGGAATGCAGACAGCAGCAAGGACTGTGGATGGAGAGCGAGAGACAGGATTCAGAAGATGTACAGCAGCACATGCTTGTCACTAGAAAGTCACCGGTCAACGACAATATAAAAGGGAGAAAAACATAGGACATGAGACGCGAGACGAGACAAGTCCTGTCCTGACTTGACCGAGCGAGACGCGACACAGTAGGGTGTGCGTATTTACTTCAAGCTTCAGCTGCGAAGCATTCAAAGCGGATGCACATGGACCGTAGCATACGTACGCATCGTAGGAATGGAACGACTCGGACGAGGCGCGCGCGACGTCAGAAAGCAAGTCAAAGAGCTTCGACCGCGATGTATTCAAAGCGCACGCATGGCCCGTAGTGTATACGTACGCATCGAAGAAATGGAACATCGGACGACGGACTGTGCACCTCTCACTGCACAACGACCCAAAGAGGAAAACATAAAGTAAGGAAAGAAAATGAAGAAACATACGACATACGACCGACCGAGACTGTACATGTGCCCGACAGGCGGGAGACAGACAGACAGACAGACATACAGCTCCCGATCGCCCAAGCTCGACAGACACACCCGCTCGTTACGCGGCGTTTTCACATGTTATTGTCATCGGCCAGACGTGCGTATGCGTATGGTTTTGACAAGAAGTGATGAAAAAAAAAAAGACGCATGCGCGACGTGCGCGGGCGGGAGCAAATTTTTTGTAGTATGTACTCAGCGGCAGCGGAGCACAAAAGGTGGAAAGAGAGAAAAAAAGCACTCTGAGTCTAAGGGGAGACTAGACTGCGCCGGCGTCATGATCACCGAGTAACTTTACGCTTCCGGAGGTTCAGCTGTTCGAATTCAGGCCGGCCTGTCGAGATCTGGACGCGGTTTCGAGGCGATGGTGAGGGGAAAGGGGGACGGGAAGGGGAAGGGAAGGGGGGCGAAAAAGCTTCGATTCTCGCGGATGGAATGGGATCGTGCCTTTTTGTTTTTTGTTTTTGTTTGGCGTTGCCTGGAGTTCGAAAGGGGACTGTGCTATGAATGGACGCGCGCTTTGAACGCCTAGTGGTGGATGATTGATATAACGAGGTTGCGAGGTATGTATGTGCTGCAGTATGGATTTGGAGGCGTCTTCGTCTTCGATAAAATACGTGGAGAGCAGTGCGTACGGTAAAGTATAGAGCCCGAGCCCGGAGAACAGAGCGGGATGATTGGATGGCAGAGCCATTTGATGGAGTGATCATGGACGGGTGGACATATTCGGTTTGTTTGCGTGGATGTATAAGCGTGGGAATGCATGATCCGATCTAAGGAAGGAAGGAAGCGAGATCTGAGAGCGAGAGCGAGAGAAAAAAGATGATCGGGACTCCTGGCACCGCTGCGTTCTTTTTTATTGCAAATATGCTCGGCCCCATGCTAGGTTCCAGTCCGAGGCTAGCGGCGAGTTAGCGCGAGGGCGTGAGAGGGGGGACTGTGGTGGGACTTCCGCTGTGGGTATTCGCGAGCTTGATGCGCGGGGGCTAGCAGAGCACTGTGCGAGCGAAGTAATAGAGGCAATTTACGCAAATGAAGGAGAGGAAAGAGGGCTTGGAGGGCGGATTGGAGGGTGTTGTGGATAAATGGATGAAGGAGGAATAACCATTCGGTTGAGGCCAGGAACCAGCGCGTCGGAACGGGCCGCCGCTTTGCGCTGGTCGCTCTTGAAGCCCTCAAGCAGAGCGTCCGACAGCCCCCTCTCGCCTCCTCTGCTAGCTCCATATCCCTCTCTCCACTTCTCCTAGTCTGAGCACCCTCAGCCGCTTTACTCTTTTTTTCTCTTTCATTAGCGGCGAAAGACCAGGACGGAGCAGAGAGCATTGCGCATTGCCGGATCGGTAGTGATTTAGCAGCGTCTTACGCCCCTCGTGGACGGACCGTTCTCTCAGCTGCTCTCCATCCATCTCTCTCCTCTCGCGACCACAACGGCGGCCATCGCTCGACGCCTATGATGGAAATCTCATCCGCTCCCCAGCCCCCGAAGGGCCTCGCAGACGACTCCCCCTGGTCCCCGACCACCTCCCGCCCGACCGTAAACACCTCTGCGCTCTCCAACCATCTCCCATCAACAACCCCCTCAGACCAAAGCCCGATCCCCTCCTCCTCCCTCTCGCCCTCGTCCCAACACTCGCCCTGGATTCAACCCCTCAGCCTCTCCAGCTCCGATCAGTCGAACCCCTTCTCGTTTACCCCTCGCCAGGGCCCGCCCTCCCCTGATCTCCTCAGCAGCGGCAACCAGTCTCCCATGTTTCCCAACAGCAGCAGCAACAACAACGACTGGGCCAACATCTTCTCCGCTCCGCTCAATCCAGCAATGTTCGCCCAGCTCGCAGCTAACGGCATAATTAACCCGCTCAATTCCGTGCCACCCAGCTCCGCCACAGCGTCTAACGCACGCTTCAATCCCTCGCAGTCCAGCAGGGTGCGCGACGGCAGCAGCAGGGGGCATAGGCAGTCGCTTCCGGGCGTGTATCCCGGTCAGCAGCCTCCTGTCGGTCCGTCGTATTCGAAACGATCGTCCGCACAGCAGTCTTCCAAGGCAAAGTCGCATTCGCTCGGCTTTACGCCTATAATGTCCCATGGTCCCGCTTCGAGAGGAAACCCGCTCGTCGAGGGCAAGTCGCCTACCTCCGGAGGTCACTCTCGCCATACTTCATCAGGTAACGCTTTGTTTCGAGTCACGCAGGTTGTATTGAACTAACTAACGTAATCCGTACTAATTAACAGGCTCGGGAGCATCGTATTCCCTGCCACCAACGAACCCGTTCACGCCCACCTCTCCGTACGAATACAACTACGACTTCAACTTCCCCGGCGAACGCTCCAACGTCGGCGTGCCCCCTTCCCTCTGGATGTCCCCCAATTCGCCCGGCACGTCCACCAACACCCCCGATTCCTACAACTCGTACAACGCTAGCCTCCTACGCCACCATTCGCACCACAACGCCCACAGATCCGGAAGTGGAGATGCCGCCTCGGTCCTAGGAGGGGGATCGAGCGGTCTCCCGTCGTCCACGAGCGCCTCGTTCAGTGGCGCCGCGTCGCCCATCGGCGGGAGCGGCGACGCGAGCTCGTCTCTGCTCAGCGAGATGTTCACGGACAATCTGTTCATGAACTCGCCGAGCTCTCACTCCGTCCACGGCAACAATAACGGCAACGGCAACAACGGCCATCACAACAACACTAACCATAATCACCGCATCCACAATAACAACACGAACCTGAAACGACTACACACCGATACCACCGCCGCGACCTCCGCCTTTCCGTCTCCTATCGTCTCTGGCGGTGGTTCTCCGGAACTCAAGTCGAGCGCGCTCTCGCCCGTGGACGGGATGACGGATCCGGATCAGATGGCGAAGGAGGATCCGTTGGCGACGCAGGTGTGGAAGATGTACGCGCGGACAAAGGCGAATCTGCCGCATGCGCAGAGGATGGAGAATTTGACGTGGCGGATGATGGCGCTCGCGTTGAAGAAGAAGAAGGAGGACGAGGCGAGGGCGGAGGCGGGTGGTGTAGGTGGGGAAGCGAGTAGCGAGGAGCGGGGCGGGGGCGAGTCGATCACGCCGGTGAAGGCCGAGGTGGCGGCGGCGGAGGTGCAGGGTGCTGGCGACGGAGACGAAGGCGCGGCCGCGAGCGGCAGCGCGGATAAGCAAACGGGAGAGCAGGAGGAGGAGGAAGAGGAAGAGAGAGGAGGAAGAGGGAGGAGGACGGAGAAGAAGAAAGTGAGCGTCGTTGGTTTTGATGGGAAGAACCAGGACGGCACGGAAGACGATGAGTGAGTGGCGTCATCCTTTTGCGTTTCTCTCTTTATACGAACTTTTGCGATAAGTGTGTACTCATGTGTTTTCCGCATTGCGCCTTATCTTTCCAGTGATGTCGTGCCTATGGACTGGAGGGCCATGAGCCGCTCGCGCTCTCGCGTGCCCATGGACTGGAGAGCGACCAGTCGCTCGCGATCACGACCGCCTCCGCCCTCGTCCTCCTCCGCCCCGATGTTCGATTTCGGCTCTTCCGACGCGCTCTCGCTCTCGCTTGCTGCAGGCGGAGAGGACCACCGGTTCAATTTCCCGTCGATGCACAATCTGACGGAACCGAACCCGGGCGATCACCGTCGCAAGTCCGAGGGTCAGGCCAATCAGAACCACCAGCACCCAGGGTCGTCCTCCTTCGGCGGGGCTGGGGTGGGTGGCGCCGGCCTGGGGGGTTTATCTTCCTCTGCCTCGGCTTCTTCCTCGAGCATTCCCATATCGTCCAACGGGGTGTCTGCGTCCGCGTCTGCTGCTGCTGCTTCTGCAGCGCGGGGAGGTGGTGCTGGCCACAGCCCTTCGTCGTCGTCCATGCCCAACCCGTTCTCGCTCTCCGCCGTTTTCGAAGACGAGGACGACCATAACGTTGGCTCGCTTGAGCATCATCAGAATAGCCAACAGCATCATCAACACCATCACCATCAGCGCGACAACGACCCCTATCTGCACCACTCCCTCACGGCGTTTAATAGCCCTACTCACCACCCGTCCTCGCTCCCTTCTTTCGGCTTGCACTCGCTCTCTAGGATACCTCCTATCATCACCGATACCGAACAACACTTGCCACAGCAAACGTCGGCCGCCTTCCCTCGTCGGGTGAGGAAGACGAGCTTCGACCATACGGTGACGAAGGAGGGAATTCTCAGTCAGATAGCGGGCAGGCATCAGGTGAACGGGAAACCGCTGCCACCGGATAACCTTGCGTCGGGAAGTCTTATCGGGACGAAGAGGAGGGCGGACGCACCGCATGCGGAGAGCATGTTACGTGGCGATCCTCCGAGCGTCGTGGCGAGTCCTGTCGTCGACTCGTCAGAGTTGGCTGCCAGATTTTCGAACGGTCACCACAACAACAATAACGCCGCCTCGCCGCAGTCGGTGTCGTCGCATAATGGGGGAGGAGGGGGCAGTCGCTCGAGTCCGTTCGCGAGCTCGGCGTTCAACTTTTCGTTCCCGTCGAGCGCGAGCGCGAATGCGTATGGGGGCTTCTTCGATATGGGAGGGCCGGCGAGTTTGCCGGATTTCTCGTCGGTACTGCAGTCGCATCATTCGGATGATGGGCATGGGCATGGGGGACACGGACGAGGGATCGGAGGGTCTTATCGCGAGTCGTCGATGCATGGAGGTCACGGACAGGGATCTTCGAATAATAATGGGTTCTCACCTTCGTCGCACCATCATCATCACCATCATCATTCTCATCATCCGTCTTCTCCGGGGTCCTTATCGCTCTCCGGTTTGAATGGCCTCGGAAGCGGGAATGGGGGAGGGAACGAGAGGTTGTCGGCTGCGGCGGCGGCGGCGTCGGTCGTTATGGCGGAGGGGTATGCGCATCTGAGCGCGGCGAGTCTCGCGGGGGTGGATGACTTGGGGAATGGTGGGAGCGGAGGAGGAGGGGGAGGGTTGGATTATTCGTCGTTGATGGGACTGGGAGGGTTGATGTACCCCCTCGATCTTTCCTCGCCCACGTCCTCCTCGCATCATCAACAGCAACATCACTCGCAGAATCATGGCCATTCCCATTCCCAATCACACAATAATAGTCATCATGGGCACTCGCATTCGCATAGCGGACAGTACGGACATCCGTATACGCATGTCGATCCGACGCAGATACTTTCCGGAGGAGGAGGAGGAGACAACGATCATCCGTTTTCGGTCAGTTTGCATCCTAGCCCTTCGAGCGACGGATGGGGCAATGGCGGGCCGTTTGGGTATGGCGGTGGTGGGAATGGAGGAGGAGGTGGGAATGGGAATGGGAGTAGCGGGGCGGGAAGTCCGGATCCTCAGGGGTTGTCGAATTCGAATGCGAGTTCGCCGCCGTCTGCGGGTGGAGCGGGCGAGTTGCCGAGTTCGGTGGTTACGGTGCAGTCTCAGGGCACGGGGACGGGTAGGGGAGGGAGGAAGATCGCGTCGAGTAAGAGGGTTAAGGCGGCTGGGGGTGAAGGTACGGGGAGGAAGAAGAATGGTGGGGCGGGAGGAGAGGCGCATTTGCGGAGTTCGACGAGTACGCCGGATTTGGGGGCGAGGATGAATGGTGAGGGGGGTGGCGGGGGTGAGGATGGGGAGCAGAGTCCGACGGTGTGTACGAATTGTCAGACGACGAATACGCCGCTTTGGAGGAGGGATCCGGAGGGGCAGCCTTTATGTGCGTTTTTCCCCCTTTTATTACGCATTTTCGTCCTCGTGCGAAGTGTCTCGTCCTTGTGGTCAGATATGGATATGGCGCTGACCTGACTTGTTCTTGGTGCTTATATAGGCAACGCATGTGGTCTGTTCTATGTAAGTCCTTCATTTTCGGTTTCATTTGCTTGTCTGCTTGTTTCGCCCTGGGCGATGCGAGGCGTAAGATAGTATATCTATCAGCTGGTTCGCCGCTATCCAATGCATATGCCTAGCGCTATCCGTATCCCTTCACCCTTGGCCCTCCACGTCTGCACGCTTGCTTAAGCGCTCGCGCTCGGCTTTGATAAGCTCCCTTGGACTTACCGTGCGTGCGTGCGTGGATGTTGTATACGCGTACGCCGTGGGCGTGGGGATGGGAACGGCTATTCTTGGGGTATCTTGTTGGCATGGGTGACTGACCGACGGTCTCTTCTTCGTTTATCTACAGAAATTGCACGGTGTCGTCCGGCCACTATCGCTCAAGACGGACGTGATTAAGAAGAGGTATGTGACTCTATCTCTGTCTATCTCTGGAGGTTGCTATTGGCGCGTTACTTATCGTATCTTCGTTGTTCGTTTCCCGTTCCGCTCTTCGCGTCTGCCCATTCTTCCCTTCTTCCTCTTCCTCTTCCCCGCACCTCCGCTTTCTGGTATCTCTATCTCTTCCTTTCGCCTGCGGTTCATGGAATAGGAATCGCGCATCAGGCGCCTCCGCCGCTAACGGTCGCAAGGGAAGCTCCGTCCTCCCGAAACTCGCCTCGTCATCGACGAGACCGCGGTCCTCGACGACGAGCAATACGCCCATGGGTATGCCGGGCTCGAGGCTATCGCCTGGGAGCAGGGTCGGACCGTCGCCTGCTGGGATGGGCGTCGGGATCGGTGGTGCAATGGGCGGGATGGGGGCTGCGAATGCGGGGGCGATGAAGAGACAGAGGAGGGCGAGTGGGACGGGGACGGGGAGGGGTGGGGAGGGGAGTGCGTAAGGTGGGGTTTTATGATTTAATGAGGGGATGATCGTGTTGATGATGGCGATGATGATGATGACGGTACGAGGTTGATGCGTTGATGCGTTGATGACTTGAGACTATCTATATTTTTTTCCCGACGCCTCCGTTACACATGCTCGCTGTTGCCTTCTTGTTATGCAATTCTTTTCCTCTCCCTCTCTCTTGATCTCATTTTTATACTCTCAGTGTGTTTTCTTACCTGTTTCTCATCTCATCTCTCTCTCTCATCTATCCATCTCATATATCTCTCTCTGTCACTCTTATATCTCGGTTTTGGTTTTTTTTGTTTACGTGCTTGATTACGTGCTTGCTTGTTTCGGTGCACTTGGCTCTATCCCCCATCTCCTTCTTTTTCTTCCATTCAAGCTTGGTGCGTCATTCGCGCTAATTTCACGAGAAGAGTGACGCTTGCTCTAGTGGTCGTCGTCGTGATTACATTTATATATTTGACGACGTGACTACGGGGCCGATGTACGTGGTTTGGAGGAGGCTGGGACGGGATGGGATGGGATGGATGGAAGGATGGGTCCGTGTTTTACTTATTTGTTCATTGTTCGATGTTCGATGTTATTTCTGTGTTGTGTTTTTGTTGTAACCCTCCACTTTCACTATTCCTCCTCATGTCGTTGTTCTTTCTCCTCATTCTTCATTCTTCATCTCCGTCTCCGTCTCGTCTGTCCATTCCTCATTCTTCTTCCTCTCTCCTTCTCTTCAGTCAATGATGTCAACCCTCCCCTCCATCTTCTCCTTTCCTTCCCTTCGCTGCGTCTGCGTCTGCGTCTGCGCACTAACTAGTAGTGTCACACCCCTCTGTCCCTCCCCTCCATTCCCGCTTCGTCATCCCACTTTGCTGCATTTTTTTGAATACGGTTTTCGCTTCCACCTACTTGCTCCCACTTACCTTTCCTTTCTCTTCTTAGTCCTCTCCCTTTACGCGCTTTTTTCCCACTCCAGTCAGTCAGTCTCTTAGAGGTGGTTCTTGTCGATAGTACACCGGTATATACTATGTAGTTTTTCGTCTCTTTTGTTTGATGTTTCGAAGTTTTGCAATGCGAGTGCGAGCTTGAGCTTGGTTGTCGACGTGGTTGTGGGACCGGTCGTGAATGTTTGAACTGACTGAGGGGGTCTGCGAACAATCTACGAGTGGGGCCACAAATGCGTATCAATATTAGAAAGGAGCTCAGTGTCACGGGACCCCATTTCCAATAGTCAACTGGGCCATCTCATTCGCTGAACACTTGAACGGTGATTGGACTCGGGGGGAGAATGAACCACTGGCGGGGATGCCACATGCATCGCCGTCTGGCTCCTTGTTCCAGCCACAGCTGGGCCACACCATGGTGGATGCTCCGGCTCGCTTGTGTCGAGGCCTTGGTTCTTTTGTGGACCTTGTGCTGGAGCTCTGACTCTGAAGCTACAATCGTTCAGTTGGTCACTCGCCGACGAGGGCCCGCAAGACCTCCGTGGATGTTTCGCCAACTCTGACAACAATGAACATGTCCGTTCGTCCTGCGAAGCACGGGCTCCCGCTAGTCTAATATATAATGGGAGAGCAGTGTCTCACGGTCTAAAAATGGCAACTGCCGTTTATGGTCGTTCTGCAATGGTGGCACTGTGTGGCATCTTTTCGTCTCTTTCTTGATATTTCTGTCTCTACCTCAGAGGCATATGGACTGCGGCCCAATCAATGGGGAGCGAGATTCAAGAGAATCTACGTACATGTTGACCTGATGCATCCGTTATTGGCACGGTGGGTAGCCGCACTGGCACGGTGGCACATAGTACTTATGCTATGACATGGTTTCTGTGTTCTCGCGATACATTATTGTCACAGTGAGGCAAGTAGTAGCTCGGTATACTTACTCCTAATAAGAGCAACTGAAGCTGAGTACTGGGGTTTCCTGATACTTTAAATCATTGGGAACATGTGCGGCCACAAAACTCCAGTGCCGCTGTAACCTGTTCTAACGATGGTAGATCAATGTCACGAATAGACCACAGTCATGGGCTTTGTGCGGAACCATGGGCTTAAGATTTGAGTTGAAGCGGTCATCAACGTCCAATGGCCAATATTCGTGCGTGAGCACGGGTAACTGCTAGTGCGTACGTACACGGCCAGAGCCCAGTGTGGCGTAGGAAAGAAGAAATCGGCATTTTCCGTCTTTCAAGTTCTTCACGGTCAATTCTCCGTCGTCGATCATACTTATCGTAGGATAGGCCCTCTTCGGACAGCAACTTCGCAGAACCTGCCTCGCGTTGTGGTCAGATGGGAGGCTTTTCAACCCGCTAAGATTTGGATACTTCCCCGAGGAAATGCATTGTGGATTGTGCTTCTCGCTGAAACGAGGCAAGTACTAGTGTGGGGCTGCGTTTTGTCGCACTTCTCTAACTCACCCGGTTCGGTGGATACAGTGATAGGGACTATGCTACCCACTCACCGAACCCGAAACTCTCGGGTCGAGCGATTCCATACGTACATGTCGACGAGCAAGGGGTTATTCACTGTGGCAAGGCAAGGACTTAGGCTTGGTGCCCAAAACTCTGGACCCGGTCGTACAGGGCGCTTAACGAACTCACGTAGCGCGCCACCCACACCGTGGACAGGGCCACAGACAAGTTCATCAGAGAGTACCTCACGTTGAGATCTTGATTCTGACCTGTAGACACCGTTTCCGTCTCTGCAAAATATCGTACAAAGGAACGAGCCACCAGAAAGAAGCGATTCATAGCAGACCTCAAATGAGGACCGATGGACAGATGGACACTTAACCCAACGCGGCCTTCAGGCCATCCAAGACCTTACTTCTGTCTATCCCATCCAAATTCGTACCATGCGCCACCTCCTGCCACATCTCTGCCTCCCTAAGCGTCTTCCTCGCCTGATGGCACACGATCCCAAACGAGTCCGTCCCAAGCTGCACCCTCATCGGCGGATCCTTCTCGCCCGCCATCCTAATCATAGCTCTGGCCGCCTTCGTAAGGTCGCCGATCGGGGCGTGTGTGTCTGCCATTGAGCGGAAAATGCGCGAAGGGGCGGAGGGAGGGTAATCGGTGGGGCATGGGACGCCGTTCCCGTCTCTCCAGTTGGTTAAGAACCCTCCGGGTTCGATGATGATACCCTTGATGTTCCAAGAGGGGGGCATCTCGCGGGTGAAGGCCTCGGTGAAGGCTTCGAGTGCTGTATGGTGGGTCTGGATGATTAACGGAAATTCTGGAGATGGAACAAAGCTTAAGATGGGGGGATGTCAGTCTGTCACCGAATTTTCCGGCAGAGTAGAAAGCTAGAGTCGGATTGGCAGAGTAGCCGCCGACCGAGGAAATATTGAGGACACGGCCACCTTTTCCAGGAGCGTTGACGGATTTGAACATCCGCAGGGCCTGAAAGCATTGTTCAGAGCGCAGCCTGTGTGGTTGGAGCAGATGCACGAAGGCTATGTCCTACCTGTTTGGTGATGCTGACTGGGCCCCAGAATAGGGTCTTCATCTGCCCACGAGCGATCTCGTCTGGTGTCGCTTCTATCTCTCCTGTGACGCCGTAGCCGGCGTTATTGACGACGACGTCCAGCTACCGAAAGTGCTTTTCGACGTCAACGAACGCAGCTTGGATGCTGTTGATGTCGTTCACGTCGAGGGTGATAACGAGAAGCTGCGAGGTGGGGTATTGAGACTGTCAGCGTGCTTGCCCACGATGAACTCCAGGAAATGTACCCTTTCGGTGATCAATCGAACGGCCGTTGATGGCGTCCAACTTTGACACGAGAGTAAGATTGTGTATATAGCTCAAAGATATGTGAACGTTCCGAAGAGACACAAAGAGCTTGGCAGCATTCGCGAGAGGCTGACTGAGACCGAGTAGCATAGAACCTGAGCGTAATCATGGTGACTAGTAGAGTCCCATTTGAACGTGCGATCGGTCGTCGTGAGCGACTGCTGGGAGGAGACATATACTCCATGTCCCCTGCAGGTTGAATCATGAATTCAGCGACAAGTTACCGCAGGCGAAGTAGATGGTTGCTGGCTCGGTGACAGATTACCTAGTACAATATGTTCACATTGCCAAGCGTGCGGTCGATATGGAGGAGATTACTGTCAGAAATACTGGTCTCCTGATAAATCTGAACAAAGTCATGAATGGGATGGCTTTTTGGCGTGAGTCGGAGCGCGAAATTTAAATGAGAATGAGCTCACCGGGGGCGCTAACGGCCCTTAGCACCGTTCGATTCAAGTTTCGGCCCATTCGTTTCACCGAGGGTGGGAAAGCCTTGGAGACAAAGGCCAGACGAAGACTTGACAGATAGGCAACGATAAAAAGATTCCGGTGCCCCTGGACACTAGAGCGTGAATGGTTGTAGCAACGTGAACGTGATCCACGCGAAAGAAGATTGAGGCTAAGTCGGAACGGTGAGAGCGCGCAGTGGACGACGTCGAGGACCTCACCGTGACTGAACACCTCTATATATTCTAGCTACTGTCGACGTCGGCGTACGTAGAGGATCCAAGCTGGCGTCGCTGTTCGGGTCGCGCCAGGGCGCGTCAGGGCCGGCGGGACGTTCGGCGTCTACAGGCGATCGACTCCCTCCGTCTTCATTTCGTGGCGGGCTGAGGGCAGACACCCAGTACCGTCCTCCTCCAGGCCAGAACGGCGCAGACGGCGGCCAGAACAAGATACAGCGCAGGGGCTCCCGCAACGTCACAGAGAAGGACTTCGAGGACGCGCTCAACAACGGCGGCACCCTCCTCATCTCACCTATAGAGGACGAAGTCCCGACCCCCATCCCCAGTCCCGCACTGTCCACGTCGTCAAAGTCCTTACATACCCCCAACGCGAGCACGACCAGTATCAGCATAGGTTCAGGACAGAACAGGATGTCTGTGCAACCATCGACCCCAACAGTGATCCCCGCAACGCCGACACCGAACCGGAACAGGAATGGCAGGCCCTCGTCGCCCTCTGCTGGCTCTTCGAACGACATCTTCTACGACGCGGAGGAACACGAGAGAGATCAGAACTCTAAACGGAGGTCTATGTATCGTTCGCCTGGGACAGCGTCCAGTCCAGATCTCGCCACTCTCGTCAGGAAAGCAAAGCAGCGCGGCGGCGTCCTCCAAGGCCATTTCTCAAAGGACAGACGCAACGAACCACCACCGCCTCCACTACCGACCTCCATCGCTGCACAGAACAACAATAACGGCTCGCCACGGAATAGACAGCGCTCTTCGACGTCTTCGGCCCAGGACGCGCCGACTACGCCGACTACAGGAAGGTCAAAGTCTGCGAGGTCAGCTATACCTGCAGGCAACAGTCCTGTAGGCTCAGAGTGGTTCATGGCCAGCCCAAAGTCTGCGGGGGCAAGTGGCTCCATCAAGGTGCGTGGCATGTCGATTCTCTCCGTTCTGTGCTCTCCTACCATGTCCCGAACGTATATTTATCCTCTCACGTTTCCGCCAAATGAAGCAACAAAACCCGAAGTCATCAGTACGCTCAAAGACGAGTGCATTCCTCGGGAAGATGCTCGGTCAGGGTAGCGTCCGCGAACGATCGGTCAGTTTCTACCCTGAACTCGAGGCTTGTTATTCGCTCAAAGTTATTACCGCCTCCTATCCCCGCATTAGAAAACGGACGCGTCACAAACCTCATCCTCCTTATTCCCCGTCAACCCCAACGCACCTCCCGTCCCTGCACTCCCCATGATACCCCGCGATGTCCCCTCCCCCTCCCCAATGTCCCCCGTCGGCTCTCCCATCGCAGACGTCTTCACCACCCCATCCTCTATGCCCGTGACGCCAATCTCACCGCCCCTTTCCTCCACCTCTCCCTCGATCACCATGTCTCCCGGCGATACCTCCAAACCCCTTCCTCCCATCCAAATTGGCTCCGGAATCGGGGACGAAGATGACCTAGACGAAGACGTCGGGAACGGGTCGATACTCGACTTTGACGACAAGTCGATGATTGTGATTGACAGACCTTCGAGGTCGGCCAGTTCCACGCGACGGTCGTACAATTCGAATACGAACTCCAATGCGAATTCGAGGAACAGTTCGCGCTCGCGGGATAGATCGAGATCACGCTCGCCCGAGAAAACGATCAAGGGCAAAGGCCGTGCGACGCACAACAGCCACAATAGCAGTAATACCGAGACGCTTCGCGCATCACATACGAAACGGCGAAGCATGAGCGTGAGCGAGGTAGATCTCAAAAAAGCTATTTCCGCTGCATCGAAGTCGACTCCTTCGACGCCCAACCCGAGTACGAAACCCAGCACCCCATCGACACCCTCCCATCGTTTCTCGTCATCTTCGACGTCGAAGGGTAAGTCCAAGGAAGATTATTACAATTCGACCACGATCACACCCGGCAATAGGAGGGTGTCCCAGGACTGGGACTCGAGGATGTATGGGATCATGTCGGATTTTGAGGGCCAGCTTTCGCAGTTGGTCGATCCTCAGGTATCGGCGATGAGTGGCGGTGGAGGACTGGATTTGGATCTGAAGGTACCGGAGACACCACCGAAGTCCAAACAGCAACAGCAGCAGCAGCAGCAGCAGCAGCAGCAGCAGCAGCATCTGCATCCGAATGCACACTCTCAAGCACTGGGGATAGGGCATTCGCAGTCGAAGCAGCAGAAGAGACCTTCGTTGTCACATAGGTCGTTCACGGACGAAACCGACGTGCGACCTTCGTCCTCCTCGGTGGCTCCCATTACAACGGACAGGTCGAGGCCACAGTCGAGACAGAATACGACGATGTCGTTACCGCTCACGTTACATCCGCCTATCGTTACCCTCGATTCAGGGACGACGATCTCTTCTGAAGCATCGACGCCCAACGTTAACTTGGCAGGCGGATATTCGTCGCATTCGTCGCCTACATCACCATCTTCGTTCCCCAACCCTCACACTCCCTCCCTCTCATCCTCCACGCCTCTCTCAGCATCCTCCTCACCCCGCGCAAGTATCGGCTCCGGCTCACCTAAATCAAGTATGAGCACCTCTGACACCGCCGATGGCACGACGACGATCAATGTCAACGTCCCGCCACCCCGTTCTTCATCACTCCACTCGCATAGCTCACTAAGCCATACATCTTCGCTTAGGGGAAGGTCACCCTCGACGGGCTCCGTCATCACAGGGTCTTCTGTCCCGAGAGGGAGGACGGGATCAGGGCCTATGGGTCCGAGACCTTCGCCCGCGCAGGTCTTGCTGGGGCCTAGTACGCATTTGGGCGTCAGTGGAGGAGGAAGACCGGGACATGGGACGTTTGGGAGTATGAGTGCGGTGGTGGGCGTTGGGGCGGGCAAGAGCGCGTTTAATAGTTCGGAACCTTCGTTGGTTTCGGAGGGGAGGGGAGGGAGGAGCGGTGCGTTTTTCCTTTTTCTCTTTTTTTTTCTTCATTCCTTATATGCTTTTGGATTTTCTTCATTTCATTTACGGGTCGTTACCTCTTGCTTTGGGTGGAACGGTCGTGCTGATCGTGTGATTTTTTGGCATGGTGTGGTGTGGTGTTGATGTAATGTCGCTTGGGATGGCATCGATGCGGCGTGGCGTTATAGGCTCGACACTCAGCGCAAGCTCCCAGCAAGATCTCAACGCACCCCTCCGGCGTCGCATGTCGGAGAACTTAGCTCTGAACCTGAATCATCGCACGGCGAACGAACTCAAATTTGCGGGTTCTTCTTCGCTTTCGCCGCCTTCGTTCTCTCTCGCTAGTCCTGGTCCTGGGGATGGGACCGGTGCGGACGAGGATGGGGAGGGTGCGGCGGAGAAAGTCGTGACGAGGAATGTTAGTGGAGGAGGAGGAGGAGGCGAGGATGGAGAGGAGGCGAAGGGGAGGGATTGTGCGTTCAAGGCGTGGGAGGAGGATGAGGAGTTTTTGGCGAGGGAGAAGATCGCGGAGTGGTTGGGTGGGCTGTACGTTCCCTTTCCTTTCCTTGCGCTCTCTTCTCGGTTGCGTTTGGTTTTCATCACATGAGCTGATCATACTGACGATGTTTATTCTTTTTGGGTTGTAGGGGACGGGTAAAGAAGATCGCGCTGCGGTATTATATAGATTACTTTGACTTTTCGGGATTGAGGCTTGATGTGGCGTTCCGGTGCGTTTTTCTTACTCTACATGTTTCGTTTTGTCGAAGAGGGACGGATATATGCGTGCATGATTCGCTAACGTCATTGATCTTTGGCTTTCTGTGTGTAGAAAACTTTGCGGTAAACTTTTCCTTCGAGCAGAAACGCAGCAAGTGGACAGGATCCTGGAAGAATTTGCGAGGAGGTACTGGGATTGTAATCCTGGCAATCTCTTTGGAGCAGTCGGTTCGTCCCTCTCTTCAATTAGAACATTGCTTTGTTCGTGTATCCCATATTGACTCGAGTTTACTGCACCTCATCACACAGGCGTCATCCATGCCGTCTCATATTCCATCCTGCTCCTCAATACCGATCTCCACGTCGCCGAACTCCAATCCCGCATGTCCCGAGGCCAATTCGTCCGCAACACGCTCTCCGCCATCCAAACCCAACTCGCACCCTCCTCCGGCAAAGGCTCCTCCACGGACCTCATCGACGCGGACGAAGCTAGTCTTCGGGGCGCTGTTGGTGCCGCTGGGAGCGAAAGCTTGAGGGGGAGTTTGAGGGGGAGTTTGGGCGGCGGGACTGGGACTGGGACTGGGACTGGAACGCAGACGGCGACGGTGACGAGCGGGAGCGGGAGTGCGAGTTTGATGGAGAGTGAGGCTGGGACGTATAGGGATAGTAGGGAGGGGAGGGAGAGGGAGAGGATGAATGAGATTGTGAGGAGGAAGAGGAGTGATTCGGTTACTAGTTGGAATAGTTTGACGAGGGATGTCGTCGCGGGGGCGATGATTAATGGGATTGTGATTAATGGTGGAGGTGAGGGTGGGAGTGGGAGTGGGGCAGGAGGGAGCGCGAGTGCGAGTGGGGTGGCGAGCCCGACGACGAATGATAGTACGGCGTCGGTCTCGGTGTTTACGACGGGGAGCGGGACGGAGAGTAAGACGCCGAGTACGCTCGTTTCGTCGGTTGTGTATGACCGGAATTGGGAGAATGATATGGAGAGCTTGTTGAAGGTTCGTCTTCATTCCTTTATCTGCCCTCGCAGCCGTCATTCATCTACGGGTCGATTATTCTGACCCTCCTCGTCATATATCTTTTCAACAGGATATGTACAACGCCATCAAGAGCCAGCCGATGTTGGCACCCCTGGGGAGTACGGCTCTGGCCCGCGCGTCGACGTCTTCACTTAATCCTGGTCCTGTACTTCGTAACCGAAGCATGCGGGTCCAGAACGATCGTCTCAATACGTTCAAGCGAGGGAGTATACGAGGTATACAGTCGATTCTTGGGGCTCAGTCCGGAGTCAGTCCGTATAGTATCAACAGCAGCATCGAGGGAAGGGTCAGTCCCTCGCCGAGTTACGCTGGGTCTGGTCATGAGGCATGTTACAACAACGCTACATCTACGTTACATGGGTAGCTGACTTTTTTTTTTGTTACTAGGCGTTCCTTGCTCCTACCCTCGGCTTCGCTTCTAACCTCTCTCACACTATCATCCGCGAGACGCAAGAAGACGACGATCGGAGTGGGCAGAGCCATGATTCCGAGTCGACTACGATCAGTATTACGGACGAGGAGCTTGCACTGCTCGGCCCGCCATGGGCCAAGGAGGGCATGCTCTGTCGGAAGCAGTACAACGAGACCGCTGGGAAGCGGGCAAAGTCGAAGGCTTGGATGGACGTGTTCGTCGTCATTCAGAAGGGAGAACTGAATATGTTCGTGTTTGGTGACCATGGGTCAGGCAGTCACAAGGTCGTTGGAGGCGGAAATTGGCTGGTGGGTACATCCCCTGATTTTCGTGGGTTTGTCATACTAATGTGATACGATGTGATGGGGACGGTGCAGGAAAACGCGAACCTCGTAGGCACGGTCACGTTGGCGCATTCGCTTGCCCATGCTCTGCCGCCACCTGGGTACAACCGACAGCGTCCGCACTGCATGGTTCTCACCCTGTCCAACGGAGGCGTCTACTTCTTCCAAGCAGGGACAGAAGAACTCGTCAACGAATGGGTCTCCACCTGCAACTACTGGGCTGCGCGACAGAGCAAAGAGCCTCTCACCGGCGGCGTGTCCAATATGGAATACGGTTGGAACCGCGTCGGCGATCCCCTCTCTCATGGCCGCTCTATTTCCGACAACGAGTCGCACCAGACCAAGGACGACTATGCGGACAGTGTGAGCATGCATAGCCAGAGGAGTAGTAAGAGTAGGCTTGGGTGGAAGGATGGCTCGCTTACGGTCAGGGCGGGGTCGTCTCCGTATTCGGAGAGGACGTTCATCAATGAATGGAAGCCACCCATGCCGCCGTCGGTGGCGAGTACACATGATGAAGAGGCACAGTTGGAGGCGTTGAGGAAGCATGTGGCGTCGATGAAGGAGGAGCTGCAGAATCATAATGAGATGCGGTCTCCGATGATGCAGCTGGTGCGCCGTTTGTCTCTTGTTAGGCATTTAAAATTCACTAACTGGCTAATTTTTGTTCTGGTGTTCGTTTATAGTACCCTGCAAGGTCGGCGAACGCTAACAAGGCACTCGGTAACTGGGAGAAGAAGTCTCAGTACCTCCTCACGGAGATCGTCAAGTACGAGTCTTACATCGACTCGCTACAGTCCGCCATGGCGCTCCGACTCAAGAAACGTGGCGAGAAAGCTCTCGAGCGTGCTCTGCATGGGGGTTCTGAAGACGAAGATTGCGATGCGTTTGGGCCCAACAAGGGGAAGTGGAAGGGAAGGCCGGACGAGGCAACCATCATGGAGGGTGATGAGCCACCACCGAGCAGTGGTGGGATCGAGGGGCTGGAGAAGAGGCCGGGATCTCAGATGAGGCATCGGAGGGAGACGGCGGAGGTGGACGATGAGGTGAGCGATGAGTAAAGTTGTACATTGGTGTCAGAGTCGAATGAGTGCTCCTGTCGTTTCGTGTTCCGTGTTTGCTGTTCGACGTTCGTTGTATGCTTGTTGTGGTCGATCCCGAGGTATATACGATTATGTTTCGATGGTATGATGTCCATCTATCCCTTTCCTTTCCGCTGCCTTCCTGTTTTTTCCCGTGTCCGCGTCTTGGCCCGCCTCGCCCGTCTTACTCGTTCCCATGTCTATGCATCCCTAGCTGTTCTCCTATCATCTCCCTTTGTGATTCTCGTTTTCTTTCTTATATTTTCCTTGCGCTCTCCACTCTCGTATCTCTGTCTCCTCTGTCTCATGTGGTCGCTTTCTACCTTCTTATATCTACCTTTTTGTATGCCTGCAGTACGGTCGTATACCTCAGTCTGGAAATATGCTTCATTGAACTCATATATACCACTTACGGATACTATAATCTCATCTCTATTGTGGATATACCTGCCGTTCATAGTGTGGTACATGACGACGAAGTTGTGGCACATTCGCCAGCGCCATGGCATGTTGAGCAAGGGGTGCAAGGGGTGCCGGCCAGTTGGCGACTTCGCCCCGGATAGTTCCGAAGTTGTTAGCCTCCTTCGTGACTTCGTCAAGCTTCAGGTTTATCACGACGGAATGGTTTCTGCCTACGACAATGCTGGTTGCCCTGTGCTCAGCCATTTCTACTCCTACCCTTCCGTGCGTCAATCGTGTTTCGTCTATTCTCGATCTCACAGACACGCGGCACCTCAATCGCCGTCGGCGGCGCGCACATCCTCTGGCAGCTCTATATACTATTTACCACGAAGACTCTCAGACAGTGGTGAGCTCAGGCTCGGTAGAACGTCCAAAACAGCACTTGATTCATCACCTCACAAATGCTCGACGGCCCACAATCAAGTGTACTCATTAGCCCCTACTTGCCGACGAAATAGCCCTTCGCTCATGCCACTACAGGCCCTTCCTCGATCTTTTTACCAGGACCACTATCAACAATCTACTGGGGGCGACTTGAGGATATGCTCAACCGTGTATCCTCACACATCACGGCGCGACCATTAGGTCATTCTAGTACGGAAATGCTCTGCGATGAAAGAATAGGTTTATACGGCCGAGGAAACTCTCAGTGAGGGCTACGGTGTGTGCATGTATGTATGTCCGGCTGTGACTTCTTCATACTACACCACGGTGGGGAGAAACAGAATAGGGGTATAGAGAGATGTGGGGATGGGAATGATACCGTCTAATTTGGTCGTATGGATCGATCGAAGTCGGGAACTTCGAGTTAGAGTGCGGGCCATGGACCTGTTGATGAAACCACTCTTGATGTCCAATTGACGATGGGTCTCACCTGCTGGAGGCATCGTCACCTCAGTTCCCAGTTTAGGAGACCGCTAAGAAGAGTATTGGAAGAGCGGAGCGAGGAGGGGTTGACCATTTGACGCAGTGGCCATGTATGCACTGAATCGTGATTGCCAGAGTCGGGCGCTGGGGCGAACGGCGATCTTGTTGGTCGAGATTTTGTTCCAAATTTACAGTGCTCCCCGTCTCCATCTTCCGTTACGGGTAACTTTGTCTTATGAAACTGTTGTGACGGTCGTGCTCGGAGTACACTAAGATAATTCAGTGTCTCAGCCATACTTTTCCGTGCTTTGTTGTTCTTTCGTTTTAGCAGTGGTGATCCCCATCCTTCCTTCCGCTCTCACCTAGTATATGTGTATCTCACCATGTTATGGCTGCACTTAAAGGATGCTCGTGCATCACCACATATTCTCATAAATGATTACTTTCAATCAAGTTATCAACAATCAAGTGTGGCATTAACCATGGCCACCATCTAGTAATCTGATCCTCCTCTTGATATATTGGTCCTATGATTTTATTATTTGTTTGAGACTAAGAACAGGCTGTGTTCAAACTACCAGCAGACATATATAAAGGTGTTCTCAAGATAAGAGTAGGATCTCTAGCTTTACAAACCACCTCTGCCGGTCATGTCATCCTCAGTGGGATTACAAGACATTATTGCTGAAGATCAATTATGGTGAGTATGTTTGTGCACTGTACTCTATATTATGTGCTCTGACAGGATTATTCACAGGATCATCACAGGTTATACACAATTCTCTGCACAAAGTATGTTGACTGCCCTTAAAGTCCTTGACCTTCTCAGTAATAGCTCTTTTATAAGTTATGTGGATCATTGACTTTATTCAGACACTTCCCATGGAGATCACTGTCACATGGTCCACACCACTGACTGGGACTGCTATCATATTTCTTATCAACCGCTACGCAGTTGGAATCAGCACTATTGTCACTTTTATCTTTACAAGCCCTGGCTCTATCAGTAATGGCAGGTAGGTTGCAAATACATACATCAATAGATAAACTATAAATGACCCACTTATAATATATTTTAGTTGCCAAGGAATGGACCATTTCTTGGACACCACAAACCTGATCTCAATTATTGCTACAAACTGTTAGTAAGCAAAATGATCTGTGTTTCTCACCAGTTTTATCTTACTTCAAATTCTAGTGTTATTCACTCTTCGGGTCTATGCTATATGTGGTCATAGTAAGATCATTCTCCTCTTGGCATTGACAATGCTACTTCCACGATTAGGGGTTGATATTTGGGTATGTGAAAAAAAAAACATGGTCAACAATAAGATACTACTATAATTGACTCTAATGGTATCAGAAACTCACCCCCAGTATGGGTGTAGCCCTTTCAACCACAGGGACACAATTTGAGGTGTTTTCCCAGTGCGCATTGACAGCTCCTAGTAGTTCCTTATTTAATAAGTGAGTCATATACATATATCATATGCTTTATTGACAACTTACTTGAGATGAAGATGTAGGCTTTGTTTTATATCACACCTCTAGAGTTTATACTTTCTAACTTGACACACATTTGCACCAGCCATTGTTGCAACTGCAATCCTTCCTTTGATGTTTGACTCATTTATATTTGGAGTGACTATCTTCAAGACATTTCAGCATGCTGTAGAGATGCGTAGACATGGCCGAATAAGTATTGCAGAGGTCATATTGAGAGACGGTAAGCATCAATATTCATTATGCTTCAATGATAAGATCATTTATTGACTTCACTTTCAGGAAGCCTATACTTTCTGTTAGTTCACATCATTGGAGTATTTTATACCTTTGACAATCACCTAATCATCATCTACAATCAGTTTGGTATTTCTTTTTTCTGCTGCAAATATTGTCCTTCAGTTTGTATGTATTTCTGTATATGGCTTGAGTAGCATAAAAGCTAATATTGAGCTACTCAGATCTCCATCTCTGATGCAAGTTGTTTAATCTCAATCCTTCTACTGAGTTACTGTGTGCCAGTTATTAATTCATTTATAGGATGCTACCGAAGCTGTAGGATTAGTTAGTGATATATTGGGACCATATTTCACTCTGTACGTTCCACAGGAACACAATTTTCCACAATATGTATTAACAATATTTACAGGATGCCAAACCTTTTGGTTAACCGCCTTTACCTCAATCTTCGTATGATGAATGTTCCACCTACTCCCACAAACTCCAAAAATAACAATATACGGGAACCTGAGGCTGTTCGAAATCGAGTCCTTGGTAACATTGGAGCACCCCTTGACCCAGACTGGTGGAACACCCAGTTTGATGAGGATGAGGAGTTGAATGATGATGGCTTAGGGGAAGAAGCAGACCGAATGGGTACTCATGCAGGAGATGGGACGACTACACTTGTCCCAGTCGTAAGTAGACCTTCTCCCATATCTCTGTTCAAATCACTAAAAGATATGATGATGACAGGTCTATGATGAAGAGCCTGGAGCAGATATTGAGATGGTGCCCATCCAAAGAGAAGTGCCCAACGCAGGGCCATCTCGCTCCGGAAGTAATGTTAGTAACATGGCTTAAGGTCAGTTGCTATATCTATCTCTATTCTCTGCAGATGATATACACTCACTAACACAGACATGGTGATCATAGAGGTAGTTACAAGCAGCTTACCGGCCAAACTGTACCACATCCTTTGCCAAACACAACCAACACACACAACTAGAGCCATTCCACCATGGTCTTTCTTAGTTTCAATTCTTTCTTGAGCATATCTTGACAGCTTGGACTCAGGGGAATATACTAGATTCCCATGTTCCTATATTCAATATCGTTCCCAAACTCTTACATCTACAAAATCCACATACTTGACATTTAAGCCTTTCCTCATTTCTTGATCATCTTGTATGAACTAGTTGACCTTGTTCACAACGATGTACCACATATCTTGCATTTTAGCACGGGCTATGAATCTCAGTCAAATCTCAGTTGTTGATTCAGCTCAGCCGTAGTTCCAGTGTGATATCAAGCAGGGGAGAGAGCCTGCAGAACAAGTCGTGTACAAGGCTTCTACGGCTCGAGATATGGCGACGGCAGTTTGCTCAGAGTAAGCTCTTTCAATCTGCTCCAAGTGCGACCAGAACCGGGATTCAATAGCATGCTCGCTCAATGCCTTCCTTGCGTTGGAAGTCTTCATGTCACTTCACGTATATACCGGCGCTACACCGACACAGAACGAGGAATGAACAAATTCATAACCTCTGAGCATCAAAGATGCGTAGAAGATGTCAGAAACAATAACCTCACAGAGATCTGACAACATAACACAACAACCGAACACCGATTTCCGCTAGCTCATTTTGCTACGGATGTGTTAGGGCACAAGGCCGCGACATGGCAGACGATGTATCTTTCGGAAGTATAATGAGATACGAGTCGCAGACCAGCGAACAGAAGTACCGTTCGTGCGTTCTGAGTGACAGAATCCGTGGTATGTCTCGGGTGTACGAACTCGTCCGACGTCCGGCATCGTACACTCGCTCATGTTCTCCGCTGACTACTCCGGATCGCTCGACTGACAGACGGACAAACGGCAGACGTACTGTTACATTCACGTTCCACAAACACTCGCTACACGGGACTCCGAAAGGCTACATGGTATCTATATCGCATTTCTGGTACAGTGAACTTCTTCTCCACCAATTCGTTTCGCTTCGTGTCGAGATCAGTCGGTCTTCGCCTTGGCCTTGTTGTTCTGGAGCTGTGTTGCGTTCATAAACGTTAGTGACAGTCCAGAGTCATCTTACCCCACGTCCTTTCGGCCCCATCGCCCACACCCACAAGTGCCAGGCCGAAGGTGCACATTTAAGACTTCAAAGATCCCAGGCAAAAAAAAACTCACCACTTCAATCCAGTAGCCATCCGGATCCAAGATAAACGCAATATGCTTCATCCGCCCGTCCGACAACTTCTTCTGGAACGGCACGCCGAGCTTCTCGAACCGCTCGCAGGCGGCGTTGACGTCGTCGACGGTGATGGCGATGTGCCCGAATCCGCGCGGTTCTTTGTTGCCGTTGTGGTAGGGAGTGGATTCGAGGGATTCGGTGCCGTGGTTGTGGCAGAGTTCGAGGACGCCTAGTGGGGAAGGGGGGTGTATGGCGGAAGTGGGAAAGGTAGAGTGGGAGCGATGAGAATGTGAGATGAGTATAGGAAGGGATTGTGATGGGTGGAAGGAATGAATTTACCTTCACGGTTGAGACGGTCTTCCTCCTTCTCCTCGGCGGTGAGCTTGCCGCCAGAGTGGTCGAAGGTTAGGAAGTAATTGGTAAAGTCGGGGCCGTCGTGGGCTGTGTATCGTTAGCAGACACTGCGATCAGGCCGGCCGTGCGTATGAACAGACAGCAGAACGAATACCAGAGACAAAGTCCATCCCGATCACCTAAAGACCGAATTCATGCATCAAAGTGAATGTCGTGGGTTGAGGTAAGAAGAGTACGTACGTCGGTGTAGAAGGCGAGAGAGACTTTGGGATCTTTGATCCGGAGCATGGTATGATTGAGCTGTTACAGCATCCTCAATTCACGAACTTATCGGCCGAAGAACATCGAGCAGACATACACGGAAGCCAGCTGTCTCAGCGGTGCGAGGCATGTTGACTATCGAGCGAGTAGAAAAAAGTCGTCTGGTGGGTGTACGAGCGAGAGTCCTAGCTATCGATGGTGAGAAAGCAGCAAAGGAGAGTGGAGTTATCATTGTCGCCGTCGAGCGGGGCTCCGGGCGACTTTGGAGGACCGCGTCATGGCGTGATTGCGATTGGCGCGACGCGACGGCCTTGTTGACCGCGTGATTTCGTTGATGCGCTCGGCATTCGCCGGGCGGCTCCTCGGCGCTCTGGTCTGCACCTCCGTCTTGTGCTCGTCTTTCATCTCGTCCACCACCATCCCCGCGCTTCCTCACCATGGCCCCCACAGACGCGTATTACGACGGCTATTCTCCGCCGTCGTCGTCGCCGTTCAAGTCGTCTCCGACGCACTCGATGTCTTTGTACGGTGCTCGCGAAAAACTAACGCTGCCGAGCCAAAGAGCGTGGTCCCAGTCTGACTTCAGCGACTCGCTCGAGCTGCCCCCGCTCGTCTCCGATGATGCTCTCACTCTCCACTCGTCCTCGTCTCGTCCGCACTCGCCGTCTTCAACACCATTGGACACAGATCCAGAGCACGATCCAGACGTACTTTCATCCCCGGCTCGCGATACGTTTCCGTTCCACAACCCGATTACCACTCGCCCTCAAACCTCCTATTTCTCAAATTCTCCAAGAACTCAGAAGGCTCAGGACGTGGATATAGCAACTGCACTACTCGCACTGCACGCCTACCCCCGTTTCTCGTCGACGTCCTCCTCGCGTTCACCCCCACTCAGTTCACCCGATTTCCCAATTCAACAGCACCAACCGCAGCCTCTTCCGGCTCCTCAGACGCCCGTCCGCCGCCATCATCCTCGCCCACCTGCACTAGCAGGTCTCCTCCGTACACCCTCTCCAGAACCTCTTCCTGTCTACACTTCCCGAGCTCCGTCCCGCTCTTACCCCTCTTCAGATTCGTACACCCTCCCAGTTATTGATGTAGTGGCGTCGAAGCCATCCCTTATCGATAACTCTGACATTCAACCTCATGCCAAGTCTCCGGCACCCATTCAAGAAGTCGAACCTTTGCACTCCGCTCGCTCGACATCTATTCCTCCGCTTTCTGCGCCCGACGTTCATGGTTCCTCCTATCGCTTGTCAAAATTGCCTCAACATACCGCTCGCCACGTCACACCTCCAACGGATCCTTACGCAAATCGTCATCCCATAGTCACTGCCACCAATGCCGTCAACGCCAGCAAAGCGTCTACATCATCATCTCCGTCACCAATAACCGTATTTAATTCTGCAGTTCGTCTTCCTCCACTCCACGACTCCCATCTTATCAACTCGCGTCCCTCCAATTCCAACAAGGCTGCACATGCGATTCCTCATCCATCAGAGTCTACGAATTTACGAACTGATACGAATGTCAACGATGATGCGGGCGGTGACGATATTCACGATTTCAAGCCTCTGACGTCTGCTACGGCCTGTACACCTGCTGCACCTACGGCTTTACACCCTCGTGCCCACTCACGCTCCTACTCAAACTCCACCCTCCCACCCTCGTCCCCGTTCTCAGACGCCAGTCAGCTTGCAGCCGAAGAACCAGATGTAGACGCGCGGTCACGCGCCTCCTCTCCGAATAGTCTACGTGTGCGGTCTTCGTCTCCGCTCGCTCGTCTGGACGCGAGCGCGGGCGCACTCGTGCAAGAATCCGATGTTCCCTCGTCTATCCAGGCCAATCTCGAATCACACGAGGTACACTTCTCTACGCCCGCTTTCCTGCCTCGTTCCTACCATTCTGCCCCTATCCTTTCCCTGCCATGTTGCTTTTTCGACTTCGGTTTTGCAATATGCGGTCTGCTGACTGCTCTTGTTTGGCCTCGTGGTAGATTTCTCCGTTCGTCATTCAACGCGATGCGTCTCCGTCAGAGATGACTCTGCCTTCGAGCGCGAAGGTGGAGCCGGAGATCGTTCCGAGAGTGTTGGAAGCAGAGACTGGGGATGACGGTGGTCTGACATCAGACTTGGTCAATGCGAAGGTGGGCGTCAAAGGAGAGGAAAGAGGAGACGAGTCTGAGACGGTTACGGAGAAAACGGATTTCTATGAGCACGAATCTATCTCCGTCCCTCATGAGGTGGAGATCAGGACGGAAGTGGTAGCAGCGGCCGCCGAGGTTCATGTACAGGTTCGTCCGCTACTCTCTCGTTCGATTTACGGTGTGATTGATTTTGACCTTCAACCGTCTCGTACGACTTCAGCGTACATCATCGCCTTCAGCCGTTCTCCGGTCCACTCCTCCCGTTCAATCAGCGTCTTTGCTATCTCAGCCATCGCGACTTGAGCGTCCACTTCCTCGTCCATATTCGTCAAGCCGCAGTCCCACGCCTTCACATCACCAATCTCATGTCGCGTCTCGTGCTCCCTCACTGTCTCTCTCAGAACCCAAATCTCGTGCGCCATCCATTCCTCATTCAGAAGGCCGCGCTATCCCAGTCTCCCGTTCAGAACCCAATGTGGATATGAACGAGCACCTTCGTGCCGCGAGTCCGTTGTCGACACCGCCGTGTTCGTCGCCTATCCTGGCACCGGCGGCGCGCGCTGACGAGGAGGTTGAGGGCGTTGGTATTGCTGTTGTCGACCAGGACCCGAAGGTCGAATTCGCTATCGAGATCGAGCCCGTACGCGCCCAGACGCCCGCACCCACGTCGCCACTTTCATCACCGCCTGGGTCGCCTCGCCCATTCTCCATCCCCGTCTGCACTTCCGTTCGTGACTCACCAGCGCCTATTCCAGCCACAAAGCCCTCTACAGTCCAAGCGCAGAAGCGGAAGTCTGTGGATGATTTGAACGACGAACATGGTCGGGAGAAGAAGGCTAAAGTCAATGCAGAGCAAGAAGTAGCTGCTTCTAAGGGAACGAAGAGGAAAGTCTCGCCTATTGGGAATGTGAAACGAACCAAGAAGTCGAGGGTCATACTTTCTGATGACGAGGATGATGAAGTCGAGGATGTGAAGAAGTCTATCGCTGTTGTAGAAAGCGAAGACGAAGACCTTCGTCCAAGGAAGTCCTCTGTCCCTGCGAACAAGAAACCCGGCCGTCCACATGCAAAGACCAAGGCGAAACGCAAACCACGTACCCCGAGCCCTTCACCCTCCGAATCTGACACCGACTCCGATTCCTCATCTCGCTCGTCCTCCTCTTCTCGGTCTTCATCCCCATCTTCCTCGCTCCCTTCGAAGTCTAAGAAGTCCAAATCAGAACTCAAAAAGCCCTCCCACGCCGAACTCGACCTCATAAACCCCTGTCCGAACCCTGAACTCCTCGGGATGCTCGTCGAGGCTCTGGCACTCGCTAGAGCTTCGAGCATGACGAAGAAAGCTTTGGTGAGGGAGGTCGAGGGAAGACATCCGGGTGCGAGGAGGTTGCTTGCTGATGGGGATGTTGAGGGAGATATGGGGAGGAGGTCGAGGTCTGTTGCTGTTGAGGCGGAGGGTGCAGACGAAGGGAGTGCTGCGCAGGTGGGGGCGGAAGGCGTGTTGGTATGGGGTGTTGAGAGGGGCGTGTTTGGTGTTGTGGAGAGTTCGGGGGAGGTGAGTCGTCATTCTTCTCTTTATTGCTTCTGCGGCCTTCCTCGATTTTACCGACAAATACTCATGCTGGGCTTGACCTTCGCAGCACCTTCCCCCATCATATTTCTACAACGCCTCTTTCGACCCAGACTCAGACCGTGCCGCGCTCCTCACAAGCCTCATGCCTCGCCCAAATAAGAGGAAAGAAACGATGAAATATAAGCAGTATTATTGGGCTCCTGTTACGTTGCCTTCTGGCGGTGCATCGACATCAGGTGGTGGGAGAGGGAGGAGAGGAGGCAAGGCGAAGAGTGGGGCGAAGGGGAAGCAGGTGAGGGTTGAAGAGGTGGGAGGGAAGGTCTGGGAAGTTGATTGGGAGGAGTGAGGTGTTCGTGAGGTGATGGGTGCTCGAGGAGGTCCTGTTCCTGGTCTCGATATCGATGATTGTATAGTCGTGTGGCGTGGGACGTGGGACATTGTGGCCCAGACATCCTGTGGCGCAGAAGTAATCATGAAGCATGAAGTGTTCTCATTCCACTCATCTCAATCATAGTACATATCCTTATTCTTGTTCATCTCTCTTGGACCTTCATTCTTTCTTCTTCGTTCTTGCTCTACTTCGTCGCGAGTTCGTTCTTACTCTTAGTCTTTATGTTTCATATATGTTCATTGCTCAGCAGGCGTTCTCGTTCTTCCTCTATTACTTTTGCACGTTCTGCATATATTTGGCAATGCTCTTCCCTCATCAATATTATACGCTACGATACGATACGACAGTCTGCATGTTCATGCTGATGATATTTTAGTACATGTCTCGCAAAATTGAAGGTACCGAAGAGATGATTGTCGAGGAATGGAAAGTTTTTGACTACGTCTTTCACGGGACTGATGCGAACGACAGACTCGTAAACCAACTCCAGCGAAACGAGCCGCAATAGCACGTCGGTGGCCCTCGAGAGGTGCACCCACGGCGAAGCCGACCATGACGAGCACTTGCAGTTGACGAGGACAGGCCCTCCCTCCGGCAAATGCCGAGATCGTCCATCGTCGATCAATCATACATGCTTCGAACTCCACCGCTCGGCGCTCGAGCTCTCACTTTTGGCAAGGTTCGACGAAGAGTTTCCGGTCAGGATCACAGAGGGTACAGCTGTATTTGATTTCAGTCAACGCTCAACATCACAAGGGTCCCGGTATCAGTGATTGAGCGAGTTCACGCACCGAAAGCTCTTGGAAAACATCTTCGTTCTCTTGAGGCTCCGAGACGATGACGTCGTGAACCCCAGATTCGCAAGGGCACCCATCGTCTGGCCGGAAACAGTTCCCCGTTGCAGTGATGGCCTTCGGGTGACATCTCCATAACATCGTCGTAAATTGTTGTGCCTGTGGGGGACTAGATGCGAGCGCGGTACGTATCATCTGCTTCGTCCCCTTGTTCGTCCGCCTTCTCCACCAACAACAATCAGTGCAACACCCGAGCGCACCGCACCCTCCTTTGTTCCTTTTCTCTCAGCTTGCATTGCCTGCGATTCCCTCCGCTCGTCTGTCTTTACCTCTCACCAACTGCTCTCCTCTCTCACAGTTGCTGTGCCGAGCTATTCGTGCCAGAAGGTTCATTTTCCTCTCTTATCATCACCCTATAACCTTGCCCACAAGGCGGACAGCAGTAGCGCTCCGAGGCCTTGAGAATTAATCACAGGTCATCCTCCGTCATCACGTCTTGAACTCACCACGACGGTGGCGAAGCCCTCTGTGAGTCTCCCCCACTATCGCTTCGGTCGGCTACGCTACATCCTCCGTCATCGGTGTACTTACTGTGAGGCAGCAACACATATAGAACGTGCTGCACCCTCCTTTCTGATCGTTTCGATCTTTGTCCCGTACGTCCCGCGACTCTCCCCTTCCTCACCACAACCGCACGGTTTCACTGCGCCCCGACTTCGTCTGCCCTCGTCTTCCAGTCCCTCTTTTGGTCTGCTGCTTACTCTCAACCGTGTTCCAGCGCATTCGAATTTTGATCTCGACGCAATATCCCTCCTTAGTAACAAGTCTAAGGACTCAAACAATGTCTCGCAAATATTCTCGCTCTGCGCTTACTATTGTCGCGGGCGTCTGCTTTACCGCTCTCGTCTATCTCTCCTCTCCATACTCCCCACCACCGCCACCAGCCTTCTTCCGAAGCGGTCCCGGGCCGCATAGGCCTTGGGGACTTGGCTTCGGTTTCGGTGAGGGGGGTAGCAGAGGACCAAGTCTGTTGAAGAGGTGGCTGTGGGAGGAGGACGAGAGGTACCAAGAAAGTGTCAGGGAGAGGCAGGAGTTGATTGAGAAGTGGGGCCCTGGAGAGGGGCAAGTCGACCCGTGCGTTCATTGCCCCTGTGCCTTGTCCTGCTTGAAACTGACCTTCGACCCGTATCTTCTCGTCGTTGTAGATTCCCCTCGCATGGCGAGTTCTACACCCTGTGGGATTACTTTATCCCGTCGTTCCAGTGCCCTCATCGGGTCGAGCGTATCGGTATGCGTGGGGATGGTGGTAAGTGGGTCTGTGGCATGGATCGTGTCGCTGAGCAGCAGGAATGTGTGATCTACTCGTTTGGTCAGTCCTTTCCTTCCCGACTTTTCTTCTGCTATTCCGCTGTTCCTAACCCGACACGCATACCAGGCATAAATGGAGAATCATCATTTGAAGCCGCCTTGCTCGAGCGCGCGCCTGGCTGTCAAGTTTGGGGGTACGACTTCAGCGTCAACGAGGTACATATCATTCACCCCTTTCACCACCTAAATCAGTTCATGTATAGCCTCCGGCTGATCTTTGATCTCGTGTTCTAGTTCGGTCCGGAGATCGAACTCATTCCTTCTCTTCAGAAACGGTCACACTTCCTCTCCGCTGGATTAGCTGGCGAAGACAAGGCTTCGGAGTACGACAATCCGAAGTTCTACACGCTTCAGTCGCTCATGGAGATGAACAGTGCGTTTCGCTGTTTGCCCTTTCGCTCACTCGATTTTAGTGTCTGACCACGACATTTCGATTGACTTTGCGTGTGCAGACCACACCTTCATCGACATCCTAAAAATCGATATCGAAGGCGCCGAATTCGAAGCTCTCGCTGCTCTCGTCAAGGCCTACGCAACAGCACCGCCGCCGCCGCCACCGCACCCTTTCCCTCCATCAAACCCTCCTGACTCGTCCGACCTCGATCATCACCACCATCCCCACGATGCATCATTCCCACCGCCTCCTCCGCCGCTCACAGTCCTTCCCTTCGGCCAACTGCAGATCGAGATCCACGCGAGGCATGGACATGAAAAGTTTGCTGAGTTTGCGCGGTGGTGGAAGGATCTTGAAGAGGCGGGCTTGAGGCCGTTTTGGACGGAACCGAATTTGGTGTATGTGAATTTGGTGAGGGGGGTTGGGCCGGAGTTGGCTGAGGTGCGTTGGTCCTCCTGCGTCTCTACTCCCTTTACTGACGGATTCGTATCTGTGATCTAGTATTCGTTTATGAATATCCGGGGAGAGCATGCGCTCGTATCCGACTTCTACTAAGCTGTGGAATTGGCGTCCGTCTGGGTGACAGAAGGACGTTGATGTGTTCTTGCGTTCATCGGTCGTGTGCATCGGACTTTTTTCTTTCTCGGAATTCACCACCTTTCATACCATTTCGATCTCGTCCGCCCTCTACTCCTTGCATCTTCTTGCTCTTCCCATACCCTCATTCCCCATCCATTACCCCTCTCATCCCCCCACGTCTGGCTGCCTCGGCCACTACGTCCCTCATCACTCCCCCTCTCGACAATACAACCATTTGTCATACTGTATCCTATCCTCACTGTGCTTAACAGACCCCGCTCACTACCCACTGCTCTAATCGTTTCATATACCTTCCCCCTTCCCCCTTCCATCTTTTCTCTATGTCCATGGACTGCTCTCTACAGCCTGCTACCTACTTTTATGCCCGGCCTGGAGCTGAATATTGGACACCGTGACTGAGGCGTCTTTTCTCTTCTTTCGTAGCCTCATTCTACCTATCCCTGCCTACCTATGAATGTCTGTCTAGATATTTCATGGACTTCTTGACATTTAGATTTTCTCTGTATACTTTTGCTTATGCAGCTTCCCTAACTTACTGAAACATTATGAGTGGTTGGCACATTGGTGCCGCAACGGCCTGCAGTGGCGTCATATATTTAGATGACTGTCAGCGCCCGTGTTATCTCCGTTGACTGACCGGTGAGAAATATGAAGTCCTCTCCATGGGTGGAAAAGAAAGAGAAAGTGTGCACTTCTTCGAGGATAGGGAGAGGTGGTCACAGAGTTGCACTGGACGCAGTTGCTGTTAATCTGCCACGCGTTTCGAGTCACTTAGTACAATGCATAATATTGTCTGTTCGTGTCCAATCTTGACGAAGGCATGTAGATATTTCTGATAGAGCATGGGCAGAAGACTGCAGGAACGCAGCGACGCCACACACCGCGCCACTCTCGATCCTCTCAGTCCGTCACGGTCACTGTTTGGCAAGAACAAACAGGAACAAACAACGCGTAAACGCGCGTTCAAACGGCAACAAGTTGGCAACAAGAAAAGTTTGCCTGGGCCCTGCACTAACTAGTAACACTTTGACCCATCATGCATCAGCTTGCGACGAGGTGTTTTAGTGGCGTTTGTAGGGTGCGCGAACGCAACTTTTGTTTGAAATCCTGCCTTCTTTTCTTTTTTTGGTTTTGCCAGCCGTAATTCAGCGTAACCATTTGCTCGGCTTCAACGGCTCGATAACAATGGGCTCACGGAGAAGGTAAAATAAGGTAGCGTGACTGCTCTCATGTTCAAGTTGGATCACCGATGTATGGGAAGCTCTTGACGACCATCGCTCTGCTTCATCTTGTCCTGCCCTCTCCTTGTAGGTATGTGTAAGTCTTGATGTGCACTCGCATGCCACACAGGTGCCGACCGGTTTGCTCGCTTCATCTCCGCGGGTGCACACATGAATGATCTTTCGATGAGTCGGAAGGAAATATGCTACACATATCAGAGGCAGGGGCATATATATAGACGGCCTTCTCTCTCGGACGGAGGACTAACGTTTGAAGCTCTCTCATACACTTTCATTTTCAGCAAACTATCGAGTAAACTCTCGACGTCTACAAACATCTAGCATGTCTCTGTGGCATTCCACTCTTTTTCTGTCGCTACTGTTTGGTAGCAAAATCCTCTTGGCGCACTCGACATTCACGACAAGGGTACGCCTGCTCTATTGACTGCCTCGGATCTCAGGTTACCTTACTGAGACATTCTCATCTTCACCGACCTGTAGTACCAATCCACCGACATTGTCAATGTCCCTCTCGTTATTCAGGTTCCTTACAACACCATTGAGTCCAAAACCTACTTTCTGACTTGCCCGACTGGTACCGACGTCGAAGTTCCGGGGCCAACCATCTACGACGAAAACGGTGAACTTGTCTGGTTTGGGTCCGATGTCGGGGACTGCATGGACCTGAACGTTCAAACGGTCAACGGAGAGACGGTGTTGACCGTCTGGAATGGGACGAAGAATAGTGCAGGGTATGGTTCAGGACAGGCATGCTTTATTTCACCGATCAAAACCTACTAGTGGAGTTAACACCCGTCGTTTTCAGGGAAATGTCTTAGACAGCACGTACACAACGATATACACTCCAACTTGCAACTCTACGACTGGTTCTGACATGCACGAGGCACGCGCCGTTCTATATTATGATGCGTTGTTGTCTAATAACTTGACGAATATTGTCTCAGCTGCATATTCCTAATGATACCAACAGCACCGCTATCATGACGACGTTCTATCCTATCCAACAGGACCTCAGCTCGGTGGGGGGCTCTTCTTCTGGATGGCTCTTGGCTTCCGGGTTTCAAGAAGTCAGTATTGCAGACGGAATGGTGCTGTTCAACTGGAGGTACGGTCATCCAGCTCTCGACAGTGCCAAAAAAATGTGACCGTGGGTGATCCCCTCCAGCGCTGTCGACCATATGCCCCTCAACGAGAGTTACGAGACAATAAGTGGCGACGTAGGCACGACCTCGGACACTCGTATGTTCTATGGCGATTTTTTTTTACCATCACGACCATTTCCGCTGATTTGGGCACCTTTGACGACCATGGCAGCTTGGGACGCGTACCACATCAACTCGATCTCCAAGGACTCGAATGGGGATTATTTGGTCTCTTCACGGTCTCTATTTCCTACCGCTGGTTCAGAAAACCAGAATGTGCGCACTAATTTCGCGTTTGACCCCGCGTTTCCAGGTACTTCCGTCAGATCATGAAGGTCTCGAAAGATGACGGTGCGGTCATCTGGAAACTGGGTGGGATGACATCCAACTTCACCCTGGACACCGAATCAACGTTCGTTTGTTCCTGTCACTCGTCCTCCACGAGCTGAGTGTTGATTATTTGCTCCTTTTAAAGGTTCTACGGGCAACACCACGTCAGGTGGCATGAGGGCGATACTAAGCTGTCTATCTTGTACGCTTTTCTTTTGTCCTGATCTATATGTCACTCAAGTCGCTGCATTTTTGGCACATAGCGACGACGGCATCGAATCTGTGGAAAATCTTGAGAAGACCTCACGGGGTATTTATCTAGATGTGAACCAAGAGGCTCTCACAGCCTCGCTCGTCTACCAATACCTACCCCTCGAGTCCGTAGAGAACTGGTCTCTCAGCCAAGGTTCTAACCAGGTGAGCCATTTCTGCACATTCGAACCTTCGATCATGTGGTGTTGCGAGAAACGAGGGCCGATATAGAATGTAATTGCAGGTACTCGACAACGGAAATGTGGTAGTTGGTTTCGGAAGCAATCCTTGGATCGCAGAGTATACGTGAGTCATCCATCTCTTGCACCAGTGTCCGACGTGAAACGTGCTGAATGAATATATCTATAGTCTGAATGGTACCACGGTCTTCTTCGCGACGTTCGGAATGGACGGTGAAACAGGAAACAGCCCGCTTCAGGTACAATCCACCTGGACCGTCTGTGCTCTTGAACGTACTGACTCCATGAGCTGGTATAGAACTACCGCGCGTACAAAGTCTCCAATTGGGTTGGAAATCCTACCACATCCCCTGACATTGCCGTCACCGGCTCTTGCGATGACCTGTACGCCTCTCCCTTTCTCATTTTCCATGTACTACCGCACCATTCTGACATATGCACGTTGCTGCCCCTGCAGGACGGTCTATGTCTCCTGGAACGGTGCCACCGAAGTCACTTCCTACGCCTACTTCTCTGGACCTTCTGCTTCCAATCTTACAGGCCAATTCAACGTCACGCGCTCCGGCTTCGAGACATCCTGGAACGATAACTCGACCTCACCGGCGTATGTGCGTGTGGCGGCGGTGGCGGCGGACGGGACTGTGCTGGGCTGGACGAATACAACGGCTGTGGATGCTTAAGATGGACACAAAAAGACCTGAACACTTCTCGAAGACTTGAACCAGCTCAGAGGGCAATTTCGCCGCAGTTTGGTTTTTTTTTTCTCTTCTACTCGCTCATTATGAACACATACCATACTCGTACACTCTTTTGCGCTCCTATCTGCCCACTCCCCCCGGCATTCTTTTGTCATCCTGCATCCTATCCTCACTGTGCTTAATAGACCTCGCTCACTACCCACTGCTCTGATTATTGGATATTAGTCCCCAAAGTACATCGTGCCTAGATGAGGTTAACACATAGGTTCCGAGAACGAAACGTACGTAGGTACGGCCATGAAGAAATATTCACTACCATCACATTCGGCGATCTACAATCAAATGCATGAGGCGAACAGAATGTCAGAAAGGATATCTGGCGAGAGGTCTGTATAAGTAGTTAGGATGGCATGAACACAGAGACTACCTGTGAACTACGCGACACACTATTAAGCATACCTACGCCTTACCTACGCCTCCATTATAAAATTATTCTATCAAGTCCAGATCAGCTGACCGAACCCTCCACCGCTGAAGAGCCCTTGTCGCCTCCCTAGCGTTCATCTTCAATACTGTGTCAACATCCGTCGCTAACTTGGACTGGAAGAGAACGTGAGATTGTGCGAAATCCATCAAGTGGGTCCGTGCCCGGTCTCCTTCCTCTTGAAGACGGATGCGCAACTCCTCAAGAATATGCCTGAATGACTCCATGTTCGACTCTGATTGTATCTAGATAAGTATCAACCCCGTTTAAGAATAGAGGAGAGAGTTCTTACCGGCGGGCGTAGCTTGCGCTGCAGAGAAGGCAACACTCGACACACGGAACATGAGATCAGACCCCGGAGACCAAAATGGTCTAAGAAGAGTCGAGATGACACCCGCAAAGCCACCAACGACGCATCCTATCGAGTATACAGCGTGCTTGATCCACGACCAGACTCGTTCTCCGAACGATTTCTCCCGCGGTCGTATGACGCTACTCTGAACTTTGTCAATGAGGGTATCGACATCGCCACGCATGACTTCGACCTTCTCGATAACGCTCGCGGAGTGCTTCTCGATGTTCTGCGCGAGCGTCTTGATCTCTTCGTCATACTCTAGTTCTCCGGTCTCACGAGCCTCTTCAAGAGACGTTATCATGATAGAGGCTAGGGTGCGATGAGACCTGAGGATGCCTTCGGTCCAAGAGAGGACTTCGGAGGAGTCCTCTTGGAGCTTGTGTATTATGTCCCGAAGATCGTACTCGAGAGTATCAGGGTGTTGAGATTGTGAGCTGAATAAAGAGACGAAAATGGTCGAATAAGAATTAGAGTGGCGAGAGGACTTGCAGCTCGACTCACCGACTAAGGACATTCGCCCACTCATCAAACAGCTGCTTGCACCCTTTCATCTCGTGAAGGCCACGCTCCAGTGCCTCTCTAGCAGTTATGCCCATGGGAGGTATGTCGTTCGCAGTGATGTTCACAACACGCCCCTCAGGTAATCCCAGAGCCATGCGCTGAGCGCTGAGCTCATCGAGAGTAGCATTGGCTAACATAGTACGGACGCTGGCCAGAGACATGGTCAGAGAGATTGTGAAGGGGCTCTGGTAGTGGGTATGAACTCGAAGGGGCTCCAGTGCAATGCAAAAGCAAGGTGGAGATAATATATGGGCAGGGTTCGGGGTAGTTCACATATACCGCCACCATTACTCGCCTCATTGTTCTGTTGGAATGTCCGCCACCAGGTTGTTGGTCGATCGAGTTGTATTTTTGGAGTATGGCGCCCATAGCGGCATGAATTCCTGGGATACAGCTAGAGTTATCACACCATGCATCGTCATGGAGGCTGCAAGGATGTACATAGCCGCTGCGCACTGGTAGTTCAGATTTGCATACCATGAGCCACATAAATGATTCATACTGAACGACGGCGCATGTCCAGAGTGTTCTAGAGCAGCGACGAGGCGAAACATACGAAGCGACGCTAGGCACCTAAGGCTCGACGAGATTATGGCACGAACCGAAGGCGAGAAGCAACAATCTATGATATATTCCATCCACAATAATCCAGAGATAAACAATCTAATAAAATGAGAAAATGAAGCACGCAGCTCTGCAGTCCTATGCTCCAAGGGGAAGGGTATACAGCGAAGATATAAAGAATGCCGCAACGGCGAGAAACAGAGGTGCGGAGAACGATAAGGGGTGAACGACACCGCTTGTCGTGGTATCCGGTCTGTTATCGTCGAAGTGAGATAAAATCGGTAGAGTACGAAAGAGAGGTCACAGAGACGTACGGGATACCATTTGCGTCCGAGTATGACGGGCATGTATCGTTCGTACTTCCCTGCAAATCGAATATTGTATCAGAGTGCGGCACATCCCACCACCAATTGACAGGGAAACCGTAGCAACGTCAAGACAGGTACGCACCGTAGGGTTCGCAGGACAGCAAACACTCGTTCCTTCATTTGCCACACTTCCCAAGGCACTGGCATCGCTCCTCCCCGCCCAGTCATTCGAGCAATTGACGGACTGGTAGCTGATGTTCCATACGCCAAAATCTGTATAGCCATAGAAGGATGCATTTGACGGAAAGAAATCAGAGGGGATGGCTGAGGAAGGAAATGCGAGGTCGAAGTTGAGGAAGCTCCCTCCACTACGAAATATATAGCCACAAGTCCCCAGTCGATGGGTCAGTTATACTCGTCAAATATATGCGAAAGGGTGATGCGCACGCGTTGGGTCCGCTCGTCGTGGCGTTACACCATCCCGTCGTGCTCAAGGGACATAGGTCCGTCACCTTCACGACCACGCTCTTCACCACATCCGGAAAGAACGGTGGATCGGACAGAAATGTGTTTAGAAGTGTGAGATTGAAGCATTTTCCACAAGCAGGTCCATAAGCCGTGCTGCTCCCGTAGGCCATTTGGCTCATGGCAGCCGTGGGGTAATCCAGACTATCCTGAATGGTGATTATCGTAAGCTTGGATCTATGTGCGACGAGTTGGAGAGGGTACGAACGGAAGTACATCCGCAGGCTGCTATGAAACCTGAGGGAATCGTATAGTGGGTCATCGTAGCAATTCCATCGGAGGGGTATTGGATCCAGTCGGTGGCATGAACGAGGGGTAGAATAGTACAGAAAATAGCAGAGAATACCAATGACCGCAGGTACAGATAGGAACTCTGCACCGAAAGATAGTTTTTGGGGTTCATGTTTACAGAGAGTGTAATAGAGATCGTATGCACATCAGTCCTTCACATCGACCAGAGCTCTTACAGTGGGTCCTTGGCAGAAGGGTGTGGTCGTCTGCACACCACGAAGGAGCTGGACGTGGGGAAGGCGAACAGTGTGGAAGATCCCGAGTTTCTAAAAAAGGGACAAAGATATCTGGTATCGTGCAAATAGCGCGAAACAAACTCGTAGCTCGTTTAGAACACTGAAAACAATGAGAACTCTAAATCGGGTCTGTGTGTTGAACCAGACAGCCGCCCTGATTGTATAAATGAATACAGCGACAGAACAAAAGGTTGGTCGATCGCCACAAAAGGCGCAACGTTGATGTTTGGGGATATTTGGAGCACGTTGAATCCTCGAGGCCGATTTGTCTTCTCTTCTCTTCTTCTCGTCATACCTTTTCTACCCTGCCTCTTAGTTTCCTACAGCCCCCATACCTGCTTTTTCAAACCCTTACCTACCTGTACTGCGATACCCTTAACTTTTGACTAGCTTCTGTACTGCGATCTTCCTCTGAACCGACCTTCACGATCTTATCATTGCCTAACGCCTTACCAACGAACCAACCACTTCCGATCGAACCATGTCTGCTGTGGCACCCCCACCCGAAATACTCAGCTCTCTGCTCTTGCGAACTAGCACCCCTGGTGAGTCTTAATCTCTTTATCGTTTTCTTCATAGCCCGGAGCCGGACAAAGCACAACGAGAGGAGTTGCGCGATCGAGGGGCCCGTGGCGGCCACACTGTTGACAGCAGAGGGGAGTTGATGAGCAGACTCCAGCCTGTGAAACCTTGTGGAAACCGGGCTTCTACGAGAAGTTGGCTGGCTACTGTATCGGATCGGATTGTGGGAGGACGAACGTAGACTGTTGAACGTTCACGACGGGGTTCCCAACAACATTCGCTTCCGTTCCGTTTACTGATTTACTTCCGTTTCCTTACAGCTCCGGATGAGAAAGGTGCGTTCAACCCTTCGTTTACATACCACATAGTTAATTGACATCGACGTTTCATAGTGCTCGTCTACCTTGAGCGCATGCGCCAGTCCCAGACCGACATCGGAGACGAAGAAGACCCCAAGACTCCCCGTACCAAGACCAAGAGTCAAATCACATCCACCTCCTATCGTCGCCGCGACGAAGAACCGGAGGAGGATATCGATTCGAATGTCCAAGAAGGAGAGCGCTCCACTATCGGCTCTCTACCAGCGAACGGGGTGAATACATTCAAATTTATTGTTCCGTGCTCCTCTCTTAACGCCTCGCCAGCGTGAGCCAGGACCCGAGGATGGGCCTGGTCCTAAATACGAGTCCTATGGATCTTCGTGGGGAAACTTTGGACCTCTTCCACCTGACAGTCTCAACGCAGAGGTCGTTGCCCGTTCGGTTGTTTTCTGGCTCGTGTGCGATGCTGATGACTGGCTTGATGTAGGGTACCCCCATGAGGGCTGCTGGTGTGGCACTCCCGCCTTCTGGGCCGTCCACCAAAGTGAGAAGCTCTCGCGCTGGATCCCGTGCTTCAGCTTCTCAGCACCCGCGTACACGTGCCTCCGAGGTGAACGAAGAGCCAGCAGTTACGGCTGCTGAAGACTTACTCATGGTAAGTTCTACTCTCACTTGCATTGGGACTCGAAGAGCGTGCTACCATTATTATGTGGTGCTGGTCGGATGTAAGCGTCAGATGTGGAACATCATGACGCACTGGTGTGCTGAAGACGGACATCTTTGGCGACATCAGTCATATTCGTTACCATCCACAGTGGCTTCATTGCGGTCATCGGGTCTGATTTTAGAACTGCTATGTTTGACAACGTGGCATGCGTTACACGCACATTTGCACAAGCTATTCAGTGACAACAGCCCTGATGAAGCCCATTGGTGGCCCACGAACTTGGACCTATCCTGTATTTGACTTATATGTTTCCGGTGTTCATATAACGCCACAAAATTATGTCATTCATCCGTGCTCACGACTACTTGTTTCGACAGTCCCCTCGCAGCAAGACTCGAACCGCAAACGGCGACAGACCGTTATCTCCACGATCACATGCATCTCGCGCCACACCCCAACCGCGTGTATCTGAGAAGGCATCCTCGACCATCTACCCCCCTCTGCCCCCATCCCAGTCTGGGGCACACGCTAACGTCGGAAGCTCCGCTAATAAACCAATGTCGAACTTATCGTATCACAAGACCCGATCCATCGCTCCCTCGCTCTCACCCTCGGACTCGCCGTCGCAGTACAAGCCACCCAAGGTCAAGAAGGAGCCTACGTTAAAGCCTGTCCAGTCTGTGGAGGGCTCAGAGATCGAGAGAGGTTCGAGACACACGAGGTCTCGCTCCGGACAGAATGGCGAATGTGCGTATTTTCTTCTTCTGTTGTCACGAGCTTTCGCCTGACTCGAATGCCCCCACAGTGCGTTCTCAACACGGCGCGTCTGCCATGTCCGGTGGGCGCAACGGCGCGAATGGCAGCCAGAGGCCGTTCTCGCCTTACCGACACGCGCCGACCAGTCAAGACCTCTTACAAGCTGCGATCCGCGGCCATTCCGTCGCGTCCAACGGCGACGTCGTCTCTAACGGTCGCGGACACGGTTCCACGACTTCCACAGCTAAGCGCTCTGCACTCGCACGCGATGTCGACCACACTCCCACGCAGAGCCGCCCTCAATCTCCCAATGACGAGATGAACGAGCTCAATGCGGACGAGCGTCAAATTATTGATGACGTCTTAAGTCGAGGAGCGCACTCGCATGTCCATCATAGGGCGTCGAGGACAAGTTATGCGGCGACGTCGGTGCTGGAACCAGAGATGGTTTCGCATTTCCATGATGTGGACTTGTGTATCTTGTTGCAGCAGCTAGAGGATCCGAAGCAGCATGATGTGGTGAAGAAGGCAGTCAAGAAGGCTTTGAAGACGAGGGTGAAGAAGTTGGGGATGAAGTACGATACTGAGGTATGCCCATGTTCGTATTTTGTGTCGTTGTATAGATGTTGATCGGAGTTTTCCAGACTATCAAAGAGTACCGCAAGTCATTCCATGATCACGATCCTAGTGTTCACCTCCAGCCCGGCTACCAACCAAACTTCCCCCAGGTATATCCTCCGTGACTGGCCTTGTTTATCGGATTTTCCTCATACATTTTCATAGGAACCTCCGGACTGGGCGAAAGAACTCATGCAGAACATGGTCATCATGCAACAACGCCTGGAAGGTCTCGGCCCTAAGATCGACTCCCTGCGAAGCCAATCCGGCTCTATCCACGAAAGCCAACGCCAATACCAGCCGCAATATGGCACCGAATACGACGGCGACGGCACGCCCATGACGCAAACCGTGAACATCCAGACGCAAATGACCGGTATAACGGGCGATGAGTCGATGTATCCCGTCGACCCAGACATGCGTATCGTGGAGTCGACGCATGGGCAGACCTTGCCTGGCTCGATGCATCGCCATGACGGATCCGATCATGGGTTGGGCGAGGAGGAAGAGTACGACGACGAAGATCAGACGCATCGAGGTATGCCGATGTACCATGGCGTGGGGACGGACGCCGATACGAGGACTCATGGGCTCTCCGAGTACGACAATATCAACAACCGCGACTCGCCTGGTCAGCAATACCTCGAGGAAGAGCTGTACAAGCTTCGTGTCAGGCCTGGCGGAAGCCAATCTGCGGTTTCGCACAAGACTTGGGAGCTGGCGAGAGGCGACGGGGAGGATGAGGATGAATTCAACGATAACCAGGTTGCAGTGACGGAGTCCGGGATGCCGGAAATTCCGGACTCTAACGTGGGCTATCAGAGAGCTCAGTCGCCACCACTGCCGGCTTTGCCTTCCGACCAGGGAAGTCGCAGGGAGCCAAGCGGCCAAGTCTGGCAGCCCAACAACTATACTGATGAGCCACCGCTCCCTCCTCCTTGGCAACGTATCCATCAGCGTCTCCTCAACTGGGCCATCGTTTGGCCGCTTACTGAGCTCGAGACTGCTCTCAACAGTACTACGCGCGGGGCGCAGGTCGACGAAGTCGCGCTCAGTATTTGGTCCACGCAGACGTATAAGCGGTATGTTAGGAGCAAGATGACGGACAGTCCGCCTGGGAGGGTGGATAGACTGTTCGTGCCGCCGAATATGGCGGATGCGATCAGCAATGCGGTTTTCAATGGACGGCATGGTGATGCGTCGGGGATGTTGAGGGAGCTTTGGCATCCATTTGGTCTAGAGGGCATGCCAAGGCTACTCATCGTCCTCGCTAAACATCGCTCGGACGCCAACCACTGGGTCGTACACCGGTAAGTGGCCGACTCCCTACTCGACTCCGCTCGACGCTGAATTCATCGCCACATTCTAGTTTCTCTCTCCCGGATGGTACTTTGACGACGTACGACTCGTACCCTGAACGTTGTCTCCCGGATGGCCGCGTGAGTTCCCCCGAATCCGTCTCCAGGCCGCATCCTCATTCTGACTTCGATCCTGATCCTCCTCCATATATTGATACCTACGATCCCTATGCACTCAACTCCTACTATCCTGATGCTCTTTCTAACCCTGTGTGGTCGCAGCCTCTCGGTTGGTGGTTCGCCATCCGCATCGCTTGGCCCAACGCCATATACCCTTCTCCCGATCACCTCATGCAAAAGATGGTTCGCCTGCACAGGCCGATGCAACTCGGTATCGACAACTCAGTCGCCGCTGCTGGGATTTGGAGGAATCTTTTGATGGGAAGCAGGGCGGAGAGGAGTTTGGACTTGGAAAGATTGCGGGATTTGATTAATACGGAGGTGAAGAACCTTAGGCAGAGGAAGTTGATGGGAAAGCTGTCGATTGGGGCGCCGAGGCCGAACTGGGAGGATATGAACTGATGAAATCTGGAAATGACTGCTTATGATATATCAACGAACGATTCACGAGGAAGTGTGGGTGATCTAGAGGAAGGGGTTGTTTACCTGTTTGTTTAGTTGTTTGTATGTGTTTGTGATTGTACAGTAGTCGATCCCCCATATGTCTTTTGCTTGGGTTGCCTTACTACTTACCTCTTTGCTTCGTTTTGTATCCGAGCCTCTTGTTTTACCCTCTCCTGTTGCGATACACATCCGTCCTTTTAGTTTATTCGGTTTGTGGACTGTGTCCTTCGTTTCTTTGTGATCTGGAATGTATACGTTTGCCTGTTTCCCTGTGGTCTTTCCAAGGCACGGTGTAGTTGACAACGTGAGTCTGTGTTCTCAGACCTCAATGTGACGAGGGTGAAATAATCAAAAATTACTTCGTTGCGACACAATCAGACTCAGGTTCATCTTATTCTAGTGATTTACTCGCCATTTATACCATAGCACCGTCTAAAAAGGCTTCACGCAAAGCATATTGATACAAGACCGACCATACTTACGTGCTGCTCCTCAGAGGAGGGCGCGTTCAGGACTCGGTGGAGAATATCGGTGTGGTAGGACCGGAAAACAAACTTTAAGTTATGAGAAACCTGCAGGAAATGTAGTACAATGTAAAATGTAAGTTTTCGGATGACATATGAGATATGAACAAACGCACCTTGAAAAGCTACGTTTTATAAGTTGTTCATGATAGCAGCTAGATCATGAACTGCCTGCTCTGGGACGGGGCACACTTGCTTGGTTTCGGCCGTCCTTGTCTAAAAGGACGACCATGAAAAATAGATCGACATCTGGAAATAGTAGGATAATTATGGGAGACTTTCAAGTACGCACATACTGAATGGCCCTGAACTGGTCATTTACAGCGAGCGTCGCATCGTCGATGACAGCCCTAGGGACCGTCCGCGTTCGTGGTTTCTGAAGGACTTGCCGCCGTGCGCGAGGCGAAGGCTTTGGGCCCTGTGGATCTCTACGTGATACCTTCTTCCTTGATGTTTTTGGCATCAGAAGCGGGAGTATAAGACAAGAGGGTAGAGCACTATAGTTTGAAAGAGAGAATATTTCGCCACACGACGATGCCGCCACTTCCAAAAAGAGCGTGGGAGCAATTGTCTTCATTCGTCACCACGACTTGCGTTCGAACTTTGGCTCTTGTTCTCCACCATCATCTACTTCACTTGCCTGAACTCTGTGCAATATGGCTGACTCACCCACGCTGAGTATAACTATGCTAGGAGCTGGCCAAGAAGTTGGCCGGTCGTGTTGTGTTCTTCAGTACCACGACAAGACAATCGTACTGGACGCGGGCGTTCACCCAGCCCACAGCGGCATGGCGTCGCTACCGTTCGTGGATGAACTGGACTGGAGCACAGTGGACGCGATTTTGATCACGCAGTGCGCACATTTGTTGCTCCAATATAAACTTGCATTGACAGCGGATGACAGTTTTCACTTGGACCACGCTGCAGCGCTGACTTACATCATGGAGAAGGTGAAGGTTTCAATAGACAGGTCTCCGGTCTTGTGTATTCAAAATTTCCTGTTCATTTCAGACCAATTTCAGAGACGGCAAAGGCAAGGTGTACATGACTCATCCAACGAAAGCTTTGCATAAATTCATGATGCAAGATTTTGTTCGTATGAGGTGCGCACCGCTTCGCTTTCTTACTTCCTGTATCGCAAGTTCACCGTATCATTATCAGTAACTCTTCAACGGATGCACTCATATCCCCGCTTGACCTTTCCATGTCGATCTCATCTATCATCCCTGTCTCTGCTCACCAGCTCATCACACCTTGCCCCGGAGTCACTTTCACTCCATACCACGCCGGCCATGTCCTTGGCGCCTGCATGTACTTGATAGACATGGCCGGCATCAAAATCCTCTACACTGGCGACTACTCGCGTGAAGAGGACCGCCATCTCGTCAAAGCTGAAGTTCCACCCGTCCGTCCGGACGTCCTCATTGTTGAAAGTACCTACGGGGTTCAATCTCTTGAGGCTCGGGACGAGAAGGAGCTTCGCTTCACTAGCTTGGTGCACTCTATCATTCGTCGTGGAGGCCATGTTCTTCTTCCGGCGTTTGCTCTGGGACGTGCCCAGGAGTTGTTACTCATCTTGGACGAATACTGGAAGAAGCACCCCGACCTGCACAACGTGCCTATCTATTATGCCTCAAGTCTGGCCAGGAAATGTATGGCTGTTTACCAAACATACATTCACACCATGAATTCCAACATTCGCACGCGCTTCGCAAAACGGGACAATCCTTTTGTATTCAAGTAAGTTGTCCTTATTCGAACGATGACCCTCTCCTTCCTTGACGCATCTGTACCTCAGACACATATCGAATATGCCGCAAAGCTCGGGATGGGAACGAAAAATTGCAGAAGGGCCGCCTTGCGTGGTTCTGGCTAGCCCCGGTTTCATGCAATCTGGTCCCAGCCGTCAGCTATTGGAACTATGGGCGCCCGACTCACGGAACGGTCTCATCGTAACTGGTTACTCAGTCGAAGGTACATTGGCGCGGGTGAGTGTGCCTCATTCAGTGTATAGACTTGTGTCGGAGGCCCTACGGTGGAGTCTGTGGTATCAGTTCATGTGTAGTAGTCATATCCATGTTAATCGACTCATTTCCCTCTCAATGCCCGATGCGAGTCCAATCTGAAATGCCCTCTCTTCTGGTATCTTTCCATCCGCTCTCGAACTCTTCTCATAGCTGTTGTTACCCACGGGGCTCTTTAGGAAATCATGACCGAACCTGACGAAATCATCTCGATGAAAGGGGCCACGATTCAGCGCAAGCTCTCCGTCGACTACATTTCCTTCAGTGCGCACGTCGACTACTCGCAAAACTCGGAGTTCATCGAAATGATCAAGGCGCCACATATCGTTCGTTCCTTTCTTTCCGAATCAGTCCTCATCGCAGTAAAGTTAATGATATTCTCGTATGTCAATGGTGCTAGGTACTTGTCCATGGTGAACAAACGGCAATGGGGCGTCTTCGGGCGGCTTTACAGGCGCGGTACAAGAACAGGGAGGAAGACGTCAAAATCCACACCCCGCGGAATCTCGAAACCCTCAACCTTACATTCCGAGGCGAACGAGTAGCCAAGGTCAGGCATCTTCACTCACCACATCCAACCTCCTTTGTTGATCTCTCCTCTCTTTCCAGGCCATCGGTACCCTCGCTGCCCGACCACCAAAAGCCAACGACACTATCTCCGCTCTTCTCGTTTCTAAAGATTTCTCCTACACCCTACTTGATCCGCGGGATCTTCGGGATTTTGCTGGATTATCGACCTGCGTGGTCACACAGCAGCAGAAGATAGCGTTGGGCGTCGGTTGGGAGCTTGTTCGATGGCACCTGGAGGGCATGTATGGCAGTGTGGAAGAGGGCGTGGACAAGGATGGGGTTCAGACTATGCGAGTAAGTTTGGTCTTACACAATGAGTAATTCCAGATCAGTGGACTTATGTTATGTGTAGGTGATGGGCGCGGTAGATGTGAAGTATGTGGCGGAACACGAACTTGTGCTCGAGTGGGACTCGAGTGCCGCGAACGACATGATAGCAGATTCAACGGTCGCGCTCATTACAGACATCGACAAGAGCCCTGCGTCCGTGAAACGTATGTACATCTTCTCACTGCGCGCAATCCTCTTCTAACATAATGCTTTGTATCCCAGTCACAACATCCTCACACTCGCATTCCCATTCCCATCCGCCCGCTCTCGATCACCCTCATCCACACTCTGACGAATCCTATCTCTCCAACCCGATGATCCGTATTCAACGACTCGGCATGTTCCTCGAATCTCACTTCGGCGAGGTAGAGTACCATATGCCCGAAGAAGAGCCAGAGCCAGCACAGGAAGAGATGGAGCAAGGAGAAACAACGTCACCACCCCACGCAGCCGAGCCCTCATTCTTGATCCAGCTGGACGAAGCGGACGCTAGGATAAACCTAATATCTATGGTACGTTACTCATTTACTTGTCCCACCATCTTACCTTTTTCGGGGTTTGCCCGTAGATCGCTTGGCTGATACGATCGTATTTGTGCAGACTGTTGAGAGTGACAGCGAGACGGTCCGAAAACGAGTAGAAGCGGTTCTTCAGATGGCAGTCTCGACCGTCAGCTCGTTGAGCGAGACTTTCGTCTCAGGGGCTCCATTGGAGCTCGACGAAGGCCTGGGAGAGAAAGAGAAGGCGATCCAAAAGGGCAACGAAGACGACTCACCACAAACTCTTACGACTGGCGCAGATACCGACCCTGCCACAAAGGCAGATCCAATTGATGAGGGAACGGCAGACATCGCGATGGGAGATGAGCGGGAAACGAGCGCGGTCGCTGAAGAAAATAGAGGGGGGCAGACGAAGCCCGTGGACGCCGGGCTCGGGAATAAGCAGGAACATCCCGCGGAGGGAGATGAAGGCGACGAAGACGCAGAGGGCGATGATGATGACGGGGACGAGAGGGACGACTTGCAGGTGCATGCTTGAACATCTCTTGCATTATACGTGATGTACAAGGCGTAGGTCGATGAGATTGTGTCCTGTTCATGACGGTAGTCCAATATGCGACGAGTAGAACAGTTCGCTAAGTGATCTTGTCACGGATATAGCGGGTCTCAACTTCGTTCGTGCGACGAGGTAAGCAGACCAGGAACGGAAGGATATTAGCTTCGTTGATCTGGCAAAGATGATTCCTAACCCTTCAATCGGTCTGTTCAACGAGAGGCTTGATACATGAATGTCGTTCGCAGAAGAATATCGCGCACTCCTACAATGTCTCAGGATGATTACAATGCCCGTATTGTGTGCGTCAAGCTCAAAGTACAAATGATGATGCCCACAAATATAATATCAGTAATAAGTAGGTGAGAGAAAAGTTGAATCGAACACGCAAAAAAGAGACCTCCAGAACACATCACCATCATCGAAACCGAACAAATCGCACGATCTATCCACCGCTCTAAGAACTCAGACGCCAGACCATATACCAGCACCTATGCAGTTGCAGATGCCACAGTCTTCTTCACCGGCGGCTCCCCGGTGTCCTCTCCAACACCCCCATTATCTACACCACCGCCTCCGTTACTTCCGCCATTCAGAAGACTTCCCAGACTGAACTCATCCGTAGACTCAGCCTTCCGCTTCACTCCGATGATTTGAGCCTTCCCAGGCGAAACCGGTGACTCAGACTTTGTACGCATCTTAACAGTACGTTCCGGTGTCGTCGAGCGACTGCGACCGCCCCCGGTGAGCTCCTGCCTTAGTTTAGCCGCCAAACTCGTAGTAGACATTAACGCTTCCGCATGACACGTCGCATGGTATATCTACAGCACAAATCCAGGATCCCAAGTCAGCAAATACAGACAGATCGAGACAGGGTTATGGCGATGGAAAAAGGGAAAGGAAAACGCACCCGTCCCTCAACATCGACCGCATTCTTCCACACCCACTCCTCGTCATCCTCTTGGAACTCTGACTTCAATGTTTCCTTACATATAGGACAAGCAATCGGCTTAGCTTCGTCCCCAGGAGGGACGACGACGAACTGAGCGCGCAACTCGGCGTCTCGTTTTGCCGCATCAGCGGCTGCTGCTGCCTTCACATTCGAAGGCCGTGATGGATCCGCCGGGCCCTTGCCTTTTCCATTGTCGTGAATCCAATCCTATCAGACAGAAACGCAAATGGTCAGAAACACGAAAACTGACATAGTCAATTAAGACGGCACCGGGGAATTAAAGGTGAAGGAGGAAATGAGAACTGACCTCTAAAGCGACAAACCAACTGCGACTATGCCCTCTGCCAACATGCTGATTCGCTTTACGGTTCTGCCTGAAATGCATATCCAAATGCTCTTGCATCTGATTCTTACCGAGCGAAGAATCCGTGAATCTCAATCCACATTGTTTACATTGCACAGGCAAGTGGTTATATAAGAATTCAACTATCCGTGGTTGTCTCCTGAAGGTGAGACGGGATTGTTGTCAGCCTTCGCACTAAGCAACAGGTAAAAGAGAAGGTGAGAAACGGACCTATTGATATCGGCACCGGTGAGTCTGATATTTTCAGACAAGATAGCATCCCTGTACGATCTCGTATCCTCACGAACGGGGTCCACTAAATTTTCGGGCTTTACGTCTTCCGGGTTCTGAGCAGATGCAATCGTAGCAGCCTGAACCTGCCCAGCACCCGTAGGTGATCCAGTAGAAGAGACAACACCTGCTTTGCGAAGAACCTCAAAGAGATTGCTGATATTAGGTATCGCAGGGGCAGCCGACGTGCTGGCAACAGGAGCAGGTGGTGTAGTATCCATGTGGACAAACGTGGAAGAAGAGGGGGGTGCAGGTGCAGGAGGAGCTGGTTCAAATGACTCGCGCGATGGAAAAGGTTGATCATATTGATGTTGTAAGGGAGCGATTGGCGGCGGAGGAGGCGCAGAGTACGGAGCTGGCTCAGAGTAATAAGTGCCGTTCGGTGAAGACGGTGGATATTTCATGGGAGGCGCAGGAGTATGAGGAGCAACAGACGGGGGTCGCGCCATCGACCGAAGCTGATTTAGGATCTGCTGAAGTTCTTTCTGAGAGACACCAGCCTCGACGAGCTTCCGTAGCTGTGGACTGATATGTTAGCTTAGGAAAATACGGGTGGAACGGAAGCGAACTTTGGACGTACTTGTTGCAGAACGTTAACGTGTGCTTGAGCCTGTGCGTCGTATGGGTTCATCTGAACCGCTCTCTCCATTTGACCGAGCGTGAACTCTAGTTCGGTCAAGACCTGGGGTTTGGAGATGAAACCCTGACCTTGTTGGAATGAGGGCTGGTGAAGAACATTAGTTACACGGATAGCTAACTAGAAAAAAAGTACTTACATCGCTGGAGCCTCCACTCCATATACCTCTCTCTATCGCTACCTGCGGACCTACACCGAAGAGTTCGCGTTGGCCAGAGGGATGACCGTTTCGCCAGGTTAGAAGCATCTCCTCCATCTTGCTGCGAGTGTTCGGATCAACGACTGCATAGCTGTCAAGGAACAAGGGTGCAACGATGGAGGCGAAATGACGAGCGTATGGTTCATGAACATTTTTTGAGATGGCGTCCAAGAGATACCAGGCGGGGAGCTTGATCCAAGGCGGGACCTGACATACCACAAAGGGAAACATTAGTCAGCAAATGAATGGCCAAATCGGGGAAGAAGCTCAGGGCAGCGAAATCGCCCGACGCAAAGTCAATCGTAGCGATCTCGCTGCCATGAAAAATGTGGTTGTGCGAGCAGAAAGAGCCTTTTATCTTTTTTTTTATGTTTATGTCTTTTCTGCCCAAGCTCAAGGAAGTAGGTAAGACTACAGAACTAATGTAAACTAAAGTACATGACAAAATCGAAGCTACTGTTCAAACCCTCCTGCCCATCACGTCGTGCTCCTGACAAGCGACACACAACCACACGGAAGGGGAAGGATGAGTGAAGAAAATGGGAGACTCACCCGGCGAATATGTTGTTCGATACACTCGGTAACAACGTCAGCATAGCGTGAGTATTCTTGAGCGACCATGGAGAGATTCTGAATAATGGGCCTCGAGTTGACGGTAAGTTCAGCGAGCCGCCCCATGTAGTCTCGACGAAAAGAGACGGGATCTATGAGATAAGAGGTCGAAGGCGGCCCATACTGGTAAGCAGCGGGATAGGACGGATAGGAATATGAAGGTTGGGGAGGGATCTGGCTGTAGGGCGGCGCGGGATGAGAGTACATCGACATATCGACACAAAAAATGCGAATAAGGCTCTGTGTCTGAACAGTCTACGGGATCTTAGCCTTAAAAACACCTTGACTGAGCAAGAACGTTCGCGGACGGTCAGACAATTGCTCGGACGACGTCAAACGATGGGGGGACGACGGGGTCGTCTGGGTGTCAGGCGACAGGCGATGGCAGAACGCAAGTTACAGAACAACCGGCACCATGCAACCCCCATTTTTATATACTCCCGGTAAATGCCGGCCACGTATGTGACAGGTTAGAGCAACCAGGATTCGCCTTCCACGCTTGTATCTCTTCATCCTTTCTGTCCGCAACAATGATCTTCTTGCGGGCTTCTCTTGCGCTCCTCGTCGTGTCCGTCGCGGCTCTCTTCTGTGCTCAGTCGGTTGAGGCTGCTAAAGGCCCAAAAATCACCCACAAGGTCTACTTCGACATCAAGCAAGGCGATGAGAACTTGGGTCGCAGTACGTGGCTTCTTGTTTCGTCTTTCAAAGTTTCGCGACATCTGACATTCGAATGATTGTAGTTGTAATGGGTCTTTTCGGTGGAGTGCGCGTCCATTCTTGTCCTGTTATAGCCGAGCTATTGTTGACAAACGATCATTTGTTGTGTTGACATCCACAGACCGTCCCGAAGACCGTCGAGAACTTCCGCGCTCTCACTACTGGCTTCCGCAAGGATGGTACCCCTCTTGAAGAGGGTATGGGCTACAAGGGCTCCAAATTCCACCGTGTCATCAAGAACTTCATGTGCGTCTTCCTTCCTCGAACTTCAATCCCAGCATACTAACGCCGCATGTACAGGATTCAAGGCGGTGACTTCAGTATGTTTAAGTAGCTTTTGTGGACCCGAACGCGCATTCACATAGATTGCGTATTCTAGCCCGTGGCGATGGAACTGGCGGAAAGGTAAGGGTTTCACAGGTGGCCTTCGTGTAACATGTTCGCTGACCCTCTGTGTGCCATAGTCTATTTACGGCAACAAGTTCGCGGACGAGAACTTGTCAGTCGCATCTACTTCTACCTCCTGCGATTGCGCGCACTAACGGAACCGAATGTAGCAAATTGAAGCACACCGCACCTGGCACTCTCTCCATGGCTAACGCAGGCAAAGACACGAACGGTGAGTCTCGACACCTCATCCTCACGCTTCAGCGATAATTTACTTGAACCGTGTTCAGGCTCTCAATTCGTAAGCATGAAGTCACCTCCAGCCATTGCATATCACTGAACTTCGGACCACCGTGCAGTTTATCACTACCGTTGTCACCAGCTGGTTGGATGGCAAGCATGTACGTCGATTCTTTCCGTATCGCATAATTTTATCCTTATTCTCCATCAGGTCGTGTTTGGCAGGGTCCTTGAGGGCATGGATGTCGTCGATATCATTGGTAGGTCTCTGTCGACCACGTCAGTGCTCTATTCCGTCTGATTTCCTTCTTCATCAGAAAATGTCGCTAAGGGTTCCCAGGATCGTCCCAAAGTCGATGTAGTTATTGCCGACAGCGGCGAGGTATGTGTCCATCCGCCATTCCACAATCTATACCTGCAGTAACACTCAACTCACCTCTTTACGCATCCTTCATAGTTGCCGCTTGACCTCGAAGTCGACGAAAACGGAAAAGAGGTGCCTCTCCACGCTGAGCTCTAGCTGCCCCTTCTTTACGCCCTGTATGAGCTTTCGTACGAATAAAATGCCCTTTTTTGGTTTTTGTCCCCCCCTCACAGGACTCTGATGACATTGCCCTCCCTGCGTCTCCCGCATCGCCCGAATCCGAGTCCGATTCCACCGCAACCGAGACCGCCTCGAAGGAGGTCGAGTCCTCCACCGAGGCCGAGACCGAGCTCGAAGGTGAGAAGGTCGTCGATGATGATGTTATCCCCGTTCTCGGCGGCTATAGCAGCGGGAAGTATATCTTCGGTGCGCTGTTGATACTTGCCGTTCCTATCGGGCTGTTCTTCGCCCTCGGTGGATTGAGGTGGGTGAAGAGGTTGGTTGCTGGTAAGAACGCTAGGGGAAGGTATCGTAAGGTCGATGACGAGGAGAAGTAGTAGTGCTCGCTCGGCTTGTGCTCGTGTTCCTTGGATGGATGTGGCTCCAGCTTACCAGATAGACTTGCATTGTTTGCGCCTTTTAGGGGTCATCGTTCATTATAATTTACCGTTTGATATTGATGGCGGAGGATGCTGGTCACGTCCAATGCAATCCGCTCCTTGAAATTTCCCTCAACGTTTGATGATCCACATTATAGCTCAGACACTGTCCAACAAAGGTACGCCTGTCATCATAATCCTAGCAACATAAACATTGGAATAGTAGTAATGAACAAGGTGATAAAAGGAATGAGTATGTTTATATGAAAGAGCTCGAGACTTCAGTCCACAAGGAGAGATGTATGCGGCTCCGCGCAAGTATCAATACGTAGCTCGTCCCTTGCACAACCATCAACTTGGTGCCAGTCGACAGCCCCTCCCTCCACCCAGACTTGATCCAACACCACAACCTCCACGAAAACTCTGCGCCAGATTTACCTACGTCCGCTTTCTCTTCTTCCCAGCTCCCGTTGTAGCTTGAGCCTGAGGCAGAACCTGTCCACCTCGCCGACCTCGTGCAGGTCCCGCCACCGCCGCCTGAGCCTGAGCACGAGCCCGCGTCTGAACAACTCGAGCCTCAGCCTGCGCCTGTGCTTGCGCCGCAATCTGAGCCTGTGCTTGCGCCATCATCGCCTGATTTCTTGTCTGCACCCGCTGCGCCTGCTGTGCCTGCTCGACTGCCAGCCTTAGCCGCTCCCTATGTTCCTCCTGTAGCCTCATGGCATCCAAAACTGCCCTTGCGTTTCTCAGACCCGGGTCCGCACCCTGGTTCGGAACGGCTGGCTGTCGAATACCAGCTCTTGCCGCAACCATCGTCTCGCGCATCCGTCTCATATCATCTGCAGCATGTCCGTGTCGACGTGCAGGTGCAGGCGCAGGTACAGCGGCTGCGGCCCTTGGATTGACGACATTCGCCGGTCCTGCGACGTTGATGTTCCATCCTCCCACTTGGATCTGATGCCCGTGTTGATGATGAGCGTATTGGATACCGCCGCCTAGAGCTCCAAGAGCTCCAACGCCCATGGCTTGCAGGTGGAGTGGGACGCCAGGTTGAGGGGGAGGTGCGACTGGGAGGTCGACTTTGATGTCGTCTGGGTTAACGTCTGGATGGTCGCGTTTGTAGTCTTCGAGGGCTTTCTTGGCGGCTTGGGCGACCTGATGTCAGTGAGGGAATAGGAAGTCAGTGAACGCGAGGGAGAGGTAAAGTAACCCAATGGGATCGGATGGTGGAGGAAAATGCGTACCTCGTCTGCGTGGCGCTGATCGACGTTCTCCCACAGAGGGCAGAGATTCTTTTTCGATCCAGGCTGGCCGTTCTGCAGAATCCAAGGGTCATGATGCTGAATGCTGAACAATGGACGAAAATTGTAACGTACATGGAAATGTTCGTATCCAGTCACGACTTGGCGGCATACATAGCAGGATAGGGTATGGCAGTACGGGCAGGTCATCTTGTTGCACTGGACAAAGCACATATTAACACAATTAAATCGGTCAGCTCGGGTAGATAGACTGCTTACACCAGCATCCTTGATAAATGCTGGAATAGAGACGACCATTGTTAAACAGTGATTTGTAAGGAGAACAAACCAGAAAAACAAAGCTCACCTTTGCGACACTTCGGGCAGCTCCTCGTGAGAGCGCGAGCTAACAAAATAAAATTCAACTCCCAACGAATCATGGTACAGTTTCAACGACGTACTCATGGCCTCATCAATCGCATGCTGTCCCTGAAGCTTCTTGTCTTCGTCCACCTCTGTTGAAAATTGGCCGACGTCAGCCTCAAAATTTCACGGCCATTTTATAACAGGAGACTTGCCTTCGCAGCTCTTCGGCAAATGATCCTACAGCGCCACAAAAAATCACGACGACCAAGGTCAGCCATGCCACACGATAGACCCATACCAAGAAACCGCGAAACTCGACTTACCTCCTTCTTACACTTCCTACAGCTGATCTTCCCACACTCCTCATTCCTACATCGCAACAGTTTCTCTTGCTCAAATTCACACTCAATGAGGACCTTATACTCGCAAAACGGACACTCCTCCAACCCTTCCAGCCCCGCTGCATCCACTTCCTTGCTCTGCCTCACACGTTCGTATAGGTCCCAAAGCTTGGCTGAGAGTATACGACGGAGCTCAGAGTCGGGGAAAGGGAGCGTGCACCCAGACTGGTCCATGCAGAGGATGGCCGGGTTGTGTTCGCCGAGTTTGGTGGATGCGAAGGAGGTGACACATTCCGTACAGAATAGGTGGGCGTCGGGGCATTGAATCATTTGACGCTGCACATCGAGTTTTGTAAATTAATACGACAACAGAGGTGAAGAAAGGGATGAAAGGGAAGTGATAACATACAAATGGATATTCGGTGAAGCAACAGCCACATTCAATCCCACCTTCCTCTTCTTCTGCGTAGGCCTCGCCACCTGGTGTCTCGGTCCCGGCAGCGGGAACATTTCCACCCTTCTCTACTGCTTCACGTTGCAATTTCGCCAGCAACCACTGTCGTTCCTTTGCAAACTCTTCATCCGAGGCAGCTGCCTTTCGTTTCCCCTTCTTCTTCGCATTGACGCGTCGTTGCTTTGCGTCTGCGTCTTGTTTGACGTAGGGAGGGTTATTGCTCCTTTGTTCCTCGCGGAGGAAGAAATAAGTTGGCGCGTAGAGCATATCGAGCACTGTAAACATGGTGATGACATGGTCTTCTGGGATTTCGGGAAAGTCGACGTAGAGTTGTTCCTAAGAGTGACCAAAGTCAATACGCCACTCAAATTGAAAGGTTTAATGATGGGGAATTTGGCACTCACCAGCGCAAGGCCGCCATACGCTGGCCCACCTCTGCTCGCCCTGTTCTTGCTCGCATAATCCACTTGTTCACCGTCGCCCGTGGAGTTAGTAACCTCCTTCTCCTTCCCTTTACCCTTAACGTCCTTAGGATATGTCGGGTCCTCGAACAGGTTGTGTAAAACTGCCCCAATGAGTTCAGCATGGTCCGGATGCAAATCCCTGAGCCGGTCTGAGAGGTCACGGACGTAAGCAGGCGAGACGTCGGGAATAACTTCGCATACTAGAGTGACTATATCAAGGGGTTTCGGTTCTTGAGGCGCCGGTGCTGCTTCCGGTGGAGGTGTAGGGTCCCAATCAAGAGTTGTTGAGTCAAGGAGAGGAGGTGTAGGGGTACGAGGAGGAGGTGTGGGTATACGAGGTGTTGTTATGGCATCAGGGATGGGATTCGCGATCGTCGGCGCAGCGGCAGCAGGGGGTTGTGCATCGGTTTGAGTGTTGTGGACGTCAGTGAGCGGTTGTCCGGCTTGAGAACGGGTACGGTTGCCACTACCGCCCGCTACTGGCTTACTGGAACCAGAGCGCTTCGACTTCGCGGATTGTTCAAAGTCGGAGGGGCTATTGTGGGTGGCGTTGGACAATATTACGAGTGAACGAAAGTCAATATGGTGATGAAGAGTTACGGATGATAGACGCACCTGATAATCTGTATGCTTGAACCCGACCTCAGCAGCCGCGACGAGGACCCAGCTCGCGAAGCAGGAGCAGTGCCTTTCCCTTTACTTGAGCCTGCCACAAATAACGAGTTGGGCTTGGTCGAAGGCCCTGCTTTCGCATTTCCGGAGTTAGTCTTCTGCTTCTTGTTCGGGGTAGGCACGTCCTCTTCTTCCTCCGTGTCCGTCAACTCGATGATATCTGGATCCTGCTCGGACTCATCGGGAAGAAAGAGAGGAAGAGCGCGTTTCTTTGAGTGAGACCTGGATAGAGGTTTGGCCGCTGGTTTGGGAGAGGACTCCGGGGAAGATGATATCTCGATTATGTCGGGTGGATCTTGCATTCGATATCAGGTGTGATAAACTAGTTGTCCTGGTATTTGTTTGAAAGCGCGAAGGAAAGATGCTGGATGGGTGAACTTGGAGGAATGGCGACACGTGCGAACGCGTTCGAGCAGCTCTTATATCCCCTCTTGAATAAGAATTGGAGGGCAAATGCAAGGGCAAGATTTGGGTGAATTTGAAGGCAAGAATGAATTGCACGATATGCACATGCAGAGAATGTGCCAGCCGTGCCGGCCAAGATGGCAGTCAAACAGGAGTCGAGGAAGCTCTTGCAGTGGCGATCGTTAAATATCTTGAGCGTTTACTGCGCCAAATTACCGGATTTAGTGCCACTGCATTCGCAGTAGATGTGGCCCATCAGTGCACTGCACCTTCGTGCGTTACTTACAGTGCAGAGCTCTCCTGCTTTCCTCGATGACTTCTACAACTCAGGCGTATCTTTACTCTTGACCGTAAATATAAGTATCGAGCCCAACTCTGGTCTGATCCTTGACTTAGGCACCTACTTCTGACCAGTAGGCATGTCCACTCCAACCGCAGACGTCGAGGAAAAGCCCAACGAGCGTTTGAACTCCTGGCGTACCACTAGTTGCGAAACTATCCGACTACGTCGAGCCCCTGTCACCACCTTGGCCGCGTTTCTTGCGTTTGTCTGGGTAGTACGGGTTTGTCGCCACGGCATGTGTGTGCACGACCGCGAGCATGGTATGTACGAACACGGAGGTGAGGTGAAGTTCAAAGAATTCGACTGGTATGAGGTACGCTTGTATGATTTATTTACTATTAAAGTATAGTGCATTGACTCATGGCCCGAACATATAAGCTTCAACCCCAAAATAATATCACCTGGACCGACTGCTTCGCAAATCACAAATGTGCCCGTCTCAGCCTGCCTCTCGACTACACCACGCCCAACGGCCCAAAGACAGAGATTGCCCTCCGACTTATACCCGCCACAGACATGACCAACTACAAAGGAAGTCTTCTAGTCAACCCTGGAGGGCCTGGCGCGTCTGGTACGGCGTTCGTCGCGAAGTGGGGTGACAAGCTCCAGAAGATCGTAGGCCCCGAGTTCGACATCCTCGGTTTTGATCCTCGAGGGACGGGTGCTAGCACGCCTCAGGCGCAGTGCTTCGACTCGGAACGACAGTATCAACAGTGGACTCTCCAGTCTTTGTATCCATTAGTACGCCCTGATGACTCTCGTTCACTCGCCACCGCTCGCGGCCGTGAGACTGTCCTTGCAGAGAGATGTGCTCGGGCGATTGGAGGCGACGATAGGAGTGACCTCAACGGCACTGCAGAAGAGTGGGGAATCGGAAGGTTCATGAGTACGGCACATGTTGTAACTGACATGGTTCACATCGTGGAGAAATTAGGACAGGAAAAGTTGCAGTTTTGGGGCTTCGTGAGTCCTCATAGCAGGTTACTCTTTGTGATCACATTATCCTGATAATCAACCCCACAGAGTTACGGTTCTCTCCTCGGTCAATATTTCGCCACATTATACCCGGACAAAGTCGGTCGATTGGCGATCGACGGAGTCTGGGACGCCACAAATTATACCGCAGGCGACTTCGCCACTGGTCTCACCGCGGTCGAAACTGTCATTCACGCCTTTTATGAGTTCTGTTACAAAGGAGGTCCTACACGATGTGCGCTATACGAGCCAAGTCCTCAAGGAGTCCAGATACGCGTTGACGCCATCTTCGCCAGTCTTCGTGGATCTCCCATCCCGCTTCCCTTCGCTTCGTCCGGTCCAGCATTAATCACGGAGGGCGTCATGAAGAACAAGCTCTTCTCTTCTCTTTACACCCCCATCGTCAAATTCCCCGTCTTCGCAGAGCAGATGCGAGCCGTAGAGACGCGTAATCAGACCGCACTCGAGACCATCGCTGAAGGTGACCTATCCGTCCAATGCAACTGCGACGGGAAAGACCTCCCTCCCTGGTCCATCAGCAACCACGCCAACCAAGCCGTCATGTGCAGCGACATGATTCCCGCCACCGGAGACTACTCCCAAATCGAAGCTTTCTACACGAACGTATCCGCCGTCTCCCCCCTGGTCGCACAGATCTGGCTCCCCGACATACTCACTCGCATCGAATGGTCGATCGAGACGAAATGGCGTTACGAGGGTCCATTCGGCGGAAACACGTCGCACCCGATTCTCATCCTCGAGAACACGTACGATCCGGTGTCCTCACTCGTCGAAGCGAAGGCGGTTGCGGAGAAATTTGTGGGGGCAGGGTTGTTGGAACATCATGCGCATGGTCATTGTACAGTTGCGTCGCCGTCGCTATGTACTGCGAAAGCTGTACGAGCTTACTTTGTTAATGGGACGTTGCCGGAGCCTGGGACTGTTTGTGAGCCTGAGGAATTACCGTTCGTTGGGAAGGGAGCTGAGTTGAAGACACTTTCGCGGGAAGATGCAGAATTGCTGGAGGCGTTGGATGCTTTGAAAGAAGCTATTCCTCACCTTTGATGATGCATGCTATGGTAATTGAAGCATCGCTTGACAGCCTTTATCCCACCCTCGGTGTCATTCTTTCGTATTCTGGAAAAGTTCTGCAAGTTGAATACCTATTATTTGTTGTCGCGAAGTATGATGTTTGTCTCAGGCCGAGGTGGAAAAGTTGGCGCTTGCTGGGAAGGGGGTTAGATGTGTTGTCGGTGGATCTGAAGCTGCCGGAGGACCCTGAAGGATACGATACCTCAATTTAGGACACGCAATGCCACGAGGAACGTATAGGTGGTGTTTCACCGGTCGTGGATGGTAACCTGTTGAGCTGCGCGTACTGTTTCCATCCGTATTATGATGTATCTGAGACTGTTTTGCGACAGAGCGAAAAATGGTGATCTTCACAAGCATGGAGCAGTGTCTTGAACAACCATCAACGAGCGCAATGTTGACCGTGGACAAGTGCATTAAAGATACAATCAAGACATATACATCCCATCGTTTCCACTTACAGTACTACGGTTGAGATTCCGCTGAGGAATGGAAGCTCACGATACGCAAACAGTTGGGAGAGCATAGGACGGTGATACTGATTCTCGATGCATGGCGAAAGTAGTGTCCAGTGTCCGAAACATGCGGATCGCAGGGATTCCAGCGGTTCGACAAATAAAGCAGTGTAGTTAGACTTCGATACCTTCCAGGTTTGTGCCCTGATTCACTCAATGAGTGCATTGAAAGAAATGAGAGCTTGGAGGGGGCTTACCAGTCTCGGCAACCGCAGATACACGTCAGTACCTGTGGAGGGAATTATCAGAACGAGGAAAGCCCTTAATATTGAAACGAAAACAAAGGCTCACCCCATCCATCCAGAGAAACTGGCTCTAAGGATCCTCCGAAGTACCTGAAACATGATCAGTCAGTCAACGCCCAGTGAGACCACCCTCACGAACCCACGTCCACCAACTCACCTCGCGAAGATATTACACATAGGTAGCCCGATGCCCAATTTCGGATGATGTGCTACACCCGCTTCCAACTCTGGGTCACTCTGATTTTTCGATGTATCTGGAACAGTAGTGGATATAGGCTGCCGCTGCTGTTGCCACCGATTGACCTGTTCACTGATTGTAGCATTGACGCCACCTGGCTGAGCGCTCGCTTTTCTCAGTGTTCCGAGTCGTTGTTGTTCTATTCTGGTAGCATTCCGGATGGAAGAGAAAGAGAAGAGGTCCAGTGGGTTTTTGATTTGGGGCGTGAGAAGTCCGCCACCTGCGGGCACAAAGGCGGGAAAGTGAGGCAAATCGTTAGACGAGTAAGGGGTGAATATACCTTGGTCAGATATTCGGATACAAATTTCATCTGCTCCTGCGACTATAGTGACCCGTATTGAGGGCGGTGAAGAAGTGCCGGGATGGTGCGCTACAGTGGCCTGCATAGACTAAAAAAAGTGTGGCTCAATGGGGAGGCGCTAAAGGTGTGTGGTGAAGAGGACAGCTTACATTTTTCAAGAGCTCAAAAACGATATATCTATCTCATCAAACATGGTGAACATTCACGGTGGTGACAGCTTGAAACGTAGATGGGCAAGGACAGACAAGACTCACTCGAGATGTTCCTTTATATACGCGAACTTCGTACCTAAATGTCCATCCACGACGACCCCCGGCCACACATTGCCGTGTTCGTTGTCGAAAACCCTTGGAAGCCCTCTCAACAAGTCTGCGCATTTCTTCACGCTCTTCTCCACATTTAGTCTCGTATAGATAAGCCCAACATGACCCTCCCCGTCTGTATCAGAGCCCTGTCCCGCGAACGACTTCGATAAAGCGACGTGGTGTTCGACGAGTACGCGCCGAGATATTCGCGAGACTAACATACGGCGCATAAACGCATCTATTCAAACGAGAGTAAAATTCGTTCAGTTTATGACAGAAAAGCGCAAAGTCGGAAAGTTTACCAAGTTGGTCGGGTGGGAGGTATGGTGAGGAAAGCGCGAGACCGAGAGAAAGATTTGGGATGACAGAGGCGCTGTACACGTGAGTAGGTTGATGTAGTTCATGTACGCGAAGATATAAGTTTGACCTTACTGTTCGTTTAAGAGTTCGCGTAGGAATATGCAGAAGGCCTCGTTTTCTGCTAGGGTGTCTATTTGTGGGAAGCGACGGAACCTGAACGAAACTTAAGCAACGTGCCTATGACCGAGTAATTGACCCCTCACTTCTCAAAAGCAGTCCAATATAGCTGTCGAAGTGCTAGTTTTAAGCACAAGTGAAATCCTAGGGCAATTCCACAAGACGCACCTCATACACCCTGGCCACGCCTTCCTGCATGACCACGACATACGGTAGAGCTTGCAAGTCCCGTATTCGATGTGCTATCCTCACAGGGAGCTCTTTCCGTACATAGTTTGCGCTCTAGTACGACGCGTTACGAAGGAGTCCACGTAACACCCACGAACGCAAACGCTCACCTTGATCAGTCGTTCTTCGTTCATTGATCTTCCGTAGAATACCTGCACCGCTACCTCAGTCCCTCACACAACAGTGCATGGCAGTCATACACACCAACTGTCGCAAACTCAATCTCTGAGCTTTTCGAGCAGCGTAAAGCTCCAGCTGCTTATTCTGGTAGAAATGTGCCGGCGTGTATGACCGTCGAGAACCTGGTATGGGCTTGCAGGTGCTGTGCAAAGCTAAGACGTTGAATCTTTGTGTTTTTGAGCAGTGAAGGCCATGGTACATCGTCGAGAGTGGTCTCCAGTGGGTTGTAGGCCAGTAAGCTGTGCGGATGCCTCGAGCTCAAGAGGAGGTGGAAGCAGCATTTAGCCTCGAGTCCGAGTCAAATATTGCTTGACTGCACGATCATGGAAGAGGAATTTGAATTTCACCTTGAGATTAGATTAGATCCTCAAGGCTTGCTTGTCTCCAGAGATATCTGTCGATTGCCCCTCACATTCGCACCAGAATCGTTGGAAAGCCCCATGTCTTCCCTTAGCTGGTGTTAGGATACATGATGCATCCATACAGTGCTCTTTCAGCTCAGTCTACCGCTACCACAGTCCACGCATCTTGGCGAAGGTGAGAACCTGTTCCAGCTTTGTCTGCAGCTGGTGCAACTTGATGACTTCTCATGCTCTCCCTTTCGACAACCATCACCTAGCCTATGCCCTCTTCTATCTACGTCTAAAAGTGGCACCTCGGAATTCTTTTGGGTTTGATCCAAAGCTCTACATAAGTTCATCGTCATTCTGATGCTCGTCGCTCTGATCTTCCTCCTCTTCGATGAGGTCGGTCGGATAGTTAGATGAGTCCTGAGCTTGAGTGCTTCAATGTTCAACTTGGGTTTCCTGCCCAGCAACACATTACCTCATATTAATACTGGTGCGTGGTTTCCGGTATCTTGGTCACTCTTTCCCAGTTCTTTTAAAAACAGGCCCGTAGCGTGAAGCAAGAGTCGGAATCCGCGGTGCCACCAGCTAGTCATGTCGACTCCGAGTTCAGCCTCACTGCTCCAGTCTATCATCACTCTAGATCAACTTTGGTAACTCCAGTTCATGGCTTGTGCTCTCGAGGACTGACCATTATTCTTCGCATACAGGGTCATCGGGTGCTATACTGCCCTCTCTGCTACGTGTGCGTGACTATTATCTATACTCTCCACTCGCTGTTGAAGAGTTATGCTTTGGAAGGCATATGGATGATTGACTTCGTCCAGACACTGCCGATACAGATTGAAGCCGCTTGGTCGAGAAAGTCAACGGGTAGTGCTGTGATATACTTAGTGAACCGGTACACGTTTGGAATGTCTATCATCCTCTCTTTGGTGCCTCTGAGTTCCGGTACTGCCTCGGATAAAACGTATGTCAGTTTCTTCGTAGTTGGTCATTTTCAAGGCAGCCATACACTCATTAAGTTCAAGTTGTAGCATATTGTGGTTAATGAGTTTGTGGCTTGGCATAATCGCGATTTTGGCCATGAACTGTGAGCCATGAACTTATTCACCTCACTTGTTTCTGCTCACCATAATATCAATATCCTCTAAGTGCTGTTCGCGCTAAGGGTATATGCTGTTTGCGGACAAAGCAGATTGATTCTGTATATAGCTTTATTAATGACCATAGCCAGATTTGGGGTTGACATATGGGTATGTACATAAAGCTGTCAGCTGCAAGCGTATTATCTCACTCGGTCCCATCTAATAGGATATTGCTCCAGTCAGAGCATATGCGTATGTCTCAACCCAAGGGACCCCATTTGATCTATACTCGATGTGCATCACACTTGTCATAGACACACATGTTTATAACTCGTGAGTCTACTAACAATTTTTGTTACCAATATTCACACTATCGGAAAAACATTCTGACTGAGATGGAAGAGGTAGCTCTACGTATACTTATAAACACCTACATATCTGGAGTCTCACATTTCATCTTCTACGGTACCTACATCAGCTTCCGTCATCACTGCGGCCCTACCCCTGGCATATGATACCTTTGTCTTCGGAATAATCATGCTCAAAACTTACCGGCATGCTGCTGAGATGCGGAAACATGGCCAAACAAGCATCACAGAGGTCCTTCTTCGCGATGGTCAGTCTCGACCTATCACCGTTCGAGGGTACAGTATTAACGGTTCAAGCTGTTCAGGAGCACTATATTTTTTGTAAGTGGAAATGATGCGTGTTTGCCTCTGTATAATACAATCTGCGTCTTCATGCAGCACAGTGACCGCAATTGGCCTTGCGGACTTTGCGCTTACACTGGTATGCGAGCATCTATCCTTCTTGAGCCTTAGTCATGACTGAAATTCCGTCGGTTCAGGTCACTATACTTGCAGTGAGACTCATTCATTCCTTTTAGCTGGCCATGGTGTCTACTGATACCTATTATGATGACAGCCCAACTCAGAAACCGCAGCATTGGCGTGGAGTATTATGCAACCCTACGCGTCAATGTATGATGCGTTTACTCAACTGCAGCTTATATGCCTTTCTGAAATTCATCTATAGATTCCCAAACATACTCATCAACCACCTATATCTCAACCTCCGCGCGATGAACACTACCTCGGCCTCTCGAGAGTGTACCATACCCAAGCCAGCCTTCGCTCAAAACCGAGTCCTCGGCAACATCGGTGCACCGATCGACCGTGACCCTGATTGGTGGAACTCTCCATGCGACGATGACGAAGACGGTCAGTCGGACCCTCAGGTATCAGTAGCACCGTCAGGCAGCGAAGGAATCACTACACTCGTCCCAGTTGTAAGCCTGCCAACTCCTTTTTCCAGTTTCATTGCAAGGCTAGTGTTGACCCAAATATGTAGGTATATGATGGAGATGATACTATAGGAGATATAGAGATGGTTTGTATGCGGAGGGTCCCTTTTACTGCAGGACGATTGGCTCAATGCGACGGAGTGGTTTGATCGCGGACTTAGTTAGACGGTATTACTGCGCTGTGCGTGTCTTCTTCTCGAATCTCCCGTTATCACTGAAGCCATACTTCATTTCTCTAGGCTGAACACACGATAGCATGGTTTTCCGAGCACGAAACATGGACCCAAGCCTCCTTTATACCTTCAGGTTCGAACACTGGGTGCTCCTCTAGCTCTTTCGGTCATCTTTTCTTGCGCTATTTGGAGGATAGCTTTTGAAAGTCGAGTTGCTTTGGAAACCAAGTCTCCTTATTTATGTCTTCTTGTACTGTTCATCTCTTCCTGGATTGCCAGGTCGGCTCGAGCTTCAAGTGTGCGGCCTACCTCAAATATTCTTGATCTCGGCTTAATGCTCACGTTGACGCATAGACTGCAATGTACTTATGCGATACACGATGAATGTACTCAGATATATGTCATCTTTCTTGATATGGACTCTGACAGCAGTGTGAGATAGCAGCGCGAACATAGCGGCAGCAGAACAAGGAGCATCTTGCCACTGCAGCCCGTGGTACCGAGGCGAGAACTTGGTCGCTGCGCCAAGCTGCGGGTTCGCCTGAGATCGATTCCGACGCGGAACTTGCACTCGAACAGCAAACTATCATCCTCGTTACCTTGCTTGCTAGGTCCTTCCCACCCCCGGAATTGAAGCCGCCAAGGTTGCCAAAAACAAACAAAGCCAAACAAGGTGGCGTACTAGTCCCACTACAAAAATTGTAGTCGTTGTTACTCTGGGCGCCACTCCATGTTCACTTCTCTCCCGCGCTTATCTCACTCCCTTGAAGCAGGCCACTCCCCGACTGCACTTCTTGTGTTCATTTTGTAGCGTCTTGAGGTGACAGCTGCCGGAGACTACGCTCCCCTTGAACGTAGTCCGCTTCAGTTTGCGAATCCTGGGGCCGTTTGCCACATTTACTTCGCCGCTCCCACGCACGAACTTCGTATTACGAGCTATTAAGGCCCATCGCAATTGGTGTTACCTGTTCTATTTGCACGTGTTCGCGTTAGTCACTTGAGCAACGGACTTGGCTTAGAAAAAAGTGCTACTTCATTGCTGTTCTCCAGTGTCTCAGGCGGTTCACTCCCGGGTTCATTCCTATCAGGAATGATTTCTTCTTGGCGAACGGTGGGGTAAAGTCAAGTTCTTCGTCATATCCCATAGTACCTTGGCCGCAATAGTTAGGAGAAGTCACTGGTACGCAGAAGAGAGCGGAGGTGGACGGTACTGCCGGTGCCGGAGTGGCCATGGGGGCAGCCTATGGCCTGGACACGAGCGCGAGGACATGGTTGAAAAGCCAGTGATGGTGTAAACATTATTCCCCCTGCAGAAGAAGACTGTGCGGTAGATGGTACAGGTGGAGAAAGGGCGTTAGAATGCTGCAATAGTGCGGGTAAATGGAATGTGGAAGGAGGGAGTGCTAGGGCGGGTGACTAGGAGCGGTAATGCGGCAAGTTAGAGTCGCGTCTTCAGATGAAAATGTAGGTTCGCGAACAGTTCGCAAATGGGATAGCAAGCTGACAGTAGCTAGTGCGTTCATTGGTAGCGTGATCGTCATTTATCTCACTATGGTCGGGAGTTGGATTATCTTCTGGGTGTGGAAGAGAAGGAAAGTCGATGACCGTCGAGGTCCATGTCGCTCGGGTGGCATCAAGATGGCATTGTTTATTGTCCGTAAATTGTTGCGAGCTAGTTGAGTCGCTTGACTCCTCTGTGATGTCTTGCTCTTGCCCCTTTTTATGTCGAGGTAAGGATCGAGATCAAGAATATTCATATGCAGGAGAGTTGTTATTCGAGGGCGGAAAGGCGGTTCACTCCCGGATACATTCCTCTCTCGACTGGTTCAGTGCATTCATGCTGGCAATATTAGTCTCAACTTTAAGGTGCAACGTCCAATGGAGTCGCGGACGATAGCAACGCAGTACCGGCTATCTACAACCATAAAATATGGAGTGAAGTGTGATTGAAATTGGAACAACGTTGAAGTACATCATAGCACGAACTGGCACCGGAGAAGAAGTGCGGAAAACAAGTTAATTACTATTACACCTCGAACTTGAAGTCTAAGGTCTTTGTCGAGGAAAAATGGGTTGGGCAGGTGAGTTGCGTAGGTCAGCAGTCAACCCATCAAGCAAGGTTACCGGCTGGCGAAGGCAGCGCTCCCTAGTTTGTAAGTACCACTCACAAGTCATCTCAGAATTCGGCTCTATTAGTGCAATACCGTACCCTGGTGCGTAAGCATTCCAAATAACTCCATGTTATCTTCTAAACTCTTCGTTGACTTCTCCCCTCCCCAGCCCACGCCACACATCCCCATCATGTCCACTCCCACCCCCTCCCACCCCTACACCACCCCCTCCTTATCCCCTCTAACCCGCATAACCTCAAATCAATCCCACCACCCCCCTCTCTACCCTCCATCCCTACCCCCGCCTTCGTCAACTCACACACGCTCTGGACGACTGGGTCTGGGACGGATCCGTTGGCTGATAGTTCTGCTGTGGTTGGGTTGGGTGGTGGCGGTGTAGGAGACGATGGAGGGACAGGGGAAGGAGATGAAGGGGAAGGAGAGGAGAGGAACCTAAGAAGGCGGAGGAGGCGACGATGGGGGGATGTGTGGCGAGGGATTAAGCGTGTGCAATGCCGCCTCTCCGGGTACGTTCGTTCTCATTCCTTTGTTACCGACCGTCGTTCGGTCAATCGGTGTCGAAGGTACGACTCGGTTGATATTGTTGATGTTTTTTTTTGTGGGCGGTGTTTAGGACCTAACGAGCCCCGGAACTGCACTGTTCAGGAGTTTGAGCTCGGATGTGGCGGTGGGTATGGCGCAGCGGTGAGGTGCGTTTTTGATTTTGTTTGAATTTCCTCTGTCAAGTTCTTGACACTTGATCGAGTGGCGCCGCAAATTTGCTTTCTACACGTTCTTTCTTTCTGTCTCGCTCGCTCGCACCCGTGCGCTGTCCTGGATAACTCAAATTATACCGCCTCTCGGTGCAAGTATCGATGGGACCCATCATGCTGGGCCACACGACCCAGCGATCGCTTGTCTTCGTTCACTCGCTTTGCTCATGGACGGCATTTTTTTCTCCGAGTCGTGTTTGACTCTTTTCCTCCTCACGTTGACTCCCGGATTATTCTCCTCACATTGACTCCTGGTATCCTCCTCGTGTCGACTACTGGATCACCCTGCTCGCGTGTCCCGTCCTGGTGTCACGTACACTACTATTCATGACCCGTTCGTGGATCTATCAACATCATCCATCCATTCCTTCATTTCCGCTCCTTTTCGTGTTGTGTCCTGCGTTGTATTGTGCGGTGTTCGCGTGTGGCAGTCCGTGAGATTATCTACGTGGCTAGAAAAAATGGCCCAGCCTTTGTGATTTCTCTCTATTCGTTATCATTCTAGTCGCACAAGTAAGCTATGTACTTGCTGTCGATAAATGCCAATAGCATAAGATTGAGATGCACGGTGACGTCTGGTATGACCGAATATTTTGCATAGGTCCAGTGCAATGCCAAAGGAAATCCCGCACCACTGCCTTTTAGCAGCATCACCGGCAAGGTTGTGCAGACGGTGTTTGGGCGATATATCACCGGACCAAAATTTCGTGCTCACAGGTGTATGCCGTGGGATGAAGAGATCAATTGTTTCACGGTTTGGAGATATCGTAATGTGTTGCGGGTCATACACCTTGGACCTTGCCTAAATCTTTACCGCTCTCGAGACGAACATTGCATTGCGAGCGGAACCAAAACAACTTTGTCCCGTACAAAACATCACAGGTTGTTTTCGCATGGCTATGGAATCACTTTCCAATTATTCACAAAACTTGATTATCGGGTATCCCATGGATACTCGGGACGACTGATGCTTGGGATTTATGACAGTGGTTTGGTATAAATGTAACAGAAGGAGGCTTGTACTAAGAAGCAAGAGTCAACTCGACAGCCCCCGAGGTGTCGCCAGCTAATCATGTCAACTGCAAGTTCAGCAGCACTGCTCCAGTCTATCATCACTCAAGATCAGCTCTGGTGACCCACGTTCACGGTTCATTTTGAGAAAGACTGACCATTATAATCCCTATATAGGTCTATCTCATTATACCTCAACCTCTCTGTAACGTGTGCGGGACTATGTTCTTATACTCTTTAGTGATCGCTGACAGAGGGACGCGGCTCGGAAGTCCTGTGGATGATCGACTTCGTTCAGACATTACCAATGCAAATTGAGGCCGTATGGTCGAGCAAGATGACCGGTACTGCAGTGATATACCTAGTGAACCGGTACGCATTTGGAATGTCTTTCATCCTTACTTTGGTGTCTGGGAGTTTCGGCACTGCGTCGGATAAAACGTATGTCAACTTCTTTGTAGTCGATCATTTTTGAGATAGCCATCGACCCATAAGTTTCAGTTGTAACATATTATGGACACTGGGTATATGGCTTGACCCAATCACGGTTTTGACCATGAATCGTGAGCCATGAACTTATCATTCATCCTACTTTGTTCTGCTCATTACGATATTAATCTCCTAGTGCTGTTCATGCTGAGGGTATATGCGGTTTGCGGAAAGAGCAACTTGATTCTGTCTATAGCTTTATCAGTAACAATGGCCAGATTTGGGGTTAACATATGGGTATGTACACAAAACGATCTTCTGTGAACGTTTTATCTCACCGGGTCCCATCTAATAGACAAATGTTCCAGGCATCGATGAGGTGTCTATCTCAAGCCAAGGGTTCATATATGAACAGTACTCGAGGTGCTTTGCGCTTATCCAGAATACTCATGTTTACACCTCGTAAGTTTGGTAGAATATTCTGGTATTGTAACATCCACTTTGTCTAACAGAAGGAATCCCTGATACTATGTGAAAGAGGTAATCATATTTTTTGCAAAATGACCAGATGTTTGGCTTAAGTACATGTAATTTCTATCTACATCAGTTGCCATTATCACTGCAGCCCTCTCCCTGGCGTATGATGCATTTGTCTTCGGGATAGTCATGCTCAAGACTTATCAGCATGCTGCTGAGATGCGAAAACATGGTCAAATAAGCATCACAGAGGTTCTGCTCCGAGATGGTGAGTCCTCAAGTTGACCTAGTATGATCCTTCGACGAGTTATATTCATAGTCATCCAGGAGCAGTATACTTTTTGTAAGTAACAGCAATATTGTATTTGTCTTGATCTAATATAATGTTCGATGTCTATGATGCAGGACAGTGTCCGCACTTAGCATCACAAAACTTGGTCTCGTACTGGTATGTGTCTATGCTCCTGACATTCATGCATGATTGAAACCACCCTGTCGATTCAGCTTGTTGAATTTGGAGTGAGGATCACTCAGAGCGTTTGATTGTGTACCGTGTTTGATATTTCTGATGACAGCCTAATTCACAAAGCGCAGTATTGGCATGGAGCATCATGTCACCCTACGTGTTGACGTACGATGCATTTTATTCAACTGTGGCTTATCTACCCTTCTGAAACTTATCGATAGATTGCCGAATATACTTGTCAACCACCTATATCTCAACCTTCGCGCATTAAACACTACCCCGGCCTCTCGAGGACATACCCTACCCGAGCCAGCCTTCGCTCAGAATCGGTTCCTCGGCAATATTGGTGCGCCGGTCGACCGTGACCCTGACTGGTGGAACACTCCGCTCGACGAAGACGTGCAATCAGACCCTCAAGTATCAGTAGCGCCGTCGGGCAGCGAAGGAATCACTACACTCGTCCCGGTTGTAAGCCTGACTCCTTTCTCGAGTTCGATTGTCAGGACAGTATTGATTCAAATATTCAGGTGTACGATGGAGACGATACTACAGGAGATATAGAGATGGTCCGTATGCGGAGGGGCACCTCTGTCGCAGGACGGTCCGAGGGTGACAGCGGTGGAATGGTTTGATTATGAGAGGCGGGGCTACTGTTCATGTGTGCCGTGTCGTCCTCACATGTTTTGAACCAAAGCTCTACCCTCTTACTCCCTCTTCTCCGAATCCCGGACATTTCTTCTTGCGTTCTTCGGAGAATAGCTTTTGAACTTCTACTCTTCCTCGCCTGATTTATATCTTCTTGTACTGCATGATCGGCTCGAGCCTTGCGGCCTTTCTTGAAATTCTTGATCTCGGCTTAGTGCTCACGTTAACGCATAGACTGCGATGTACTTAGGCGATACGAGACGAATGCACTCAGCTATATACCATCTTTCTTGATAAGGATTCCGACGGCGTTGTGAGTTGGCGGCGAAGAACAAGGTCAATTCTGAAAACTCCTTGCCACAGTCCACTATACCGGCTCGTGTGGCGACGGGTTAGTTGTTCGCGCCAAGCTGCAGGTTCGCCTGAGATCGACGCGCGTTGGACTTGCATAACTTGCACTCGAACAACAGACTATCATCCACATCTGTAAGTACTATCGCAGAATTTCACTCTCGCGATATATATTTTTACTCAGGTGCGTAGTTTTCTCTGAAATACCGCACCGCTTCTCCAGAAATCTCGCCGTAATGCTCGCGCGCTGACTTCTCCCTTCTCTCTCACAGCCCACGCCACACATCACCATCATGTCCACTTCCACTTCCACCCCCACCCCCACCCCCTCCCCTCTAATCCGTATAACCTCAAAACTAATCCCCCCACCTCCCTCACAACCTTCCCTGCCCACACTCGCCCTGCAAGTCACCTCCCTCGTCAACTCATACATGCTCTGGATCGGGACGACGAGTGCGACGGCGGGGGCGGATCCGTTGGCTGATAATTCTGCTATGGGTGGGGTTGGTGGTGGTGATGGAGGGGGAGAGGAAAGTAAGAAGGCGGAGGAGGCGGTGATGGGGGGATGTGTGGCGAGGGATTGGGCGTGTGCGATGCCGCCTTTGGGGGTACGTTCGTCTCCTACCGTTTCCTCCTTCCCCGGTCAATCGGTGTGGATGGTTCGATTTAGTTGACAACTTTGCTGATGCTTTTGTTTTTGTGTACGGTGGACGATGTTTAGAATCAGACAAGCTCGGGCACTTCGCTGTTAAGGAGTTCTAGCTCTGATGTGGCGCTGGGTATGGCGCAGCGGTTAGGTGCGTCCTTGCTCCGTTCCACTCTGATCGTGTTTTCCTCCTTGAATTGAAAGCTCTACTTACTACACTTTCTTTCTTTCTTCTCGGTTGTCCTTCTATGCTCATCCTTCACCGACTTTCGACTTCCGATGGGACCCGTCATGCTGGGCCACACTACACCACACAACGATCGCTTGTGTTTGTTCACTCGCTTTGCTGTTCGACATTCATCTTCGGCTGCTCTTCTCGTGCTTGACCTTCCGGTATCCTCTTGTTCGCTTTGCGTCGACTGCTGGGTTATCTCCTTCCCGTCGACCACTGGATCGCCTCCTCGCGTCGACTCCTGGATTGTCCGTTTTGCGTCAACTCTTGGATTATCCCCCTTCCGTTGACTACCGGATCGCCCTCCTCGCGTCGACTCTTGGATTATCCTTGTCGTGCCTCCTCCTGGATCGTCCTGCCCTTCTCACGTATCCCGTCCTGGTGTCAACCCCCACAACCACACAACTAAATATGAACCCATCGCGGATCTATCGACACCATTCCTGTCCTCATCCATCCCTCCGCGCTAACTACTGGATTTTCTTCTTCGCGTGTCTTTTTTTGGCGTCACCTACACAACTACAAAACTACACAACTAATCGCCCCGACATGCCCCCCTTCGCGGACCTATCGACATCGCTCTTTTATCCATCCATCCATTTGTTTGTTTGTTTGTTTGTTTGTTCATTCATGTTCGTTTCGTACCATTTTTGTGGTATGTTGTGCTGTGCGGTGTTGTGCTATTCATCCCTCTATTCATCCCTCCGTTCATCTGTTCATGTCCATCTCCGCTCCTTTTTTTGTATTGTATTGTATTGTCCTGTGTTCGCGCTTGGCCTCGTCATGATCTGGCCTTGTCGTCGTCATACATGCACGCGCATGCGGCGTGTCTCTTCTTATTCTCCTGATCCGTTCTGCGCTCTGCGGCCTTTCGTGCTTTCGTGCTTTTGTACGTCTTCCGTTTGCGTCGCGGGCTGGTGGTGTTGGTTGTGTTTTTGTGTTCCTGGTGTTGCGTCCTGGTGCATGATCCGACACTCTCACCACACATAACCTACCACGGCTCACATTCAACTCAACCCACCGCCACCCCACCGTCACCACTCACCACGCAATCACGCCAAACACAGCCCGCCGCACAAATAAACAAATCTTCCTCTCCGTCGACGTCCCACCTACGTTCCTTTCTGGAGGAGGCGGACGGACGTTGTTGGAGGTGGAGAGGGCGGCGATTGGGGTGTTGAGGGAGTTGGAGGGGGGAAGTGAGTTGGCGGTGGAGGGAGAGGAAGGTGGAGGGAGGTGGAGAGAGGGATGAAAGGGTTGTGGGGAAGGGAGATGAGGTGAGTTGATGTTCGTGTTTACTACTTACCGGGACTTGAGCAGGCGGTCACTAGTGGACGGTGCTAACTTTGTGTTTTGTGTGGCGAAAGTAGTGTCTGAAAGTCATATGAAGGAATCCATACTCGCTGTTCAGGGATGCGCATATGGATGGACGGAGGAATGAGTCTGCGCTGCGCCGAAGATCGTTAGCGAGCTCACCATTCAGAAGTATATGTGCAGTCCTGCGGATGGGGAAGGAGGGGGAGAAAAGAATTAGAACGCCCGCTTTGCATGTATTTAACACCATGGAGATATCAAGGATGTATGCCGAAAGTGCTGTATATGTGTACGAAGCAGTATTATAAAGTCAGGAAAAAGGGTGGGGGATATGCGGTGTGGCGAGGCCGTTGGTGTGCTTGAGAGGGGACGTTGCAAGTTCACTGGTTTGCGAAATTTGTGGTCTTTTTATTCGAAGATGGTAGTACAGGATCGAGGCACTGCCAAAGTACGACAGCTGGTTGAAACGGGAGGTTATAAATAAACAGAGTACAGTATGATGTGCTTCCTCAGCCCTACAGCTGTTTTAGTTCTGATGTAATCGTACACTAGTGCGCTGTCGGCAGTCGGATATCGATTTCTGGTGTGGACACGCTGCATGTGCGCAGGTGAGGTGATGAGCATAGGAGAGGGGTTGCGTGACTTGTAAATTGTGGTTAGGGGAGTTTCAAGTGAGAGGTGTGAGAAGAAATAAAATAAATCGATTGCGCAGAAAATTGGGAAGCGTTGAAACGGAGATCTTATTTTGATCAGGACCCTGACGCAGTCACAGCTCAGTGTCTCATCCCGCCTTCGCTTCGCCACACCGCTCCAGCTCCTCGACTAGCACGAACACAGGCCTTCTTCCCCTCTCTTCTCTCCTCGCTTTCTGTCCTTCCACCGCCCCCGCCCCCACCGACGACGACGACGAGCAGCGCCTTGTCCGGCCATCAGAGCACCCAGACGCGACGAGAGAGGCAAGGGAATCGCACGAAGAGGGAGGAATTGATGTCGGAACCCGAACTGGCGTACATGGGCGGGAACGACGAGTTTGATCTGCCGCGGTGGCAGACGCAGACGATAGGCAGGGACCAGCACGACTACCTCTCCTCGTCGGCACAGGCGGCGCACGCAGCCCAGCAAGCATCCACGCCCTACCTCAATCCCTACGCACCACCCCAACAGCACCAGCGCCTCAACTCCCAGTCGGCCACGCTCACCCCGACGTCCCCTAGCAGCCGCGCGCACCATCTCATCGACGGCGGCAACGACGGTGGTCAGTCGACCTCGCTGCCGTACCTCTCGCCGACGACGCACGCGAACCTGTCGCGCTCGGCGTCGCTCGGCGCAGCAACACTGACCTCTGCAGCGCGCGGCCGACGGCAGCACCACAACATGCAGGACGACATCGAGGGCAATCCGCCTCTGCCGCAGCCGGCGTCGTACGCGAACGCTAACGTCAACAACAACGGGCACACGCACTCGCACTCGCGCCAGCACTCGACGTCGTTCTACCCGCCCAGCGTGCCCTACCCGTCCTCGTCGTACCCGGACGCCGCACCGAGCGACCCCCCATCGCCCTACAACGACCTCTATTTCTCCACGCAGCACGCCCCGAAGCGCTCGCTCACACACCACGATTCGTCGTCCTCCTCGTCGGCTGCCGCCGCCGCCGCTTCCCGCGCCGCCCGTTCGCCACTCAGGACAGGACAGTCCCAATCCGGTCAGGCCTTCCTCGATCCCTACGCCGCCAGCAGCCAGCAGCAGTCCCAGTACTCGCCCACGACCGCAAATTACCCTCCGTCCGCCACCACCGGCACCACCACCATCCCCCCTTACCAATCTCCGCCCTACGTCGGCGGCGGCCATTCGCGCGCGACGAGCAAGAGCGGCGGCGATATATTGACGCCACCTCTCCAATCGCCCTACACGCCCTCACAACTCACAGCCGCACCGCCACAATCCTCCCAAGCCCAAGCCCAACAGTCCCGCTACTCGCCGTCCTCATACGTTCTTGGCGCCATGGACACATCCTCCCCTCATCCTCCACTGCCCTCACAACAATCCCAGTCCCACATCTCCATCCCGCCCCGCCAAAACTCGATCTCCCAGCCGAGCACGCCGTTGCAGTTTCCCGTGCCGACGCATAGTCCGGCGTATGGCGCGCAGGACCCGATGGTCGTCGATCCGCCGCAGAAGAGGAGGGCGAGCGGGTTTAGGAGGGTTAGGGATCAGAGGGATTTGAGGCCGCATGTGAATCCGAGGCCGGGGGGACGGAGGGTCGACGCTGCTGGGCAGTTTTTGTCGGTGCGTTTCTTTTCGTTTTCGGTTTCGTTTTTTTGTGTTGTCAGAGTCGTGGTGGTTGGGCGCTGTTGGGCGTTGGTGTTCTATTTATGGATGTGAGCTGACATGACATATGGCATGAAAACAGCCCCTCCGTCAATTGACGACGAACATCATCGACACGTACCGCATTGCGAACCCGCAGTTCAAGTATGAATCGGCGACGAACCCGAGGAGGGTGCTCACCAAGCCGAGCAAGCCGTCGCATAACGAAGGGTACGATAACGAGGATTATGATTATATCCTGTATGTGAACGATTGGCTGGGAACGGAGGAGGGACATAAGTGAGTCTTCTTCCGCGTTTGCGCTGTGGCGCTTTGGGTGTGCTGATTACCGTTTGCGCGGCGTAGGTATCTCATCCTGGATGTGCTCGGGCAGGGGACGTTCGGACAGGTGGTGAAATGTCAGGATATGAAGACGCATGATGTCGTCGCTGTGAAAGTCGTGAAGAACAAGCCGGCGTATTTTAACCAGTCGATGATGGAGGTGACGATCCTCGAAATGGTGCGTCCTGTCTGTTCCTGTCTTCGCACCAAGTCTAATCTTTCCTACACTTCCCCCCTCCCACACCCACCCACTCCACCCCCCACTTCGTCCACACACCCGCCCACGTCCAGCTCAACACCCAATGCGACCCGCACGACGAACACCACATCCTCCGCCTAAAAGACTCCTTCATCCATCGAAGTCATCTCTGTCTCGTCTTCGAGCTGCTCTCGTCGAACCTGTACGAGCTCATCAAGCAGAACCAGTTCCAGGGCCTGAGCACGCAGCTCGTCAAGGTGTTCACGGCGCAGTTGTTGGACGCGATGTCGATATTGAAGGATGCGAGGTTGATACATTGTGATTTGAAGCCGGAGAATATATTGCTGAAGACGTACGTCTACTCTTCCCTTGTAAAAAAATCAGACTCCCTCCTCGACCAAAGAGTTGCTGATTCCTTGTCCGCGTCCTCGCTAGACTTCAATCCCCACAAATCAAAGTAATCGATTTCGGCTCCGCATGCCACGAACGCCAAACGGTCTACACCTACATCCAGTCCCGGTTCTATCGCTCGCCAGAAGTATTGCTCGGGCTGCCGTACACGGCCGCGATCGATATGTGGTCGTTGGGGTGTATTGCTGTCGAGCTGTTTTTGGGGCTGCCGTTGTTTCCGGGGACGAGCGAGTATAATCAGATTACGAGGATTGTGGAGATGTTGGGGTATGTTTCTCCCTCTCCCCTCACTTCCCTTGCCCCCACCTCGGGACACCCTCTCCCTTTTCAATGAATTTCGGACAGACACTGACTGGGTGCACAACAATGATAACAGACAACCCCCATCCTACATGATGGAAATGGGCAAACAAACCGGCCAGTTCTTCGACTCGTACGTGGACATGTACGGCCGGAAGAAGTACAGGTTGAAGAGCCTGGAGCAGTACTCGAGAGAACATAACACGAACGAGCAGCCGGGGAAGCAGTATTTCAAGGCGACGTCGTTGCCGGAGATCGTGAATGGGGCGCCGATGCCGGCTTTTAAGACGGGGAGGCAGGGGGTGGAGATGGAGAAAGGTGCGTTTTTTGGAATTTGAGAATGGGTGTTGATGTTTGTTGACGCTGAAGCTGATGATGTAGAGCTCAACAACCGGCAGTCGTTCATCGATTTCTGTCAGGGGCTGCTGAATATGAACCCGATCGAGAGGTGGTCGCCACAGCAGGCGAGGCTGCATCCGTTTATTACGGGCGAAAAATGGACGAAGCCGTTCGTGGTGCGTTTTTCCTCCTCCTTCTCTTCTTTCCATTAGTCTCTCTTTTGACTTCATCACTCATCTCTCAAATCCACATCCCGCAGCCTTCCGGACACCCACAATCCCAGTCCCAACCCTCATCCCAATCCGGCTCCCCTTCGAATGCACCAGACCCTAAACGGCCCTACGGCGGCCTCGTGCCCTCCCAGCCAAAGGGGAACAGACCGTTCCAGGACGCGGCGTCGTATAACCAGCATCTCGCGCAGCATCAGGCGTATACGCAGGCCCAACAGGCCCAACAGGCGGCGCAACAGGCGTTTAGGAATCCGTATTTGACGCAGGGCCAGCAGACGCATTTAGCGCAACAGCAGACACCGCAGTCTCAGACGTCGTCGACGGGGGCGACGGCGGGGTCGGTGGGGTATGGGAGCCCGCCGGATGGGGTGGGGTATGTTCAGCAGCAGCAGCAGCAGGGGCAGCAGGGACAGCAGTATGCGGGTGCGAGTCAGGGACAGAGTGAGTTCTTCTTTGTTACCTTTGATTGTTTCGTTAGGGCGATGCTGATTTCAGTCTTGCAGGACCAAATAACAATGCGAATAACGTCCAATATCCTGGCGGGCCACATCTCAACCCGAACCCACCGGCCAACTCGTACTACCCCAACCAGAACCAGCAACAACGCGTGCGCGCGAACACCATCAACCACATGGACAACTCTGTCCCTCCTGCCCTGGCCCGATTGCAGCATATGAACCAGGACGTGATCAGCGGACGAAATGCGCTGACGCCGGTGCTGAACCGGGACGACGCGATGAAGGAGTGGGAGAGGAGACAACAGGGCGGGAAGGCGGCGGCGGCACAACCGTACCCCCAGTTGGAGTTCTTGCAACAGCAGGCGGAACTCGCGGCATCTTCGGGTCTGACGACCTGGGTCAGTCATTCTGGTGCGGCTGGTGTGGGTGCTGGTGGCGGCAGGGGAGGAGGTGCTGCGTACCAGCCTGCGACTGGGTCGGGTCTGGCGCATCAGTATCATCCGTCGCAGACGAGTATTGTGGTGGATGATGAGAGGAGAGATCAGATCATGTCGAATGTGAGGGCCAGTGCGAGGGCGGGCGGGGATGGGACGTCGGTGGGGGGTAGTGCGTATGGGCCGCCGCCTTCGGCCGGGGTGATTTCGAGTCCGCCACAGGCGTATACTTCGAACGCGACGACTGCGGGGAATCGATACGCCGCAACGTACGGGCCCCAACCGCCACAACAGCAATCATCACAGCACCAACAACATCAGCCGCAGCAACAGCAGGGATCTCAGCCAGCTTCGCAGCAGCATTCGCCGACTTCGCCGTTTGACTCGTTGGAGAGGAGACAGGATATGGCGGGGATGTACGTGCCTATGCAGCCGGACCATCAGTATCAGGCTGCGTACGGCGGGACTGCGGGCGGTGTTGGTGTCGGTGTCGGTGTCGGGGCGGGTATTGGGGCGGGTAGAGGGGGGATGGGCGTCGGGAGTGGCGTCGCGCAGCCGCCGCAGGCTTTGGCGGCGGGGTTCTATGGGCCGGGGGTCGTTCCGGCGGGAGCGGGGCAGCAGGGGCAGGGGCAGGGAGGGGGGTTTAGTGGGCCTGGGGCGTCGGGGACGATGGGGAATGGGGCGGGGAAGGATAGGAGGACGAGTGGGATGGAGTTTTGGCCTAGGTGAGCGGTGAGGTGTGTGGCGGTATAGAAGGACGGAGAGTGCATGCGAATGGACGATCGATGGAGCGGACGCTGTGGGGTCCAAAGATTAGACCCGATATTTCTCTTTTTGCCGTCGATGAGGATGTGCATATGTGGCCGTGGTCGTGTTGCTCTTGAGCTTGCGGTGCTGAAATGGGACGAGTCCGAGTCGCGTCGTTTTTGTGTCTGGCTTGTTGGCGATAGTACGAGATAGCGTCGACGCTTGCACCCATCGTACAGAATGAATATTTTGGAGTCCGTACCGCGCACGATGATTTCTGGATCTCCTTCATCATCTCCATACAATCTCATAACCTTTATCCTCTCCCTTGTCCTTTGTTCTCTCTTTCTCTCTCTACCTTTCCCTTTCTCAGACGCCATCACTCCCATGACAAGCTCACAAATATTCAGTACACGGTTCTCATTGCCCTGCCTGCACAATATCCTCTCTCGCTTCTGCTTTTTTCTTTTCTTTCTCTTCCTTGATATATATCTTGACGGTGCCGGCGGTGCCGTTACTGCTATTTTCCTTTCTCCACTTTTTCTTTTTCGCCTTTCCTTGTTCAAGTCTTTGTATCTTTACATATATTCCAAGCTCATTTCCCGCGATCTTTCATTGGATCAAACACAGAAACAAGAGTTTTCTGGACTCTAACGTCTAACTGGATGTTCCAAGGTGTGGCGTGTGTCACTTGTGGCGCACCAACTTGCACGTTTCAATCTCCGAGGAATCCCCGCCCGATCGCGTGTCGTCGTTCAGAAGTTCCGAGTTCCTCCGGCCGCGTTGAACAGTGGCCTCCCGAATGCTGATGATCGTCACGGGCAGTCCGAGTCTTCCTCCATGCAGAATTGTTTGTTTTGTCTTTCCTGGCCGTTGATCTTGTGGGGCCCTTGGTGAACCGTCTTTCATCAATTCTGTGCGGCCGGTGCTATCCAAATCCCTTATTATCCCATGGAGTTACGAGCTCAAGTACCAACTACCGAGCTAGTACTAGTCTGAGGCGACATGTCATGAGGCCGGCCAGGAAGGTTGATTATACGATGCACAAGTATGGGTAAAGACGTTCGGTGGACCATTTATCTGATTTTATCAAGGAAATCACCGTAGGATTCACCCTTCCTAGTGCTTACTCCGATGGCTGGCCAGCGGCCAATAGGAAATCATATGCCTATGGACCATGCTCGCCATTCCGCCGCGGGCTCCCTCTGGCGGACGATCTCTGATGTGCGTCGTGCATCTATCCATTCTCTTTGGATGTCGAATGACAGACGAGATGGTGGTATGCTAGTGGTTGCTTCCAAGTGGACCGGGGAATTTTCTGATACACGGTGCGTACTAGCTACTGTTGTACGTTGCTCCGCACTTCTTCGTTGGATGGCTGGGCAAGTAATAGAGACGATCCACGACTAATGGACGAGGTGTAGGTATACTCGCTACTTCCAAATGGACCGGGGAATTTTCTGAAACACGGTGCGTACTAGCTACTGTTGTACTTTGTTCCACACTTCTTCGCTGAACGCCTGGGTAAGTGACAGAGGTGATCCACGAATGACGAACGAGTTCTACTTCCAAATGGACCGGGGAATTTTCTCAAACACGGTGCGTGCCCTGTTGTACTTTGTGCCGCACTTCTCGTTGAACGCCTGGGTAAGTAACAAGTAGGGACGATCCAGGCTAGATGTCGACTACTAATGGACGAGATGCGGGTAGACCTCCGTTCTGCTTCCAATTGGACCGGGTAAATTTTGAAACACAGTACGTGCTGTTGTATGTACTTTGCTCCGCATTTCTTTGTTGAACATTTGGGTAAGTGATGGGGACGATCCACGGATAATGGACGAGCTGCAGGTATACTAGCTACTTCCAAGTGGACCGGGGGATTTCCCGAAACACGGTGCGTGCTCTGTTGTACTTTGTTCCGCACTTCTCCGTTGAACGCCTGGGTAAGGAATAGAGACCGCCCACGAATAATGGACGAGATGCAGGCATAGAATTACGTTCGACTTCCAATTGGATCGGGTAAATTTTCGAAACACGGTGCGTGCTGTTGCATGTGCTTTGTCCCGCATCTCTTCAAGTTCATCGACTACCTGGGTTGGTAATAGGGACGATCCAGACACATCGATGTCACCGTGAGCCGGCGGTTGATGGCATTCTGGCCACTAGCTGGCGGGCTTCGCGGTCGTGCTTCTACTCATTGCAGTGCCCGCTACATGCTGGGATACCGGAGAGCGTATGTATATAATTCCGCTGTAGAAAGCCGCGATTGGATGCTCAGAGATGAGCAGAAAGCATTGGTCAGGACGATCACCTCGAAAGGTCACTTCGATAGAATTCCAGCCGTTGGAGAAGTGCAGATCTGTGGTGGTTGCCGACATGGTGCCCGAGCCGCTCCTCACATCGATGGGTAGCTGTTCTATTTTCTTTCTTGCGATCCCTAGTGGCTGCATGTACGGGGAATTAGCATGCACAGCATTCACTCATCTCTCGCCGCTAGTCATTCATGTTGCAATGTGAATTACATCGATATATCCTCATTTGCGAGTCTTCCACAGTCGCCTGCTGGAGGCCATGAGCCAGAGACATCTTTGACATCAAGAAACATGTTTCATCTCCGTCCTCCCCACTAGTCACGGGAACCCGTAATTCGACAGCGACGGTGCGATTTCCTGGTCGTAGCGCTATGATTCGCCTGACGATGTTCACACTATAGAACTCGTTTTCTTCATTTCACGGGCGGCGAATCTACGATAGTTTGTGCGGAACAGCTCTTTCGTTGACTCAACCCTATGTGTTCCTACCGTACGTCATCACGGGCGTTCTCTCAGAAGGCCGGATTCAATCCAGAGCTGCCCGGCCTGGTCCAGAAATTCATTTTGTCGTTAAAAGTCCCACTATACGCAATGTTTTTTCCCGCCATTGCCACTCGTGCGCCTCGTCAACACCGGCCTTCTCCGTGCCCCGAGTACGGGATTACAGACTCCGGCCTTCTTTGCCTGTGGCATCGCGCACGGAGTCTGTATAGCGCGAGCGTTCGTACGATGTTCGTGTCTCTCGCTCTTCTTCAACAATGGCCGGAAGCTTATCGATGTCGTTCTACTATCCTCAGCCGTCGTGCAGATGTTTCGATCTTGAGGCTTGAGTACCTTTAACGCCTCGGAATAGTCTTTGTTTCCTTATGGGTATCCCGGATGTCGCTCCTCCATGTTGATGTTGCGTCGGAGTCCGCATGTATCGAGCCTATGACGACGCTGCGTTTTCCTCCTCCTCATGGACTCCAATCCGAGGGCATACCCGCAATAACAACGAGATTGACAGGAAGAGTGTCCACCTTCGTCCATCTGATGGATCTGTAACCGACACAGATCCTCGGTCCTAACTAGAATGTGTCCCTCAATCTCCCCTTGACTGGCGAGGATCTTGAAGAGCGCTTCGGACAGTGAAAAAATCCTCTTCTACTTATCCTGTGCGCCCCATACAGAATACCGAGACAAAGCGTTGATGCTCTATCACCCGTGACTCTCACTGTGAGAGAGGAAATACGTCAAGTAGTCGTGGTGTCCTGTATGACCGCCTCGGTCTATGACGGCTGGTGTCAAAATAACGGTGACGACCTGTGCTTGATCATTGATCATCTTACGCCACAGAACCTTGGGGGATGAAGGATGCCATGGTCCCTGGCTCCGACAAACTATGTTTGTATTTAGTGTCGATGGCCGGCTCGCAGATCGTAGTTTGTATGGATTAAGAGGGTATAACCGACGCCATTAGCACTGACACAAGTAATTTTGCGGCCTGATGTACTTCTTACCGCCTTCTTACCCCTCACACGCTCTCAAGACACTAGTTTGGGACATTCTCGAAACCGGTTCGATTCAGTGATTCAGCCATGACAGGGTTCGAACGCATACTGCACTATGGCGTGGATATTATTGTGCGGACCAATTAGGGAGATCATCCTTTTTTGTTTTCCCTCGGAATGTCGGAGTGGTGGTGGATTTGCAAACGAAACATGATTCGTTGGACGATATTCGTCGAGGTCACGGTGTAAGCACTGCATTCAACACACGCAACCGCGGAAAACCATTACAACGTGGATAGCGGAGGCCGTTGCCAATATAATTCCTCTGTAAGCATTAACACAATGGGTGGCGATACAAGAAAATTGTAGGTGTTAGGTAAGAGCCGTGTACTTAGCTTGAGGAGATGATCTTTCCGTGCGGGAAACTAGCAAGTAGGGCTCTTCGGATCAGAAACTCCCTGCCCAAGGCAATGTGCGGAATTCCTTACCCCCAGTCTTCTCGGTACTTCTCCGTCGTGTATCGGATGTATCATGCTAAGAGCAAGGTTTTACGATAGACGCGTGGCTTTCATGAACACCGTTAGTTGTTCGTTCCTATGTTTGCACCACCGTGGATTGTCATGGGAAGCGTCAAAACTGTCGTCCAACCATAGTGTTTTGCCTGCTTACCTTCCTCGGTCAGAACCCAGCTTTGACGTCGATCCGGCCGAGGTTGGACGTCCAAGTGACACTAGACCAAACACTGATAACACAATGCTTGCCTCAGCTTACTCTCGGGCGCGTTCACCCGGGTGCAGTGTGAAGGTTGGACCAGCGAGAGTTGCATGGGCAGCTCCAATCAACGAAAATAGAGCGTAGGTTATAGGTTGAAGATACAGGGTATGAAGTGTAGCCATACGGGTCGCATGCGAACGTTCTGTCGTCGTCGAATTATCAGGGATGTAGTAGCGATAAGTTGTGAACATACCGAAGGCAGAAGTGACAATGGCAAGCGGGGCATGGCACCATATGTTCAGGCTTCTAGCTTGGTGGTCATGAAAAGGCCCGGCAACCTGACATGGCCTCTATAATAGTGCTGCGTCGGTTATGGCTTTGATCAAGCATGTAATTGAAATACCTGAATTGTTTGGAGCCTTCCTAATACATTCACCACTGAATAGCGATTAGAAAGTAAGCAAGGCTCGACCTGTACAAGTCTACGCCTTCCACACGCCTGCCACAATTAGCACCAGGCGTGTAATATTCGTACTGACAGAATATTACAGCCGAGGGCCAAAAGGGCAGATTTTCCCCATCAGCTTCGACCTCTGAGAACAGACGCGCTCGGTCCGAGCCAAACACTCTACTTGCCGCTATGAGGACACTTTCGGGACAGTGAGACCTGGAACTAATCTGGGACAGTGACTCTCATGGAGGTGGCTTGGCCAGGAAGGATCTTGGATTTAAGGGACAAAGATAGACGAGGCAGACCTGGATGATGCACGTCAGAAGCCATGTCGTCGCTGCCATCCAGACAAGGCGCACGATGAGTGGTGCACATGGCGAGTATAGGAGGCGAGACAATTCTGCGCAGAAGCCTATCAGAAGAAGACGTGTATAGAAGTTGTAGAAGTGAATGGTCCTACGCGCCTGAGAGATTAACGGCATTCCGACGGTCTGTGTAGCAAAACACGATTGACGAATGATAGACGTTGTGAAGATGATGCAAAACAAGACGAACACAGCTGAACCTACGGAGGACGGGGGTAGCATTGCACAATGGAAGGTATGGAAGCACCACATGGACAGGCGGCGCGAGGGAAGGAAAAAAAGAGGGTTGAATCTCGTTCGAAAATTCGCTCGTCAGAACCAGATAAAAATGTAGTACAGAAAACCAGGCAAAACGATGCATGAAAGTCCGAGATGCAAGGTCGTGAAAGTGCCCAGACAGGGTCAATAAAAAGGTACACCACATCTAGAACGTACTTCTCTAGCAGAACAGTCTTCGCCACCAAAGCACAAACCGCGACCACCAGCCTCCCGCCCAATCGCCACTTCGCGGACGGGAGCTCAACCACATTCTTCCAGTACCAGCGCGAATAGCATTTTCCGACTCGTCAGCGTCGTCCACGCCACCTTCTTCGACATCTGGAATGCGGCGGGAGGACGCAGCCGGCGAGAAACGGGGTAGAGTTCGCCTGGAAATAAAAGTGGGGAAAACCTTGAGCAAGGCCAGCAGCTCAGGGTTTGCCAGATCTGGGGAGGTCCAGATGCGCAGATAGACTTTCTGCTCGTCACGGTAATCAGGTGGCACCTTCGGAAACAGATCGTCTATCTCGGTGGGAGGCGTCAATGGACTCGGCGGCTCGTCAATCCCTTCGGATGGAGACTTCGAAGGTGCAAGAGAAGACGGTTGTGCCGAAGATGATTGCGTGCTAGAGGAGTTGAAGGAGTGCGAGAGATCGGGAGTGTCTAAGAAGGGATCACTGGGCGCGCGCATGCGCTTGAGTGGCGGACGCGAAGCTTCACCGGTCCCGGCAGAAGAATCGGTGTCTTTAGACTGCAGTGGTTGGGATTGCGATCGTGAATGAAGCGGCGGGAGGGCACCATACCCCTGGGAGATGCCAGATGATGTCGATGTGCGGCTGGAAGGGTTCTCTTCAAAGCCCAAAACCTTAATCACAGGCCACAATTAGACTTGTGAGTGAGTATCGAATAAAGGCTAAACTTACTCCTTTGAGGACATCAATAGCTTCGAGCATAAAGTCTTTACCACTGAAGGCACAACTCAGACCGGGTGATCAACATAAAATGGTCATATACACTCACGCTGCTTCTTGAAATACAGCATCGTCAATCTCCCACTGTATACGTCTCGCTCCCGCCCCACCCAAGTGTTCAGGAACGACTTGAAGCCGCATCAAGACCCAAAGTCCTTCAAATAAAGCGTTCGTCCCAGGTAGCCCTTGGGAGCACCAGCTACGCACAAATCGATCGAAGCGTTCAAGTCGCTCCTTCTTCGCGAGCGGCCCACTGGGATCAGCGCGGGAGTGTGGCATTAACGACCCTCCAGGCTGAGTCGAGGAAAGGACAGCTCGGAACTCTGCTGTCTTGCGGACCCGGACAGTCTCATGATATGCTGATCGAATCGAGGCTTGCAGCCTTGTGAATGGAGCACGCTGGTGAGATGGGACATTTGCCATCGTAGCAGTCATGAGACGTCCAGCCTCTTCATCCTGCTCAAAAAACCTAACAAAGCGATATTGCCCATTGAGCGGACGTTGTAGACCGATATCAATGGACAACGTACCATTTTCGACAGTTCTGAGCAAACGCCTCGAGATCCCCTCGACCTTTTGAAGGAGTAGCTGATCTGGTCCGAGCCTTTGGAGGCGGACTCTTATGTCGACTTCGTGAGTTTCTCGGAGAAAATGTGGGGGAGGTGGGGGAGGTGACTCTAGAGTTCGCTGCAGCGGCAGGAGGCGAGAAGGGGGATGCCGTAGGAATGTCATAGAGTAGTTGGTCTGATGTGTCAGTGATTGCTGCACCAGCAAGGGATGATCTCTTGGACTGGTTGCTTCCCAGACGAAGGGGAGGTGGTGGTGGGCGTCGCTGTGTTTCCAAGCGGTATGAACGGGTAGACGACATCTTGCAAAGCGTCGACGCCTGTCAAGATCCAGAATCCAGGCTAGATCTCTGGTTCAAGAATCCAAATTCGAGCTTCGAAGCTCAAAGATCAGGGGTATCGAAAGATAGTAGTTCAGGTTGTGTGCGGACGTCGCTAGACCGATGTGAGGAGTCAAGTAGCCCTGCTGCCTGATTTCCTGCAGGCGTCGTCGTCGGCCGCAACGACGAGCTCGATGTGTACGTGATGTTGATAGTGTCGAGAGCAGGGCACACGGCGGCGAATGACCGACCCGGCGACGGAACGCAAGGCTCGCATGTCGGTTCAACCAGCCACGCGACACCGCCATCCATACGGTCCCCATCCACCCACGTGCCCCATCAATCACTCTGATGGTCACAATTTTGCCTTTCTGCCCCGGACGACGACAACGCCCTTTACAATTGACTCTGCTTGTACATTTAGAATATGTCAAAATCGTCGCACTCTTCGCAAGTCGTGCTATTGTATGGCTCTCGGACATCGTATAAGAATAGCATCAAGGCCGGTATGTCATTCCTACCACGACCTCGGGTATTCATGCAAGGACTATTCCTGGTGTTCTCATTCAAACGGTGATCCATCGTCGTACACATCACACGGGGGGACCTATTGAAAGAGCGTCAAGTCGTTCCAAGCTTCCAACTTCATATTGGTTTTGTCCATTAAGCCTGCTCATGCGTCCACCGTATTCCATGTTGACTACACTCAGGTCCACTGGCACACTCTTGAGATATGATACTGGGGTGTACAAAAGTACTTACCGTGCTCAACGGCTCAGTATTTGACTGGATGGCTGCATCGCTGCAGACCAGCAAAAGCTCGTCTGCGTGGAGTCACACACCCGACCCAAGTCCCTTCACCGAGCCTTGCGTCCCGCTCTTGATTCGCACGTCGGGGCTTTCGGTTTATTGAGTCGCGAACACGATCCGCTAGGGCCTATTGGACCCTTTCTCGCCTACCAAGAAGCCATTATTGTCCCTGCACTCTATTTCATGATGTGTGTCATTATGGTGGTACTCAGGTCAGATGCGAGCAGCAAGTGTACACCCGGAGGCTTCTTGTACCTATGCCCCGAAGGTCTGCGGCTTTCCAATTCTTCCAAGATAGCGGGCTGTCGCTCACTGGACATTTGTAAATCATTGGCAACGGTGTCGCAGACGAATTCGACGCTGTTTACTGCAAGTTTACGTGCATAGAGCTTTCGAGCCGCTGTGGCACCGTTCGGTTCGTTGACTTTCCTGGCTTCTCCTACGACTCCTCACTGGTCATTGTCCTGGTTCGTCAGAATAAGTAGCTGCCTTGTCCAGCAATGCTTATCGTTGGCGACCAGTCGAGCATCCTCCTGAGACCCTAATTTTCATCAATGAAATAGAAGTTTGGATAGTACCAGAACCAGGGAGCACTCCTATGAAGCTCCGGAGAATCTTTGTGGGCCTTATCCACCTCTGTGAAAGATCTGGCATGGGGCTACTTATCCTCGTGCTTGCCGCTTTGAACGCCTCGATTATTCAGCCATGAAAACCACGCGATGAAGTGGTGGGCGCACATTGGTCGATCGTACAACTTTACGTCTTCGAGTGCTTCGAGGTTGCATATCAAAGAAGTCTATCTGCGATTTCATCTCACCTTGCCGCACTTCCCGGTGCAGGTGCCTTGTCGTTGCACCGACTGACCCTTTTCCTCCTTCAAATTTGGGCGGCACCGGCCACTATAGCAATTATCTTTGAAGGTGGAAAAGGTCGCGTGGAATAGGTATGCAGTTTACTGTTCCGCTACGGTGACATGGGTAGGGTGCTCAATACTGTTTATCACGACGTCGAAGGCCATATTCAGCTGCACACAAACATTGATCGGAGAAGTGATATTTCCGAAGCAGACCGGAGTCGTTGGATGAAATTTGCATGGAATCGTCCGATGGACCACAAAGGAACCAATGGATATTGCACTTTGTCTTGAATGATGCCTTGTTATTTCAGATCGTCGGGTCATCTGAGGACTCCTTTCGTTCATATCGACCTTCCGAACCAGTTTGACTCGCGCCCGCTGGCGATGTCGACCAGTAATCGTGACGGCCCTTGCAGCCAGTACATATGCAGGTGTACTGTAGTGAAGTGTGCGCCAAATCTTCGAGGCCTTCCATGCGAGAGCCGTATAAGCGAAGAGTCGGCGTTGATACTGATGCGGCCATTCAGTCCGAAAGCCTGTGGCGAAACGATAGAGGGCCAGTCGAACGAATAGACAACCAATCTATGGCATATTCAACCGTTCTAGTATTTGTAGGTGAGCCTTGAGAAACATCGGCTAATAACTTCAACCAAACACCGTCAAAAGTGGCAATGCTCTTCATGGGTGAGTGTGGCGCACCACTCGTAGTAGCGGAGAGAGACCTGAAGGTTAGGATGAGAGGACCAATCACAAAAGCTGCGATGTCTAGGCTTGAAATTGTGTGAGATTATGGAACGAAGATGGTGCAAGACTCCCAGTACACTCCCAGTATGACGAAAACATTCAAGATAAAGACGCCATAGCCCAATAACACACTATTTCAGAGCGATCGCTTTGTAGCAGTCATTGTTAGTGTGTTCGAGCGCTCATCGGGTAGTCCTTGAGGTAACAAGGAGCAAGTCACCACATACCTCCGGCTCATGTTTGCTTCTGATGAGCATACGACGCCACCTGATGGCCTTGCGCCCGGTTGTATCAAGCTCCAGATTGCGCACTATATCGCCGGGGAGCTCGTAGCCCGTCGCGTAGTCGCCGTTTCTGAGGATAAGGAAAAGGCATCGTCAAAAGGCCGCCTGCCTACAGAAAAACAGAAGCGGTCTACCCGCTCAAAACGCATGGAAGACATGCTGGCTGTTTGAGACTCATGCATCACTGCTGTGACGGGCATGTAGGATTTTGGAGGATCCTGTCATGAAGTTAAAAAAGTAGGGTCTCTGCGTGCAATAAAAAGACGGCGTTATTATACACTTTAAATGATGGTTGTGCTTCCGACTTCCAAGAATGGGAACCTCTTGATGGTATCGATGACCCGTATACTGGGTAAACATTACGCTGAAGCTTGAAAAGGGTATCATCAAGTTTGACCGCCCTGTCAGAAGCCAGTGTCGCCGTTAATAACGGTCGGCCGATGTCCGAGTTGCGACATTCCAAAATTCAGAGTGCCAACGCAGACTGATCTTGAACAAACAACAAGTCAACTGCGGGAGCGTAGCAGAAGAGCTGAGCATGTAATCATCTCCCCTTATGCTATAAGTGAAGACAAACTCTAGCGCATCGGAGACGTGAGGTCTTCAAAATTGTGCACTTTAGTATAATTAGAGACGGCCACCGACACCGAGTAGAGCACCGCTATGCAGCTGGAAACGATCCGCCACGCAGAATTTGTATCTTGCAGAAAGTGGACTCGCCGTCGGGGAGGGCCAGGCCAGCGCGCATCATGGCAGACATCGAAGAACGCGGCCATACAACGATGGTTAGCTCCTATCCTTGTTTGTAGTCTGGGCGCGGAGGGAAAGAAGAAAGATCGTGATGATTTTACGGCCATGGGCGGCTTCAGCAGAATAAAATCCGACAGTGGAACGTTGCCTGTACATAGACCTCGATGAGTGACAAAGCCAGCGAAGGTATTTCCTGAAGAAAGGCAACCGAACTGAGGTCCAGCAATCGAACAATCGGGAGGTCAGCAGGTCTGGCTGTTACGAGAACACCTGCTAATCGGGAGCGTATATCGGGAAAACGCACTGCAATGAAGTGAGGCACAATGTTTCTCGAAAGTGCTATGTTAGAAACCAGGAACAGTACTTCCTGGCCCCAGAGTCTTTACGACGGAAAGCAGGCAAGACCGGAGTCACGGTCAAGTTACTGTGCCGGATATCTTGTAGACCCAATGGCTCTGTAAAGTGTCCCGCTTTTAGCTAATGATCATCGTCAGCTGCAAATAATAGGAGAGACTATGGTGCGGGTGCGCTACGCAGTCACCGTAGGATATGGGCACGGCTTCCAGCCACTCTGACCCTTGCCATATACATAGCGCCAGATCAGACGACGTCCAATCTCAACAGCCGCGGTGCTAGAAACAGAGCGGGTCCTGCACGGCAACCTCAAGCTCTCGAATGAAGACGGATCACGACTGTTGGGATAAGAGGATCAGGACGTCCGTCTCACTCCGTCCGAGGAGTTCATGGTTCATTGACGCTGCCGCTCAAACAACGACGACCGACATGACCAGTTTCTCTCGATAAGCACTGACCTGGAAGCAAACACCAGTGGAACGATAGGGAGGAGGTCCAACGAGCGAGACCGTATCACGATGGAACTGATGATTCAGATGCGGATGTGGCGCACGGAAGCAAACAAGGTCGTCGTCCTCAAATGCTTCCATGCCACGACCCATGCAACGCCGCAGAGTGCCGAGGCTCTCGAATTCCAAACCAGATCGGCACGATCTCGAGTCGCGGAGTAAGCGCGTACCTTCCTTGATTACCTATCCAATTGTTAGTACGCAGACTTTGAACACCTTGTCCTCGTCGCTCTGCTAACTTGAATGTATTGCTTGAAGACCTGGTTCCAATCCACCTGGCGCTTGCGCTCAGGTCTACTTTTACCTTGACTCGAACTCAGAATGTGCAGGCCTCGCGATCTTAATGACGTCATAGGGGATCCGTAATTCCCCGATTCCCCGATCCCAGCGACGCTGGTCATTGGCGCGGGCATTTTGCAATTACTGGCTGTAGTTTTCGTTTGGTTCTCGTTCACCGCGACCGGTTCCTCAAAGTCCAGTACTTGCTTCAATCATCTCCCGCTGGTAGAAAAGATCATCGGATTCCACTCGATTTCATAGATATAAGTATGTCGTCGATGAAGTCGAACATCAAGGTGAGTTGAAGGTGGGTTCTTCGGGAAGTTGTCGATGTCTCGTAACGCCGGGCCAAAGTAACATCGTCCAAACAGTGCAGGCGTAGATCTTTCCTCAAAACATAGTGAGCACAGTATCCTGACAGTACTCACGTATGTGTTCGTCCTCCGATTGAACCCAAGACATAACCTATGGCGGGGCTGCTCACGTCTCTCGGGGATTCTCTCGAGATCTTCTAGTTGCCGCCATGACCCTGACCGGATTCGGCGGTCTCGCCGACATTAAAGACGAACGTCGATGACCATAACGTTCAAACCGTATGTGGATCCCAGGTCTCCTTATAGTCGACGATATCATGATTAATTTCCAATCTCCAGAGTCTACAAATCCCCTCGAATGCTATTGAACGTGCCTCGTGCATGGCAGCAGTCATTTTTGTGGCGTACCCTCACATATCCATATCCAGAATTATATGCGGATGTGAACACGAAGAAAGTCACGTCGACGCCAGTGGAGTACTTTGCCCATCGGCGCCGCAGAGTAAGAGCGCTAGCGTACAAGTCGTGTCATGACATAGACGCACCGGGACTGGTGGGTCACATTAACTGCTGCTTTACCTAACTCTGTGAGAGCGGGTCCGTCGAAGATCTAATAATCGGGCTGGAGCACGCGAGAGTCATCTTCATAAGATAAACTCTCGCTCAAACTGTGGGAGTTGCCTATTCATATCCATAGCGACCATAGCTGGAAGTTGAATGAAGCGTTGGTTTGGTGGCCTCGAGGTATCGATTGATGTCCTTTGTACACTGTAGAGGAGTCCGCCACTGCAGCCGCACCATCCAAACGTTCAAATTTCTCCATATTGACGGCAAAGGCGATTTTATTGTGGTCATCAATAATATCGAGCTCCGAAGCCACTCGTATCACGAGGCCCGCATCATGCGAAAAAAGTAGGACCTATGATTCCACGGTCTTCACCATGCATATTTCATGAATCAAAGCAAACGCGCAGAGCGCTCCTCGGCCGTGGATGACGAAGCGCTCTCGGGTTCTATGTCAGCGAACATAACAAAGGGTTCGAGCCGTGAACAGGAAGAGCAGTGAGAGTCATGGGGGCTCGAAGACTCCACACGTAGCACCACGGCGAACTACTTCAATGTGGGCCCACCCATGAACCATGGATGACGAAGGGACGATGATTTGTTGGTTCGGAGGCGTGAGCCGCGCACGACAAAACGCTGCGCAAAGATGCTACAAGTACGTACCACCCCCACTTCTCTGCTTTGCTGGGGAACGAGATGGACCCACTTGTTACTTACAACTTACTCAGGCCCTAGTATTCAATCTATATGCTCAGACATGACGGGTCAGAAGGGGCCGTTCGAAGAACCTCGAGGGATGTTACGGACTTCCCTTATTGAAAAGGGCTCACAAAAACCTTGGCACATTAAACGCCTCGGACCCGTCATTTGCTAACCATCTGATCCATAGCTTGTCCATGTCCATAGAATTACACTCGCATCTTGCGGTCCTGCGACGGGGGCCATTGTGATACGGCAACTCAGTGAAGAAGCCCTGTTCGGACTCGAATGGGATTGGCTTGGTGTGAAGGCACGGTGCGCCGGCGGGTGTGCCACAAGGCCAGTGATAGGTCGTTTATATTCATTTTGCTGTCTTCTCCGTCTCTGTTCGGATTCGGAGATTCGTCGAGGAAGGCGGTGATGAGAAGAAATAGGCCATCTGTGAGCCGTGGATGGGAGAAAAACAAGAGATGGAGAGCGACGATCGCGAGGACGGAAGTGCCATAGAGAGTAAGTCAGCAGCAGCGGATAGGCTCAAGTCGTTCCATCTTCTTGAACTGGCACTGACCACAAACCAACAGTAAAACCAAACAAAGATGGAGGAGAAAGTCTTGGCGGCGTGGCACCACAACTAGGAGCGTGCTACGAAAGAACAGATGGGAGGTGAGTTGTGGTTCTGAGCGGCCAATCACAACGACTCCAGCTCCTCATCACTCATATGGGGCAACTGCGCGTTACTACTCAGAGTACACGGCGTTCCATAGCTGAAAGCTGAGCTTAACTATGTACCCCACAACGCCCATTCAATACTATCCACTCGCTCCCAAACAATTGCCATTGCCAGCAGTCCGCAGGCCAAAAGCGCCGCCGTTACGCGTAAGTTTTTTATGATTCCGACACAGACAGGAAGTCGTACGGAGAAGTACTCGGACACGAGCATCGCAAGACTGAGGAGTCCGAAACGAGACGCGGGGCTCATCTCCGTTGAGGATGCCGCAGCGATTCATCACCCGTCCGAAACGTCTTTCACTTCTTGCTCCCCGCATCAAGAAGGCAGTGTGGGCAGGTTAGTGGGTCGAGCAGCAGAAAGACGTGAGACGAAAAGGTGTAGGAGGCCGTACGTGAGAGTAGTGCCACTCCTGACTCCACTGAAAGTGTCAAAGTCGATTTGAGCTCGAGAAAAAAAATAAGGAACGGAAGAACAGACTCGGACCTCGTAGTGTAGTAAACTTGATGATGCCATTGTCGAACTCGGGCATACTTGCGGCCAGTGAGTTATCAGATACTAATGGCGCAAGACGACGTACGTGGGAGCACGGACGACTCTAATCAGCCTCGGTGACAGCGAGTTCCATTTCGTGCACGAGTAAGCGTAAGGTATGGCAAAGGAAAATCCATCCATATCGAGCGACGGGGAGGAAACTAGAATAAATCAGTCGTCGTATTTTCTCAAAGCGGGAGCCACAGAGCATGTGCGAGGTCCACATGCCAGTGCTCCTTTCTTCCATACAACCTATGTCGGAGGCAACGAAGGAAACGATCTGACGCTTAACGCTTATGTGGGGGACGTCGAACGGGTGCGGTTGCGGTTGTTAATGTTACTTGAATGTGTTGTATTCGTATGCTAGCTAATGATAGAGTGAGAGCGGTACCGTAACCCCACTGAGAGCCTGTTTGTAGCTGCGACAAGAAGTGGTTCAGAGTCGAGATCATCTACAGGTGCACACGGAAAGAGGCTCACCTCATTCACCTTGTATTTCGTCATAAGTTACGAGCCAATCACCATCGAATTCGTAGAAGAGGTACATAGCCAGTCTGAAGACCGTACATCGCCGTACAAGCTTTCAGACACCAAACCAAACCGCCATCTCGAGGCCCGAAGAATAAGTAGAGGACCTCCACCATTACATGACAGTGCCTGCCTAGAATCCAGAGCGTGAGTCAAACGTCCTGAGTAGTCCCGAGTCCCGAGCCCTGAAAGAACTGAAGAGCTGCAAACTGAATGGCCCGGGTCTTACAGGAAGTAAGAAGCATACAATAACAAGTTACGAGTTACGAAGAATGACGACAGACAACACATAACACATCGCGCCTCCGAGCAAGGTCAAGCCAGGTCAAGCCAAGCCAGGACCAATCGTCAAGTCAAAAAAAGGCCGCAGACGGAACACCCGGAGATGCTGATACCACCACCGCCCACCTGCCACGAGAGAGAGAATAGACGAGAAGGAAGATTAGATGAGAAATCGAAGTGAGAAGGTAGGGGTCCGCTTCAAAGGGAACCAGAACGATAGCCTATCTGCTTGTCCCTCGGGCTCGAGAGCATGCATGCATCCATGCTGTCGTACTTACTACCCGAGCACGGACTTAAACACTCCGGCGGCTTCTCACAATTGCAATTGCATGGTTGCATAGGATAGGATAGGATAGGACCTGAGCTTGAATGTGGATGTGGATGGGGATGCCTGAAGACTGACGTTTTGATTACAACATGTAAGTATATCGGAGAGACAGAGAAATGGAGGAGTGCATTTAGTGAATATGGGGTTGTTTTTTCAGACTCGGATGGCGTCAGTGCTTTGATGGGTTAAGTGATGAGCTGCGAAGTCGCATCCTGTGGACTAGCCGAAGCCGATGCATTACTGCAGGCACAGGCCTACAAAGACAACTGTGGGCGGATTAGTGGCTTGCGAACTCCCATGTCAAAGTCGGAGCATAGGGGTTGCGTGCAATGACAATCGCGGAAACACATAGACTAGGAAAAAGACGGGGACGGACGGTCTGTCGAACTTCAAAGAGACTCGAGCTCGTGTTCGAGGTCTGTATCCTCTCCCTTGGATCCTCGGAAAGAGAAGATGAAGGATAGAGCGGTAGAAGGGAGGGATAGAAGGGGGCAAAGCAAAGAAGCTCAAAGCACGAGAGGAGAACGTGGCATGCGTGGTGGGGTCCCGGGTCGTCAGGCACTGCCCCGCTAGTGGACGGCTCGAAATCGTCGATTGAGATTGGTTCTCGGGCTTGCGAGGAGTGTTAGTGGGAGATCTGAGGGTGTGAGTAAGTGATTGGGATTGGATGAGAACGCAGATAAGATGAAGGTGGGAGAGTGAGCCTTGGGGGCGTGAGTATGAAAGTGACTGGCAGTTTGATTTTGATTTTTACAGAGGACGAGCAGACAGACAACAGGGTGCAGGGAGGATAACAAGTACAGCCCGCAAACGATACCGAGTACTTACTCTTACTCCTCGGAGTCAAAGTGACTTGATCTGAGAGGATCGGTGGGTTCCTTCAGGTAGGCGCCGTGCTCTCTTTCAAAGGTGCTGTCAGTGGATCGGGAAGTCACGGCTGCGGGCACATTCCGCGTCACCCGAGTGGTTTGTTTCCAGCCTGAGTCAAGAGCAGCAGGCATACATAACTCAGGTACTAGAGCCAAGGTCAGAACATTCGACGACTTCTACGGATGGGCTGCTGTGTGTTTCTCGTCATAGAGGATGGTCGGGCTCGGCTTGGCGAGAGGCGAGCGGTGCTGGTTGGCACGCGCAAAGCTTGCTTACTGCAGTACGGTTGATCCAAGTGGAAGAATAGGCATCAAGCGTCAAGGGTCTGGAAAGGAAGGAGGGAGAAGAGAAGGGGTCGCGAAACAATTCGGGGGCTGTAGAGTCTATTGGCGTTGTGGCCAGGCGTCAAGTATTCAAGAACCGCGCATTGAGAAGCAGAGAGGTCAGTTGGCCTCGTCAGGCGTTCAGGCGTCGAGAGTCGGGGTACCGGCAGGATTATTAGGAATTGGATAGTCTGAACGATGGGGCCGTTGGGTATGCTCCGGCAAACAGCAAAAGGATTATTTTTGGCAGAAACTCTAAGGAGGAAGAGTACGGGTCTGAGAAAGCACGGCACAGGGGTAGAGCCACAATATCCTACCTCTGAGCGTGAGGTGTAAATGGACAGAGGTTGGACGATGATGCGTGTGAGCATTGAGTTGATGGCGATGTGAGGTTCAGGCCCGGAAACGGAAGGAGAGACGGAGAGAGTGTCTAGGAGGAGGAATGGGATTCGATGCACAGCCAGGGTAGAGATAGCGATGGCGTCCAAGTCGTATTTCGAAATGCAATCGGAGAGCTAGAGGCTAGGGATGACGAGATGGGATTGAGGGAGGAGGCAAGGGTGGGACGAATCAGAAGGTGGGAGTCGGAGGAGGATGTACGATTGAGGATGGATGGTAACATGGTGGTTGTACGGGCCAGGACGAGAACCGGTCTGCCGAATGGGTTGCATGTGGACGCAGTGAGAGGAAGCGTTTTGCGCCACGGCGAGATTGGAGGACGTGGATGAATGGGACGGGGCGTGCCGAGCGAGATTTCTCCTGCGGTGGGGCTTCGGGGAGGCCAGGCACGGAGGCGTGTGGACGGATGTGGATGGGCATTGGAGGAGGAAGAGAGCGAACCGAACCGAGGATCTGAGAGTGATTCGAGCACGACGGCAGATTGCGAGTCGCTGGATTGGCCCGGTGCCTATCAGACTGGGCTACGTAAAGTGCTCTATTTGGAGAGGACAGAAGAGGAAATGGTGGAACCGCGGACATAAGTGAGTGTGACTGGGGATGCTCGTCGCTGGGCGGTGGGTGGCCCGTGCACTGCCTTGATCGTCGACGCTGGCGTTGGCGACGGCGGCGATGGCGGCTGGGAGCTCACGGACGGACAGGGGCCGGGTGGCCATGGGAGGACGTGTGGCGAGGGGATGCGGGGCATTGCAAATAAGGTTCACGAGGCGTGCGCTGATTAGATCCTCTTCTTCTTCGCGTACAGAATATATAAACGCACGCTTCCGACCCGTACATTCCTCGTCTCGCACTCTCCGAGCCCCCCAAACCGTCCTCACATCCATCCAGGCTCTATCCTTACGTTCCATGGCACAGGCCGCCTGGCTTCCTCAGCTCCCATCCTCTCCCGACCACTTTGGCATGAACCCAGACAACAGCTCACCCCAACGACAAGACCTCACCCGCTGGGAGCTCGCAGAGATCCTCAAGTCCAGCACCCTCAACGGCCCTCGTGACCGTTCCATGTCCATAGACACCCATTCCCACTACGACCATCCAATGGACATGCCCCCGCCCTCGTCCCACCCCAACTCTTCCCATCTCTCCATGCACCCCTTCGACCAAGAGAAGATGGACATGGGTGACCACTCTTACGATCTCTTCTCTTCCGCCTCCAATCCCCAGTCCAACTCGTACCTCACCGGCCGCATGCGCTCAAATACTTCCCCTGCCGCACCTTCCTACTCCATGCCCACCGACAGCCTCTACAACCACCACAATCACAACTACTCCGACTCAGTTCCCTCGTTCCAGCACAGTCCCCAGAACTCCTCCCCTTACGACATCATGACCAACATGTCTTCTTCTTACAGCAGCGGTAAAGTCACTCCGCTCACTCCTAACGATCCCCTCGGTGGTATGCCCCACTCCTTCGCGTCGGGAGGTGGCATGAAGCAGGACTACTCCACCCAGCACTATCCCGACCTCCTGTCTGATCGTCGCGTAGGCTCTAACAGCTACCCTCATGACGTTCGCGACGATATGTCCATCGGCGTTAACACTAATCTGGGCTACAGCTCCGGCCCCATGTTCCCGGATCGCATTTCGCGCTACCAGCCCGACTCACTATTCTCCCAATCACCTTCGTCTCATATGTCACACTCGCACGGCTCCGACCTCTTGCGTGGCGTTGCCCCTCAAGCGACTCATTACGACGATATGCCGGGCTTCCTCGCGCCAAATCCCCACTCTGATATGGGCCTTAGAGTACCGGGCGTTCATGATGGCTTGATGCCGTTGCGTATGCAGGGTCAGGACGGTATGGGCACGGCCACCAACTTACAGAGCTTTGTACGGTCTGTATCATCCTCCGAGATATGCGCGTATTCGTTAAACTGAATGTCTCTTCCAGCCCGTACCTGGATCAGTTCGTTCGGACTCCTAACCGGCTGGCGTTTGGTGAGCGCACGGTGATCGTGATGTCAAGCAAGGTCGCCCAGAAGTCTTATGGTACTGAAAAACGGTAAGCCGCCTTCCTTCCCGCATCACATTCCTCAACCGTTGCATCAGTCCACAGTCAACTTCATCTCATTTATCAACGACGCTGACCTCTCCGCGCTCTTATTTTTGTGTGGGTCTGATGATGATGGCGCTTGTAGCTTCCTGTGCCCTCCGCCCACTGCTATCATGATTGGCAACTCTTGGTGGTCGGACGTCATGCGCCGTGGCGAAGACCCGAAGCTCTCTCCTCCCCGCGTTATTGTTTCTATCTCGGGAGAGCCTGCCCCTCAAGAAGGTTCCGTCGAGTGGTGTAGCGCCCTCGGCAAGCCCTTCGACTCTTCCGATCCTCCGACGGGCACCACCTACGTCGGTCGGTGTGTCGGCAAACAGCTCTTCATCTCGGACGTCGACGAGAAAAAGAAAAAGGTCGAGGCGTTGGTCAAGATCATGGCTCCCGCCGCGGACGACGAGCCAGAACGAGTTATTGGCACATTCCCGAGTCGCCCGATCAAGGTCATCAGCAAGCCGAGCAAGAAGCGACAGAGCGCCAAAAATTTGGAGCGTAAGTCACTCATCTCGCCTCATCTCGTCTTCGTGGTCCGTACGGATGCTATTGCACCGTATCTTCTGGCCATGCTGCGGCTTCTTGTTCATCACCTTACTGGCTGACCAAACCTGTTCCTCGTACCTGTTCTGGTCGCTGACTTCTTGCTTCCATCCTCCGGAATAGTGTGCATCAATCATGGGTCGACCATCTCTCTTTTCCATCGCCTGCGGTCACAGACCGTCTCGACCAAGTACCTCTGCGTTTCCGGTTCGGGCTCGTCGTTCAAAGGATCAGACGGTGCGCCGCTGATGGGGATTGATCAGCGAAGCCGAACAAGCACGCCTTCGTTCATCGCGAGGACCTCGAGCTGGGGTAAGTCCCTTTCTACTTCCGCGGCAGAATCCGAGCGCTTGGCTCACATTTCCTTTTCCATCCACTTTGCATTTTGCTTCCGTTAGATCCGTTCGTGATGTACATCGTCGACGTTGACAAGCCCGCAAATGGGTCTGACGCACCTCCGCCCCCACCCCCACAACCGGACTACCCTTCTCCCCCGCCCAACGCTATTTCGTTCATGAACAACGGTTCCCCGATCCCGATCTACTATAACCAGACCGTCGTGCTCCAGTGCCTGACCTCGGGTGTCGTTTCCCCTGTGCTTATCATCCGAAAAGTCGACCATCAGACCATTGTGGTCGGTGGCGGTGCGCAGGAGGGTGCCAAGGGTGTAGGCGAGCAGTACTGCGTGCCAGGTGAGGTCTGCGGAGACCCCGTCAGTCAGCTGCACAAGGTCGCCTTCGAAGTCTTCGAGCCCAACAAGGGTGCACCGCAACCAGGCTCGCCCGGCGCTTCCGGTGCGTTCTTGTCCTGCATGGGCGAGAAGGTGAACACCTTCCGTCCGATCGAGGGTAGGCAGTGGCAAGGTAAACGCGAGTCGGACCAGGACGCGCAGTCCCCCGTCTTGCCTAGTTCGCCGCTCGTTTCATCGCCCCCAGTCTCTGGTAACGGAAGCCCAGTGTCGACGGACTACTTTGGCGGCACGTCCTCTGTCGGGTCAGCGCCGGGATCGATGTCGAGCGCGTCGGGTCTGGGCGGATTGGGTGATTTCCCGTCGAACGATGGAGGTAAGGTCAAGAAGGGGAAGAGAGGGTCGGCGAGCGCCGGAGGTGGACCGGGGAGCAAGAGTTCGGCGAAGGTGAGGAGGAGACCTGCGTCGGCGGGTTCGGCGGGAAGTCGACATGCCGGCAGCGACGGTGGTTCCTCGGGTGCGCTGTGGAACGTCGATATTGGCGAGTCGAGCGTCTGGACGATTGTTGGGACCGGTAAGTCACCGACGTCGACTTCTTTCAAAGCTCCACTCTTGCACCCCCTCCTTTGTTCCAAATTCTGATGCGTTGTTTGTTCTTTGCCTTCCAGACCAGGTGCGGTACAACTTCTATGTGCCTCCCGTCCTGTACGACAACCAGAGCGCGCCTCAGACCGGTTCGTTCCCCATCCCCTCTAAACCCGTCACGCCCTTCCCGGGCGTCGTAAAGTACCTTCCTCCCGACCGCGCCGCAGAGGCCCCCAAAGGTCACGGCACACGGCACATGCTCGCGAAACCGAATACTCAGACGTCGAAGATGCTGACGCTGTACGGCGAGAACTTCTCGAAGAGCGAGCCGGTGTCGGTCTTCTTCGGCAGCGAGCCCTCGCCGTATGTCGAGATTCGGTGCACGGAGGTCTTGGGCTGTCTTCCGCCTGAATCGGTCCCGACGAAGAGGAGGCCGATTATATTGGTGAGGGGTGACGGCGTCGTGTTCCCTTCCTCCACGCTGTATCCTTAGCTGTTGTGTTGTCGTTCTTCCTTTTTTCTCCCTCTTTTTTGTTTTTGTTTTTGTGCATTATATGTTTCCGTCATCGACCCATCAATCATATCCTGTGCTCGTTCGCTCTTCGTGTTGTGTTACCTGCTACGCCTTTACTCGGTCAGTCTCATCTATCCCTCTATCGCCCCTGCCCTGTCTTTGTATGTACACATATATGAACATATTTTTACCCATGTCCCTGATTTTCTTTTCTTTTTTGCGTTTTGCTTGTTGTTTGGGCTGATTGGTTGCTTCGGACATTTACACAGTACCCACTATCCCTTCGCTGTCGCCTTTGTTCTTTGATCTTTGTGGATACCTATTCCCCTAACTTTTCTTTTTCTTTTTCTTTTTCTCTTTCTTCCCGCTACGTTTTAAGAGCCGAAGGAAGGCTGGTTGATTGTCGCGGTTTCCTGGGTTGGTGTTTTGTGATTGTGTGTTTGTTCTGTGATTCGCTTGTCTATTTTCTCTTGGTTGGACTGTTCTTACTAGCTGGTCACTACACCGAAATGTATCATGAGCCTTTGCGTATCCCGTATCCGTGTCTGTTTAACCGCTCACTCAAAATCTTACTGGTTTGTTTACGAGAAGTATCTTTTTCTTATGTACAATGATATGAATCCGAATCTCTTTTCGTTCCATGCGCGAACCTCGACCACGAAACGCAAGACAAGCACATGAATCGTCAGCGGTCAAAGCACCTCCGTTCAACGATCATCTTCGTACCGCGTGGGTGGACATCGAAAAGTATTGAAGCGCGAAAGATTACATTATTTGGCACTCAGCGAGACTCTTCGTCTACTCAGCGAACGCGAACGGAAGCAAAACTGAGACAAGAGCTAGTTCGCAAAATTGAAATTCGCGTTCCAGCCAGTCCAGAGCAGTCCGCCGGCAAAGACACAATCGAGATCTCGCTCGCAATCCAGACTTCTGCTGAGCCCGGGGAGGACCGACGTCGACGGCGACCGCGCGCATTGCACTCCACAGCACGGTGCCTCGAGCTCCCTCTCCCTGTTTACTCGTACTCGCCATTTGCTCTTGTCGCTTTCGTTGCCTGTCTTGGATAGTCGCTTCGGCTTACCTTGGTAATTCGTCTGCTATTGTTGCGTTTAACCTTAGCCCCGCTCGCCGGTTCGCGAAGATAACGGCCAACGACGTCACCGAAGGAGTGCTAGTGATAGTTGAAGAGCAACAGCCAACGAACATCAAAGGAGGAGAACGAGACTCAAGAGGACCGCTGCCCAACGTCGATTATGGGGGTTCTGACGGTGCCCTCCACGCTCTGGCGGTGGTACATCCAGTACCTGTGGAAGTACGAGCGCGACTCATGGGTCGCGAGCACCGCGTCTACGTTCCGTATTCTCGCGCTGCTCATGGTGTTTCCTTTTATTGTTTTGACACTCCTGGTGCGTTTTTTTCTTTTTCTTTTTTCCTTTCTGTTGTTCCCGTCCTCCTTCCATTCCGTTCAGACTGCTTCCATGGACTAGTTTAGGAATGAAGGCGCTGACTGATGCCTTTTGTGCGGCTTGTGTGATTGATGAATGGTGCATGTTGTTGTTGACGTTGTTGTTGTTGTTGTTGTTGTTGTTGTTGTTGTTGTTGGACGTGCGGAATTGGAACGAAATGGGACGTCATGAATGCTTGGATGGTAACATGACACGGTGGGTGGTCTTGGGTGGTTCGGACGTATGGACGTATGTCACCAACAGGACGTAGCCTCCTACGTGATCGCACGTACGCTCGGAGACCCAACAGCGTCCACTTCAGGCGACAAAGCAGCAGCGGACGCCGCGCGCAATATCGCCGCTCTACCCTTCTCCGAAACCAACGCCCTTCCCTCGCCTTCAATACCCCCATCATCGTCTTCCTCCTCGCTTACTCCAGGCACCTCAGGACTCCCGCCAGGATCCCTATCCTCTCCTTCATCATTATCACCATCCTCATCCTCATATCCACCTCCATCGGATTCGCTCTACCCCCAACATTCTCAATCACATCCTCCTCCTCCCATCCGCACAACCTCCGTCGATAGTTCTATCCCTGCCTCCGGAGACAGCCCCGCGCAAAACCAACCTCAAATCGTGATCCAGAGCCCATCTTCACCTCCCCTTTCAAGACATCTACACCAAAGGCTGAGCGGCGACGGAATCGGACTCGAAGGCAGAGGAATTTCCAGATTGGGAGAAGCGATGGATCCGTATGACGAGGTGACGCAGGCGAGGTTGGCGGGCGTGGATTTGTTCTCGCCTGCGGCTAGTCAGCCAAGTTCGCCGACGTTGAGTAGGAAGGGGCTATCCAAAGAGATGGATGGTGAGGGCCCGCTGAGGGAGGATGACGAAGAGAAGGATGAGAGAGGACAAGGACAGGGGGGACAGGAATCGAGTGGCGACGAGTCGTTTGCGATGCTGGAGAAGGATGAGGGGTTCGAGGATACGGGGATGGCGGGAATTGGACGATTGAGGCAAAGAGTACGACCAGAACAAAGTGGTGCAAGTGGTGCTGCGGACGATTCGTGACCGCGTTTCGGCGATGTTGAACACTGAAGTTCGCCGTTCTATATAAGTTAGTGACCGTAGAGTCAGGAACACGTTATGCGGTTTCGTACGCATCTCATCATTTTTATGTATGCTTTTTGCTGGTGCGGCCCCTCTTATACCAAGAACTGAACCTTTTATCGGAGCTATGGTGTTCAACGGGTTCACCACATTGTTGTATTACCTTCATCTTTTACTTTCTTTAGCTTACTCTTTGCTTGTGCTCGTTCTAGTCGCGCTACAGTACAATGCGAAACGCCCTCTTACTTACACAGAACCTTGCACATTCATAAATAGTACCTGCGTCGTACAGTCTCTACGTTGGCAGTCAAAGGGGAATGATAAATACGGCCGACCGAGCTCTGTTACTTACGGCCGGGCAAATCGTACATAAACATACAAATGATACACAAGAGGTATTGTCCACACAGGATCTGAGACAAGAAAAGAAAATCCACACACGACAAAGAAAGGGAGAAGCCTGAAGAAGCTCAGCATCGAAACGCTCCAGCGTTCACCACCCGAACCGTAGCTGATCGCGAGTGAACGTGGGCGGTTTCCACTTCAGACACTCCTTATGGATTCTCCTACGTTTCTTCGCCATCGTCTTCTCGTGTCGCTCGATCACGGACTCCGACAGACAGATGATGTGCTGGCCTTTGTAGTGCTTGAAGAGCTGCAGCGTCGTACATCTGTTAAGACCCGATTCCGAATCCACCGACGAATTGAAAACGGAGTCGACGATATCGTTCAAGGCGAGGGTGGCAGCGAGTCCAAAACGAGAGAGCATCGGACCACGACGGAAGGCCGCACAGAGAATAGAAGGGGAACATCAAAAGCTCTGTCAGCAAAGCAAACGACGACGATCCCGATGCCATCGCAGAGAGATAGAGGAAAGGAAGGGGAGGTAGCAACTCACGTATTCATCACATCTGCATGGGTGATCGCGGTCATCTGCGCGATATCATCCACGCTAACTTCGTCCTGACACTTCAGTACCGCCTCGACGATCTTCTCTGCCCAATACGCCCTATACCCTAACAGACCGAGATCACTCAGAGGCTTCTCCGGACTGCCCAGCTTGTTCTCATGTTGGCTGAGGGTGTAGGAGAACTCGATGAGGAGCTTGCCGAAGCCGTGCCGTTGGTGCTGGGGGAGGGTAAGGATGCAGGCCACGTTGTAGTTCTCGGCGGATTCTTTTTCTTTAGAGAAGTAGCCAATGAGGTGACAACCGGAGGAGTCGCGTTGGCACTGTGATCGTTGAGAGAGAAGAAGGTTTGTGAGAAAGTGTGAGCCACGAATAGGAGAAGAGAGCGCAGAGGCCTGGACTCGAACGTGGAAGCTGATATCCGGACGAAGACGGATTCTTCGGGAGAAACTCACCATCACATAGTAAAGAAACGGGGTCACGTCGTAATACAGCGTCTTGCTAAATGCAAAAAGAGGAATATCAGCACATGGATTTAAGATGCAAGAGCTTCGGAAGAGAGGAGGACAGAAGAGGAATGAGCCAGTAGGTGAAAAGGGAAGACGCGCTTACTGATCGAGAAAACACTTGCTCAACAGGCTGAGATTACGGCAGTACGTGAGTTGTTTCCGCCCGTCGATCTCGTAGAACGAAATATCCTCGTGTCGATAAATTTCGTTCCCCGGTGGATGCATCAGGTTACAGCGTTTTCGATGCCTCGAGAGCATGAAAGGGCTGGGGAAGTACCCGAGACAGAACTCGCAGATGTACAACACGGGGAGGTGGGCGTATTCCTTTGGGTAAGGACTGAAGTACCATGCCTCGACTTCGTGGCGTCCAATAGACAGTCGGTTCAAGTTCTTGACACGGGCGATTTCGGACACGGATTGGGTCATTGAACCGCTCGTTCGAAGCTTCTCTATCTCATCTTCCTTAGAGAAGGAGGAAAGTGGCGCTGGTGGTTGAACCGGTTCTGGGGCTGTGATGTCAAATGTTCCGACTTCGTTGTCTGGAGAGCCCTCTGCATCGATATCCATCTCGACCTCCCCATCCGGCTCTCCTTCTGCGTCCTCGTCTTCTTCCTCTTCCTCTTCGGCGGCATCGTCATGTGGTGTCTTTCTCTTCAAGGTGCCCGGAGCAGGTGACGGTGTGGCGGGAGTGACGGGAAATGTGGGTATGGCGTTAGTGCTCGGCGTAGCAGGAGGACCAGGCGAGAAAGTGCCCGCATTGTTGAGTGTGGCGCGTTTCAATAGCGAGTTCTCCTTCCCTCTAGGTACCTTCCCGATCTTGTCGTTCTTCGGCGTCGATGCCCCACCGTTCTTCTTCCCTGGTAACTTGTCTTTATCCTTCTTATCCTTCTTCACCCTCGGCCACTCCAAATCCCTAGTTAGAACTAGTCTCGATCCGGGTACCCATTCGTCCAGCCGTTTGTTAAATTGATCCCAGTGAACAAAGAATTCGTATTTGTCCAGCTCTGGATTCGGCGGGAAAAGTGACGAGCTCCCGGCATCGTTTGAAGACTGTCGACGGATATAAGGGTTATTTGGCTTGTCACGGATAGAGAGGATTTCAGCGAGTCGCTCTTCGGGAGCGGAGATATCTGGATTGTAGCGTCTAGCATAGATCTTGCATCCTACGGAGACTGTCTGTAAAAATGAGGGGGGAGGGAGGGACAGAGCAATGTGGCGTGGCGGCGAGTCGTTGCAAACACGAGGTTGTGGTTAGCGTGATGACTAAGCAATCAGTGGGAGCGGGCGCACCTGGATGGTGTATGTGCCTCCTGGGGTCACGACCGCTGGTTCGAGCGTGCTATCCTCTCGCGAGGGCGTCGAGGAGACCATGATGTTGAGATCGCTCGAGTTTGAAGGAGAAAAATCGGTGGAGGAAGTGAGGAAAAATAAGACAAAAGAGGAGGCTGTACAAAGACGACACGCGGTCAGTTCGCTCCCTTTGTCTCTCTGAGGGGTCGTTCCGAGACAAACCTAGTCAGGAGGAGTTCAAACTCACTGGATACTGGACTTAAGACAAGATGAACGACGGGCTGCTCGACCTTCACCTCCCTTCGCTGGCGGTGCTGGCAAATTGACTCGCTGAGCGTGACAGTGGATGTCACCAGCAGGTGACACGTCGTGTCACATCAGGTCACGCCGACCAACAAAAACGCACAAAAAAACACAACAGTACACAAATTTCTACTTCTAATATTCCTCACGTCCCATGGCTCCTGTCAGTCGGCGCGAGACGGCCTACTTGACTTCGACGGTGGGCTCGAGCTTCTGGAAGTGTTCCTCCACCTCCCAAGCGCCAGCCCAGTAGCGAATCTGGCATTTCAGACCTTCTTTCTCGCCCTCTGCAGCAATGCGTTTCTGCAGCCCGCGATATTGACGACAGAAGATCATGTCTTGGCTGACGAACACAAGCTCGTAAGCTTTGAACCAGATAAACAGGAGGGCGACTGACCTTCGAAGACGGAGGATGGGGCAAAAGTCATTGGAACCATCACCGACGTAGATGACGCGGTCAAAAGCAGGCTGGTGGCGCTCCAGGAAAGCCTCAAGTTCTTCGCCTGCAGACGGATAAAATGTCATTTGTTCAGTATTTCATACGCTAGAATGATAGAGCCATGATGATCCTACCTTTGCACATGTTCGGTTGGCAACCTACTTTGCACGAGTGCTGAGGACCTGAGGGGTCAACTCGACGACGAACCTTCAAGAGCCCAGAGGGATCCCACTCTGCGGGATTGGTGACGATCTCTGTGAATAGGTCCTGCAGGCCTTTGGCCTGGCGGACTCCACAGTTGAATATCGGCTCTGATAAGAAAAGGTGACGAGAAGCGCATACCTGCAGTATAGTAGATATGAAAACGGAGTTGGCATTGGATAGGCAAAAGAAAGTCGTCGAGGGCTTCGACGCGGCTTTTACGGCTTTCACACCGCGGGCCATGGCTGGGTGCTTGAATTACAGGTTCAACATTAGATTTACGACTAAAGTTGAGGACGAAGAAGGCAAGGTACGCACGAATGGCATAACTCGGAGAGCACCTTCGATATCCTCTCTCGTTCCACCTCTCGCGTGCAGCTCACGCAAAGATTGAGCCCTTCATCAATAGAACGTAGATGAGCATCGTGTACCGGTCGTCGAAATCTCAATGCTGTGACTCACACAAGGTCGGTCCACTGAATCTCGTCCTTCAAAGTTTTCATCTTGCGACGAATATCGGGAGCAAGAACCTCGAATATCCTAGTCATGTCAGCCTTGACCATCACAAGTTGTTACAACAAGGTTAGAAGCGATGTACCATCTGTCGGTATCTTGATCAGCGAGGGACCTGTATGCCGAGGAGGTTGATGGTCTGCGCGGTGAACATGAGGGGAACTGTTACCAGTCGAAGTCGAATACAACGAGCTGCCTCTCAACGTCTTTGACAGTCATCTGTGTGAAGTGAAGATGCTAGCTGGTGGTACTCCGACGGTATGCCAAAGGTAGCGATGGGTGTGCGAAGGTAAGGAGGCGAGCTGCGACGATTCCGCAAATATAGACGCAGGGAGAATCTTCATCTAATCTAATCTCGTGAGATGTGGCACAGTTTCGAAGTGGCCACCATAAGTTATAACGGTCGAGGAGATTTCACTCGACGATGTACTTATGGTTGACATCTTAAATTATCGGGGCCATATGCTTTACCATATCTTAATCAGTACAAAAGCAAGCCGTCCCAACCGCGCAATGTTGCTGGAGGAGTGAAATTAATACCGTAACAGTCCCTCTGTCACGGTAGTACTGTACAGTAACACCTACACAAGATGGATAATATGCATATACTCTGCATTTGTTTTTGTGCTCTTCGCAGATAGGTAGTACAACAAAATAAATCTCACAGACAGATCAAGGAATGAGGTTGAGAAATCTCCAGGAAAACCCAAAATCGGTGGAGCAGAAGGGAGATCTGTCGGGGAGCTGTAACACATAGTGTATTTTTGACCGCCAGAGGTCATTCAATTCTAGATGCCGGCAAAAGGAGGGGTGGAATGAGTGGGGAAGGTGCTTAAGGCAATGTCCACAAGAAGCACGTACAAGGATAACGGCAGACGTCCTTGTTAAACGACCTGCTGGCATATCGGCTAATGGGACTTTATGATGTGGTCACAGCATTCATGTCTATCCAGACAGAGTTCCCGCACAACAGAGCGTCCGCAAACGACGAGGCTCACAGAAGCGAGGCCACTTTTATTGTTGGATATTTCTAGGGAATGGTCACATTAATGGATGACTTCCCGTAGACAAAAAGATATGTTTATTCGACGCGAGCACCGCTCGACATCGCTCGGAGATGAAGACGGCAGCCAACTGCAGCCAACCATTGAGCTGCGATCTTCATTTCGGAGCGTTGCCGAGCAGCGATCGCGTTGAATCAATCCCGAATAAACATATCTTTTCCCTACGGGAAGTCATCCAATGATTGAGGCGACGCACCTTGGCACTTGTCACCGGATCCACCGACCACTTGATCGAAATCAAAAAAAAACGAAAAGCCTGATTGGCGTATGACAGCCTCTTCGACTCGAAACGTAGTGGACGTACCAGAGACTGTCTAAATAGTACAAACGCGCGAGTCGTCCAAACTGCACCGGGACAGGCTGAATTTCGCTAGTGCAGTATACACATTCTTACATCACCGTTGTGAGTTCCGCTTTGGGTGCTGTGTTGTAGGATTAAACAGAAGAAGTGCACAGGACACCAAATGAGCTTCGTATTCGGAATGCATTGAAGCCCTGATGAGAGCAAGGCATGTGGCCCTATACTGACCCTTGATAAGAACATTGATAGCTCACGAAGTACCTGCAGGTAGTTGCGCAAACATCGGAGAAGACATAAGTAAGCTAGACAGAGCAGGTCGCTTTATATAAGGGAAGCGCACAGAAAATAGACATTGTGAATCATCAGTGCATAGGTCCGGGTGGAAACATGCTAGCATACGTACCGTGGAGATGATTGAACTGTCAAGCTGTATACGAGCATTATCCCAAGCCAGAAGAGGCCTTACGAGAAGTTCATGGATCGTAGCTAAAAGAGGGAGCTTGAGTATTCGATGTCCAACGTCCTGAAGCTACGTAGTTTTGCTACTTATAGAGGTCTTCATCATATAGCTGCAAGATCTAATCTAGCTGAAGTCGGGAGTGCTACTTAGTGAAGTATGCTGCCTAGTCGGCAAGAAGAGATATCGAACACGCGTTAGAGCCCATAGCACATATACCGGCGTCGACACAGAATGCTCAAGAATAAACAGCGAGAAATAAACGATCACGCTGCAGGATGAGTACTGTGGGAAGAAATCGGCTTTACGGATTAAGCGGGTCCGGTTCCGGTTCGCCACACAAACCTCCTTTGTTCAACTCCACTCACACTCACCTTGACTCTGCTGCGAAAACGCAAAGCCTACTATATATAAAAACTTGCTCTTGCAGCAGCGCCATTATACACCACCCTCTCTTAGCATGGCTTCGAACTCGGCAGTGAACATCAACATCCGGACTGTCACTCAGGAGGGTATCGTGCATTGTAATCATGGCGTGCCTGCTGCTCGACGCACGGCTACGACTGCTCAGAACTCTGGGAGGTAAACGCATGCATTACTACGTGGTTGATGCGACCTTTAACGCATGATTTGCTGCGCAGAGTGTTCTGGTGCTGTATGCGCCACAGTGACGATGAGGACCGGTGCCGTTTCTTCAGTGCGTATATTGTTCTCATCACTTTCTCCCAGTACAGACCCATGATATCAATGATATCACGTATTTTTCCCATTTTATATCTTCTTGTAATGTAACTGACTCGATATATAAACTTCGCAACTCTTAGAATGGGACGACCAACTCCCACCTCATCAGAACGGCGCTGCCTCATCTACAAACAACCATGGACCCGCACCACTCCCTTCACAACAAACTCGACACTCTACAACTCAAGCTGCGCCACATGTTTTCTCGCAACAAATCGCAACTCCCCAACAATCCCCTCGTTCATCCAGCAAACGCCACTACCCACCCTCCCCCACACCCTCTCCCTCGCACTCCGCTCGTCAAGCTCCCTCATCTCCTATGCCTCCTCCATCTCCACAGAAGACCCCACATCGCAAGCCAACGAGCCGTCAGAGCCTTACACCCGCGCAACGCGAAACTATGCTAGCCGCCATCAATGCTGCGCGTGCGCCTCCTGGCGATGTATCCGACGTCGCTCCTGCTGCCTCTGCTGCCAGTAGCACTACAACACAATCGAAGGTTAATGGGTCAGGATTTCCGACCAAGAATTCCACTCCATCCCGACCTCAGAACACCGCTACCAATAACAATCGTATCCCAGCACCCGACTTCTCACCCGCTACGAAGTCTCCTGCTGGTATACGTACTCCCGCGCCACCAGCATTCAGGCTCAAGCAGCTCGCTACCGGGACTACTCCTACCGTTCGTACCACCGTCGCGCCGAATCCGGCATCAGCAGCACGTAGGAAAGCCATCGAAGACGCGATGCGAAATGGCCCACCGTCCTCAAATGTCAGTCCCAGCGCTGCGACTGGGAGTACCAGTCGTATTAGCACATCTCCGTCGAAAGTAGATGGTGGGGTGCAGACGGAGAGGGATCCGATGTATTACGATGATGACGATGAGGAAATGAGACCTATGCCCGGACGGTTGGACTTTGATCCCCAGCCCAGAGGTGCTGCTGATCCTTCGAACGGTAGAGGTGGAGGAACGGGTGTTGGCGAAGAGGTAGAGATGACCGAAGAAGATCGGTTCTTCTCTTCGCCGACCGTCACGCAGGGTCAGGTGATGACGCCCCCAAGCAGTACGCTGAAGCCACGACTTGGACGGGAGATGGTTGATGAGGACCAGGACGAAGAAGAGGAAGAGGAAGGTGGCGATGACGTGAAGATGGAGGTAGGCACCGGGATGGAGATGGACGAAGACGAGGATGAGGACCAGAAGCCGATGATGGGCATGGACGCGAATATGCACAATGGGAAAGGTAAGGAGCGGGAGAGACAGAGACAGAGTGAGAGTATGGTGCGCGAAGCTCTTGAAGGCTTTAACTGGGATGAGTTCGAGGCTTCGGTGAGTTCCTTTCACTTCTAATCCGCTTTCGTGACACTATACAATGAAGGATCCTAACGTTCGTCTTCCGCCGACAGACTTCCAGTGTAAACTCTTACCGCCCCCAAACATCCCCCAGAGCTACCTCCGCCTCCGCGCCATCCTTTCCGTCCCAGCAATCTCAGTTCTCCCACCAATCCTACTCACGCCGTACCTCTCGCAACACTCCCATGAACCCGAACAGCGTCGAAGTGAAGAACATGATCGACGCACTCGAAGCCATTCCACAAGCTATGCAGAACCTCGAGCGTCAAAAAGCAGAACTGGAAAAAACAGGAGAGGCGCAACAGAGGCGGATTGAGTATCTGGAGGCTGAGGTCGATAGGTTAGTCCACTGAACATACGGTTGATTTTCTGGGATAAAGTGCACCGTTGTCTGACAGTGACCTTCCTCTGCCCGTTCAGTTTGAAGCGGGCGAAAGAGAATATCGAGGACGCGTTCAGAAAATATATGTTGCTACACGGGTAGTACGTGTTCGGGGGACGCTGATAGTGACGGCAGTGTCTGTCAGAGGCGCTGCGTTCAAGCCTACAGTTTCTTTTGTTTTCTTCTCTCTCATCTTTTTTTTTTCGCATGATCCGGACTGTCAGGATTTCTGGTATCGTTGTTTGGATCTGTAATTTTCTCTTTTTCTGAAAATCCGGCTCAGGTATATGCTCATTACTTGCTCTCATCTTCTCCCCTCGCATGTATTATTAACTCCAATATGCTTTCCCTCATCTTCCTTTGCTGTTGGTCTGAATCCGCTCTGCTCTGTTGTTACATACGCTCTAACTTGAGTTTGAATCCGAGCCGGCTGCTCAAACTTACGTTCTGCTACGATTTACTGAGTTCTGACACTACGCATAGACAATTGTATGCCGCTCACGATATTCGCCCATTCCTGGTATTCATCCGTTACTGCCGTGTGAGGTTCACGATTTTTTTATGACCTAGTTGCTCTCGTGGTTGGCCAGGTGCAAGGGCTCATCTTTTTCTGTATTGCCTGACGCCTAGATGCTATGCGACTCGGAGCGCTCTCATTGTCCAAGCGTCCTGAATAAGTAACTCACACCCATATATGCTCTTTGACGCCTTACACACGTTTACACCCTTCCTAGGATCCTGACTGGCGACAGCTCGTCTCTCCTCGTCCTCCGACATCCCCCAACTTCGCACTCAGTCTACCGACCAATGTCTGCAACAGAGTTCGTTCTTTTCGCACTTACATCTGATCATACCACATTCTAATCCTATATACTTACAGAATTACTCCTCTGTCCCCCTCAAAGGGTCCAGTACATATCACTGGTATGTCCGTTAGACTGCTATAGCTGTGGCCTATTTGTTCACGACCAATTTATAGTTCTTCGAGCTCATCAACTTCCTCATGACAAAACGAGTCGCAAATATTTCGCTACTATCAAAGTCGACGGCGTATCAAGAAGCACCCAGGACAGAACTGAGACAGAAGGGTGGGATGAGCGGTTCTCGTTGTGAGTGTCCCTCTCCCCATCCAAATCAGGCTCCTTCTGTATCCGCTCCTGATCTCTCGCCTATAGCGATGCATCAGAGTGGTCGAGGCTGAGCGTTTGTGTTTACAAACGCCGGGTCTTCCAGTCAGATAAATTAATCGGGAGTTTTGAGGAGGAAGCGTTTGAAAGTCTCTTAACAGACTCGTTCGCGAAAGGTATGTGCGACCACTCCTAGAACTTACTATATACTTCATTTAGACCTATTCGCCGCACAGAAATCACCCGACCGTTGCAGTCAGACCAGTCATCAAATCAGGCCACGCCAGCTGGTCATATTACACTGAGGGTTGGCCTGGAAGATGACAAGACGGCTGCGATGGCTGCGGTGGTACAACGAGCGAAAATCCGAACCTCCTGCCTTCAGCGCTCCCGAGCAGTCGGGAACAGCTACCTACTCGATGACGTACAGTCCGTTGATGACATATCACTCGATACGATAGAACAAACATGGGGCCCTCTGCTAAGCAAGTTGGCGGTTTTTTCGAGCATAGCGGACTCGGTCGCAGAGGTAGAATTGAGTCGAGGTCTCTCCGAAGTAGTTGCGGCTGACAGCTATGTGCTCGACTAGATCCATCCATATGCCCAGGCCACGTACAGTGTCATCTCGGTCGCGTACAAGGTGCGTACACTGCCTTTAAATCGTGTACATATGGGCCCTTACTCTGATGACTGCGAATCCACAGCTCGTTGTAACACAAATGCAGCGAGACATCAACATTCTACTTCTCGTCGATGCCATGAATGATGTGTATGACTTCGTCAAGGAAGCCGAACCACTTCGCAGAATCAAATCTCACAAAAAAATAATAATTCTGCTGGCGCAACAGACAATAGAATGTGGTTATTTTATATCCGCGTATTGCAATGACGATTTCTGTATGTCCGACTTCTTCTTCTATATATGACCTTTTGCACACTTTTTATATATTTAGTCACTCGTACCTTGAAGCATGCCGTGGCTCCCACAGATACAGCCATCGTCAGGTACGGAAACAAGTTCTCCGAGCTCAAGGCTGCTCTTCTGGCCCATGCCACGATCAATACCGAGATCGCTGTTTTGCGTGTTTTAGGTATCGTCGAACGAATCGGTCAGTTGGCTTCTATTTTTACTTTCATGGCACTGACAGCCACCCAGAGATCAAGTTGGATCTTCTGGACCTTCCGTACGCTCGGGGCGCTCGATTCCATGGAGGACAAAGATTCCTTCCCGGGACTCGTCAAGCTCTACTTTCCAAACTCAAGGAATGGGTTGACGACCCAGACCCAAAGGCGCGCCGCGTTTTAATTCTGGTTGGCGATAAAGAAACAGGAAAGTCTGCTATTGCGCACAGCATCTCTCACCACTATCATGAACTTTGCCGCCTGGGCTCCTCAATCTTCGTATCTCCTGCGGAAGAGGCCGCTGAAACACGCATGCCCCTGAGATTCTTCCCTACCATTGCCCAGGATTTGGCCGCTCTCGATTCACAGTATCGCCACAGACTGTGGGATGCGATAAAAGCCGACAGGTCGCTCAGAAATGTCCTCAACTACACTGACCAACTACAGAGTTTCATTCTCGCTCCACTTGCTGATTTAGTTTGGGCAGGTCCTATTGTTCTGGTCCTCGACGGATTAGAGAGCTGTCGAAACCTCGATAGCCTGGGACAGTTCTTGACAGTTTTATCCAAGAGGGTCAATGACTTACCTTCCAACTTTCGCATCCTCCTGACTGCATGCCCAGACACACAGGTCTTGCATCACTTCACAAGCCACCCAAATGCCCAGATAGAGCAGTTGAATGGACCCAACGATTCTTCGGTATATAGTGATCTCTTTGAATATGCGAAATCGCGTCTCAGTATCGGCCGCCATGCGGGCTCCCTCGAACCCCGCATGGTCGACTGTCTCGATCTAGTCCAGAGCTCTCGAAAGTTGTTCCTGTGGATGTCATTGATATGCGATAGGATTTGTGGTGAACACTCGGATGCCAAACTCCCTGAGCGCATTCGAACTGCCATGCTGAGCTGTCCTCCTGAATGTTCGTTAGCGGAGTTGACACCACCCAAAGACTATATTTTTCACCATGCTCTCAGCCGCCTCTTTGACCCTCGAGATTCAACTGCAATGGGGCAGTTTAGAGGCATCATGGGAAATCTTCTCGCCTCATACCGCCCGCTCTCGCTTTCCGACCTTGTAGAGATGAGAGATCGGGCCTCCTCCTCTGAAGAGGACATCGTCGCGGTGGTTGCTAAGATGGATTCCTTCCTAACGAACGTCACAGATCGCTGTGCTCCTCTGCTCCCCTTCCGTCTCTCTTTCTTTGAGTTCCTCCGTGACCCCCAGCGAAGCCAACACTTCTTCGTTGATGTAGCAGACTATCATCATCATATACTCGCCATGAGATGCATCCGTGTTCTGAGCGAACAGCTTCAATTCAACCTATGTCACCTTGCATCCTCATATCTACGGAACGACGAGGTCATCGACCTTCCTGACCGTCTCTATCGTTTCATCAGCCCAGAACTCTTATACGCATGTCAGTTTTGGATGGAGCACTTATGTGCAATCGAGGGGACAATGCCAGAAGCTCTAGTCGCAGAAGTCGAACTACTGTTACGAACGCGCCTCTTCTTCTGGCTCGAGGTCCTCAGCTTGATTGAGGCCGTGGATATAGCGATAAGTGGACTCACCAAAATCGTCGGCTGGAGTCGTGCAGCCGTAAGTGTCTGCCTTCGTATTGACTATATTCTACTCCGAGTCTGATCCATCTCTCCAAGGTCGAAGCGATCTCTTTTGTTCAGGCATTTGAGGCCGCAATCAAAACATCGGCACCACATATCTACATCTCCGCCATCAGATTCTGGAAGATAGAGCAGCGTGAACACTTCCAACCATGTTTCAGATTTCCTGAGTGCGTTCCATCTCCCATTGTGAAGTGACCGTTGCTGACCGTTGTAGCACAGAATCTCGAGGTCTCATACCAAAGAATGTTATGTGTTCAAAAAGCACCGCGAGATCATACGCTCCATCGCCTTCTCTCCGAGCAGTCGTCGCATGCTTTCTGGTTCTCACGATGGGGCATTTCTTACTTGGGATATCTCGCAGCGCCCTTCCGTTTCGGCTTTGACCACCAGGATGCATAGTATGGGATGGGACCAATGTGGCGTGTTCTCGGACAATGGAACCATCACCGTGCATTCAGGAAACTACTTGCGAAAATTGGACGCAAAGACCGGCGAAGTTCTGTCGGAATCCAACTTGGTCACTGGATATGATGGGTCTTACCAGGGGTTCGTTTCCGTCTTACGGCCGGACGGTGAACGCCTCGCTGTCTGTGCCCGATCCGACCGCTTGTTGTCCGTTTACGACACCAATTCAGGGACACTTATCCTAGGTCCTCTGGAAGTACGTCTAAAACCGGCCGAGTATGTGACGCGTTTGGAATACTCGTCTCAAGGATCGATCTTATCCATTGGGGGGAATGAAGGCAGCCTTTGTCTGTGGGACGCCGTCAGCGGAGAGGTGCTCTTAATTAACGATGTATTCAACGACCGCGTCCACGATATAGTCTTCTCAACAGACGAGAAATGGCTCATTTCGGCATCTCACTACCCGAGATCCATTCTACGAGTTTGGGATATTCGAACGGGCAGCATCCTGCATGGCAGCTTCGACGAGGAACGCATACCGTCCCTCAAGAGATTGTCCGCTATCAACGTTACTCCGGATAGGCGATACGTCACTTTTGGAACTCGCACTAAGGGCTTGAGACTTGTAGAGGATTTCTCACTCTACTTCATTGATCTTGAGACGGGCGAATCCATCACAATCCCGCCGTTGGTTGGGCACAAGGGCCGCGTCACCTGTGTAACGTTCTCTCCAGATGGAACCATGGTTGCCTCTGGGTCATCTGACAAGACCGTCAGGACGTGGAGGATAGCGATGCCTTTCGGTGAACGTTCACTATGGGGAAAGGGGGACGATTCAGGATGGATTCTTGGTCGGGACAACGAGTTGCTTGCATGGGTACCGCCAGAGTTGAGGGAAGGGTTCAATTGGTCACCGCAAATACAGGGTGAGGCTCATGGGACGTCGTGGACGAAGTGTATGGTCGAGGAGTAGTTGAATTGAACGTTCCGTTTGCGGCTTATATTCAATTTTTCTTTCGCTGTTCCGAGTCTCTCCGATATTGTGATTCGTTGTTATACTTATGCAGCACATACTTGTCGCCTCGTTCCTCTATTCACGATTGTGTATGGTTTCGGCCATCCAGACCCTGTCGTTCAGATCTCACGTGTGCTTAGTCTGTCGATTTCTGACCTCTTGAAACGTTTCTACTCTTTCATTTTGGCTGGTCGGCGGTGTGTAGTTCATTCCGGTTCTTTCACGTCGATTGTTTCCCCTTCTTTCTTTCCATTTCAAAACGCCAGACATACTTAAAACCTACCGCCGTCCTCTCCTTTCCTCAAACTCTGAATATCCTGCGTGTACACCTGCAGTTATTATATTTGCACTGCACCGCACTGTGTCTGTATGTATCCTATGGAGAGAGATCGAGATTACATAGCATGCTAGAAGAGAAAAAAGTGAAAAGAAAAGAAAAACACAAGAAGCTGAAGGAAAGGCAAGTGTAAGCGACGTTGAAAGAAAGACAGGGGTCGTGCAAGGAATATCAACATTCGAAGGCGAAGGGTGGTGGCACTGACACGGACACCATGGTAAGTTGGCGGAACGTGCACGCTGCACGCGCACTCGAAGTGGGTAATCGTTCGAAAGCCCAAAGGACCTATATAAGAGTCGAAAAAAATCAAAGATCGAAAATCGAATAACCATAGGTAGATTGTGATGTGAGATATCTGAATCTGAATCCGAAAGGGTAGATATAGCGAGTGTGTGTGGATGTGGTGGAGTGTGAGAGTGAGGATGAGGATGAGGGTGATTATGGATATCGATGTGAGGATTGCAGACTGACGAGCTGACGACGATGCCTGGGGACATGGAAAGAGCGATACGATACGATACGATATGACGAAGGAGAAAAGAAAAGCAGTACAAGAACATAATATGATACAACGCCGCTCCAGGGCGATCTCCTCCTCTCAACCCACCTTCCACCTTCCAGATAGATCCTCCAGCCTTCCCATCACCCCGGCCCATCCAGCACCAAAACCACCGGACTCAAACTACTAACGACCTCCACCCGACTCGTACTCCCCCACGAACCTCTCCCCCCACCCGCATTCCCCGCACCTCCCGTCCCCGCAGAACTCCCCTCCCCACCAGCACCACCAGCACCGCCCTCTCCACTACTACCACGCGAACCTCCCGCTTCCGCTGGTCTCTCCCCATATCCCGACCACCCCATCTTCCTCCCATACCCCTCATGATCGTATTCCAATCTCCTCTCTCCCAGACCCGTACTTGAAGCAGTCGTACTCCTGTCCTCGCTCAACCACTTCGCCCACAACCCGCTCATCCCTCCACCCTCCGACGCAGACGCCTCGTCACCCTCCGACGCAGACGCCTCGTCACCATCCGAAGCAGCACTCGTCTTCGCCACCCCCGCCCTCGTCTCCACGCTCGTCCTATCGCTCTTCGCCACCACATCAAACGTCCCCTCAAACATCTCGTCCAGCGTCACGTTCACCGCCCCCTGCGTGTCCAGCGCCCTGAAATGGTATCGCGAAGGATGTTGTGAGTGTGGATCGTGCGTGACCGAGAGTGAGATGGGGGCGTTGAAAGTTCGGGCGTGCGTCACGAAGTCGTGGTAGCGCTGGTGGTGTCTGTGTCGGAGCCAGGGTTCGTGTGAGGGCCCGTGGAGGAGGAATGTGAGGGTGCCTTCGATTGCGCTGATGTTTTCATTTTTGATTGTTTTATTTTGGTTGTTTAGTGATGATGCTTCGAATAAAGAGGGAAAGAGAGTACGTACCCATTACCGGTATCAAATGCCAAGAACGTAGGTTTTGCTTGTCGTTTATCATGCACTAATGACACGTTTGCAGAAATCGCACTGTTCACACCAACATAAAGCGATCGTCCCATCATATGTCAGTATGATTTCGATCCAAGGGAAGGGAGGAAGGTAGGGAGAAAGGCAGGTAGACAGGGCGGGGGGAAGGCCGGGAACGAGCAAACGCACCCATTGATCGTATCCAACGAGATCGTCTCCGAGATATTGAACGTCCCCGATACTTCCGCTTCTGACGTCTTGACCGACAACGATGATGCCTCAATAGACTGCACGGCGCGATAGATCAAAATACGACACGCTCAGTTAGTTATGACAGCGTCGAACGCGAGAGGGGAGGGAAGGGAACGAAGGAGTGGAGTGAAGAGAAGTATAAAATAAACGAAACGAAAACGAAAAACGCACATCGAACGAAACCCGACTCTTCAACCCCTCAATCGACATCCTCTCAAACGTAACCTGCGGCGACACCCTCCCAAACGACTGATCGAAATAAGGCAAGTACGTCGATATCTTCTGCATCCTGTATCGCTCCCGTTCGCCCGTCCAATTGTTGTTGTTATTGTTGTTGTCTCCACTGTTCCCGCTCCCGGATTCGGTTTCTTTCTCGAGCATGGAGAGGGAGGACCATAATGATGATGGATGTGACGATGAGGAAGATGATGATGATGAGGAGGAGGATGATGAGGAATGTGGTCGAGGGAGGAGAAGCGTCATGTTGAACTCGATATTGTCCGTCTCGGATATATTTCGTGGTACCTGACCGTCCCAAGACAAAACGCGAATGAGTAAACCACGCACGACGAACATGTATCAAGCAGGAATGGTATGAGTCGATCAGGTTGGCTCGCGGTGGACCTGAACTTCCAAGCCCTCGACCGCAGCCAAGACAAACCTCTGCCTCCCGCCAAGCGCAACCATACCTGCATCTCATCCTCCCGCCCTTTTCCCGACCCTGCCCTGCCCTCCCATCCCAATCCAAACACCACCCAAACCCATCTCTATCTCTAAAAAGGAGCAAAAGAAAAATCAACTCACATACAAACTCAACCCCGTATTATTCTCGCTCTTCATCAAACACACAAACGTCTCCCTGAACGCCTCCTTCCCACTATCATCGTACCTCGCCGTCACCTCCACCGTCGCATCTTCCACCGTCACGTCCGGATTGAGATCGACGTGCAGACGGCCGGAGATGCCGTGGATCTCGGCGGGGTCGGAGGTGCCGTTGATGCGGATGAGGAGGGGTGTGTCGGTTGGGAGGTGGAAGAGAAGGCTGTTTTTTTGAGCGTTTTATTTGTTTGAAGGGATGGAGGGAGGTTGTTTGGAGCGTGGGGCGTGTATCGGGTTCGGAGAGAATGTGAAGTTGTGTTGCGGGCCCGGGGGATGCGTGAGAAGGGAGTAAAGGGAAGGAGATAGGAGGGATCACACATAGGCACATGAACGAGAAGCCACGTAACCAAAAAACAAAGTCTTCGTAAGGCCAAAGCAAAGCAAAAGATAGGAGGATCACTCGCACGAACCTTGCCGAGTTTGAGGTTGATGGTGACTCGTCCGAAGACGACGACGATTCCCACGTATTGCACTGGACGGCTTCACCAGCGAAAAGAGGAAGAGCGAGGTCTATCGTTTCTCCCACGAGTAGCGGAGGCGGAGGGCCTCCTGGTGGCTCGTGCGGTGGTGGAAATGAGTGCCAAGGCGCGTATGCTCTTAGCTTCTGCATAACGGGAGAGAAACGCCCACGGGTACGCAAACGGCAGATGCAGGACGTGAAAGACAAAATTAGCAGCGCGTTCAATCAGTCCAAGAATAAACAAGCATTGGAATGTCCAAAACGGGGTGGAACGCAACACGTCAAACATAGAATGGAGTTCAACTGCGGCGATCGACGAATGGAGAAGGTAGACGAAACCAGAAAAAGAATAGGATGGAAAGAAACGAAACGCACGGTCATCATGAACGGCACCCCGATCACCAAAAACAACACGACATAGATCGTGAACGCATACATCGTCGCCCTGCACAACCTCGAATTCCACCCCCTCGAGCCCTTCGTCCGCAGCGCCCTCAAACTGAGATCATCGAATACGAGCCGATGTTGGGCCTGTGAGGTCTCGTAGTCGGGCAGAATGGGGTCCCGGTCTCGAGGGCGGAGGTGGGTGGCTTCGGGGGCACGGGCGGTGTGGAGTGAGTCTGGGGGTGGTTGGAGTTTCGGAGTCTGTTCTTCGTCGTTGTCGAGGATGATCATGCTTGCGGATTAAGTCGAGGAGCTGGTTTTGCGCGAGTTGAGAGGATGCAAGGCAGGTAGGTGGATGGATGGGGATGGGGATGAGGGAAGGTGAGGGTGCAAAGGAGTGGGTCGGGTCGGTCTGCGGGTTACTGATGAAGGTCGGTGTTGCACGAAAAGGCCAGAGGGATATCGTCTCAGATGCGAATGTGAAAGAACAAAGTCGAGATGGCAGCAATTGCAGGTAAATTCGGGATAAAAGATCAACACTGCAAGCGCATGGCGCAGCAACAAGTCCACGAACAAAGAAAGATATCCGGGCTTTGTGGAGGACTCGAGCAGAGATCAGTGCTTTGGACGGCGAAGAGGATGAGAGCAAGGAGACGCAAGGCAAGGCACCTCTGCCGTTTCTCGCGAGCGCCGGCCTTCGCAGCACGCGGCTTATGTAAGGTCTCACCCTATGCTCCGACGATTTCCCAGCCCTTCTTTTCCAAGAACGGCTTGGCCACCTTATGGATCCATGCCCTCTCGCTTGCATCGTTGAAGCAACCGAGAGCTAATCTATCATGCTAAAGGCGTGATCTTCCAGAAGAAATCATCGACAAGGTCGACGTCGGACGAAGAGATTGAGTGGTCTGGTTGACTAGTAGCGTCCAAAAATAAATTAATCATAGTCTCAGCTGCCCCATGGGCATAATTATATCACACTGCGGTATCCTACCGCAGTACCCACCTCCTCCACAACCCCCCCAGTGACCACTCACTCCATCATACCGCCCCCAATCAACCAACGGCACTCCATCAACACACCTTCCTCCTCTCACAAGAAAGACGAATACCACAACCAATCTGAATCCGCGGCGAACTTCGCAGCAACTACAACTCAGGTCCCCCCGGGCCCCTCTCCTTCCCCGACACCGTAAAAATCGAAGAAACCGTCTCCGCCACGTTCCTCACCACATTCGCCACTAGAGTGACACATCCGGCCGTGCTGTCCTTGCACGCTTGTATCCAAGGCGCCAGCCGTCGTTGGATCTCTTCGACAAAGTTCGATGACGGCGGTTCTGATGCGCCGACTGGGGGTGACGGTCGTGGCTACATAACAAAAAGACGAATCGTGAGGACGAAGGCATGTAAGGTCAAGAGGTCAAGATGCGGGATATAAAGGAGGACAAAACGAACCCGCTTCGCAGCATCCTCCGCATCCTTGATCAGCTTCTCCGAATCAGCAGCCGACGCCTCGCGCCATAACTTCCTAAACTCTTCCACGGCGGCCAGAGACTCGCTGAACCGGTGCAGCGTGTTGATCAGCGCGACGACTTCGGTGCGTTGGAGGAGGTTCGCGTTCGTGTGTGGGCTGCAGGAGTACACTCATTCATAAATAAATTTTTGCCGACCAGAGGATGGAGAGGGGAGGAGAGAGAACGTACTCAAGCGCTTTCTCGTCGAGCTCAAAGAGGATCTTGAGCGCCGTCGCGACGCCCGTCGTCTGCACTTTGCCCCAAAGCCTGCACTTATCGCACCCGACACAATCCATAATGCGCGTCACGTTCCTAAAATGCGCCTTGAACTCTTCTTTCAAAACCTACATCCCACCCATGCATTCAATCAGTTAACAAAGTGCGCAACCAACACCACCACAGAGTAATCCACAAAAAAGGAGTAAGACGCAAAAAACGAAGAAAGAAAATACTCACGTTCGCATTCTCCCCCCTAAACAACACCGTCTCATCGAACTTCCCCACATCCCCCGCTATCCCAATAACCTTCCCCAGCATCCGCATCGTCTCCGCGTCCTCTTCGTGTGTCCCTGACGAGCAGTAGTCGTATGCTTGGAGGTAGGGCCCGATGCGGGCGACGGCGCGTAGGAGAAGGACGGTGTTGAAGTAGATGTATTGGAGACGTTCGGGGTGGGAGGCGACGCGGTTCACGAAGCAGGGGAGGTTGGGGCCCTGGGGGAGGGATGAATGTAAGTAAAGTGAAGTGAGTGAGAGTGAAGCGGGGAAGGATGGACGTACCCATTGACCGGTCGTTTGGTTAAAGTGCTCATAGCAGATATGTGTCGATATCGACGCATGCAGACCTACCCACAAACTTTCATCAGCATCACCTACACTTCCTTCTCACTCCTAAAGAACTCACCAGAAACAATCTTATAATAAACCCTCTTCTCCAAACACTGCGCGCCCTCCTCTTCCCCCGACAACAGATCCGTCATCGTCTCCGGGATCGTCTGCGTCCCTTCTTCCGACTTTTTAGGATCGCTCATTAGGGAGAGTTCGGACTCTGACTGGCCGAAACAGTTCTCTTCGTAGATGGCGGTCCAGACGCGGGAGGCGGAGACGCCTGCGTAGCCTGTGAAGCGTTCGGGGTTGAGGGAGAGGTCGACGTAATCGCCCTCTGTTTTGTTTTATGGAGATGGGGTTGGCGGTTGGGTGGAGACGGTGAGTAGATGAAAGTCATGAGAGATGGGAGAGGGGAGAGGGGAAGAGGATGCGTACCGGTCATGTCATCGAAGAAGCAGAAATCTGAATCTCGGTAGTAACATCCCGGTAACGATTCCCTCTACAAATGGCTGAAGGTAAGCATACCCACATCAAAATTTCTATCGTGGAAGCGCCACGTACCTCCGCCTCTGGTGGCAACTCGAGTTTACTCAGCGCCTTCGCTCGCCACTTCTCTGGTATCTCGCTCTACAAGTCGACAGTGCAAAACATTAAATGGTACGCTCTTCAAGAATACGAGAGTAGGCTAAGAAACGTACCTCATCCACTGTGGCGATGACACAGTCTCTGTTCATGCACAGTGCGTTGTCCTCCCAGAACGGACATTCACGATACAGGTCTGCCTGCGATACGCCGAAACATATGCGGCGTCAGTAATGTTTCGTGGATCTCAAATGATGGGAGAGTGGGAAAGACAACGCACTCGGAAATATTTGAAGAACGGCGTCTGTACGAGTTCGTGTAGCTCTCTGTACAACTCGTCATTCACGCTCTCTATACTCTCATAGTTGCACATCGTGGTCTCTATTGGTCCTGTCGGCTACATCGCAACATACAATACATTGGAACATACATACATCAGCACCTAGAACCCTCCTCTCGTCCCTCTACGAACAAGGACAAGGGAAAACGTACTCACAGACTGCTCACAACTCGCAGTGTGTACCGGTTCGTGCTCGAGCACATTCTGCACCTGACCCTGCCTGACCAAAGTATTATCATTCAAGAACGCGGCGTTCGATTGAGCGTAGACTCCGTGGGTATGGATGTGTGTATTTGTCCAGTCGATTAGAAGGGCAAGCAGGGCGCTAGGGAGGAGGGAGGGGCGCATTGCAGTACTTTGTACTGCTCAGTAATCAAGTCTCAGGTTAGAGGTCGGGACTATGTAGTAAATCCAGCCCAGTAAAGCAGGTGAACCAAGTATTAGAGAGATGAAGAGAGCAGAGTAAGCCGTGAGTATTCAGGTGTGTATCGTGGCGAGGAGAGATCCAGCCGTATTTATGAGCGCACTCGGGATTGTAAATTGGGTCGGGGATGCTCACGTGGTGTGCGGAGGCGCGTCGCGCCTGGCCTTCGGTCGCCGGCGTCCAGAAAGGGGAATTGCCACGTCGACGGTGTTGGGTTTTCACGCTGGTCCAGAGGGAACTGACGGGATGGGCCATGGCGAGACGGGGCTGGGTGTTTGTTGTGCATCAGTGTTTCCTTTTCGCGTTTCATGCTCGCTCAAAATGCAGCGGAATAGGGATGAGTATTGAGTTGAACGGTTGCGATGTCGACTTGGATGTGGCGTCACCGAGACGGTACTCGCTGGTGAACTTGCTGGTTTGGTTTGGCGCTGACGTGGTCGAACACGACGTCGACTATTCGTCAGTTAATATTTCGATATTTTTGGATATCTTCGACGTGCACCCACGATCATAATAGGATTTGCTAACACGCTGATCGACGTTCACACACGCCGCCAGTATTGACAGCTGAGCACGAAGCACGTCTTACTAGCGCCATTTCATTGAATGCCTTGGCTAATAACCAGCGAGGAGCCATGCTCTCCATTGGGCTATTTTTGCGGTCAATGGTTGGGTTGTCTGTAAAGCATAATGCGAGAAAGCGAGAGTGTTACAGTTAATGCGAGGAGACGGAGAACATCGAACGTTCTCGGAAGAGACGACGGTTATTCTCACGGTCAGAGCCGGACACGTCGGTTCTCGAGTTGTGCCCACTCTCTACCTTTAACTTTCATTTCACCCCACCATCTCGTGTCGCCCATCAGCGTCTGAGCCTGCTAGCCAGTGTTCTTAGTCGCTCAGGTCTTCCACCCCCCGTCTTAGGTTAACGTTCTCCGGACACCCGTCTAACAAAGTATAACACGATGGCCGCAGAGCTCCAGGTCGGTACCATTTCTCCGCCTCCCTATTTCGCTGTACAATCACCTACTCATTGAGCTTTGACCCGGACACACAACAGAAGAAACACAGCGAGCTCGAGGGAACTCCGGACCCGTTCCCTTCTCTCGGTGATCCCACCCCGGTCTCTTCCAGGCCTGCGGCACGTACAGGCAACAGGCAGGAGCTCGACACTGACTCTCACGACGCCTTCCCGACTCTCGCTCCCTCTGCCGCTACTGCGAACAAGCCTGCCGCCTCAGCTTGGGGCAGTGCTCCCGGTGGTGGTGGTGGACCTCGCATCAAGCCCACCGTCGTCCAGCACCCTCAGGCGACCGAGTCCTTCACGCTTACCGCGATCGACCTTTCCTCGGCTGGAAGGGATGGCAAGCCGATGACTCTGGGCGATATCATGAAGCAGGTCATGAACAAGTTCAAGGTCAAGATCGAGGCGTCGACGAACCAGAGGACGAAGCAGACGACGTTCCATCTCAAGGCGGACTCCAAGAAGGAGCTCGAGAAGGGAAAGAGGAACTTGGTCTCGCTTCTTAGCCCGGTCGTGAGTGAAGAATGCAACGTTTTGTGGCGAGGCTTGACGCGTTTTCGCAGGTCTCTTTGGTTGTCAACGCTCCGGCTTCTACGATTTCCACCATCATCGGTCCCAAAGGTTAGTTTCTCATTATTCGTTACGTCCAGAGTCAGGCGACGCTCCCCTTCCCGCGGTCATTGCGTCGGCTATCTGTAGGGTTGTCCTTGTTCGACCGAAACTGCCATGGGGTAATGAACGAGAGAGTATCGTGGTCATCCACACGGTCGCCCGACCCCACCCGCACAACATGCCGTTATTTACGTTAATTAACAATTTTCCAAGGTGCTACGCTCAAGCAGATCCGCGATCAGACGAATGTCAGAGTCGACATCCCTCCCAAGGAGTCCCTCCAGAACGGACACGCGAACGGCCATGCCAACCACACCGGCGACGACGAGGACGAAGAGCCGACCGTGCCCGTGACGATCACCGGTCCTCAACCCCTCGCGTACGAAGCCCAAGGATTCATCAACCAGATCATTTCCTCGAAGACCTCTCGCACGACCCAACGCGTGCGCGACATCCCGGCTTACATCGTTCCCTTCGTGAAGGCCCGTCGTTCGGTATTCGTCGATGCCGCCCAGGGCGGTGACGTTGAACTCAAGCTCAACAGCGTCGACCGTGAATTCCAGGTCTCTGGTGATCGAGAGGCCGTCGTTCGCGTCATGGAAGCCGTCCGCGGGACCGTCGAAGCGTTCTCTAACAACCTCACCTCGGTCAAGATCACGCTTCCGAAGCGTCAGCACCGTCTGCTCGTCGGCAAGGCCGTCGACGAGATCATGGCCAACGGCAAATGCTCCATCATTGTTCCCACACCCGAAGAAACGAGCGAGGAAGTCACCGTCTGGGGTAAACCTGAGGATCTCGCTGCCGGACTCGGCGCCGTCATGACCAAGGCGAACTCGCAGTACATCCACGAGTTCCCGCTTCCCGGTCCTATCGCGCTCTCCAGACAGCTCTTGACTTATATCATTCGGACTGGGTACACGAAGACCCTCTCTGCGGCTCATCCTGGCGTGTCGATTTTCACACCGAACCCGGCTATTGTGGAGAAGGCTTCAGTGTTGAATATTGATATCGTTGGGGAGAAACCGGTCGTGGATGGGACCGTCCGTTTGGTTTCGGAGTTGATGGGTAAATTGATCGGTGCGACCAAGGAGGTCAACATCGACTGGTTGGTGCACAAGATCCTTCAGAACAAGAACGCGAAGAAGTAAGCACCCATTCTCTCCTCACCTTCTATGCATGAGTTTTCGTTCAACTTATACGAATATGTGTGCAGGATCAAGGCGTTCCACGAGAACAACAACGTCTCGCTCTTCTTCCCACCGGAATCGGAGGAACAGTCCAGTGTCCTCCTCGTCTACGATCCTGCCTCGCCTTCTGCCTCGCTCTCTCCCGTCGAGAAGTCCAAGAACCTCGAGGACGTCGCGAAGGAGCTACTCAAGCTCGCTCGTGATGCCGCGGACGTGAAGAGTCAGACGATCACGGTCGAGAAGAAGTGGCATGAGGCCGTCGTCGGCAAGAATGGCACGACTCTCAATGCGTGCGTATTTCTCGTACCGCGTTTGTTACTGCTGTGAGAGTACTGAAATGCGTTGGTGGGATTCGGGGTTGCAGTATCATCGGCGAGGAGAAGACCCTTTCGATCAAGGTTGGCGCTGAGGTCGGCGGCGAGTCCGAGGATGTCATTCTTGTTCGTGGCCAGAGCAGCGAGGTCGACCGTGCTATCAAGGAGATTCTCCAGATCGTCGAAGACGCGAAGAACGACCATATTCTTAGCGGACACGTACGTTCTGTTTCCTCCTCTCTCCCCACCTCGTTCCTCTGGATTTTTAGTCGCTGACGACTATACCTTACTACTGACCATAGTCTGTCGAGTTCGAGATTGATCGCGAGTTTGTGGGTCGTGTCGTCGGTGCCCAAGGCGCGGGTGTCAACAAGCTCCGCGACCAGCTCGGCGTCAAGATCGACTTTTCGGACGAGAATGACGAGAAGGAGAAAGACGGCGGGAAGAAGAAGAAGGCCGCTGCTCATCAGAAGTCTAAGGTTCAGATCGTCGGCCGTAAGGAGAACGTCGAGGAAGCGAAGAGACGTATCCTAAGTCAGGTCGAGAGGCTGGTAAGTGTTGTTTTTCATTCTGCTCTGGCTGATGTCGATGGTGATGGCTGATCTTTGTTGGATGTGAACAGGCCGATGAGACTTCTGAGGTTCTTAAAATCCCGAACCAGTACCATGCTGGCCTCATCGGACAAAACGGCAAATACGTTATTCGGTTGGAAGAGAAGTACTCCGTCAAGGTAAGGAATCATGAGCTTGCATCGGTCAGAAGGGACTAGCCTAACTGTCAACTGTGTACTCCAGATCACTTTCCCTCGCGAGACTGCTGAGAATGGTGAAGGCAGGACGAGGGAACACCTCAAGGCCGACGAGGTTCTCGTCAAGGGTGGCCGTAAGGGTGTTGCCGGTGCCAAGTCTGAGCTCATGGATGTAAGCATCTCACCCACCTCTTCACCATACACTTCGATAGAAATGAAGACTAATTTTTTCCCTCTCTTCTAAGGCCGTTGAATTCGAGAAAGAATCCAACAACATCCTCAAGTTCACTGTCCCTGACCGCGCCATCCCCCGCATCCTCGGCAAGGGCGGAGCCACCATCAACGAGATCAAAGACGACACCGGTGCCCAGATCGACCTGGACAAGACGCAAGAGGGCGGGCCCGTCGCACAGATCACCTGTCGTGGGACGAAGAAGGCTATCGCTGCTGCTAAGGCCGCGATTCAGGCCATCGCGGACCAGGTTGGTGAGGAGACGACGGTGGTGTTGAGTGTGGAGAGTAGGTTCCATAGGACTTTGATTGGTGCTGGTGGGCAGGGCTTGAGAGATTTGATCGTGAGGTGTGGAGGACCCGCGGATCCGAAGGCTCAGGCTGGTTTGGTTCGCTTGTGCGTGCTGCTTTCGTTTTTCCTTCTCCCGTCTCGCATTGGTATACTGAACTGCTGTGTCTAATTAGCCCGAGGCAAGGTGAAGAGCCGAACGACGAAGTCCGTCTTCGTGGTGACCCTAAGGTTGTCAACAAGCTCAAAGCCGAAATCGAGAAGGTCGCCGGCCAGCTCCGTGACCGTGTCGTACTCGCCGTCGACATCCCGGCCCCTCAACACCGTGCTCTCATCGGTCGTGGCGGTGCTAACCTCACCGAGTTCCAAACTAAGTACGGCGTTCAGGTGCAGTACCCTGGCTCGCACTCGTATCACCAGGCTGGTAAGCCTGTGAATGTGGCAGAGTTGGAGGGCGTACCGGCGGAGAACTTGGTGAAGGTGGCGGGACCGAAGGAGGCTGTTGACAAGGCTATTGAGGCCCTTAAGGTAAAGTCTTCGTCCAAGGGCTCTGAGGGCAAATGCTGACGGTTATCTGTCGACCATAGGCCCAGGTAAAGGCTCCCGCTCCCGAGATCATCGACACCGTCATCGTCCCCTTCAAGTACCATCACGCCGTCACCCAACAAGGCAACCTCTTCCGCACGCTCCGCTCCTTCGGTGTGCAGGTCGAACAATCCTCTCAGCCCTCTAAATCCGCGCTCCCCGCCCGTCCTCCCTCCGACAACGCCGCTTCTGCCCGCATCGACGACACCGACGCTGCAGAGCCAGAACCGGAATGGCAGGTCGTGCCGAACTACCAGGATGCGGAGGAAGGCGAATCAGAGTGGACCCTCAGGGCGAGGGACCAGGCTGGTTTGGATAAGGCGAAGAAGATGATCGAGGCGGCGGTTGCGAAGGCTGAGGGAATGACCACCGTTGGCTTTTTGACCATGCCGAGTAAAGTCAGCTTCCCGAGGATTGTGGGCGCGAAGGGCTCGAATATCGCGAGGTTGCACCATGAGACGGGGGCTGACATTACCGTCGGCCGCGAAAATAATACTATTGTCATTATGGGTGGGTCTTCTCTTCTATTCCTTCCCCGCTGTCTACTGTTTTACTGCCCGGTGCTGACTTGCAATACTTTATGCAGGTTCTGACTCGTCGATCGAGGCTGCCAAGGAGGCGATCTTGAGGACTGCCGCCGATACCGGCCGTCGCGGTGGACGAGGCGGAGACTACTAATCGACGTCAAAATGCTCGTTGTGCCTCGGCGCACGAATGCACAGTACTCGCTTGTATGTTGCTTTGCTGAATTCCGTATCGTATGCTTGCGTCCTGGATGACATTTAGTCATATATATTGGTGGGAGGAGGGTCAAAACTGGATGGAAGGATGGGTGGGGCTGGGTGATGGACGTTGGACGTTGGATGGTCGACGACGGCGAAGCGTCATCAATGTTTTCGTACTTGTTATCTAAGTCGCTGCATACTCGCATGGTTTCGGAGGAACACAGGCAATTAAACATGGTATTCTCATCATCGTACTTATTCGCGTTCATCCGCGAATCGAGTCCCCGTCGAACGTGGGGCTTGACCCATATTTTCCTCGCGCGAGTCACTCAGTCTCCTTTGGTTCGTGCACACCCACATAGTATAACATCTCTGGTGTAGACCTATGAAGTCTGTTTCTTTCGGTCAGTGGAAAAGTGTCTCAACGTCGCTCCCGACGGGTACTATTCTGCCACGCCAAGTTGGTATGGAAGTAGGACGGCCCACTTGCGACACTTTGACTTTTCACTCCCCGTCCGCGCGTCGCTCTCTATGAGAGTTGGAAGGAGGGTATATTCAGAGTACAATACGGTCCCATGAGGAACAATGGCGTATGTTTGACTACATAAAGTCCAAATATACAGCAAAAATATCGAGCTGGCTGCCCGAGAGGGGACGCGTCAAACAGTGACTCGGGTCCTTCACTTGTAGGCCACTTTGACTTCTATTGTTAGGCCACTTTACAGATCCGGATCAAGGACAGTACTGTATACCATCATAATAATTGTTCTCGTCAGTCATGGCCACTCCCGCCATTTGCCCAAAATTGCCAAAGAATGGACTCAAAGCTGACGAGATTCTGTTGTGTGGTAACTTTGTCCAGGTGGCGTGGACTCCATGATGGGTGGCACATATACATCCGGAACAGACTCTGGTCTCAGGTCGGACCATTTCTTTCGCAGTTGCAGAAGCACAATGAGAGCGGTTTGCCACATGCTCTATAAAGTCTGCATCAGCTTGTAGGTTCAGAGTACATATTACGAACGAGTGATAAACTTGCCGCTACATGGACCATAGCATCCCCCCAGTAGATTGCGATGTGAATGCACGACCATGGAATCGCGTAAACTATGATATATATGACCTTGAAGGATATGATATTGGCGACATTCATAACCGCAATGCATGCTAACCAGGAACTCACGACCAAGGAGCTAAATAATAGCCCGGATTCAACAAGCAGGACCAGCACATTTCTAATCATCGTTGTCGGTCGCTGCTCAGAGAGCCGAGCAGCGTTAGAATCTCGCAAGTGACTCCTGAGAAAATGGTGATCATATATCAGAGGCCAAAGACTTATACCAAACAGAAGGACGAAGCTGACCACATCTTCTGTGCAATGATACAAGTTGGCCATATGTTTGTCAATAGCGGTAGCCCATATGCAACTTCCAATAGGTGAGTGGATAGTGGGTTTCGTCTGTGACCAAGACGATGGTCGCTTTGAACAATGGACGTTGTCGTCCAAGAGATATTGAGTGCCGTAGATGCCAGTGCAAACTGAATGGCTAACACTGATGTGAGGGCAAGACATCGACATCAAGATAAACTACTAGCGTACCAAACGTCAGAAACACCACTGTTAAGATCCATTTTCTAGCCCTAAGACTCGATACGACACATGCTCTCCAGACGACAACAGTGTCGTTGCACGTAAGCTGTGAGGGGTGCCGACGATGTGTTAGTAGGAAGCGCATAAGGAAGTGAATCACTGTCATATTGAGGTGTTAAGCTCTCACTATGAGTAGGGTCATATAATCCAGGCTTGCGAGCAATCGATCTTGACTGCCTTCAAATTCGCCTTCGGTGAAAGACTCGTTGGGCCAATCCTTCTTCAACGCGTTCATTGACATTACAAATGACGTCGTCCAGTAACTGCCAGAAATAAGAAACATCACAAGAACAACACATAGTGTCAACCTTGCGGAAACTGTCTGTAGTCCTCTTTCACTGATCATCTCATAAGATTGTTTGTCAATATGTGACAGGATGATAGAGACATACTATAAGAGATACAGTGCCGGTATGACCAGACACCCGTAGAATCCTAAGCACATCTCAGATTTCAGCCACAACTCTTCAACACTCTTTACATAAAGCAAGTACGCACCGTATGCAAGCGTCTGGACAACGAGCGGTACAACAACACCGACTTCATTCGGATAGTGAGGTGGTAGACAGACATTTGACGCCATTTCATTATGCCGAATCTTATTGAAAGCCTCTTCATATACCTCGACGAAGCTTGGGGAAGCGCTTTTCTCGACGAAACAGATGAATGGTGAAGTTCTGATACCGTTCGAGGCAACTGAAAAAGGAGATATATGCGCCTCTGCAGCATTGCTGTTCAATTTGAGGAGAGTTAGCTGCTCACAAGGGTGCTGAAAGTCCTTGGTTTCAGATGTCATCACGGGTTTCATTGTGCGCTCCTATGAGCACGCATCAATCGAGAGTGTCAACGACGATCAAGCTGGATTCGACCTTGTGGAAATTCTTGGACGTCCCGTTCTGGAAGAGAATCCTGCCAGGAGTTTTTATTTATTCTGCTGAGACAAGTTTTAAGACCTGGCTCCATCACCTGTTGCACATCTGGAGGATGGCAGTAACGCAAAATAGTGGTCAGTCACCCGTCATGCCCTCCGACGCGTGGGTAAAACGTCAAACATTGTGATATCGTAGTCATCACTCCCGACTCGTTATTGTGGCGATGAGATAGGAGTGTGTCCGTCTGCGACGATAGCCAACAATCGTCGACCAGCTAACCAGTCTCGCCGTTGGTTTCAGGTACAAGGTCCGATCGGTGTAAGTAAGAGGCCGGAGGAAAGAAGTCTCACAATCCTGTCTTTGAGTCGCCCACAGGGGTTCTTTCTGATAGGAAAAAGGCAGCCATGAGCACGCGCAAAAGCTCTGCTAAGGAGCTAACGTAGAAGTCAGTACAGCTCTGATAGTGAGAATGTATACTTCAAAGCTTCAAGTCTCAGTGCTCTGTTAAAGTTTCGCTGTTATAGACCACAGTATTTTTTCGGTCAAGGTCGAAGTTGGGTCGAAGCTAAATTCGCACGGCCAGAGGATTTCCTACCAACGGTTGAATGTCACATTTAATGATATTTATCGTTATCGAGCACCGATCACCTGGGGATAATTCGAGTGTCAACTCTAGGTTACAAGGACAACGCTCAGGAAACATCATGAGGACTGACCAGATGACGACGGCTTCCCAGTGAGTAGTCGATATTGTTAGCCAGTCAGAGGTGGTCATGCAAAAGAGGTAATGGGACATGCTACTCCATGCTTTCCCATTGATTTTGGGAGGAAAATAAGGGTCGAGGACGTGCAGGTACTTGCAAACCACCTATTTATGGCATACTATACATCTGAGTAATGGGTGGTATCAATACATGACATGCACATTGCGACGGCCTTCATGTTAACCACCGACCACGTGAGGACGCCGCACGAGGACAATGAAAGAGTTGTATAAGCACACAACGAATGACAGCGAGGTCAAAGATCCAAACAAGCGTAGAGAAGTAACAAAGCACACACCACAGACAGAGACCACCGTGAAAACAAGTAGCAAATTGCCCGTTCACTCAATCGGCGCCCCATCGATGTCATCGTCCAGTGGTTCACCGTCAACATCTTCCTCGACCGCCATTGGCTCCCCATCCACATCTCCCTCCACCATCGGTTCCCCATCAACATCTTCCGTCAACGGCTGACCGTCAACATCATCTTCCACAGGTTTCCCATCTATATCACTTCCCTCGTCCATCGGTTCCCCGTCGTCCTCATCGTGGGCAGCGGCAGAAGGGACGGTGATAGAAGCAGCCGGAGCGAACGCAACGGGAGCAACGGGTACGACGGCAGGCTCGACAACTGCTTCAGCAGGCCTGAACGAACTAGCCTTAAACTTCGATCCAAACGCCGGCGCCTTCTCTTCCATCCCTTCTGCCACCACTCCCTTCTCCTCAGCTACATTCCCATCCTTCTCATCCTGTTCCACCTGTCCTTCCAACCTTGCCCTCAACTCCCTAGTAAAGTCCGGAGAAAAGACGATCCAGTCCTCCCACACATCCACAACGCCCGTGATTTGCTTCTTGAACGTCTCCGCCGTGATCCTTCCGGGAAAACTATGATAGATCGTCGAGAAATGGTCGAAGACGAGCCCGAGGCGGGATTGAAACTCTTGGCGGAATTTCCAGGCCATGGGAAGGGGCGCGGCGGAGTTGTGGAGGATGTCGCAGATGAGGTGCAATCGGGCGAGTTTGCGTGGGACGGGTGTGGAGTCGACGATGAGGGTTGAGATTATTATGTCTGAGACCTTTTCAATTGTACAGCAGGATGTCAGGTCAATTTAATCCTGGCGAGGGAACAAAAGGCAGGAATTGAGACGCACCTCATTCGCGGCTTCCGCGTGCTCCAAGCTGAAGGCCATGCATCGAGCGAGTTCGCCTCTGGTACCGGATAAACCTCGAAGCATAGCTTCGAACCGTTTTCGAGCCAGTCTACCAAGTTTGGTCTTTCGGGTGCGCTCACGCTCTGACTCTTCGGCGGAGTCAGTGGAGTAAATGCTGTTGTATCCCTTTACACAAAGAACAACGCAGTATTGAACTTCCGCCACACAGGAATGTAGAAAAAGAAATAATACCTCATCGTCGAATTGCAGCTCATCGTTAGGTTCACGCTCAACCAACGACTTGTAATACCTATGACGTCGATGCTAGGTATTTAGTGATCCACAGTTAGATATGTCCACCGATACTCAAAAAGACCGATACAATCCAAAACTCACGTTCGGATTCGTCAAAAATCGATACTTCGCATTCCCCTTCTCCCTCTCCTTCAAACTCTCCTCATACTTCTTTCCGTGCCCCTTCACCTCAGCAGCCACAGTCCTAATAAACGTATCTGTGACATCGTCCTCATTACTCGGCGAGCGCGCATGTCTACGTGGAGATCTGCTCCTGCGTCTCTCATACGACCTCGACCGACGCCGGTCGTGTGAGCGAGATCGGGACCAAGACCGAGATCTGGAACGGGAGCGGGAGCCGGTGTGACGTGGGCGGCCGCGCGGGGAAGGAGAACGAGCAGGAGAGTAAGATCGACTACGAGAGTGACGGCTGGAACGGTGGTGATACCTGTCTCTGGAGTCAGAACGTGAGCGTGAACGCGAAGGAGAGCGGGATCTGGAGTCGTAGTGCCGGCGTTTGTGTCTTGGGCTGCGATCGTGGCGGCCTCTCGAATGTGAGCGCGACCTTGAACGAGGTGCCACTGTGAAAACAAGAAATTGAGAAAGGTCGATACTCGTGCTGATATTTTCTCTTTTCTTCGAGGTCTGAGCGGAGACCTACCGAACATAGGCTTCGCCGCCACCGGGACGGCCTTGCTCCAACCCACCCTCAACACACTCCCGCCCCACTCGAACCCATCGAATTCGCGAAGAGCTTCCTCTGCGTCTCGCCGCTTCATGTAAGAGACGAAACCGGAGAGACCTGCGTTCTTAGTACGCCGACTGCTGGTCATGTCGGCGCCGGGACCTTGACCAGTGTCGCCACGGGGCCACATGATTTTGACCTGGATGGGATAGTGAGATTGAGGGCGAATTCCAAAAGGAAGGGAAAAAAAGAGGGACTTACAGAGCCAACAGGGCCTGCGCGAGCGAAGAAGATGCCGAGGGACTGTTCTGTGACATGGGGAGGGAGGTTGGCGACGAAGACATTGGACGTCTGTGAAGATGCGCCCGTCAGATCACACAATGAACTTCGGTTTTGTTCAGTGAACAAATACAAACCTCTGGGTCACCGCGGTCTTTACTGCCACTCTGGCCTTCGTACGCTGTGACAGTGTGTGTCACTTGAATGAGGTGATTCAGAGGATAGGGTATATGGGACGTACCTGCCATAGCAGTCACGGATCGCCCATGACCTATTGCAGCTAGGTCAGAGAACAAACTACAAGAGAAAGAAAGACATTGACACACCGGTCTTCGAATATCTGGCCTCTCTATCTGCTTGCTCTCTATAATATTGATTAGTGAGGACAGAGGGGAGTGGCGCGGATCACATACCTCTTGATCTCCTCTAGAAACGCGTCCATGGCTCGTTTACCCTTTGGCCTAGGTTCCGCCGGTGGAGATGGAGGCTGAATGCTAAAAGTGAATACTTGGCCAAGAGTGTATCATGTACCAAGCTTGCCTTTGAAGGGTCCTCAAACGCCCGCGCAGACCTAGAAGTGTTCTCTACCCTGTGTTGCGAAGGCCTATACACCTCCACATCCTGCCCTTCCTTCGAGCCTCCCGACTTCACAAAATTCGCACCAGTCCTCTTCTTGCTGACCTCCTCTCCCTCAAAAGCGTCCAAAAACTCGGCATAAGCCCTCGCAGCGTTTTCTTCTTCCTCCCTTCTCTTTGCTTCTGCGGCCTCCTTCTCTTTCTCGCGTTTAGACTTGCGTGCGGTACCTTGAGCATATTGGGATAGTTTTTGGTCGTCTACTTGTTTTGACTATTGTATGAGGGGTCGTGAGCTTGGAGTGAAGAGGATAGGAAAGGTTCGATCCGTTCGCACTGGGAATGAGGACTCTTCGTCATCATTGTCAAAGAATGCGGCCAGTCTCGTTTTCGTTTTGTCCATCGTACAGAGTTTCGGAGGTACTAAGAGTGTGAGCAGAAGTTCAGCAGCCCAAGCAACTGGCAATCGTCCTCCAACGCGTTTGATCGAGTGCAAGACACAGCGTGACTTCGTTGATCTGTCCTTTGTGGTGGTCACAGTGTGACACCACGATACAACCCTGGAACATGGCTCTTGACGTTTCCCAAACTGGCGTGCTGGATGTTGACCAAAGATGACGTAGCGCAACAGGACCACGTCTGGCTCGCCGTGTTCGACGTCCTCCGTAAATATCTTCCTCCTAACCACCATTGGACTCCATACGAACACCGCGCATCTTGAGGTCTCTCATGCCAGACCTACGAACATATGCACTTCTCGCCACAGGCGTCGTGGTCTCATGGGCCACATACCTCTCCATCAAGAACAACTCCTACCTTGACACGTCCAATCCGCTCCTCACAGCCCTTCCACATCCACTGCATGCAACTCATTACTTCGCGTCGAAGAAGAATATCCTAAATATACTCTTCATTAAGAAAGCCTGGGGATGGACAACTGCCGCGTTCTTCACCCTCTTCTTCCTCTCCACACCCAAATCCATCACCCCAGCCTCCTCGGGTAACACCTCCTGGACATTCCGAAGACTGCTACAATATGTACTTGCAACCGCCTGTTGGCTTTTCTTCTCCGCTTGGTTCTTTGGACCACCCGTTCTGGATAGACTCATCACCGCCTCAGGCGGAGAGTGCGTCCTTCACCTCCCAGGCCCACACGGAGCCTACATCCCCGTCCCTCCACAATACTGCACCGACCGTATACGGATATCTCCCGCCACACATCCCGAACTTTTCCCCTCGCCCCTCATCAGCGCTGCCGACCTCCTCTCCAAAACAGGAACACACGCTGAATGGGCCGGTATTCCTAGACTGAGAAGGGGTCACGACGTGTCAGGCCACATCTTCTTGTTGACGTTGTCGATATGTTTCTTGGCGGATCAGCTGAGACAAACGTGGCAGGCAAAGGGGAAGAAAGGGGAATGGTGGGCTGTGGGTGTGTTGACGAATGCAGGCATGATCGGGCTTTGGTTGTTTGCGAGTTGGGTGACGAGTTTATATTTCCATTCCCCGTTCGAGAAAGTTACAGGGTATCGTACGTGTCTTTCGCGTTTCTATCAGCATGTTTTTGGCATATGGTACTAAAATCTTTGTGCGCGGCTCGCAGTCCTTGGCGTTGCATGCTTCGCTGTCACGCAGATCCCATTACTCCTGTCAAACGATGTTCCCACTTCCACCAAAGTACCAGCTCCCACCGAAGTTAGAGATGAATAGAGCCAAGGCGGATGTTTTATTTCCACACCGTCTCTTTGTGCGTGCTTATCTACTTGGGCTTCATGATGAACAGTCGCTAACGAGGTCGCTGGATATCGACTACAGGATGTCGCTACGTCAGATACGACCCAAGAACCTTTTCTGTTCTGATGCATGTTCAATGGTTGTACACCATCAACACTTAATGTATCTATACGATCATGATAATTGATCCGATCGGGCTCTTGCCCATCCGTCTAGAAGAATTGAGCTCGAACGGGGAACGAAGGTGGACTTGACGATGGGTCACCCAAGCAAGAATAAAATCAAGTGCCGCCTGGAACACGAGAGATGTCAGACATGGGGAAGACACGCTCATCGAGGAAGAAATGTCCTTAGATCGGTCTTCATTTTGGAGTTTTTGAGCTCGGAGAAGTCCATGATCCTCCACTGGCGGTAAGTTCCTCCTCGAAAAAGCCGCGCGCTGATACTTGCTCAAACTGATCTGGCGCCTGCCTTGACCGACGGGTTGACAGATATTAAATAACTAAGATCCGGAAACAAAAGATCAAGAGGTGGCAAATACTACGCTGAGACGCTCAGAGCAAGCCCGAGGGCACAAAAAGAAAGAAAATATTGAAAGGGGCCTACAGTAAACTCGAAACATAAGCAGGCAGACAGACCGTCCCATTCAACTACTCCTCGACTAGACACTTCGTCCACGATGTCCCATGCGCCTCGCCACGGATTTGCGGTGTCCAGTCGAACCCTTCCTTCAATTCTGGCGGAACCCACAAAAGCAACTCGTTGTTCCGCCCAAGGATCCACCCAGACTCGTCCCCATTTCCCCAAAGTGAATGTTTCCCGAAAGGCGTTAGTACTCTACAAACCCGAACGGTCTTGTCAACCGATCCAGAGGCGACCATGGTTCCGTCTGGAGAGAACGTTAGGCAAGTGATGGAACCTCTATGCACGACCAACGGCGTGCCAGATTCGCCTGTTTCAACATCAATGAAGTAAATTGGGCAATATTTATCGCCTGCCGTGCCTAAAGCGATAGTTTTCTTATCTGGAGAGACGTCGATATTAGTCGTGAAGCGCAGGCTGGGTGCTAGTGGCACGGACGTCGTATCGAAACTGTGCAGTTCGGCCCCCGTACGAGTATCAAAGATATGGAGCAGCATGCGTGTGGGATCATGCTCAACAGTAATGAGCCATTCTTCATCTGGTGAGAAGATCATGGTGTCGATCTGGCCGCCAGTGTATATGACAATGGCGAAAAGTCCCTCGATGGCGTCCCATAGACAAAGCCTGCCTCGACTGTCTCCAATGGCTAGGAACGACCCTTGAGACGAGTACTTCAAAGACGACAGACGCTCGTATGGTCGGGGGACTTTGTCATGTTGCAACGGATCTGGGAGAGAGATAAGTCCGCTCGCATTGGTATCATAAACGGACAACAAGCCGTCGAATCGGTAACAGACAGCGACGCGTTCGCCATCCGGCCGTAAAGCGAAAAGAAAGTCGAGGTGATCTCTATTCCGTTGCCTATCCGGTAGACCGGTCAATATGAATTCCGACAGAATTTCGCCAGCCTTTGCATCCAGTCTTTGCAAGCGGCCCCCTGAAACCACAGTGATGCTTCCACTGTCTGTGGAAAATGCGACATGTTGTACCCCCTCCCTATGGGGAATTGTGGTCAAGGTGGAAACGGAAACGCACTGCGAGATATCCCAAGTATGGAATATCCTATCGTCAGAACTGGAAAGAATGCTGCGATTGTTCGGAGAGAAGGCGATAGAGCGTATGATCTCGCGGTGCTTTGTGAACACATAATATTCTTTGGTAGGAGACCTCGAGATTCTGTGCTACGACGGTCAGCAACGGTCACTTCACAATGGGAGATGGAACGCACTCAGGAAATCTGAATTGCGGTTGGAAGCGTTCACGCTGCTCGGTCTGCCAGAATCGGATGGCGGAGATGTAAGTGTGTGGTGCCGACGTTTTGATCGCGGCCTCAAATGTCTGAACAAAAGAGATCGCTTCGACCTTGGGGAGATATGTGAGACTTGAGGTAAAATGGCAGTCGAGGCGAAAGCAGACACTCACTGCTGCGTGGCTCCAGCTGAGGATTTTGGTCAGTCCACTGATCGCTAAATCCACAGCCTCAATTAAGCTGAGGACCTCGAGCCAGAAGAAGAGGCGCGTTCGTAACAGTAGTTCGACTTCTGCGACTAGAGCTTCTGGCATTGTCCCCTCGATTGCACATAAGTGCTCTATCCAAAACTGAGATGCGTATAAGAGTTCTGGGCTGATGAAACGGTAGAGACGGTCAGGAAGGTCGATGACCTCGTCGTTCCGTAGATATGAGGATGCAAGGTGACATATGTTGAGTTGAAGCTGTTCGCTCAGAACACGGATGCATCTCGTGGCGAGTCTATGATGATGATGATCCGCTACGTCAACGAAAAAGTGTTGGCTTCGATGGGGATCACGGAGGAATTCAAAGAAGGAGAGGTTGAAGGGCACTAGAGGAGCACGGCGATCTGTGGCATTCGTTAGGAAGGAATCCATCTTAGTAACCACCGCGATGATGTCCTCTTCGGAGGAGGCCCGATCTCTCATCTCTACAAGGTCGGAAAGCGAGAGTGGGTGGTACGAGGCGAGAAGAATTCCCATTACGTCCCTAAACTGTCCCATAGTAGTAGAATCCCGAGGATCAAAGAGGCGACGGAGCGCATGGAGATAAAGATCGTCTTTGGGTGGTGTCGACTCCGTTGATGAACATTCAGATGGACAGCTCAGCATGGCAGTTCGAATGCGCTCAGGGAGTTTGGTATCGGAGTGATCGCCACAGATCCTATCGCAAATCAATGACATCCACAGGAACGATCCTCGAGAGCTCTGGGCTAGATCGAGACAGTCGACGTTGCGGGGTTCGAGGGAGCCGGCATGGCGGCCGATACTGAGACGTGATTTCGCATATTCAAAGAGATCACTATATACCGAAAAATCATCAGGTCCATCCAACTGCTCAATCTGGGCATTTGGGTGGTTTGTGAAGCGATTCAAGACCTGCGAATCCGGGCGTGTTGTCAGGAGGATGCGAAAGTTGGAAGGTAACTTGCTGACCCTCGCAGCTAGAACCGCCAAGAACTGTCCGAGACTGTTTTTATCGTCACAGTTCTCTAAACCGTCAATGACCAGGATGATAGGACCTGCCAGAGCTAAGTCTATGAATGGTGCGAGGATAAAACTCTGTAGTTGGTCAGTGGGGTCGAGGGCATTTCTGAGCGCTCTGTCGGCTTTTATCGCATCCCACAGTTTGTAGCGATACTGTGGATCGAGTGTGGCCAAATCTTGGGCAATGGTAGGGAAGAATCGCAAAGGCATGCGCGTTTCAGCAGCCTCTTTCGCAGAATCCACGAAGACCGAGGATCCCAGGCGGCGGAGTCCATGATAGTGATGAGAGATGCTGTGTGCAATGGCAGACTTTCCAGTCTCTTTATCGCCAACCAAAATCAGGACGCCTTTCTCCTTCGGGTCGGGGCCGTCAACCCATTCCTTGAGTCTGGTCAGTAAAGCTTGACGAGTCCCGGGGAGGCATCTTTTTCCTCCATGGAATCGAGCGCCCCGAGCATATGGAAGGTCCAGAAGATCCAACTTGATCTCTGGGTAGGGGTCAGTGTCATGGATTAAAATTAAAAGTTAAAAATTGAAATCATTCACCAACTCGTTCGACAATATCTAGAACACGCAGGACAGAAATCTCGGTATTGATCGTGGCATGGGCTAGAAGAGCGGCCTTGAGCTCGGAGAACTTGTTTCCGTACTCGACGATGGCTGCATCTGTGGGAGCCACGGCATGCTTCAGAGTACGAGTGACTAAAAAAAAGGTGTGCAAAAGGACACGAATAGAGGGAGAAGTCGGACATACAGAAATCGTCGTTACAATACGCGGATATAAAATAACCACATTCTGTTGTCTGTTGCGCCAGGAGAAGCATTACTTTTTCGTGAGATTTGACTGTGCGGAGTGGTTCGGCTTCCTTAACGAAGTCGTACACATCATTCATGGCATCGACGAGAAGTAGGATATTGATGTCCCGTTGCATTTGTGCTACAACGAGCTGTGGATTCGCAGCCATCAGACTAAGGGCCCATATGTACACGATTTGAAGACAGTGTACACACCTTGTACGCGGCCGAGATGACACGGTACGCGGCCTGGGCATATGGATGAACCTAGTCGAGCACACAACTGTCAGCCGCAACTACTTCGCATGGTCCTCGATTCAACCCTACCTCTGAGACCGAGTCAGCTATGTTGGAAAAAACCGCCAACTTGCTTAGCAGGGGGGCCCATGTTTCTTTGATGGTATCGAGCGATACGTCATCCACTGACTGTAAGCCACTCAGTAGGTGACTGTTGCCGACCGACTGAGAGCGTTGAAGCAAAGAGGCACGAATTTTGGCTCGTTGCACCATGGCAGCCATAGCACCCGTCTTGTTATCTTCCAGATCAACCTTCAGTATAATGTGACCAGCCGGCGTGGCCTGATTTGATGTTTCGTCTAACTGCAACGGTCGGGTGATTTCTATGCGGCGAAAATTTTAGAATGGAGCGCGGTGAGCTCTAGGAGTTGTTGCACACACCTTCCCTGACCATGTACGAATCTGTCAAGATCCTTTCCAGTCTTTCTTCTTTAAAGCTCCCAATTAGCACATCTGAATGGAACCGCCGGCGTCTGTACACTTCAATACACAATATCGATGACTCGAAGGCCTCACTGTTTGTGCGAGACATCAGGAGCCGGTACAGGAAGAGCCTAATTCGCATCAGTGAAATGCTCACAACGAGAATCGCTTATCCCACCCAGCGGCCTCAGTACTGTCCTGGGTGCTCCCCGATACGTCGTCGACCTTGACGGTGGCGAAATACTTGCGACTCGGATTATCACCAGGGAGTTCGTAAGCTCGAAGAACTATGGAACAGCTGTGAAGGAATAGATCACTGTATGGGAGTCCGATAGACATACTGGTGACGTGAATCGAACCCGTGCATGGGGATGATCCCAATTGAGTAGTTCTATGAGTCGTGTGTCAGGACTGATATCATTGGCTGGAAGCTTGAGTAGAACGCACTGTATCGCAGACATGTATGGGTAGTGGCAGAGTTCAAGGATGAAGATCAGGCAGAGATGAGCGATTGGACTGCAAGGTTTGAAGAGGACTTGAGAGGGCGTAAACTGCAAGCACAGGGCGTGGGGAAGGAAGGTGCACAACGCGCTGACAAAAAGCGCTTCATGCGTCTAAGTGAACCTGTTGTCAAAGATATGGGTGATGTCGTCGAAAATTGTTTCGGAGCGCAGGATGAATTGGACAAGACTTGTTCACATGTACGGCATGTCTTGGAGGTCAGTAGTGAACGTTCTCGGAGCTTTAAGAGACTGAATGAATTGGGGAGCCCCAAACTGTTGGCACACTTCTTAAGACAAAACTCAGACGAAAAATGTACTTGATACAGTATTTTAAGGTGGCTTGGCCTGAGGCCTGATGTATGAAGAGAGTATATCGCAAAGACTTGGTGGCGCTATGAATGAGCCAAGAAAGCAGAATATATTCGGACTCTACGCCCCTCTGCCCACCCTCGGTAATTGCCGCCATTTACGCTTTGAAGAATTCCGAAAGTTGCTGATATCACGCTAAGCGACTTCGCTTGACCGCCACATCCACACCCATCTCAACGAGCTTGTATAGATAATGCATATCCATCCTTGGCTTTCTCATTCACATACATCGATTTGAATGCCTGCTCGAAGTGCACGGGGCAAGCAAGAGGATGTCTGGGTTAGCAAGCATGGCGAAAACTTTTCAGACGAGTCGATTGCGTGATCCAGCACCATCGGTATGTTATAAGACGCAAAATACGACCTCCACGATTGCACCCTCCGAATTCCCCTCATCCAATCTTCGAGTGAACAGAAGACCTTATAGGCTATCTCCAGTCGCAAATTACCCCAATTATCTGCTCAGACCTTCGTCATTCCCTGAATTGTCATCATCTCCTTAGGATTTCATAAAAGTAGAATACATGGCCAATACTCCTCACGGTGGCGTTCTCAAGGTGCGTTCACAGTGACATTTCTCGGGTGGTCGGGACTGATTTGTATTGCTTAAACCGTTGTGGTGGTCATAGGATCTCCATGCTCGTGACGAGCGCATACAGCAACAATTGAAGGAGGAGGCCTTTGGTCTATCTGATATCAGGCTCACCGAGGTTCGTCTTCCTTGATTATCAATCTCAGTCCTTTCTAACATCTATTCATGTATTCTAGCGTCAATTATGTGATCTTGAACTTGTTTTGAATGGAGGTTTTAGCCCTCTAGAAGGATTCATGAATGAGGCTGATTATACCAGGTCCGTCCACTTTACTTCAATTTTGTTGGAGTCTACAGTTTATTTATATTGAAACTTGATTTGTATAGCGTCGTCGATACCCTCCGTCTCACAAGCGGTCATCTCTTCCCCATGCCCATCACCCTCGACGTCTCGCAAGATGACATCGACCGACTATCATTAAAGGCCGGTGCCCGTGTGGCCCTTCGCGATCCCCGTGACGATGAAGCGCTCGCTATTCTGACAAGTGAGCATCATATCCGATGCCGCATCCTAATCAATCATCTCATTCTGTTTCGTGCCTTTAGTCGATGATATATACCGTCCAGACAAGGTCAAAGAGGCTATTAACGTTCTTGGTGCCGATGATCCCGCACACCCTTCTGTGGCGTACCTTCGCAGCCGAGTCAAGGAATTCTACATCGGTGGAAAAGTACAGGCTATTCAGCCACCAGTTTACTTCGACTATGTCCCTCTCCGTTGTAAGTACCCATTCCAGCCCACTATTCGACCCTGTCATCCAACCGAATATTCACTTGGCTCTATGTTTTCGCTTGGCACCACAGACACCCCAGCCGAACTCCGTGCACACTTTAAGAAACTCGCGTGGCGCAAAGTCGTCGCTTTCCAGACCCGAAACCCCATGCATCGCGCTCATCGCGAGCTGACCGTTCGTGCGGCACGTCAACGTCAAGCAAATGTCCTCATCCACCCTGTCGTCGGGATGACGAAGCCGGGAGATGTTGACCATTATACTCGGGTGCGAGTGTATGAGGCTATTATGGTACGTCGTTCTTCTCTGGTATAGATTGATGCGAGCCTGACGAGGTGTCTGAACTGTAGGACTCATACCCTCACGGAATGGGTCACTTAGCACTCCTTCCTCTGGCTATGCGTATGGCTGGACCCAGAGAGGCGGTATGGCACGCCATCATCCGAAAGAACTTTGGTGCCACGCACTTCATCGTTGGCAGGTCCGTTCCGCTCACGCTCTAGTCCTCGTTGCCTTCGTTTGCTTACCGACTCTTACGCCGCAGAGATCACGCCGGTCCAGGAAAGAACTCGCAAGGAAAGGACTTCTACGGGCCCTATGACGCTCAAGACTTGGTTACAAAGTATCACGACGAGCTCGCGATCGAGATGGTGCCATTCCAAATGATGACCTACCTTCCCTCGTCGGACGAATATCAACCTATCGACGAGGTCCCGAAGGGCGTTCAGACCCTTGATATTTCGGGAACTGAGCTTCGTAGGAGGCTGAAGACGGGTGCTGCTATCCCTGATTGGTTCAGCTACGAGTGCGTGACCCTCTGTCTCAACGATTATTCTAAGGACCTGTTCTCACAACGTTTTCAGGCGTGTTGTGAAGACCCTCCGAGAAAGCTACCCTCCACGAGCGAAGCAGGGTTTTGTCATCCTATTAACTGGATTGTACAACTCCGGAAAAGACACCATCGCCAGGGCACTCCAGACCGTCTTCAACCAACAAGGTGGCCGTAGCGTCTCCCTTTTGCTCGGTGATACTGTCCATCACGAGCTCTCACCAGGTACCCAACTTCCTCCTTATACTCGCTCCGTGACTTAAATCTTACGGTTCCTCTGTTAGATCTCGGCCATACAAAAGAAGAGCGTTCAGCCCACCTCCACCGCATCGCCTTCGTCGCTGCCGAACTCGCTCGCGCGGGCGCAGCCGTCATCGCCACCCCCACTGCTCCCTACCAAGAAGGCCGCGACGCTGCCCGCCACACTGTACTCTCCTCTGGCGGCTCTGGAGGTAACTTCTTCACCATACACGTTTCGACTCCTCTTGAGCACTGCGAGAAGACAGATCGGAGGAACGTGTATTCGAGAGCGAGGAAGGGCGAGATTACCGGGTTCCCGGGGGTGGATGTGGAGTATGAGGCTCCGGATGCGAAGGAGGTAGATTTGACGGTGGATTTGACGAGTCAGACTGTGCCGGAAATTGTTCACAGTGTGGTGTTGATGTTAGAGTCACAGGGGTTGTTGTAGATGGATGGATAGGTTTTCTAGATGGTGTCTTGGATGAGGGCAGGCGTGTTGTAGAGATGTGTGCTGCATAGCTATCCTGGAATATGTACGTAGACAGAGGTATTTTATTGTGTTAAATCTAGCAGGGTCCAGCAAATTTATATCTTCGCTTTTGTACCGTATAAGCTTGGCGGCTCGCCTTCGGATTCGGACTCCTCGGAAGTCGGGATCGGTGATCGCCAGATCAACAAACCCGTGAGGCCGGCGTAGCACGATGACGTCGTCAAAGTCCCAACGAAATATTTCTTCCGGATCCGCTCCGTCTCGCATAATATTCGTGGCCTCCTTGTGTCGCTCATGATCCAGACCTTTTACTCTGCACGTTTCTGTTGTTTACTTCGAGGAGGTTCAACATGTCGGGCAGACCTGAAGCAGCCTGCAGCTCGGTCGGACCTTGGACGTTTGAACGATCCCACCCATCGCATTCTTGAGCTCATCCTAGGGTTGACTCTCAGTTCTGGTGTCAAGGGCTTATGCGTTTATGCACGAGATGTCTTTTTTGAGGAGCATGCACCGTCAACATGCTTCATAGGAGACAGGTATCAATCCTCGTTGTCACAGCCTCGAGTGCTTCGAGGATTTTCCGTACAAGTTTTGGTCTACGCTGCGCAATATCGAACACAAGGATACCAATATGAATACTCTACCACCTTCTTTCCATCAAGGACGCATCGACCATCCATCGAAAGGTCTCGGACCATAGAACGCACATGTCGCAGTTGTATGCTTGGACTCCGGGCTCTGTATACACCAACTCCTCCTGATGCAAATCTCTTGCTTCTTCGGGCGCACATTCTTCCGCAACTACGCTTATCCCTAAATCGTCTTTTCATCCGCTTGTCTCTCGGCCACCGCACGGAAATGTACTGCGGCTCGCTGCGCGCAGCTGTAGCGATGAGCTCACATTGAAATTATGTTCGACCATCCTACAGTCGCTATGTGTCGTTTTCTTGGATTTCTAGGCGATCTCCTCTTACCGAAACTCTTATAAAGCGCGCGATGAGCCGACTGTTGATGTTCAATTTTGATCTCCTCCCCGCCGCCCAGTATTCAGGATGGTGTTACCATCCCTCCTTGCGCCCCTCTCGGTCGCGCTCTTCGTCTCGTCCGGTGTCTATGCCGCCTCGAACTCCACCTCAAACACTACCTCAACGAGCTACAACGATACTTCCATTCTTTCCTCCGGTGCAGGTGCGCTGCTTCTACCTTCGAACTCATTCTCATCAAACATACTTACCAATGGCTTCGTCTGTGAAATAGTGAGCCTTGGTGCATGGCAATCTGCATATGACAAGGCGACCGCTTTCGTTTCAGCCCTCACCAACGAGGAGAAGATCGAACTCATCACTGGTTCAAGCATCGAATCTCAAAACTTCACCGCTCTCGATTTCTTGGACAGTTCTTCGTCCTTGTACAACTATTACTTTGCCTCCGGTTTCCCGCTAGGTGCGTCTAACAGGTATGCACGTTGGGTATATTCCGACTGAACCCGCGATTTCTGTAGGGAACGCTGTGGCGATGACATTCGACAAGGACCTCATGTACTCGATGTACAAGGCTTCGGGTGATGAGCACTATGCCGCTGGTACCCAGGTCATGAATGTGAGTATCTCGAGCTATCGTCTAATATATCCAGGGCAGCTTCTGATCTCGAGAACGCGCCATCACTTAGGGTCCCGTATCGGAGCCTCTTGGAAGGTCACCATGGGGTGGTAAGGACTTCGGGAGATTCTTTTGATCTGGCCTCCTAACTTCGGATATGAATGATTTTCCAGGTCGTAACATCGAATCTTTCGGTGTTGATGCATATCTCAACGGTATTACCTTCGGAATTGCTGTCCAGGCTATCCTTGATGCTGGCGTGGTCCCTGGTGGAAAGGCATGCTTGTTTTTTCCAACAAGGAGTGCGGACGAACATCGTGTCTGACGCGTCTTCTTTTTGTAGCACTTCTTGATGAACGAGCAGGAGACTAACCGTAAGCATAGCCACAAGTCCATATTGGCAAATAAGAGAGATGATCCTAACTGCCCATAATTCACTAATTTTAGGTGAAGCCTCTGGATCCTTAAATTCTCCGTCGAGTCAATCCGTCTCGTACTCAGCTGATGTGGATGACAAGGGTGAATATCTTTGTCGTCTTGTAATTTTTATATGTGTTCCAGTAACTGATGTTTATTCGTGTCCACTCAGCCTTGCATGAAACGTACTTGTGGCCTTTCTACGACGGTACCAAGGCTGGTATGGGTGCAGTCATGTAAGTGATCCCTCATGCTCGGGCTTCATGACAGTGATGCTAAATTACTGTCATTGACCACGCTGTGCAGGTGTGCTATGAATCGCGTGAACGAGAGCTATGCGTGCGAGAACTCCGAGCTCTTGAATAACTATCTCAAGACGGAGATAGGCTTCCCAGGTATGCACCCCACCATCCATCCACTATTATAATGGATGATTCAATGTTGCGCTCAGGTCTCGTCTATGCCGATGTCAGCGGGCAAAAGGTGTGTTGAACTGGCTACTTGATTCAAGCGCCGACTCACCATCAACTATGTTCTGTAGACTGCGTTTGGCTCTGCCACTGCCGGCCTGGACTATGGTTCATCGCAATACTGGTCCAACGATACCATATTGGAGGGCATCAGCAACGGCTCTCTCTCTCAGACCCGTCTCGACGACATGGCCGTCCGTAATCTCATAGGTCCGTCTCGGTTTACACCGTTCTCTTTCCACCCTTTCTAAATCCGCGACTTCCTGACTGACGTCGGAATTGGAATGGTAGCCTGGTACTACGCCGGACTTGACGAGAAGGTGGGAAGCCAACCTGAAGACACGGGCGCGACCGGATACAGAGTCCGTGGTAACAACAGTCAAATCATTCGTGATGTCGGTGCTGCGTCCATCGTTCTTTTGAAGAACACAAACAACGCACTTCCTCTATCCGCTCCCCAGATCGTCGCCATCTTCGGGTCTCATGCTGGATCGGCCATGGTGAGTCCTTTCGCGCCACCCTTTGCAGCTTTTATATTAGAGAAACAATCTGACTCACGACTGTTTTGGAACTTGGTGTCGGTGACTGCAGGGTGGTCCAAACTTCCAATTCTCTGTGGCTGGCGAAGACGACGTGTACTACGGACATCTCACCTCGCCCGGTGGCAGCGGTGCCCTTTCACTCACTTACTCGGTCTCGCCGCAACACGCTTTGATCGAGCAGGCGAGAGTGGATAATACTATGTTACGCTGGATCTTGAACAACACCTACACTTCTGGCTCTGGAAGGTACGCAACTATGTCCCGCCCCTTAGTTCTCGCGACCTCATTGCTTACTGTTGCACCCTGGAACGGCGAATGGTGACGTGGGTTTTTGGTTTTCCAGCGCTTTGGTCAGCTCTGGAACTGGAAGTGCGGTTACTTTGGACGGGTACGCTAGCGGAGCCGATGTTTGTCTTGTTTTCGTGGTGCGTATCAATTACTTTGTTATCATCGCATCGCAACGGCAGGATGTTCATTCACGCTGTTTCTTGTTGGAATCGCATAGAACGCTTGGTCAGGAGAGGGCGCAGACCGCACAGAACTCAGGGACTCCGTTCAGGACGAATTGGTTACTTCAGTCGCTGCTGACTGTAACAACACGGTGGTGAGTCTTCTGCACCATTTGCTCGTTGGTCGAGTGCATGAATTTGACTTGTTATGTCCTTAGGTCGTGATGAACACTGTTGGACCCAGGATCTTGGACGCCTGGATCGAGAACGTGAGTCTTTCGGCCATAATTCGCGATGTCTGAAGAGACAATCTCACTCTATATGTGATTTCAGGTTAACGTCACTGCGGTGCTCTACGCTGGGTTGCTCGGGCAAGAATCTGGCTACTCCATCCGCGATGTTCTCTATGGAGATGTCAACCCTTCTGCACGCCTGCCCTACACCATCGCTAAGGTTTGTCATTCGTCTTGACCTATTGTAACTGAACTGACGGTATACTCCAGAATGAGTCTGACTACGCACAATTCACCATCTGCGAGGACGAAGTGTGCACCTACGACGAGGGCAACCTCCTTGATTACAAGTACTTCGACTACTACAACATGACGCCACGCTACGAGTTCGGCTACGGTCTCTCATACACCAGTTTCACGTACGGTAACGCGACTGTGACCAGTTCGAATGTCACGTCTGGATATGCCAGTGGCCAGCTTGCTGTTGGTGGCAGGGAGGATTTGTGGGACGATGTCGTTGAGGTCCAGGTTTCGATCCAGTAAGTACCGCCCTTACAGCTATTTCACCTCATAGTAGGACGGCGATGCTGACGTTTTCGGCCATGAAGGAACACCGGTTCTCGAGACGGTTCCGAGGTCGCTCAACTCTACGTCTCCTTCCCCTCCGTCGCGGACGAACCCATCCGTCAACTCCGCGGCTTCGAGAAGGTGGCCATCACAGCCGGCAGCACTGAGACCGCCACGTTTACTCTCCGCCAACGCGATCTCAGTTACTGGGACGTTGCCGCGCAGGAGTGGGCTGTCGCTGCTGGCGAGTATGGTTTCTATGTCGGCGCGAGTAGCAGGGATTTGAGGGCGAACACGACTCTCACGGTCGAGTAAAGTGATCGTTTCGGATATTGCGTTAAAGATAGTGTGGGTAATGGAGGTTACAGTGGTGCAGGGGGTGTGTGGGGATCTATGGACAATGTCTCGTTGTGAACCACCTTCGTTGACTCCATCCACTCGTTTACATAGTAGAAGGTTTTCGTTTGTACCTCGGGGTTGATGGGTCATTCTTTACTACCTTGTCTGGTTTGCTTGTGCGTTTTATTCTGGACTAATACTCTTTAGAGATAATAGATGAGTTGTACTCTGACAACTAAATCTGAATCTGCTCCTGGAACTTCCGGCCCAAAATATTCTGATGAAAACATCTTTACGGAAAAGTCGAACGTTCAGGCTGTCTTTGTCTTTGAGCTGTTTATTCGTGCTGAGAATTCCGAAAGGCCAAATGTGCGGGTCATGATCCAGTCCTGCCAGTAAGATGCACGTCAATTTAGTCAGAGTAACATGAGAGCTTCACGACGTAGATTCCGGAATGAGATGAGCAGAAAAGAAGATGTCAAGCACTTACGAACGCTCGTTGACCTAGGAACGTATCCACGAACCAAATTATCCACGTCCTTCCCCCAGCCCAGAGATATCTTCGTGGGTTTGGCTTGAGAATCTCGGCCACCACAGTACGTGCGTATTCGTCGGCTGGGATGGCTTCCTGAGCTGCCAACGAGGAGCGTGGTGTTAGCAGAGCACACAGAAGAAGAATCCCGGAGTACAGCACTGACACTGTGATGTATTGACACGTTTCGCTTGATAGAGATCTTCCATGGGTTTGTACAATGAGTTTTCTGGAATGGTCCGAGGCTTAGCTATGTTGCTTCGAACAGAGCCGGATATGACCTGAGAGCAAACATTACTACTGTAACAATAGAATAAAAATAGAGAATGAGATACCCACGTTGAGCACTTTGACGCTTCGCACGCAAAAGAAAGGAAGTCTCAGCTTTACCATTTCATGATCAAACATGAACGAAGCAGCCACTAGCATCTCACTTAAATGGCGCCAATTCAACCCTCAACGTATTCCCAAACGCATGCAAGGCAGCTTTACTGGCATTGTACGCTGCGCTGAATGGAATCGGCGTTAGGCCTGACACGCTCCCTATGTTCGCGATTCGCCCGTCTTTGGAGGCGATGAGTAAATGCACGAATTCTTGTACTAAGATGATGGGTGCGAAGAGGTTGAGCTCGAAGAGGGCACGGACTTCGTCCATGTCCATATCTGTTACGGCGACAGGGTAGGCTGCGATAGCGAAAGACACGAAGATGTTGTCAGTACATTTGACAAATATCAAACGGGATATCTAGTCATGCTGGACGCATACCTTGTCCGCTGTTAAGGAGACGAGTAGCATATAACATGGTATAAGCATCTGTCATTCATACTTGTCATTTGGCAAGCGTCTTACGCGTTGTTGATTAGGATGTCCAACTTTCCGCCAGTTAGCGTCGCCAACTCATCACGTACTTTTCGAATGGCATCCCGGTCAGTCACGTCGAGCACTAAGGTCGTCATTCGACTTCCGAGAGCCGACAGTTCCTGCATTGCTTCTTGGCGACGAGCGGTCGCTACGACATGAAGACCTACGCAGATACGAGCACGGTGATTGGGACCAGGTAATAATTAGGACAATGGTACGCTCGAAAGGCTACTCTAAACCTCGTTATGGTCGATGCGAATGCTGACCTTTGGAGTGAAACTCTTTGGCGAGTGCATGTCCGATTCCTCCCGCACTGCAGCCAGTAATCAAAACGGTTTTTGTTCTACTCTCCATGGATAGTACGCTCAACGAATATAGAAGTCGTCGGGCCTGGCGGAATGCTGTAACGGTTAAAGAAGGAAGGTCGCAATTGGGTGGCCCGCTGTGGCCCGCTCGTTGTCATTGGATGCGGTCAGGTTCGGAACATTGCTCATGTGAGCTGATTGGCCCCCGATCCAACCCGCGAGCGCGTTCGTCGTGTTGATTGGGTCACCGTGCCCTCCACTCATCTTCCGTTCTGTTCAACCGCGCAGTCATCTAGCTGCATCATCTCTGACGAGGAAAATTTCACTTTATTCTAGACATAACGTGCGTTAATTTTTCTCTGTGCTTGGAATGCCGGCGACAACAGACGTTTCATTGTTCACCAGAGTCCGGCTTCTGGCGATGACGTTTCGTTCGCTATATGCATGTCCAGTTATACCCATACAAGGCTCGCTCCTAGCGATACTGACCTGCTTTTAGGCTGTGCTAGGTTACACTTGACACCCTTGTGACTTCACTCCAAGCGAGGCTTGCGCCCCAACTTGCGCCTGGGTGTCACACGGTTCACGACAAGCTCGTACAGGCACTGGGAGAGAGATCAGTCTACACTGAATTGGGATAACTTCTTCACTTATTGGTACTGAAAGTCTGTGAGCACGAACCTGTCCTCCGAGGATCCTGGAATAACTCTAGCGAACTGGGTCCCCTCGATTGCGAGTCGCAGTCATCCTCGGGCTGTGTGTATGTCGGACCTCCACGGGAGTTGCGACAAGTCACTGATGCGAGCGAGCTCAATCGGACGAGATAGCTTTACGCTGACATGTTAAGGCATTTATCGGGCTAACTCAGTGTCGGCCGGTGGCCCACATTCCAGCAGCCTGAGATTCCGGTTAGAGCGTTTTCCCAGACACAGATGACTACCAAGACCGACCGTTCCCTCGTCTTTGACTATCTTTGCTCTAAAAGGTTCAGAGTCAAGTATTGGGTGTGAACTCTACGCGAGGTTCAAGACACTCACGGGGCTGAGCTCGTGTGGTCTTCGTTCAGCGGACTTCCGCGAGGTGCCCAGGTCCGCCAGAGGTGGCGCAGCGCCACAGTAATCTGTGTTGACAAGAAGCCGGCGGAAGGATAACGCGAGTGTTTTCGTGCGATGACAATTCCGCTTGTTCATTCTATTCTTGGTTCAACATCGCGGGTCGTGCTCGGTGTAGATGACGGCGTGTAAGAGCGGTCATCATCGCTCGCGGACGGTATCGGAAGGTGGCGCCTCTTGTGTTGTGAAAGGGATAGGGGCCTGTCGGCGCAGAACGGGCATGTGACGAACGACGTCGGGCGCAACTGGGTGGCCGTTCACGTTCAGCAGTAAGCCAGAGGCAAACAAGCGCGTCTCACATCTCATCCGGCCAACGTGAACGGCGAGTCTCTTTTGGCTCGACCAATCAGACGACCTATCCTATGGATCATAATATACCCCGCTCCTGCGCTCTATATAAGCCGTCCCTCACCCTCTCCATCGATATCACAACACTCTCACTCCCTTCAACTACTTCAACTTACCAACTCACCACCCAACCAAATCATCATGAAGGTCATTATCTTACTCGTTCATGAATATGTTAGTAGCCACTGATTTCGTGGATCCCAGGTCCTCGCAATCTTGTACTCTGGTGGGAAGCATGCGGAGGAGGAGTCCCGTCTCTTGGGCACGACCGAGAACCAGGTGTGTACCTTTACTATTGCTCTGCTGAATGCGAAGACTGATGCCTCTCTCTAGCTCGGTATCCGCGACTACCTTCAGTCCCAAGGCCATGAGTACATCGTACGTTCATTGGGCACGAACCCCCTATCCCCACTCAACCCGCCCTCCCTCCGTCTATGTAGGTCTCAGACGATAAGGAGGGTCCCGACAGCGTTTTCCAGAAGCACATAGTCGATGTAAGCATGATGGTCGCGATAATCGTGCTTCGTTCCATTCGCTAACCACCTCTACTCTCTGCGTAGGCCGAGGTCCTCATCACCACGCCCTTCCACCCAGGGTGAATACCTTTCCCCTGAATGTCTTGTGCATCACCAGCTCTTTCGGCGCTCCGAGTCTGACCTTGCTTATTATCCAGTTACCTCACCCGTGACCTCATCGAGAAGGTGCGTTTCATTGCTTCCGTCGATCCCGGCTTCCGGGGCCCCTTTCAAAGCGCACCTATTGGCAATTACCCCGCATTTGCATACTGACGTCAATCTTCTCTTCGTATCTCTTTCCAGGCCAAAAACCTGAAGATCTGTATCACGGCTGGTGTTGGTTCAGACCACATTGACCTCAATGCCGCTGTTGAAAAGGGGATTCAAGTGCTCGAGGTGAGCTTGGACAGTCCGTTCAACCTATTCGTTGTTTGAATGCTTTATCGCCCTCATAGGTGTCTGGTTCCAATGTTGTATCCGTCGCTGAACATGTTGTGATGTCCATTCTCCTCCTCGTCCGCAACTTTGTCCCTGCACACGAAGTACGCATCCTCTCCCTGCCTCCACATCTTGATCAATTAAACTAACGGCCCACTAGATGATTGAACGTGGTGACTGGCAAGTCTCAGAAATCGCCCGTAACGCCTACGACCTCGAAGGCAAAGTCGTTGGCACCATCGGTGCCGGCCGTATCGGCTACCGTGTCCTACAGCGTCTCCTCCCCTTCGACTGCAAAGAGCTTCTCTACTTCGATTACACGGCGCTCCCTGAGCAGGCAGCGAGGACCGTCAACGCGAAGCGTGTTGAGGACCTGAAGGAGTTCGTGTCGAAGTGTGATGTCGTCACTGTTAACTGCCCGTTGCACGAGGGGACGAAGGGTCTTGTGAATGCTGACTTGTTGAAGCACTTCAAGAAGGTACGTCATCGCTTTACTGTCGTCCATGACATATACGGATGTTGACTGCTTCTTCTTTCATCGTGTGAATAGGGTGCATGGCTCGTCAACACCGCCCGCGGTGCCATCTGTGACAAGGACGCCGTCGCTGCAGCCGTCGCGTCCGGCCAGCTCAATGGTTACGCCGGTGATGTCTGGAACGTCCAGCCCGCGCCCAAGGACCACATCTGGCGCACAATGAAGAACCCTCTCGGCGCCGGCAACGGCATGGTCCCCCACTACTCTGGCACGACTCTCGATGCGCAGGCTCGGTACGCGAACGGGACGAAGAGTATTTTGGAGAACTACCTCACGAACAAAGACCAGGAGCCCCAGGTGCGTTGTTTAAGTTTCGCGAATCTTGCATGTGTTAATCAGGCTTGTTATTTGCAGAACATCATCGTCGGCAAGAAGGGTTACGAGACCAAGGCCTATGGCCAGCGCTGAGCGGTTTTGTATCTGGTGTCGTTCGCAGTCTGCTTGCATGATATGTATGACTATGTAGCCGCCTGTCCGATTTGTATTCCAGCCCGGTCTCTTCGGGAGTATTGAATCTATCATTCGCAACTCGTCATTGACGTCGACGGATTCAGACCGGTGGTCAGAGGAGGGAGCTTCAACTTGGAGCATTTAGCGCATACAAAACGGAAGGAAGGACGATAAAAATGCAGCAAGAATAATGATACAACAGCAGTGAGCAAGTGAAGGGTGAATAGGTATGAAGATAGATAAAATATGGGAAACGGAGGAGGTGAGTACAAAGAGACACGTTGAGAACGATATCTCGAAACGACCACAGACATGTAATCAACCTTGTAAATGAAGATAAAACCCGAAAATGACACCATTATGACCGCCACGCGGCCTCGACGAAATTCCAAGCTTAACCACCTCTAGGGCCAGGGACATCTTCAACCGCTTGAGCCTCGTCTCTCAAGCCGCTCAATTCCGTAACCGGCTGACCAAATCCTTCAAGACCTTTTCCACCTTATTCGCATTCTTCCAGAATATCGATCCTTCGGCATTATATTTTCGACAATTATCGAACACAAGTTGCGCGTCAGCCAAGAAAGCCTCGAGGTTTGGGTATTGGTTCGTTTCGACCTTGATTTCCATTGTTCCGAAGTCTGTGTCGTTCAAGGGTTTGAAGATGAGCCATAGGGTGGGAATGCGAATTGAGAAGTGGGAAGGAGGAAAGAACGCACCCACAGGGTTCTTGATCACATCGTAGTAATCCGGTGCGTCGACTACGTTCACAGGAGCGAGGAAAGCCCAAGAACTACCGTGCGCTTGAAGTTCTGTTAGGAGGCGCTTCATGGTGCTCTTCTCTAGGTCCTTCGCGCTTGGTCGTGTCTCCCTGATGGTAGACGAAGAAACCAGATCAGTATCCAAAGTCTAAATGCTTGGGAGACGCAATCCGACGAGAGCGAACAGACCTGACGATCATGGATGGTGACCATCCGCTCTCGCCTGTCGAGTTAATTCTGGTCAGTACACACCCCAATCCAGAGACCAGATAAGAAGCAATAACTCACGCAACCCTGGTACATCCTTAGGATCAATAGGCACCACCTTCTCCTCATTTTGACCCACTTCCCCACCTCCTTCAACCGTACCCTCCCTTCTCACTTCAAACTTCAACCCTTCATAAACCACATGGCTCTTACTCATCTGCCTGATCTTCGTCAATATCGCCTCTCTCTGTTTCGCCACTAACTCCTTCGTACTCAGATAATCCACCTTCGGGAGCATGGTGCACTGCATGATCGTTCCTCCTTCGTAATCCTTGATGTAGCCAGCCCAGATGGACCGGTCGAGTGTGATTTCTTTTGAGAAGCCCTGTTTGCGGAAGTAACCGACAGCGTAATTGTCGGCGTAGGTCAGGAAGTGCATCATGTTCGGATAGGTCCGTTTAATGTGGGCCTTGAAGTGATCCATGAGAAGGCCACCGTAACCCTGTGCACAGTGGACGAGTAGGCATCAGTCGAGGATGAGGGACAAGGCGGATAGATATCAGAGGATGAACGGGACGGGAGAAGCAGAAGAGATAATGCAGACCTTCTCCTGATCAACGGAGGCCGTCGCAAAGAAAACGATCTCTGCGAACCCGCGATGCTCGAACGGTCGATAACAGATCCCTCCCACAACTTTGTATCCCCGTTTGCAGATGGCCAAACATTTTTGATTTGAATCGAAAACGAGTCTCGCGATATACTCTCGAGGCATCACGGGAAGTTGTTTCTGAAACAACGTCTTGAGATTGGTGAGGATGACGAGGGAGCGGGGTTGTTTGTCATTCTCGACTGGTAAGATCTGGATGACACCTCGCCGTAGTTCGATGGCGGACGTCTTCTCTGGTTTCACTGGGGGCTAAATTCGGAAATCGAAAGAAGAAGGAACGTAGCGGCGCCACATCCGTCAGTCAGTCAACTCATTCGATCCGAAAGGAGAAGGGCGTAGACTGAAGTGGAAGGGCGTGGAGACATAGCGGAACACTTACGGCCGTCGTAGTAGCGCTATCTGCCGTATCGACCGTTACGCCCGTAGCCAGTCGGTCTAGCTGTCCTTCGTCCAACCTATCCTCCACCTTGATCGTAGTTTCATGTCCATTTATCGGCTGGATCTCTCCATTCATCTCCGCTTGCACCTCTCCCGTCGGTGGCGCTATCGATGTCGGCGCTGTGTGCGCCTTGAACTTCATACTTGAAGTCTTTCCTCCTCTCCGTCCAGCACCATTTCCATTTCCTTTGGCCCCTAGAGCAGACGAAGCGGGCGTCCGGCCGTTCTCCACAGGCACGCGAGCCATACTCGGTGAAAGGTTGGAAATACGAGCAGCAAGAGGTTGGTCCTCTTCTGAAGCGTCGTTATCGTCGTCTTCGGCGTCACTGAGCGATGATTCCGATATACGGCGCCGTTTCGACGGAGGTGGTTGAGCACGCTGGGAGCCGCTCGCTTGTGATGATGGGGAGGATAAGGGTAGTTTGTTCTGTGACATGACTGTTTTGAAAGATGTGAACATGGCGTGTTGTAGTCGCGTCGAGTGTCGTCGTGTCGGCACGGAGGTTATTGTCCACGTAGCGAACCAGTTTAGATGGTGAGACGATCCGATGACAGTCGGAAACAAAGGAGAAAAACAATGGTGATGATGCAAGTCCGGAGCAAGGCAGTTTGATGAGCGTGTTTGCCGCGTGGCACAGAGTATATAGACACGGCGTTGCACAGGAAGATGGAATGTGTGTCACATACCTGGAGAAGCGCCGGCTTCTGTGAGTGGTGACGCCGCTACACTCGTCAGAGAGGGCTTAATCAACTGACGCAACGCGTCTACGTCTTCATCCCGATAATCAAAGTCGAGGAGGTGGCCTAGTTGCTGGATGCACAATGAATCAGTATCAGCATGAGATCCATCTATGAGGAGACAGGAGGCTAGCAAGCGAGTTATGATGCATGCTTCGGTGGGAGAGCGTGCGAGGTCGAACCAGCAAGAGGCGGTTAAGCTCCGCACGTGAAAAAGGCTTGGTTGCCACAGAGCTCCGAGCAGCAGATAGGCCTTCTCCACGAGGATATAGAAATTCCCGAGAATAGCCAGAGAATGATGACAAGGAACGCTGAAACCTACCTCGAGATGTTCGTCAATCCGCACGGCCAAAGCGGATCGTCGCGCAAACTCTTCCTCGCCAAGCACACTCTCATCGGCACCATGCTCCTTAACTCCATGTCCACACCTACACGCAGAAATATACGACCGCTCGCCATTCCCGCTTCCACTAGCACCATCTTCATCATCCGAACCATAGCCTACAAGGTCATTAACGAGCGCGGTCTCACGCTCCGAGCTATCATCGTCGCGAACGAGCTCGATGTCGGGTCCGGGTCGAAGTCCAGAGCAATTCTCGCAGACAAGACAGTTACAGTTTCTTGATATCTTTATGGAAGCTGCGTCGGGGTGGGCGGAGAGGTTATTAGAGGACGGGTAGAGTACCTTAGACATCAGAGCTACCTTTTGAATCCTTTACTCGAGAGCGCTTCACTACCTCATATCTTATCGCTTTCCACGTGCTCGATCTCTGTTAGGACAAATCCCTATTATCTCCGACGCCACACATCGCGTCGCCACGGATGTCGACCACAAAACCGACACGTAAGTTACCTCGTCAAACTCTTTTTTGTTAATCAACGCTGGGAAAGTCTCTCAAATTGTACATCGCAGACATAACAGCAGTGGTGTGAGAACGACTTCAAAAAGAATGGGTATGTGATACTGTCGTTGCAGTCAAAATCTCATACTAATGCAAAACATTCCATCTACGAACCCTCGACCTGACTGGTGTCACTAAGTAAGTCAGATGGCTCAGTAAGGTCCCTCATGCATACATACCAAGTTCAGAGGAGACGAGGGGCTTGAATATCTCTGGGCTTTCCTGATTTATGCATTACGAGATCGTGTTGTTCTCATCCTCGGAGACTTACCACACCGGAGGCACTGGCAGATACCAAAACCCTTCAGGCTTTCCTCTGTAACCGAGCTATGCAGACACCTTCGGGGACGGTTCTTGGCTGTGTGCGGTCCCGTTGACGGGAAAGCTATTACTATCACAACAACGTGCCTACTTTCACTCTGGCCAAATGGACCTAGGCGAAGGCTGTTCGGTTGTGCTCTTGCTCGCTTGGTATCTGATTCGCAGACCTTTGATACGACCCGTATGATCACTGTTATTTCGCCGTGCACAATTACTCTTGTTGCACGACGACCAGCTCCACAAGGGGATTGTGAGCAACGTGTGGTTAATGGGGGTTTACTACCAGGTGAGTAGCCTTCTATAAGCTTCGACTTGAGACTTTGCGCGCTCATTCTGACTCCATATCTGACCACTGATTCAAGCTCAGATACAAGCATACCTTTTGAAGGCCATATTTTTACGGGTGCCTCACGGGTGGTAACATGGGCAATTTATCAGGTCATGACCCCTCGTTGTTCCTGATGCGATGCATGTTTGGACATCTATTCACTCACTCCCCATGGAGGTCGGCCCAACATACCATTGCAGAATGTTGCTTGGATCCCAGGTTCATACCATCCGAGACATATTTTCATACTTAAAAAGTTGGTCATGCGGCTTTTCCCTGTGCGTGGACCGTGTCCTCGAATCTTAACCCGTCCTCGTGTAGACAGAAGTATACTCTTGGCTGTTGTGGTCCCTGTATCACCTCCATGGTTCACGTACCAAGTGATCCGCAATATTCCCGCTATCCTCCATAGGGCGTGGTGTCTTTGAATATCTGCCGTCCTCTTGTTCCGTGTAGAGAAAAGCCTGCCGCGTTTGTATTTGATTGGGCATAGAGGCAAGCCCGACACGCCCATCGTTATACGATTGTCCAATAAATAATGCCGATATATCACACACTTTTATGCGGCCTTTGCCTTTTGTCCTATCTGTGTATGATCCCGCGGGGGGGATTTGGCATTTTGATGGGTGGTGATTCATTCAAGGAACATGATGCACTGTCGTGTACTATTCTATTCTACTCTATTCTGATAACAGCAAGAGTACAAGCTGCTTAAAGCCGCGCATCGGCGTGTGCTCCAGCCTCGATACCATCGGTGACTCACCTTCCCGAAATGTCCAACTCTGCCGCAGCCTTGCAAGAGGTCATCTTCAAGAACAACCTATGGCAAGTACCTCTATTATGTACGCGGTATTTTCAGCCCTTGACTTCGCCATACACAGCATTATCACGAACTACACCAATCTCTCTGCGGCAGGTTCGTCCTGCACTCTCCTGCGTCCATTATTCATCACTTATCAGTCTCTGCTACACACAGTTTTGTGGATGCTGGATTATGTCCAGACCTTAGCGGATGAGATCAAGGTCGGTTGGTCAAATAAGCTGACCGCGACTGGAGCGCTATACTTCTTAAACCGTTACGCCTTCGGAGTATACCTCGCTCTAACACTGGCGATCGCCAGCCCTGGCTCTGCAACAGATGCAAGGTAAGTTCCATCGCGCCCATCTCTAGATGCATGAATAAACTAACACGGGGTTGAGCTGTAACACATTATTTATTGCCGAGAAAGCTCTAGACGTCGTGGTGATTGTCACCACCAACGGTCAGTCACATAAAATATATGCTTCGTCTTCGTGGAGACCAGCATTTTGACGCCCTGATACTAGTTCTATGTGCCCTCAGAGTTTATGCCTTGTGTAGGCGCAATAACGTCGTTTTGTACGTGGCATCGACTCTGATCCTCGCAAGATTTGGCGTCGATATCTGGGTAGGATCGTTTTACACAGATACATCTTTCTTCAGGACCTCAATCTTGACCATTTAGGAATGTTACTTATCTGCACGGATATCATCAGATGGAACCCAGTATGAGGACTTCTCCAGGTGCATCAGGGACCTCTCAGATGGTGATCTGTACGAGCGGTGAGCCTTGTTGTTGTTCCGTGCTCCTTGACATGACTGAAGTTGTTTCTTGTCTTATAAAGAGGTATGTTTCGTTTGGCATTCTATGTGTTCAATGATGACCTCCTGGCGTCTTTCTTTTGTACGCCAGCCGGAGTAGCCTCCATGGTCTTGACATTAGCCTTCAACGCCTTCATCTTCGGGATAACAGTCGTCCAGACGTACTGGCACACTGTGGAGATGCGCAAGTATGGCCAGACAAGCGTGACTGAGATTCTGCTTCGTGATGGTAAGCAGCTTTTCTCTCTAACCGTCAATCATGGCAGCTCTGACCAAGTGTGCAGGGATCCTTTATTTTCTGTAAGTTATTCGAGCCATATTTGAACTACATTGAAGATTGACTCCGACGGTGTGATCCCATAGAGTTGTATCCGCAGTGTCAGTCGCAGGTGTCTCTCTACATGTGGTGTGTCTGCGCTTTCCCGTGGTAGAGGTGTCTTACCTCAGCTGACAGACCCGAAATAGACTTCTATACTACAGGTTGGCAGCTCGGTCACGGGCTCTGCTTCCATACGCTCATAGCTTAGACCCTCACTCCATTTCTGCGTGTAGGGCGCCTCACACAACGCATCATTGTTAGCAGAAAGCCTCGCACCCTACTTTGCCGTGTGCGTTGGATTTCCCTCTGCGACTATCTCGTGAATAGTGAAGACGTGTCCGAGCTGAACAGCGACATGTATAGGCTTCCCAACCTTCTCATCAACCGCCTCTTCCTCAATCTTCGGTCATGGCATCTACCCCAGACTTACCAGGACTCCAAGCATGTCTTTGCGAAAGCCGAACTGCCGCTTACCCATTCAGAGGGCAGCATGGGTGCACCCCTCCGGGACTCGAATTGGTACAGCCTTAACTTTAGAAACGATGGACACAATCTGGAAAGCCATGTGATGGGGGTTGAGGAGGGTTCAGAGACGATAATGCTGACAAGAGCTGATGAATACTGGACAAGTATGGTCCCGGTGGTGAGCGAGTCTTGTTTGCGTGATCTGTAAAGGTGAACACTGAACGTTACTAGCTGCAGAGCCGCGACGGAGAGTATACAGGCCAAGGGAATGCTGACCCTACGATGGTGTAGACAAGGTACTTACTCAGCGACTATGATCTGTCTGACTTGTGTATGAAGGCTACTTTCCGTAAGAGCAACTCAAAATGATCGACGCAAACCACAACGCCGGCTCGGCAAGTACCTCATAGAACTCAACGCGTCGAGATATTAGGTTCCGCTCAGTCTCCAACCACACTAGTACTCTCGTTTCACTGCTGTACGAGTCTTGTCTGTATGATCCGGCTTTTCGGTGCAATATAGTGCTAACCATGTCGACAAGTTGAACACCTTCCACTGGTATGGTCCTGAGTATAACAGCTAGCACGTTCATCATTTCTATGCAGGATCGGCACGAACTCTCCACGCTAGTCCGTTCGCATTTGCATGAAGAACATTCACACAACCTATTCGACAAACTTCAATATTCTGTTCTAGCCGTCACGCCACATCTGGTGTGCCACCCGTGGTCTACCCGTCAACGAAATAAAGACAAACAACGTAAAACAACGCAAAACACTCGAACGGTTGTCGAACGGACTCGTGAAGAAGTCTGCTTGCTCTTGTCTTCTGTCAACACCAGTAACCTATCTATATGTACTCAGACGATAACTTGAACATCCTAGGTTTGTTTTGGCATAACCTATCTGAACGAAGAGTAGAGGTCACGCTTATCCGAGAGTTTGCTTGGCGCAACTTGGCAACACTCTACACTGTCTCTCGTCACCGTCACGGCTTCACATGTATTTTAACCCCTTGCGCACGGATAAGTTCTGCATACAGCATCACGGTGCTAAAATAGACAGCCAAAACAAAAAGAATGAATGGACTAGCGTCCTCGAGCACCAGAAGTGATGGCCTGGCGCGATTACATTGTCTAGAGCCCGAACCTTCGAGACAAGCATCTTACCCGTCGCACTTAATCTCGTTTCGACCCAAAGCTTTCATGCAGCATCCAATGTCACCTTGCGAACACTATGTTACGATCTACGGTATGTCGACTGTTTCTCATATGCGCAATGGCTCCTCAGGTTATATGTGGTCTAAAGCGTTCTGATGCCTGTGGGCCGCTGAAGGTACATATTTATATTCAGCGTATCGTTGGATCTCCATTGTCTTGCTCGAAATTTGGTCTCTCTGCTAGCTCTACCACTAAAATCTAGATCGCGTCATCTTTTTCCAATGTCGCAGAGGCAGCCTCGCCATTTTCTTCGTCAGCAACTCATATATATATGCACGGCTCAGTCAGCTCAATAACAGTCAGCATCGCATCAGGGGGCTCTTATAATGGCCCAACCTTGATTCCACGCCCCATACTGTCCTGAGTTGACACTCGCAGATACTCTTGATTTCTACTCCATGTCACCCATTCGTGTCGGTTTGATCGGTCTCTCTGGCTCGCCGCCCGACAAATATCAGGGGACTGGCTGGGCTGCTTCCGCACACCTACCTTACCTTCTCGACTCGGACGCATACACCCTCGCCGCCTTGTGCAATACCTCTGTAGAGTCAGCCAAGAACGCGGTCAAGTTACATGGCTTACCCGAATCTACGAAGACATATGGTAGCGTCGAGGGTATGTTCTCCGTTGCATCTCTTTGGACCGGCAAATTTTGTTCTGACGCCGTTCACACTGTCCCCCAGAACTCTCCGCCGATCCTAACATCGACCTCGTCGTATCATGCGTCCGCGTAGACAAACACTACCCGACCACCGTACCCGCCCTCCGTGCTGGAAAAGCGGTCTTCACCGAATGGCCACTCGGAGCCAACCTGGACGAAGCGAAAGAGATGACCGCCATCGCGAAGGAACGACACGTGAGGAACTTCGTGGGCCTCCAAGGGCCATTTTCACCCTTGATCAGGCGGGTTAAGGAATTGGTGGATGGTGGCAGGATCGGTAAGGTCCTGAGCAGTACGTATGCCGCTGCTCCGGGAAATGGAGGGGCCACGGAGAAATGGACCGTCGATTATTTTACGACGAGGGCGGTGGGCAGTAATCCTGTTACTGTAGGCGTGGGGCACGCTCTGGAGTACATTGAGTACAGTGAGTAGACGCACCCACATTCGTCGTGACTACCGTCCATCAATCCTCACTCCTCGCTGACTCTAACCGCACAGTCCTCGGCCGTATCGAAACTTTCGATAGCCTTATGCTCAATGGCCATCCCATAGTCGACATCATCGCGCGTGACGGGTCCGTCTTCGAGAAAGGACGCAAAAAGGATGTGCCCGACCAAGTCATGTTCCACAGCAAGACCTCCAACGGCGCCCTCTTCTCCTTCTACTTACGCGGCGGACAGCCCTTCCCCGGCACCCCCGCTCTCGAGTGGCGCATCCACGGCTCAACCGGCGAGATCCGAATCACTTCGCCCGCCACGTTCTTGAATGTCGGACATCCGGAGAGTAAGATCGAGGTGCATGACCAGAAGACGCCGGGGCGGGTTGAGGTGGTGGACCCTTTGGAGGACGAGCTTGGACATTTGGGGTTGCAGGCGAGGAATATTGGGAGGATGTATGAGTTGTATGTGAGGGGTGAGGAGGGAGGGTATGATTTTGAACATGCGGTGGAGAGGCATCGGTTCTTGGACGAGTTGTTCCGTCGATACGACGCACAGGCGTAAGGTCTGAGATTGAATCATCTCGCCAGATTGCTGGTTCGAAATATACGTGTACAGTAGAGTAGATGATAGTGACCCAAGAATGCTATATCCATATCTTGTGCATGGTAGTCTTCCTCCCCACATCAAACAAGTATCAACCTCCCCTTCCGGCCCTAGGCTCTCTTACGAGTATCTCCGATATTCCTTGACAACGACAACAACCTCGTATCAACTCGCTGGGCATGACAGACGGGCATATGCGTGCGAGAACATCGCACAACGTGCTATTTCATCCCGGAAAAGACGAGATGTCCGGAAAGTGTACTTGTGGCGTCACAGCAAACTCTCCGCTGAAAATCACAAACAAAAAACCGGCCAACCATATTACGATTAAGATATAAACAATTGTAGCAATGACCGTCACTGTAACTGTAACTGTAGCTGTACCACGCAGTAAAAAAAAAACGGTATCGGACGAACGAAACAAAACGAAACAAAAAAACAATGTATGGATGACTGAGTGAGTAGAAACGTAACAACAGCAGTTGTGTAATGTGTACCAAACCAAGATGACCGTGGGTTGCGCGACGTAACCAGCCAGTGAATGAATGAATTATAATGATCATGAACGGACAAGACTGATATGAATATGAATGGGGTCGCAGTCGCAGAAGGATGAATTATGTACTTGTTGAGAATGAGATAGAACGGACTTGGGATAAGTGAGTAAGTAAGTAAATAACCGATTGAAGGAAGGATCCGATCCATCCATGTATGTGCATGATCCCTACGAGACTGGTATAACACCGACTTGAGATCCAGAAAGCATACACCCCCTCCCCCCTCCCGCCCTCCCAAATACCCTCCCTATATCATATCACCTCCACCTCTCCACCTCTCCACCCCCAATCCCCACCTCACTCTACTTCCTAGCCTCCCTCCCCACCCCCTCCCTCATAAACTCCACATAAGCCACCAAAAACTTGACCTGCTCATACGTCTCCACAGCTTTGAGGCTCCTCCGCCTCCTCACCACCGAGATCACCCTCTCCACCAGCCTGAGCGCGTCTTTCCGTACGCCCTGCTGTCGCAGTTTGTCGCTCCAGGTTTCGTTTATGTCCGTTGTTGGAGTTGGAGTTGGAGCGTCCAGAGTGGGGGGAGACGGAGCGTCGACGTCCATGGAGGACTGCGAGATAGACGTCGGCGTAGGCGTAAGTGCATTTCCAGTTGACCCCCTTCCCCTTTTCCCACCGATCCCACCTACCCCACCCCCACCCCCATTCGTCCCATTCGCATTCGTCACAGCACCCAACCACCCACAAAGCCCCAACCTCAACATCCAACAACACGCAATCAACCCCGCCCTCCCCACCCCACCTCTACAATGCACGAGCACATGCACGCCGTTCAACGTATATGTTTCGATGAGGCGGGTTAGGTGGGTGTCGAGGGAGGAGGGGGAGAGGGGGGCGAGGCCTTCGGGGATTGGGATGCTATGGTCGGAAGGGGGGAGGGTAGGAAAGGTTCATGAATAAATGGATGGGTGGATGTGGGTGGAGGGCGGAGAGCACGTACCGGAGAACATCAAGTCCCAATTCCGCCGCCGCGACTGAATACTCGTCCCACGGCGCGCCCAAAAAACCAAGTTCGTCGTCGTCCAAGCAACTACACCCCCCAATTCAACCAATTCAAAAATCAAATGAGTCAATATCCCTCGGACGCAAACGGCTCAATATCCCTTGGACGCAAATGGCTCAAAAGTACCGAGACCCAACGGCTCAAAAGTACCGCGCCGCAATAACTCAAGAGAAAGAGAAAGAGAAAGAGACTGACCAAACGACACATCCCACCCCCATCTCCTTCATCCTATTCAGATCCTGCTTCACGTCCCTTCTCACCGTCCCGCGTCCGCGAACGGGGCCGTTCAGTCTCACTGCAGTCCAGGAGTAGCGATCAGTACTCGTAAACCGTGAAGAAAAGACGCGTGTGATTGGATGCCGTGGTTGTGTGGTAATAGTGGATGGCAAAACGAGAGATAGCAAAACACACCTTTCTTCCCCGGACACGAACTCAAGAATAAATTCCCCACCAACGGCGTCCCCGTCCCCATCCCCGTCCCCGTCCCTGTCGTTCCCTCCATCAACTCGTCCCCATCCCGCTCCCGCTCACACTTCGCATCCGCATCCGCATCTCCCTCCGTATCATTCAAGGATGTGGGTGTGGGTGTGGGTGTGAACTGATAAGGCGGCGGCGGCGCAGATTCGGACGGTGATTCGGGGATGGTGGGTACACTAGGGACTATACTCGCGCCATTGACATTACCATTGCAGCTGCTGGCTTCATGATCGGCAGGCGTAGTGGCTGCATGTTGCAGTTTAGGCCTCTGTGGTACGGGTGGTTGATCCCCCGCCTCGTGCTCCTGTTCGGCCTCGCCTTCAGGTGCGGCGAGTGGCTCGGATGCAGTTAATGGATCCGTAGGGGGGAGTGTGCGTTGCAGTTGGGATGGTGGTCTGTGATGTAATGTAAGGTAACAGCGGTGTAAGTATGGGTATGGTGTCGTCGGTGCATTGTGAAATTAAGAAGGGCAAACGTACCTCGCATACGGATACCTAAACATACTCAACTGACCTCCCATCCCCATCGCGCCACCCATCCCCATCCCCTCCTTCCCCCCATCCCCATTCCCCTTCCCCCCCTTCCCCACCTTTCCATCCCCACCACCATTCCCATTCCCACCTCCACCCAACCCCAATCCCCCACCCCCCTCCATCATAGCCTTAAACACAACCGGCGGCGCCGAGAACGTCCGATCATGTTTCCCCAAAAAGGCAGGTGGCATTCGACCGTGTTGATACATGTTCATGTTCATGTAATGTTGGGTATGGTCCGCTGTGGCGAGGATTTCGCCTAGGATGTCCATTTTGCCGAAGGAGAGGGGGGGGATTAGGGGGAGGTGGGGGGCTGGGGCTGGGGTGGGTGATGGGGTGAATGTTTTGGGGGGGTGGGTGGGAAGCTGAGGAAGGGGAGGCCGGGGGAGGGTGGAAGGAGGGAGGGGAGGGGGAGGCATGGATGAGGGGGTGATTTGCGTGGGTTTGAGATTGGATTTGAGAGGGGAAGGGGAGGGTTTGGGGTTTGGTGAGTGTGCTGAAGTTTGGGATCGTGTTCGCTGTGGTTGTGCGATTCCAGGTCCGCACGGGGTATGTTTTTCGATATCGGAAGCGAGTGCAGCTCGGAGCGCGAATTGTACGGATGTTCTGTTCCATAAAAACTGGGATGTTGGACAGTCGCCGGTCTCTTTCGGGATCGAGGTATCTATTGGGTATATGTTCCGTTGTGGAGGTGGGGGAGGTGGTGGGAATGAGGGTTGACGGGGGAGGGAGGTGGTGGAGGGGCTGTAGGCGGTGAGTCTGTCGAGAGAGAAGGCGGGGTGGATGTCGAAGAGGGTGGGGTTGGGTTGTTTGGAGAGGGTGAGGTGGAGGGATATAGTGCCGAGTAGCTCGGAGGGTATCATCATGGAGACACTGTATAGGTATAGAATGTAAGCATTGTGGTTATGAATGGACAGAATAGAACGCGAAAAGGACACGGACTTGATAGGATGCGATTCGGAGGTCTTGAGCTGAGGCTCGCCGTTGCCCAAGAAGAAGACATTGACGGGGGTGAGTGGAGTGTCGATGGCAGCAGAGAGATCGAGGGAGAGATCTGGAGAAGCTGTTTTGAGGGTGACGGGCGTGTCCGAGTGGACGGTTGGCAATTCGCTGTCAGTGCTAGCGTGGGCGTCGATGACAGGTGCTCCTCCGATTGAGGGTGGCAGGAGAGGATGTGCGCGTTCGCAGACCCACCACGCCTGCTGGTCGCGCGTGAAGATGAGCTGGCGGTCGCGGAGCTGTCTGAAGTGCTCGGGGACGTGGACGGAGAGAGGGATGTAGGTGAGCGGCGAGCCTGGACGCGAAGGGTCAGCGGAGGCACGTCCACGAAAGGAAATGGAGAAGACGAACCAGCCGGACCAAACTTGGCCTGATGGTAGTCGCTGTAGTGGAATTGTGATGCGAGATGCATCAACTGCCGACGTGAATGCGAACATGAGCCTGCTATTTTCCGTAAAATGCAAAGAATGGAGTAATAACCTGTGCGGCGAGCCTCTGTTCGCGGTACGTTTCCGGGCTGAGCTGCTGGTGGAGGGTGCCATTTGTGTTTGTTGGGTAGAGAGCGTCTTGGTCGTGTCGCGGGAGGGGCTGCGGGGGAAGGGCAGAGAGCATCTGTGCTGTGGCCGACGAAGGCGTCGAGAGCGAGCAAGAGAGCCGAGGGCGGATTGGCTACAGCAGCCGTCGCTTTCGGAGTCTGTAAATGTGTAGTGATCTACATTGGGAAAGCCCGCCCAAGCCTCGGTTCATCCCATCATCCCTCCCGCACAACGCCCGCCCCTTCCACCTCACCTTTCTCTTCCTTACCATCCTCGTCGCCGTCGTCGTCGTCGTCGGCCAGCCCCAGCACAACATCCAGCTCTGTCCTTTCCTTAATCTCGCGCCTTCACTGGCACGAGCGCCGACCGTCAGTCTCTCCTTCTCTACATGGCCGTACGCTACGACACCAGGGACGTCCCCGTACCAACAACAAGAATGGGTGGCATCGGCACCACCATCAAACGTGCAAAGACCCTCACCCGCCCAGAGCGCAGCGTCGCAGCTCCCCCACTCATCAACCCACAGGGCATCGCTCCCGCACCCACCGGCGTCGTCGTAGACTCGGGCGGATTCGACCCCTGGACCTTCTTCTCCAGAGTCCTTACCTTTTGGGCCCCCGCCGTCGTCCTCAAGTCGCTTGGTCTCAAAGACAAGGTGACGCGCCAGGCGTGGCGCGAGAAGATCGCCCTCTGTTTTCTCATCGCAGTCGCATGCACCGTCGTCGGCTTCGCCACAGTCGGCCTCCAGAAGGTCCTCTGTCCAGACACCCAGACTCTCTCCACCTCCCAGTTCGTCTCCCTCGGTGCAACCCCAGGCACGCTGGGCATCGCAGGCTGGGGTTACAACGTCACCAACTCAAAGTCAACAGACTCCGAGAACTTCATCTCCCTCTCAGCCGCCACTCCCGGCCAGGACATCACCACTCTCTTTACCCGCTCTGCTGCCGACTTTTCCGAATGCACCTCTCTTTCCTTCCGCGTCGCCGTCGATGAACCCTGTTCAGGCTCCAACAGTTGTCCCCTCGGCAACCTCAATTCCTCCTCCACATTCTCCGACCTTAACCTCGTTAACATGTCCCTCTCTATTGGTTACGACTGGGATCAAGTCTACAACCTTACGAACTTCATTGTTTTGGATGGCCATGTTCTCAATCTTCAACCTTACTTCAACCTTCACAACAACGCCATCACGGGTGATGATGTAGACCTTGCTCTTCGCGCGCTCATCTCCACGAACTCCCGTGATGGGACCAGGCTCTTCGTGAACAAAGCGAACCTCAAAGCGGCCATCCCTTGCATGGTCCAGCGCTACGGTGCTGGAAACATCGACAAGATCACCCCTGGTTGCTTCGTCTCCCAACTCGTCCTCTACGCCGGTCTCATCGTCATTCTCGGTCTCGTCCTCATCCGCTTCGTCATGGCCTGCATCTTCAACTGGCTCCTCTCCGAGCGTCTCGCAGGCAACCCGGACAGCACCATCCTCAACCGCTCCGCCATCAGTCCCGCCGTGATGCCAGAGGGCGCGAACATCTCGATCGACAACAGGACGGGAACGGCGCCCTGGGCAGGCCCGGGAGGCACGAAGAAAATTACAAAAGCGAATAACAAGTCGGCCAGGTCCATCAACACCGCATCGAGCGTGACGCTCGCGAGCCAACAGGACGCTCAGCCCATCATGTCCCTGGCTCAGATCGGTGCAGAACTGTTCGCGGTGTGCCTGGTGACGTGCTATTCCGAGGGCGAGGAGTCGTTGAGGACGACGCTCGATTCGATATCGACAACGACGTATTCGGACGCACGTAAGTTGCTCTTCATCGTCGCGGATGGGATGATCACTGGTGCGGGCGAGAAGAGGAGCACGCCGGATATCTGCGTGGGCTTGTTGGAGGCGGATCCGAGGTTTGGAAACCCGATGCCGATGTCATATGAAGCTGTCGGGTCTGGGTCAAAGGCACAAAACCGGGCGATGGTTTATGCTGGACATTATAGTGCGTCGATTTTCCCTCTGTCATCTGGGCGTTCGCGCTGAACATGCGTGTGTGTGTATGTGTGTTTCAGCCGTCGCTGGTGCACGGACGCCGACTGTCATCGTCGTTAAGTGTGGCACCGAACAGGAAGCCGCGACAGAGAAGAAGCCTGGTAACCGTGGAAAGCGGGACAGTCAACTCATTCTCATGAACTTCTTCTCTCGCGTTACGTATAACGACCGGATGACGCCACTCGATTTCGACCTCTTCCGCAAGATCCACGTCTTGATGGGTGTCACGCCTGATTTCTTCGAAGTCTGTCTCATGGTGCGTCGCGTTCGAGGATTCTTCATATAGACATGCTCTAATTTGAATGTGAACAGGTTGATGCCGACACGAAAGTCTTCCCCGACTCGCTCAGATACTTGGTCAACTGCATGCACCACGACCAGATGATCATGGGTGTCTGTGGCGAGACTCGTATAGCGAACAAACGACAATCATGGGTCACTGCCATCCAAGTCTTCGAATACTTCATCTCCCATCATCTCGCGAAAGCGTTCGAGGCCGTCTTCGGCGGTGTTACCTGTCTCCCAGGCTGTTTCTCCATGTTCCGACTCAAAGCACGCAAAGCCTCAGGCGACGACTGGATCCCGCTCATCATCAAACCTGAAATCGTAAAGGAATACAGCCAAAGCGAAGTCACGACCCTACACCAGAAGAACCTCCTCCTGCTCGGTGAAGATCGATTCCTGACGACCTGTCTCCTCCGCACGTTCCCCAACCGCAAGATGATGTTCCTCCCCCAAGCCCGTTGTCGTACCGTCGTTCCCGACACCTTCAGCGTCCTGCTCTCCCAACGTCGCCGCTGGATCAACTCCACGATTCACAACCTCATGGAACTCGTCCTCGTCCGCAATCTCTGCGGTACATTCTGTTTCAGCATGCAATTCGTCGTCTTCATGGACCTGCTCGGAACCGTCGTACTCCCCATCGCCATCTCGCTCACGTACCTCCTCATCGTCTCATCTGCCCTGTCACCACCGAAATCGTTCGAGGAGGCGATTCCGCTGGTGTTGCTTGTTGCGGTGCTGGGTCTGCCGGCGGTGCTGATCATGATTACGACGAGGAAGGTGGTGTATGTGTTTTGGATGTTGATTTATTTGCTCGCTTTGCCGGTCTGGAACTTGATCTTGCCACTCTATGCGTTCTGGCACTTTGACGACTTTTCGTGGGGAGAGACACGGTGCGTTTTCTATTCTATTCTTACTTCTTCTTCCAGATCTTACTGATGATCTTTTTTGGTTTGATGGTTGGGGATGCCAGAAAAGTCGAGGGCGAGGCGAAAGATACAGGTCACGGCGAGGGTAAAGGTAATGTCGGACACGCAGTGCCCCTCCGACGCTGGGAAGACTGGGAACGCTCCCGTCTACGCAAGATCCGTCGCGAAGAACGCCGCCGGCGCGATTTCGAGCGCCAACACCCCTCCGGTTTCATCACCGGCGACGGGACGGAGTACCTCGGTGTCGGCGCTGGCGGTGGTAGCAGCAGATACGACACGCGGTCGCAGTACGACGGCTCCGATACCGTCTCTGTCGCCTCGTCCGACGACGACCAGTGGGGGATGCAGATCGGGGAGTATAACGAGAATAATGCGAGATATCCGCCGCCGCCGACGGGATTGCATTCGCTTGCGCAGAATAGAGATAAGTTGGATCATGCGGAGACGGTGGGTGCGGCGGATCTGGAGGCGATGTTGGATCAGGGGTGGGACGAGGAGGAGAATGGGAGTTCGAGGGGGGGTTCGAGGGTGAATTCGTCGGATCGACTGGCTTCGTCCGTACTACAAAATGCGCCGAGGTATCAGCTTAGCGATGGCCCGCCAGCGAGGGGGAACGGGAATGGGAATGGTCATGGAGGGTATGCGCCGGTTTCGAGAGGACAGCATCCGTCGGTGCAGAGCCCGGTGTCGCCTGTGAGGCCGTCGCATGGGATGAGCTCGGCGGTGGGTGGGGATTGGAAGACGCATGTGAAGAGGAGAAGTGGGGGGAATGGAGCGGCGGACTATGGGCCTTTGGGACCGTTGGATCCCGATTCGAAGTTCTGAGCCTTCTGTTTTTTTCTCTTCTGTGAATTTGTTTTTGTTCTTTTACATCGCGCAGATGGGGGGGCCGCTGTTGTTTCGCTTTTTTTCTTTCTTCGTTTCCATCTGGCGTGAGGAAGGACATTTTCTTCTCAGTTTACACTCGTTTGTTCGATCACGCACAGCACAGCACGCACGCACAACTTCACACACTTGTTTCTTCCACTCTGGCTTGTTTGTCACCTTTTGTTGACTGTTCCACGCTTTCTTTTTAAGTTGTTGCGTCACTATACCCCAACCCAACCCCTTTTTTCGACAGCTCTGTCTCCTCCTTCCTATGATGTTGTCTGCATAGCATGGAGGATAGCCTAGTGTTGCGTTATAATGTCTACCTAAGTCTCATAAGCCACTCACTCTCACTCACTCCCTGCAATCATGTTCTACTACGCGCCCACACGACGTCTTTTTTTTTGCTAGCCCCAACGTTCCGTTCCATCATCTACCACAAGTCAATTCGGATCAACCCTGTTCCTGATCTTCATCTACTAAATATTGTCAGACTCTGCCGCACCTCTCCGATCCTCCTATCACGTTACACAACTCCCTTCCTCTCCTTTGAGATTGACCTTGGTTTTTTTGATGATGACTGTCCTCTGTTCACCGTTCACCGTTCACCGTTCATGTCTCTTCACTTACCCATCCACCCATCCGTCCCCTCTATTCTTTAGGACCTAACAGCTAGCAGCAATAAAGTCGGAGAAGTACATACCATGGACGCGTTTACATAAAGTTGAATATTAGCCTTCCTTGTCCTTGTTTCCTTGTCTCCTTGTCCTGTCCCTACCTTGTCCCCACGAATCCGATATCAAGGATGTCCATCTAGGCGTCATTATTCTCTCATACTTGTTCGCATTCCGTGAGGTGCCTGAGGTTCCTCCAGTCCATACTCGTTACTCAATCTTGTTTCGATTGCATGTTGCATATCATTTCTTTCTCTCTCTCTCTCTCTCTTGAGTATATATATAGCACATAGATAGCCTGCAAATTTCTTTTACTTGTCCGAGATTGTCTGATCATGAGTATCGGGAAGTTGAGGGTTGGAACGCTGAAGTTATCGTTTATGTTCGTTGGACATTCACGAGACACTGTAGCTGCAAGTGTTCAGTACTTCGACGTCGTCCTTTCTCGTCTATATTTCTTGGGTCCATTTTCCACAGAAAGTGTCAGAGGCAGAGGTCAACCTTGAATATTCGACGGGCAACTTGATCGAAGATGGTTCGAGCGCCATTCTGCCGGCACCGTGTTTGAATTTCCCCGCGCTCGGGTGGCACCGCCGCGGTTCGCACACTCACTTCGCCTTGTGAGCTCGGTCTCCCTTGGCACGCTCCTGACATTCTCCTCGCAGACGACCACGTACGACGAGGAAATACCTGGATTATATCCCTGACTCTGAATTGCACTGTTCAGATAACTAATATCTGCCTTCTTGACGCCGCTCGCCACGCCGTAGACTTCCATCATCATGATCATGCCGCACTGGACTCTTTCGTTAACCTCGCTATTCGCTATCGGCTGTGCCGTCTTTCCCGCTCAAGTGTCTTCCCAAGTCGTACCCGCCTCATCCGCAGCCTCTCAGTTCTCACTCGGCTCAAGCACATCTCTTCCCTTCCCCACCGCCACACTCTCCAACAATGACGCCCAAACCTTCCTGAACTCTGACTGGGGCCTATCCAAAGGACGGATTCAGAACGGAGCATCAGACCTCACGTTCGTCTCCGATCCTTTCCCGAACAACCCGGTTCCTACGTCTTCTACGGGAGGCGACACTACCAACACTTCGAGTCCGGTTCTGCAGGTCGATTATGCGAAGGGAAGCTTCTCGGACGATGACAGTGGAGGTGCGCAGATGTATGCGCTTTGGAACGCGAGTGGGGATGCGTGGGAGAGTATGATGGTTAGTTATGAGGTTGCGTTTGATGAGGGGTTTGATTGGGTGAAGGGGGGGAAGTTGCCGGGGTTGAGGGGGGGGAGTGCGAATGGGTGTTCGGGAGGTAGTCAGGCGGATGGGTCGGATTGTTTTAGTACGAGGATTATGTGGAGGACGGATGGGGAGGGTGAAGGTGCGTCCATTTTATGGCCCCCACTTGTACTGGGTAGAGTGGATCGGTTTGTGCTTCATGCTGATCAGGGTGTGGCTGCGCGAAATTTACGCCACAGTGTATGCCTATATACCCAAACCGAACGATATTTGCGAGAATGCGAATGTTACGTGCAATGACGAGTTTGGTGCGAGTATCAGCCGGGGCGTATTCAGTTTTGCTGGTGGACAGTGAGTATCTGGACTCTTTATCTTGGTCAACATTGAACGCTCACTGCACTTCTTCACTAGATGGAATCGCGTCACCCTACTCGTACGGATGAACAGCCCACTCAACACGACGAACGGGCAGATCGTTGTCTAGTCAGTTTTATGTGCTTGCTTCGTCGCTGGAAGTGTTTGTAGCTTACCAACCTCTATATGCAGTTACAACGACATCGAGGTAATCAATCAAGCCGATTTCCAGTTCCGCAATGACAGCTCCCTCACGCCTGGTGGCTTCTATTTCTCGTGAGTGTACCCATTTGTCCCGTATGCTATATCACTCATTGATCGCTCATTCACTTCCATAGAACATTTTTTGGCGGTACGATTCCGCTACATTTCCTTTTTGGTGGAGTCTCCTCACTCACCTACGGTGACTTTTCCGTCGAACACAATCAGGCGATGATTCTTCTTGGGCCCCCTCGAGCGACGTACACTCTTACTTCCGCAATATACAAATGTGGGCAAGTACATCAGCATCAGACCTCGAAGGAGCTACCGTCAGCTCGACCGCTTCACGACTCATACCATTCGCAAGCTCCGGGAGCTGGATGCTATGGATAGCATGTCTATGTATCGCTGCGGCTATAGGTTTTCCTATGTGAACATCGCTACGAACACGCAGAGTATTCTGGATCAATATGGACTTGGATTGTTTGTACATCATTAGTAAGAGAACGAACACATCATTGTGAGACTCGTTCGTGTTGTGCTGGTCGATCTCCATGGGATTTTTGTAATGGACTGGGACAGTTGCCTGGCACATATTATCGCTTTTGTATTCTATTTGAGCCCTCGCATGAATCAGTACTGACCCTAAAGTGTCTCGTCACTCCTCTGATCGGAATTCCCCGGCGAACACTGTGCGTTTTTCTTCCAACTTTGTCCCTCCTCACTGCCTTATCTCTGCATTTCATTTACATACATAAGGATATCAATGGCACAGCTCACAGGCACTGTCCATAGAGAGTTGGTGTGGTCTTCACCCTCATCGCTGGCAGGAATTATTTCTGATGATCCTATTACACAATCCTTGAAGGCAGAAACTTAGGTAGTAGTACGATTCCGACTTTGACGTGTCGTTATGCTCTTAGACCTTGACGAATACTACTACCATCACCTTCGCTGGCAATACCGACCCTATGACCTCCGAACGTTGTGTACGCACACAATGGGGTTCAGATCGCTGATGCCACGTAGAATGCGCCCATAGCATTATGCACCTGATTCGGTTGTGCGAATGATTGTCGTGAAGTCACTCGTTCAATATCACGACGTTGCATGTGTGTCTTTGTGAGGCAGATGGCAAGAACGCATGAAACGCTACTGTTCGCTGCGATCTGGTCGCGTCCGGAATTGTGGTGACGGTTGACGGTGACGGTGAGTGGCGTAGTCTTCATCGTCAATAGGCCATCGCAACTAAATCTGCTTACATATCCCCAGCACGCAGCTGGAACGTTTACGCCTTTTGTTTACTTTCAATTCTAAAAACGTCGATTTTTGCGGCTGAGATATACCGGGATGCGAACAAAGGTCACGCAAGACCGGGGAGCGTACATCGTTCTCGCACGAAGTTGGCGGTTGAGTCGTTGTTTCTTTCAGTCTTGTAGAGACTTCATCATACCAAGAATCTTCCGCTGATAAATTGACCGTAGAATGAGCCGTCGTAAGCAACCCAATCCATTGGTGGAGAGAACGCGGTGTACGTTTTCCTTATGCTTTGGGCCCATTTGGACTCGCTCACTTCCCTCTGAACAAGGCTTCGCTTCACATGTCTTTCTTGTACGCGGCGAATGCTCGCGTTCTATTTTGGTCAATTGATGCATTTCGCTCCCGACACCACCAGTGGGCAGCACAGGCCGGTTATGACGATCAACGAACTACTCCACGACCATACCTGCATTGCATGTGCACCTCCTTACGTTCCGCAGTCCCCCACAACGATGAATTGTTCGGTCTTACAGTAAGCTGCCATTGCGCCAGCGTCTACTCGGTGGTGAAGCATATATAAAAGAGTGAGTCGTTGGAGCGGTATCATTCACCTCTGTCTCGGACATTCGACCAGCTATATTACTTGACCTCACTCCCTACTACCCTTGACACTCTTTGAAGATGCAGTCCTTCTTCCTTCTCTCCCTCGCCCCTGCGGCAATGTTGGCTACTGGTGGTATGCATTATCAGCATTTTACAAAGGTTCTGGCCACTGACAATAGTCACCTACAGCTGCGGGGTTGGTTCCTCCTGTGGCAAGGCGTCAATTTGAGAGCACCTCCGCCAGCGTGGTATGTCCACCCACACTGTATATCGATTTTTTCTGCTTACATATCGTGGGTTTTACTTCATAGATCACTTCGATCTCCGCGTCTGCTTCAGGATCGGCGTCAAGCTCCTTCGCATCGGGTGCCTCGTCATCCGTAGCCACTGGTTCGGCGTCTTTCTCCATCAACGCCACCGCCACCGCCAGCTCTTCCTTCTTCTCCGTCACTCCCTCGTCTAGCTTCGCCGTTTCTGCCACAGAGACCTTTGCCAGCACGACCACCGTCACCGTGTCTCACTGCGCGACAGCATCTGCCACAGCATCTGGAAGTTCGTTCCCCTTCACGATGTCTTCCTTCGATCCCGTTCCGACTTCTCTTTTCCCTGACCCATGGGGCAACTGCAGCCCTGGTACTCCCAACCACCGCCCCCACGATTGTTGGCATCCCCATAACGGGACCGAGAGCGCTACGCTCTCTGTTTCTGCATCCACGTCAAAGGTCAGCTCGTTCAGCGTGCCCGGCCCCACCACCACCGCTGTGTCGAGCTTCTCCGGCTCTGCCTTCCCATCGAGCTCCGCTATCTCTTCCAGCATCATTATTTCCTCGGCTTCGTCGAATGGAAGTGTCAGTTCTTCTACCGGTTTGGCGTCGGCTTCATCCTCCGCTCCCAGTGTTAATGCCACCTCGACTGCCACTGGAAGTATCTCTATCCCGGCCAATGCCACTGGTACCATCATCTCCACGTCAAGTGCCGCCGCTACTGCTACCTCTTCCTCCCCCTTCAACATCACCACTACCAACATTGTCACCGCCACGGGATCATCGTCTGCCATTGCATCTGGGACCCCCGGAGCAGTCAAGACGGTGACGGTCTATCTTTGCCCGACCGCGACCGCGAGCGCGTCGTCCAGCGCACTTCCATCCATCAGGCCGACCTCCTCGGCGTCGATCGTTACGTCTGTGCCTGTCGCTTCGTCGTCCATTCTGGTCACGTCGAGTGTCAGCGCAGTTTCGGGGACGGCGACGAGCTCGTTCGTTTCTGCCAGTATTGGCAGTGTCACGGTGACCTCGTCTGCTGTGGCGTCCGCTTCTGCGAGCAGTTTGTAGAGATGAGCAGTGAGCGCATAGGAAGATGTCAGATGGGACTCAGACGATAGGAGACGGTTGAGGACGGGGTGGATTTGAAGTCACTATTTATTATGGACTCTCTTTGGGAGATACCGGCTTGTGATTGTACCTTGCTCTTTTGACGTTGACGACATTTTCTTGAAGGATGTGCAGTGTATATCCATATTGTTGGTAATATTTTGCCTTTTGCTTTGTGTGAACCTCATAAAGTGGGGCCCATGTACATTCATTTACTGAGCGATTGATCTTCGCTATTATTAACCAAGAGAGACTGCCTGCGTGGTGGTGTCGCGGATACATTATAAATAACAGATGCCACAGACCGGATGCACGATGGAAGCTCGACTGACAAAATCTTTGTCTAGTCACATTACACACAGAGAAGCTGAGCATAACACACTTTCCCTACGCGCTAACGTTCAAGGCTTCGCGCTTCCCAGTCATGTACCCTGTAGAAGCACGAACAATGCTCATGACGATCTTCACCTCTTCCTCATCCCTTGGTGCATAAATCATGAGATACTGCTCCGTCGGTCCTCCGGGGAAGATGTTGGTTCCAGAAAGAGGGTGGCGTTCACCCCAACCGCGTTGAATTACTAAATGCGATACAAAATGAGAAGGTCAGCCATCGGTTCCGCGAATCAAGGAGAGAAAGGTCTTACCTGTCTTACAATCCTGCGGCGAAAGGGGAACATGAAGAGACCCGTCGCGAGCTTCGTGTATATGAGCAATCTCGCGTTGCTCGCGGTCGGCGATGGAGTGAGGAGAAGGGATGGAGGGATGGATCATATAGGCGTCGACAACACCTTCGTGTATGGAAGGTGCAACCTTGATGATACTACTGTGAGTGGCGGCGTACTCCCAGAAAGCGGTCTTCAGAGCCTGGGTAAAGTGCAATTGTATTTAGCATGTTATATACTTGTGAAGGTTAGGACAAGAAACATACTTCGCAAGAGTTAGGGTCAGGGAACTGGCTTGTCTGTCTGTGTGGCGCGAAGTGCCACCCAGTCGTCGGTCTCTCTCCTTTCCTCTGAGGCAACTCTCCTTCAATCCAGACGGACTTGTCTGTGTCTATTTCATACATCTTGGTTCCCCGCGTATCTCTGCCGATAGGCTTCAACAAAGTGGAGAATAACCATCCGAAGACATTGTGAGGAATTCTGCTCTGGCCCAGCGAGAGGAAGGCCTGATAGTTGCCGTAGATGCGCGGGAGGAATGCAAGAATAATAATGGGGAGAGATGCGTATAGAATTCTACTTGGAGAATGATATGTGGGAGGTAGTGCTGGGAAGCGAGAAGACATCTGGGTCACTGCAGATGTGAAAGATAGGGTGATCATGATGATGGTGTAGCGCTGTCGAAGAAGAGGTGGAGTATGTTTGTGTACCAGTGAGTTTGGCGTTCTCTATAACAATGACCAGTTTATAGCTGAGAGAACCACCTCACCTTCGGAAGTCCTCAATACTCAACGCTGAGTCATCGGCATCATATCGACATCGACGACACTGATCATGAAAGGCTGAGCCAAAAAGCGTCGCAAGTGCGGCACGGCACATCTGCGGGTCCGATCTTGAAGTCGACTAGCAAACTCCATAAGAGTCACAGGATCTTGCCCCGGAAAGTGATGTTGAGCGAGTCGAGGATTGACTTGGGATTGACGGTGGCAGGACGAAAAGAGCCATGCTCTTGGTTCCGGCAAGGACACGCGAATCTCCGGCAAGCGTCGTCCCGACGGCAGACGTCTCATGCCGTCTCTGGCGGTCTTTGCTTCGAACTTTGATGGTGGCCTGAATTGTGCTGCACTGCGGTCGCCACATTGACAAAGCATACTCCTCGTTCCCTGTGCACCATCCGTCAGCCCTTGCTGTCCTCGACTGTCCATCCCTGCGATGTCTTCGACCGTCCAGCCCTAAGATGTCATCGGCTGTCCATCTCTGCGATGAGTAATGAGTCCTCGACCACCCATCTGCTAGAAATAATGGGCAGTTTTCGTATTGCTGAGCCTTATGCTCATCAACGTTTGAGTCGAACTCGCGAAATACACCATGCTGCGTTCAGCAAAGAGCTTATAAGGCTGACCGATTTCGTCGAGACTGACCATCCACAACAACATACTTATCACTCTCAAGCTCTAGCGCCAACCACACTATGTCTTCGACTTTCAAGACCTTTGCAGTGGCAGGAGTAGGGAATCTGGGTTCATTCATCGTGAAGGCGCTTCTCCAGAAGAAACAATCTGGCCTTCCTATCAGAGTTATTACTCTCAGCCGCTCAGTACGTATCCCGACCCTCAAATTATCCTATATCGCATATATTGACTGCTTTCATTGACATTATGTTAGACTTCCCCAGATGCGAAATTCGAGAGCCTGATTTCTCAGGGTGCTGAGTTCAGGACCATCGCCTACGAATCGAAGTCATCTTTGGTCGACTCTCTCGCGGGAGTCAACGTCGTCATCTCTGCGCTTGGTTCCAGCCCCGGCGGTGGTATTGGTTTGCAAGGACAGCTCGCTGAAGCTGCAAAGGAAGCCGGCGTCAGACTTTTCGTCCCCTCCGAGTACGGTAGGCCTTCCGACTCCGAGAAGGATCCCAAGGCCCAGTTTCATGGGAAGCTGTACGTGGGTTCCCCTTGCTAACGACTAGTCTGTACCCTGATCGTCGAGTCTCCATGATGGTTTTCTAGGAAGGCCCTCGGCTTGCCTTATACGTTGTTTTTCAATGGACCCTTCCCCGACTTTGTTTTCAGCCCGTGAGTAATTTCTCTCGTTCCATAGACTTGCTTTCGCTGACTCAGTTTTATTCTCTTATGATAATTAGATTCCTAGGCCTAGACATCAAGAATGGGTCTGTCAAAATAAGCGGCGACGGAAACGTCCCTATCTCCTTCACCGCTCGCGAGGACATTGCGCGGTACATGGCACACGTTCTCACAAGCCTCCCCGCAGAGACACTTGAATGGCGTATTTTCCGTATTGAAGGCGATCGCCAGGTATGTTTCGTGTTTCTCTCCACCTACCAACTTCTTCTCTAATGTGATATTTCTTAGACTCTGAATGATGTCGTCAAGGCCTACGAAGAGAAGACCGGGAAGAAGATCAATGTCTCCTATCAGCCCGTCAGCGAGTTGCAAGAGGCCATGAAAGCTAATCCCAAGGATTTCCTCACGATGGTGAAGTTAGCGTTTGCGCAAGGCCTTGGAGCAGTTGTAGGGGCTCCTGAAGAGCTCGCCAATGGGGAGTTCCCGGACTGGAACCCGAAGAAGGTCATCGATGTTTTGACGTCGTAATTTGGACTCCAGACACCATGGTACGTTCGCGTGCCGTATTCACCTTGTATTCCATAACTTAATTTATTACCCCAGTATACAGTAACATCGATTGTGGGATTTAATGAATTTTGGTGTCAGTATATGGAAAGGCGAGGAAGTTTAGAACGCGCGATTCAGCTATTTTTGTAAGGTTGAAGAGGAACATCAGGCTATAGAATGGAATATCAATAATGCACCTCCATGCCGTTCATTTCAAGCAAAGAGGAAGGAGCTGTATATCAGAAGGGAGCTACTGTCTCCGCATCTTCAACTCCAACGAGGGAATGTGTAACGCCCGCCTGTTCCCTGATCCAGAGAAATGCAATACATTGACGGCAGCATTCTCACGAGTGCCCCAAAGATCCTGTCCGTTCCAGTAGGGATAGCACGCCATGTGGCGAGCACCGTTGTAGCCAGGGATCCCGGTGTCCAGACTACAGTATATGTCATAGTAAGAGATGTAGTGTGCGTAGCAGAAAAACAGCGTCTCAAACTCACCGGAACTCATCTCGCCTACCAGAGGATCGCAACGCCAGACCCGAAGGTGAGCCAAATATTTGTAGGACGTTAACCCCCTGGAGGATAAGAGACTTCACCCATACGACGCCCCGTTCAACGACAATGGTTGCTGTACTGTTTGTGTCTCCAGAAACCCAATTTCCGCCGTACAGCTCAGAAGATACACCCGCGAGCGCTCCGTCAATGGCAGGCTGGAAAATCTCGAAAGCATCGTAGGCGAGTTTGGCTGCGTCGGGATAGTGTCCGGCGAGTAGTACAACAATCCCGTACGACGTTCCAGGGTGTATCGCCAGTGCAGCGTGATAGCCGGCCATGGCACCAACTAGATCCATAGAGGGATATTGACCTTGAGAAAAGTAAAAACCCTTGAATGAAGAGAAAAGCTTACGTTTCCAGTAGATCTTTCGAGGTCGGCCATTTGAGTCATGTTGCTTGATAATCTCCCATGTCATCCCCATCTCTGTCCAATCATCCTCTTCAAAGGAGTGGACTGTCTGCAGCCATTTCCTCATCGAGTATTGGGTGATGAGGCTGTTCGGAGACAGAGGATTGAGGAACATTCTCGTCACGGCGATCATGTCCGAGAGAGAGGAAAACTGGCCGGCAGCAGGATTCATGGCGTCGAGGAAGTCTTGATCCTTTATGATACCATGTTAGCCAGGAGACAGAGAAGCGTACACGAGGCAGGACGTACTGCAACTTCGGGTGCTAACGAAGGGACCACAACAGAATCTTTATTGTCACCCGTAGCCAGAAAGTGCGTGTCGTTCATACTAAGCGGGGCCAGAACATCGCGATGTAAAAGCTCTGCAAATGTTGTTGGCTCTTTGGGCCCAAATGCTGCTCGATTTGCGGCAACGACAGTCATCCCAAGCAGAGCGGTACCAGTATTGGAATACGCGGGATGATACATAGGCAAAGAGGTGAGGCGATGTTTGGAAGTCGCAGCGTATACATCGTCATGGGTGGGGAAGGGGAGACCGTTGGTAGGCGGAGGACCGGCACCTGCGAGATCATGCGGCCAGTTGTGCACAGTACCTGGAGGCCAGTCTCGTCCAAGCCCGGACATGTGCGAAGCAAGGTGGAAGAGTGTTATGGGTGTTTGTTCCCGAGAAGTCTGGTCGTAAGAATCATCGAATCCGTCGAGGCGATAGTTGAACTTGGGGAGATATTTTGCGACGGGGTCATCCCTACCAAACGATCATAGACAAAGTTAGCACAGGCAATGACTCTAACTCGGAACACCTACCAGGATAGCGCCTGCTTTTGTTCCAGAATAAGGGCCTCGAGGGTAGGAAAAACCTTGGCGACTGAAGCTATCCGATACGTGGAATGGCTCGTCGTCCTCGGTCCTGTACTCTCGTTCCCTCGTGTCGTGCCCCAATTGTTCTCGAACACTGCTCCCGCAGACGTTACCACTGCCACAGAAAGACTATCGATGTCGCTCTTGCTGAACCTCGCATCGAGCATGTTGTTCAGATCCTTGGAAGCTTTTCGCAGGAGGGTATGGTGGGCGGAAGGAGGGGTCTCGTCGAAGACATTAGGTAGAAATGGATGGCATTCCCATCGTGCGACATCACTTGGGCTGTTCGGGGACCAAAATCTGGAGTAATGTGAGCCTAAAAGCGCAGAGAGCAAACTGACAATAGAAATTTGGACGAAAGTGTTTGTGGTCATAGTTCAGATATACGGTAGTATCGACGAGTAGGTTGAGAAAAAAAACGAGCTGGGAGGAAGAATCAGGCTTGGATAAGGGATGTTGATGGGGAATGGCGACAACGTTGCTTAACGAGCGCCTGCAGTCGCAGTAGGTGAACAGACCAGAGCCAGCCGAAGAAGGGTCTATTCAAGTTCACACGACCACAGGGACATGCATCTCCTTGATCACCGCCTATCATTGTGCAGCAGGCTTGAGAGCTTGAAGCTCGAGAATGGAACGCTGCAGTGGAAGCAAAATGGCAGGCGCTTGTGGACTCCGGGTATCATGGGAAACAAACCTTTTGCCGGTGGGCTTTCCGGCGAGTTCCTGCTCGAACGTCCATTTGTACTGTAGTGAGTCTTCGGCCCAGGGTGTAGGTCGTGAAGACATGTGGACATAATCTGAGATATTATGCACAACAAATACATGCTTGATAGTCGATATATCAAGACGTGGATATTTCGGATTCGAGCTAGTCACTTCTACTACAATATGAGTCTATCATGTCCTGTGGAGTGACTTTGCGGCAAGGCTAAACGCACCTTATGCTTGAGCGTCATATTGACGAAACAGCTCTTCCAGAAACCTATGCCTCCCTACGGCATGCTCGAAATCATAAATTCCCTCCTCGCCCTTCGCAAACAACTCATACATCCTTCCAATATTTCTCGCCGTCATAGGCAAGTCCTCCAGCTCATCTTCCACCTCCCTCACAACTTCCACCATTCCCGTTTTATGATCGTAGAGCTCGATCTTGGTGTCAACGTGTCCAAAGTTCAAGAAAATGATGGGTGAGGTGATCCGAATTTCGCCAGTCTCGCCGTGGATACGCCATTCCAAAGCGGGTGTGCCAGGGAAGGGTTGGCCGCCACGCTGGTAGAACGAGAAAAGGATACCCTTCGAGGTTTTGCTGTGGAACATGATTTGGTCGGGAACGTCTTTCTTGCGTCCTTTCTCAGCGATAGAACCGTCGGGTGCGATGATGTCGACTATAGGATGTCCGTTGAGCATGAGGCTGTGGAAGGAGTCGTTCAAGAGGGGACCAAATACTAAGCATTGGAGGAAACGTCAGTAGGTGTCGGGTGCAGTAGAAGACGATGAGGTACTGAAATCGACTCACGGTATTCAATGTACTCCAGAGAATGGCCGACACCAGTAGTGAGTATACTACAGCCTACCTCTCTATTCGTGAAGTAGTCAAGGGACCACGTCTCCGTTGCCCCTCCATTGGTCGGAGCGGCCAGATAGGTGCTGCTCAAGACCTTGCCAATCCTACCCCCATCCAACAATCCCTTGAGCCTCATAACTACAGGAGAGAGTCTTCCCTGTAATCCCACGAGGTTCCTCGTATTGTACCTCTTCGCTATGGCGGTCAGCTCCTTCGCTTCTTCTATGTTAGCTCCGAGTGGCCATTCAACGAAGACTGCTTTTCCGGCGCGAAGAGCGGGTACGGTCGTTGTATAGTGTTTGTCCACGCGGACGCATGATACGACAAGGTCGATATCGGGATCGGCAGCTAGTTCTGAGAGATGTGAGGTGGGTTCAGAGGGCGGTCTCTGTCCTATACGGATTGAGCTTTGTTCAAGAACGTACCCTCAGCGCTGCCATATGTCTTCGTGGATTCCGGTAGGTTATGCAACTTGACTGCGTTCTTCGCTGACGCCACGGAAGTATTACACAAAGCAACGAGAGCGTATGTGTCGGATTTGAGAAGGTAGGGTAGATGTGCTGAGGCAGCCCAAGCAGTTCCTTGATATTTGTCAGGTGGCGAGCCGGACAGACCAATAAGACCGACACGGATGGGAGACATGGAGTGCAGATGTTGAGACGATTCGAGCGACTGATGACACTGTGGCTGGAGAAGACGAAGAGTCGTGTGCGCAACCTCAGAATGATAGAGGGTGTGATGTTGAGTTTGTACGATAAAGGGATTCCTTAAAACACGTTGACATTGTGCATGTCAAACGTTCAAACCTGGTAATGCGACTCGGACAAGGTGACTACAAAGAAGCTGACGGAGCCAAATGTATAAATAAGCGCTGACGAAGTAAATAAGGAGCTGCACCTACAGCGACTTGCAGCAACGATCGTGCAATTTATCGGTGATATGGTTCGACTATACTTCTAACTTCGAGGTGGACCAGCCGGTGTACAGCACGTCATTGTAAACGCCTAAACATGATGTTTAGGCCTTCTTGATGCAAACACAAGCTGGCCACTGGCAGCGCGGCGGTCCGTGCTGATCTTGCATAGAAATGATGGCGGTGTCAGTTATCTTCGGAGCCACGAAGTAAGGACATTAAGCCTGCCAAAGCCAAAAAGATGGTTTAGTGTCTGAATGCGTGAAGAAGAGGATTGTGTTTATTGTACATGGAGGCAAATGGCAAAGAGGGTGGAAATTTGAATATTCTCATCCGAGTCGGCCATTACCGGTCGGAGCTAACTTACCGAAGTACTGACATGCGCCACAGTCGATCCGACTCTTTCGAAAATGTGGCACATTCTCGAACGGCTTCGCAGTTCACCGTGACGTTCACTCCACGACATCCCTCATGTTATCGCCTTAAAACCTCCATGCGCAATAACGAACGGGTTTTCCTATGTTCCACGACGTCTGAGCGTAAGTAGCGCATGTAAGTATGTAGATAGGAGGTGGCCGTGAGTCTTGCGAGGCCACGGTAAGTAGTATCAACGACGGAACAAGGATTCAGCTCCTTGCAATTGGAGAGCTCCTTGTTAGTAGGTATCGGCTGAGCATCGAGCGGTCTGCTCCAGCCAGAAAAGTTAGAAGCAGGGGTGAGCTCTTACGGGCGGGCATTGGAGAACCTGGGTATCTTCTGGGTCAGCACAACATATGTACAAAGCGTAGTAGGACACTCGAAGCAGTTCCTGAAGCGCATGAAGACCTGGTGAGTCCTGCCATCATATATATACGTAGTAACAAGGAGACAGCACGTCGATATCATCAAATAACGTCTACTTATCGGTTCCCGTTGACTTCCTTGTGTCCACCAAGTACTCGTGACCCCGGTGCGAAGAGTCCAATCGAGGAAGTAATTCGATCTCGGAATTGCTGAACCTATGCCCAACTCCTTGCTCAGGCCCGTCTCGACGAGCAAAAGATTCTGCGTCAGGAACAGACACATACGCCCTCCGCCTAATAATTCCGGTATCCATTGCGACCTCCTCGATGAAGCTGGCCATGCCTCCTTTTTCGGTTTCCTCTTGCAGCCGGGGATATTGCCTGTGAATGGCTTGTCTATAGGATGGGAGGTGGCCAAAAAGGCCGAACGGAGAGATGGGTCGACCACCTGTTCAGGGTGAATTTATTGAGATAGTGGTCAGAGAGTTCCGAAACGATACTTACCAGCCACAACCTCCCATATTCCCCTCCCGAAGATGACGGAGAAGACGCCACTCACAGCGACGAACGCGCCTCCCACGTTGGAGATGATGCCCAGTACAATCGTGACAACGGAAGGTGATATGATTTCTTCCGACGGAATCCACTGTTGGCTTTCCGGAAGAATAGCTGATAGCGTGAGGGAGGATGTGCCGGAATCAAACGTCCCGGAGCTATCCGCTCGAATATTATCTACAAGATCGTGAATCAGGATCACTACATCACCAACGAAAGTCCAGAGTAGAATGCACTACGCACGAATAGCAAAGGTCAACCAACTGTTGGTCCCCTGAACTCTCTGAACTGGATACAGAGTCCCGAGGAGATGTGTATCGGGATATAACCTGAATGCATCCGTGAAATGAACCGCGGACGCTAGCTGCGAAAGATTCACTACGTCTTTGACGAAGGAGCTCGCTGTGGTCTCGATCATCCAGAGCGACAGCGATACATTACTGGTGACGTTAATCTGCAGTGCGTCGACATTGAGTGCTGGCTCTAGTGTGCAGTTTTGACCATATAGCGTGAAACTGGGTGTCCGTTGGCATTCGGCTGTGAAGTTCCCTTTGGGATCTTCTAGCGAGCTTGTGACATTGAGGCTGCTGAATTCGCCTCCATAATCTGCGAGGACCTATTTCCACAGCTCATCAATTTCGCGTTCAAGGCGACGTACATTTCGAACGAAGCTTACCAGGAAGGTCCTTGGCCATAGATTCGCCGAGGGAGAGAATACGACGCCGTTGTGGGTCGCAAGAGCACTGGACATAGTGACGAGTGACCTTTGAATGGTGATCGCCGTAGCGGATGTTGTAATGACATTGTTGACGAGGAGAGCTCCATATCCGAGTATGCCCAGTGTTGCATAGGTCGCAACGAGTCCACGAACAAACGCTAACACAGCCGGTTCGAACCTTGTGCATTGCAGACCTGATATTAATGAGGTACGGATACAGTGTTGATCTTTTGACTTACGGATGTTTGCGAAACATAGTTTGTCCGAACACGACATCCGTACATCGTCTTCGTATCTCGTTCCTCTCGTTCTCTTCGCGTCTTCGGCCCAAAACCCACCGCGCAATCGCGTTCTCAGGCGTGCCGTTTGTCAAGAAGCTGGTCTGGGTAGGATATTGCGCGAAGAAGGGGCCAAAGGCGCGATGATACTTCAGCCAGTTCACGACGGACCCAATCAGAAGAAACAATATATAGAGGCCGTATATTGCGAGAGGTAAGGCCCATATGACGATTCCGAGGTGGGAGAAATCCACGGTTTGTTGCCACTCCGAAAATTCATTTTCATCTTCTGAGACCAAGGTTATTTTCTGAGATACAAAAGGATCTACACAGTATATTTGGTTATATGTCACCGTCAGCTATCGTATTAGACGTTTCCAAGTCGAGGGAGGGGAGTGATTACCAAACAGTTGCGCTGTCAACATCCCCCCGACGAGGAAGAGGTCAAGGAAGAAGTGCAGTGCTGGAGGGACCTTCCTGTGAATGGCTACATAATCGCTGTGTTGACCCCGAGCAAAAAGTGCAACTTGAACATTTAGATGGAGAAGCTGAAATGTGTTTGGAGGTCTCACCTGCACAACAAAAGAAGAATAACAAAGAACTGCGCGAGAGCGATCAAACTCCAGACATTCAAGAACGAGAAGGCATAAATCGTGATGAGAGGGTATAGCGTCAGCAGCAAGCCATGGAATAGGATACGAGTGAGAAACAATTTGCAAGACACTGGGACTATCGATATTGGTCGACCGTCTTTCGAGTCCATGCTGGATCGTGAGAGTTGTTCTGCAGCACCAGACGATGAGCTGCTCGCGAACATTCAAGCCAAGTTACAGCACCTGAGACGGCTGGAGGTCGATGGTGATGGGGGAAAGCAAGAGAGCTCTAGCGACGGTTCGAATTCTATCAACAAGCGCCCAGTTCTAATTACACGAGAAGAGATCCATCAACGACACTACCGTAAACAAAGATGCTGTGTGCTGATGAAGCGTGATCGTCATACTCTATGCATCGCGAACCGCGACTGAAGAGGCGCCCGTCGCGGGAGCTCACCTCGTCCGACTCGATTTTCCCCTCTGCACATTTTACGGACAGTGATATCTTCCAGACGTGTACAAAGAGAGAAAATTCCTGAGGGAGCCCACGATGATTGGTCGTTCAAAGGTAGAGTAGACGGGATTTCAAGCGGGCGAGCAAAGATCTAACAGAAGTAATGACAAGGGAGTGGCGGCAACTTGAAGTACACATCCAGGGTCTCGGTCATTCCCGGCTACATCAGCGCCACAGTCCCTCGAGGGTGTTGCCCTTCAAAATTGTATTCGGCCTCGCTTCACCTTGACCTCACTTCTCTCTGAGACACCAGCGACATGATGCTGAAGCTGCGCAGCTGCCAGTGCTATAGACAATACTATCATCCTCAACTTTGCAAAGACCGTCAGACACGCGACAATGGCACCCACATACCATCTTCTCATCTCCGTCCCTCCATTCTTCGCATGAACATATCTGTCTGTCGATCCACACCCCGACCATGCCGAAACAAGCTAGCAAACAATTAGAAATAAACACTCACCCATCTTCACCCATACGTATGTACTACTCACTCTCCTCGTGTTCACTGTTCCCTCGCTGCGTAACCTCCATGCCCCCTCATGATCCGCGGGGACTCGTTTTTTCTTTCATGCTGTACTCCTTTGTACATGTCACCCGATAAGTAACACATGTTCAAGTCGCCGTCTCCCTCTATGGTAACGTTGACGACGAAACGAGAATTCAGTCGTTCGGATCCCTCTTGCGCTGATCCGGAATGAATCTCTCCTTCCGCCACACCGTCAACGGAGAAACGGAGAACGGAGCCATGCCCCTGCAACCCAATCTGCTGTACGGAAGAGGCTGGGATGAAAGAGAATGCAAACGGAGGTAGGAACACATGGTTCTGTGCCACACGGAAATTACAGCCTGCGATGCAGAGATGAACGCGTTGGCCATGGACATGGGAGGCAGCTCGGTCCGAACACCGTCTTCCGCTCCCCACTGGCGAAAGAGTCACCAGCGTTGCCGGCCATGGTGGTGGAGTGGCTCAGGCTCAGCGCTCCGTATCAACGTCAGAAATCAAGCTTCAAGCTGCGAACGACCAACGCGAGCCCGCTTCGGACTTCCGAGCGCCCGGAAGGTTTCTGATTGGACAGTGCGGCTGCGATGTCCGCGAGTTACAAACTCACAGTTATGGCATCGTTATGGAGGTCGTGGTCCCGGGATAGGTTTGAGTTTTTGTTAAGGAGCAAAGTGTCGGCAAAGATCAGCTGTGAGTTTTGTTGTGTTGTGGTTTACCACACGAATACACTGCATGATGTCGTCGGTGACGGAAGGGGGTCGGAGGGACAGGACCGGAGAGGGTATGTAGAATACTTACTGTGAGTGAGTACGTACGGAAGGAAGGAACGAGAACGACTCGCTAGCTTGATTTGTTCTTGCTTTGTTGTCCTCTGAGGTGTTTAGAGCTTGGTATCAGTTGCCAAGGGAGAAAGGAGGTGTTATGACACAATGTGAAGAGATCGACACTGTGATCTTCGCGAGTTCCTTTCGCGTACGGGGAGCTGTGGAGTACAGTATACTCAATCGATGTCTGCGTGAACAGCTGCATGCGAAGGGACACACGAACGACTTGCGAGCGATAGTACGAAGGGATGTAATCGGCCATTCCGGCGAATATATAGATTATACTATGGTACTTGCATTTGTAGCCGAATCGGGTACAGGATACACAGAGGTTACGTTGGCTTGGAGAATATAAGTATGTAAACAGATGTTTATGAGTACAAGGGGTAGTGTTATAGTCAAGATGAGGATGGCTGAAGTAGAGTTAAGCCGTAGTGAAGTTAGAGTATAGAGTATAAAGTATAGGCTAGATGGTGTAAATGGAGTAGGAGAATTTGAGAAGCATGGAACCGGGAAGCGGGAGAATGCATGCGACGGATGAGAAAATGCGAATAGGGGGGATGCAAGAGTAGAGAGCGGAGTGGCGAAAAAGCATTGACAATGTCGGGAACGTGCGAGTATTGAGAATGGATGCCGAAAGGATATGCGTTGTGACGAGAGGATGCAGACAAGATGCGAGAGCGGTGAATGAGCCTGGGGAGAGGAGGGAGTGGCGTGCCAACCGATGCGCTACCGCCTGCGTTGTGCACCCGGGCCACGATACCAGTAATGACATTCAGAGCAGTACTCTTCTGTCCGTGCGGTAATCGTCTCTGCAGCATCGGGGCCAAGGAACTATTCGAATTGTGAACAAAGTAGAGCAGCACAAATCATGCCAGATATGAGCCACTTGATGCAAGACAGGGGACAAAGGGACGATTTAAGTATTGGCTTGGGTAACGCACCTTCTCGCATTGACAGGGAGAACAATTGGAAGGATGGCGACGAGAGTAACTGCAGTGCGAATTATTGCAGTCGATCTTACGGAGCTTCTTGGTCTATTCGTGCCAAAAGCGGAAGAGGGTGAGACGAGAGGGTGGCGAAGACGGATGGTATGGTGGGTGGCGCGAGACAAAAAGAAGGATGGGGACAGTGAGTTCACGGAGGACAAATTCGAAAGACAGATATGGACGTACGATCACATAGTGCTATATCGGAAGGATAGAACGTGACGTCAGGAAAGGGATATCGATGGAGGAAGAAGCAGAACGGGATGTTGATTGGCAGGATGTTCCAATCGCGGGTAGGGTGCAGCATCAACGGAAAAGGAACATACCCCGCATCCATACTTGGTTCCTTCGCTATTTGAACAAGTGAGCACACATATCTCAAGGGTGGGTGAACAGTATTGGGCGCACGTTTCGAGGTTACACATGGTGATATATGGGGGATGGCGGAGTCAGCGCGTACGCAAGGAGATGGGATGTTGAGTGTTTCAGGAGTGTTTCGGTCGGAGAAGATATGTCTGTGGGGAAATAGACTTTTAGAAAGGGGACAAGCGCGCAGCAGGAAACGGGTGGACGGACGGGTTGAGGACAAAGATGGATAGGATATGTGACGAGGGATGATGGCGAGGGGGGGCGGGGCGGGAGAGCGACGTGGGTGAATGAACGGAGGACGGAGGATGGAATGTCGGGGAGGGAACGGGGTTGGGGAGTATTAGGGGATGGAGGTAGAGTATTTAAGAGAAAGGAGGGACGAGCGGGACGCAGAGGCTGAGGCTGGCGGAGAAAGGACAAACAAGCAAGGCGACGGAGACGAACGCCCGGGATCCCTCTCGGTGACGCCCCATCTCGGACCACGGATCTCCCCCGGATCTATCGTCGCAGAGGAGCCATCTCAGATTCGATCAGATAGCAGCGCCGCACCACCGGGCGCCGGCGGCACACGTCACACTTGTCCACCCTCGAGCACGTCGCTCCCAACGTCGCTGGGCCACATACATGTCGACAACCGCGTCCTCCTCATCGTCCTCGAGCTCACAGCCGACGACCCGCTCGCGCACCCTCCTCTTCATCTCCTACCGCGACTCTAGCGCACGCACTTCGCGTTTTGGCACACGAACCCGCTACGAGCAAGTCTTCAACGCTGACGACGAGCAGGAGGGCCTCATCAACCCTACAGATACCGCCCACATCACTCTTGACGTCCAGGACAGCCTTCCACCGAAATGGTGCGCGTGGTGTACATCTTTTCATCAGTGCTGGAGTTGAATAAACGCTCTCTGCTTTACCTAGGGTCGACTACGCAGACCAGGTAGAGGATATACTGCTTAGTACGCAGGCTAAAAGTGCGCAACCCTTCCACCCTTTCGCTCAATCGCGCCTAATTCACGCGTCTCCCTGCCTTTCTCTCGCTCAGTTGCTGCTCTCGACAAGTTGCATGCGAAGCATGTCCTACCCGGCTTCACGGACCGATCGTCAGAGGAAAGAGAGATTGAAGCCGCGACCACCGACATAACCAAAGTACGAACCTTGTACCCTTCTCGATTCACCAGCCGCCGCTATGCCTCTTCGTTCAGCCTTTCTTCCGTTGAGTTCTAAATACCTCTCGTCCACAAATAGGACTTTCGGCAGTGTCAATCCTTGATCCAGCGCATTGCACCTCCACACGCATTCCCACCGACTTCATCCAAGGCACATGAGCAAGAACTCGCAGCGAAGAACGTCCAGAGAGGCCTCGCGGCAAAGGTTCAAGACCTCAGCGCCACGTTTCGTAAGAAGCAAAGGGTCTACATGGACAGTAAGTCCCTCGCCCCCGATACACATCCGATTTGTCTCCCAAACCCGTGCCACTTTGCGCCCAGTACTCTCCATCTTCCTTTTCGTGCACTCTGTCCATTCGATTTGCGTGACCTTTCCCGCACCGCGCCACCCGTGCTTCACAAACACATCCTTCTTGAGAAGTGGCACCTTTATGCCTCCCCCGAACTCAGCTTTAATCCCATCTCCCTATCAACGTTCATCTGAGTTTGAATGACCGATCTAAAGAGCTGTTCGCGATTGAAACCTGCTAACCCCGTGAACAGAACTACAGGGTCATGCGATCAAGAACCAGGACCTACTGGTCGCGAGTGGAGTAACATCTCTCAGAGGCTCAGAAGGACTGTCAGCAGTCGATGAAGACTTGCAGGCCGCGGTACGTCATTGTTCACTTTGCTCATATACAGACCCTCTTCTAACTACCGTACATCGTGCTTGTTTGTTTGTCGTTATCCTTCCCATGGCGATGGGATCTTATTTGTGAATACAATATACTGACTGACCCTCGTCTTGGGTGTTCTTCAACACGTATGACACAATTCAACCCGTTCACGCGACTTCGTTCGCCAATCACACTCGCATCTTCTTCAACACCGTCAATTGGCTATCATCTTGATCAGTCCCAACAAACCACGCTCCAATCGCAGGCCCAAGCCGATCCGAACCAGGCTGCCTTCCTTGAACGAAATCGTGAACTCACAGAGATCGCAAAATCTATAGGTCAACTGGCAGAACTGTTCAAAGACTTGGGCGCATTGGTGATTGACCAGGGTACGCTGCTGGACAGCGTGGAGTACAACATCGAGCAGACGTCCGTGGAGATGCAAAGTGCCGTGAAGGAGCTGGATACGGCGACAAGGTGGGTCTCCTCTTCTTCATTCCTCATCTTCCTTCTTCTTTGGCCTGCCGTGAGTTTCTGTCTCTAGTTATGTATCTGGAAATTGCCGCCAGTATCTATCGGAAGCGAGCAGCAGGAATGGGCCACAGCCTGCCTTCTCCGTTCTTCCTCGTCCACAGCTCGCGTCCTGGCCACACCTTGATGGTTCGCCTCGGATCTTCAGGAACTCTGTAGCTTCGAGCTTCTCGAACCACTACCGTGAAATGCATCATCGGCATCCCATCTGCTACCGAAACGTCCTGTCAATCGTTCAATCTGCCCATCTTCCCATGGGCCACCTCTTCACACAACTTTCTTGACTGGTTTTCCATATCGAATCGTTGCTTCCTGTTTGAGCTTTATGCTCAAACTTGACCTCTGGCTCTTCTCAGTCTGGTGGCCACCGAGAGCACAGACGCATACTAGACTCTACCAGACAACCACAGTATGATCGTTGAACGTGTGCGGTGAACCCGATATAACTCGGATCGCCTCGAAGCTGATGTTTCTGTCGTCATCATGATTTGCGCCTCACCTAGGAGAGACTCGTCAGTGTGCGCGTATGGACATGTGTGTGGGTTTTGTTTCCGTGTCTAGGTTTTGAGGTACGCAACACGAAGCTGTTCGAGACACCTCCTCGGCCATGGTGCCGAAGGGGACAATGATGGATAGGGGTTTGTGCGACTCGGAGTCGGGATGCTTACACCCGTTGGATTTTCTCATCTGCGAGCCCCTTTTACTTGCTGCTGTACTTTGACCCTGTCTTGATGCCTCGGCAACTCGGGTGCTGCTCTGCTCATGATGGTGACAGAACGCAAACAAACGCAAAATGTGACATAGATGCTGTGGCGACGTAAAGACCGTTGCGTGTCCTAACACCCTTTGTGGCTTCCTTTTCGAGGCCATTCTACGCTTAATCCTGATATGGGCTTGGCTTTGTGCATGGGGTCCGGGTGGCGTGGTGTGGCTACTACGTCTCAGAAACCATGACGTCGTGATATTTGACCGCAATCAGACTCTTCATGTCGCTTCGTAGCTCTCTTTGCGGTGTGGTATGACGAGGAGATCTGCTGTATTCATAGAACAGACTCAGGCTGATGACACCCCGGGGAAGATGTTGCCCTATCGAGCTAGGGTTGCCTTGTTGGGCTGGACATGGCGTGCGGCTCTCATGCAGCCTTTACTCTTAGGAATCGTCGCGAAATGAAAGCGGGGAAGCGCTGTACATGTGCGGGGCGCCCATGCATATACAGCACCTTACCTCCCTCGTTCCCGTGTCTTCTTGCTTTGTGTATCAACACGACTTGACACGGCGAGTCGAAGACGAAAACAGCTGTTTTCACCACGCCACTCCTGCATTTTTCGCCTCCTTCCCGTTTATTTGCCGAATTTGTTTTATAATTCGTTATAACTTGTCTTCTTTCTCTCCGTTTCATGCGTGTTTGATGAACGTTAACCGTCTTGCTGATCCTCATTTTTTCCTCGCCTTTTTTTGCTTTTCTTTGCACGCACATCTGTTACCTCTTATCCGGCCTCGCTTTCCCCACGCCACACTCGCCACCGCCAAACTGTCCATCGACATCCCCGCAACCGCATGAATACGCCGATCATCGTCACCGCCCGATCGCTGGCTACTCCTCACATCATGTCGAAAACGAAACGAAACGAATGCAGATATCAGAAGAACACCGGCAGGCGGAAATGCATCTTCCTCCTGCTGCTCATCATATTCGGACTCATCGTGGTGCTTATCCTCAAACCCAAGAGATATTCGGAAGGAGGTGCGCCCCCTACGCCGCCACCTCCACTGGAAACGGCGCAGACTTTGGGGACGGATGGGTAGGCGTGGAAGCGGCTTCGGATTTGGGCTGTGGTGTGGATACAGATTGGATCGATGGTCGGGCGATGAGCCTGGAGTCGGTTCAAACTTGCGTCGGTAAGGTATAGTGGATTGATGGGGCTTAGTTGGATGGCCCAGTGGTTGGATGGATACGGACCGTAGTGTGTCGTTTATTGTATTGGATTTTACTATTGACTGGAACCTACTATTGGTGTGATTTATGGCTTATGCGTTGCATGCTTATCATGCGATTCAGGGATACGACTTTTTCGTTTTCGATTGACCTCATTGGGTCTGCTTATGCGTGGCTCAAGCGGCCATGGTCTGAGCCACCCTAGTTCGTACCGAAATCCGCTGGACTCCCTTCGTATGGTTTGGTTTCTAGACGAGATTCACCTGAGCCACTGAAATCTTCAAGACTCCGACTTCGACAGCAACGCAAGCCGCACGCCGCCGGTGCTTTCTTGACAAGATTGTATTCAGATAGGGTGGTGCGGTACGTACACTAACTTGCTACCTAGCCTCGTGATTCCGAAGACTGACTGAAGACTGTTGGCGCTATAGAGCGGAACACTGTTCATGACGTGTAACGGTGCATTGCTTGACGTTGTTGTGTATCCATTCAGAAGACAAAGGACCGAAATGAAACTGGGGGTGTCTCAGTTGAGGTTTGAATGGCAAGGGAAGCAACTCTAGCGCAGCTGGGCCACTCGAGCCACCGCCCATGGCCAGCGCTCTATCGTCTACGTCCGTACCAAGTTATCAATAGTCCGACCAGCTCACTTGCCCTTGAGCCTGCTCGAAGGGGGGGGCGAATCTCGGCGCAAACGCTCCTAGTCCCCGATCTTTTTGTCCAACTCAGTCAAACGGCTCCCAAATTTGTCCCTATGCTCTCGAAGGAGTTGAATCGGCTGGCGCTAACAGAGGGCCGTAGTCTACATCTCCGGTACCTCAAGCTCATCGAACGTGGTACGCTAATTATGCCCAGTGCCTTCTTTACAGCGGCGGACAGTGGATCTAGAATGGTCTCCGCAGGTTGAGCAAACGGACGCCCGTGGTGTGTCTTTACATTCCGCAAGAAGCTATCGTCCAGCGTCTGCTAAGTTATTGGTTTAGCGGGAACCCAGTAAACACGGACATCCTGAATGCATCGGCAGAAGCTCGTGAAAGTTCTACCATGGGCCCGTCGGTCTGCAATAGCACCGTGGGGATCGAGTACGAATGAATAGGGGCCCGTCTGCAATGAACAAGGGTTCCAATGAGGACCGAGTTGGGGGTGGTTCAAAGTCGTCGTGCGACTCCGATTGCAGATTGTGCGTTGTGGGAGTGCGGCGTGTTTGGCAACGTGTCTGGTCTCAGGGTCTGCCTCGAGCATCGATACCTCTTGTGGAAAGTCTATGGGTCTCGAGGACTTAAGGTCAGTCGTCCGGTGCTATAGTCGGCCTGTATATTAATGTGATGTGCGTACTACATTTACTTCTAGAAAGGTGATTGCGAAGTGAGTTGCCCTGTGTTCGAGGTGGCACTTGAAGTGAGCATACGGTAAGCCTAGGGCAGCAAAGGAGTCCACGGTACTGACAGGTTGGCTGATGGCCTCCCGATAAGTATTATTGGATGCATTTGGAAGTATGTGTGCGCCACTTCTTGCATGTATAGGATGAAAGGAATCTTAACTCAGCCTACTAATACTAGTACGTGACTAGGCTTGCCTGGCATGGAGTTCATTGTGTCCAAGCCCTCTCAAATACTTCCGTACGGCACACCACATAGTGTCTTATACCTACAAGATTGAGGGTGTTCAAGCTCGCCATAACTCTTAGTCAGGAGGCTTGGGATCCCCGCCCATGGCCGTTCTGGATGGCATTCCTCTGCTCGCCACACGGGCGCTTGTTCACGGTGTGGCATATTGAAGGTTCGAATTTAAAGTCCGACGCGGCTGACGGAGCACCGACCGGCCCGCCCAGCTTTGAATTTTGAAATGGACGATTGTGGACGAACTCTTTTCTCCCGCTACTTAGGCTAGCGTCCCGTATTTGCCCCCTGAAACATGTGCTGCAAATCGTATACATGACGACTACAGATGGTGGTGCCGATTTTTTGGCAGGTATTTGCACTCTTCCAAATTCGCCTCGACTCTCAATTACAAGATCTCATCGGCATCAACGCCCTTGCAATGGACACGACGGAGTCAATTCGCCGTATTCTTACTGTCAACGCATGGAGACTCAGTCATTCGGATAAACAACAGATACTATCACTGGCCCTATGTTCGGACAATTCGGACTGCAAAAAATCTAGCTCACGCTGTATAAGGTCTCTTGCTATGAAACTTTGCACACACGATGCCCCCTACTGTAGCTGCATGCCCATGCAATTTTGTTGTAGATTGCTTGAGAGAAAGGTCGTCGATCGGGGGGTGGGACCGTAGATCGGACAGCCGATCCTGCCAAAGTGTCCGAAACGCCCCCCTCCCCGTTCGACCTCCCACTGCCATTATTGTGCTCAAACGACTTCACAGATGGTCTGTTGGTGATTTAACATGATTTATGAGAGCTTGAACGGGGAGAAACGATAGGGAATTGGGCGTGTTTTGCGCACTGTCCGAACAACGGTTTGTCCGAACAAGGGGCCACTGATAGTAGGTGTATCACGACTTTCGAGCTCTGCAGGTGTCTTTGAACTTGCCCACTATTCCAACAACAACTTTTCGACATGGAGGCCTTACAGCAGGTCATGTTAGGTGCAAGTAGCGGAGAGCACTCTACGGAGCCAGACGGGTACGTTTCACTATGTATATCATTCCTTTAGTGCACGCGTCGCTCATGGATGGAATCGACGTCTCAGAACTTGGCATCATCCTCTCTTGGTGCCAGCTTACGTCGCGACCGTATCTGCTGTCATTCTACTGCTACAAGTTTCACTATCTTCTCCACTTGTGAGGAAATATGCTCGACGACACACCCTCCCCGTGGCGCTCGATGAGACTCCGGAGATCTTGAGTGCTCCCCTCGAGCCTACAGCAGCTTCAGTGAACCGTCACATCGCTGAGCTAGGAGGGTCCGCAATATTCTGGATGAACGTCACCAGAGCCCTGGCAGTCTTCGTTCTATGGGTAATATCAATTGCAAGCTTTTCTGTCGAAGGCCCTAAACTTGCTCTCTCCGTGACCTACGTATGTGCATTGCGTACTTTTCTTGCCAAATCACGTCTGATCAGCCGAGACTCAGTCCTATGCTTCGGTGTTGGCCCTTCTTGCTGCATCGAGCCGGGAGAAATGGAACCGCGCGATTACGCCTCATCTGAATATAGTTCTGCTGACTTCATTTTCCGTTATGGCTTACCGTGATCTGTGGCCCTTGATGACCTTCACTATGGAACCAGCGGACCCGTCTCAAGGAGCCGTTCTGAACCTCTCGTTACTTGTTTTCGCCGCCGTCATTGTACCCCTCACGATACCACGGCGATATATACCCTTAGATCCTAAGGTATGTGGATTCAATTTGTAGACGAGTTCCTTACATCCGCTCAAGTTTCTCTCATAGAATCCATCAACACCTAACCCAGAGCAAACCGCCTCTCTTCTGTCATTCGCGATATATACCTTCCTCGACCCCATCATTATAAAGGCAAACAAAGTCGCGCATCTTCCTTTCGAGGAACTTCCTCCTCTCGCTGATTACGATCATGCTGAATACCTCGCTAAGAGAAGTTTTCCGGTACGGTCTTCTGTATGCGTTGTAAAATCATGGCTTCTGATCCTGCCGTCGCCAAACATAGCATCTCGATACGTTTTCGGGAAGTCCAAAGCGGCATCCGTTCTGGGGAATCCTGATAACATATCGTAGGTCTCTGGGTAGGTCACTACGAGGTCTCTGAATCTACACTTTGATTGTCTACTAGGTCGGGAATATGCCACCATGACGGTCGCAATTATCGTCAAGGTACGTGCAGTCTGGCAGTTGCTTACAATGGCGTGTCGTTTGACCTGCACTTTATCAGGTCTTCTGTAACTTCTTGAGCCCTATCGGCCTCAACGGACTGTTAAGGTATGATATTATTTTCGACCCAACTGTTGTGATCGATATCTGACCAAGAAACTCAGGTATTTGGAGACAGAAGGCGAGGGGGCCGTCATCCGTCCTTGGGTATGGATCTTAGCACTTTTCTTGGCGCCGTTTGTCGGAGCTATTGCACTGCAGTGGTATGTCTTCCTGTCGGTAAGTCATCATCTTATTCAAGTGAATCGTAGATCTGAATTATTGTTCTTATTTACAATCCACCGAGTGTAGACATGCAACCTTGTTCGAATCGAAGCCATACTATCTCAACTGGTCTTCGAGCATGCGCTACGGATTCGGCTCAAAGCTGAGATCGAGGACGATGCTTCGGCGACAAATGTTGGTGTGTCTCCTGTTCCAAAACCGGCCACGTCTGCAAATCAGTCAACGGACAGAACGACTTCACTACCTGTTGAGCCACTTTCAAAGTCTGACAGACGCAAGAACAAGGTCGATGCCAGCAAGGGGTCGAAGGGTAGTAATCTGATTGGAAAGATCAATAATCTCGCTTCAGCAGATTTGGGTAACATCGCGAAGGGTGGCGACTTCCTTCTACCTTGTACGCACATTTTCAAGCATTTCGGATGTCTACTTCGTCTAACAATTTGTTCTTTCGTTGCGACATACAGCGGTCGAAGCACCGTTGATAGTTATTGGCAGCGTGATATTTTTGTACCAGATCTTAGGGTGGAGGTACGATGGGTTTCACTCGCTCATGATAATTTTGAGGATCCTCCAACTACAGGGTATCTCATCACCATCTAGTGCCTTTGTTGGGATAGCCGCAATGCTGCTTGCGTTCCCTATTCCGGGATATGCCACAAAACTCATTCAAGGGGCTCAAGTTGAAGCTATGAAGAAAGTCAGCCCATTCAGATCTTCTTGCGCTATCCCAAGTCCTCTAACTTGGGCGGGTGCAGAGTGACGCGCGTGTACAAACAGTGACAGAGAGTACGCCTACCGGGTACTGACTGCACACTTCAAGAATTCTAACAACTGTGCTTTTCTTATTCAAGGCCTCAACGTCTTGCGAATGATCAAACTCTTTGGCTGGGAGCAGAAAATCAACCAAGGAATTGCCGAGAAACGGGAGAATGAACTCTTTTGGATCCGACGGCGTCAATTGCTCAGTTTGATAATTGGCAATCTTAAGTAGGTCTGGTTTCTTTTGCTACTAGCTCGTTTCTTTCTGACTGCGTTGAGTAGCTTCATCATACCCGCTACAACAATGATAATAACATATGCTACCTACGTGCGTCGTTGCCATCTTCGTTTGGGCCACATGTTGATTGGAGCCCCAAAAGACTGTCATCATGAAACAAGACCTGACTGGTGCGTTTTTCCTCTATCTGAACCGATCTTTTCTAATATGTTCATGGCATAGCATCGACCGTCTTCTCCTCCATGGCCGGTATGACTTCCTCCATGCACTGACATCCAGAATATTAGCTGACTCTCTTTGTCTAGTATTTGAGATTCTGCGAGACCGTGTTCAGAGCGTTTTCTTCTTCCTACCCACCTTCATCCAAGGTATGGTCAGGGTTGTGCAATCGGTTCAATATGTTCATGGACGGTTTTGTCTACACCCCTAGCCAAAGTCTCCCTCGATCGTTTGAAGGAATTCTTACAGGAGGTCCGCATAAAATTGCCTCAGTATGTTCAGCACGGTCCTGACGTCTTTGCAGACTGAATTATTAGATATGTTCGCCGAGGATGCTCAGGGAAAACGTGATCACGAAAGCACGCCATCCGGACGAGAAGACATCGGATTCCGTGATGCGACCTTCAGCTGGTCAAACGAACTCACTTATCAGGACGATTCGCCTCATTGGGCAAGGACTTTCAAGTTATGTATCAAAGACGAGCTCATATTCAAACGAGGAAGCGTCAACCTTGTCGTCGGCCCAACGGGTTCTGGAAAGACTTCGCTTTTGATGGCACTGTTAGGCATGTCATCTACTTATTTATCACTGTATACAATAGTGTTAATTTTTCGACATTGAATAGGCGAGATGCACTTCATCCCTTCCGGTCCCAATTCATGGTTCAATCTACCTCGAGTTGGAGGTGTAGCGTATGCTGCCCAGGAGTCATGGGTGCAAAGCGATACAATCAGGGCAAGTTCGACGTCTAACAGTATCGTGTGCTGAACTGATGCGAGACATGTTCCAGAATAATATTCTATTCGGCGCGCCGTACAATGAGGGCAGATACCATCAAGGTTTGAACACACACAACTCCATCACGATTGCAACCTGTAACCTTCTCTTATCTGCAGTCATCTATCAGTGTGGACTCGGACGTGACCTCGACCTCTTTGAGGCTGGCGATATGACCGAAGTCGGCGAGAAAGGGCTTACGCTAAGGTGAGTGTTGCACACCAGCCGTTTTCTCAAGAACCTATGCCAAGTTCAGTTCGTTTTCAGTGGAGGCCAGAAGGTATGCTCCTTTCTCATCTGTTCAACCTTGTGTCGCATAATTCCCTGATTTCGTAGGCTCGAGTCACCCTGGCTCGAGCAGTTTACTCGGATGCAGAGATAGTCTTATTGGACGATGTGGGTCTACTTTTTACTCTGAATTAGTTACCTGACCTGATTAAGCCATCTACCTAGATTTTGGCGGCTTTGGATATGCATACCGCCCGCTGGATTATCAACAAGTGCTTCAGGAGCCCAGGACTTCTCAGCGGCCGGACTGTTGTCCTAGTAGTAAGTCATGGTAGCGATTTCTTGACTTCTCCCGTTTCTAAACCTGTCTTCCTATAGACGCACAGTATCTCGATGGCTCGTCCCATTGCCGATTATGTCGTCTCATTTGACCTCGAAGGTCGATTGACACACGGAGTCGTGCAAGATATATTATCACATGTCCAATCTTTCGCTGGGGCGTTACTCGAAGATACCGCGGAAGACATTGGAGCTGGTGTGGAACTTGATGCGATGGTCCTTGATAGACCTGCGATGAGTACCTCTAAGGGAAAACTCGTCCTGAAGGAAGAAGTGGCAGAAGGTCGTGTAACGTGGTCTGCTCGTATGTATCGTCCTACTCCAACAAACATGTTTCCTCTGAGCTCACCCACTCATTCGTATATCATAGTGAAACTGTTCTTTACAACATTCGGTGGCACGCACAGCATTCTAGCATGGTCGTTTTTCCTAGCCACCATGGTGCTCACTCAGGGCCTCGCTACCATTCAAACTTGGCTTCTGGGACGCTGGGCCGACGAGAAGAGCTCGTCCTCGCAAACAAACATATCCTTGTAAGTAGGCAAGAGAATATCTCTCAGGTTGTTGCTAATAATGATGTGCATCAGTTATCTGGCAGTTTATATTGCTCTTCTTATGACTTCGATACTTGCATACTCCGGGGGTAACACAACATTCGTCCTTGGCTCTCTCAGCGCATCGAAATCCATTCATGGGCAACTAATTCGCTCCATTCTTGGTACGACTCTGAGGTCGGTATCTCGAGATTGATCATACAGATGCTTCAATTCACACTGCTTAACAGGTGGCTAGATAAGACGCCGACATCGCGAGTCATTACGCGCTGCACACAGGATATCCGCACCAGTAAGCTCACAACTACTTTCCACATGTCAGCCTGCAATCTTGACAAATATGATATCCCTAGTCGACGGACCGATGGTAGCCACGCTGAAGAGACTGTTGGAACTCACCATACAAATACTGATCAAGCTCACGGCAATCGTCATCTTCACCCCAGCTTTCATCCTTCCCGGACTGCTCGTGTTCATTGTCGGGGGATGGTGCGGGCAAATATACATGAAAGCTCAATTGTCCGTTAAGCGCGAGACAAGCAACGCGAAAGCTCCCGTCGTTGCTCACTTCAATGCTGCTATCTCAGGCTTGGGTATATCCTGTACTTTTCTCCGCTTCAGACCACCAGCACTGACTTTTTTTAAGTCTCTGTTAGAGCATACGGCGCTCAACTTCTTTTCAAACAAGAGTCGTACAAACGTATTGACCATTACACGAGGGCAGCTCGGACGTTCTTCAACCTGAATAGGCGAGTTCGATGTGATCTGCTTGTCCTCGTAGACCCTTATTGCTCTTCACCAGATGGATCAATATCCGAATGGATGCCTTAGGTGGCATGTTTGCGGCAGGGCTAGGCGCGTGGATTGTTTATGGCCCCACTCGCAACACGGCACATGCGTCGGACACTGGCTTCTCCTTGACCATGGCAGGTATGCCAATCTACATATTTATGTTGTCTAGAAAAACCTACGCTCACCGTGACATAGTTGGGTTTAGTGGTATGATTCTATGGTGGGTACGCAATTTTAACGATTTCGAAGTTAGCGGTATGTGCTTTGAGTATTTGGTTCTCTATTCCCTCACTAACGAGGAAATGGTTTGACTTTAGGAAACAGGTGACCTTCCAATGTTCTCCCGGGTAAGAACGACGTATTGAGACTTACGCAGTCTAGAACGCATACAATCATATATCGACATAGAGCAAGAGCCCAAATCGACCGCAGAAGGCATCCCTCCAGCCTATTGGCCGTCGAGTGGTGATATCAGAGTTGATAATCTCTCGGCCAGGTATTCTCAGGTATGTGCATCTGCTTTGTGTATGCAGCACACAGTCAGGCCTCGTAATGACGTGTGACTCGCAGGATGGACCTCCGATTCTCCACAACATTTCATTCCACATCAAGTCTGGTGAGCATGTGGGCATCGGTACGTATTTTATCGTATTGTGAGTCTGTGAGGTATTGCGTCAAGCTCATCGCTTTCTGCTAGTCGGGCGCACAGGAAGCGGGAAGGTAAGTGGCTTTTCGCACACTGACGATATTGAGACTAATAGCGAGATCCAGAGCTCTTTGACTCTGGCTCTTCTTCGTTGTATAATCACCGAAGGAACGGTATATCTTGACGGCATCCCTACAGCTTCTATAAACCTAGACGCACTCCGAACAAAGATCAGTATTATTCCTCAACAGCCCGAGTTACTTAGTGGCACCCTGCGATCCAACCTCGATCCTTTTGGAGAACATGATGATGCTACATTGAACGCAGCACTACGTTCATCTGGCTTATTTGACCTGCAGTCGGACGCTGATGCAGGCCGCATCAATCTCGACACAAAAATCTCCGGCGGCGGAGCTAACATCTCTGTGGGACAGAGGCAGATCATGGCCCTGGCCCGCGCCATTGTCAGAGGAAGCAAACTACTCATTCTAGACGAAGGTCTGAGACCTCAATCTCTTGACTGCTACTTTATGTTGTTTACAGACTGATACTTTCTACTTCCTCTGTCCAGCTACGTCCTCTATAGGTGAGCGGGACTACTGTTTTGTTCGCAGAAAATTCTCAAGCAAGTCTAGATCACAGAACGGATTCAGTCATCCAGCGTTCTCTCCGAACTGAGCTGAAGGATGATGTGACGGTAATTACGGTAGCCCATAGGCTACAAACTATCATGGATGCGGACAAGATCGTGAGTCAAGGGTTCCGAGACTCGTCATAGGATCAAATATCTCATTGGTTCCTTTCAGATGGTGCTTGAAGCTGGACGTATGGTCCGTAGATCCGCTCATAGACCGGTTCATATCGCTTTCTGATGCTTTTATTAGGTCGAGTTCGATAAGCCAAGTGAATTGCTGAAGCGGAAAGAGGGATGGTTACGCGCACTCGTGGATGAAAGCGGCGAAAGCCAGGTATTGCACGCTATGGCCGGTGGCGATGTCAATTGTGGATAAGTATACTATCTCTAAGGACAATTCTATAATTTCCACGGACAAGTCAACATTACTACGGACAATTCTACAGCTTTTGTGGTATATAACGTTTGTGAGCCTCAGCACAGGGTATGGTGGACTCTGGGGTCTACAAGGAGTTAATGTCGAGTGAAATTGGGGAGCTCTCTTTGGTCACAGTGTCGCCAGAAAGACCAGAACAAGTAGGCTCGCGCCTGAACCCACCCCGCTCCATGCGCCTCATGGTCTTCCAAAGGCAGAGCACGTAGACGGGATTTCGACCGGGCGAGCGAGGATTATTTGTCGTGTCTCGGCGTTTCCGACGTCGGAAGGAAAGTTACATGCGTCATGCATGGGCCACACCAGTGTGGCGCTCAGTCAAACTGCGTGTCTCTGGAGGAGAAGGTTTTTGATATAAGGACATCCTCTAAGAGCGGGAATGGCCAAACAACATCTGAGACGGCTGGTGCGAGTATCATGATTGAACTTCTAGCAGATTCCATTGCGCACGCCTTCTACCGTACATACCGCGCCACTTCGATCACCGTACATTAGCCCTTGACCGTCACACATCGAAAAGGACTAATCTATTGCTGCCCCTCAGGCTTCAACGAGCTCCTACCTGCCCTCAGGATCTCGTCTGTCGAAAGAAGATTGACAGCAATGACCGAGCTGGGGGCAAAAGCAATGAGTGGTCAGTCAATATACTGGGATAGGTGAGGATATTTGGAGAGACGTACCAGGAATGGAGCATCTGTCTCTTGACCCGGTAATTGTCCCATATTCCCTCCACAGTCGGGTCAAAGGGCTCACCGGACTGCAAGTCCAGGCCCACAACGTTGCCTTCGGTCGCTTCATCCTGCACGTCGTAGAAAAGAAATAAGTTTTTGTTTGAGCATGATTGGGTCGCGAATGAAGGCACAAACCTGAAGAGCGACAACCACATCTTGCACATCGAACCCTCCGTTCTGAGCGAGAGTCTTTGGGATGATCAACAACGCATCCGCAAACGCCTGTACGCCCATCTTCGATCTGCCCTTCGCGCTCTTTTTGGCATTTTGCACCAAGTCAACCGAACAGGCCACTTCAAAAGCACCGGCACCCGGTACCAGCGCCTCGTCCTCTAACCCATTTTTGACTGCCCTGAGACCGTCGCGGAGGGCATCCTGGATTTGCTGGATGGTGTGTCCGTTGGGGCCCTTGATAAGAAGTGTGACGGATTTGGGGTCACGAACTTCGTCTACGAACGTATATTTCTCTTCGCCGAGGGTATGTTCATAGACAAGGCCTGCCCAGCCGAGAGCATCTGGTGTAAGTTCCTCGACGGAGTTTTGGGCTATACCGCCGCAGATAAGCTGCAATCTAAGGTGTTTGTAAGAACCATTGCCCCTGAGGAACGATATGGAAAGTACGCACCGCTCCATGTTCCTCCGTTTTGCTCTGCGTAAAGCCATAATCCCGTTCTTTGCCAAAATATCAAGAGAAAGGGGGTCAATGCCCTTTTGGTTGATAACAACGAAATTCTTTCTCTTCTCCTTCGAATCAACCGCCTGGTCACAAACAAGGTTCTTGAGCTCAACGATCTTTTTGACCTTCTCGTCCGTGAATTTGCGTTCCGACTCGACGAGCTTCTCGCGCTGCTCAGCAGAAGAATAGAAGAAACCGGAGTTGACCTCACTTGATCGGCGGTATCAACGTGATCGTCAGCGGGCTTTCGGGAGAAAATCCAAAGAAATATAGATACAAAATGAACATACGTTTTCTCATATTCCAAACTGACATTGAGCGTCAGGATGAAAGCGTTCTCAACTCGGCGAGGCATATCGGGATGTCTTGGGCCGTGATCCAGCACCAAGCCGCGTACGAGCTGAGTTTCCGAAGCAGTTCTGTGCTGCATCTTCATGATCTCCACCATATGAAGATCGATTCGATCCCTGTATTGATCTTTCGCGTCTACGAATTCCGCACGATGTCATATAAAAAAAGCCTGTAAGTAGCGTTTCACCAGGATGACGTACCTGCGGCCGGAGGTGGAGGGCGAATGGCGAGAACAGCATCAACAACAGAGGCGGCCAGTTGTTTTGCCAATCCAGTATTGAGTTTTGTGGCGAGAGAGGTGTAAGCGAGGTTCACGAGAGTTGCACGATCGAGCTCCATGGGCTGCTTGAACTTGTCCAGGAACTACGCGCCACCTCAAGCCTTAGGACCCAACACCACATTCCAAGAATATATAAGAGGAAGAATACGCACAGCTAATGACTCCTTCTTCGCAATGTCGAAACCCTCGGCGATGACACTCGGATGCACTCCCTCCGAAATGAATCGATCTGCCTGCTTGAGCAGCTCACCGACCAGTAGAACCACACTCGTTGTGCCGTCTCCGACCTGGTCGTCCTGCGCGACAGCAGTCCGTGCGATCATCGCCGCCGTAGGATTTTGAATCTGCATCTCCGAGAGTAGGACCTTGCCGTCTTTTGTCATTTTGATCTGACCAGCTCCATCGACGAGCATTTTAAGAGTTCCCCTTGGGCCTGCAAATTATAATGCGTTCATACATTCAGACGATGGTGAAATGAGTACTATTTGCGCACCTAGGTTGCCTTTCACGACATTGGCTAGACCCATTGCACCGGTCGTATTGACCTACGAGGAAGACGATCAAGATCACATTTCTAGTGTAGTTCAAGCGGAGGTACATACCTGAAGTGCAGCGGCACGTCGAACGCTCTCCGCCTTTGGGTTGATGAGCTCTATTGAAGAAGACATGGTGCAGATGAAGGTATGGAGCAGACTCGCGTCGGACTGAATTGCAGCCAAAGTTTGTGCGGTATGTCAGCGTGGGAAAGACGCGTCCTCACCCCATTGTGGCGCACGCCACACAACGTCTGGCCGACCAATTCTATCCTCTGAGTCTCTGAGTCTCTGCCGTATGCTCATACCGGGAGTCGCAACATTCAGTAGTTCCTGGCAAGTGTTTGCAAAGATAGACATTGAGCCCATACATCAAGATTTGCTGATACATATCACAGGCAAAACAATCATAGAAAGCACTGGAAGAGCTCGAGAAACATCCAAGACAGCGAGGAACATGAACAATCACGGAGAAAACAAAGAGGAAAGGATTGGAGAAGTTCCAGATCATGCCTCCGTTGTAGCAGAAGATCTCCTCTTTTTCTCCCTTTTCTCCTTCTTCCGTTTCTCCTTCTCCTCTGTGGTCTCCGCCGTTTTCTCTCCGTCCCGCTTCCGCTTTTTCTTCTCCGATTTATCATCTCCTGCTGCGCCTTCATCCGTTGCCTCTTTTACCTTTTTATCTTTTTTCTTCTTCTCCTTCTTACTCTTTGTACCGTCTCCAATCTCCTCCACTGCAGCTTCAACTGGTGTAGCCTGGATCTCCGGATCGCCCTCCGTCGCCTTCCTATCCTTCTTCGACTTCTTAGTCTTCGCCTCTTCCACCCCGGTCGCAGCGGACACCAAAACATCCTCCTGCTCGGCCTCCGACACCTTCGACTTCTTCTTCGATTTCTTTGACGTGCCGTTGGCGACTTCGGCAGCAGGGGCAGTGGATAATGATCCAGATGAGGACTCTGCGGGAGCATGATCCGGTCTCAAAGTCTTGGATTTCTTTTTCTGCGGTTCGTCACCGTTCTGAGTACCGCAAAGCAATTAAGCCATCAGTTTATGCCAAGAGAGAGGAGATCACACAGACAAACTCACCGTTACAACTGCCTCACTCTTCCTCTTGGAATTCTTCTCCTTTCCCGTACCGTTCACCTCAGTCTTCGTGGGCTCAACGGGCGCAGGTGCGGATACAGGCTCTGGCGGTGTGAAAGTCGCGGGAGACATACGTGTAGGCGTCCCAAGGGGTGTGTCGTTAGCACCTGTTGCAGAGGTCCTGACATATCCATACCCTCCTCCCCCACGGCCTGCACCACGGCCGTGATCGCGACCATTCGGGGCGTATCCACCACCGCCTCGTCCGTATCCAGATGGTGCGGACTGTGCAATTGCTTGCTCTCGAGAAGGATGAATGCTCGGGTGCTTACCAGGCCCTTTGGTATTATTTTCGACGGGTTCTGCTCCTCCATCGACAGCAGCTGATACTTCGTTGGACGTAGTGTCCTCGTTGGGGTTGCCTTTTGGACGACCATTCGGACCGCTTCGACCGTCACGGTTACCCTACAAAGTGCGTTTGCGCTCGTGTCAGGGATCAGCTATGGTAGGAGAGTCGGAGCGTCATACGGTTCGGGGTCCCTTATACAAAGACTTTTGGTATTTCTCGGCTTCGCTTATGCAGGAAGTATGGCCTTTGTATTGTGCAGGACCTTCGAACGTGGTACTACAGTCGATGCATGTAAATGAGGAGTGGCAACGAGATCTGTGTTGGTCAAGTTTTGGCTTTTTGACGACATCGGAGCAACCTGAAGACAGGAAAGATTCGTGTGAGCATGCGGGATGTGGGCTGGTGAATCGAAGTGCAAGCAATGTGAAAAACAAACCATCGCATCTGCCAAAACTCGTTAGACGATTGGTGAGCCAGATGAAAGCAAGAATGACTTACTGAAAGGATACCATGATGGAACAGTCGTTGTATCTGACTTGCTTGTGGGTATGAGATGGTCGAAGACCAAGCAGCTGGAGCTAGCCAATCACAATCCGTAAACGGAAAATAATGGTGCACGTGAAATTTCTCACTCACGGTTTGTGAATTCGCGTTGTGGCGGTGGCGCTGATAAAACCAGTCCAAGCCTTCAAAGAATGATTTTCTTTCTTTCAGACAACATACATAAAAAGAAGTTTTTAGGATGGAAGACTGCGCTTATGTTGTCTATGAAGAAAGCTTTATGCATGTAAGAAAGCGGACAAGGATTTACTCCGAGCCTCCAATAGTAATATGGGGTACATGGTAGTGACATAACGCTTTCGTGCGTTCGGTTGAAGCATCATGATCCTTTGACATCAGAACCGTAATGATAATGCTAGCAATGATCGTGATATCCATGCGAGAGAGAGGAGAGAGAACAAAGAAAGACTTCACAAAGACGCGTGCACGAGGCAGACACAGATTGTGTCACGATTGGATATAAAGTCTGTACTGCAGTGCCACTTTCAGTCACTCACACTTCCGACCTTTCCCCAACTATTACTGTGTGTCTATCTCATCTCTGAAATACTTCATTGGATTATCGCTCTCGCCATGCGTCCTGCCGCCACAGATAAACATGATACAGGTGTGTTTTGCGTGCTGTGACACACACCTCCGTCTTATAACGTTGATGCTCGTGGTTGTGCTGTGCGACATGCTAAAGCCGGAGGCTCACGACACTGCGAGAGTAATCAACGTCACTCTTCTCAACAATATTTCTCGTGTGTAGAGCTGATGAACAAAGTGAATACAACGGAAGACACGATCAGACCTACAAAAAAGAATAACACTCACTGTAAGTTCTCCTTCCGTCCTGAAGATGCCGGTATTATCCCAGTGTCACTGACGAGCCAAGCAGACGAGCAAGGTAGTTGCGAAAATTCAGGAACAGTCAATATACCTTCTACAGCGCAGCTCCTCAATCGGGCGTCTGAGGGAAGGAAGAACCTTGAAGAGGGGCTTGAAGGTAGGAACACATTTGATGGATTTCAACTCCTCCGGTATGCGTGATGATTGAGCTCTCCCCCACAGACGACAAGCTTTGGGCAGCTCCGGCCAAATATAAACGCAAGTTAGACAATATGGAGACACGAGGTGAGTGTCAGGACCACACAGACCACATATACTATCTCGCTGATCGAAAGAGCGCAGACGAACGTGCCGGTTGTACGCGGTACTTTGGTGACTCTCATCGGATTGCTACAGTACTGAAAACGGAAGAAAGTGGTGAGTACGAACAATTGCCAGACAAGACTGAGGTATACTGACTCAAAGAATGCGATGATCGATACCGTCAGCGATCGCAGACCCTGCACGACCTAAACGAAAGAAGTCTCCCACTGAGCCTGTCCAGCCCTCACGTAAATCTCGCCGAATCGCAAAACTACCGCCATCCTCCACCGACGAGAAGACAGATGTCTCGTCCGGCAAGACGAGTGCATCTACTCCTCTCCCAGGGAGTAATATCGACAAACCTCTCGTCGACAGACGGAGGAAGAAGACGAAGGAAGTGAAATCGAGTGATCTTGGCCCAAAAGCATCAGAAAATACAAACGAAACGAAAGAAAGTTCTCCCAAAGCTGTGGTCCACCCTTATTCTCTTGGTCGCATTGCAGAAACAATCACCCATGAGGCCATCATCGACACGGACAAAGAGAGGAAACGAACACCAGAGGTAGCAGTGGAAGAGGACGAACGGGCCAAGGAGAATCTTGCGACGGAGGAGAATTCGAAGCCTGCACCCTATCCGGAGAGTAAAGCCACCACAAAGACGAAGCCCTTCCCTGTGAAGTCGGATCGAAAAACACGGTCAAGTACCCGCCGCCAGGCCAACCCTCAAGAACCACTCGATTCTGGCAGTAGAAGCTTGAAAAAGGTTGGTCAAGCTCCACAGGATCAAACAAGCAAGAAGAAATAATGTCGAAGGGTAAGAAGGAACTAGTCTGGTAACCCAACATCAGCATCGATACTCAAAGACAGATTTGCTTGCACTACTGTCGACCCAAGAGACAGAGCAGTAACCGGTCTGAGAAGGAACCGGCGTAGACGGACGATTTCATGAAAGGCGCCGGGAAGATAACCTTGGACTTTTGATTTGATTTTACTCTGCTCCGGAGTCGTATACATTGGCCTCGGAACAAGCTGTACTTTTGCTGCATGTTGTATATTGGCGCAGTTAATCTTCAAAGCTTCACAGGCGTCGAGGAGAATCAAGTTCAGGACGTCGGAGGGACGAGGGAATTTATGGATCGAGGAAAATTCCCTCGTACGACGCTAGAGACAGTGGCTTCCTATCCTGAGTACACGGGAACATCCAAGCAATCATAGCCTCTAGCCGCAAGTTCTTAATCATGTAGGTAGACGAGTAGCTGTCTCTGACAGTGGTGATAGCGGCATACAAGTAAGGGCAAAAAATTGTACGGTTGGCCAGTGTGGCGCGATCACAACTCTTACATAACCTAAGCTGACGTAAAGAGTTCAAGTAAGGTACTTCGAGTGCGGGATTGAGAAATCAACTCTCTTCTTCCTTACCGCTTGCCTTGTAGGCACTTCCTCATCTCCAGCTAGTCCAAGGCATACCGCCAGGGTATATCCTATCTTGTACCCCTTCTCCTACGGCCAGCAAGAGCATCGATACAATCTGCTACCCAAGCTACAGGATTCATGAGTATAAATGTGTTAGAAGTTCGTGAATCATTGAGACGTTTTCTACGGTTCACCCACTCGTCGTTATTTAGGTGTCTGCGCCCGGATGGGCGTACATTATAGTAGGGGGTTTTGTGGTAGCGGTGCGCACTTTGAACCGAACAAACTAACAACCTTTGCTGATTGCTCGTACAGTTCAGTATGATATCACTGCTTGTGAAGGAGAAGGTGTGGCTCCAATGATTTGCTAAGTTTTCCGGCGATCACAAACGTATCATCTGCAGCTCTACATCAATGAAGTCGTCCTGGGTACTGGGTTGGGTGTGTTAATGGGACCGCATTGCGCCAATGTATTCGACCCTCGCTCGTGGTCGGATGACAGCGACGCCATTACACTTGAAGTAATGCGAGTTGTTCTTGCCGTCGGTCTATTCGCCATCGGTGTAGAATTGCCACAGTCCTACATGTACCAGCACGCGAAGAGTCTACTTATAGTGGTTGTGCCTACTATGGTCAGTTTTCTTCTCCATAGATCACACAGAACTCAGCATCAATCTGACTAACATTTGTCTAGGCACTTGGATGGGTGGTGACTGCGGGTACGGACCTGTTATGAGTGTCACAGCACTAGTATCTGATCAGGCGCCGTAACAGCGTTCATGTTTCTGTTGTTCCCTCGCCTTGACTACATCTCTTGCCTTGCGATATCCGCCTGTCTGGTATGTCCTTGTATCATCTATGTATCATCCATCGTATACTAATACCTTGGGTAGACGCCAACCGACCCTATCATTTCTGCCGCCATTATTGGTTAGTTAAGCTGTTCTCTCTTGTGATTGTCAATGTCTCAACATCATACAGGCGGAAAGTTTGCTATAAAACACGTTCCTGTGAACCTTCGCCGTCTTTTGGCTGCCGAATCAGCGGCTAATGACGGGCTGGCGTATCCTTTTCTTAGCATCTCTATTTATCTCACTACAGAAGCATCACGGGCTGTTGCGGTTGGCAAATGGTTTCTCATAGGATGGCTATGTACGTCTCAGATTTGTTCATTGCTCTCAACTCGGCTGCGACTCATTCATGGTCTTAGATCAAGTCATCCTTGGGGTCGTTCTCGGTTCAGTTCTGGGTAAGCGTCCTCTTTTTGAAACGATTCCTTTGACTAACAATGTTTCTCGAAGGTGTCATGTTTTCTCACCTGATGAAATTTTCCCACAAGAGGGGTTTCATTGATCAAGAATCATACGTCGCACAATACCTATCGCTCGCAATCTTCACCATTGGCGTTACCAAGACCATTGGAAGTGACGATCTCCTTGCCGCTTTTGCAGCCGGTACGTTTATCTCAGTCTCATTATAAGTCGATTCTCGACCGATCATGTCGCTGTTTCAGGCAGTGCTGTTTCCTGGGACGGTCATTTCAACACGCAAGTCGAGGACGAGCTATTCTCTTCCATAATCGACCTTGTCCTCAACTGCGCAGCTTTCATATATATCGGAGCATGGCTCCCCTTTGAACAGTTTAATGCGACGGACCTGGGTCTGCAGCCGTGGCGCCTCCTCGTCCTATTCCTGGTCATTCTCACCTTACGCAGGATTCCGGCGCTACTGTTGTTATACCGATGGGTCCCCGAAATAAGAAACTGGAGAGAGGCCTTATTTTCAGGACACTTTGGTGAGTGTTGACCGCATGCCCTTTGCTTCGTAACAGAACATTTAACTTCGCGACAATACGTTAGGTCCTGTGAGTTGACTAGTACTGCGCTTTGGTGGGCTTTACACTAATGTCTATATGCTCGTACAGATGGGGGTTGGAGCAATATTCATCTCTACCTTAGCTTTGACTGAGCTTGAGACGCCTCAGTCTCCTCCCCAAAATCAACAGCAATTGCTCGCAGCCGTTCTGCAGCCCATGGTTGCATTCGTCGTCCTAGGCTCAATCATCATTCGTAAGCCGATTCAAGATCTTCTCATTTTATGCGTATACTGAATATGGGTTTATCTTTGAACCGAACAGATGGTTTCTCCGTTCCCTTCCTCTCGTTTGGTCGCAAGGTTCACTCCCGCACCATTTCCCTTTCTCAGACCTTTACCTCCCGTGGGAGCGATGGTGCTGTCCCTGACTGGCTCCTCTGGGCCCGCCGCCCTGGGACTGCCAGCCCGAACACTACCACCTTCGATGACGTGGAAGGTGGTCGTGTCATACCAATTTCTGAAACTCAACAAATTTCGGGAGATATGCGAGCGGGGGTCTCTCTCATCCAGGAAGCAGATATCGTGGGCATGAATCCGGCGAGAGCCGGAAAGGAGAGTGATGGCGGCCATGCCAAATCGGAGAGTGAGGAGTGTCCAAGGACCGTCTCTCCTGACGGGGTTGAAAGAGAGAGAAGAGAGGCTATCAACGAAGGAACATTCGTTGGGCCGGAATTCGGAGAAGCAAGCATGCTAGCCTCGCCGAAGCAGGCAAGAATCGTGAAGAGACCTCCACCGCTCACTGACGTCGTGCGTTATTATCGATCATTTTTCCTCCGTATACAGTCTAAAGCTCATCTTAGGGGGGGAAATCACAGGACAACGAAGGGCATGCTGTCGAAAGCAATGCGTCCAAGCCCACGCTGCCCACGTCTGCGAGGACTGTCCGTTTCCCTTCCGCTCAATAACATACGCTCAGCGCCCCTCAGTAGGGCGCCAGGCTCGAAGTGTGTCAACTCGCACCTTGAGCCGCCTGCTGCATGCTGCAACAGTCCAAAGCCCAATCTCTGTACCTTTTCGTTCTGGATTATAACACCCCATCACCACTCACCTCTTAACCCTCAATACTTCGGTCTTCGAACGACCATTACACGCCAATAATCGCGTCCCAACTTCTCATATATGATTGCCTCCTTTTCACTGTCCGCCTTCCAACGTCTCTTCCCACAACATCCATTACTTCGTGTTTGTGTCCGAGCTTTCTGCAACCATTCATATACAGATCCGTCCTGCACATGTCCATGCCATCCGAATACTAGAGCGCATACTACCTAGTCATACTTGCGTCAGCTGGCTCGTATCGCGTCTGCTGTTCGGCGGGTTGTGAGTGCTTGGATATGTCACTGCAGAGCTCTGTTCTCTGTTGAATCCTCATCTTCACAAGCTTGAAGCAGGTCGCATTCTTTACCGAGGCCACCACCCCCTTGCCGCAATTACGTAAAAGCCGCACGGACATCACCCACGATACACCACGGTGCCGCCTGACCACTTTTGACTCTTCGACCCATCGAACGCCTGCACTAGAGACGCCTAGCCTGACTCCCTCAAGCATTCCATTCTCCCGCAGATGGCTCGTCTCTCCGACAGTGTGTTTGAACTAAGGAATGACTGGGATGACTCGCGCTCGGATCCTTGTGGACGCATGCAACACTGGTAGTAAGGTGTAACCTCTACCGGACGACCGATGCAGAACACTGACTGTAAGGTGTAGCGCTGGCCGATCACATAAAGAACCGACTTGCTCGTATTGACCTAGACCACAAACCACCCTCTCATTTTACCCCTATTGCACAAGCAGTCCCGCAATGTCCTCCGGCAGCACAAAGATAATTATCGCAGGCGCAGGGATCGCCGGGCCTGTGCTCGCTATGCTTCTCAAGGCTCGAGGATACGAGCCCATCGTTTACGAGCGTTCGAAAGAGCGCACAGACGCGGGTCTCAGCCTCGTGTACGTCGTTGACTGATTGTCCTCCATCCTATCCCTGTCTCTTACGTACTCTTGCACCGCAGGCTTCAACCTAATGGCCTGCGCATCCTCTCCGAGATACCCGACTTCGTTCAACATATTCCCGGACAACCCATCGCCACAATGACCTCCTTCTCGACTTTAAACGCGTCTCCTGGTCTCTTGCACGCCTCCTCTTTACCCTCCCTTCTTCCCAAGCTTCTCAATCTCGACCACGGCCTAGGTATGCTCGCCGTATCTCGAAGCAAATTTCACGCCTATATCCTCGAACGTGCTGAGGCTGCAGGCGTCGAGATTCAATGGGGCAAGAGGGTGGTTGACGTTGTCCAGCTTGAGAACTCGACCGGTACGGGTAAAGATGCGGAAGCGAAGGTGAAGGTCGTCTTCGAGGATGGAACGAGTGATGAGGCAAGCTGGGTTATTGGATGTGATGGATTGCATAGCGGAGTCCGTATCGCGTTGTTCGGGAAGGAGGCCGCGGATTACACTGGGGTGTCACAGGTGTGTTGCGTCGTGTTTGGCATCCATGGTGTCGCATCGAGGCTTGACACTGACAGGCCGTCGGCATCGGTAGACGGGTGGGATATCGCCCACACCTCAAGCACTCGCCAAATTAGCGACGATGGCGAACTTCTATGGCCTCGGAGCCCACTTGATCGCATATCCAATCTCGAGTACACACACGTCTTGGGCGTAGGTCCGCATGGCTGTTGTTTCTAGTCCTGAGCAACTGAAGGTCGAGCGTACTTGGTATCTGCAGGTTGACTATCCCTGAGGCCGAATTGAAAGAGACCTGGCAAGCCGCTGACAAGGAAACGCAGGAAAAAATTCAAAGCAGCTCGTATGCACAGTGGAACGATGGCGCGGGAGAACTAATCCGGACTACGGAAAAGCTCGTCAAGGTGAGTTTGTCAGTAACCATTACCCCGTCATGCAGGAGTAAACTGAGCCTGAACCAGTACGGCCTCTTCGATCGGCCTGAGCTCAAAACATGGCATAGAGGCCGAGTCGTCCTGCTCGGCGATGCCGCTCATCCCACTAGCCCCGTACGTTGTACTCGCGAGTTTAAGGAGTGAAACATGCCTAACGAAGAGTCTGCACCTAACATTAGCACCTTGGTCAAGGTGCGAACCAAGCGTTCGAAGACATCTCCACTTTGATTCGCCTTCTCGACGCCGATAACACTGATCGTGCGCCACCGAGCACTTTGAGCCTGACCGCAATATTCGTCGAATTTGAGCGAATCCGGATTCCAGTGTCATCAGAGATGGTGAAAGGTGCCAGAGAACGAGGCGAGTCACGAGTCCTTGGGTCGGAGGAGAAATGCAAAGCGAGGAACGAGGCAATCAGGCAGGCTGGGGACTCGGAGCTGAGCAAAGTTTACAGCAAGATATTCGGTGCAGACGAGAAGTTCGCAGAGATGCTAGAAGCTCTCACGACGGACCAAGCTGAGAACTAGAACATCGAGACCGTGCTCACCAGGTGTACGACTTGAATGCAGACCGTGTACTGATTGTGGGGCATAGAGCATAGATAGAGTGTTTCGAAAAGGGCCCGTGGGTTCATGGTGATGGCATCAAAAAGACAATAAAACAACATGGCGCGAAAAATGACTACTCATCCGGAACCTCAACATCCCCCGAGTTGATACCGTCGATGACATCGTGTGGGGGTTGACCGTCAACAGTGCAGCCAACAGACTGGGCAGTGCCGAGAATCTCCTTGACACCACCGGCAAGGTCCTTCGCGAGAGACTTGGACTTCATCGTCCGTGCGATCTCGAAGATTTCGTCAAGGGAGACATTGCCAGTGTGCTTGATGTTCTTCTCCTTCTTGCGGTCCCGTGGGGGCTCTGTGCGTTTCGCTTAGCAACATATAAACCAAGCATGCCGGGTGCAGACTCACCCTTGAGAGCCTTAATGACGAGGGAAGAGGCGGAGGGGACGACGGAGACCTGGGCTTGACGGTTTTGGATGGTGAGTTGGACAGTAACACGGAGACCCTTCCATGCAGTGGTAGCCTTGGCGATATCTTCTCCGACCTTCTTGGGTGACTATTCCAGCGAAACAGGATGCACTCAACTCTCCGCATAGGCCAATATCATCGAGAAAGAACGCACCAGACCAAGAGGACCGATTTTAGGTGCCAAAGCAGAGGAGGCACCGACCTCACCACCGGTCGCCCGGAGGTAGATGATTTTGATTTCGTTGGGATCCTAAGCAGTCACATTGATGAGTACGGACAAGAGGACGACCTAGGGAGAGCGATACGCACGATCTTGGGGGCCATGGTCGTCGGTGGGTTCGGTGGCGGAGCGTGAGCGCTATACTCGACAACAGCGCGGTCGGCCACAAAATAAGGTTCGAGGGCCGCCCCGAAACTGTATAGCTGTCAGCCACAGCTCAGAAAAGGAGAATCTGGGGACGACTGGGGCCGGGCCTGGTGGCCCGCGGCAAGCGTCAACACACCGGCGGCATGGCGCTGATGACGCCGAGGAAGGGCAGCCTAAACGGGCAACGGTGGGTGGGGACCGGAAGTCTTGTTCAACTGCCGTCGTCGACGTCGCCACCGACGAGTAGCCCTATCTGTCGCCCACGGGAGACACTCGTGCGATGTCTGGATGGAAGCTCCAGCTGGGGTTGGCCTGCCGCCCGCTTTCGAGGACAGCGACATAGACCACCTTTTGGAGCTCATCGGTATGGAGCCATACTTGGAAGTCTCCTTTGTCATGCTAACGATCCTGCTCATACAGCTCTTATGCTCGAACGCTTGACGTCCATTAATGATCAAATACCTCTAGCACCGTAAGTATTACCGCTGTCATTCGCCTAACATCCGCTCACCTCTTCTCTAGTTCGAGCGTTACCCGGTTCCATTCTGCAGCGGTGCCGCAAATCAGTATCTTGGATTACCTGCGTCGCATCGTCCGTTACACCAACTGCGAGGTACAATCCCTGTCATCTCTGTTTCTATATATTTCGCTGACGTTATTTGATCTTGTAGAAGACATGCATTCTCATCGTGATGCACTACATAGACCAGATCTGCGCCCGTCTGCCCAACTTCACCATCTCCTCCCTCACCTGCCACCGATTCATCATCACCGCCGTCGCTCTGTCGTCCAAGACTCTCTGCGACGCTTTCTGTACCAATGCACATTACGCTCGTATCGGTGGTATCTCGCCTATCGAGCTCACCCGCCTTGAGCGTGAATTCCTGATCGCTATAGACTGGCGTCTGACGGTAAGTCCCGTGCATGTTCATCTCTTTGTCTTTTGAGTGGTTTCCACCGTCGTCGTCATCCATAATCGATATCGCAGGCTACCTATATCCGCCTTCATCAGATCGAGTCACATTGTCGTTTCGGGCTTTGGGCCACACTCTAATTGTTCGATCGGATGACGTTACGACGAATACTAATCTTATACCCTTCTTTTAATAAATCAATCAGTGCACCCGAGAGATCCTTCAGCTCTACTACGATAACCTCGTCGCGCACAGCAATGGCCGATTCTACATCATCGGCTCTCACCCCTCTCAACCCGAACCTCAATCACCCTCGGAATCACACACGCACTCCCGTTCGCGCGCGTATTCGACCAGCAGCATGACATCTTCCGGGAGCAGTGACATCTCCACCAGTCCTCCTCTCTCCCGCTCCACTTCTCCCATCTCTAGCATGAGCATGAGCGTGAACGTCGACTCACAAGCGCAGTTACAAACGCCGTCTCAAGATCAACAACACGATCAAGCTGCCGACGCCCTATCAGCATTGAATCCGGCTCTACCCTATGTTGCATCACCGACATCGGGCCACACGATGGACGTTGACACAGCTGCGGTACCTTCTTTTGATCCCTCGTCATCGTCTTGAGGGTATCATCATCGACGGATGTCCAAGCGCAGGGCAATTTTGAGCGGCAAAGCTTTAGATAGATGGAGCCCTTCATTCACGATCAATCCACGATCATCCCACTGGGAAATGACTGTGCGACGGTACACGCCAGGTCGCAGGTGGCGTGGAGAAGCCGGTACTTGTACCCCGTATGTGTATGGGCAGTTGTGGGTGCATTCCGTCGGATATATACTGTCGTCGATGGTGGTGCGACACAGGACATAGGGGCGAGCGTGAGGTTGAGCTTGGCATGTGCGTGGGCAAGCGCACCTTTAACTTACGCAGCACGGACGGCTGCAGTCTCATTTTATCTATCAGAGTCTATTTCCACCTCAATCCATTATTTTCGCAACTGCCATGACTTTTCGTTCTTCATCTCAGTCTCCGTGGTCTTCTTTTGGTCAACAAGAGCTCTTTTCGTGCCGGTGAGATGTGTTCAATGTGTCCCCTCGGTGTATCTATAATCTTTCTTTTTTTCAACCATGACATTTGCTAGTCCCTAGGTCCGGTTTGAATCCTTTCATTCCACACGGTACTTTGAAGACGTCTCCACACAGATCCGAACCCCCCATCCTCTTCCGTTCCGTTGTCAATTTCTTCCTTTTTCTTTCCATCTTTCTCCTTTTCATCGTCTCAGTCTTCCTCCTTCCTCTCTCTTCTTTTCTTCCTTTCTTTCTCTATTGCCGTGCTCTGTCTTTCTTTTACGATCATCTCATCAGCATCTTACCTGCTCTTCAACCTATCTCGGGCATCGCGTCGTACGCGCACACGCATGTACTCGTACATACTCTACACTTCCTTCCCATTGACATTTTACGGTCAACAACAAAGTAGTTAATAGCATCCCTCGTGTATCCGATCGATCGAGTTGCAAGGCGCACCACATACACGAACAGACACGGGACGGAAGAGGGAACAAGACGCGAATGAATTTGAGCGATAGGATGAACGAGTGAGTGGTGTTTGGGTTTGGTTTGAAGTCGGGTCACTAGTACTGGCAGGAAGCTATTACTAGCAAGAACGTAGTCAAGTTCGACCAATATACTACACGTACACACCTTCAGGCGGGGGAGGGGGGGAGGACGACACAACTTAAAGTGAGCGGGCGGGCGGGCGGGTGAGCGAGATGGGGTGAGCAAACGATTCAGAATCCCCTCCCATCCCAGAAAGAAAAAAGAAAACAAACACGGATTGGGGACTTGGACCGGGCGATCGCGAAAGGAGCTTGAAAGTTGAAGTTGCAGGGTGGGTGCGTGGGTGTCAAATGAAAAAAAAAAATCATGATGCTTTAAATAGTCCATTGCATGCAACAAAAACAAAAACAAATAAATGAACTCTCAAACTCTCAAACTCGAATTGTGAAGAAACCGATCCCTCATCCGAAGGCAGCACACGCTCTTTCGACAATCTCACGCTGGGGCTGGGGCGTACACGAAAAAGTGGACGGTCGGGTCGAGTATACGTATACGGAATCACTGAAGAAAAAGAAAATTGAATATGAATATAAAGAAATTGAATTGGAAAGAGAAGAGAGATGGAGAGAAAGAGGAGAAAAAACATTCTAAAGAGCGATTGTGTTGTGGTTGGGTTCAATGGTTGGTTCAAACAAGTAGACAAGCAAGCAAACGAAGGAAAAAGGAAAACAATGCGAAACATAAAGAAAGAAAGGTGGAAGTAACATTAAAGAAGAACAGTGTAAAAGAAAAGAAAAAAGAAAATCACAGACATCCTCGCGACCGACCGACCAATTCGAACTTCGAACCCGAAGCAAGAATGAAAGTCGGACCGCCAAGAACGAATCCGCGAATATTGTACGTTACGTTACGCTACGCCATACGCCACTTTTTAACAATACAACGCGACACCAGAATACCAGACCCGTACCGCGCGCGGGAGAGAGTTGAGTTTGAGTTTGAGTGAGTGATTGGGGGTGGGGGGGGGGGGGGGTGGAGAGATTGCGGGAGAAAGGGGGAGAGAGATTGCGGGAGAAAGGGAGAGAGATTGCGGGAGAAAGGGGGAGAGAGATTGCGGGAAAGGAGGTCTTTGAAGTTGAAGGGGAAGGGGTTTGAAGGTGAAGGGAGCGCGGGAAAGGTTGAAGGTTTGAAGGGTTTGAAGAGAAAGTTGAAGTGACGGGTGAGAGGGTGGACATGAGTATGAGTATTGAGTATGATGGAAAACGTGGTAGAGCGAGAAGGGAGAAAGAAGAAAAGGTGGGGATGTATTGGGGAGATGGGGAAATGGGTACGCTTTGACCAGAACCGCAACGAACGAACGACTACTCGAAAGTAACCCCGCTCAACCCACACCCCACACCACACCACAAAGAAACGCGCGCCTCATGCATGTATCCTCATCTGCTTCGGACGACGGAAAGGAAAACAACAACCTGCGATCGATAACAACCATAACCGTAAAAACAAACACAAACGACAGTAACACGCACGCGGCCCCTCACCCTCATCGTCTCAGCGCAGACAACATCTTCGCCAACGCATTGATCTGTCCCTTCTGCACCACCTTCTTCGGCGAATCAAACGACCCATCCGCACTGCCTCCATCGTGCTCCAACCCGTCCAGATCCGTCGTGCTCGTCGCCGCATCCTGCCTGTACATAGACACAGGTGCACGCGCCAGGTGAGAGGACGAAGACGCCGCCTTGTGCGAGGACGAAGACGCCAGGGGAGAGGAGGAAGAAGAAGCCTTGTGCACGGCGTTGGAAGACGAAGAGGCCTTGTGTGCGGCGTTGGAAGACGACGAGGATGCGTCGACGCCGGGGCCGGGGCGTTCGGGAATGGGACCGAGGGCTTGTTGGGACTTCGGTTTGCGGGGTCGTTGGCGCGGTGGAGGTGTGAAGACTGCGCCGTTAGGATCCGAATAAAGTTGTCGGGGGAGCTCGGTCAATTCCCAAGGAACACCGGACATGACTGCGAAAACAAATCCACATTATCAGCAAAAACGCTCCTCGACCAAACGTAACGAAGCAAGGAAGGGATGAAGTACTCACTCTTCACATTCGGAGGCGGCCTGCCCACCCGTCCATTCGGCTGCCCGCCCTTCCCATTCCTCCAATTCTGCGACGACGCACTACTCACACTCGTCGCATTCGTCGCCACGCTCCTCACGCTCTGATTGCTATACCTCGTAAACGCCGAAGTGCTCGTATTCGTGCTCGACATCGAGCTCCGCCAATTACTCTTACTGCTCGCGATCGAGCTCGCGCTCGATGCCAGCGGCTTTCCGTTCCGCGTACTCGTCGGTGATGCGCCTCGCCGGCTGTCCACGCCCGTCGCCCACTGCTCGATGCTGTGGTTGTGACTGTTGTGGTGGTTCGGATCGGCGGCGCTCTCGTTCGAGCTTTCTTGACGGTGGTGAACGGCGGCAGGCGACGGCGAGTGAGCGGCCTGGGTGCGTGGCCACGTCCCGCTGAGTGTCGAATGAGCGCCACTATAAACCGCAGGAGGAGCGAGAGCGGCCTTCGGCTGTCGTCCACGTCCCCAGCTACCACCGTTGTCCTCCGAGGGATTGCCAACATCCTTGGGCGTAGCGGCGGTCGCAGGATTGAGGCCCATGATCAGCCCCGTCACGTTCGCCGCCGTCGACGACATCTGCCTCGACGCCGACCCGTCTGAACGCGTCGAAATCGACTCCGCGCCGAGCGATACCGCAGACGCACCGAGGGCCCTATCGGTCGTGGTGGAAGCGGACGAACTGGACGTCTTCCCGAACCCGAGCTTCCACTTCGACGCCTTCTTCGTCACGATCGGCTGCACGACGTCTGGCAGCTTGGGAGCGGGCGCGTCGGACACGGGCGACCTGACCGACGAGAGACTGGGCGAGTTGAGCGACGCCGTCGCCGCGCCCTTGGACGCACGACTGAGTTCGCGAGCGAGGCTCTGCGAGGCCGAGGCGAGGATGTCCGCGGTGAAATCACGGTCGGACGTGGACGTCTGGACGACGCCGCCTTTGCCCTTGCGCGCCCCGCGCTTCCGGCGTTTGGTGGTCGAAGTCGCGCGTGACTCTGAGCGTTCGTCGGGCTCTTCTGCTTCGTGGCACATCGAGAGCTCGGTGGCTTCCATCTCGAATGCGGGGCCGAGGGAGGGTGCACGGGAGAGGCCACGCGAGAGAGGGACGCTTGCGCCGTGGAACGAAGCTTGTCTCGAAGACGGACGACGCGAAGGCGGGACGGAAGAGAGAGGATGTCCAGTGATGATGGACGTCGTGGATGACACGCGACTGTGCGTTGGCTTGGAGGGTGAGGATTGCCCGAGCAAGGCGGGAAGGTCCTTGGCCCAAAGGCCGAATTCGCGAGCAGAGACCCGCTGCGAGTCATCGGTGGAGTCGTGAAGAATACAGAAAACCTTATCGGCGAGGTAATGAGCGACGGCGTGCGACATGCCCGCGAACCTCGCCAGGAAGAAGTTCACGGGCGACTGGCGAAAAAGACTGAAAGAAGAGCAGCCCTCGTGTGCGGTGTCCGTCCACGGATTGTAGTGGTAAAGCCTGATAAGGTTTAGAGTCAACGATCGAAAAGGAAAGCTACTACGCCAGCTGACGGATCACCACGTACATGTTGATCAAGACGATGCCCAATGACCACACGTCCGCGGCACGGGGCTTGTACGTTGGGGCAACATTGTTTCTGCATTCTGCGGATAGGCAAAACGGAAGGTCAAAAGGAGTTAAGATAAGAAGCACGCGAAGAAGAAGGCCTACCGTAGCTCATGTACGGAGCGCTACCACAGTCCATGTCGGCGGAATCGACGTCGGTGGTGGATAAGCCAAAGTCGCTAAGTTTGACTATGACCTTGCGTTCCCGAGAACCATCGGCGTTGGTCGTCCAGCCGTCGGTGACGATGAAGTTTTCAGGCTTGATGTCGCGGTGGAAGACGGAGGCGTCGTGGCAGACGGCGACGGCCTCGCACATCTGAGAGAACATGGAGGCGATAAGACGGAGACGGGTGTGTGAGAGAAGTTGAGCGGGATGGAGAGACGAGAGCAGCCCAGGCGTGGGCGGCGTGCGACCGGTGGAAGAATTAGAGTCATCGGAAGACGGATCGAGATCGTAGTGGTCGCGAGCCTGTTCAAGAAAGTAAAATAGGTCCTCGCCTGGGACATACTCGAGCAAGAGAAGCAAATAAGAGGAGGTTTCGAGAGTGCGATAGAGCGTTACAATGTTTGGATGAGTAGGGAGCGACTGGTGGATGGTGGCCTGATGATGGGGAGTGTGTGTGTGAGCGTCAGAAATAGAGAGAGAAGGCACGAAAGAGAGATAACGAACCTCGACCATCTGCGCGGCCAGGGCGTCCTCGTCGAGGTTCGCTTTGGAAAGCAGCTTGATAGCGAAATCGCGGCCATACTCGACAGACGGCCTTGGGCTGAATTCCTCGTCGAGATCGAGACGGCCACCGATGATGTGGCCGGCGTCGGAGGACGGGGGGGAACGGGAGAGGACCTGGCGGACGAGATAGACGACGGCGTAAGAGCCGGTGCCGAGCTTCTTGACGACCTCAAACTCGCGAGCGGGCTCCTCGTGGTCGAGCGGAGACGGCTGAGCATGTGCGTCGATGGGGAGCCTGCGGAGGGGCTCGCCCTGGAGATCGATGCCCTCGCCTACGACATCGCCCTTTGTGAGGATGTCAGCGACGGCGGAGGACGAGTCTGAGCGCCTGCTCGACCTGTTGTCCTCGGAGGGGGCGATGTCGATGACGGAGGACGAGGGCGGCTGCTGGAGGGGCGGGAAGTAAGAGGGGCGGGGATGGTGAGTTGTGTGAGCGAAGCTGGGGGTGGGGAGGGGCGAGCCGGCAAAGGAAGAAGTTACAGAAAGAGGCAGGTGGAGAGAAGAGGAAGGGGGAGCAAGAGCGGTCGGGAGTCCCTCGACAGGACGCTTGTTGGACAAAGCAGAGGGGGACGTGAATGGCCTGCGGGATGAGGGAGGCTTGTTGGGGTCATTAGAGCGAAACTTGGAGGAAGTCGAGGACTGTTTCTTGTTGCCGGAAAAGTCGAGGGGGGGCGGGTGTACGGTGTACTGCAACATTAGCCAGAGAGAGACTTGAGATATCGGCCTGTGCTCAGCGAAGAGGTGGACGGGGGACAGACAAGGACCGGCTCAAAGTCTGGTAGGGGGGCGGAATGGCATGCAGCAGGGGGGACCCCGTCGAGAGCGACGACGGCGCAGGGCTTGCGAGGGGGGCGGACGATGTGGTGGAGGAGAAAGCCTGAGAAGAGGAGTCGATTGCCGCCTGCACTTTCGCTACGAGACTGGCGGGGCTTGAAATTCACGGCGGAGTCACATGTGCCGCTGTCAGTATCGCAGACGGTCGGACCGCACGAAAGCGACTCACACAATCAGGACCTTATTCTCGCACACCAGCGATGCGGTGGCTGCAGGCTGTAGGGCAGGACGAGGCGGGAAAGGGGGGAGAGGAAGGGACGGTGGTGGATGGATGGGAAGATAAAGTAGGAGTTGGATGCGCAGGCACCATGTGCAGCCCTCGCCCACGTCCACGCGCACAGGTTTCGGATAGTCTTCCCTTCTGTCCTCCATTCTCCGACATACTCGCGTGCAACCCACAGCCCGGGCCAGACCGTCTACGCTACCATCAATCAACCACCGACGCCCACCACGAACACACCCGCCTCTTATCCGCTCCCCTCACCCGCATAACCGCCGTCTTCGCCTCCCGCCCCCGCCTCTGTGCGAGCAGCCACCCCGCCCACGCCATCGTCGCCTCGCCCTCCGCCTGCCCCCGCCACCGTTCATACACCTCCTCCAGCACCCGCCCCGTGCCACCCGCCGCCGCCGCCGCCGTCTCCGCCCCAAACACGGCAGCCCACACCCTCCCCGACGGCAAGTACCGCTCCCCAATGTGGCGCACATCCGATATCCGCTCTCCCTCCTCATGACCGCCTGCCCAGATCACGGCCACGTACCGCACCAGCAGCTCTTCATGGACCGCCATCAGCCTCGAGTCCCCCATGCTTTCCCTCACCAGTTCCTGTAATAATAAAACATGTACACTCGTCAGCCAACTTCTCCCGAAACGCCGATCCGCATCAAAGATAGATCCACCTCCAACGTCTCTCTTCCACATCCCTCCAATCCCCACACCCAAACGTCCATCGTCCCCTCTCCCCGAACTTCCCTCCTCGCTTGCGCCCATGCCCCTCGCACCTCTTCCTCCCGTCCACACCTCCGCTCCGCCTCGAGTCTCGCGAGCCACACGCATGCTGTCGTGCGACTTCTCGCGCTGTACTTCCTCGCATGTCGCAACACTTTCTCTCGTGATGCGATCGCCCCTGTCTCTGTTGTTTCGGATTGTGTGATCAGTAGCAGCTCCAGCTCGATGTGCGCCGCTTGCAGCGCGGGTGAATCATGTGTCCGTGCTAGCAGCTGGACGTGGCTCAGTAGATACGATTTCTGCAACCAAAAATAATAGTCAGTTCACTACTAGAGATACGCCACGCGCAAAGCAGAATAGACGCGACACGAGCTCCACAGATAGACTCGACACGCTCCACAGCATTCACGGACGCAAATCCTCGCCCACGCCCACGCCTTTGCCGTTCCGTCCCTTTCATTATTCATTTGCTCATAATTAATGAACGCAACGACGTGATGGCACGGGTGCGATCAGAGCAACGCAACCAACACGCCCCGCAGCCAAGTTCGCAACCCAAACTTAGCTAGGAAAGAAAGGAAACTCACGAGATTCGCGTCGATCCCCCGCGCACACCATTCTTTCACGAAACTCGCATAGACGCGAGACATTGCCTTTTTTTGTGCCTCCTTCCCTTGAGACGAGTGCACCTCTTTGACGGCCCTGACCAATTCATCGTTCGCTGAGCGCAGCGCATCGACGAACCCGGGCTCATGTATCCCTCTTCCGCTTCCTTCGTCTCCTTTCTGCGCATCCGCATCCATCGTGGTGGCCCTGGTTGCATCCTCCCGTGCGGCCCTTGCATCCACGAATGTCGTGGTCCTGGTTGCATCCGCATCCGTCCTGGTTTGCGTGGTTGCGTGTGTAACATACGGCATCAACCCCCGCATAGCCCACATCTTCACCCCCTCCGCATCACGCGGTAACGTCGCACGCAATACGCCATACAGATGATCCAGGAGGGAGGCACGGAGGGAGGCGGGGGAGGGGTAGGAAGATATGAGGGATTGGAGGGAGGTGAAGAGGGGGAGGGTTGGGAGGGCTGTTTGGGTATTCGTGGGGTGTTAAGTGAGAGAAAACGGGATGGGTGGATGGGTGGATGGGATGCTACGAACCTTGGGCGGCGCTGGAGATGACTGATTTTATGATTTGGCCGTTCATGATCGCCCGACGCGCTTCTTCGCCTTCTTCTTCCTCATCCTCTTTCTCAACTTCGAGCACCATCTCGTCCTTCTCCTTCTCCTCTCCATCCACATCCACATCCATCCCCTCCTCCCCCTTCCCCTCCTTCCCTTTCCTCTCTCCCTCCTCTTCCCTCCCTGTGCCTTCCCCCTCACCTCCACCTCCACCCCCAACTCGAATCCCCAAAACCCCCCACCTCCTCCTCATCCCCTCCACAAACCCCATCTCCATCCTCACATACTCCCTCCACATCTCCACGCTCTCCCCGTTCAGCCGGATCCCGCGCTGCAGGAGCGTGCGTGCGGCGGAGGGGGAGAGGGAGGAGAGTTCGTGGGAGGCGGCGAGGATGTAGAGGGGGGGGTGGGTTGGGTGGAGTTGGAGGGCTCTGTTGATGATTCACGCGTAGCAGGTTCAGTTTCAGTTGGAGCAACAGTTTTGGTAACAGAGTGGGTGTGTGGAAGAAGTGTAGACTACAAACATACCTAGCCGTAATCCTCCCAACCAACGCCCTCGCGCCCTCCCTCTTCGCCAGCTGTATGTATTGCACCCACAATCCCACGTCCGCTTGGAACTTCTTAAGTGCTCGTTCGAAGATGTGGAATTGACGGCGGACGAGGGCGTAGTCTGAGATTGAGGGGGGCGAGGGGGGGAGGTCTGGGGCACAATTGTTTCAACGGTCAACTCAACATTGCCGGGTGAACAAGAAAGGAGGAGGACGAGGAAGAAGGAGGACGAGGAAGAGGGAGGACGAGGGGGAAAGGAGATGGGGATGGGGAAGGGAAGAAAACGCACTCAACCGCTCAACCCGTTTCTTACGCAACGCCTCAAGACCCATCTCATACGCCGCATAACGCACATAATCCCCTTTGCGCGCCACACGTCTCACGAGCGCCGTCTCGAACGCGGTCCGTTTCTTCAGGATCTGTTTGATTTCTTTCTGGCGCGGTGGGAGGGGTGGGGGTTTTCGTGGTATATGAGATATGAGATATAGGGTGGACGGTGGGATGGGATGGGTGGAGGAGAAGGAGAGGAAGGGGAGGGGAGGAGGGAGGGAGAGGAGGGAGAGGAGGCATACTTGTGTGAAGAGACCTTTTTCGGATAGGTCTTTCAGCTCGGCGAGCATCTACATGTGTGGTATTTTCTTTTTAGGACGGCTCGGGTTTGGTTTGCGAGACTGGGTCAACGCGACGTACCTGCTCCTGCTGGAACTGGACCTTCTCCATGGTGGTATGCGACTAGTAGTACAAAAACAACCAAAAAAGCAAGGAGTTGAAAGGTCAGAGTGAGTGGCCAGGCCACAAATTTTGTTTGCGGCGTATGTAGTGGTTTTAATTTCGAAGGATGGATGTGGAACCGGACCGCCTCGCCGTTCTTCGACGTGACGGATAGCGGAGTACCAAATCGAGCCAACCGAGTCCCGACGATTCGCTCAACCGCCTGCACAGCAAAAACCATAACTCACACCTCTCTCTCATCAAACTCTCACTCCGTTGAAGGAAAGGAACGGCCAGGAAAACATGCCTCCAAAATCCCACAGACCAGGTCTCCCCCGCACGCATTCCCGCACGTCTTCGACGGGCTCTTCGTCTAGAGCGGGGGCGTTCGGTAATCTACAGTTGACGCAGAAGGAGCCGGGGCCGAGCAACAATGTGAATGCGAATGGGAATTTGAACGGTGGTGGCAAGGTTGATAAAGCAAGACGGAATGGCCATGCTCATGCTCATGATGTGCGTTGTTTTTTGGTTTTTGGTTTTTGGTTTTTGCTTGTGTGTTTGGATGTATACCCCCTTTTTCGGCTGCCTCGTTCTGTGGTTGATCCACCTGATCAACCGTTCATCTCGCACGCTTTTCATCGACATGCCTGGTCTCGTGTCGAGCTCTCACTGATCCGCTCTTTTCATTTTCATGGTGTATGATATATAGGCAAGCGTAGTCCATCTCAGAACCTCGAACAGTGCCCAGCGCATCCACTCCCGCGAGCACATCGCCAACGCCCCTCCCAAACGCGCGCCCCTCGCCGCCCACCTCCACACCATCACCACCAACAACACCACCAACAACACTACTAATGCCCATGGACGTCCGCCCACCAACGGGAGACACAAAGCCGGCTTCACACTCGCCAGCACCGGTTCCGCGAGCGACGATGACGACGCGTGGGTATCGAGCGAAAGCGGCGCTGCGACGCCTGATCGGAATGCTAGCGCCGGTTCGGATGGTGAAGAGGAAGATGATGATGAGGAGGAGGAGGATGATGAGCAGGTCACGACGCCGCTTGAGAGGAGTAGGCGGAATGCTGCGATGATGAATGATGCGATTAATGAGAAGGTGCCGGGGACACCGAGAGGCGTGGGGTCACCACCAACGCCTACGACTGAGCGCGGAGAACCTAGCGTTGTGTTTCCGAATACTACTGCAAATGTGGCTCCTATTCCTGATCAACAACTCCTGCCCCCCCGTGAAGAGCCAGCTCGTCGCGTGTCGGATCTTCAGCAGAGGCCTCAACCGCCACAGTCATCCGAGCCAGACAGCAAGCCTACGAATGGGAAGACTACCTCCTCTCCTCCGTCACCGCAGGTCCCAGATAACACGCGAGCCAACCGACATTCGTACCACGCCAGCACCCGACCGCCATTCACGCGTGCTCCCTCGACACATTCCACACGCTCCGTGACGTCCGCCAAAGACCCACACGCACATCTCCGCCCCCATCCACTCATTCGCGGGCAGTCCTACGGGCACGCACATCTCGCACCCTTGACGATCACCTCCGACCCCGCTCGCGCACAGCTTTCAGCGTCTCCTTCGCCCCCACGGTCCCGCGTCGCTTCGGATTCTGTATCATCTTCGCCGACGAGTATCAAGACTTCGCGCGCTTCGCCTGTCGTTACGTCGCCCTCGAACAATCCCTACCGCCGCGACTCTGTCTCTTCCGCCAGATCAGTCGCGACGCTCCCCGTCCAACCTCTCACCTCCCTCGCTTCCGCCTCCTTCGAAACTTCGAACGGCGGCTCTTCTTCCTCCAATCGCCCCACACACGACCGTACACGAACGCTTTCCACCCTCTCCACGTCCTCATCCATGACCGCGCTCTCCTCGCTCGCTCATATCCCCGGAACGGGCTCATCATCGAAACACCATCAGCAGCAGTCGGCCCAGCAGTATGTGATTTCGCATTTCCCGAAACAGGGACGGGATGAGGGCCCGGAGTGGATACATCCGCTTTTGCCGGCACCGTATATCGCGCCGCATGTGTCGTTGTTGGCATATCGGAATCCGATTGGGGATTCGTTTGAGACGGTGTCGAGGGCGAAGATGAGGGTGGGGAGGCGGTAGTGCGGTAGTGCGGTCTATTGAGGTGTGGGTGGTGTGATTTGCAAGTTTGTTTGTGCTTTGTGCTTTTATTTTCTACCGTTCTGCGTACATATTTGCTCCGGGCGACACCCCCCCCCCTCCATAAGCCCGTAATTTGGCTTCTTCCCTTCTGCACCTATCGCATCCATACAGTCCCGATTTTTCTTTCCTTTTTCTTTCTGCTCTCTCTCTCTATCCCGTCTACAATTGCCCTTTGCCGCACACATACTGCTCCGGACATCCATCCATTGTTCAAGTTTCATATCCATATGTTTGTTTGTTTGTTTGTTTCCCACTCTGTTGCACGCACACCATCCGTACATGCATGCCCATTGCCAGCTCAGCACCAGCGCTTCTTTATCATTATCGTTGCTTTTGCCCTTCTTCCTGCCCTGTTGCCTGCATCTTCTACGCTTTTCTTTTATCTTTTGTCGGTATCCCCGAATGTACTTCTATGCATGGTTGCCGCCAGCTTCTCGCTTTCTACTTCGAATATCGATCGATCGCGATGGACTTTCTTTCCTATTGTTTTTCCCAAGCGCACCGGTTCGTCAATGACTCCTCGTTCGTCGATACTGAGCACGTTGTGTCCATCTCAGACTCAAGATTACTCAAGAGTCAAGACTGCAAACTCGAAGGATCATTAACCTCAACATCAAACACCGAAAGATTCGGTAGGTTTGTTTTTGTTCGCAGACTTGGGGCGTGGTGACAGCGTGTCAACGGTCGGCTGGTCGATCAATATCGGGGAATTCACCGTCGTGAATGATCCATCTTACGCCACCGTAACCGTGGCGTGGCGTATCGTGCCACCTTCGTCACATACTTGCGCCGGCCTCCGCTTGAAACGATTGACCACTCTAGCGTTGGTGGCATTTGCACCAATTAGAATGCTTGACCGGTCGGTGATGCAGATACAGACAGATACGGATACCTTGGTCCTTGTGCCTGTGTCGTGTCGGGTTCACTACCATGTGCATCAGGATTCAACTGGTGTCGTCTTCCTATCAACGGTCACGCCTATTCTCCGCCGATGTTTCATGCGGATTATACATACGCATGCTAGCTAATACTGTAGGTCGTCGCACATGGAACGAACGCATGACGAGCTCTGATGCTATCAGGCCGTAGACAACGCCACGATCATCACAGGGCATGTACTTCAACTGGTCGCTTCAACATGATGCACACTGGCATTAACGGGTTCGGATCCTTGCCTAGTTCCTCCCGTACTTGTCTGATGCTGATCTTGATGAGGTTCAAAGCCACGATTGGCGAGGCAAGAGACAGCCAGGGGGTTGGCCGTCGACCGGTGCAGAGTGTGATTCAGAAAGATCACACGGAGCATAACTTATCGGTATACCGTAGTACTCGGACTCGATGGAGAGTTCTCCTTGGAGTTGCAGTGTAGCCTAGAGTAGATGCTGACTATGGACGATATTGCGACATTCGCCGCCTTCGAATGCTTATGCTTGGTACGAGTACAACGACTGTCGGTCCCGGTCCTGAAGGAACCGGCGTAACAAGTTCACTATCTGTGGTATGTGTGTTTTTCCCCACAGCTCGTATGTTTTTAATTTGCCGTTCTTATCACCATCCCTTTGTCGTCCTTGACAGGAATAGGAACTGGACGTACACGTCTCTCAGGTTTGCAATAATGGTCAGTCCGAGGAGTCTAGAGAGTTAGACTTTGCCTCAAGTTTGTATCTCCTTAGTTCCTTCTCCTTCTGTTGTCCTTCACATGTTTCTTCTATCGACAGGTTATCGGTGAATGGTTTAATATCTGGTCTCGTGTCCTGCGAATATTATGGCCATCCTGAGCTACAATAGCTCCGTGTTCATCTCTCGTATCTCTCACCCACAATTATATGACGCCAACTGGAGAGATACGGCTACCGACTCTCTCCAGTTGGCCGGAGAGGTACAAGGTTTGAACACTTGATATACGAGCCGTGGGTGCGCAGACGGACGACATTGTCCTAGCAGCAACGCATCCGAATCACGGTGCCGAGCACTGGCACCGGCATTGTATGATACATGCCTATTGGGAAAGAGTCGATGAAATCCTATGAAAGCCTCCTCAATGCGATTCAGACTACTCTGACGTCGACATCCCGTACTCTCGGTCGTTCTATCTGTGACTGCTACACTCATATGGTTATAGGAGAGGTGTGGGGAGCATGCGTATATGCAGTGTCCTGCGGAGTCTTCTCGCAGTGACTGTGGCTGCTTGACCCCTGTGGACGATATGCTACTCAATTTAATGTTGATGATGGTAAAGCGCCTGTCGTATGGATGTCCATGTCGTCGAACTTCCTCAAGCATCGCCTTCTCCGACAAGGCCTGGCGTAGTATGGTCTATTATGTCGCCATGATCACTGGAACTCGTCTGTTGATATCGATAGCATGCGCAGTGAGTATCTACACCACCTTCTGCGCCCTACGCAGCCTGCTGCCTGATCTGCCACGGCGTCACTTTATACAAATTTATAAGGTTCGTCGTCGACAACACGACCGCGTCTTCTTAGAATCGTGCTCCATCGAGTTAATCTTGACTTAGGGGCGTATCAAACCTTACGGACTATCTAGCATCATGCTGTATCGATTCGGAGAGCACTTTGCCACGACATAGAAGTGTCCTAGAACGTAAAGTGTGCCGAAGCGGGATCCATTCATGGAAGGCGTGGCATCAGAGCATATGGCCCATGGCCACCTGTGTGAGAGCAACTGAGGAGGTTGTTGTCGTATGTTCGATGTTGCTTCTTTGGGCTCGGGACCTGCTACGCTCAGGAGGTGGCATCCCTCAGTACTGATGCTCGCAGGGCGATGTAGGTTGCTGCAGCCGTTGAACGGCTCCACGTTCGCGTGTATGTGTGAGCGGTTGTGTGTCAGTGCTCTTATAGCCCGCGGGGCTCTTTCTTCCGTTCGATCTAGTCACGCAGGATGATTCCAGAATAATGGTGTATTATTGGACATTTGAATGGAGTGAAACAGCTGATGAGCTGGCGCCATGGTTCGAGAAATATTCTTCCTCTTGGCTGTATAGGAGGCTGGCTACACCGATCACAACCAGAAATCAGACAAACCAAACACCGTTTCGTGCTATAGTATGGCTTTCAAGTTTCGTTCCGATGCTCGTTCCATGCAAGACTGGGCTGGAGTGTAATCCTTGGGATGAGATGCACGAAAAACAATCCAGACTTCCTGTGTTCCGTGACAGTAGTTCTGAGAACAGAAGACGAAGCTACCTTCTACTTTCTACTAGCGGCCCGCTTGCGCTGGTTTAGATGTGGTGGAGCCTAGAGCAAGACTAAGAAAAAGACATAAAATAGCAAGCAGCCCATTGGAAGGGAATAGGTTCTTCGAACAATGTTCCAAGATGTGAAATTGAACGACGTGTGTCCGAGATCCAAAGACGCACTGTGCCAATCCTCAGCCGAGACAAGAAGGTCGGAAACCTTGTCGTGAATATGGCAAGTGAATCCTATTAGGTTGAAGCAATGCTCTCACCTCCCACCGTTTAAGGGTGCTGAGCGGTTTTAGGGCGCAGTTGGTCAATACAGTAGCTGTGTAGAACGGCGTAGAACCATGCGGTATGAGCATGACGATGGCCATCGTTGTGTTTGACTGCTTGGCTCTGTGAACGATGTGGCGAGACCGTGCTATGTTTCTTCATCCAGCATGCATGACCTCAGGAACAATCCCAGATGGACGAGGAAAGTGAACGGGTGTAATGCAAAACCCCGTGGATGAGAAGGGAGGGGTACCGCGGCCACAGGATTCCGAGGAAAGATGTGTAACTGCACCATTTCTACAATAAATTATCAACCGGTTAGCACAACTCTACTAGACTTCGTAAAATTTCTCGTCTATTGTTAATTATAACTTACCTGCGTCGGACGCTCCTCATGGTCGTGGCCCTGGGAGTGCAAAGTTGCAAACCAAAGGCTCCCAGGGAGCAGTAGAGAAAGTATTTAAACTAAGCAGAGAGACACGAAGGACTGGAAGACACAGAGCGATGCGGCGACTTCAGAGTTCCGGCCTTACGATGAACGCTCAGAGGCTGCAGTTATTGCGGCAAATATTGGTCCGGGAGTATCTGATCTATAGTACGAAGGGTATCCCGCACTCGGTACAAGCGGGTGAGTCGCAGAAAAAGCACGTAATAGGCTCGTTGATTCGAGGGGGTGTGGCGACATTTAGTGTTGTGGCACAAGATGAAGTTCAAGAACAACCTGCAAAGATATTGAAATTCCGAAAACGAACCTCACGTGTACGTGGTCGATGACGTGGCGGGCGTCGCGTCAACAACGGCACGTCGAGTGTTTCGTAGAGCAGCCGCTGCTCTCAAAAGCCTTGTACACGTTCATTCCGCGTCCTACCAGTTCTCTACGTTGCCCAACCAAGATTGACTGTAACTTCTCTGAAGATGTGGTTGACAGACATGCAAAGTGTGTGGCAAAACTTGCATGTTATACATGAAAAGCTAACACTGCGATTCTTACCTCTCTCGTAGAGATTGGCGTGGCCTTGACTTCGTTCGGTGGCCTATTCATGCTCCTTGGAGTAGTGTTGTTTTTCGACGGTGCGCTCCTTGCGCTCGGAAACGTGCGTCTTGTCATAATCTCGATATATGGCCCAAGTGCTCATCTTGGCTGTGGACTTGTTATACCTCCAACAAATGCAGATCCTCTTCTTGGGTGGACTCTTCCTTATCATCGGGCCACAGAAAACCTTTTACTTCTTTGCACGAAAGAACAAGCTGCGCGGAACGGTGTGTTTTCTTGGCGGTATCATATTGGTATTTATCAAATGGCCATTTGTCGGCTTCATCCTCGAGACATTTGGGTTCCTCAACCTCTTCGGGTGCGTCTCTTTCCATCATTTCATCTCTCCAATATTGATATAACATTCGTTGCCCCGTATTGTGCTATGCGTGTACTTCTGTCTGCAGAGACTTCTTCCCTGTCATTCTGACCTTCCTACGACAACTGCCATTCATCGGAAACCTACTCAATATGCCATATATTCGAACAGTGAGTCCTTTGTTCTAATTCCTTCGTGTGGAAGGTCAGGATGAACAAGAAAGGCTTTACTCCGCTTGTTTTGGTGATAGGTCGTAGATCGGCTAGCAGGCTCTCGAACTTCAATTGTATGATCCTCATGCGGAGTGGACCTAGAGAATATATATGCACGCTGCAGAAAGTCTTCCGGCTTTGCCAGATGGCAAGATTCGAATTCTTCTTCTTACCTGCTCGTGGAAGCAGTCTAAATCGCGCGCAATTGCGTTTTCGGTTCAGCTGACGCAATGTATTCGCATTGCCGGTAACGAAGCCTAGCTGCTTGCGTCTACACGGGTAAGAACTGTCAACTAGAAAGGTTGGGACATTTTCTATGTAATCCGCCACATTAGTCAGACCTGACATGGTACCAGTCTGCTGCACCATAATTTCGTCCTGTCACATATTGAAGAACTAGCCTTTCGCACTTTCTGGAGACATCTGCCTTCATCGCTTTTTATCCCGATGAGGGAGGTTGGCACTTAAATCGGACCGCGGAGCAAGTGTTTTACAATCGTTAGGCTTCGTCTTTTGGGCTTCACTCATTCGAACTAGAGATGCGGTCCATTCAGGTCCCGCCCAAAGATGCACAGTCTCGATAGCCTTCATGCACCAACTGTATACTCTCCCACATTTACAACTCTGACTGGCGCTGGCGATGTTAGGATGGATTCTGGTCAGGATAGCGCTTGAACATGAAAAGAAGAGATGAGGGATGCTCGCATCGTGCATAAAGAAGAAGGCTAAGGCTGCGATGACGACGGTCACTGCAAGAGTCCGAAATATTAGTTTTGGATGGCTGAGTGGGAGTTCAACGAAAGCAACACTGACGAAGTCCTTCCAAGCAGAACTGGATGAAGGTATTGTTAGCCGTTACCTTGCGCTCTGTGTTGTATCGTATGAATCACTCACGATCCATTGTCATCCATGCAGGCCCCCAATACTGAAGAAACCAAGAACCCCATCAGGACACCTCGCAAAACGCAACAGTCCGCTCAACAGATCCGGGGGAAATGGCGATTTTGCCGTGCGGGGCGGGCTCACGCGGACCTGCTCACGGCATTCAGATCGATTTTGTCTTGTTGAACGTCAGCCTTGTGAACCCCGTCGATCGACAAGGTTACGTAATCTTCTCACACCCCTAGGTTTTTCCTCCTTTGCTCGACCGTCTAATTCTTGAATCCTGTCTTCGTTTTCGCTTCGCGCAAAGGAACAGGTTACACATTTCTTACATTTTCTCATTTCACATACTAATAAATTACTTAGAATCAGTCCCTCGGAAAAGCACTCTGCCCGAAGTCTTTACAGCGAAAACGACGTATCTGGCTTGTTCTACATAACTTCCGTGGAGACAACCTCTGGTGAGCCTACGCCCCTCACACATGTAAGGATCTACTTATTAGCCAGCTTCACTGCACGCTTAAAACTAAGTTTGCCTGCGTGGAAGTTCTCGAACTGTATAGACAAGTCACAGTAAGTCCCGAGCCTTCAAACTGGCTATCACAGACAATTATTGAGTTATATCTTGAATAGGAATGATGGGCACTGCATTGCCGAATGAGCTCCTCCGCGAGATCTTCATTCTCACCAGCGCGTTGCGAATTGAGGATGAAACCTTCACAGACACCCATCCCTTATCACACAGCTCTCATCTAGACCGTTCTACTGCACTTGCGGTCCTCTCTACTTGCAAGCACTGGCGTCGTGTCGCACAGCCGCTTGTGTATGAGACTGTCATTCTACGGTCAAAGCCACAGACCCGATCCTTCTTGTACACCCTCACCAACGATCCATCGTGCAGGCAGTTCGTTCGGCGGCTTCGACTGGAGCGCGCGTTTTCGCCGAGCATGGCCAAGATATTACCTCTTCTAACACACCTTCGAGAAATCTACATATCACTCGCCACCACCTCAAAAGACAATGTCACGGGCCTATGTGAAGGCCTAGAAAGTATCGATCCTGTGCGGTGCATCGTATATGATCCGCCTGATAGAATGCTGGCGAACAAGGCTCTTGAACAACTTTTTGACAGGCTGTGTCGACGTATCCCGTTGTGGAGTAATCTTGTGAGCATTTCAGTACTCCCTATCCGTGTATCTAATTAATCATGTTCTTCGTTCGATTCCTAGAAATACTTTCGCTTTCCCTACGATTATTTCGAAATGTCATATATGTGGATGGGCGTAGGCGGGAGGCTTCGAGGTCAAAGGGCGCTTCGTCTTGCCTCCGTACTTCGTCAGGCCAGGCACCTGGAGGTTCTGTGCCTTCCTCGCGCTTATCACATCACAGGCCTTGTGTCTTTCATAGTCGATGCTTTGGAGACAAGTAACGTCAAAGCCATATATTCCGAACTCCCCTACAATGCCGATTTCTATGGCGCTCAGTTCAAAGAAGCCGTGGCATCCAACGTCTTGCTTCAGAACCTATTTTATTTTCCACTTCCGGGTCCTTGGGTTAACCGTCCGTACGGTGTAGTCGACGATGCACATTCCATGTGAGCTTGTTCCTTGTCGTATCGATCCCTTCCAGTTATATCTTACTACACAATGCACAGAAACAATCGGCTCGCCTTCTATCTGCAGTGACAGTTGTTATAGAGGCAGGACTCCCATTGAGTATCTAAACGTATATAACGATACTGAGCACTCGAGACTATTTTCACTATGCTTCCACAAGCCTGACATAGCACCAGTCGGCCCTGTCACATATCAGAGAACTAGCCTCTGGCACCTTCTAGAGACGTTCGCCTCCATCGCTCTGATCCCGAGATTGGGGCTTAACTCGGACCATAGAGCAAGTGTTTTATAATCGGTAGGTTCCGCCCTTATGCTTCACTCATTCAAATCATAGATGTAGTCCATTCAAGTCCCACACAAAAATGCACTGCTCCGATAGCCTTCATTCACCAATATACCCATCATCTGCTCTCTCCCACATTTACAGCTCTGGCTGGCTCTGGCGATGTTAGGGAAATAGAACACGTCAGGTTCGGACTCCGATAGCGCTTGATAATGGAAACATGGATCTGACTTACTGATACCCTGTACGGCACTTCTACATACTGACGGTCGTCTCCCTGCATATCGTGCACTGAAGCGCACTGGGGCTCGTGACGGCATCGAGTAAGAGAGTCCACCTCGGATTATTGTTCTGGATAGGAGGACACCAGACCCCGGGCGCGAAGTTCTCCTTTGCGAAGTCGCACCGGTAATTCTCGTAAAGACATGCCTGTTAACACCCTTCAGGCTGCATCGTTTGTAGTATACGGATTGGGTAAAACACATATCTTATGTAGGCAATGGTTAGTTCACGATAATTCCTACCGAACCATAGAGTTACTGACCTCAGGCTGGTGATGGTACTGTAGTAGAGGTTAGATGGTGGGTTGCGTACGGAAGGGTTGGAATATGAGCCTAATTTCTCCCGGTTCGCCCTACGACCGTCGATCTCGTCGTGTTTCTAAAGTATTAGACTGAAGCAGCCTCAAGTCACCGGTGTATCGAGTGAGCGCCTCAAAATTGTAGTCTGAGACTTCCCCAATCTTGACTGGCGGGTGAACGCGCGCAAAGTACCCTTTTCTTTCTGTGAAAAACTGGCTGCTTGCTGGCTGCTATCCCCACGGGGCTGACAACCCTTTCGAAAACATATGTAAGTCTTCTTGATTAAATAGATGGATTGAACATAGGATGGAACACCTGCAATCGTACTACACGGTATGGCTGTTAAGTTTAAGGTGAAGTCGGTAACTACGCTTGAATCGGGAGGTGGCGCCAACGACAATCCTGTTGATCCATTCTTTTAGCGCCACACAGTCAAACTGCATCTTCTTCGATCATACTGTAACGATGATAAGACGAGATATACAACAGTGAGCACACACGAGTCTCCTTCCTTCCTTCATAACGGCAAATAAATATCTTCTTCCAGCCCAAAGAATTTAAAAATATGACCCTGCTCCGGCGTACGGTCGTTCAGGGGTACTCGCCGCCAACGAATCTCCATCCTCAGTACCTATCAGCTCCAATTCTTCTGCCTGTTGGCGCACATATTCGACCGAGCCCGGGCCAAATGAAGGTGTAGGTTTCGTGTAGGGTTTGATCGCAACAGCGAGACGTCCCGTTGGTGTCGAAGATTGAAGAGCTGCTTGGGAAGGAACGGGCAGGTAGGATAGCTACATGTGGGGCCCAATAGTATGAGTAGCAATCCAAAAGCGCAGAAGATCGCGGCAAAGACCCACCGAATCGTTCAGCTTCTTATAATGCCTCAAAAAGAGCGCCACACTCTCCAACTCGCCCACCACACCTTCTTTTCTCTCCTTCTTCCCGTCCTTTCCTTCCTCTTTTCCGCCTCCTTTCGTGCCTCCATCCTTCAAGTCTTCCAGTTCCTTCTTCGCCCATGTCAGATATCCCACTGCCTCGCCACCCTTCGTGTCGATATGGTTCTCCCCCGCGTCCACACCAAGCCATTTGTGTGCCATCGCAGTATGCATGGCCACAACATCCGCTAGAAACTTAGTCAGGTCCTCTGAGACAACCATTTCGTCCTTTGTCTGACCAGCGGAACCATCACCGTTGGACTTTGACGAAAACATATGTTTTGGAGATTTGAGGCGAAATTTAGATGCGCCTGGTATCCGGGATAGGGAAAGAGATGAAGAGAGAAGAGAGGCTGATTCGAGGTGTAGTTTAGCTATGAGAGAAGGTGAGGGGTGGGATTTAGGTAGGGGTGGCCCAGGTGTGACTGTGCTGTCGAATGCGGACTTGGAGAGGAGTTTACGGATGGCAAGGGATTGAGCCTGAGCAAGACATAGCCTAAAGCACTTGGATCGTCAGGGCTCCTATTACAGGGCGAATAGGGTGGAAGATTCGCTCACTTTGACAGGGCATGAATGACGGGCCTGCTCAGCTCGGGCGGTCTCTCAATCCCATCCAACCAAGTTGCACCTCTGTCCTTTTCCGCCTCTACCAGGACTGTCTCAGCCACAAAGGCAAAGACGCCACCTGCCTTGCTTAGTAGTGTGACCGCAAAGCCGAGCTTCTCGTCTTTTGCTTTCCTCTCTACATCTGAAATGCCCCTTTCGCGTTCATAAGATTGAAGCGCAGAGACAGATGAACGGGCGAGATTGGAGAGGGCGAAAGCGTAGGTCAGAAGTGTGAAGGTGAGTTCGACGGGCAGTGATGGAAGAGAGAGCCGGGGTGAAGAAGTGAATAGGTGTGATGAGAGGGTCGTGCGCCAGCTAAATACTTATATGCGGATTGTTAGCTACAATATCTGGTAGATGGTTCAGGTAGGATGGACGAACCTGGTTCTCGAAGTTGAACAATATCACCACTCCCTACACAAGCGATTACACCATACAGATGAGGGATATAGTCATCAAGTACCTTCATAAATCAGACTAAGCATATGCGGGCCACACGCCTATTATATAGATTATACCGACCTTCACGACTCTTAGATGATCCTTCTCTCCGTCCGTCCTCTTGCTCTCTTTCAAAACGGACCGTAGATTAGCACGAACCTGGGTAGCTTCTGCAATTTGAGATGTATGGGTATTCGAGGCATCCGAAAACCAGTCTGCAAAAGAGAAAGATCCTGTTGTAGGAAGCTCAAAGGCGTAGATGGACGCACTCGTCATGGTGGCGGACAGAGAAGTCTTGGTTTAGCATTGGTGCCACCCATATTGGTTAAGATCGGCGTTACGTAAGTATAGAGGCTGCTTTCAGGTCTCCGTTTTTCACCGTCCTCTGTCTGAAACCATCACCTTACTTGCTTCAGAGCTATCATCACTCACCCAAGAAACCACCTGGAAATCGTTTCCGAACCCTCAATCAACTAAGCCTCTCGACACACCTGATCTCAGTCGACTGGGGCCGACTACAAAGCCCCTTACAATTCCAGGTCAGTTGGATCTCCGTCACGTTTTGCAGCCGAGACTGACATATCTTAGACCGTCACATCTCATCCTTCCAATACTCCTGCATTTTCCAAGACCGTAAACACTTATTTGGAAGCTTCAAGTCATTTTATGCTCGTTCAGCCTAACTCCGGCACGTCTTCCACCGGCAGCACTGCGAACACTGCCGTCGTACCGCCGCCCGTTTCTTTCGAAACATTCTCCTTTCAGAAGATTGGGAAGGAACCAGCTCTCCTTGGACGTTTCTCTGCCCCAGAGTCTGATACGGAGTACCGCAGTCCATCTCCCGAACCGACCACAACAGAGCCTGAGCCTCAGTTGCCTACCCGTCCGCGTACTCGCCTTAGTCTCTTTCAGCGGCTTGGTGACTCTGGTGCTCAATCAGACGATAGAATTCACCACGGCTCTCTTGCTTCTCCCAAGGCCGCGAACAGCACCGCGCTTGAACCTACGAGCAATCACAGTTCTCTCACCTTGCCTCACGCAACTTCACTTTCCACGGCCGCTATGGTCTTTAACTCATCCGCATCGCTCCACACCCCTCTTCCGAGTGCTCAAAACACATTTCACACTCGTATCACCACTACACCCCGCAATTCTACGGACATGAACGTCGACGCACCCATAACCAGACCGTCGCACTCCATCGACCAAGCTATGGCCACAGTTAGAAGCCCCATTGGCAATCCCAATGGGCCTGACACTCATCACGATACGAACGTCTCAGCCTCTCGTCCCGCTTCCGTCAGACCAGGGGACTCCGCGGGCAGCTCTTCCGCTACAAATCCTTCCCAAGATTACAAGCAGCCGCAGGGGATCCAGCAGGACTCGCGTGAGGCTTTATCACATCCTGAGGAAGATACCTTCGATCGCCTCTTCGAGCGCCTCTCTCATAAACGCACAGATGTTCCTCACCATCGCGCCTCCTTCGCCTCTACCAGCACTGAGCTCACGAACTCTGCATCCTCCACTCTAACATCATTCTCTGACGTCGGTCAGCGCCTGTCCCAGCTCCTTCAGTTTGCATACCAGACGAAGGAGCAAGCAGGAAAGTCCATCAAGGAGATGGAACAGACTCAGAAAATGTCCGAAGAGCTGATCGATGTGGCGGAGAAGGCTATGACGGACTTCGTCAAGGCGAAGGAACAAGCTACGAGCGGAAAGGAGATGGCAAAAAGGATGGTTGGGTTTGTTGAGGATATGCTGAGCTGGGAATCGTCTGCTGAAGACGAGCAGCAGAGGCTCGTTCAAGCTATACGGCCTCAGATAGCTGCATGGCAGACTGAGGAGTCAGAGAGAAAGAAGCGAGAAGCGGAGCGCAAGATGGCCGAGTTGAAGTTCGAGATGGAGCGAAGAGCAGCGGAGGAACGACGACGACGTGACGAAGAAGAGGCCACGCGGATCGCAACTGAGAAGCGTCTCGACGATGAACGGCGTGTTCTAGAGGTCAAGGCTCGACTTGCGAAGGAGCAAGAGGCCGTACGCAAGGAGGCTGAGGAGAAAGAGACGAGGCGCAAGAAAGACGAAGAAGAACGCCAGGACCGCGAACGTATGGAAGCCGCTGCCAAGCTGCGCGAACAGATATCAAAAGACAAGGCCAAGGAACTCACGAGACAACGCGACGCAGCCATTGCCAACAGAAATGGTGAGAACCGACCTCCCGCGTCTCAAGATACGTCGCCTACTCCTCAGCAGGAGCGTGCAACTGCTTCGAGAATAGTGTCGGGCGGAGTTCTCCTTTCAGCCAATCCGGTGGTACCTGTGCAGCAGACGTCATCTTCGTCAAAAGCAGCCTTACCGTCCTCTACTAATCCTCATCCCAACTCGCGCCCAACTCTGGATAGTTCTTCCCATGTGCGAATGGAGACATCGAAGAGCACGTCGTCCAATGGATTTGTTCCCGCGAAGACTGACGCTGGACGCGAGGTCAATACCGAGAAGCCGTTCGCTTCAACCACCTTGGCATCCGAACGACTGGTTTCACAGACAGGCCCCGAAAGAACATCCTCGTCTGACCAAAATTTCAAACCAATCTCTGCATCTGCGGCTCAGATTTCAATAGAATCGCGCAGAGTTCAGAATGATTCGCCTAGCACTCGTGACGTCAACTCTACGAAGCGCGGTAGTACTCTCGGACCATCACCCAACTCTCATTCCGCCCCTGTTCGTTCAGCTGATGCTGACAACGTAATCGTCAAAACCGAACCTCTAACGGAGCCTACTCTACCACTGACACCAACAACCCAGACCCCGTCAGATCCACGAAAGAGACACACCCCAGCTCTCAAGGTGCAGACCCATACCGCTGTAACACCACTACCGACATCTCTTCCTGCCAAACCTATACCACTCCGCGACAACGGACGCTCTCTGCCCGCCTCGCGCTCCCCTAGTTCATCGCGCAGGACTATCGCCCGCGGATCCCAATCGCAAAGTCCAGCCGAACGCAAACATCAGGATTCGACCTTTTTCAGATCAGAGCGAAGCCCTGACGGACGACAGTCTCATAAAGATGCCAGTGGTTCGTCTTCAGCTCAGGTGTCTCCCACCACGTCAGTTGGAGATGGCGGGTGGTCGAACGTGCATAGAGGACCATCATCCTTACAGCTCTCGGAACGCGGAGTAGCAGTTTCGAGCCCTCATAGGCCTCCCTCCCCACTCTATAGCGATAGTAATCGCGGTCATAGAGCGTTAGCGACGACCTCTGAAGACACCAGGGCTCGACGGGGCGACCATTACTCACCTGAGCGGAGACAACTCTCACCTTTACCGTCGGGGAAGCAACGCGGCGATCACTGGGAACCTGACTTAGGACATGAATCACCCTCTACGCTATCCCGTAAAAGACGACGTGCCGGTGACGATGTACCCTCTGAACGCGCGTACAAGAGGATCACATCCGATCAAGTCGTTCCTTCGGATTACGGGCATTATTCTTCACCGCCCAGAGCACCTCCGCTACCGGCAAGCCATATTCGACGAGGCGGAGACTCTTATCGTCCTGGTAGGGACGGATCTCTCAGTCCGCCGCCGAGTAGGCATGTGGATATCAACCGGAACTATACCGATGAACGGCTATCCTCTGGTAACAGCTTCGGGGGAAATCTGCCATCGTCTAAAAGCGCAAACGACAGCGTCTACCAAGACGATTATCTTGCTAGAAACGTGTCGGGATTCGATCGGCTCCAACAACAAGAATATTGGGACCAGGCTCCGCAGGAGTACCAGCAGTACTCCGAATACAACTTTGGTAACGGGGACGACCGTGGGGCCGGTGGGGCCTACGACGAACAAGTTGAAGTTGAACATCGTGGACACTCACCTCTGCCACAAGCACACTCGCCGCCACGACCACTATCCCTACCTCCTGCACGTGATGGGTCCTCATTATTGAACAGGATGGAGACTCTGCAGCAAACCAACTTCCAAACTCCACGAAAAGCGAAGCACGCTCCTGGACAACCTCGTACTCGAAAGGGAGCTCAAGCGCAGGTGACTCAACATCAATACAACACGAATGGCCAGAACCTTGGGAGTGGTCGTGGTGGCAAGGGCAAGCGTCAACAGAGACAACAAACGACGGGAAATCCAGGTCAATCGACAAGCCTTATTGATCGGATGAAGTCGAATCTGCAGTCACGCATCTCCGAGTCGAAGAGCTGATGGTTGTTGGGTTTGATTCGTGGGGCGTGTGTTGACATGTGCGCTACGCGAACATGGTCGCTCTTTTCTTCCTCTCCGGGTTTCTTTCTTTCTTTCCTGCTTGCTGCTTTGGCGGCCTTTAATAGCTTGTCGTCGAACTTTCGGGTCTTGCCTGTCAATAGTCTGTCTCTTATTCTTTACCTTTGCCTAATAGTATTGTCTGCGCTGTAGAGAATTCATCTTTCTGTGCGAATGACCCCCACCACCCATCGCAACTGAGACGTTCATGTATACTTCTTACACTGACAAGAACAATATAGCCGTATAGTTGAGATAGTACATTCTCGTCCAAGCGCAAGAATTATCAAGTTTGACCTTCTCCGCAACCCTGCCTTCAAAGGGCTGATGCTACATTTTGTATAACTTGGTGAGCCCACCCCGCCTCACCAGTTCGAAGCTTTACTTATTCTCAGTAGGAACGTTAATGCCAGCTTGAGCCGCAGGACGAGCCGCGATCCTGTCATGCCACGCCTACAGATTATTACCAGCGGTACAACGAACGGTCATCAGCTATTCATAATCAGAGATCACCACCACATAAGGGGTTTACAGACCTTGAGACTCGGCCACTCGTCTAGAGTGTCTCGGACACCGGCATAAGCATGGATCCTCACCCTATCGACGTACATGACGGTTAGCCACCTATGTGAATAGGTTAAGAGCAGTACAGTGTATGGACGTACCAAGGCCAGACATTGATATCTGCAATACTATATTTTCCGCGTCCACGTCCGGCGAGCCAATCCCTGTCCTTGAGACGAATCTCCAAAACTCCGTACAATCGCTTAGTTTCGGTCTGGTAGCCTGAATGGCGGGAAACGAGCATGAAGTCAGTGTTTTCAGTCGATGTTGTTCGAAATTAGAAGAAGCTTAGAAAGAGTACTTACGTTCCTTTGCGTAGGGTAGGTCTTCCGGAGCATAGTGCACGAACCAGTTGGCTAGATAAGGGCATTAGCGTTGAGCATGACGTGCCTCATTATAAGCCCAATACACAGTCCACTACTAACCTTGACCTTGCATCGGACCAACACCACCATGCTAATCCGCGACCGCCACAATTCGGCAACCGTAACTCAGCACCTATTCTGATTTGGAACCATAGAGAAAGGCTCACAGCGAAGAAAATCCACTGGAGCATCTCGCTGTAATCGTCCGCTTCCTTGGCAATATCGAACCAGAACTTCCCGTCTTTGTCATAGTGCTGCGCAAGATAAAGTAAAATCGCTGCAGACTCGAACACATTGAAGTTTCCTCGGGAGCGGTCGATGAGGGTAGGAATGCGACCGTTAGGGTTGAGCTTGATGAACCTGAAGTACAAAGGTAGGTTTAATGATGAAACATTATACATCACCCTGGAGAAGAAGGCAAGAAGGTGAAGAAAATGTAGGTGGTAAACATACCATGGTTCCTTCTGGACGTTGGTCCAAATGTCAATATTTGTCCAGCTAAACGCAATAATAAAGAATATGTCAGTAAGTAGCAAACGTGATAGAACCAATGAGGAAACGCACTCATAGGCAGGCCCGCTATACACCGCGTTCAGTTCCTCGAGTAATACGGTGACCTTGAAACCGTTAGGAACTCGACCAGTATAAAGCAACAGAGGTTTCTCGGCGGAATTCATTTTGTCGTCCAAATCGAGATCGATATGGTGACAGCTGAGGTATAGGTGAGAATCCGAGAAAGTGTAGAAGTCGGAAAATGGGATGTTGTTCCATGGTTTGTAGCTGGTCGCCTTTTATACGGTCGATGATTGACATTCTAGTAGTCGACATAGATCAGAGGCTCTGGTCAAGACTTCGTAAAGGGAGACCTAGACGCTGACAGCGATGATATTGCTGAATGATTCATGTTCGGAAATTCGAACTGTCATATTCGCCTGAATCAGCCACAGAGAAGCGACCATGTCAGCAACAGAAGTAGGAGTCTTATACTTTCTTCCCTTTCCTGAATAAGCGCCCTACAAAACGCCACAAAGTACGCCACGGGGCGTGAGACTTGAAAGCATCTGAGCTGGGCTCTGCAATACGAGTAGTAATATATGTGCAAAAATCCGTGTCCATAACCATACCCAAGCATCTCAGAAACCGCACCGAGAAAATAATGGTTTCTTCTCCATCATCTCCAGACGCTGTTGATATACGAGTCACGCAGTCCAGCTTAGCATATAGAAAGACCAACCAAAAGCGTGGAGAACTTGCCTCTGCAATCACTGTCTTCTTCTTCGTTGGCTCCTCTTGCATCCAGTCCAGACTCCTCCTCGGGCCATGCTCTGATCCATGTGTCGTAAACCTATGTCCATGCCCTCGTTTGGGCACAGTCCCATCCATATCGATGTACGACATTGACTTCGACATTGCCGCCATACCCGCCTCGTCCACCGGCGAGTCAACATCCACATCCTCCACCGCATCCTCATCTTCCTCCGCCAACTCGGTCTCCGCCTCGCGCACCGAAGGCAGCTCTGAAACTCTCGATAGCGCCGAAGCAGAGAGCGATCCCGAAGCCTCTGGGCGTGACGCTAAACTTCCGTTGTCCGTGACTATGACAGGCACATCAGGCTTCGTCTGTGACTTTGAAGATGAGGACGCCAGATCGCCAACGTCCTGCTCTTCCTCATCCATCTCGTCTTGCATACCATCCCGCATTCCTAACCTCTCCAGCCCTGCCTCGACAGCATCTAACCGTTCCAAGTGCTCCAATACCGTCACGCCGGTCGTACCTGGGTGTACCCTCTGGAACTTAGCGCTGAAGGGGACAGGTCTGACGTCTGAAGTCGTACGACGCAGTGGCATTGGCGGAGGGAAGTCTGAGCTTGATGAACTTCGAGCACGTCTGTGGTTCTGTGGAGTGAGGAATGGCGGAAGCGTTTGTATTGAAGGGCCTGGGGATGCGGAGGCGGAGAGTGGGCCATTGATGAGCTCGGTGACGGTGTCTTCGGGAAGTGTTAGTTCGTCGTCCCAGACCATAGCCTTTGTCCGTCGAGTCAATTCGAGAGGCCCTAAATGGGTGTTTAGCAGCTGAAACACTCTAAGCAACGAACTGCACTACCTTCATCCTACGGTCGGTTGCTCATAACATCAGTAAGAGAGCAAAAATCGAGCGCATTGCTATGAAACGCACGTCATGTCGTAACGATTGTACGATATTCCAAGCCTGACCCTTAATCACTGCGAGTTGTCTCTGTGATCTAATTCAGCATGTATATTCCTCAAGTCCGGGGAATGCTCACATTGAACATCTTGGGATGGAAATCTGGATCCACCGAAAATAGCTGCCTCAGTTGGAATGTCGTCTCCTCCCACCACGCCTTACTCGTCAACAACGGCAAGAAGTGATTTCTCGTTTGATCGCTGAACGGCCTCCCGATCAAGTTCACAGGCAGATACAACCACCCGTAAGTATACGATCTCCACCCTTGTGGATGTTCGTGTGGGAACGATAGCGAATTATCGATTGCGGCGATATGAATGTGCGGTTGCCGAGTGTATGGGAGCTGGGGTGACGAGTTTGATCGCATAGCACGTGTGGAGGTATTCAACGACATGTTGGGAGAGGAGGCGGAGGCTGGGGAAAGGGTGGAAAGGTCCGGGCGGCGGAGCTCGTTCATTTGAGGCATTTCAGAACGGGTAGGAGCAACGTCGATGAGGGACTTTTCGTGGTCTCCCGAGCAGTACTTGATCATGTAGTTGTCGGCCCCTCGGTCAGTGTTGAGCATGAGATAATCTGCCCTGCAGCGTCAGTACATCTAGTCTATTCGCAGATTATGATTGGGCAAACCTAAGATGACAAGCCTGTAAAAGAAGAGCAATAGATGAATATGAGGAGTAAGTAGAGGTAGCTTCAGAGTACACACTTCTCCAACTCTTCTCGGAAGCTCTGCTGAAGCGCAGATGACCAGTAAAACGGCCTGTCCGAGTCGTTGCTCTCCGACACGTCGTAGAGTACTCTTTCGTCTTCTGCGTCATCATCATACACTTCTTCGGCACCGGTCTTGCCGCACACAACCTTCAGCGCGCTCATGAACCGCTTTGAGAAGGTTCCTCGACGATGCGTTGAATCATCAAAGGTATCGGCGATAGACCGTCCAGGCCAGGGATGTTTTCGTAGGAATTCTGATGAATCTGTCGAACTATGAGAAAAACAATATCTGGTGTGGCACAGAACGACGTACCTTGATATCCATGCAAGAAGTATTGCATGCTGCCGACCTTTTCAGGCAACGGTTTTCCATTCTTGAAAGCAGTACGATCTATCCAGTCATAAAAGAACGCCTATAACTCGTTAGTGCCGAATGAGGAGTACCGCATCTGACATAGGATAAAACGCACTTGGCTAGAAAGCGAAACGAGCTGTGTCGGTGGTACGATGTTCAAAGCAAGCCGCGTGTCTAGCAACGAGGCCGCAGCTTCAGAGATATAACTTTTGGTCACTCAGCGAGTATAACCTAGAGGATAACTGATTGGAGGCGCACCTTAGATTAGGTATAAGACAAGCTCTCCCAAACGGAATGATCCAGCGCAGTTGCCTATGAAGCCACTTGGTTGTCTACGCGTAAAGATGAGCGGGATGATCATCAAAGAGGTCCAGGCATCTCGAGCAATGGTGGGTATCATGCTTCCAACGTAATAGCACACGGGTATAGGTGCTCGTGGTCCGCATACCCACTGTACGCAAGGCTGCAACGTCGTAATGGGAAGACATACCTTGGGGTTCAAGCGTCCATACGGCTCCTCATCCTTCGGCTTAAAGACACTTACATGTCGCATCAGCGTGGAACGCAGAACGCCTAGCCAGCATACCAGCACACTTACGCCACAGTCATCATTCTCCCGTCCACTTTGGCGCGAGCGAAGTAGGAACCGGAAGAGCCCTTTGTGATCATTTTTGGATGAATACCTTCTGCGATGGCTTGTTTGACAGAATGCACAATTCTGTAGTGTTTCGTATTATAATGGGTGGTGTATAAGGTATGAGTACCGAACACATACGCATCGAATTCGGCCTGTGTCATGGGTGGTTTATGGTCCAATGTCTTCACCTGAGACAGGTGGCGAGGCATCTTGGTCAACAGCCAAGGCGTGGTTCGAGCGAAATGGACGTACAATGGATGTCGTAGAGGGAACCGCTATTACCTGCGGCTCAAACACGCTCCTGAATATCTCTTTCTTCGAATACACGTCCTCCGTCTTCTTCTTGCGTTTCATCTTCTGGGCAATGGACTCTGTCCATCTTCATGACTATATGAGAATTGCATCACTCAGAAACAGTGTAGTAATGTACGCACCTCTTGAAAGCTGTATCCAATTTCCTCAAGTCGATCCTTCCAGGGTGGTTAGCGCGTCGCAGTCCGTGGCGTGGCGAAGTAGGCGAGTCCTGAAGACCCTCAGCACCGACATCAGCCTCTTCGTCGCCCTGAGGCAGAGCCTCGTACCCCGTACGGTTGGGCATGAATGTCGGTCAAAGATATGGGTTTGTGGCAATGTGTAAGACAGATGAACGTCGGGAGCTGGCAGAAAAGGCTTCCACCGTGCGGCGCGTCAGAGGTCCCGAATACATCGGTAACGTGCAGGGAAACCCCGCACACGTGGCCCTCTTGGCGACAGCCCTGAAGTTCAACTTTCAAACCCACAAACCCAAAGGGCGGTTCCATTCACACAACAGCTACTCACGGTTCGTGAGCTAGCATCCAACAGAAGAAGACCTTGGACTACCTAATACCAAACCTACCTTCTAGCAGGACTCGAGCTCAACGTTCAATTGCGTACTTCAAGTTGAAATGCTGCCTCAAATAGGGGCAAAAGTTCACTGTACGCCACACACGGCGTTGCAGCCCAATAAACGATGATGAAAGTCAAGATAAACAACCAATAAATACACCCTTAAGTCAAATTAGAGACAGGTCACCGTCTACTGAACACCCGATGATACCTCTCTACCAGCGAATCTCTCGCCTGATGAATCCACATCAACACTTCCTCTAGTGCTCCCTCAAGCCCACCCGACGCACTCCTCCATGATAGGCCCGGACTATGGAGCTGTTCGTTAGGTGTTAGTTGAAGGACATCTTTTACGGTGACTAGCCCGACGAGCGAGCCATAATCCTCAACAAGGATGACACGAGGCCTAGCCGAGGACAATGTGAGTTGACGCAGATGATGACTATTGATGTTGTGGGAGTACGTACCCCATACGTTTGAATAGCTGCATCACAATCTCTAGTGGAAGTTGGGACGATACGGTCAATGGAGCCTGTGACAAGGATTATTAGCGTGTATCTCGAAGTATCCAGCATGATTCGACTACACACTTGGTTAACCCATGGCCAGAGCTTTAGCAGCCCTGGTGTCGAAGTCGAGAATATAATGTTTGCTGCGAGGTCTTCGTCGATGCCGACTGCTGACCAGTGAGCGTCTTGCTCGGATGATGTATCTGGAGTAAAGGAGCATATCATATCTGGTGGCAGGTCTTGTAACCGTCGAGCTTGCTCTTTTGGGAAAGTGCATTGAGTTCATCTGCGTTCGGTGACTGAGAACATCGAAAGTGGATAAAGCGTACCTATAACGTAGCGCAATTCCATCCTGCCAACATAACCCATCATGGTGCGATTACCATCATTAGAGACAACGGGCAGCCCTTTGACTGTCGTCTCAGATAGGCGTGCCTCTATCAAAGACCGCCATACTTAGAAAAGCAACATAAGCAACAAGTAAGCCCAATCACACTCACCAACCTCGCTTAGGGTCATGCCTGTACTTTGCAAAGTGTGCAGATCGCGCCGCATCACTTTCGCCACTATGAGTTCAAGGTCAATATCATACAATCAAGGAAGTAGATTGAGAGGAGAAGTACCTGGTACATCATAGACGTGGTCATCCTTCTCCAAAAATGGATATCCGTTAAAGCGGATCATCTCGTCCGCAATGCCAGTGACTCCCAGGAGGTCGCCAACTGCCTTCGTCACCAGCAACACAATCTGCAACCAAAGTCAGTTCACTCAAGGATAGAAGTGGGTGCAGACCGACCATGGTAGGTAAGATGTAAGTGAGGGCGCCGGTAAGCTCAAACATGATGACCACGACCGTGACTGTGATCCTCATGATGCCGCTGCAATAGCGAACAGTCAGGATACAACATTATAGGACAAGCAACACTCAGGTGACTGACCTGAGAGCTGCAGCAGCACCGAGAAACGCATATGTGCCCGGGGTGATACAAGGTACGTCTGGTTGACACACCGCAAATATACCTGAAGTCGGGTAGGCCCTACATAAAGCATATCGTATTGTGAGCGAACTTAGATCATAAATCCAAATATCAGGCGAAGAAACTTACTGATTCAAGGCTTTCACCATGATCCCGACCATACGGCCAAAGCTAGCGCCGATCGCCATAGAGGGAACGAAAATCCCAGCCGGGACTTTGCATCCATATGAGACGATAACCAAAAGAGTTCGAATAAGTGTCGCCAAAAGTAAGGAGTTCGCCATGCGCCACTGAAGAGGGGTCCTTCAAAGTCAGACCAAACAACAAGGTAAGAGGGATCGAATGCCAAAATGAGAAGCTGTATTTCACTGACCGACAAAGACCATCATGATCCCCCCCGCTCTCGCACTCCCTGAACAGGATGGACATACTCTCGGTCATGTCAATTCGCAAGAATCGGTTGAAGTATCCTATGATGGCCGTGATGACAGCAAGTGTGACAGCTTCGGCGATTCCGTGCTTCGCGAGATGTTTTCGTCGAAATTCGGCGACTTGCAGGTTGAACTTAATGACGAAGGCTCCATACAAACCCTGTTGACCACTATTAGTCACATCATGCAGGCAGAATACAGAACCAACAAGAACACTGCAAAAAGGCCGTACCCCAAAGACTCCGAGGATGATGAAGAATATAATCTCGAAGAAATGCCAATCCCGATCGTAAGTGACCTGGAACAGTACCAGCTTTCCTGTTCGGAAAGGGTTCATCGCCTGGAGAAATAAACAATGTATGAGTTAAAGTGAGACTAACAATGATGGGAATGGCTGGTTTCACTGACTGATAATGTCACAGTAGCGACCAGTGCGCACAGGAAGCTACGCCACATCGTCTTGATGGAGAACGATGGGCTCATTTCCTGAAATTTATGGTGAGTGTGAGGTTCTCTAGCAAGGATGTAAATTTAGCTCCTTACCTCGATGGAGAAGAGCACACCGCCGATTGGGGAGCCAAAAGCCACCGCCACTCCAGCAGCACTTGCGGCAGTAAGGAGGTCCCTCATCTTGCCTACGGCGACGCAGTAAGCTCACAAGTTCCACCAAGATACGTCAAAATCATACTTTGATTCTTCGAGAAGCTGCCGAACATGCTGGCTACTAAATTCCCTATCGTACAAGCAAGATGCACCGACGGTCCCTCCTTGCCTACGGACAGTCCAGATGCTATTACAAGAGGCTGTGGTTCTTAGTTAAGGTTTTATCTGAGACAAATGATGACAAGAGGAGGAGAGCGTACAAGCGTTAAACTTTTGATCAGGAATGTCCAAAAACCCAAGAATCCCTTCATGATGAAACCCGCCAGGATACACTTGATCTCAGATATACCAGAGCCCGCAGCATACTTCGCCAGAGACTTGACTAGGTGGGAAGCGACGAACGAGAAGATGCCCTGAATGACACGACAAGTTCAAGGCTATACGTTCCAACGAAGAAAAATGTGCCGAGACGTACCGCGAACAATACATAGATGAACCACCGCGCAATAGAAACATCACTCCACATGTGCCATGAATCACAAGGGCTCTCCTCATTGCCCTCAACCTCCCAACAACAGAACTGCTGATTCAACCACCAGCCATCCGAGCAATATCCCATCTTAATGTCCGAGAGCCATGCAGTCACGATGGATATAATGGCAGCATTGACACCAATTCCGGCTCCTAGTAACCCGTAGCCATTCGGCGTCAGAAACAATGCACACGAGAAGCGAAACAACTATACGACTCACCAACAAGACTGACAATTACCCACGTCTGACAAGCATCCATCACCTTCCGCGCCTTGGACCATAACCAATGTAGGGTGATCTCTCCATTCGGACCTCTAGAAGAGGCGTAAACATGCTTGGATGTTCGAAGACGTTTATTCCGCTCAATGATAGAGTCCTCTATCCAGTCTGTCAATTGTATTCATCTTCAGTAGTCGGCCACGCAAAAGAATGTAACCCCTCAGACCAATAGTCGTAAAGTCCTCATAGCGCCTGATGCCACACTACAAATTAGTAAAATCTCAAGAATGGTGAGTCGCGAGGAAACGCGAACTTGAACTGGTTGAATTCTTCCTCGTTGAGACCAGAGGTGTCGCCTGGCATGCTTGCGCAGGCTGTAGTAGTGAATGTACGCGTCGAAGCGTACGGAGGCGTGCTACAAGTACAATGATCGAAGAGAGTTGGCAAGCGCTTGCGACTCAACTGCGAAGCATTGTCAAATCCTTACGCGCCCATGTGGCATTTGAAATTGTACCACGACAGTGGGATCGAAAGCAGCATCAGTGCGGAGAGCAACGAGGATAGTACGATGTATAGATCATATTTCATCGGAATTCTATAGTGTACAGTTCAGCGGAGACCTCTCAGTACCAGTACAGTACGCAATAACGGCAATTGGAAAGCACGTAAAAGATTGGTTACTAATGGGTATACATACAAGTGATCCATTCGTTCGTGATATGTTGATGATCGCTCCTACCCGACTTCACAATTAACCAAGAGAGAAACAAAAAGACTTAGCAAGGGAGAGAGACGCTGGGACAGTTCAGAAGGCTGTCGTCGAGTCGACCTCAATGGTCGGCACAATAGAAGCGATGAACTTGAGGAAGACGACGAGATAGAAATCGACTCGCATGCCTTCGACCTCCTCTTCTTCACCGGTCGGCGCGGGATCTATCTTCCCATTGCCACTCCCGCGCCGTCCAAACCACTTCTTCTTATCCTTCGACCCACCCGACTTCCGTTGCGCGGCCTTCTGCTCCTCGACTACACCTGCGTTCATACGCTCGATGACCTTCTTCATAACGCTGGCATGCTTGCAAGGATGAACGGATGCAGCCTGGAGCGTGGAAGAATTAGGGAAAGCCTCGATGGTGACAGTCTTGAAGGCATGGTCGGCAGAGACGTCCTGAAAGATTTGTGAAGGCGTCAAGGGCGTCCGGTTCTAAAAAGAGTATTAGCATGATTGGATGGCCGAGCAGGTACAGGTGGATACACACCTCATCGTAACCCAGAAGCCAGATTCTAGGCGTTTGGTAGTACTTATCGTAGGTGATCATGACGTCGTATGTCCGGACTTGCAGCAGATTGCCCTTTGCAACTTCGATCTCGCTGGATGACCATCTACAGTTCAGACACTCCCTGGCTCTGTCATATGATGGGCTTGCTCACCTCGCATCAATTACGTTACTCGTAGGAGCAGTGCGCTTGGGTGCTGCCGTTGCCTCGTCCTCGTCCTCCTCCAGATCCTCCTCCATATCAGGGATATCGTCCAGATCTGGCGTATCGCCCCCCTTTGCATCTGATACCGACATGCCCTTTATCCCGCTTGAAATGCCCTCTGCCTCGTCACCACCATCGCCATCCAGGTCAGGGATATCATCGATCGTGCCCGCATTGGCCGCAGAGTCGAGATTTGCTGGACGGCCTGCATGAGTCTCCACCCACTCGTCTGCCTCGTCGCCCGTCGCTGAGCTATCGCCAAAGTTCAATAGTCGCTCGGCATCTTCGTCTGCATCGGTGTAGGCAAGCGAGGTGGCGCGACGAAGGCAGGGGACACCGCGAGTGACGAGGTACTGTTTATCTGGCGGAAGGAAATCTCGGGCTTTAGAGGCCTCACCCTTCTCCCTGAAGTCTCTGTACAGTCAGCCTGAGTACCTTCGCACAAGGCCACTCATAGAGGAACTGACCATGTCCAGACGGGGAACTTATAGGTCAGGAAGTCACCAGCCGCAACGAACTCCTCTGTAACAACATGAGCATAGGTGCACAGAGCGTGAAGAGAAAGCAAGCTCACCAGGCGTAATCCTGCCGTGCTCCTTGAATTTGCTTTCTTTCAAGACCTGGATGTCCGACTATTAGCTTCCATGGCGAGAACGTGATACCGAAAGGGGCTTACAGGGCTTAAGTAGTCACGAACGGCCCAATATTGTTGCTGTAAGTCAATGAGCTTCAATAAGTGTATTTTGAGCTGGGCGAATCACATACCTGTATTGCGTGCATCGGGAAAGTAGACCGGTGGAAGTGGAGGAAGAAGGTGGTTGAATGAAGCAAGAGGGGGCCGCTCGCGTCCAGCTACAGCGGCCAATCGATATCCACGCGTCAGCCACGTGTACCCGGCAAGTGCCGCTCCCTCACACTCAGTCACACAGTCAACACACAGTTGCTGTTGTACTTCGATCACGTAGCGCATTAACTCCCCCACAATCACCGTTGCCTCTGTAATGAGAACCAAATACGATATCGTTGTCTACACACGTAACTGCGACAAAAATTAATGTAATTATGTAGAGACCACGTCGTCCTTGACCAAGTTCAGGAATCAGAAGCTCACAGTGGGACAGTGGTGGTATCGTAAGCAGGCGCATCAGGAGCTAGCTCAGGCCGGTCTTCAGGATCAGCCATGAGTAGAGAGCTGTTTGAAAAGTGGGGAGGAGGTGCAGATGAAGTGGGAATATAGAGTATAGCGGTGGAAATATACCCCAGCCGGTGTCAGAAGTTGCTATCGCAAAACCAAAAACAATAGTAAGTATGTCACGACAGCGCCCAAATGATTTGAAGAAATGTGATGTTTGTATTTGAGCCGCAGAGCCTAAGTGACGTAAGACCAGCGAGGGAGTAGAGCAAATAATATAAAGAACAGACGAACAAGAAGCAGAGAGGCAAGCACAAGAAGCTAAGTCCTTGGACCGTGGCAAGGTCGACGTTGTCCAAGGGGTCATTGAGGCTTCTAAGGACTAGAATCGGGTCTTGGGTTCACCTTCACGCTCGAAGTTGCGCTTGGGCGTTGTTGCCGAAGATGTTCGGGATCGTGCTGAGATGTTGAGGATTGATGATATCGGTTTCGAGGCCGGCGTAGACTTGTGCAAAACTAGAGACAAGCGAGAGACATCTGAAATGCATGAGGACCGAGAGCCTCCCCGTACATAGAGTTGGAGGTTCACTCACAGATACACGCCAAGCCAACCTGACATCCGGTCGAACAATTTAGAAACCCAACCCTAGACACCAAGATCACTTCTATTGCCAGAAACGCAAGCCAGATATAGCACTAGACACCCAAGCCAATACATCTGAGCCCACAGCTTGGAAATAGCGCAGCAGACTATCAGAAAATGTCGCAGGTTTGACGCCACAAACGGGAATCATAAACGAGAGAACAATGAAGAGGCTCAAAAAGGAACTGACCGGAGCTCGCCTGCTGTACGTCATCACGATATATCGAATATGCTATCTTTCATGTCAAGAGTGCCATCTACCAGTGAAAAAGGCGGTACTCCACCACGAAAGAGTGCATGGCAAGCTTGTGGGACTGACAAGAACAACAAACATCAGATTCCTCTCGGACTTGCACGCTCGGGCGGCCAATGACCGGACGGGCAGCGTCCGTACCGCAACAATGATCCATGTGGCGTAAGTGTGGCACCGCTACCGGTTACGCGGCCTGTCGTCGAAGATATGTACTTCAAAGATGTGCGCCGACAGCGGCTGCTCGAATGTTTGCATAATTTAAACGTATTAGGCCTGAGCGTCTCCTTGCTGCTAGCCTCGCACGTCTAAAATCCGCGGTGGCAGCGTGGCGCACAACGGCGCCGTTCATCCTCCGACATCCGAGTCGAGTCTGCAGGAAGAACTTACTAGATCGACTTGAATGAAAATCGCCGAACCCGGGCAGACATGCCACCGACCTCGAGTCTGCCTCAGTGCATCCTCGAGCTCCATACGATACCGACCGACCACCGAACCCGTTCCACTGTTCAATTCCATGATTCGTTGGCGAATGGACCAGTATCGAATAACCAATTGGAAACATGTGCATGAAGACCGCTTCCGACACGGGCGCATCATGCTTGGAGCTCATCGAAAAAAGGCGTTGCATAAGCCGTTGTTCGGATGGACCACTGTTGGGAACTCGAATGCATCTGGAGTGGTTGACTGCCGATGTGCACCTGTAAGTTGTTTCCGTCCCTCCGAAAGAGTCGGAGGTTGAGTTGAGCTTGAGCGTCAAGAGGCCAAAGAAGGAGTGAGAGATAGTAGACTGCCAATGGAACACACACTACGATTTAAACACGTATATACATACTATATAAGTAGCGGGAAAACGAACAGCAGCCGGGGAGGGGCGGAGTAACAGGGACGGGAATAGAGACATCGAGGAGAGGGAAGACAGGGAGTGAGACTAGAGCAGAGAAGACGGCGAGCCAGAGGGATGTATTTACAACTTGAAAGAATATCGTGTATGTGTAGGCCCGGAGGGAAATGTGAATGATAGATTGAGTTATGTAAAATGTGATAAACAAACTGTGTACATACAGAAGGAAAATCAAAATCGACAGAGAGTGGACGGGACAGTTTGAGAGATGGGTCAGTGGATGGATGAATGGATGGACGGACGGATGGATGGACGGATGGATGGATGGCCGGATGTTGAGTGCCAACAGTGTGCCTAAGAGTTGTAACGAAAATCAGACATAGCGGTTGATGGTGCACGTAGAGGTAGAGGGAGACAATGAGAGTGTAAACGAAGGACGAGTGATGTGTCGATGCCGAATCTGTCAAACGAACATGAGCAATCTTCAAGCCGAGCTGCAAGCCCGAGCTTCAAACAAACATGCAAAGTGGGTTGAGGTGAAGAGATGGACGGGAAGCGCGATGAATTATTGTACTATATGACAGTGATAAAAAACGAGCGAAAAAAAAGAGAGTATGAGATCGATGCATTGGGTTGGTACAGTACGCCAGGCACGATGTGGTGGTATGTATGGATGTATATATGTATGTATGTATGTACGTATGTGGGAGGCGGAGGGATATATGCAAGCAAGCAACACGTAACAGAAGCGAATAACGGCAAAGAAAACCAACATGCAAACAAGACCGCCACCACGATGGATGTGGAGAAAACAATGTGGCAACTGGGTGAGTTATGAACTGGAATGAGCCGTCCTACGGCGATTATATGTCACAGGGAAAGGAGAAGATCGAAGACAGGCTCCAGAGGCAATAAGGAGAGAAGGTAAAGTACAAAAATGGAGATATGTCTATGCACGAAGACGTAGGCAGCTTGGGAAAGAGAAAAAAATTAATGCAAGCAACCGGTAGGTAATCGATGAACGCTCAGTCTGAATCAACATTTTGACGCCTCACATTGGGTAAAAAAAAAAAAGGTGCAACAGGAAATAACAAACGCAATCCACTTTACTCTCACGACTCGGGCTCCTCCGGATCCATGTTGATCGCCCTCAGCATTCCCTGAGTGATTCCTGTACCCGTGCCCGTGCCAATACTACTACCTGCTACCGGAGCCCTAGATGAATCCGTCTCTGTATACGCAGGCGGTGGATCCCTTGGCATAGCTGCTGTTTCCTCCGGATGGTCCTGTACCAATGCCATCTGGTTTAGGTTCCTCATCGCAGCCTGAACCGCTGCAGGGTCCATAGTACCATCGGGAGACACGGACGTGAGTGGCACCGAGATGAAAGGTACCTGATTATCCCGGGCGCTTGCGTCGTAATTTGGTGGTGCTTTTGTGGAAGGCCGTGGACGGGGTTGTGGATTCGGGTGAACACGTAAGACGGTGCTTGAAGTCGAGCCGACAGTAGAGTGCGAGTTAGAGGGAGGATAGTGGTCGTGATGAGGCCCATCGTTGGGTGTTATGGGGGAAGGGAGGGTGGCGGCAGCTTCTTGTTGAGGTTTTGTCGGGACTGGGGGAAGTGAGCGAGAGGAGGAAGGTTGGCCGAAGATATGCGGGCCGGAGTGGAGGGACATATGTGAAGCAGGGGAACGGAGAGATGATGAACCGAGCGTACGTGGCGAGAAGCCTTGCATTGAAGCGCCACTCGACGTGGATGAATCGGGGTATAACCATGGCTGGTCGTGTCGTGAGTAGGATTGTGAGTGTTGGCGGGGGAGCATGGGCAATTCACGTGATGAAGGAACGGGTGGTGGAACGAGAGGTACGGCACCGTAACGCGGCCGATAATTTGATGACGATGAGATGGAGTGAGATAGTGGATGTGAATGAGAGTGGTTAGAGAATGGCTGACTAGAGGCTCCCGGAGAAATGGGAGTCGCAATTGTGTCTGTGGAGTCAGAGGACTGGCTACCACGCGAATTGTGCACGGGGCTGGAGGGACTGCTCGATCGAACGATATCCGGCGATATCGGCCGTAATTGCGGTATGTTATGCCGCCACCGCTCTATGGAAGGAACATTTTCTGGAACAGAGGCGGAGAGGGCAGAAGCGGAGAGGGCGGCGGCGGAGACAGCTTCCGAGGATAACGAGAGACTGGAAGAGGCCCGAGAGGGACGGTGTTGAATGTCGACGACGCTATGGTCATCTTCGCGATGGACGACTGCGGGGCCTGCTCGGGTGATGTTTGTCCACTCGTCGGCATCGGTGACTAGAAGCATGGAAGTGACCATGAGGAAGTCGAGGAGGCTTATGGGGACACCACCATGTGTTCGCTGAGGTCTCGAAGCATCTGGCTTGTGGAGGGCATCGAAGACTCTGAGTTGTGGTGGCGCAGTGACAATTGCAGGCTCGAGAACGGCGACTGGCCCCTTTACACTGGCAGTCGTACACTTAATTAAGGGTCAGGTTCGAGGATCGCGATCGAAAGAGGAAATAAAGCAACGGACGTAATACGAGGAACCGACTCTTCGCCATCGCATGCTGTGAGGATGGTGGGGGAGATAGAACTTGCGATAGCTGGTACGGCATTGGCTGTCAGTGAGTGGAAGCGAACAGGTAGATTCACAGACGAAACGAACCTCAGTAGGGAACCGTAGGAGTAGCCGAGGAATTCTTCTGCAGGCTTCCAGGGCCCTTTGCCAAATGCGACCTGAATCCCCACAAGTTCCCTACTCCTCCTCGAAGACTTTGCATTCTCCCTCCACCTGACGCGGGAAACATTGATGAGGCCCTTGGTATCTGTGCGACGTATCTTCGTGGTGTTATCTTGAGTCTCGATGACATAAAGTGGATTGGCCGAGAGGTCGTCATGTACGACGGATTCGAGAAAAGACGGAGATGATAATTTGAGAGTGATGAGCGGCTCTGGCTCTGGGGCGGCTGGGGTTTCTGAAGTGAAGCGAAGTAAGGAAGGAAAGGTGGAGTGGTGCGAATTGTTGTTCGTGGCGGGAGCTGTTTTAGGCCTGCTGTTTGTCACGGTGGAGGTGGCCCCGTCAAGGGAGGGTGTGAAGCTAGTGCCTGCCTGGTTGCTCTTATCTTCTGATTTCTTGAAGCGCATCTGCGGCGGGTGCGCTGAGCTCGTGCTTGTACGGCGAGTGCGGTGAGGAGAGAGCAGAGAGGGATGGGAAGCCCAAGGCCGTCCATGTCCTCCGACTGCTCTTTGCCAGTCCTCCGGCTCGGCATCTCCCTCCGTTTCCTATTCCTCCGCCTTCCTGCGCGCGTTCCTGGTTTTCTTTCCGACAACACAACGCGTCGGCAACCTTCCGCCCTGCGTTATCGTCCTTCCCCATCGTGGCGCACCGTGCTGCCCTGTACTGCCCCCTTCCGGCCCCCTTTGCGACATACAAACATCACCCACAGCTCCGCACACAGACACAGGTCGCAGGATTCAGAGTCCCACTGGCGTCTTCAACGGGCGCTTCGCCCGCATACTCGTAACCATCTTCCAGGATCGGCTCGCATCTATCCCCATATCGCCTCCTCTTCTTACTCACATCCCTTCGTCATCCCCCCGTTCTCTTTCCGACCTACCATACATATCTCCAACACGTCAGCCGCTGAAACTCACGTCTCTAAGCAGCTTTATTTGGCTTCATATACGCTTTTGGGGCTCCTTGCGAGTCAGGAATATGTATATAAACGGACTCAGCGCCATGAGAAGGTCCTTGGAACATGACCTCCAGCGCCGCATTCTTCTCCACGGCAACACAATGCGTCCTGAGCTAATGCATCTTTCCCCGGTACATACTGCACGATGAGGCACAATCAGCGAATCAAAACATATCTTTCCTTCCCTCCTGGTCGAGGAAGCAAGCAAGGGCCATCTTCAGGACAGATCGCTCGAATCTTCCCAAGCTTGCGCTAAACCCGGCCGCAACGGCCTTCTCTTGGCTTGTAGATCCCCCTCAGCTTCGATCAAAACATGGCCATCATACTCTCAACTCTGTCTCTGATATCGAGTCCAAAGTTGATCGCCTGCAGGAGGCTGTTGCTGCTGAACCGAAAGAGAGATCACGATGATGATGCGGACGCAATACTGGGAACGCCCCGCCACACCGTCGCCACACCTGCAAAGTTTACCGCAGACCGGAAACACGGCGCGTGAGAACCAACGCACGTTGCCGAGCGCGGCAACTCGCGTCTCTTGTTTCGCGCCTCGCGCCTCTTCTGCAACTCAACCCGAACGTACTCACTCCCTTCACGCACAATCTTGCACGCCGCCCGTCTCACTCACCCGCTCGACACCAAATTCACACAAAATGTCCACTGACGCCACCACTCCTTCTAACACTGCGTCAGTTCTTTTACTTGTCAAGAAAATCATTCGTTATTGACGCGCTTTCTTTTCTTGCTTCTAGGACTGCCACCTCTGTCACCGACGCCGCTAATGGCAGTGCGGCCAAGGGAAAGGGAAAGGCCACAGAGGATGTAAGCATGGACATCGATGAACCAGAAGAAGAGGAAGAGGATGACGACGAGGAAGCTGAAGACGACGATGATGAGGAGGTTAGCACTCGTCTCTTTCCCATCACCCATCCTCCCCTCCTTTGTTCGACTTTTCTCGCCCTCACCACGCCACTACGCGCGACTTCGACGCGATTTCTTTCACACCACTCGACTCTTTCAACGACGCTGACCTTTCGTTCCCCTACCTATGTCCGATCAGGAGGAAGACGAGCTCCAAGAGATCGACCCTTCCGCGATCCTCCCCTCTGGTGCCCGCCGTAGCACCCGCGGCGTCAAAGTCGACTACTCATCCGCCGAGGCACTCCAGAAGGCCGGCCTTAAGGCCGGCGAAGACGATGCCGAAGACACTGGCGAAGACTCGTTCGTCGCCACGGAGGAGGATGGCCGCGACGATTGATCGCTTTTCATGCCGGGTGGTCGATGGATGTCGTTGTCCTTTTGAAGGTGGCGCGTCTTGATGGATGGACGTACGTGTCTTGAGGATGAATGAAGCATCGTGTTTCTTGTTGCAACCTGCCGTGTCTGTGTTATGATGCGTTTGGTCGAAGTTAATGTGCTGTTGTCTGTTGTCCCATCCCCTTTCTTTATGCCGGTCGGTCGAGATCATCATTCCGTTCTGCGTCTCTGGTCCTTCGTGGTCCCTGTGGTCCGTCCTGTTCTGTCGTGTAGCACCATAATTATAAATCTCTATTCGCTTGTGAGAAGTCAATCCATCGTTGTCGCTTCACTTGAATTGGTACGATTGGCGCCGTGCGACAGCGCATATATCGTGCGTTTCGCCTATGAGGAGCCGGCGCAGAGCTCGTTCATTCATCATGCATCATGTTCGAAGCATTCAACAGGATATCCATTGTCGTTTCCATTCAGTGTCGCACTCATAGCCGGCCTCAGTCGGCAGCAGTAGAGTGGCTCAACATGGAGGCCCCTATAAGCTGACCATGGTCACACACTGTTTGTGGCGTCCAGCCTTCAATCATTCCAACTTCGTTGCACAAGAGCAGTGAAAGCAAACGGTCGTAAGTAATCGATATCATACTACGAACATGCAACGGCTGCGTGAGCGAACTTGAAGAAAGTCATTATGCAGTTCGTGTCATTGAATGCACGAGCGTACGGTATACTACTACGTGTGGATGTAGGTCGGACATGAGAGCGTGACGAATAATACTTACGAGGTATCAAGTGATTCTACAACAGCAATATCCACAGGAGGATAGCTATAAACAACGAGGACGAGGACGACGAAGAAGAAAATCCAGAGAAAAGGCTGCCATGACGGGATCGAGGGGCGGGTGGGGGACTCTATGGAATACTGTACAAAAGGAGATAGATAATGCACGTCTCTACTATACCTACAGGAAAGAAATAGATAGGAAAAGAATGATAAGGGAAAAGGAAGAGAAAAAGAAAATCAAAGCATCGTAAAACTCCCCACAGCCACCACCGCCAACGTCACACAATACAAAATACACCTGATCTCCTCCCCCGCCTTCGTCTGCTCCCTGATCAACCCTCCCCATCCACTCTTCCTCTTCTCCGGATCACCATTCGGTTTCATCTCGACGCTATACCGCTTCACGTCGTCCCGCCCCCGTCCTCCTCCGAGTCCACCAATACCCCCACCAGACCGATACCAAGGTTTCCGCGACCTCTCGCACACGAGTAATGCGGAGGGTAAACCGTGATGGTCCGAGACGAGCTCGTAGGACGCGCTTTGGATGTTCGTGATGGGGGCTTCGCGACGGGGCGGGAATGGGGTGGGCGCGATGAAGTTGAGGGAGAAGGTGCGAAGACGGGGGTTTGAGCGTGCGAGACGGGTGCCGCAGGTGGAGAAGGATTCTTCTTTGGGAGATTTGATGATTCGGAGGTTAAGAGAGGTAAGCTTGCAGAGCGGGCGGATGGTCCGTGTGAATGCATCCTGAACGAACCAAAGGAAAGAGAAGAGAAAAGAGATACATTAGAGGAATTATCACGAGTGTGTGAAGGAGTAGAGGGAGAAAGCGACAGACGTTCACCAGTGTGAAAGAAGGCTTGCACGCGCATGTCAGGTCCAGGTGTTTCAAGTTCGGACAGACAGCGACCAACATGCGCAACATCCCCCCATTATCATACCCATGCTCCAAAGCAAACGAGATCGTCAATTCCTTCAACGAGCCCAACTCCTGCAACACACCCGACACCGTCAACGGCGTGCTCTCCCGCAGTGATATTGGCTCGATCAGCTTCAGCGCCTTGAGCGCCCCTTTATACGGCAGCGCCTGTACCTGCTCCAACGTCCCACTGAAGTTCGTCACGCGAGGCAAGGCTTCTCGATGTACCGCACGGATGATATCTGGTGCCGAAACGCTGGGTTGGTACCCAAGCAGGTGAATTTCTTGAAGTTGTTTGTGTTCCTCGAGGAAGGTGATGAATGGGCGTTTGACGTTCGGGTTGATGGCGGAGTGCCAGTCGAGGACGATGTCGCCGAGGAGAAGTTTCCGGAGGTGGGGCCAGCGACCTCGGGTGAGGCGATGGGCGTCGACGGGGTTGGCGGCTGAAACACCGTCGAAGGAGAGTTCTTGGAGGTTTGGACAACGGTTGATGAGCATCTCCCAGAGGCGTTTGTAGCCTGGTACTGGGTCCTCTGGTGGTCCAATGTCGTACAGAAGGACATGAGCATGCGCTGCTACGCTTGCATGATATGTCAAAGGGCCTTAGCACTTGACTTACCTCGTGAGAGCGCCCAGTGTTGAGCATAGAAGCCGGACTTGAATGTCAGCGCAAAGCCAGTGAGGTTGCTGAAGTCGTATAGCTAGATTCATGAAACCCAACATGTCTCAGGAAGCAGGGTGAATACAGATAGAAAAGAAAAACGCACATGACTCTTCGGAGAAGGCTGCACACACCCCAAACTCGTTTCGACGTATCTTAATCGAGTGCAGCTATAAACAAACAACGCCCACCAGAATCCCAACATCTCCGTCAGCTCTCTCGCATAGCGCATCTACCTCCTCGCAGAGTATAGAGAAAGGACTCACTACAGCCTCAACGCGAACCACATATCATCGTTAGGTGCCAACTCCTCCCCATCCCACTGGAACCTCTGTAGCACCTCCAGATTGACAGCAGCCCTCCTCACCGCCGCACTAACTTTATACCCGTCCTCGAGCGAATAACGACTACTTCGCGGCACGAGTGGTACCGGATCGGGAGAGACGGAGAGGGTGCGAACGTGTCGTGCGCGCTCGGGATTGTTGAAGAGCATCTCGAGAGTGGTGCAGCATTGTTCGACGCCGCGCAGGGTGACATGGCTGTAAAGAACTGGAATGACATATTGTAAGACTTGCGGAGACTGTTCATATTATACGGATTTAGAGCGCAGGGTCGACGTCATGAACGTGGACGAGGATTGAATAGGCGGGAAGCATTTAAAGTCAGACGATCAGCAACGTTGTAGATAAGACAAGAGCACGGAGATGAGATTGAGTCAAATAGGCTACTAACGACAAGACAAAGATGAAGGATCTCTGCGGGGCAGGGCAGATAAGTTGCGATTTCGATGAGAACGTCGCCGGGCACACGATCCAACGGTGGAGAAAAGCTGGCGTTGTCGTTGCTGGCCATGGCAGCGGTGAGTGCGGAACGAAGTGCTGTTGTTGGCGCTGCCATGACCTTCCGGGCGCTAGCCATGACGCCACCGCGAACCATGCTCGGTCCGCTCGCAGCGATCGGCTGTGGCGGCGCCTCAATCGGCAGGTTTGTCCAGCTCATATTGTAGACGGTGACAACGACGATGAATTGAAGGAGGAGGTTGTGTGAGATGGATGAAGACGCTCGGTGTAGACGGTGGGCACGACGATTATCAGATTTATGATCACTTCTACTCCTTCGCTTGTTCGAAACAGGCTCTCCACCCTAATACTATCTCTTCTTCCGATTCGTCATTCATGTACCTCCACAGTGCGAAGGCCGTGTTGAGGTTTCCACGCACCTTCTTTCGGGCTTCGTTGACAGTGCACACGCCCGAAACTCATCCGAACCGCTTGGCAAACATGAACCGGAAGCCAGACATAAATCTGCAAACACATGCGATTTTGTCTATTATCTTGGTGCGAAGAATACATCTGGCTTTCTCTACTCGTACGAACCGCAATCGCCCTCTCACAAGTAGGGGACGTTCATGAAGCATTACAATGTCGATGAAGAAAACAAACGAAAATCAGTACCTGTCGGACCGAAGCAAGGTAAGAGAAGTGTCGAGGAAGTGTGCGTGTGGTGATCGTGCGAAGCGTTGAAGAGCGCATGAAAGACGCGTTTTTGGTGGTGCACGCATGGCGGGCGATAGTGACGGGTGAGAGAATTAGGGTCGGGGTCGAGAGTGGGTACAGTTATGGCAGAAACGATGCAAACGGAGGAGTCGATATGCGCAATGAAATTAATCATGACCTGCAACTGGTCAGCTTTTGTCCAAACGCACAACGGCACAGATGATCATAGCAGACAAGTCTGGGGATGTGGGAAGAAAGAGGGAAAGAGCGACGCACATCTTATAGTCGATGGTCTCCGCCTGGTCTCCACACTCGTATTGTATTGAGATGTCCAAGTCGCGGTTGTTCCTGGCGTTGGGAGCACAGGTGAGCGTGCCCTTGATCGACTCGCCATCGGATATAGTGATTGTCGTGGGGGTGTAGAATACAGTTTGCCTGCACGATATGGTGACGATTATGTGAGAGGTTGATAGAAATGAAGAGGTTGACAAATGACGTACTTCCAGTGGGTATATTTTGCGTGAGGGCCTGTCGAAAACTGGACCTTTTTGTGGGTGCAAGCAAAGTCGATGTCAAACCATGCGAGGAAAGCGTGCACGACTATTCAAATACAACAAGCCGGAACAGGTCAGCCTCGTAACAGGAAGTGCTCAGGATTGAACCTGAAGCGTACAATCATTCCGGGTAGCCTTCAACTCGAAGTCGGCCTTGAAAGTAAGGTCCTCCTTCTTGGCTGTCCGGATGTCTATGTGCTGTGAATTTACGTCAATTTCAGTGAAAGGGTTCGAAAATGAATATAAAGGCCACGTACCTTGATCTTACAAGGATCAGTCACGACTGCCTTGAGGTCGACGGTATCGACCAAAGGTTCCCGCAACGCGATGTCTTTGATGCACGAGTAGTCGAACCCATAGACATTGTCCCAGACTGTCCAGCAGAAGAATTACATATGCAGTCGGCAGATACGTCAGCATACTGCAAGTGAAGTGTGCAGTCGAGAGTCGCCACTCACAGTTGATCTTTTCCTCTTTGTAGTCCTGATCCTCGATAGCTGCAAGGTACAAAGTGGCGTGGTCAGGGAAAATGAGGCCGTCCGGCTTGAGGTACTTGTCGCGTGCAAGGAGGACGGTGTCGAGCATGGATTCGTAAAGCAGGAAATAGCCCATCCACTCTGAGATGATGATGTCGTACTCCTTGATCGGGAGGTCGACCTCTTCGAGCTTGCCCTTTACCAGGGTAATGGCTATAAACGTATATGATAGATTGTGTCAGATCACTTGCGATGAGAAGGGTAGATGGGTGAATGTATTCAAGCCGAGGCCTCAGAGTAAGACGTACTATCCGAGAAACCATTCGCCTCAACGATTTTGACGGCTTGATCGATGATATTGGACATATCAATCTTTCAACGCCCGAACATACCGCCAACCATTTCCATTCCATCCCAATTCCACAGCATCACCCACAATAAACAAAGGATTGAAATATTAAAACCTCCACGCGAATTGTTTGTGAAGATATAAAGGAAGGCGAAAACACTCACACCGACGACATGCTTTGCGCCAGCCTTGGCCGCAAACATACTGAGAATACCGGTTCCACATCCGACGTCAAGCACGGTCTTGCCTTTGAAGAGGTGGGGGTTGTTGATGATCGCGGCACGGTAGGATCCCGTACGGACAGAATCCTTGAGCATCTCCTCGTGAATGCCTGGTGGTGCAAAGACAAAGCAAACCGGTCAAAATATCAGCCAACTGCCTTCTCAAATTTGTCGACGAGGTTGTGACGATGCTGAGTGGGTCCGACGGATTGAAATCGTACCGAAGTGGGCGTACGAGTCTGCATAGCTATAGGTAGGGCAAGTACGAATTAGCGCTTGCGTACTTGTTGAATACCATAAGAGATACGCACTAGTCCCTAGAGGTCATACCCTCCTGGTGAGTCGAGGTCGAAGCGTCTTCCATGGTGAAGCAGGAGCGAGGTAGAAGAGAAGGGAGGGAGGAGCTGGAGGAAAAAAAGCAAGCTCGGAAGACGAGAGTGGAGAACCAGAAAAGAAAAAAGCAGCCGATCGCGAACGGAGCGTCGATCACGTGGGCGACGCGCGGAGCCCAGAAAAGGAAGTCGAAAAGGCGGTGCCACACTTGCCTGGAGTCGCTGCGCTTGCACTGCTTGAGCTTCGATAAAACCCGAGCATGGGCCGCGAGCTTCCGCAATCCGTCTCTCTCTTCCTTACCACCACCATCTCGAACCCCTTTACCTGCTTTCAATCACCACAATATGGTTGGTTTCTTCGCTTTTTAGCATGTCCATGGACTCATTGACATGTAGATCATGCAGAGTAACGCCAAGAGTGATTCCATCAACCAGCCCATGGGCAACCCTCCGGCATACGAGTATGTGGCCGGAAGTGCGTATCTTCGTTCGTTAGCTCTTCGGATTGCATCTGACGGCTATAACCTGCACAGGTTCCTCGCAAGCTCCTCTAGGCAAACCTTCAGAGGCAAAGTCATATATGCCACCCCCGCCGCCCCCACCTCAGGCTCAGTCATACGGCGCTACAGTGCCAGGTCACTCCACCACCGTGTATCATTATCAGGATCCCCGTACAGGCCAACAGATCTCGTCCCTCCTCCCACCGGACGCACCGGCTATGATTTGTCTCCAGCAGGGTGAACATATAGCACAGACGCAGTACGGCATTCTCGGTCAGCCTTCGCCTCCTCTTTACTCCACTCTTCGCTCCATCCCGCTGACGTGGTTATATTTCCTCAAATAGGTGTGCTGGCCGCTGTGATCTGGTTCCCGGTTGGCATCGCCTGTTGTCTCCTTGACAGGAAGGTCAAGTGCAAGAGATGTGGCGAGATCATCAGTAGCGGTATCGTCGACTAAAGAGCCGGCTGAAGTCGTAGCAATATTCATATTCGCGCCTCTCATCTCGCGTCTCAACTCTCTCGACATCCTCAGATATCTGTATATGGAATATGGACTGTTGTGATTCATGTATCGACCGTGTTTTCTATCTTATCCCGTCACCCATCTACACTCGCTCACCCACTCATTTGTTTACTCACATTGTATCATCTCCTATGGCCGTGGTATATTAACTCACAGCGCATCGCTCGGACACTGTTTACCCCAATAATAGAGCTTTTTTTGCTCGTTATGGCTTCTGTAGGATATTCTCGAACTGGCGGCATAAGGTGACCGTCGTCAACTTTGTTCCTTCATCGAATATTCGATGCCGGGATACGTGATGGCCTGGAGCAGTCCCTCTGCATGTTGCTAAGTTAATTGACAACGCTCCTTCTTGCCCAGGCCTTTCACAATAGATGTTTGTTGGTTGTGCGTAGTGTGGACGGTGAGTCTTGTCCGACTTCTTCCCAGATTGGGTCTCCCCTCTTTCTAAGCTCAAGTTTCAGTCACAGCGGCGTGCTAGGCTACAAATCCTCCTATGTGCCGTTTGGTATACAACGATTCCTGCAGCCGAACAATCAAATGTTTGAACATCGAGCAGCGTATGGTGCGTTTTTGGTTTGAGTATTGGATGACTATTCATAGGGGGTTTCCCTACAAGCCTGGATACGCAGAAAGGAGGCCCAAGTCGATTCTTTATTTGGATGGGGCCTCCTGTGTTTGTGCTCCTGTGCACTAAGAAACACATTTAGAGTGCTACGGATAGCCACCCACTGCAACTATGTGGTACACTCTTCATCTCGAGACTGTTCTCATACAAGTCTATGCACACCACGATTCTATAACGTGACTCGTCTGATCTTATTCACATACTATGACTACAAATTTAGAGCCTTTCCTAATTCACGAAATTAGGTGAGACAAAGTACACACTGACATACACTCATCAACGTTCCTGAGGACTGTGCGAAACTGTGGATTTTAACCGTCAACAGGTGCTCAACCCAAACATACCACCATAAATACCCACACCAGATTGAGTGTCGCTGGCCAAACGGCGACGATCTGTGATACTTGGCAGGGCAGCGCTGTCGCCGCGATTCCGTCATGTAATACATCTCAAGAAGTATATGAGTCTCTCATCGATTATCTTTTATTGCATGCGGATTAGCTCTCAAGCTCTCGAGTCCAACCACGAATGTACGCGACTACGATCCACCACGAGTCATACCCCGACTAGGATCTCACAACACCACGAAGGTCGGACGACTCTCAGAGGCTCGGTGATCGGGTTCACACCTAGCATACAAGTGCTACTGAACTCGGGGCGACAGGTTCCGCTCAACACGCAATCCTGTGCTGTTCAATGTCCCGAAGGCCGTATGGTCGAGGAGTCCTGGCTCGACCATGCTTGCTCTCTAGAAAGGGGCGGGCCATTATGGGCGTTGATCGCGACTGATTTGAGCAAGGTATGATCATGTTCGATACTTTTCTACTCCGCAGAGGAACAAAGACCGTCCGAGGTAAGTGCTCAAATGGGGATAATCCACGAGGAAGTCATTTGAGCGCCGATGAAATTTGTGGCTGTATCCATCGAGGTTTTCGCGTTCTTGGTTGTGTGATTGTGCTCGATGGGGAGCAAGTGCGAAACCTGTCGAAGGTAATGTGTTCTGCATTTAGAGACCGGCCGTGCATTCCTTTACTGAAGAGTATTTTGTTCCACAGACGGCAGCCCTAGCATTACTGGCTGCACACCCGCCGAGGAACAACGGAACAGCGTGTCACTACAGTGTAGTTAATCCAACATCCGGGTATTCTACTCTGCTCATACCTCAATCTCCGCCTCCGTTCAAGTCCAACTTGCCCTTCGTGTTGTCGAGCCGACGGGGAGCGTAATTGGTCTCACCAGTGAGTCGTGCGGTGTCACCAAACGTAAATATCTACCTCTCATACCTTGTCATTCACCCATGCCATTCTAATCTAACTGTTCATATAGTGCCTCATGCAAGGGCGACAAACAGAGTTCTGCTCGTTGGACAGCATCCGCATGCCCTTTCACGGTAGGCACAGGATCACTATCCTATAAATTGAACAAAGTAACAACAACCAACTAAAATTTAAGCGTTTTAAGATCGAGTCGGCAAACGGTGTATTCGCCAATCCGTGGGATATTGTGAGTTCATATCACATGTATTAATTCCCAGTGGCGCACCATGGCTTCGAACAAGGTTTGAACCTACTTTCCCGTGGCAAATAGTGTAAGGTAAGTTGCCCAAGTATAGGCTCGGACGTTGTTCCAGTCAAGAACTGAATGTATTCTGTCAGTGGCATAATAATCTTACGAGAAAGCATCGGTGAGTTCACCATGCAGTGTGAGTATTCCATCGTAACTTGAACTCACTCGATCTCTCCCGCAGGGCGTAAAGTGGATATTTTGAACATGAGCAGCTGAGCAGTCGTGTGGTGTCCTGCAAGAAGTTGCTCAGGCCCCACCTGAAGTACACGCATAGCCTCGAAAGACAATCTTTCTGATGGATCCTGAAGCATCACGCATCTCTATTGAGTCTATGAATGACCAGCCTACGCCGTTGCGACACGCAGACGATCCTTGATATCGTCACCATACCCGTGACGAGCTCAAGCGCTGAAAGTGAGTTGTTCAATTTCACCTCCGTGGCGGCATAGATGGTGATGCACCATTCATCGACTTGGTGGGCGGGTGGGAAGCAAGCTTGACTCAAAAATTGCATGGCCAGGCGGGCGAGGCTTGCTTCATGGTTCCCGCCAGGCATGTGAGCAGGAATACACTGTTCAGTGCGACGATGCTACCCGATACTCGCCTTCCTTTCAGATTACTTCCATCCAGTATGTTGCTCATTCATTCGCCCACCGATGCTGCGTTGGTGTATGGCAACCTGCGGGTGTCCTGGCAAAACGTTGCCTCTAGCCTTCTACTAGTGGGTCCGAATTTACGCAAACATGATGCGATACGCCTAGGCTCGTCCTCACAGGCTGCACAACCGACCGATCGAGGCCATATTTGGACTCGTAAGGGTGACGAAACTCCTCATGTGCCGATACAGTCACATAAACTAGGGTCTTTGTTCAAACCCTGGGCTTTTTTTCTGCAGACTTATCGTGGCCGACTCGGTCCAGTCGCTCCGAATTCAATTCGTAGAATAGCGACTTCCATCCCGACTCTCAAGAATCGCTCAAATGCACATGGTCGCCCATCCCATGCTCGATGTCAAGGCAAGGCGATCGTATGGAATCGACTGGGATATCGTGGTCGATGCCTTGCGAAAGGGTACGTACTTTGTGTTCATGCTTCCTGCACTCACTGGAACCTCGAACTCGAACCTCGTCGATTCTTCCGTTCAAATAACGACATCGAGGCTTTGCGGTGCATATTCGGGGTGGGTATACGGCGGAGGCCCTGCGGAGTAAGTTGAACGAGCAGCATACCCTTGCTTCAATTAACCATGGACATGTCGTATGCTCCTACCCGCTCAATACCCGCACTTTCGGCCTATAATGGCTTTCTGGTGATCCGCCGTTCGTACATCTACGCCGCACGGCTGACATTTTTTCCCACACAGCGCCAACGTGGTATCTAGATTCAAGTTCACCGTTTGACTTCCTTCTTTTCGGCCGTTTACTGAGCTCAATACAGTTTATACTCTGGCAGTGCGGTTCCGAGATAGTGGCTCCTCCAATGGCCGTGTGCGAACGTTTTGGAAGTTGCAATACTTATCGTGACGATGCAGACCTGCAGGTCACAACCCCATGGTCCTCAAGCACTTCGGTGAGGATAAGCCGGCCGTGAACATAGCATCCTCCTGTCCTCCACTGGGTTCGACCGTCAGGTTCGTCGAACACCGGCACGTCTGCGTACCTCAAGCTCAAGCTCACACTCCATCGTCTACTTCGTCTTCTTCTTCCACCGACCCCAGGGTTCCGCTTCTCTTCTCTCCACACCCCTTGCACCAATTATATCCCAGTATTTGACCTTGTGTAACTTTGCTCTGACAGGGCCCGAACAGGCCCGACGGACTGGAAGCCTGGAAGCACTTGAGAACTCGTTCAGCTCTGGCTCCTGTTCTAATCGTGAACACATCGTGAGTAACAAGCCAGTCGCCGCCGTATCGATATGGATTTTGATTCACTCTGGTAGGATCCCGCCGGAAGACACGCCTCTTCGCCAGGCTTAAATAATGCTAATAGAAGCTCACGGACCCGCAACATGCATCCATAGCGTTAGCGTGGTCCGTGGATCTGATCTTGGACCCTCGGACGAGCGTGGAGGTTACTCGCGTGTGATTTGCCCTGGTTGTGTTACTTCCGTCTTGGAGAGAGAACCCTTGAAGCTAGTTGTAGTGGCGGAAAGGTACGAGGTATATTCTCACATAGACAAGTTTTTACTCGGACTCGACAACTCGTTTACGTTACTGAATACCGCGCAATACCGTCTCAGCGTAGTCGTTGTACCTACCGACATGCACGCTCACTGGCTCTCATCCGAGTCATACAAGTATATACAAGGAAATGGACATGGCTATCCACCCGAAAGACACGCAGTCGTTAACACACCGGCCTCTTGGCTGGTGGGATGAACCCTCACCGATGGGTTGATTCCGACTCTCTCTCGACCATATATGTGGCTGTAGGCGACACATTGTCGGTCCGTAGATATGTACGACATCTATACCCCCAACCGCTTCGGATCGTTGACCACGCGCAGGTAAGTTATGGACTCAGAAAGGCTGGTCCGGATCGTCCATCTGAATCCTTGAAGGAGGTTCCTGTGGTGTGTGTATGCGAACAGTCGGTACCGAGCAAGAGTCACTTGCATTGTTAGACGTCTTGTGAAGAAAACGCAGGCATGTAGACGGAATCTACGGCCATTTATTTATGCTGATGCCGTCCCAAATACTCAACGCACAGCGTTCAACTTTGGACGTCGAGCATGCATTGGTCTGCGTGACACTCGACGACCGGAGGTATCCTCACGCAGACGGAGTCGTATGGTTCCTCATGAACCTTCGCGCTTGTCGCAGATCCTCAACTCCGAGTCCGAGGAGTCAACGAATATCCAGGCAGGGGCGAGCAGTAGTGGCGAGTTCCGAGACGTTCGGTTAGATACGGCACATGTGCACGTTGAAAGCGACAGTAAGAAGCTCGAATGACGGTGAACTGAGAGCAGAGCGCGAGGGTTGGTGTCTGATCGTACCGGCGTCTCTTCAAATGAGAGCAGTAGGATGGAACATAGGTACTGACCTGCAAACGCACGGGCTATTAATTACTCGCGTACAAGCAAGAGCACTTCCTCGGACCGACATTCGTCATTCAGACCTGTGCCTGGAGCATTTTTGTTGTCATTCCCTTGTGCCAGCAGGATCAGGAGAACGGGCAGGCAGCTGCGCTAGCGGCGCCACAAACCCAACAGGGAGATACGCAGAAGTGGAACGTGAAGAAGGGGAAGGCCTGAACCTATTCTTGCCCGCATTCACGTCCGCGAAAAGGGGTCACCATGGAGATACGAACTATCCTGGGTGTTTTGACAAGAGTTGTGAGTGCTTGCGCTCATCTGACAGGCCAGAGAGTGCCGCTGAGAAATTTGAGCCTGAGATTCCTCGGGAAGGGAAAAGTAGACCGATGATCGTCATGAGAAAAAGATCGAGAACACGGAGGACGGGGAGAGTGAATCGTGTAGGGCGGAAGTTTTGTGACGGCGGAAGGAAAGATGAGGCCTATGAGGCCCGAGAGCGTAAGAGAAATATGATGGTGCGTACTGTACTATGGGCGTGAGAGCAGGGAGAGTATAGATACAGTTTCAGAAGGCCAATAGTGTTGTTGCAAGCCGCAGAGACAAAATAATGCCTATCCACGAAAATCCGTGGGGCTGTTGAGCGTCGAGAAAAAAGCCATATGGAATTAGTGGTCCAAGGATTGTGGAAACTGGACACTAGTCGTGGTCACTTGCAACATGCGCCTACAGTAGCAGAGATAGGAGAGGACGAAGAGCGATCGGGAGAAGGCTGTCTTCGGCCATGCGAGGGCCAAGAACGTGCTTTTCATTTTTCTTCTCGCGCGCCTTGGACAAATACTTTACGTGTGGAATACGTGCGTTTTTGAAAAGGGGAAAGAGATGAGCCACGCGAGGTACTCAGCCGGCCACGAGGCTATCATCGGAGAGATATCTGAAACTCGGTGGAAGTAGCGGGTGGAAGTAAATGTTACAATCCGCTGAAGGAGCTCAGACGTGCCAGAGCGAAATTGGGCGGTGTTGCAAGGCCTTTGAGACAGAAGGAAGCTAGACAAGAGCCAAAGAAGTGCAGGATTGGGCGGCAACAAGAAGCGAAAGAGAAGAGAAGGAATGCCCGTTTTTGGACAGGAGCCGGCGTTGTGGCGAAGTTGAAGATTGCGATTTCGGCCACGTGGATTAGGATGGCCAGGTACGGTCCGAGAGGTGGGCGATAAGGCGTTTGGATATTGGCGATATTTCTGACGAGCTGAGGTGAAAGCAGATGGTGGTGGTAGAGGACTGTGTGCAGGCGGCGGGAGTCGGCTGGAAGTCATGTACGGGGAAGATGGAAGATGAAACTGAAGGCGCGTCTCGCGTCGACGAAGCGGGGAATTTCCATATAGGGAACAAAGGGTGACACGTGGGAGACGTGACGGCAGGCCGTGACTACCTTGATCGACCTCCGTCTGGGCCGGCTTTGGACAGTGGCCTGCGCTCTGCTCCGACCCCCAACTGTCTTCGATGACATCCCCCAGACGTCTCTCTCGCTCCCTATTCGACCGCATCCTCAACAACAACAATCGCGACAACGCCCACAACGACGACCACACGCTTCGCAACGACGCCGATAACGGCCCCGCCCTCGCCCGCTCCCCGCTCGCACCCATCGATCAGCAGGCCTTCCTCCCGTCCACCCAAGCGATGACAGGAGCCACACTCACCTCCCCCGCACCGGCTTTTCACCAGGAACCCAACGGAAAGCAATCAAATCTCATTGGCAAGTCCATCGTACCACGCCGCTCGTCCTACACCAGCACAGACGACGACGCATTTCCCCCAGGCAGCAGCCAGGGTTCAGTCCATCGCAAACGATCACAGTAAGTTTCACTTTTCATGAGTTCCATTCTGCAGCCCCACAATTCTCGTCGTCCCTTTCGAGGCATTCGTAGCCCGTTGTCGGGCGAGAGACGTCATGCCATGCGCTTTGGGAAGTAAGGGTTGCCCAGCCTCGTGTCTCCCTCCGAACTGTGGAACCACGGACCTCTGATCTTCTCGAAATTCACCGGCTTCCAAGCTCGCCAATGGGATCGTGGGTCGTTATCCCCTCGTTCTGCTCTGTCATTCGCCTCGACAAGTTCATTCGAGACATGATGTTCCCTTCACTGCCTCCACCACCAAAACACTTCATTTTGAGTCACGGTCTCAGTATATCTGATCAGCGCACCCACTTGTCATAGTCCAATAATGTCAGATCTTTTTTGGGGCAAGAAGGGTCTCCCATGCGGCTGAAACGTTTGAGTCGCTGACTTTCCATCACTATTTCAATTACATGCCCTTTTCGCTTTTGCACCGAGATCTATCCATTAGCCGGGGACCACTAATGCTTACGATCAACTTGTTTGCTTATATAGATCCTACCTGCCAGGGGCGTCGTCGTCGCGCTCGCATCCATATCCTTCGCCTGGGAGCAGGGCTTCACGCCGGCCTACCCACGTCCACTCTTTATCCTCATCGTCCACGGCTTCTTCCAATCGTCGAACCTCGCTCCCGACTCTGTATCCATCACCTACTAACGCCTATTGTCCTACCGTCGTTTCCTTTCAATCTCCTGCTTTCATGTCTGCCAATTCCGAAAATCTACCCACTGATGATTACGCCGCACTGGCTTCTTATACTTTCGGGGCGCCCAGTACGTCCACGCGGCCGCCGTTGGATACCGAAATGCTCAGTCCGCTTTCGACACTCCCTGACCGCGAGAGTATGTCGACCATCGACCAAGACCGCACTCCTAGACATTCCGTATCGCATCCTCGTGACGAGGAAGATGACGAGGAGGCCGCCCGCCGTACTCGGTCCAAAATGCGTGCAATCGACGATGGCGGCCGTAGACCTTCTCTTCCTACCAACGTATTCAGTGACAAACCCTCCACTAGCTCTCAACCTGATGACGACAGACTCGACTCTCACTCTGACTCCGGCGACGAAGGTGGCGCACTAGACACCGACATGGAGTTTGAGGCCCCAGTCCACGACGCAGCCTCGCAACATACGTTCGGCGGCTTGAGCGGTGCGAGCCATCGTGCGTGGGATCAACCGGAAGAGTCTGAAGAAAACGAACGTGAGCGCCCCTGGGAATCTTACGTCGTCGATCCAGCCCACCGAGACGAGCACGGTGGATCGCCTGTGACGTTCGCCGCCACACTGAACAGCGACGACGACCGTTTCTCACTCTCTGGCTCATCTGATCGCGACGCCACTGCTATTCAATATGCAACCGGACGCCGCCCGAGCCTTCCCTTGCTTATACGGACGCCGCCGTCTAACTCTCTTGGCTTTGATGCAGCAGACTCTGAATTCGTGCGCGACAGGGAATCTAGTGTCGCCACCATTACGATGCGGAGGCCTAGTCGTAGCGTCGACGACGACCTCCGTGCAGCTCTGACCGCTTCTATGGAGCCAGGAATGCAGCCCTCAAGCGAGCCTACACCTGGGCCTAGCACCGTAGGGGAAAGGCCCGCTTGGGAGATTGATATGGCTTATATCCAGGATGGAATTGTGACGGGCTCCCGTCGTTCATCCGCTTCGTTCATCCGCCCACTTCCAGCGCCTCCGAAGAAGGGCAAGGAGAAAAAGGATCGCAAGGGGAAAGGGAAACAAAAGGCGAAGACGAAGGGGCCCGGTAAGCTTCCGCTGCGATGTTAGGTATATAAAAGCTCATTGTAAGATAACAATATAGCACTGGACGAAGACGTGGTCAATGCTTTTAGCTCAGAAGTCGCTCCTTGGGCAGCAGATGAAGGCTCTATCATGCAGGGGCGCAAGTCCAGCGTCGCCACTGTAGGCATGGGCGACGATTTTTTCACTCGGCATGTCCGCGAGAACGACCCTGCCTACGCACATGCTCGCAACAAATGGGCATACGTCAAACCACCTCGCATGAACGCCCCGCCTCCAGCTCCTAGCGCTGGTAAGCGCGCCGAGGGTGCGTGGATCCCCCCAGAGCCCGAGTTTTGGCGGAACGACCAGAACGGCACGTTCAAACTCGATTGGGGCACTGTGACGCCTCGTAGGTCATCTTCTCTTCACAATCGTTCGCGAGTCGACGTGATCGAGCCTATCTCTTCAGATGATCCCAGCAAGCCGCTGCAGCGAAGGCTGAATATCATGCATCTCGCGGACGCGACCTGTACTGGCTCTCCGAACGGTGGTCCTAGCGTCATTGTTCACAAGCACTCCAAGGCTGTTGCCTTTTCCATCTTCCGTGATGATGGCCTGCTCGAGAATAACAGTCATCGTACCAAACGCGAGCAGCGGAATCAACTCGACGCTCATTTCAGCATCCTACTCGCCCCGCGGTCGGTACAAGAACAGTACACCAGTACGAAGTCGACAAAGTCGCTCAACGCGCATGGTCTGCTCGACGAGAAATCGTCCGAGTCGTCGAGTCGCGGGAGAGGCAACGCACCGCCTTCGTCGCGAGATCGACCGCCTCCTGTCCCTTCCATAGGCCGACAAATCATTCCTTCTTCCAGAATCTCGCGAGATACCCGGCCGTCGACTGCCGGATCACAGGCCAGCAGTACCCATGGTCGTACCGATTCGACGACGTCTGAACACAGCGGTGAAGGTCGTTCCAGTTCTGCCACGCACGACGACCGTACCACGGTCACGTCCGCAACCACTGCCCCTCGCACCCAGCCTAGCGATGCGGAGGACGAGTACGAAGACGATGATGATGACCTCAACGGGCCTGTGGCGCCCAGGACATCTCACGCAGAGGCATTCGGTTCACTTGACCGCGTCACGATGGAACAGTACAGGCAGCATAACCCTCCATCTCCCGATACGCCACCCTCCATCCTTGCCCTATTCCGGAAACCCTTCAAAGGCTCCTCTTCGTCCTCGACTCCTCGTTCGCCCAACGCACACATGAAACCCTATGCCCCGGCATGGGTCACCATGGCCCCTCGCCACCAACAGGACTCGCAGGACGAGGTCATCCACAACTTGAACGAGTCGTTCAAAGACGTCGGTTTGCTTCCTTCGAACAGGCGGAAGGGAGGCCCGGATCCAAGCAAGCAGAAGCGGGTGAAACGTACGGAGACGATGCAACGCATCCCAGACGACGTGATCTACATGCTCCTTCCCCTCTGGTCTCGTGGAATCGACCCGAAGCAGCCCTCGCATCCAGAAGCGAAGCAGGCGTCGCAGGTCTCGATGGAGGACTACAACGTCCCGCCCGAACAAGAGCGTGTGTATCTTTACGTGTCGTATCGGCCGTTCGACGGGCCCCGAGACGACGCGAGCGGGTTGAGCAAGAAAAGGTCCAGGTCGACGGCGGCGGGGTCTGAACGAGCGGATCCCGCGACTCGAAACCGCGACTTGCTGAACTCGTTCACTGGCCCGCGCGGGTTCCAAGTGAGCGCGCGTCGGATCTCTTACGCACAACTTTCGGGGACTGGCATGCGCATTCCCGCTCAAGGTCTCGTCGTTACTGGCTCACCTGAAGACCTCGGAACGGCACCGTCTCCGGAAGGTAGCGACAGTGCGCAGATCATTGCGTGGTGCGAGAAGCGGGAGAAGGGAGTGTTATTCGTGGATGATGGGTTGGAGAAACTTGGGCTCTGTCGCCCGCGGGAACAGCATTTCCCGTCGGTGTATGGGTTGAACAGGGTGGACCCTGCGATGCAGGTGAACGCGCCGGATCCCGAGCAGTTGAAGGCAGAGATTGAGCCGTTGACGCCGCTGGGGAGGGCTGTTCATGAGATGGTCTGGTTGGGGTGTATGGCGATCACGAGCTTCGGGACGGGGATGCACGCGCCCGAGGCGAAACGAAAATAATGACGGGTATATGTGTGTTCATGATTCAGACGGTCTTTTCGCGTTGTTTTCTCTAGGTTCTTGTGTTTCGTTCTCTTTCGCTTTTCGCCACTCTCCCCCTTATTCTAGGCCATCTTCCGTTCATCCCTACCTGACGTTTACTGTTTATCTATACCCGTATTCTGAAAATGTACGCACTATGACGGGCGCATTGGTGTAGTGGTGGCATGGTTTGTCGTTTGGTCTCTCTCTGTCTGGCTGATGATTTGGCACCCTATCTGTATACGATTGACTGTATATACCTAAGTAGAGCGTCTTGCGTCTTCTGTATTTTAGCAGCTCTCCTCGCGGTTCCCAATGCTATTCTTACACTATTTGTCTGTGGCTGTGGATGTGGCTGTGGTGTGTTGTTTGGTGGTGTTTGTTCCTGGATGGGGGGTCGACGTGGCAGTCGACGTGGCATGGGTCTCTTCACGACCTCCACGTACGTCCTGCGCCAGTCGCAGCCCCTTCAGACTCGCCCTCCCTCCTCTCCTACAAAGCCCTCCTCTCCGCAACACATCACCCTCCTTTCTCTCCACGTATCCTCTTGGCGTCTTCACAACACCCAACAATGCCTCGTAACGACAAGTCTTCACCCGCTTCGCTCTCCCTCCCTTCTCCCTCCCAGTCTCCCGAATCTTCCACCCAACCCCTTACCCCATCCGCATCATCCTCTTCTGCAAAGTCTAGACCACACCCTACCAGCGATGGCCCTCCCCGCAAACGCTCTCGTACTGAACTCACCCCCGACGAGCGCAAGGAGGCCCGCGCACACCGTAACAGGATCGCAGCCCAGAACAGCCGTGACAGGCGTAAAGCCCAATTTGTCGCCCTCGAAGAGCGCATTGCTCAACTCGAGGGAGAGAACCGCACTCTGCGCGCTAGCATGGGCTTGACCGCCCTTCGGGATACCGAAGAGCAGAGGGCCGCCGCCCACGCCCGCGATCGTGAGAACCAGGAGCTCAAAGAGCGCATTCGCACCCTTGAGAGCGGATGGGAAGCCATCGTCAAGGTATTGCAGGTTCACGGTCTCCCTGCCGGTATCCCCGGCCTGCCACCTGCACCCACCGCCTCAGTTCAGGAGCCCATCACTCCGCGCCCTGAGGAGCCTCGCTCATGCTCCACTTCCTCGTCGACCTCGTCTTCCTCATCGACGACGCCACCACCCAACAACAACCCCACCACGTTCCCCGTCCTCGTCCCACCTTCGCCCGTATTCCCGCTCTCACCAGCCCAATCCCATTCGTCCTACAGCTCAAGCATGTTTGAAGAACCCGAATCCACTCGCCACCTAGCACGGGTGGCGTCCATCGACGAGGTCTCCAAGACCTCCTCGGTGCCCCAGCAGCGGGTGGATTCGACCCCTCTGAACAACATGCCACGTTCCAAGACGTTTTGGACCTCGGCTCGTTCGGCGAATTTGACGCGGCTCCTTCGTCGCCCATCGATGAAGCCGCAATGGATGATCTATTCCGCGAGATTCTCGCACCATCCCCCGCGGTGCCCTCAGCAGCGCTTCCTGCTGCTCCGTCGTCGTCCGCTTCCACCGCGCAGGCGGTGAGCGATTCCGACATGTCGACGATGGTGCCGGTGGTGCAGGGAGTCGAGACTGCGGTGGACCGGGGTTATGAGGTGGCACAAGGGGTGGAGATGGGTTTGGGACTGGGAATAGACTTGCAGGCTGAGATGGAGATGCAGAGGCTGCTTGAGCTGTTACCGACCGTTGGTGCTGGCCCGGATGGGTTCCCTATGGATATCGGTCTGGGATTCGAGGATATTCAGGGGGGGATGCCGTCCGCGCTCGATCTGGATATCGGCGCTTGGGAGATGGGGGCGTCGAATTCTACATCGCAGCCGGTGTTCTAAATGCCGCATCATCAAAACGGAAGGGGTCACAGTCGCATCGTATATATAGCAGTTTTCCTCTTGTTTTCTCACTGGTTCATCGGACTTCTCTCCTATCCTAGCAGTCTGCATTTTATGTTGTTGTTTCCCACATCTCAATTATCTCGTCTCGATTCTTCGTTCTTACCTATTTAACTTGTATGCCTTCGGTTTTTAGTTCGTTCATCGTCGTCTCGGATCTTTTCTCTCATCTCTTAGCACCATAAAGGTCATCACGAACGTCCATATACATTCCTTACCATACCTTTCTCGATTCACACCTTTCACTCCTCGTCTTCCTTCGTACCTACGAACCTTACAACTCCACATCATTCCTCCCATCTCATCTTCCGATTCCTTCCCTACCTTTCCGCGACATTCTCTCCGGCTCCAAGCCTTCTTCCCGCTGTTTCTCCCATCCGCATTCGTCTTCGTGTTCATCGCCTCGTCTCCATACGTTTCTCCCCTTCGGGGTCCGACGAAATGTGTGGGGATTGGTGGATGCGGGGCGGTGTGTGTGGTGAGCGTGGGTTTCTGGGTTATTTGGTGTTTGTGGGTCTGTTGGTGTTTAGGCCGGGCTTGGGCTCTCGGTTGTTACGTTCATCTTCTTGGGGGATTATTGGTTTTTTGGTTGGCGGTTTTTGGGTATGTTGGTGGATAGGGTGGTTGGGTCGTGGTCGTGTGGGGGTTTGGGATCGAATGAATGGAACATTTTTGGTGATCGGCTATTTTTTTTGTGTGTGCAAGCTCGCCTCGAACAGTCCCTGGAACCAGCCAGTGTCTGCGAAGATTCGCCAAGAAAAGGTCGTGTTCCGTAGTATGAGTACGATGATCCTATGTAGATCCATGACCTTGAAGCCCCTATAACTTTCCAACATCTCGAACCGAATTCAAGTTCGTCTAGATGGACAAAGGGGCGCCCGAGGAATGTGACACAGCCTGATGTACGCCTGCCCGGCTTCGATGACTTTAGATCGTTGAGGCAGAGCATGTGCGATCAGACCTGTCAGGGGTCGAGCTTCGGACATATGAAGCCAGTGGTGTAGTCTGTAGATGACCGAAGTAGGAAGAAAAGAAAAGAGATACAATCGAGCTAGGGACAGATAAGAGACACAAAGTCTATATGAATAAATGAGAAAAGTCGGAGGATGCTCATACACGATTTACACCGAATCATTATCATCGCCCGATCCATCGTCCTTTGAATCTGAATATGGATGGCATCATCACCGAACTAACTCCTCCTCCTCCTCCTCCTCCTCCTCGAACCTCACATGCCTCGAATTCGACGCCGCTTTTCCTCGCGCCCCTGTTCCCTTTCCCATCCCCTTTCCTGCGCTCTCACCGAGAAGGTCTCGATCATGAGGAGGTGGAGGATGGGGATGGTGTGGGTGCGAAGGACTACCCTGGATGATTTCCATCTCTTCATCACTCTCGTCCCCAACCCCGAACAACTCCTCCCTCTCATCCCACACATCCATCAACGCCACCTCTCCCCTCCTACTCCCCTTCCCCCCGCCCGCCTTCCCATTTCCTACTCCTCCTGCTCCACCACCACCAACGACAGCATGAGCATTGGTGGCAGCAGGGCCAGCCGTCTTGGGCGTCAGCGGTAATCTAACGGCCCCAGTCCTAGAAGAATGATGTGTAGGAAGGAGCTGTGAACCGGAACTCGATTCGTACGCCCCGAATTCGTCGTCTGAGAGGGAGTCCGAGTCCGAGGCGAGGTTGATGGAGGAGGAAGAGCCGGTAAGAGGGCGGTAGAGACGGTTGATCTGGACGTGGACAGAGCATGGACCATTGTGTCGGAGGACGGGGGCGTGCGTGTAAGCAGGTTATGGTCATGGATTTGATGGGATGTCGGGAATAGGAAGGAGGGAAGGGAAGATGTTTTGTCAGCGTGTTTGTCAGATGGGTTGGGATGGGTTGTGGAGAGGAGTGTACCTCTCGGCGGTGGCGGTGGTATTTCTCGAGATTGTAGGATGTGTAGAGGCCTATGGCTGAGCCTAGGAGGTTTGCCTAGCGGAGAGCGGTGGGATAATGCGGTCAGAGGCTTACACATGCGCATGGGGGGTAGTGAATCAAACGTACGACGACATCGCCGAATTGGAACTCCTTGTACTGGAAAAGTTGTGCGACGAGTGTGAGTGATATGTGGTCGGGGTAGAGGGGTGGTGTACGAACCGGTAATAGTGCCTGCACGAATTCACTGACAACCCCGCCAAGTACGAAGCATATGAGCCCCGTAAATATCATAGGCGCGCACCGCCAGAACCATATCCTCCTCGCTTCTCTATGGGTTGAATCAGCATACTCATTCTGTGGCGAGTGGAGGGCGCGGGTAACAGGCAGAAAGGGAGAGAACTCACTCCTCGACATCGAAGATGAAGTAGAAGAGAGCGGTTGCGATGCCCAAGCAGAAGAAATGGAGGAGCTTGTCATTGACGGGTAGTTGGTGTGGTATGTTGGTGAAACCAAGGGTGGCGAGGAGGAGCATGACAAGCACCGTGATGACTACGAACCACTGTAGTTGAGAGCACGAGCGCCACATTGCACGAGAACAGATGATGGGTCAAGCACCAAGTAGTTGTAATTTGGTGTGCCCATACAATGAAAGAGGTATATTCTGATTAGAAGAGGCATAAAGTTACAGAACTCGATAACGCACAGGCCTAAATCGCAGTGGGAGGTCATATTTAGGGATGCGGAATTTATGGGAACGCATGATGGCTTTAAAAGCCTTGCGGACGTAGCGGCGGGATGTCTTGACGAAGCGAGCGGTCGGACGCTCTGCGCCCGAGGACGGCCAAGTCGACGTGTTCGCCATCGTCCCCAACGTTGAGAAATAGATTCTGTGGAGGCTATGAGCTGTTTGGTGGCAGGAGTAGGGTGATCGTCGCGCCTGCGCCATTCGGCTGTAAAGGAGTTAATATTAGAGCCGAAGATAAGATTAGATTAGATTCTGGGGCATCTCTTCCGTTCTCCTCCGCTCCGCCAGACGTTCCGCAACTTGCTCCAGCTCGCCACTGCCATGTCTCGCGCATATGATTCTACGTTTTCCTTCAATACCTCTAGCTTGAGAATTCTGCTCTGCTAGATCCCACAGTAATGTCTGAGGCATCGTCGGCCTCGCCTCTTTCTTCGTTCTCATCCTGCGAAATATCTGATGCTCTGCTCAAATTGGGCGTCAAGAATGGGGGCCACATCCCACAGCTTCGGATGATGTCCCCTAATCCACTCACTCTGTCGGATGATTCTCCTTCAGTCATATGCGGTCCAGCTTATACGGTGCACATGGTCCTGGGGTCAGATACGACCTCTCCTAAGCTTACGGAAGGCCATTTTGTTGATCTGGCACCCGAAGGCTCTGTCGTTTTCATTGATGCTCCTCCAGGTACGTTGCCTCAGAGTATCAACGTCCCACATTCTCCTCGGGTACCATGGTTCTGGCTCTACCAATCGCTCCTTTGCTCATATATTCCGTACATTTTGTATATCATCGTGCTAATCGCTGTATTCTCTGTGGCACCACAGAAGCCCAAAACGCAGTCTGGGGCGGCCTCATGACTGCAGGTGCCCAATCTCGCAACTGCCTCGGGACGATAGTCTCTGGACTCATCCGCGACACCTCCGAGCATCGTTCGTCCTCCTATCCCGTTTTCGCTCGCGGAACGTCCACCGTCGGTCAGACCCCCTTCACTCGTCCCTCTGCCGTTAACATACCCGTAACAATCCCGCGCAATGTCAATCCTGCGGAGACGGGGGGACTGGAACCTGTGACGGTGAGACCGGGGGATTGGTTAGTGGCGGACGTGGACGGCGTGGTTTGTGTGCCGAAGGAGTTGGTGGAGAGGGTGGCGGAGTTGGCGAGGAAGGGTAAGGAGGTGGATGCGAGGTGTTTAGAAGATATTCAGAAGGGTGTGGGAGTGAAGGAAAGTTTCAGGAGGCATAGAGGGACTGGGACCGGAAAGCTTTAATGCGAGGGCTACGATGTCGATGAGTTGTAGGAATGGTTTTATGATTTAAGGAGAGAGATGATATAACATTGTCGTGAGTCCCTCTCATACGTTTGACACAGATTGCACAGGTTAACGACTACCAAAAGGTGTACGATCTGTAGGACTAGTTTGCGATCGAATTATGACAGTTGTCGAGCATCCACGAGCTATCCTGCACAAGTCCTCCACCCGTCTGAAACAGCGTTTGACTTAGTTCTTTCATTTGTGCCCATTCATGAAGCCTTCGCACCAATGCGTCGTGTAACTCGCTCCTGAGCGGCATGCCCGCAGCTACGAGCTCGATATATCTTTCGCAGTCTCACCGAGGCTCGGTAACACCAACTCGGTCTGGTTTGTACTGTTGGAGTATATAATTTTTCTCAAGGTGCGTCACATTTTCTCACTACGATAGGGAATGAGGCCACTAAACTGGATCATTGGATAACGCTAGATGGCATCGCGGGTCTTCGCCCTTATTATTGGCATCGACACTTATGTTTCGCACAAGATCGCGAATTTATCCGCCTGCGTCTCCGACGCTCTTCGGATCCGCAATTGGCTCGTCGACGACCTCGACGTCCCAGCCGAGAATACATGTGTACTTCTGAACGACAAAGCCACCAAGCAGCACATTGAAAATGCTTTCATGACCCACCTCGTCAGCAACCCACAGATAGAACGCGGCGACGCTATACTTGTCTACTTCGCCGGCCACGGGTCAGTGCAGTATATTCACAGCCGAGACATGAGAAAGTCGCTGACGGTCAACTTTTCACTTTGTTAGGAGCAGCGTACCCGCTCCCGATGGCTGGTGCAGCGGCGACGCAGAACGCGTGGAGGTGCTGTGCACGCACGACCACGACACGATCCCGGCAGGCGCAAGCTCCGTTGAAGGCGCGAGAATATCCGGCCTCACTGACTGGTCTCTACACGCCATGCTACGCGACCTATGCTCCTCCAAAGGCGACAACGTTGTCGTCATGCTCGACTGCTGCTTCAACCCCGTCCGCGACAAGCTGAAGACACGAAAACCAGGAAACCTGAATCGCCGTCGTCGGTCCATTCGCTGGACCCCCACGAGCGATAACGTCACTCCAGAAGATCTCTATGCGGGCTTGTGGCCCAGCGCTCTGGCGAATGGTGGGATTCCGACGACGACGTCGCAGGGGCAAAGTCGTGGGTTCGCGCAGGAGGCGGTACCGTATGTGACGCTTCTCGCATGTAGTCCTGGAGAACGCACGGTAGAGGACCACAAGTTCGGTGGAAGGTTCACGAGCGCCTTCCTCGAAGCCATCGAGGAAGACGTCTCCCTCCACCAAACGTCCTACTCTGACCTCGTCTTCAACCTCTTCATTGCGGATGGATCGCAGCATGCGGTTTGTACGGGGCAACATCGCGGACGGCCGTTCTTCGATGGAGTGCCGTTTGTGGAGGACGGGACGTTCATTGCTTGTGTACGGGTGGACGATCATGTTCGCGTCGAGGCGGGGGCGATACATGGGGTGGTCGTGGACACCTGTTTTACGCTCCACGATCATAATTCCCGAGGATCGCTCAACCCTGCGTTGGCGAACCTCGTGGCGTTTGAGGTGCATCCTGCGTGGTGTCTGGCGCGACCGCGCGGAAGCGTACCGCTGAGGAGGACGATCGGAACGGGCTGGGTGCGTATAACGAGGTGGGACGGTGCTGGAAGTGAACGTCCTTTGCGTGTGCATTTGAAGAGGGCGTTGCCCCGCGTTCCCCTGCCTTGGAAGTTGTGGAAGCGAAATCGTTCGCTGTCACGCATTGTACGCGGTGGATCCACGGAGAGCGGATACGGTGTTAAAACCGTCTCGAGACGAGCAGAGGCGGATGTTTCCCTCCATGTGAGGCCCAAATCCGTCGTCGTCGAAGACCGCGGTATTTCGGTCACAAAATTGAAGGATTCTGAGGAAATTGCAGTTGTCAATGCTCCCGCGACTAATATACGACAGGATGCGCATGTCCTCGACTGTATCGCCGGATTTCACTATCACCTCAACCGTGACCACCCTAGTCCTTCCCACCCATTCCGGGACCAAGTCTCCCTCAAACTCTTCCGGAAAACCGACTCAGACTCGACTCCGACCGAAGTCCCTCTCATCAAGGATAGCAATGACGAAGCGATAAGTTCCGTCCACGTCGAAGCCGGGGCCACATACTCTCTCATCCTCGACAACCAATCCTCCTCCGATCTATGGCCCTACATCTTCTGGATGGACGCAGACACCTACTCTCGCACCTCCGTCTATCGGCCCTACCATACCCCCACACCCCCGCTGCTCAGTAACTCTCAACTGAAGATCCCGGCGGGTGGCGTTGGCGCGTCGGTGCCCCTGTGGCACTTGCAGCTCGCGGACGTCACATTGGACGGGAAGACGCGAAGGACGGGTACGGGTACGGGGTTCTTCAAAGTGTTTTTGTCAACTGCTTATGTGCCGAGTATGAGGATATTGGAGTTGGGTGCTAGGTTGGCGAGCTCCTATGTGGCTGGCGATGAGAACGAGGTTGCAGGCATGTCTGCAGGGAGAGACGGAGACGGGACGGGTGGTAGTGAGGATGACGGAGCGTCGAGGAAGGAGAAACGAAGTTCGACGTTGCAGGAGGTTTGGGATACGATTGCGGTAAGGGTTACTATAGGGCGAGCTGCGAAGCATTGAAGAACGACCAGCACCGTGACTGGTGAGACGGTTAACTTATGCTGTTTATAATTCTTAATAAGTTATTGCCTCATGCAACGGACACATCACACATGCACACTACATATGCACCTATTTATGCACCTATATGTTCTATCGAAAACGTGATAACGAATGGAGGAGACTATGATACTGTAATTTATTTAATGTCCACATTTCACGAAAGCCTGTCGCCCTCCCGTCATCGACATAAACGGGTGACTCTGTCACTGATTCGTCCCGAACACACTCGCGATATAAGCGTCCCATTCTCCACCACTGCAAAAGAAGTGAAAAATCAGCCATCGCCCTACCCACCCAATCTCAAAGCGGGAAGGCAAAAATCCGAAAAAAAGACTCACGCAAAACTCGACGGCACATTCGACCACATATCCACGAGCCCGTCCGTCTGAGACTGTCCTAACGGTGTCATTATCGGACCTCCGCCTGGTCCGATCCTCGGATCCATGCCCATATTCACGCCCACGCCCACGCCCATCGACGGTGTAGACGACGAGTGGGTATGTCCACCACGGTATGAAGGACTGACTCTGGATATCCTGATTTCGGTTCTCGCATCTAAAGTAAATCAACCATGATTAATCACCAACCGAAATAGCGCCCTTTTCAAAATTTGAGAACCGTGACGAACCTTGAGGTGCTACACCTTCCGCATACTCACTCGCATGTCCCATCCCCGTCGCACTCGCATTCCAATCACCATTATGATTATGATGATGATGGTGATGATGATGTCCGCCCACAAAATCGTACGAAAACGTAGGATTTGTGCCAGTGACGCTCTCCGCCGACATCGCTCCATGCTGGTGGTTTACCATAGCCATAGTCTGCATCCCCGACATACCCCAATCCGTCCCTGTCGGCCCATTGACATAACCCGCATTCCCCTCCATGCCATGACCATGATCCCCGCGCGGATGTGGATGTGGATACGATCCATCGTGGTAGACTTGATGTTGTTGCTGCTGCTGCTGCTGTTGTTGTTGTTGCATCCGCGCAGGATCATGACCCGGCGTCGGATGCGTCGAAGGGGATGATTCTGGTGGTAACGCGCGATGAGTCGGATTACGAGACGAGGATCGCACCCGAACTTGTGCTGGTATAGAATACTGCTGCTGCATATCCGGTGTGGCACTGGGACCAGGACCAAGACCGCCAGAACCAGAGGTCGAAGGGCCTGGGACCGCATTCTGGAAGACGCGTTTCGAGCCCGCATATCTCCTTGAACTGTCTGGGGATTCGACCCCCCGATCTTGGGACGGTGGGTTCATATTCATATTGGATGAAGGAGGGTTAGTGGGGGCAGCGGTGGAAGTGGACTGGAAAGCCGAGGAAGAAGGATCGAGGAGGGATACGGAGTCGCTGCGATAGGCGTATTGGAAGTCGTCTGAGTCGCCTCTTCCGCGTTTGGACGTAGGACGAGACGGAGGAAGTGGGAGATCTCCCATACTGGCAAGCCCGAACAGGATGTCCCTATAATATACCGTTAATCACAAAATCAAGTTCGTGGGCGTACAGTGCCCGACGTGAAAGCCAGCCGGTAAGCCGCCCGACTGTAGCTTAATCTAGGCGCGTTTCCACGTCGGGCACTGCTGCAAGTCAGTAACGATGCCTATAGACGTACCACGACCGTCCAGAGGAGTAATATCTGTTCCCGATAATGTTAGACCAGTTAATTCGGGCCATAAAGGTAAGGTAACATATGCAGAGCAGACGAGATCTGGAATTCCTACCTCTGCTCTTGGCCCTTTATGATCTCCATAGCCCTGTGCACTAGCTCCATCTCCTTCTCCACGTCGAGCGTTATACCCGTTCGTTTGGTGCTCCATATGTTCAGCATCAGTACTACCGCGGATGCGAAACTGGGTGTTAGGATCTTGAGGGAGAAAGAAATACGAGCAGGTCAAAAGGCCGGATTTCAGCGCAATTTCTACAACGCACGAACACTATCTTCAGTGAAGGAGGCGAAGAGCTTACCTGGAAAAGAGGACATGGAACAAGGGTGAACCTCCGATGCATCACATCATCAATCCGTATACAAGACCTTGCCGCATTCGTACAAACAGCAAGTGAAGAGAACGACAGCGCCGAGGTAGGATCCCTTGTCGACGTGATGAACGGCCGATGGACGAAGATCTGGAGATGATAGTACGTGCAGTACAGCGTGCCAGACAGTAAAAAGGACAGAGGGTCTTCGCGGGTGGGGTCCCAGCGGACTACGGACGCCCGTGAGCTATTAGCTATGCATGCTGCGAGAGAAGCAGCGCAGAAGGAAGAAGGAAGAAGAAGAAGACGTGGGCTTACGATGATCGGGGACTGAGTCTGCCCATTTGTTGAGCACTGAGTCCAGTTGGGCCAAGATGTTTTGCTCCCATTGCGGTCCCACAAAGCCGAGTAGGGCCTTCGACTTATTGATCGAATACTGTGAGGAGGCGTCAATAAGAACATATAACCAGAGTATCCGTATACAGGAAGGAATATGCGTACGATAGTTCGCAGCGCAAAGGCGTGAATCTGAAACAGTTTGAGGAACGACACGTAGAACGACATCGTAGACGGTTTCCCGGCGGGCTGCTGGAAAGCCGTCTCAGAGTCCGAGTCGGACCAGTATTCATCGTCACATTCGATGGGTAGGTCGAGATCGAAGCTAGACTCGCATGTTCAGACTGATGCCTCCTAACTCGGGAGCATATCAAGGGTATGTAGCTAATAAAACTCACTCTTCTTCCTGAAGAAAATGGACGGTATTGTGAGTCAATAGTGGCCTACCTTCGTCGATAGCAGCTGATGAGAAAAGAGACGAACCTGAATCGCACAAGGTCGCCCCAGCGCAGAACTCACCGATCGGTCCATGACTACAAGACACCTACACGAAGAAGAGGTCAATGTTAAAAACCAAACGTACGCATCGAGCATACAGCGATACGTACCAAAATGCTCGTTTCCACAACTCGTTCTCAATCGTAGGTTTCGAATCATAAACCTTCCGACGATGAGCACCAACGTCTAGAGCAAGGCGGATACCGTGGCCGACCATGGTCCAACACGTCTGAGGCACCGATGTGGTCTGAATAAACAAGATTGCGAGCTAGATTCACGGTCCTCCCAATTAGACAGCTCATCGGAAAGAACATATACCGAACCTATGTCGCTTACGCAGTGGACTTGCAGGTCATACAGGGTAGGTATCGCCAGTAACGACTTCCTCGAGAGGTTGACTTGGGTGAACCACTTCCAGCCAGAAGAATACATAGTCGTGTCGCCTTCGTTGAACACCCTCGGATCGTCCGAGAATCGTGCTCCGTTCGCACAGACGAGCAAGACGACCTGACGAAACTGGTCATGGTACATATACAGTTCCTCGTCGAGGGCTTTCTGGAACGTCGGACGGTGCAAGAGCACCGTGAAGATGTTGACGTTCTCGAAGTACAGGTCGACGAGGGAGGCGAGCAGATCCGGCCCGGGGAATGAGGGCGGTGCTTGCCGATTCTCCCATGCTTCGAAGGTGGCCTTCTCCCACTGCGAAACCAACGAGCGTGAGCAAAGCCACGACGCGCGAAATGCTGGAATAAGTTCAAATACTGACCGGAAGAGGAGCCCAAAATTCGGGTCTCCGAGTGGCTAATATAGGCCTCCCGGAGTATTCGTTCTGCATATGCAAAGTGGACCGGACAAGCTTGACGTTACTCGACTTTCCGAGGAAGTGTTGGTGCATATCAGTTTCGAGCGTGAGACCCGTCATACGCGTCGAAAGCAAGGTACTGTAGCCGTACTCATCGTCGTCAGAGTCCACCTCCTGTTTAACGGCGGAGCCTGGCGCATTGTCTGCGGAGGACGGGGACGGGATTTGGAGAGGGGACGAGGCGGCAGGAGAGCTGCTATGTAATCTTTCGTGGATGCTGCTGCCAGAGTTTTTGAGCTCTTGTGTGATGTTTATATCTGGGCGGAACTGCGCGTGGGTGGTGTTTCAGCAAGGAAGTAGCAAGTAAGAAGTCGAGTTAGGAACCTGTTGAAGTAACGCCTCCATCTTCTCCAGTCTGGTTTCGAGGGTTTCAACATAACTGCCAGTCACTCATAAGTTGGGTTCAAAGTATGCAATGCATGCAACACGCAACCATACCCTTTAAGCGGACGTCGTTTCTATGTGGGGTTCAACAATCGCAGGTTACAAAACACATAATGCACAAGGACCCACCTTGACAGCGACCAAGTACGTGCACTCCGAATTCGACGCCACGCAAGGCGAACATTTCTGTCCAGGTCGAGTTCCACCATCACCTGTGAGCAGAAAAGCACTGTGAACGTTGGCCGAGCGAGGATATACGCCGCCGGAAATGACCCATACATTTGACTGTTCGACAATACACAATACAAGGATTCAGAACAGCGTTAGAGGGCAGCGGCAGCAGAAACGTAACGCACTCTTCTTTCGCCTACAGACATCGCACGCCCGATGTATCTTGCGTTTCTTGGACTGCGACCCATCTTCCTGCTCCTGCTCCTGCTCCTGCTCTTGCTCCTGCTCCTGTTCCTCCTGTGGCACATCCTCCTGCGACTCGTAGTCCGACGACATCCCCAGTCTCAATCTGCGTTGGTCAAGTGGCGTGGCGCACCGGCACTATTCTTTCTCACGACAGGAATAAGCAAGCAAGTACTCGCGGGGGGTGGGGTGGGATAAACACTACAGACGACACGCCCGGAGGATATAGTCTCGCAGCTGAAGGTGGACCGGAACAGAGAAGGGACTGGTCACTAGCGGGGAACAACAGCTCGAGCCGTGAATCCATGGATATCGTTGCGGCGGCGAGTTTGATTGGCGTGCAAGCGCGCTGTTTACACGATCGACTTCGTCAATTTCGGCCCGCCCGTGCCATCGCGCTTCTTTTCCTGCATGCCATCCTCCGTGGTCGAAGGATTAGTCCGACGTTCTCGCGTGCGAGCCTTCCGATGAACGGCGATTTATTGCAGTCCATCGCGAGTCCATCGTATCCTCTGTCTCCCGTAGGCTATCCAGCCCTCCTACAACGCATAGACCTCAATGCTCCCATCTGCTTCCGCACACACCTGTACACACCTCCTAACTTTTCACTCCTAAGGTCTACGCACCAGAACGGCCACGACCGGCCGTGGGCCCACCATGACACTATTACTGATACGATTGCCCTCCGGGCGCGACCTGGTCCTTTGTCCTCTATTAAATCGTCAACCGTTCCTACGTCCTCTTGTTTTATTTGTATGGCACGCGTACATGAAAAAGTCATGCGAGTTCTCTTGGAGTTCTCATTACACCACAGAAACACAGAGAACTAAGAAGTCACTTCAATGCAGACCATGTACGAAAGCGAGATCAGTGACTCAAAGGATAATACTCTCAGTCTCCGACAGGTGTTAGTAGTATTTTTCAACTCTGACCATACCTCCTACAAAGTAATATTGATGCAGGCGGGCCACTGCCGCGCCAGGGCTGCGCAAGCTCCGCCCAGCCGCTTCGTGGCCCGAAGTGGTTTTGTCAACCGATACAATCTTGAACAACTCTCAGTAATCAGTACTCAGTGATAGTGCTTATATGGTCTATCAGGAAAGCTTCACCAGCAGCCCAAGTCAATAGGCACACTCAGAATTGTTTTAGACCATTGTTTCGATGTATTACCCCACACCATCCGACTACATAGGCCCAACTACAAGGATCTATACAGCAAAAACAGAGCATCTCGAATTGAACAGAAAATACCTTAGACGCCAACTCCTCGGACAATGCACTCCGAATCGCGCTCTCCTCCAACATGT